AAGGGACAGCGATTATAACGGTGGAGGCCTTCGGGGCGAGTCCTTTTCGAGGGGGGGGATAATTATCACCCGGGAAGTAGGGCTGTTACAATGACTGTTACAATGCGCTTCCCGGCCGACAACACCCCATGAGGCAAATAGCCCCCATCAGGCGCTTAGCCCCCATAGGGCGAAAAGGGCGCTTGACCCCTATAGGGCGAATAGCCCCCATAGGGCTAACGGCCCCCAATGCTAAGTCGGCCCCCACAAGGTATACACAGAAAGAGATAAATAGGACCTCTATTCTCGCACTGCTGGGAGGCCCTTAACAGTGCGAGAAGTCGATGTCTCAAGGACAGCTTTATACAATACAGATACGTGTTCAACCCTCTGACTCTTCGTCTAACGATCCCACCCCAAGGCTCCCTGACAATCAAGTAGATGATATAATTTGGCTACGAGAGAGTGTAACTATGAAAGGGTAATGAGCGTAGCTATATACTTATCGGCGTTTCCCCAATAGATAACAGGGAATGGTATGTTTACCTGTTGATGTGGCAGTATACCAACATATCGACATATCGAGTGTTTCCTTTCCTGCAAGTCACGTGTCACACGTGGCCCAGCCTTCCTTAGCTTCTTGTCTTGTTCACACCACCATATCGGGGACCTCCTTTTACCCGCGAGTTCAAAAGGAATCAAGAAACCATATAGGAGCGCCAGCCCTGGGCAGACGCCTTACACCCAGACTCGCCGGGACCAAGAGCAAGATTGAACCCATTGCACTCCTGCTCGGTATAGAGCTGGGCAAAGAATAGTCCTCCACCATCAAACGCCGCGGAAAATGCCTGCTGACCAATATCCACACAGTCTTTAGGTTCGTCGCCGCTGTCGGCGAATATGCTCGTTCTCAAATCACAATCTTGGCTCGAGAAAAGCGCAAGGGCCCACTCGGTTGGGGCTTCTCGGCGAATAGTGGAAGAGTTCGTGTCGAGATGATCCGTAGGCGCGGGGACGGCAAGTACAGATGCCTTAAGCGCGAATGTATAGACAAGGACGGCATCGAGGAAACGCATGTCGTAAGTCGTCTTGAGAGGTCCTAGAGCCGTTCATTCAACAACACTAATCCAGAATACCGCGTGTGAAACAGCTGAGGGCCTACGTACCTTCAAGAAAAATAGGTGTGTTGATCTTTGGGTTGGTGCTGGTTGGTGGCAGAAGTTAGTTTGTTGATAAACACTATTGAGGACAGGAGTTGAAGCGTTGATGACAGGAGCAATGTAAAAGCTGACCCAACCGTGTAGATATCTATAGGGACGGCACTACGTATACATAAATATCGAAGGATGGTGCTGTTATTTATTATTGAACAAACGTTACCCTTGCTAAGGCTTCAAAACCCTGAGATCTTATCAAACATTTTTTAGCGTAAGAACCTTCCTTCGCGGCTGTCCTTCGCGGATCTTTCTCATCTCCCCCCATTCAGCAGTGGATGTAATGGCCTCCGTAGTCACAGTTACCACTCCACTTGCTCAGCTGGAGGAGTATACGTCTACAAGACTTGCATAACCTCAGTGCTAGCACGTGGGAAGGCTCCGTTATGGTGCGCATCAAGCGCTCCAGTATACCTTGAAGAAAGTGTCCATTTCTAAAGCTTCCAGCTGTCAATGACTCGATTCCTACTTGACTGACGGGGCAGTCTGACCTCCAACAAAGTCTAGACTACCAGAGAGTATTACTTCCGCCGTAACTCAAATAGGATAACCAGGGAGAGTTTGGGCACTAGCTACCCAATCGACCATTGTACCACCGGGATCACCCTTCGCAGATGTTGACGGTCAACATAAGCTGATCTCCTAGGACGCTGGACCATCCATGCTCGATTACTTCGATTCAAAGTGCTCCACCCGGCCTTACTTCCCTAATTGTTCATTTTCTAGCACGGTAAGTAGTTTTTCGTGGGCATGTCCCATAACTTGTCACCTACCGTCCTGTTGGCCGAGTTCGACCCACCGCAAAGTAACTCCCTGGTAGGCGTTTATGCTTTAATATGACAGAACATCTAACTTGTCGAGTTGCTGAGACAGACTATGGCGCAATCAAATCATATTAGAGATCAATGTGAAGCGGCGTCCAAAGAGGAAGAATGATACCAGTGAAGTTGAACTTTCTCAGTATAGCTAGTATATATATGGAAATCATGTCCTTGCGACTACTTCAGCGGCAGCGATGACTTTACCAATTCCATCATTGTATCATAATCATTCTGTTGTCGGTGTGCCCAAAACTGGCTCCAATATGGTCAGTTTCCGCCTTTAGACCTGAGCACAGGCGAGCGCTAAGATGCATCTTCATCCTCTAGTAGCGCTAATAATCTGAACCTTAAGAACCCAGCTTTAGTGCTTTACGTCCTGAAATAGGCTAGCCTATCAATCTTCTCCTCGACGCCGTGCTGCGAAGATATTACCTAGGGAGATTAGCGTGGTTAGTGCCCTGAATGGCGCTTTGGGGGCCAGCACGTAACTTTATGATATACAAGTCAACCTTGCGCGCACCCCTGTCTCATTCCGTACGCGTAATGACGTACAGAACTAAGCCTAATCGCCGTTATGCACCTCTACATATGCTCCTATTTCTGTTTTACCTTGTTTGACGATACGCTTTCTTCTCTAGTGCTTTCGGCCTTTGAATCCTTCGTACATTTAATTTAAGGAGTTTGGTAGGAGGCTGCCGACTTAGGAGAATAACGCGAGAAAGATAAGGCCATGCTGTAACATTAATTCCGAATTAGGCGTTGTCCCAACAGGGGCTAACGACGTCTTTACGGCTCGGCTATTACCCCGCGGGAACACACCCTATCGATTTTGCCCTGATACGGCAGTAGCTGATAAACGTGCTAAGATGTCTTCATTAGCTGCTGTTATGAGATACCAACCTTGGCACGGGTATCTTAGGATATAATTTGTATGGCCGCTACCGCTTATTTGGAGGTCGGCGGGGATGAATTTTATATTTTTTTACTTTCACAACGATAGCCACTGGCCTTAGATCTGAAATGAGAGGTTAGTATTTTATCATAATGTTATTATAGATAGTGAATCGGGGCGAGGCTTCATAGCCAAAGGCGACATCTCTCTGCGGCGGTAGGGATAAGCATAGCACAATATATAACACCTGAATAATAGATATTTGGTTATCTATCCTTAATCCCCCTCGCCAGCTGTCTATACAAATACCATCAAAAGAAAAGAACAGGCTCCCCACTTCATTCGACCAATCAGAGGCCATCGTTACTTCCCTGTACAATATATAGGCACGTGACCTGACTTTTCCCATGACTCTCCCCATCACAATAACCTACTGAAAATTACCTAATACAGGAGCAGGATTCTTGTCCAGATTAGACTGCGGCATAAGCAAAAACCGAAGAGACTAAGCACTCGCTAGCTTCCGCGGAGTACCAAACTTATCGTAGCGTATCAGTAACGTCACCCATAATACGGGGTCGACCTTTTTCCGATATAGGATAAGGTTCATGTAGCCATAGTCTCCACGGCCGGACTTCGTACCCTTACTCCAGGTACTTAATAAGATGCATCTCCGTTGAGAGTTCCTTAGAGAACCTGACACTCGTTATTCTAGTGTATGTCTTTGGTGGAAGGACTTAAAGCTCCTATATTGCCGTTTCTGGTAGTACCCTCTGGTAAGTGTCGTGATGATCACCTTTATTCAGTAAGAGTAAATTAAGATCCCACCTTTATCACGCAAAGAAGTAGAGGGTGGATAGGCAGTCTTACTGCATGCTGAGATGTACCATACTTACGTGATTTACGATCGATTTTAGGTAGAATCATTCCTATGTACCCACCGGTGTGTCTACTTTGATCCTAGTAGATGTTATTCAGCTGTCAAACAAATCCTTCAAAAGGCTTTTAGTAGCCATTAGGATTCCTCTAGTGAGTTATGACACTGAGCATACGCTTCCATCTACAATAAGTTACCTCTGATCGGCAGTAGCGCAATCCTATGTAAGCCTTCCGAGGTACATGATTTGCCGCTAAGAACGGTTGAGCCAGCATCTATCAACGACATATACTATGTAAAAAACTTCTTACAAGAGTATGGAGTAACCTATTTGAGCAATATATCCGCTAATTCAGTGTCCACTCAACTACGACCAGATTCCTACTAAGAGATTGTTTAGTTGACCCACTCATCAACAAGACTCTCGTACTCATCCCAAAGCTCGTTGAGACACGAAGAGCACGTGGTCTCCTTTATCGAGCAGTTTTTCAAGTAACTATGCAAAATCTATTTAATCGACGGTTCGTGCCACTTTGTCCCAAAGAGAAGGACCTCAGACACACAATCATCAAGACTTTCTTCCTTCTCCTGTACACAATCTCTTTGAGTTAATATCACCAAAAGGATACTTAGTACTTGGTCCGTCATGGCTTTAGTGGCCCCCTATAGTGTGGAAGCGTACAATAGCCTGCCGCACCTCCTCGATGCCCATCAAAACTTTGTGAATGCGGACCCTATGGAACTGTTGCACAACGAAATCGGGTACGGTAGATCTTTTGCCGAAAAAGACCTCAGGATTTCACTTTTATTGACGATATTCATAGCGAGCTCTTCTATAAGCACGATGTTTACAGGGACCTCGCGGTGTGTCTTCTCCACCGACACTTCCCGATGACGGACGGAGAGAAGCTTGTCGAATTCGGGAGTGTCGCATCTCCCTGGTCTTACCGTCAGCAAGACACCGACCTCATGGGCGGTAGGGTCAAGGCACGGAGCTGGATGTTCCGTAAAGGCCGACTGCTTGCTTACGAGTTCGGCTATGACAATACTCGGTCTGGTTCCACTTATGGTGACCTTCCAGAGAAGCCGGCTTTCTACCTCGAGTTCGGCCAACTCCTGGAGAGAAACCACCTAGAAGATATTCTCGGGCTTACCTTACTCGGAGACGGGCTTCAACCTGGAACTATGAAGCTAGAAAAGACGTTTGGCAACACCAATGTCATGTTCGTGGTTGCCGAGGAAGACTGGGATCAGGGAAAGGAATCTATCATTGCACAGTGGGAATACAAGGAGGACGGGAAAGGGGCAACGATGCCAGTCAGAAAGTAAGTCCCTTCTCTTTCATATATCTTGTCCTTTCTTCGCTACAGATAGCTTTTCATGGTGCATCTGCTACTATCGGCACAGTGATATGCTACATTGCAGCTACTAATGCACCTCCTTTCGGTCAGACTCCGATGTCAAGTCGGGTGCTTTTGTAAAGGCGGTGTTGATTAAGACTTCTAACCAGTTTCTAGACTACACTGTCTGTTTGGTTGCGCGTGTGGAAAGGGTGATTTGTAGTGTGTTATCTCTGCTGAGCGGAGGGGGAGTAACATTGTCCCAGCATATTCAACATTAGCTAGGACTGGAACTGCTTTGAATAGTCGGCCAAGAAAACCCGAAGCACAATGTGCTCAGTATTGTTCCTTTAGGAGAGAGTAAGAATTTCAAACTTGCCTGCTCTGTTTCTTATATCTAGTGGCTTACAGTAGACCAATACGTGCTGTAGATTATTTTCTGGAGAGGTTCCGGAAGGCTAGTAAAGCTCACTATTGTTGCTGTCATTCAACCACTCTTAACAAGTAGCAGAGCTCCCGGATGTATTATCATACTTGCCCGCAGTGGACGATGCATAAGCCATATGCCGTGCTTTGCTAGGCCTGGTAGGACCCCTTGTCAGCTCCCAGTAAGACCGTGTCTCTTAAGATATAAGTGTCCTCAGAACCATAGCATCGTTCTTTCTTTTCTTCTTCATTTTGTCTCACACTACTGCGCCGGCTAATAATGACTTCCTCACCTTCCCCATCATCGAAACGATTTAAACCAACATGGCTTTTCTCCACGTTACCTCATTCGCATCTTGACTTTTCTTTACTTTCAGAAGACATCTTCTTCGTCTTGTTGCCGGATCTGGCTTTTTTCATCATTGATGTAATTTCTTTGGTGTATCTGGGCAAAAATAAAGGAGCCTCTTTCTTCCACGGACAATCCCCTCAGAAAAAGGTGGGTATTGATGAGTATCTCATCAAGGAGTTGAGAATATCGTTGACAGACTCAGATTCGGTGGTTCTTACCACTCGTTCTTCCATTCTCGATTTTGATACTACAAGTCGCATATCTCGCGCTGCTTGTTAGACAACATCCACCTACAGTCTGGCCGCCTACCAGTATACCCGCGGCAGCCGTGGACGTTCTGACTTCGGTCTATCTCCTCTTGATATGGAATGGGTCGAGCCAGCGAGGTCGACGATACTGCCTTGAGACTTTCCTGATCATAGTTAGTCTATTCAGATTGATCAGGTGTCGCAGCTTGTGGCTTCACACTCTGAATGGTGGGATCAACAGGCTATCAATCTTACAACCAGCTTTAGAAACCATCCTGTTGGCCATAAAGATCATAATGGGGTTTTCAACACAGAAAAAGAACCAGCTTGCGACTCACGAAAGAAAACCGATTGTCGCTCCCGAGGACGACGCGCATCTTTTGAGCGTACTGTTCTTCTCCTGGTTACTTCCGCTTGTCAAATTTAGTTGGCAAAACTCGCTCGAGGCGGGCTTAATCGAACAGCAGCCGACGCATTATATTACAGGCGCTGACGGCAGCCTTGCGCCCGTGGATGATAATCTCAAAGCGACAAGACCAGGCAGCTGGTGGGCGGTGTCACAAGTACTCTGGCCTAGAGTGGGCCTCCAGTTCACTATTGCAGTGTGCATTCGAATCTTATCAGTAATGCTCGCTCTCTGCTTGCCAGCTATCTTGAATGCACTGGTCAATTTCGAAACATCTTCTGTCGACAGCTCAGTGGGCGTATGGTTGGTCGGTGCATTAGTCTCAAGGTAGGCCTGTTTCCGACATGGTAAAGGCTACAAATAATTGACATGGTCAAGTTACCTAGGTTCGGCCGTTCTGAATGCTCAGACCGGCCATCTTCTCGACCAGGTCGCTCTCACGGTGCGCGTGAGCTTGGTGTCACTCATCACCGCGAGACAACTCAAGCTCCCTGCAGATGCACTGCAGAGCGAGTCAGAGAGAAAACGCGGATTGACTTTGGTGACAGTTGACGCCAAGAACGTTGGAAACAGTGTCAGGGTCATTGTCATGATCCTAGGTAACCTTATCATGGTTGGCGTAGGTTCATACATCCTTTATTCTCAGGTCAGAGCTGCATTTTTTGCACCGCTCGTACTAGCTCTCGCAAGTGTCGCTGCCTCGACCGTCCTGGGAAAGCTCACCACTCAAAGCCAACGGAGCTGGCTTGAAGCCACTCAATCGCGCATCCGGCAAGTCTCAGAAGATATAACTGCGCTCAGAAGCATTCGTCAAGCAGGCTTGGAGCCTATCTTCTTACAGGAGACAACACGCCTTCGCAAATTGGAAATCGAAAAGGCTTCGGCGTACCGGCAGAACGAAATCTTCTTTGTTATGATTTGTAAGTGAAGATGCTCGACGCAATTGTGCTCGTTTGGACTGATAATTCTAGCCGATTCGCTGGATGGGTTCTCCTCCCTGTCCCTGTTTGGCTTGTTCAGTGCCTTCTATGCCACCAACGCTGGCAATGCCGCAGCGTTCACGTCGCTGTCCACTCTTTATCTTATGATGAGTCCTCTAATCACCGTCACCCAAGTCCTACCGCAACTCCTTGCCGGGTATGTCAGCCTCAAAAGAATTGCTGAAGATGACTTGCCAAATTCAGAAGTAGACCGTCATTACCTCGAGGCTACTCGTTCAAGAACCGAAAAAGAGGAACTCGAGGACACCCTGGTGATGATCCTTTGGTCAAATGCATCATTTAAGCACGGTGAACAGCTGATTTTGGAAGATGTTGATCTGCGAATCAAGCGAGGACAGATCGTCCTGGTTTACGGGCCTTCGGAAAGCGGAAAATCCACGCTATTGAAGTCTTTGCTGTTCGAGACGAATGCCGCTTCAGGCTCAGTATCAAGGAGCTCGCAACAAGTGGCATACTGTGCTCAAAAACCGTGGCTGTTGAACATTTCCATCCGCGAGAATATTCTCCTAGGAAAATATCTCGACCCAGACCGCTATTCCCGTGTACTCGAAATTTGCTGTCTCCAAGAAGACTTAGCTTTGCTTCCCAAGCGGGACAACACTTGCGTTGGCTTCAGAGGGTCACTTTTGAGTAGTGGACAGCGCAAAAGAGTCTCTCTTGCACGAGCAATCTATCAGGATGCTGACTTGTTACTTCTCGACGACATTTACTCTGGACTGGACACAGAGACGGCTTCAAAAATCCGGAAGGCGTTGTTTGGAGAAGAGGGTTTTCTGCGGCAGCGCGAAAAGACGGTCTTGATCACATCTAATGATGGTATGTCTCAGGAAGATCTTCCGTTGCATTACTTACAAAGGGTGACAGACCAAGGAAACACTTCATTCGACATGGTAGTGCGCCTCGGAAATGGAAGAGCCCGTGTAGAAACACTTCCACAAATCAATCAAGCATCATTGCATGCACTCAACAACGATACGTTCAAATCCGAAACCGCCAGTACCCCTTCATTACTACCGGAAACTCTCCGATTGTCAAACTTAGATCAGAGGGATCCAGTCGTCGTAAAAAATCACCAGAAGAAGCAACGGAATCTGAGACCCTACATCCAAGATTTGGGGGTGGGATTGGCAATGATAGTTGCTCTACTTCTCTTGCTCAAAGTTGCTTCCGATCTGGGTCGAAGTATGTTCCTTTTGTTTTGCCTCTTGGAAGACCGAATAACAAGAGACATAGCACTCTGGATCAAGCACTGGGCAGCAGACGCCGGGCACCGCAGTCCGGGATACTACGTGACAGTATATGCCACGCTAGTCGTGGCCAATCTGATCATGATCGCTTCTGCCATAAGGTTACGATCGATGTATACCGTGCTTCGGAAGCCTCTGACCGTGTTATAGCATTTGGATATTGATCATGCAGCCGAAAGCGTCTATGAGCCTACATCAAAGCCTACTTAGAGCTGTCGAAAGGTTATTGACAGTGGATCGAGCTGTTCTTACACAGCTAACATTTCTAGGCAAAAAATCTGGGTCATCGAAGGGGTGTGTTCTAGCATCCTCAATAGGTATGTATATCACGACTGACCTGGTCAAATGAGCTAATCGGAATAGGTTTGTTCAAGACATGACGCTTGTGGACATGGAGCTTCCACAGGCTCTGCTGAATGCAAGTTTCGGTCAGTTGTGTCATATAATGGTAGGACCCCGTCTAACGATGGCTATAGCCATGTTAGCCGTGCTGGGTGACCTTATTCTACTGGCGGCAGGCTCTCCGTACGTCCTCGCGGTCTTTCCGGTTCTTTGCATTCTTCTGTGGTTGTTAGAGACAGTGTATTTACGCGCCTCTCAACCACTCCGTCGAATTCAGCTAGAGGCACAGGCTCCTATCATTGATCATTTCAAAGCTGTCACCGAGGATTTGGTCTCGGTGAGATGTTTCAATTACGAAGGGCAAAGCTTGAAAAAACTTGACGAGATCCAAGAGATTGCGGTTCGGCCGGAATATCTCCTGCGCAGCCTCCAGTCATGGATGGTGCTGGTGCTAGACCTTATGACTACCGGACTCGCGGCGGTCCTTGCTGGTGTCTTTGTGGCATTACGCGCAAATGATCCGGGCTGGGTCGGGGTCGCTTTGACTGCATTGATCAAACTCGGGCAGGACATAAAGCTTCTTGTGGTATGGTGGACAACGCTTGAGCTCTCTTCTAATGTGATCTCGAGAACACAGAGCTTTGCATCGCCCGTGCCTCCCGAGGGCGCACCTGCAGAACGACCAATACCCTCTGACTGGCCTGCTGAGGGCAGGGTTAGCGTGAAAAAGCTGGTGTGCATCCACGGGTGAGCGGCAAGTCGGTCTAAGAGGCTCTACATAAGCTTGCTGACATTGCGGTAGGACTCAGTCCAGTTCCCCCAAGGCGCTGATTGATGTATCTTTCGATGTTGAGCCTGGCCAAAAGATTATGGTTCTCGGACGTACTGGGAGGTGAGTAGCATTCGCGGACCGCGATTTGAGCAATCTAACAAGTTCGATTACTTCCAGTGGAAAGAGTTCTCTGGCAGCTAGCTTTCTCTCACTTGTCAACATCGTGAGCGGCTCGATCGTAATTGATGGGATCGAGATTGCACGTGAGGATCCGGATATAGTCCGTCAAAGGATTATTAGTGTGCCACAAATGCCGCCCAGCCTTCATTCAGCCAACGCCTGTACCTTGCTCGACCCGAAGCATCAGCACAGCGCGTCAGTCATTACCTCAGTGCTGGAGTCCTTCGGACTGTCCGACCTGGACCTCTCAAAGACCCTGCCAGAGCTGAACCTATCAGAGAGCAAACAAAAGCTGTTTGGGCTAGCAGCCAGCGCTTTAAGACCCGGCAAAGTGGTCGTCATTGATGAAGCTACAGCCTCGTGAGCCAATTCCCACTCGGATTGAAGAATCTCTAGCTAAAATCAGGCAGCGCCGATGCGGAAGTGGAAGAAAGGATCGTAAATATGATCTTGTCTGGTCCGGCATTCAGTGGACGGACCGTGATCTTCATCACTCATAGTCTACACAGCATTAAGCGATTCGACAAGGTCGCCGTCATCTCGGACGGCAGATTACTCACCTACAAAAGTCCGTCAGACTTACAGGATAATGAAATCTTTGGGTTGAGGGAGCTCTACAAGAGGGATTGAGGTTCTCTAATCCTATTAGTAATAACCTCAAATTTCGAGCCTATCTACTATATTCCTATGAATTCTAGTAGAAACACATATAAAATTAAGATTATATCAGCAAAAAGTCCCGCTTGGCCTAGTAAGCCTAGGGCGGCTATAGGCTCCCACAGTTAACCTACTACCGCGCCCGATGGTACCCATCGAAAGCTACCCAGAATGGTTATCCAATAGGTACTCAGAGAATAAAAAGTGCTATATCTCGTAGATTGAAAATAATTTAAGGCTAGCGGACTGTTGAAGACATACCTAAGCAGCCTCGGAGAAAGTGCGGGCGAGCTCGGTTGGTCTTCTCCTCAATTCATACTCCGTAATACGCCAGGAACGGGAGGGTGGCTGAGTGGCGTCCCGGTCCCAAATTTCTTCTGGTCGATGGGGCAATTCCGATGTGGAGGCATTCCCCCGCAATTACCATGAATGGATTCGTCCCCGGCTTCACAGAATCGCTGCGTTTCCTCGAACTCTTGATGTTATATCTTCCCTTTCGTCCTCATCTCGGCTCTTTACTATGCACCGTTCTGACCTTGGAGTTATTGGCTTAGCGCACTATGTCTCTTGTCCGGGCTGCTGATCCGGTGTCGCTGTTATGGTACCTCACTGGCGTTGTCACAAGCCTTTGTGTTGTCCGGTTCGCAGTCAATAGATATGGCACAGGTATCAGTCATATTCCGGGTCCTGTGCTTGCTTCATTCACAGATTTGTGGAGATTCTTCGTTGTCTGGGGCCGTCGACCGGAAATAAAGCATATCCAACTGCACGAGAAGCATGGTCCATTGGTTCGTTTGGGTCCTCGAGTGATCTCGGTGTCTGACCCTGCAGCAATACCCGTTATATACGGTTTGAATTCTGGCTTTGTCAAGTCGGGGTTCTATCCGGTCCAGCAGACGATAGCAAAAGGTCGCAGGCTGTACACCATGTTCAGCACCACGGATGAGAAGTTCCATGCTAAACTCAGAAAGGCCGTGTCGAATGCATATGCGATGAGTACACTGGTCCAATTCGAACCTTTGGTTGATTCCACCACATTGGCTTTCCTGGGTCAGCTTGAAGAGAGGTTTGCGGGCAAAACAGGTGTAGCAGGCATATGTGACTTCTCAAAATGGCTCCAATATTACGCATTCGATGTCATTGGCGAGCTCACTTATTCCAAGCGCCTAGGTTTCGTGGATAGAGGTGCTGATATCGATGGCATTATTGGGAATCTGGAATGGCTTCTCAATTATGCTGCCATAGTAAGTTCATGCCCAAATCAGGAGGCTGGGATAGTGACCGTACACGACAGGTTGGACAAATCCCGATCCTGGATCGTGTCTTTCTCAAGAACCCGTTGAGATTGTTCGTCAGCCAGATCGGACTTATAAGCTCCAATACGCCCGTAGCGACTTTCGCCAGAAACCGTATTGCCAGTCGACAAGATTTCGAGCAGGCTCAGGAAAAACCAGCAGCCACATCTGATGGACAGCGAGCAAGGAGAGATTTCTTGTCAAGGTTCACTGAAGCCAATCACAAAGACCCTGAGTTCATCACTACGGAGCGTGTTTTGGCGCTGACCGTCGCGAACATGTTTGCTGGCAGCGACACGACCGCGATTAGCTTGCGGGCAGTGTTCTACTACCTGTTGAGAAATCCTGAAGACATGGAGAGCCTGATGGAGGAACTCCGGGCACAACGGGAACATGGAAAATTCTCTGATCCAAATGGTCTTGTCAACTGGAACGATGTCAGGGAGTTGCCGTACCTGAGCGCTGTGATCAAAGAAGCTCTTCGATGCCATCCCGCCGCCGGACTCATGCTTGAACGAATCGTGCCTCGTCAAGGTGTCGAGATTTGTGGCAAGTTCATTCCCGGTGGGACAATTGTCGGATGCAGTGCTTGGACGGTGCATAGAGACAGTCTTTTCGGCCCGAACACAGAGAGCTTTCGTCCGAGGAGATGGCTCGAGGCATCGGCAGAACAAAAAAGGCAAATGGACAAGGCTCTCTTCACTTTTGGGGCTGGCTCCCATACATGTATCGGCAAAAACATCAGTCTGCTCGAAATGTACAAGCTTGTTCCAGCGCTACTGATGAAATTTGAGGTATGGGTGGAACCTGCTCTTCAGCGCGCCCTCAAAGCTAATTGTTCTTTTGTAGATTGAGTTGGCAGATCCAACGAGGACATGGGAACTGCACAACGCGTGGTTTGTCAAACAATCTGAATTCAAGGTGCGCCTCCGTCGCAGAACTTAAGTTGAGCACCCTCCAAACATGAGCTGAGAACCGGGGTAATTGAAAATATTCTGAACGTTGCCGGGTTCATCCTGGTTCCCATATGGGCTAGAAGAGGAGTGTGGCAAGTGACATTTTCAGTTAACGCTTCCCTCATGGTGTTAACTCAGCTGGGCTGAGGATGAGGCAAGGGGAAAGAGATCGTAAGGGAGGACCGGTGTCGTCAGTCGGCACAAGAAAGCTATGGCGATGAGCCGAGGATATTCTCCGGTGGGCGTTCGATCTAGCGATAAATGCAGTTGGCGAAGCTGCGGACGTACAGAAGTGTTATTATTGTCAGCGTTTTTGGACCTATCTCGAAACGTTTGGAAGAGAAGAGTCGCGACAACTCTGTAGGCGCGCACACCCCTACAAGTCTCAATTCAACACAAGTACTCGGCTCGTCGATACCTCGCTGAGTGCCTCGTACACCTGGTACTCGGAACCGAGCAGTGAGCTCCGTCTGACGTCAATCCGATTTCCCCTCGTTCCCCAAATCCCAGCATCCATCTTTCACCAAAGCGATTGATTGATCCTAACGACATAGACGCTCTACCTCAAATTCTTTCTATATAACCGTCCAGCTCAATGACAGGTCGACTCAGACTCGCTGCTCTTTCGAAACAGCTTTCATCCGCCTCTCAATATCTCTTGGGTTCACCCCAAAGAACTCTTGCCAGTATGTCACAATCACCATCTGCAGCTTGCTGCAACACCCCCGCTGTTGTAAGCCAAGGCTACAAAGAGAAGGGAAAATGGATAATTGTCGACGGGTTGAAGACATACGCAACGGGACCTTCCTCTGCGAGCCAGGGAATTCTGGTCGTGTACGATATTTTTGGGTTCTTTCCACAGACGCTGCAAGGCGCCGACATTCTTGCACACGCAGATAAGGAGCACCAATACCAGGTATACATGCCGGACTTCTTCGAAGGAAAACCGGCCGACATCTCCTGGTACCCACCAGACACAGAAGAGAAGGGGAAGAAGTTGGGCGAATTTTTCCAGACCTCTGCTGCCCCACCAAAGACGGTCGAGCGAGTCAACAGGGTAATGCAGGAGTTGAAGTCGACATATCCCGGTATCAAGAGTTGGGGAATTGTTGGATACTGCTGGGGTGGGAAGGTTAGTAGCACTCTCGTGAATTCTGTCGTCATTTCGTTGCATACGTGCTCAGATAATCCTTCAGATTGTGAACCTTGTTTCTGGATCCAATACAGTCTTTAAAGCAGCTGCGACCTGCCATCCCGCCATGATCGACCCGAATGATGCACCGAACATCACCATCCCTATGCTCATGATCCCTTCCAAAGACGAAGACCAGGCCGATGTGGAAAAGTACGAGTCGAAGCTCCAGGTGCCCCACCAGGTAGAATGGTTCAAGGATCAAATTCACGGTTTCATGGCGGCAAGAGGTGACCTTGAGAAGGACGATGTAAAGGCCGCCTACGAGAAGGCCTACCAGCTCCTGTTGAATTTCTTCCATAAACAGCTTTGAAGTATGGGATAATAAATCGGGATGCTCTGCCTGCAAACGCATCGCAAAACACACAGCCGCAAGCCAATATCGGCTGAAAAATTATGTTAAATATTGGTGGTAATCATCGGTCATTGTATCCGCTCCCTCCCTGGAAGACCCCTGGTTGTGGCCGTCTGAAAGAGAGCTAGGGAGCGAATATCCCCTGGAATATAGGTTCTGCAGTGCAATCTAATTTGAATGCTGCTGAAAAGAACACGACCATCAAGGCAGTGATATGTCACTTCAGTTTTGGATTCTGGTCTCACACGTATGAGAGCGTTGGTTTGTCGACGCACGATAGTGAACATCGGGACCACCTTTTCAACACGTAGTTCAACAAAACTAATGGCGGCCTCAGACAACTGATCTGGCAAGAATAGGATTGTCAAGCATCGTTTGTCGCCTAATTTCACAATAAACCAGCAAGACCAGGAACATCCCTGAGCTGCTTGAATGCTCTTTACACGAGTACCTAAATTCTATTGCACTCCTCCGTGATATCCATGGAGTTCTTGTGGAGGTGTCGGGCTCCCTTCCCGATCCTTGTTGATACTCGCAGGCCATTCTATGATGTTGACGATGATCCAGAGATGTGGGTGTCATGCAGCACTGCCTTTTCTTCGAGATCCGCAAGATTGGCCGCAGTGCACGGCCACTTTTCAGGTATCGAAAACATCGATTCATGCTATAGTTAGGACACGTAGTCTGTATTGGAAACTGAGCCAACGTGCCTCTGCACCATTGAACGTCGTAGCTGCATGGTTGCTATGCGAAAATGCTTGATTGGCATGCGATAAGCCCGTTGTAAGAATCGAAGAGAAACCGCTGCCTTCCTCCAAGTTAGTGGTTACGAAGAAGTTCCTCTTCGAATAATAGGATTCACATTCTTGCGCTTGCAATCAGCGGCTCTGGGCCTGTGGTTGGGCCCTCCACAGAAAGAATGCGAGAATGATGGTGATTTTCAAGGCGGCTGCTGTCCACAACGCACCAGCAAGGCCTACTGGACTATGTGCCCATAGGCCTCCAAGAACTGCCCCGAACAGCAGCAATAGCGGTGCGGCGGCCCTGCGGTTCCTCTCTGCATTCTGCGTGAGGCCCGCCATAATCAGCGGATCAGAGAACAGGTCGCAGTAGATGCTTGTCAAAACCACGCTGGTGAGGCTGTTATATTGCAGAGCCCGGCTGGTCACAGCTTGTCCGCTACTCTGGAACGCAACCAGTGAGAGAGGGACGATGACTTCCCACCGAAGGTCATTTCCTTGCTTGCTGTCAACCATGACAACAACAGCAGCCACCACGACCAGGAGCAATTGGATGGCAAACGAGGCCAGCAGAACCCAACGACGTTTTGGCGAGAAGCGGCGGTGGAAGCGACTGAAGCAGAATGAACCAAAGCAAAAGAAAGCGATTGAGGTGAGTGACCTGATCCATCGCGTTCCTTTAGTCGGTTCAACAAGGCCCAGACCAAGGTAGACGGTGTTGCCAGTTTGCATGCTCACGAAAGAGCCCCAAATGAAAACTGCGGAGCTATCGAGAAGCCCCGTGATCACATACGACAGCAGCAGCAGCAGATCAGCCCAGCGTCTGTCGATGTCCTCGTTCAAATAGCCCCGAAAGCGAGTCAGAGACCGAGCCGAGTCTCTCTTTCCAAGGAGAGGATCATTCTCATCTTCAGTGCCTTGGTTCGGTCGACTATCAGGAGTTGAGTCTCCGTTTATAGCTCTGTAGCCGTTCACCGTGGTCATAATTGCGAGTGAGCACCGACTGTTCGTCGATCTGCTGTGGTCTGGTCGGGCTATATGAGAAGCATACACAGGAGTGAAAATTGTCTTGGGGATCGAGGGCCGGCGAGTTGCTGCTGACGAAGAGGAGGATGAAACGATCAGCCGGGCGATGGGGGAGATGTTGTGGTCTTTGCGGAGTTTTGAACCGCGTCATAAGGGTGGTTGATCGATATGGATGAAAGTGGTCAAGGTGGGTAAGTAGCCGTCTGGTGGCTGGAATCCTCTCCCCGTCCTCCGTAGTTTGGCATGCTGTTGGCCGGGTGAACATTCTGCCGAAGTCATGACGGAGCTCCCTTTCTCTGGACCCTGGGGTGTACGGGTGGGTCGGACGGAGCTCAGTCTACTGAGCACATATATATTACACAGCTACGTCCTCCCCTGAGCCTTTCAGAAGTTCATTTTTTGTGGCTCCCTTGACCTGCTTAACCATGCATCTTCCCCTGTGGTCCCTGTTCGTGAGCTCTTGCTTGGCAGTTCCGGTCATTGATCGGCAACAACAAGCCCTGCGTCCCCATGACAGGAATAGCCCCTACACGCCAGACAACCGAGATCCCTATGACCGCAAAATTGACTCCTATGGCAATGACTGGCAGCCATTACCTTGGCGTAACGGCGATGGTGCGACCATGATGGGGCCTCGAAACAAAGATCGGGAGCGACAAAACCCAGACATGCTTCGGCCTCCCAGCACCGATCATGGAAGCATGTCCAACTACCGTTGGAGTTTTGCGGACTCGCATATCAGGATCGAGGTAAGTTCGCGTAGTGCTCCGTGGTCTGGGAATTATGCCGCTGACACTGCGCAGGAAGGCGGGTGGACACGTCAGACCACCATCAGAGAACTTGGGTCAAGCAAGGAGATTGCCGGTGTCAATATGAGACTTGATTACGGTGTAATTCGAGAACTTCACTGGCATAAGGAGGCGGAATGGGCATATGTCCTTGAGGGTAGTGTGCGTGTCACTGCTCTGGACACTGAAGGCGGCAATTTCATCGACGACCTTCAGAAGGGAGACTTGTGGTACTTCCCATCCGGCCATCCCCATTCTCTGCAAGGGTTAGACCCCAACGGCACCGAGTTCTTGATCGTTTTCGATGACGGCAACTTCAACGAAGAATCGACTTTTCTGCTGACTGACTGGCTTGGTGAGTTCTGTGATCCATTAACGCAAATCAAGCATGATTAATGCGAGGTAGCTCATACTCCCAAGTCTGTCCTTGGAGAAAATTTCCGCCTCTCGCCAGAAGTTTTCAAGACCATTCCCAAGTCCGATAAATACATTTTCCAGGGTAGCCTGCCGGGCTCCATTGATGATGAGAAGCCAGATGGCACCCATGTTAAGAAGTCAAAATTCCGATTCACCCACAAGATGCTGGATCAAGAGCCCCTCAATACCACCGGGGGTCTGGTTCGCATCACTGACTCGACCAACTTCCCCATCTCCAAGACGATCGCAGCCGCCCACCTCGACATTGCTCCTGGCGCTATGCGTGAGATGCATTGGCATCCGAATGCCGACGAGTGGTCATATTTCATCAAGGGCCGTGCGCGCGTCACCATCTTCGGGGCCGAGGGGAATGCTAGAACCTTCGACTATATGGCGGGAGATGTTGGCGTGGTTCCAAGGAATATGGGCCATTTTATCGAAAACTTGAGCGAGGACGAGCCCGTTGAGGTATTGGAGATCTTCCGGGCCGAGAAGTTCCAGGACTTCTCATTATTCCAGTGGCTGGGTGAGACGCCGAAGAAGATGGTTGCGGATCACCTCTTTGCCAATGACAAAACTGGAGCAGACAAGTTCTTGAAAGAGATCCACGACGCAGAATATGACCCGATCCGGGGAAAGGCCGAGGATTCCTAAGCGAGATTGTTGCCCAGTGTCCGGCGTTCTGCAACATGTGGAGGAAACCAAAGGCTCCCAAGTGTATCTGTAAAGATAAAATCCTTAGCACCGGGGGAACATTACAGTGGATTGATTAACAGCTTGCCAGCAGGGCTGGATTGGACGTGATACCAGGGTAGTGTAGCCTACACCTCGAGTGCCACCAAATTATCTCCCATGGCAGAACAATTTGCCGGACAGATATCTCATGTCACACACGCCACCTGAGTCTCAGAGAGTGTTGGATTGTCTCCAATATACTCCTCACACACATGAGTTGACAACGTCCCGCTTAATCGACAGATCTGTGAAGACCACGGTCACTTGCGAGTCGGCATCAGGTCGGTCGCACTTGGCAGCATTGTGGATGTCCTAGACAGTTGTGCAAATCAGGGCCCCGCCAAATCGGCATCAGGATCTCGTATATAGTACCGGTTGTGAAGTGAGTTCGCGCTCTAGCGATAAAACAACCAAAGTCTAGGGTTCCGAGTTAGACAGATCCCAGGAACCCCATTATCGAGCGTAGTTGATCATTTCGGACTTGAAATGTCAGTGACGCGATATTACCTTTATGCTTTGAATTATTGGTCTCAAGCGTGCTCCGTTTCGTGGGCTGAGATCTGTTCACGGCCACGGATGGATATTACATATCTCGCAGGGACGCATAGTTCACGGGACGCCTAACGCACTCACATGTACGCAGCCATTCACAAAAGTAGATGAGACCAAGCCCTTAGTATAACGAAGAATCTCTCAAGTTCCGTCAGGGAGCCAAAACAAGTCATCCCAAATCCAAACTTGAGAAGTGCCATCAAAATTATTGGACAACCTGCTGTTTGACACCGCAGCAGGAACCGAGGATGGTTGCGTGTATGAGCATGCCCCAGGTATCGATGACAGCCCCGCTTGTTCTTGATGTCGATTGCCATGTCCAAGCCGGCTGCTGAGCCCACCACGACCGTCTCGAAACACTGCTACTCGTTAGAACGGGAAAGAAGACAATCTTAGGGTACCAAACCATCTTGGAGAGAAACAAGAGCGTCACTGAAGTTGCCAGATGCGATGTCTCGAGGCAGCTCGACATTGTGGTGGGAAAACAACTCAGGGTTGTCTGTGCTACTCCCACTAAAGAGCTTCGTGCCCTGCACCAGCACGTTATTTCCGTCAACAGTCGACTGCTTGTCACAAGATTCTGCAACGGGAGAAAGTTGATCCACGGAAGGGCGTTCAACGTCTTCTACGGAATCCTGGCCAGACGACTCTGCCTCGGTCAACAAGGCTTTCATCTCCTCCGCGAGGACCAACCTAACAAGCTCTTCCAGGATAGCACCACACTGGTCAGATACCGTCGTGCGGAACCGGTGAAGCCGAGGAAGCTTGATAATTCTGCTCACAGCGCGTTTTGCTTGGTGAGCCTGATCTGATAGGGGGTCCGAAAGCGCGAAGATACCCAGAACAACACCAGCGGTGAAAGACTGGATCCCAGCATAAGCAGCCCCATGGGTGTTTTGGGATGCGGCGAGGATCTCAGAGTGTTCGCCAATCTTTGAGGTCCTCATCGAAGAAACCCAGCATTGATACTTGCTTGTCCTGATCATCATCGGGTCAACCGCATCATTGACAGCGTGCATCATCATTTGCTCTGAATCACCACCTGCTTCCGGTCCTGCGCGAGGCCATCGAGGCACACGGTTTATTGTCAGCAAGGGCCTGTGGAGCACCAGTTGAATATTGTCATAGGAAAGTTGGAGGGCCAGGGCCTGAAGCTGGAAGGTTCTGATGGTCCTCATACTTGTCTTGTCTGTCCTGTTATATTTCAAGTATTTCAGTCGCAATTCTCGTGGTATACACTTTTCCCATTGGAGTAGGCGTTGATTGATTGCTTTGATCTCCCCGACAACTTCAGGAAGAGTTGCCCCACTCCGAAGATAGATATTCCGAGTGATGGTAGAAGCAATTCGATAGAGTCGAAATTTGTATCTCTGGTATGATGCTATGGTGACCGGTCCGAATGTTTCGTCCTCATAGCTTTCTACGGATTCAAAGCCTGGGCAAGTTGTTGAGGTGTCATCGATGTTTCCGGGGAATGAGACGTCCCAGTCACTGTCATGCACGTTGCAGGGAGTTCCAAAGGTGATGGCACTAAATCTATGCGACCAAAAAGTAAGTGCCACGTCGTCTGAAAGGCACATGTTGACTCACACTTCCGCCGTATAGATGGCCCAGCCCAGGCGCCGCCACACCTCTCGCAAAATGGGGTCATCCATTTTCCAATGGGATTCTTGTTGCAGTCCCAAAGCTTGAGCCACTTTGAGTGCACTTCCCATCAATGCAAAGCTGCGATTTGGTCTGCTATGGTAAGCATAGTATGCGGAAAGAATGATCGAGATTTGAACCGCCTCGATGTTAGCTTGATCGAAGACATCAAGTAGTCGTTCTTCAGCTTTGCGGATGAGCTTGTTTCCAAGGCTGTCCATATCAATCCCTGGAAATATCCCTTCAGCCTCGGATTTGGTGGAGTACTTTGCACCGATGCCAATGACCAGCGCAACGAGAATCAAAAAAGATATTCGATCTGCGCGGACAAAGCCCGTTGTGGTAAGCCCCTGGAGTTCAATCCTCAGGGACGGTTCGTGGAACAATAACATGAACCAATGCACAGAATATGAGTAGCTTTCCAAAGCGTAGTCAATTACGTCGGAGGCCGGTAATTCCATATCAAGCAGATCACATATGGAAAGATACTGTCCGCTGGCTTCAGAAGACCTCACATCAGGGCTGCTGCCCGGAATCGCGTCAGTCGAATGGAATAGTCTTGCCGCCGAATTGTGCTCTCTGAAAAGCTGGTCCACAACTTCATAAGTAGATGTTCTTTCTCCATATACCTCTGAGGTTCGCCTCCTAGCCTCTTGCGGGCTGCGTGTGGATGACGGAGGTAGGTTTCTATGGGACAGGGCGGACGAAGGGCTCTGCAGACGGCCAAGCGAGATTGAGGTTCGTGGTGACAGCGAAGGTTGCTGGCCATCATCAAATTGACCGACGTTGGACGTGTCGTTGTTGTCCAAGAGTTCCGCAGAAGGCTTCACCAATCCCCTGTTTTCAGGACGCTCCCTGCATTCGATGCCAACACGCAAGCACAAGGCACAGGGTCTGGTGTCATCGCATCGCAACTTCTGCTTCCGACATCTTAGGCATGCGTGTCGAGCTCGGGGTAGAGGACGTTTCTTCGACGAGGGTCCCGGCGTAGGAGCCATGAGGGAACTAGCACAATCAGTGAAATCTCTCAAGGAGAACTCGGTGCACAACTAATTGGAGGCTCTACATGGTGCAATTTGTCCGTTCCGTTTTGCAGCCCGCAGTTCCAGGCTAGACGTGAGCGCGAGCAGTAGTAGCTCTCGACGCGTGGGGGCGGAACACGAACCTCGGTATTTTCGGAGTATCTCACGGGCTTCGTTATTTCGTACATCCCAACATCTATCTTCTGCTCTCCTTTCCACATAGGTCCCGTGTTTTAAGGTCGTTCAGATTCAAAGTCTCCTTACGGTCTTTCCTGTCTTCCCCCAATAGTCGAATCCCATCATATCTGGTTCTCTGGGTGTCGCCCAGATTAGTCCCCGGGGCCCCAGGTTGAGAACTAAGATACAGATCCTGGGAACGGCAACGGCAGAACAGAGCATATCCTTCTATAATTGGCTCCCCTCGTTTGCCCAGGACATGTATCATATTCTAGCTGCAAGGGGCTCGTTGTTCCGATGCAAGACCGGATGAGTAGTCGGCCACTGAGAGCAGCTACACGCTCGGAAGCATATCAATCCATGGGACATCCGCTGCTCCTGAATCACCGAGCCATTAGCATATTGGAAAAGCCTTTGCCAAAAGCTCCCACTTTGCTGGTTGGCCCCAGGGTTTGATGTCGATCCTGAAATCCACAGCCGGAAATCCATATACATTTTGAGATGCCCAGAGCTTATTCGACAGGGTCATCTGCCAGAGTCGGAACTTGCCTCGTGACCGGAAGCTCTTCCACCGGATCCAGCCTGTAATGCATGGTGTTGCGAATACGCTGTCTGACTCGCATGTGATGAGTTATCACTCATAAATGAGCAAAATGGGAGCGTTGTAAGTATTCCTCGTAGGTAAGGACTCCTTCTTTTCTTTGGGTGAAACTCTGATAACTGCTTTCTATCCGGTGGCCGGGGGTGTGGTTTTGTTTATAGCTCTACTGAAGTGGTATTAGTCTCTGTTGTTGTTGGACCTTCCGATATGGCTGCCCACCACTCCGAAAGGGTCGCGAGAATCGGGGCTCTCGGTAAGAGAGCTCCCCGGGCTTGTGTATCATGCCGCTCGAGAAAGGTTCGCTGTGATGTTACCAGGACTAGAATCCCATGTACAAACTGCAGACTTGACAACAAGGATTGCTCGGTACCCGCAAGCAAGAGGCGACATGTCGGCGACCGTATGTTGGGCCCATCCTTCTTTGAAGGCAAACAACATGGTCCCCAAAGTCCAATATGTGACGCGATCATTGATTTTGGCGATGTCAATGGCACAGGCTCGGACGGCAGCGAATTTGCTGCTGCCAAAGGCGGTGTTGGGGACCGTCCTTTCAATATCTTTGGGCGCTCGGGGAATACTACCATTAACATATCAGCGACACCTCAAATTTTCAATTCTCTCGATACAGATGTGGCGATGGATGACGGGCAAACTTTTCAGACACATTTCCTGGCGCCATATCCATCGCCTACACAGACTATCTTGCCAGACCTTTACCGGCCACCTCTTCCCCCGTATATCACGCCTTTACAAAAGACCTTGTCTACAGATGACTACCATCACCTCCAAAGAAAGGGTGCCTTCAACATGCCAGACTTGGAAACGCGTGACCTGCTTCTAAGGGCGTATGTTAGGTGGATTTACCCTTTCACACCGATGCTGGACCTGGAGAAGATCTTGTCGGCCGTGTCCAGCAATGGCAATACCGGCACAACCAGTCTCCTTCTTTTCCAAGCAATGATGTTTGCTGCTGCTGCGTACGTCAATATTGAAAGTCGAGATGGAAAGCACAAGAAGACAAGAGGCATCTTCTACGAACGCGCGCGACTTCTCCACGATTTTGACGTCGAAGTGGACAGGCTGATCATTTGCCAGGCTGCTATCCTCCTCAGCTTCTGGGATGGAGATTCCGAGGGCGTGAGGGATAGCTATTATTGGATTGGGATCGCAACACTGCATGCAACCAGCATTGGTCTCAACTTTGATCCTACCAGCAGCCTCGCAGATCCGAAACTCCGATGCTCCTTCAAGATGACCTGGTGGACCCTTGTCATAAGGGATAGGCTGCTTGCTGTGGCCTTGCGAAGACCGGTACAAAACAAAGTCTTTCGATTCCATGTCCCCATGTTACATTCCGACGATTTCCGGCTAAAACCTCTCTTGGAAGCCCTACAGAAAAGCTTGCAGGTAAACGACATTGGCTTACCAGAGTTGGAAACACTCGCCAGTGCCTGTATGGCTCTGGCCCAACTTTCCGAATATATCGATAGGGTCTTGACTGTGCAATATACTGTCCAAAGGACACCCACTACTGCAGGACAGAATGCAACCGCAGTATCTCTGGTTCCACGGGTCAATGGATCAAGATCGATGGAGATCATGACGTGCGGGCAAGAGCTTCAAAATTGGTATGGGTATTTACCCACTGAAGTGCAAAAACTCGAGCTTGGAAGTCACGACATCGAAATCGGAGGTGAAATCAAGATCGTGAGGGTACACAAGGCACTTTTGACAGGTTATTACGCGATGACTTTGATGACATTGTATCGGCCTTTGCTCAATCTGTCGTGTTCAAGTGCAAACGAGACCAAGCTGAAAATTTTATCAATGAAAATGCTTTCGCAGGCGGCTAAAAGCATTACAAGCATCTTCACCAGCCTCTATGCTGACCACCTGATTTCCTGGTTGCCAGATACTGCAATTGCAATCTTGGAGCCAGCCGTGGCCACGCACCTGCTCTACAGCATGTCCGAGGTTGACGCGGTGCGAGACACAAGTTTCCAAAAATTCTATCTCTGTTGGCGAATTCTGCAGCAGTTGGGAGAAGTTTATTATCTAGCAGAAACCACAATGTCAATGCTGAATGCCGCCGCGCAGAGGCTCAAGTCGCTTCCAGACTTGAAAATGGTCACATCTGCCACCTGTTCGCAGCTGCTTGATGCGATCTGTCCGCCTGATCAAGACAAAACCACAACATCCGAGATCGTTCCATTTGTCGGAGTGGTTGGAGATCAGAAGAAACATCGCTCTGATTTGGCTGCGGATTGGGGCGACCTAAAGAAGACCTGGGAGGAGCGCAGGAATCAAACACAGGTGTTCGCCACCTATGGCCATAATTTCGACTTGGAATTGAGCTGTGCCTCGGACGTAAACACCTTTGATCAGCTCATATATTGGGACGCAGCAGATGAGGAGCTTCGGGCTAACAATGACTGAGGCAAGCACGGTAAAATGCCCTTGAAATCAGGCAGCGCTCAGCAACGTGACAAACTTTTTGATCTCGCGGTTGGACCCTTAATAGTCTAGAATTTAATGCAAAGGGGACCGCTCAATTGGATAATGTTTGAATAAATGTGTAAAAAAACATGACCATGGAACCACGACCATACGAGAGCTATACCAGGTGTATTTTCCTTCCATTGGAGCACAACCTCGTATCTCCGGCGCCCATTGAGGTTGTCTGCTATTCGACTTGAATGCCCTTTTACCTTCCTTCATTGGCTAGCGATAGGATTTGACGCGCCCCGGATTTCCTCAACGCCACTTTGGACAATCCCATTGCTATTACCCATAGTGGTACACGGCCTGAGCTGTTAAAATCGATGATCACGACGTCATGGTGAAGCGCTGCAACGCCGGATCTCTTTCACAAACCACGATGACAATAACGATCGACAACAATCTCAAATTATGGGGACAGCTTGCTGTGGTTCCCAATACTCTCATTACTTTTTTAGTTGAGCCCAGACGTGTGTTCTTCCGGAGTGCAGGGAAACATCCCATTCTACTCATGGTAACACGCAGCAACTTATTCCTCGAAAAGTCCCTAACCCTGAAGACTGCGACAAACTGCTATAAGCCATGGACAAACACAGGGCGCAGACAGGCGAGTTCATCGTAAAGCTACAAGACAATTATGTCAAACCAGGTTCGTGCCCTCGGGTCATGAAGCGATGACTCTCTCTTGCGACAAGGGGCTTCGGAAGGTGCAATTCTGCTCACAAAAATCACTCTTAGGTCTCCGCGGAACGTTCCAGTCGAAATATGTCGTCCTTTGCGCCTTCGTCGTCAGACTGGGAGGTTTTTTGTTTGGCTATGGTGCGCAAGATAATCGGATTGCACCCCCGGGCAAGTTTCAAGTCTAATCCCCTGTAGACCAGGGTGTTGTTTCTGTCATGCTTGTCATGGATCAGTTTCTCGATCGATTGGCTCGGGTCTCTGAGACTGCCAGTGGAGCTGGATTTTGGAAAGGATTCATGACGGCCATGATCGAACTTGGAGCACTTATTGGTGGGCAACTCCTTCGGACTGATAAGCTCGTCTCTGACCTAACTATTTCACAGGGGCATTCAACCAAGGCTGGGTGGCCGAGAAAATGTCCCGGAAATACTCGATTTGTGTAGCTGTCTGCATTTTTGTTGTCGGTTCAATCCTGCAGACCGCCGTACAAGGCTATTCAATGCTGATTGTTGGCCGACTCGTTGGTGGTATAGGTGTTGGAATGTAATATGATTATGTTCTTCACGTTTCGGTCTCTGGAGCTGAGTCTTGTTGCTAGGCTGAGTATGGTCGTCCCCATGTATATCGCAGAAGTGTCGCCACCAGAGATCAGAGGTAGGTTGCCCGTTAATTTGCCAGCATCCTGTTTGTGTGCATTGCTGATGATGTGAAGGCACGTTGCTTGTCCTCGAGGAATTCTCCATCGTTTTGGGTATAATATGTGCCTACTGGTTAACGTTTGGGACGCGATACATTAGTGGAGAATGGTCGTTCCGGCTCCCTTTCCTTCTGCAAATAATACCGGTTATTCTTCTCGACATCTCTGTTCTCTTCATGCCCTTTTACCCAGGTGGCTTGCTTCCAAAAGCAGTGACCAAGAAGCACTGGACGCTCTGATCAAACTCCGCCGGGTCCCTGCAGACGATCCACGGATTCAAGCCGAATGGTTCGATATTCGTGCTGAAGTAGCAGTCCATAAGGAGGTCGCTGAGGAGAAACACCCCAATATCGGCATCGCAGGTCGACGGTCTCGTTGGGATGCTGTCAAGCTGGAGCTTGCAGCTTATGCCGATTGTTTCAGACGCGGCTATTCTCGACGCACTATGGTTGGCACCGGCTTAATGTTCTGTGAGTGACCCACGCCCTACATCAGACTTTTCTTCTGTTCCTAAGTGATCCTACACTCTTTCAACACTGTCACGTCTAACGCATCATCGTAGTCCAGCAGTTTCTGGCATCAATGCTCTCATATATTACTCTCCCAGTTTGTTCGAGAGCATGAATGTCAATTATAACATGCGGCTAGTCTTGTCAGGTATCCTTAACGTCACTCAGCTTGTTGGAGTCTCGACCTCTTTATACCATGGATCGCCTCGGCCGACGGCCACTTCTGCTGTTGGGCAGTGTGGTCATGACTATATCCCACATCATCATCGCGGTCCTTGTCTGGTTATACTTTGACAGCTGGAATGGCCATAAGGACAAAGGCTGGGTGGCGGTTGCCTTCCTTTTCCTATATATGCTGGCCTTCGGCATGACATGGGGACCGGTTCCATGGGCTATGCCATCCGAAATTTTCCCCAGCTTTCTGCGAGCGAAAGGTGTGGCGTTGAGCACCTGCAATAACTGGCTCAATAATTTCGTCATTGGTCTGATCACTCCACCTCTGATCCAGAATACCCGAGGATTCGGGGCGTATGCATTCTTTGCAGTCTTTTGCGCCTTGAGTAGGGTATGGACATGGTTCTGCGTCCCGGAGACGAAAGGGCGGAGCCTCGAGGACATGGACCGGGTGTTTGGAGATCGGGCTGCGGCCGCAGATAAAGCTCGACGAAAGGAGATCCTGAAAGAGCTATTAAAGCAAAGGGATGGCCAAATTGAGCAAGAGGAAGTGAAGACAGCGTGACAGCAGCCCTTGCGAATGGACTTGCCCCAACCCATTACGGTTGCGAAGCCCGCGGAATGAAATGTTCTGGGTCGAGAGGCTTTCGCGTGCTCCTTTCAGTCTCCGGCATTGGCCAGGCAAGCCAAATAACAGCGCCCTTTGTATGGGCAAACCGCCCAATGGCATAGCCATCGTCGTAGTATCGCCCCCTTAGCAATTATGTATGCCAAACCAGAAAGTGGGATATCCAATTTCCTGAAGGACTCGACATGCCATTCGACCACTCAGAGTCATGTCATGAAAGAACTTTCCTACCCTTCCGGCCAGGTTCCATCGGCAGTTCGAGCATGAGCCGGTTTATCGACCTTTTGCGGCCTGGAGACAAAGTCACTGGAGCCGACGCCCGCCTTTGTTGCTATTATTCGTTCTTGAAACGATTGTGCGCGATTGACGTGAGAGCTTCGGCGGGCCTCTTTCCGATTACAACCATATAGGTTCATATTGGCGCTGCCGTGACAAAGGTTGCATCGTGCAGGAGATTGACGGGACAAGACGTGTCTACTTGATCTCGTTAACAGTTGTCAGCTTATGCCGATTGTCTCTTAAATCCAATGCCCACGCGGCTGGGGAACATTGTACCGATAGACTTGTTTGTTGCTGGCACCAGCGCCAAACCTTCAATGGTGGTGATCCCAAAATTGAGCACACTGCAACAGGAAACGGCAACCAGATCATTAATCCTTCGTGTCGGTAGAAAAGAATGAACGGTCCAAATCCCGAGGGTTCAAGCTCCACGGAACCCCAATTAACCCCACAGGTCAGCCTCACTAGCCTCTGGCTGCAAGGGGGGCCATCGGATCGAGGGTCGAGGCTCAAACAACTGCCGGGGAGGAAGAAGCATGTACTTCATATACAAAATGATATGCCGAAAACATGATAACAGATAAGTAGAGCCGGCCGGCGTTAGGATCCAAGGCAGCTCTCCTCCAGCTATCTTTATTTATCTTCTTCTCTCTCTCCGCGAGCTGAAGAAGTCAGAGGCGTCCAACTGAGACATAACCTACACAAACCTGGTGCAAAACGACGGGATCAAAAAAGAAATGACAATCCCAGAAGCACATAAAGTCGCTATTTTGGTGGTAAGGACACTCATCAAACGATTCCGGCTCACGAGCACAAGCTCACGGTGGCTAGAGGCACGATGGGACATATCACTTCGAAACCAAAACTGTGCCAGTTCCTGAAATTAGCCCCACCGATTTATTAGTCCGCCTGTCAGTCTCAGGAGTATGTGGCTCAGACTTTCATCTTGCAGCAGGCCACCTTGGCCCGACCTGCGACATTCTAGGACACGAAGGCGTTGGACGGGTCGTGAAGCTTGGATCTGCAGTGAATTCTTCCTTCATCAATGTCGGAGCGCGAGTTGGTCTTGGATGGGTACGCGACGTGTGCGAAGAATGTTTCTGCTGCCTATCTCCAGGGGGTGAGGCACGCTGTTTAGCAATGTTGTGCTCTGGGTTAAGAAAAGATGGCACTTTCGCAGAGTATGCCGTTGTCCCGTCGCGGTATGTCATTCGCATTCCCGAGGATGTGCCTGACGATCTCGTCGCCCCGATTCTATGTGGTGGAGTGACTGCGTACAAAGCCATCAAGGTCAGTGAGACAGTCCCAGGCCGATGGATGGCCATCTCTGGGGCCGGAGGAGGTGTTGGGGCTTTGGGGATTCAGTATGCGAAGGCTATGGGGTACCGGGTCATCGCAATTGACGTCGGAGACGCAAAGAAGGAGTATTGTCTGAAGCTAGGCGCTGAAGTATACTATGACGCCAAAGAACTCGACACGGCAACGGTCATGGCCCTCACAGGAGATGGTGCAGCAGCGGTTCTTGTCATGGCCAACTCGAGCAAGGCATACCAGGCGGCGCTGGAACTGGTGGCTCCATACGGGACGTTCGTCTGCGTAGGAATACCGCCAGAGGATCAACTGGTAAACTTCCACCCTATTCTTGGTATCTCCAAAGGCGTGCGGATCATCGGCTCTGCTGTGGGCACCAGAAAGGACATCTGGGAGGCGATTGAATTCGTCCAACGCGGCGCAGTCAAGCCGGCAGTGGAAATGGCGACTTTGGACGATTTGTCCGATATTGCGAAGAACTTTGGAAAGGTGAGCAGCATCCCTCGACTTGCATTGGTGTCCGGCTATTGAAGATTTCTGATGGTTTGAAAAAGACTTCTGGCAAATATGTCATCCGGTTAAGCGACGAAGCCAACGGCTCGGTGAAGGCTGGCGCCCCGACAAACGGACATTGAGAAGGACTCCAGATTCCTGGCGTCTACAGAGAGCAAGCAATAGTCATAGATCGCCTTCTGTTTGCATCATGACGGGCTTCCAAGCTCGGATATCACGGAGTCTTGACTGATTGGCCCTCGCTTGACGAGAATCTCCTTCCATTATCCCTCCTTCAAAGCTTCCCCGCAAATCACTGCACCATGGTCAAGCATGATTTGCCCTTTCAACCCGCGTTCGTGTTTCGTCAACCACTCATCCAACTCACCTCAGCAGGCCACTTGCGAAGTGATGGTCAGGGCGTGCAACTCTGGAATGCCTGCTTTTGCCCATCAGGTGATAAGATACCCAGCCAGACTTCAACCCCTCTTTCGTCGTGCAAGGGTACTTGTGAGAGTTGACCTGTGCCCTCCTTTCTTGCATTTATTCAGGCTTCTGCACATTAACTTCTCGTTCAACAGACCACGATAGTCCTTGATTGAAATGATGGCAGCACGGCCTCTACTGATTGGTTTAGCTTCAGCAGGCCGTTCCGGAGCTCTGAGCCTCCCTAGGCGGGCTGCACCCAAGCGGACTTTTCAGCTATCTACAGCTAACCTCCAGCCCACGGCTGCGACTTCGAACCCTCCGGGATCGACTCCTCTGACTAGTCAGACGCCGCCTCCAAGCACTGTACCTCCTCAAGCCGAAGTGTTTGCAGACAACAGGCATGCTGCATTCCTGGGGGAAGCTGACAGCAACGAAGGGCACGATGCCGTACGAGAGGTGCACGGGGCACCTGAACCCGCCCTCGAAGCTGAGAATTCGGCATTCTTGGGCGAGGCGGACTCAGATGATCACTTCGAGGTACGCAAGACTATAGAGGGAGACAACACTCCGCCCCTGGATGCCAACAACGCAGCGTACCTGGGCGAGGCCGACAGTGACGACGGCTTTGAGGCTCGAAGAGCGGCCGAGGGAGACAAGCAAGAAAGTTTGGATGCAACGAACGCCGCATTTCTTGGTGAAGCTGATAGTGATGATGCCCACGAGGCTGATTTTGATATAAATCCTGAGAAGCATCGTCACAACATTGAGGATACTAGTGTCAGTGGATTGCATGGGCAACAAGGAGAACAAGATCAGTGAGCAAGTAGCTGGAGGGCCCACCGCCAGTGGATAGTCCCCTATGTACTCGGTACATGAAATACAGTCCAATTCCAGGGGAGCAATTATTTTTGTTCTTGTACCATGGAGACGTCTCATTCTTTCTCAAATTTATCGTAGTCCTCTTTGCTCATGAGACTGTCGAGTTCATTCAGATTACTGACTTCGATCTTCGCCAGCCAACCCTCAGATTCGGGGCTCTTGTTGATCGTTCCTGGCTTCTCTTCCAACAGCTTGTTATGGTCTGAGATCTTGCCTGACACAGGCGTCATGATATCGGAGGCAGACTTGACGGACTCGACTGCGCCGATTGTGTCGCCCTTCGTCACTTCCATGCCGAGCTCCGGAAGCTCAACGTAGACTACATCTCCCAGGGCCTTAGCCGCATACTCGGTAATGCCTATGGTTCCTGCGCTAGAGTGTCAGGACAACGAACAACAATGCAAAAGGTGCGGGTTGCGCTGCAATTCATACCTGTCTTGCCATCGCTGTCGAGCTCTATCCACTCATGATCTTCTGTGTATTTCTTTACCAAGCCTGTGAGGGAGGCGGGGTGAGTGAGGTTCGACGTCGCAGACGGGGGAACATACAGGCAGGTCTCGCAGAAAATGACCTTGCAGCAGGGTAAGTGCATTGGCCTAGCTGGGCCGTGATTGATGACCGCGATCCAATAATTGCTTTTGTAGCCAATCTTGAGACTGCCGGCATGAGCCGACCTAGTGCAGGAGAACTCATTGTCTGCTCTGACTTGACACGGAATATGGAACGGGAAGACGCGAGCATTTAAAGGGCGCTCATCTGAGCTCCGCCGACGCAATCGATGAAGGTGTTGCGGCGACGGAGACAAACCCGCAGTCAAACCGCGCCGGTTAAAGTGGAGATCCCCCAGGGAATTTCTCGATTCCAAACCAATCTAGCAATCCACCCTCTAACAGTTTTGATCATGATATCACTGCCTCAGTAAAGATGCTATACGAGCTGATAGCTGTTGTAAGTCTAACGGATTCTGTGCTCTCCAAATCCGTCAAAATCCAACTAACGTACGAACAGGTCCGGCCAGGCAATCTCAATCATGTGAAAGAGTACGTTCACCATCGGAGCTTCTTTCTTTGCTTGAACCAAGTCATTAACGTACTTTACTTCGGGTACAGGATCGCCCGCGTCGCTGGACAACAGATCCTGGCTTCTAACGGTGTGATACGCGGCATGAAGAACTGGGGGCAGTTCGACCTTCCCCGACCAACTACGAAACATCAGACTCAGCACCATCAAGGCCACTACTTTGTTATGCAGTTCGACGCTTCAGTCAAGGCACAACAAGACGTCCGACGGTTTTTGAGTCTAGATCCACGGATGATTAGATTCAGCGTCATTAAAATCGGCGACAAATTGGGGGGCATCAACGGTGCCATTGAAGAGGTGGACGGAGAAATACCTTGGAATTCGGGTACCCAAGTTAGAAACCCATTCACAGACCCCAGGACAACAAGGACCGGACCCCTGAGATAAGACAAAGAAGAAAACCGTCATGACAAATGGCTAAGAGCAGGGACGGACAACGGCGAGAGAGGCATGTCCGCATATCATTTCTATCGACACCCAACACCAGAGAAATAGACGCTACAAATGGTGGTATCATCAACATATTTGTTCATCAAAACAGGCTCCACCGCCCTTTCTCCTTGGTCTGTGACGCTTTCGCCTGCTGCGTCTTCGTCCGACCCTCCAACTGCCTCAGACTCTCGATCTTCTCTAATACCAACTCCAGCATCTCCTTCCGCTTGATAACGTCGAGATGTCTTCTGATCTTGGGGTCTTCTCTTGCAAACTGCTCAATTTCGTTCGGCTCCAGATGACGACCAAGCCTCAGATCCAGCTCGCGGGGGAAATTGTAGTAGAATTCCGAGAGAAGTTCAACGTTGAGGAAGAGCACCGCTGTCGAAGTCAACTTGTCAGCGACGACATCTAGGAAGACCTCCGGGCAGTAGTATTTGTTTTTGAGGTTCGCGCATTGCTTGGATTTGACCGCCATCAAGCGCATCTTGAGGATATCGGCACGGTCGCGGAGGAAGACGGCTTCCCGACCTTTGTATCATAGTTAGCTTGACATGTTTATAACCGGTGGAAATCAAGACGTACCCTTTTGAAGAAGAGCTGCTGAAAAGCCACCGGCACCGCCCGTCCCATCGCCTTCTAGGATGACTTCGCCCTTCCTTACTCGGTCGATGAATCCCATCACATCTCTCAGTTTTCTCCTGCCGATATTGTCTTCCAATTGCCTTTGTGCAGCTTCGCAAGCTTTCAGTTCATTCTTCAACACGTGGCCGACATTTTCGCGTCCCTTATTCCATTCATTAGGCTCGACTTCAATTTCAAATTTGAATGGCTTGATACAATTTTCGACCTGATCGCTTGTGCTGTAAAATCGATCATTCAATATGCTTGATGACGCGTCTACAATCGAACGCTGAGCATATGGATGCGAAGCAAAGGTCGAGGCGGCGATTAATTTGTCGACATGATTCTGCAATTCTGCCGCCACCACTGTGGTCGCTAATCTCCCAACACCAAGCTTGGTCAGCTCGGACGTTGAAGCGTCCAGTTTGCGTTGCCAATACAGTGAGCCTGGATCAGCTTTGGGCAATTCAGACAACGGATCTGCTTCAGGCTGGACTGGGGACAGATCCTCTACTGGTTTGTTCCAGTATCTCTTCGCTAGCACGTCCATCACCTTCTGGTCCAGGACATCTTTCAACAAGGCTCTGACTTGAGGCCTGCCGAAGTGTTCGCTGAACTCCTTGAAAGAACGCTTGAAGCTGTCCAAGCTTTCAGCCAGATACGACTCGGCACTGAGCGGCCTGTCGTTATATTGCACTTTAAATTCATATGTTGCTTCTTCCAGCTCCTGCACGATCGCGTCTCTGGTGCCAGCAAGACTTGCGGCCATTGTTTGCTCAAGAACGTGCATGAGCTTGTGCCGTAACGTGGTTGTACCCACGGCGAGTTCTGATTGTGGACCGAATTGTAACGGATGTGATGAGAAATATGCATGCTCATTCTTAATAATTGCATTTGTCACATTGACGCCAGATCTCGAGAAAAGGCCTGCTGACTGTGGTATCCTACATACCACGCCAACATAACCTAACCTGAGAGGATACTTTCGGTCCGACAGAATTTCAGCACCTCGTCGGGGGTCGACCAGGTCCATTTTTGTGATGACGCCGATTGTTCTCTCCCCTCGAGGATCAACTCTTCGGCTTGCCCTCAGGGCAGTTGAATTAGCCAAATCCACATCCGCAGCGGAGATTGCTAGGATGACGTTTGGTGGCTGAATGTATTTGTCGCAGAGATCTGAGATCTTCTGCTTCAGCTCAGAAGGCTGGTCTTTGCCAGATACTTGGATATAGCCAGGTAAATCAATGAGGGATAAGTCCGGAACGTTGGGGGAGTAGATGGATAACTGGATGGGATCATCGGTAACACATTGCTCCGGGGGAACAGCAAGGTTGAGGTCGGTTAGAATCTTTTGGATTTGCGCAAAGTCCGTAATCCTACCCATCCCAAGGGCAGGGAACTCGCCATACTCTGCCTTTGCATCCGGTGTGTTAATCAGGGTGAGTTCGATCGGGCGCCTCGTGACCATGTTAGAGCCCTTTGGCAAGAATTCGTGCCCGACGATTGCCTCGAGAACCGAACTTTTCCCAGATGATTGTGATCCGATAACCACAATGGATGGTAGCGTCAAAGCCCCTCCTTGACCGATGGTGTTGAGGATGCTTCGAATCTCGATCATTTTTCTTGTCAAGACCATCATTTGATCATCCCGTGCCACCTCCACACCCGACCGCCCATCGTCTTCGCTCGATTGTTCCACTCCTATCGCGGCCCCAGAAGCTGCAGCAGCTCCTGCAGCAGATTTGTTTGGTTTAGGCGATTGCGATCCAGCCCCTCCGTCGCCAGACTCCTCTCCTTTATCGAAAAACTGCTGGAGCCAATCCGGTAAGTGTGCCTCCTCTTTGGTGCGTTCCCAACCGAGTCCTATTTGATTGACAATCCCCTTCGCGCCCTCAAACATGGTTGACGAGGTCTCGGTGACAGCTTCTCCAGCCTTTTTAAGGACGTTGAGAGTATAGGTTCCAGCCTGGGCTGCCTGGTATTGGATGTATGCTAGGCCGGCAAGGATGCTCGCTCCAAACATGGCAGGGATGCGGGCCATTTTCAGAGCGAGCTTTGGGAGAATTCTGGCGAAAGAGATGGATCGCACTGCCGGGACATTGTGTATAGAGCTCGACCCGATCGGCCACGCTCGTAGAGGTAGACGTGCATTTGGCCTCAGCAGGCCCCCAGCTCTGGCTAGGGTATAATTATGGTGAAGGAGGCGTGCTGAGACGCCTCGCTGGCGTAGCAAAGGCGCAACCCTCGCAGAGAGGAGTCTACCGCTCATCCCAGGCCAGATCGAACATGAAGGTTGATGGGAGACAGGTCGAGGAAAAAGTTACGGAGATGGTGTCAACTGATGCATAATAGTGTGTCGGGGCGAGAAGACGCGAGAATGCCGAATGACGTTGGGAAAACATGCGCTGTGTTATAGCAGCCACATACATGGTGCCACATTTGTCGCCACAATTTCGTGGCCTCTCGCCCCTTGTTATGGCGGTGAAGTTTCGGGGTCAATCAGCAACTGGCTTGCTTGTGTCACCATGTTCTCTTGAAAACACAGCAGTTTGTGTGCTTCCCTCTTTCTATCTTCTAACCGCACACACCGGGGGCCTGGCGTTGTCGGGTTGGAGTCTTTTGATGCTTAGGACTTGGACATTGCTGATACGTTTTGCCTCCGTGCCCTTCCCCAGCCAGAGATATATAATGCTCCTGGGCGAATATATGACTCAACCGCCAACAGCTCTTCAGAACCGAGCTGATTTCCGAAAGTCGCTTGCTTGAAGATGTGCAGGTTTCTTGTACGCATTTGATCCTTGCCTATACACTCACCCCTACTTTCCTACTCACGGATTCCAGGTCTACAAGGGCTCCGAGCCGATCATACTTTCCAAGTTGATCACTGAACCATCACATAGCATCCTCACGCAATCTTATGACAGCCGTCTTCGCCTGGATAGCCGCCGCCCCGTCAACGGAGACGGTTTTGGGGTTGGTTGGTATACGGAGCCAGTACTAGGACCAGACCCGTGTATCTTCACATCAACTCTGCCGGCATGGAACTGCGTGAACCTCGAACGCCTCGCACCCAAGACAGCCTCGAGGCTGATTTTTGCCCATGTTAGAGCCACCACCGAAGGGTCGTTGGCCGAAAACAATTGCCACCCTTTCCAGCACAACACTTTAATGTGGATGCACAATGGAAACATCGGGGCCTGGAAGTACGTGAAACGCCCGCTCGCCGATAGTCTCTCGGACAAATGGTTCCTTGGTGTGAAAGGTGGTACAGATTCGGAATGGGCATTTGCATTGTTTCTCGACACATTGGAGCGTGAAGGGGTAGATCCCAGCTCTGAGCCAGAAGGCGGTTTCGATACCAAGATTCTGCGGCGAGCCATGAAGAAGACCATCGCCCAGATCAATGCCTTCGTGAAGGCAGTCCCTCCAGAATACAAGGTCCCGGACGTGGAGACCAGAAGTCTTCTCAATTTCGCTGTTACAGATGGCCACTCTGTTATTGTCACCCGTTATGTCAGCAGCAAAACCGACGCAGCCGCCAGTTTATATTACTCTTCTGGCACTGCGTGGGTCGAGGGAAAGATGAAAGGACAGTTCAAGATGGAAAGGAGAGATAAGGCCTCCGACGTGGTCCTAGTCGCTAGCGAGCCGCTCACATTCGAGCGGCATAACTGGCTGTCCGTCCCGACGAATACGATCGTTACAATCTGCAAGCAGACGGTGTACGTGCGGCCGATCAAGGATGAATATTATGATCCGGATCCCTCAACGGAACGCTCGACAGGTTTTGCCAGGTCCAAAGGTTTGGTGTCGAAAGCTCCTGGTGGGGGCACTGCGACACCTACTCCGATGGCTGGTACTCCAGTCCCTCGCGCCGAGGTCGAGAATAATACCGGGGAATATATTGTCAAAGAAGATCTAGATGTGTTCCGGGAGAAGATTGCGACATTGCAGCTTCAGAAATGCCGGGAGACTAACGGACTGACAGAGCGGCTACCAGTTCAAGAATCATAATTTGCAGCCTCGATGATGTTGACGAGGATGCATATGACCCGAAGGGAAGTGCCCCTCTTGCTGGCGACATGAGGATCTGCCGTGTAGGTGCAGACATTTATTATTGAGATGGAAAAGTTTTAGGGGCTTTGGGGTTAAAATGATGTCAAGGCGCAGAGTGATCATAAGGGAAATTCTCGGTCAGAGCGAGGTCCTTTGGGAGTTGATACCATTACAAATTTGTTCAACTAGGGTCACCAGGGGTGTTTCTGATACTGAATGTCAAATTTCTCAATTCCTGAAAGTTGTAGGGCGTCATCCGTCGTCGCCTCTGAAATCTGCATGTCTGAAATATTTCATGCCGACCCAGGCTACTACGACCCAAACCCAAGCCATAATGCACGTCAAGACCATCAGCGCCGGATAATACCCAACAATAGGTAAAGTAGGATCGTCTTCCAATTCCGGCGGCGCGTATGGTGTTTCTCCTACATCCCAAGCCCACGACCACACCCCAAAGCAGGATCCCATCCCCACGACGAAGACAATCCACGTCACAAATAAGATCACATAGCCCCAGGAAGCCGTTTCGGAGTAGTCCCAGAAGTCCTCCTCGGGTGGCGTACCAGTGACAGACTGCGGTTGTGTGGCAAGAGGCGAGCGGGTGCGTGAGCCAAACATCCGACGCATGGGATCTTGGATTGGGAAATAAGAGTCTGTCCCGAACGAAGATGTCGATGGGGGTTGGCGGAGAGCAGGCATCCCGGGCAAAACGAGGTCTTCTTCGTCTGTTGAGGCGTCGGTAGTAGCCAAGTTTGGACTGATGATCGAGGCCGCAGACGAGGCCGGATCGACAGAGGCAATGCTGCTGCGGATTGAGGGAATCGAGACCCGTGATAATGTGCGAAATGGCCAGGATGGGGGAGAGTCTGGCGAGACCGGGCTTGATCTGGACAGATCCTGTTTCGCACGAGGGGTTGGCGGTGTTTCGTGCTCCTCGTCTGTGGGCTGCACCGAGGGTGAGGTTGCACCAGAGAGAGGTGACTTCTTGACATCAGAGGTCTTTCTGTCCCTTCCTTTTCCCAGAACTGTTTTTCTCAGTGACCCTTTCCTCTTTCTCTTGCCCTGGGCTTGTGCTTCCGCCAGAGCACCTCGCCCTCGATGAGGAGAGTCCGGTCCATCTCGATCGCCACCGTCCGTCTTGTCCTGGTCGCTGTTTGTGCGGAGGAAGCTCAGGCGCGACAGAAGGTTTCCGGAAACGGATCTCTTGTGACCTGGGGCGCCATCATTGCGCTTCTTCAGTTTATTGCTCTCCCGAAACTCTCGCTCCTGCGCACTGTAATTGACCTCGTCCTCGATCCTTGGGAATGGGGTAGGTATATCCTTATCGGTGGTGTCCGTGCTGCCATTGGCGAATCCGTTCATGGCAGGTTGACAGGCTTCCGCAGGACATGCTGTACACCACGGTTGTGATTTACCCAATCCACAGTCTAACTGTCGTCTGCCTACAGTCCACAAAAGACTCTCACTTAGTCAGTCCGGTAGAAGATCAGGTCGAAAGCATCGAATTTCATTTCGCAACTGTGGAGGTGATTATAAACTACGTTGTGCGGCTCATCCTCGATCAGGACGACGGTGATACCACCCTAGATGTGCACCACCTCAGCTGTGCACCACCCTAGATGTGCGCCATCGACCGGCGAGGACAGAAAACTAGCTCGCTAGTATGCGCGAGCTCCCCTAATACCTCGGCATAGATTTCAACCTCATTTCCGTTGGCATACCGACCAGATAAAATGACTGTCCGATACCCTGCGTCGCATGTTATATCTTCGCGTTAAATTTGCTCCTCATCGACTTGACGTGTTCAGCTCGACGCAATCATGTGTGTAAACCTTGAAGACCTGGAGTCCTAATACAGTTTTTACACGAACTCTACGCTCCTCCGATTTAATCAGAGTCACGGTTTCTCTCTCCGCTATTCCTGCGAAGCCCAATGATCCCATCACCCAGGCTGTTACACTTATCTGACTTGAAAGTGGAGTGATATAATACATGGCGATTGCTTGGCCGTCTTATTGGATGAATGCGCTGGAGTGCTCTTGGGCTTCAATGAAGAGTCTGGCGACACTGGACCAGCACGCGTCTATACGGCTTATTTAAATATATCCTACAAAAGACCTGTTCGAACGCCCCCAGCTATTGTTGCAAATTCCAACCGCCGCATCAAGACGGGACAGAAGACTGTTGTTACCGTGGAAATTCTGGAATCAGAAGGCGCCGTCCCTTGCAACGCAGAAATAATGTGCCGCTCAGGGGGCAGGAAGATTGCGCACGAATACCGAACAATGATGAATACGTCCTCGTCCAGGCAGACTGTGAGAGATAACGGAGTGCAACATCTCATTTTCCACTGCAATCACGTCGAGATGTGTCAATTTGTCGTCGCTCAGGATATGGACGCAAGAGCCTAAGCGAAATACGATTGGGAGAAGGGAGACTGCGTACGCAGCACCGCGTTCCTCTTTAGATTCTATCGTATTGCCATCCACGCCGGCCTCTGAGATCTCGGCTAGCTCGTCACCTGTTCAAAAGATTAACCTCCACCATGTCGTCGCTGTAAGTGCTCCGTTCTTTCACGCGAACTAATTTCCCCCCTGCAATGTCGCTCTGAAGCGTCCTGTTTGCGTTCAGTTCTCGGTCTTTCACTTTAGCTTTGTATGTTTTATATGACCCTTCTCCAATAGTGGCTAAGAGATATCGGGGATTGACTCCCACGACCTGTGCGCCTTTTTGGCCAAATCCAAAGGACGTGACGCTGAATGCTTTGATGGCGGAACTACTTCGGTAGGTTTGTGACGGGAAGAACAAGAGATCGCGATCCCGTAGCTGGCAGTCGATGTTGTCCGCGTTGCGATTGCCGGGGATGAACCCCGTTCTGAGACTCTGCAGACAGCCGTTCAATGCAAATGCCCCTAAGTGTCCAGAGTCAGCCAAATGATGGTGAAGAACGAAGAACCGTACGAGAAATTGATGGATCAAGCCAAGGAAAAACTGACCAGCGGCCCCCTTCCCATGCCCCAGCAAGCTCTTCTGTGAGACGCATGGGAGGAGATTGCCCTTCTTGCGCCCCAGCCACTGTAGCTGAGTTTGGAGCACGGCTGTCTCGTTGACATCGTTCTTGGGCGTGCTCGTTCCGTGTAAACTGGCGATACTCAGATCGTCGACGGTGAGCCCCCACACCGCAAGCGCACCCCGCAACGGTGATATGGAAGGCTCATCTCTCCAGAACCCGTTCCCGTATCTGTAACGTGCGTCTCGGATGGAACGCTGAGCATCGGCGTCGACCTGTCTTCGGTACGCGGTGACAGATTCGACTACCTCCGCGTTCTCAGATGCGGCCGTTTCGCCGGGTCGTACGCATTGCTCGGCTAACCATTCGTCTAGCCAGCCATCCTCAGTTGCACAGTATTCTTCGATCTGGCGTAAGGAGTGTTCCAATTGTCGTCGGCGGTAAGGCAAGCTAAGGAGTGGTGATACAGGACCACCTCTCTTCTCAGTGGCAGCGGTCAAAATTCCTTTGCCCGGTGCCGGCACAGACCGACCCACCTTATCGGACGCCGTGTGTGCCATCGCGACGATAGCCTTGATAGGCAATCCCATGTCCAGCGCGAGCTGTGCAGTAGTGAGCAGCTGGACTCCACACCCCTCGCCCTCGACAAAGCCGGCACGGGTGGTCGTCGTGGGCCGCGACGCATCCTTGGGACTGCGTCCGGCGCTAGCATCCACGTTGGCGTCGACCGTCGCGTGCATGTTTGCGAATTCATGGGCAATATCCCGTTCGAGGTTGTCCACACCACCAACGAGGACCGCCTTTGCTCGCCCGTTGATGATGAGATCAAAGCCTGTGTCGACCGATTCCAACGCCGTTGCACAGGCCCCGACCGGCGTGCGGATAGGTCCTGAGGCCCCGCAAAGCAACATGTTTATCCATGCCGCCGTTGTGTTCAAGAACGTTTCGGCCAAGACATCTTTCTGGACCTGCCGGCCCAAAAAGCGCTGCTTGAACATGGCATGCGACGAACGCTGGCCTCCTAAGCCAGAACCTATGGCATTGCCGAGCTCGCCTACATGGATGTGGTCGAACAGCTCGAACGCATCCGTGATGCCGGACGACAAAAAGGCCTCCGCTGTTGCCACCAATGCATAAAGCGTGGTCGGGTCAACTTGCGCAATGACGTCCTCGGGGATCCCGTAAGTGCGAGCATCCCAGCCCAGGGGCATCTGTGCTCCCACTGCGCGCCCTAGCTTGGCCGCTCGAGGGATGAAGATCGTTGTTCCCGCGCGCAAGGTGACCATTACCTGACCCTCGGCAACTTCAGTCCCGATGAGAACGTTCTCTGTTCCATGCTCGCGCTGCAAGTCTCTTGCAGTGTCGAGCGACACTTCGAAGGGTTCCAAGTCTTCTTTAATGGCCACCTCACAGAGCACCTGCTGTCTATCGGGAGTTGTCAGGTCATGTTGCCGCTGTTCGACGAGGCGAATTCCCGTATGCTGGATGATGTGATCTTCGTACTTGGCTTTGATGTCGGCATCGGCAATCGGCTCCTTGGTTGCGACGTCAATCCAGCCGCTATAGTCTTTGCCCTGTAGCGGGCCATTGTGGTACTTGACGAGGCCCATTATCCACGCAAGCTCGAGGCAACCGTGTATGGAAAAAGTGCCGGAGCACTCGGCCTCCCACCTCGTCCTTGCACTGCCACAAGGGCCTGGTTTCTGCGTTAGCTATCTCACGGAGTATTTAAAAGTGATCCAGCAGGAGAACCTACCAGCTTCGCCGAACCCGACCACCACCACTACTCTATTCAGATCTACCATGCCATCAAGCTGCTCAGCTGTCGATTTTATTTCTTCCCAGTCTGGCAAGTCCATGCTCTGCATCCGAATACTTGCTTTCCTGGGCACCTTTGTAAGCGGAGTTAACGAGCTTGCTGGCTCTGTTTCTTGCAGTTCCCTGTACAAAGCCCTTTTGATGGCCGCTTGGGATTGAATTTCATTTTGAATCTGCTTCAGGACGGGCTGAAGAGTCATGTGGGCCGACAGACCACCGCTCAAGTCGGCCTTGATGGGCTCGGTGTCGCAGAAAGAGGCCATGCTGACATCCATCAAAGCGAGCAGATTCCACGCCATCTCGGTGGATGAGAAGGTGCGGATACCTACATCCTTCTCCAAACCAGCGGCGAGCACGTCGTTGTTGTGCATCAGACCCGTGCCGCGGGTCCAACCAATGACCGCGCCACAGAGGGTCAAATAATCTCGCCAGTCCTCAGACCACCACTTGTTCAGGAGCGCCTCTAACGCCAACTTGGACTCAGCATAGAGCCCATCTTGACCGAAGCTGCCATGGTTGGGCGACAGGGGCAGTATCACCTGCGTTGGATGCGTCCGAATGCGCCGCCGAGCCTTTTCTGCTTTGATACAGCCCAAAAGCCGTAGGAGATTGGTGAGCATGACGCGTTGGGCTAGTTCCGATTTGTCGTCAAGGTCATCTACCGCATGGCCCACCACGCTGATGGCCGCAAAGGGAAGGATGTGGTCGGGATCCCAGCCAATCTCTTCATATATGTATCTCACCAGACCATGCACGTCCTGAGAACTGCCTCCATTCCACGGCACAACCACTAACTGCGATCCTCGGGCGCCGTGAAACTGATACAATTCCTTGTAATAAGCGACGGTATCTTGAGAATAAGAGCTCGTTGTCACAAGGACGGCAGCACCTGCAGCGAGGCACAGGCGCACCATCTCCAATCCAATTGAATTCTTTCCTGCACCAGTCACGAGAACCGTCTTCCCGTGAAAGGAGAGTCCTTCCGTAGCAGCTTGGCGGAAACAGTGCGTGTAGGCGACGGTGATTTTTTCGTTGCGGTGCCATCCATTTTGGGCTTTCGTCTGCATTTCCGGGGTCCAGGCGCAGCTGGCAGGGGGTAGCCGTGGAGATACAGCTTCGGCGGACTGTGGTGTCGATGGCGCAGATTCGGCAGCGGAGTTTTCAACCGTCTGGAGCAGGCTGAAAACAGCATCTGCGTCCGATGAGGCGGAGAAGCTATACTAAGAGGCCGAGCTGTTCTCGAAATTGGCGTCCAGTAAGGCTGTAGAAGCCAGAGTTACCTGCTTCGGAATTTGACGTGGTATGGTGGACACTGATATTCGTCCTTCCTCGCTGATGTTGAGAATCGGGATTGTGGAGATTCCGGAATACTTGAGTCTAGGTCTCGCCTGACAACTGGCTTCTTTACAGGCCTTTTGAAGACCATGCAGCCATAATTCTATGGCCTTTCTTGTTAGAATAGGAGTAATGTCCTCGACTGTGTCAAGAAGGCGTTGGATTGTATCCAGCAGCTGTCTTGTAACACGTCTCGACAGATGGCCGTAGCTGTCTTCCGCCTGAGCTCCAATCTTCTTAATGTCTCCCGAGGACGCGGTGGAGTATATCGCATAGAGGTCTTGGATGACCCAATTCCAGTATGAGTCGTATTTGCGTATCTTCTTGCTGTCAAACTTGGGCATGATGCCTCGTTCGTAGGCCTCGCCATGCTCGGCGGACCATGCATCAACCCTGCCTTGGAGATCGTCCAACTGCATCTTCATGCCTGTTTCCTTTGCGCTGACACAATGGATATCCTGCTCCGTGCGCTTCGCAAATACTTTGAGCAAGTCCAAGTCTCTTTTGTGCTGTTCAGCTCTCAGGGAGTTCAGAGCCGCCGACGGGACGATGTCTGAAGCCCTTGAATGTTGATCCTTACATTCGGACATGAAGGCGGAGGGTTGAACGCCAATATCCAGTAGAGCCTGCTGAGCGACATCGTTGAGGTAACTCTGACCTTCTTTTTCATTCGACAACCTTGTCTGCGGCGGGCGGAATGCGGCCAGCAGCAACGTGCGATCCTGCAAGCCCTGGGCGAAGTGCCATATGCTTGAGAGATATCGACGAGAAACGGCCACGCCAAAGCCGGCAGGCATCTTCGTCGACATCACTTTTCCTACGACCTTGCTCGTACATGGACCCAGCTTGCTTCCGGTACGCGAGCTTGAGATCAGGTCGCCGAGTTCGGCCAGCGGCACTTCCTCAGGCTGATCGGGCAGCCAACCGAATTCTTCAATAAGGTCTCCTATGATTTCATTCTGTACCGTGGAGCGACCTGACATTGGTTTTGGCCTGCTGTTAACCCAGGTCCACGAGATGCGCCAACTCACAAGAGAGTGATGTAACTTACCGCCACTGAGAGCTTTGATGGTTTGGTCCTGAACAACCTCACTGGGAGTTTTCTTCAGCGCTAGGGCCACCACGGCGGTGAGAAGTTCAATAGCTGTGACGGGCTGATCTGGGATAGAAATCTGGGGAGTTTGTATGGCCATTTCTGGAGCCTCTTCTTGCACGGATTTCGCGAGACGTGGGGCTTCAGCTTTGGTCGGCATTTCGCTCACAGCAGGCTGTGCAGGTTCCGGTGAACTTTCTGCGCCTTCCTCGACCTGATAACGATAGTATATTGCATCCCTATCCCTCTTATAACTCAGCAGCTGCCTTTCTAAGCCCAAGGCGACATCGCTGATGTCGTAGCCGCTTGATTTGATGGTTTTCGCGGCCATATTGGTGAGTGTTTCCGCTGGACCAATTTCGATGAGCCTTTCAGTGGAAAAGTCACGTAGTATGGTATCTTGCGTCTTGATCCTGGTGGGCTGTCAGTTGATGTCCATGCACAACAAGTGACGACGTGCCATTGCACTGGAAAGCAAAACTGGTGCCTATGACGTTCTCTCAGTATTGTGCTGGCCAAACCTGACGCCTTCAAACCTACGCAAGAAGCTCAATCATGAGCACACGCGTGAGCTGCTGCTCAGTCGGCGTGTATTGAATCTCGTCTCCCATTGTGGATGGCAGGGACAGAACTCAGCTGTCATGAACAAAGGTGTAAAGGGGGCGCCACTTCATCAGTACTACACAACGTCGAGGTTGTGTTATGGCAGATTTCGAGCAATTACCCAGCAATAGAAGGAAAAAGCCTGAGAGTCTACATGAGCTTTGGGTTAATACGGCAGCATCGCTGGCTGTAGACAAATGCAAACCATATGGATAGCAAGCGCATGAATATGGTAGATCGTTCCCTCCCTCAGCTCTGCAATCTTTCTCTTCAATGCATCCAAAACAGTTCCTGGGGAAATGCCGCAGCACTTAGGCATCGGGATGGAGACCATCGCCACAGAGGGTCCTTGGATATGACTGTGATGATCATGCCATACCACAGCAGCACTGAAGAAGATCTGAGTTGGTCTTGACACTGCAGGTTCTCTCTTTCTCGGTGAAGCTTGAACGCCGGGATATAAACCCTGACTATACATGAGAATACCCGGGCCAGAGGCTCAAGAGTGGCATCATGAATACTGCAGCTGCTGGCAGATAGAGTGAGAAGGCCAGTGAAGTGAGCAAATGTCTGAGCGAGCAAATGTCTGAGAAAACCTTAATCGAGCCTTTGACCTTGCACCGACCGGTAGTGAGGTGAATTTCAGAATTAGCGATTGCATGGTTGACAGTGCATCCAAATCTGAAGATTACGCTATCGTGCTGTGACGGTACACATCGAATCCCATCCGACTAACATGCAATTCGTGTCAAAGGTCCCCCGAAATGGAGATATGATCTCTGACAGTGCATAGGTAGGCTGCTTGGGCACGATGTCGAAGGCGAACCTTACTATCTTCATGATAGTGGCTGAGGTGGGGTGGAATACTACCGCGCATGCTTTCAGCATCGGGAGAACACGGTTATAGGCGGAGTATAGACTAGGGAGATCTAACCCACCCCTGGTCAGCCTCCCAAAACGTGAAATCTAATACCTTAACCTCGTGCCTAATCGGGAGAGCGGACTAACCACTATGCAGCAACCTAGCTAATACCGATACAAACTCCGCACAGCTGAGATGCAGATAATCGGGGTGAGCTTTGAAACCTTTCTGCATCCTTATGTGAGATAATTTTCTTATTACCTTGGAAATTCACAAAGAATCACCCTTTGGCTACCTCTATGGTAAGTTGTGAGGGCAGAGCTTGGGTTCGTCACACATATGTTGCAGGCTCAGGGCAAAGGGTGTGAGCTTGTGAATCAAATCTCGCTCCACGTGCCTCTAGCACATGGAAAACTACAGATTTAGGTGTCTCCGTCTTGCTCAGAAGCCGACTCGAAGCAGATTTCCGCTTTCAATATTCCGCTGTACGATTATCCGTCACGAGCCTCAGAAATACTATGTCTACTTCGCGAAGTTCTCAATTGAGACGCATTGAAATGCTTGCTCAAAGTCTTCAATCAAGTCTTCGATATCTTCAATCCCCAACGACAAGCGGCACAGACTTTCGCTTACTCCCATGACCGCGTTGTCTTCAGTAGTAAATTCCCGGTGGGTAGTGGAACGATGGTGGCCGATGAGCGTTTTGGCATCTCCCACGTTAGTCGTATTCGTAATCAGCTTCAAGCAGTCGATGAACTTGATGGCCTCCGCAGCGCCACCCTTCAACTCAAAGTTGACTATTGTACCAAATCCTCGCTGGAAATATTTGAGCGCACGTTGGTGAGACGGGTGGTCATCGAATCCTAGATACTGGACGCTAGCCACGCGAGGATGAGCGCGTAGCCAACGTGCAATGGCGTAGGCGTTTTCAGATTGGCGTTGACACCGTACCGACAGTGTCTCCACGCCAATAAGCAGTTGTTGAGCAGCAAGGGGTGTGAGACATGGCCCATAGTCGCGCATATAGTCCTTTTTCAAGAACTGCATATACGCCTTGTCTCCAACACTCTTGTACCAGTTTGCTTGTTCAGCGTCCAGACCAGGAAACTGTCCATGAAGACGTGGGAATCGAGCTTTGTTAGCCTGCCAGTCGGAGCACGCTGTACCAATCACAATGCCACCAAGTGTTGTGCCATGGCCTCCAATCCATTTGGTGGCAGAGTGGATGATGATATCCGCACCCCATTCTGCAGGTTGGCAGAAGTATCCGCCTGCCGTAAGTGTCGCATCAACAACCAAAGGGATCTGATAATCATGCGCAATAGCAGCAAGCGGCTCGAAGTCGGGAACCGCAAGACTGGGATTCCCCAGCGACTCTGTGAATATGAACTTGGTGTTGTCATCAATCAGTCGACGGATGCGCTCAATATCTTCCGTGACATTGCAGACGCGGGCTTCGATGCCCAGCTGAGACAGCACTTTGTGGAACTGATGGTGAGTTCCGCTGTGGATAGCACCTGATATGATCACGTTGTCACCGACGGCGGCCAGTGACATGACAACACCGAGCACTGCAGCACCGCCGGAAGAAAACGCTAATCCCTCTACACCGCCCTCCAAGGCTGTCATTCTTTTCTCGAATCCATTATTAGTAGGCTAGGATATTTGGGTTAGCATAAATTGATCCCGCATTTTCGAGAACAACTCACATTCGCCAACCGACTGTAGATGAATGTCTCCCGTTTGGCTATGTCTCCGAAGCCAAATATGGCACTGTCATCTGAAGTGAATTTGAACGAGACTGTGTTGTAGATGGGAAGAGTGCACTGTCCATAGGCTGGCTTTTCTTCCAACCCGCTGTGCACTTGACGGGTATCGAAACGCCATCCAGGCGCTTCCTTGGGCTTGGAGGCACCTTTGCTTATATGTCCTAGCAAATGGCTTTGGTATTGAACAGGTTGTTCATCGTCAACATTGAGAAGAGGTGCCATCCTGGACTACGAAAACTTTTCACTGTGAGTTGTCAGTTTCTCCCCAAGTAACAATCTGGGATACAAGTTACTGGTGACGCTGGTGTTATAAATTGAGAGTGTAACAGAGAGTTCACAGAGAATTCACAGCCTTGCCATTGCCCGTCACTGCTTGCTGACTTTGCAGGAAGAACATGCAGAGTCACAAGTTGACCCTGGCAACCACTCTGAGGGTGGCGAGGATCCACCCCACACCATGGCCCAAGCTTGTGAATGCTCTCCTGTGGCAAGATCTTGAAAGGGCACCTTCTAGTTCAGGTTGAGGAGCATTGAATAAAGGATGTCGACTGTTCGTAGAAGCAGAGTTTGACTTGGCGAGTCAAGAAGGAGATTATTGCAGCAGCCACATTGCATCGCAACTCTATCCGTCGATGACCCTACGAGATAGTCTGAACGATGTCTCATATCAAAGCTCCTCACCACTCAGAGCCACAGGGACTTCCACAACAATTATATATCCGGATTCAAGACTTTACCTTGGAGAGCGGGTCCACGATTCACGAGGCTGTGGTTGCCACTAGTTTCCGTGGCCTGCTCAACGCAAGACGAGATAATGCCGTCGTTATTTGTCACCCCCTTTCCGGCAGTGCGGCTATGGAAGACTGGTGGTCGCCCATAACAAACCGGTCAGATGCTGCGCTCGACCCGAGCAAATACTGTCTCATCTGCTGCAATTCACTCGGAAGCCCGTATGGCTCCGCAAGTCCGCTGACTTATCCCGTGGGCCGTGGGAAAGGTCGTCGCCCATATGGGTCCGCATTTCCGAAAACTACCATTCAAGATGACGTCCGGTAAATACTCGCCGCTATGCACCGCGTTTGTGTATGAGCTAACGCCGTACTTGTGGATGCAGAATTCACAAGACTGTGCTTGATATCCTGGGAGTCCGCTCAATTCACTGCGTGATCGGTGTGGGCATGGGAGCCATATTGGCACTGGAATGGGCCTTGCTCGGTCAGGAGCATGTGCGAGCCATGGTCTTGATATCAGCAGACGCAAAACACACTCCGTCGATGGACAAGCGATCCTGCGGCGCAGAGAGACATGATACCCCTCTGCGCTCCAGACAGAAGTATCCCTGTCACCGGGTCGATCTCGACCCTTCATTTGACCATGATTGCTTTCACCACATGATTGACAAGATCGAGTCTCACGTTGTGATCAGATCCTGCTCCGCGAGCACAAGTGAAGATGAGCAGGCTCCGAAAGAAGTTCTCGGGCAAATACGGCAACCGGCCTTGGTAGTGAAGGTCCCGAGACCTCGTATCTGTCCGCTGGAGGATAAAGCGCACCTATTCAAGAACATTCCTAACGTCATCTCTGCGACAATAGAACATGATGAGGGTTATGGAGAATCGCCTATTATGGCAGAGCAGCTGGACAGTATGCTTCATACGTTTTTGGACGCCATACCTAGGTGATTATAGGCCTGATTGGAGTATCTCCCCCATAGGAAGAGCGAAAGTGTAATCAAGCACAGACAATCAAAGGCAGCAGTCCACTCGATCTAAACACTGGAATAGGCTTGTATACTCTGAGCTGTTCTCATAATGTACCCACAATCTCCGACGTTTATCAGGCACATAAGATCAGCAACTCACGATGCACTATCTGAGCAAGATCTCTTACGGGTATTCGGACACCGAGAGGATTTTGGAACACAATGCCTATGTGAATCAAACACTGTAACAAGTCTTACCAAGATGATTCTGAGCTTGGACTACGTTGTGAAATTTTGTTCTTTGGGGGTTCAGTATGTTTCATGTTTCAGTTGGGAGCTGTGAACTTCGTCAAATAACAATCCTACAATATCCCTGTAGAAGCCTCAACCACTATGGCACCAGGTTAATTGTTTCAAGCTGTCGCTGGACACTGGTGATAAACCCCTTACCTCAGTGGAACTGCGTCAAAGGCTTGCTGAAAATCAGCGATGAGGTCTTGCACGTTCTCGATGCCCAAAGATAGCCGAAACAAGTCTTGGTACACTCCCATATCCTCATTCTCCTCTTCAGAACAGGTCTTGTGTGTAGTTGACCAGTGGTGGCCAACGGTGGTCTTTGCATCGCCGACGTTAGGCGTGTTCAAGATCAGTCGAAGGGCATCAATGACTTGCCAAGCCAGATCGAGACTGCCCTTGAGACCAAAGGTGAGCACTGTACCGAATCCGTTTCGCAGGTACTTCTTGGCCATTTGATGGTATTCATGGTCTTCAAAACCAAGGTATCGAACCCACGCTACTCGCGAGTGGTTTCGCAACCAGGCTGCTATCGTTTCAGCATTCTCACATTGGCGCTCGCAGCGGAGGGAGAGTGTTTCGACGCCAATGAAGAGCTGCTGAGCCGCCTGTGCTCCCAAACAAGCTCCCGTGTCCCGCATATAGTCCCATCGCAGGAAGGTCATGTAGGCTCCTCCTTTGAACTGCTCAAAAAGACTGGGTTCGCTGCCGTTACGGCCTCTTCTCGCATGGAGATGTGGGAATCGAGCCGCATTCGATTGCCACGTCGGACGACCCGTATCGATGACAACACCTCCTAGAGTTGTCCCGTGGCCCCCTATCCATTTTGTGGCCGAATGAATCACAATGTCTGCCCCGAAAGATGCGGGTTGACAGAAATAGCCAGCGGCGGTGAAAGTGGCGTCCACAATGAGAGGTATCTGAACCCGTCGGGCGATGGCCGAGAGCTTCTCCAGGTCGGCCACTGCACATTTTGGATTGCCAATGGTCTCTGTAAAGATGAACTTGGTCCTTTCATCGACCAGCGATTCGACCTTGGCGATGTCGTTTGTGTCAACAATACGGCCCTCGAGCCCCAATGCAGGCAGGATGACCTTGAACTGATGAAAAGTGCCGCCGTGCACCGAGCAAGACACGACAGCATTGTCGCCGGTGACGAAGAGGGACTGTGCGACTGTCAAGACAGCGGCAGCTCCACTGGAAAAAGACAGGGCTTCGGAACCAAGCTCAAGGGCAGCCATCCGCCTCTCGAATCCTGTGGTGGTGGGCTGTGGCAGCCGTCAACATCAGCCATCGATTCAGACAGGATTGCCAAAGAGAACGTACATTTGACAGCCGACTGTACATGTAGAACTGACTTTTTGGGCCATCTTCAAAGCTGTAGGCAGATGAAATACTTTTGGAGCTCTTGAATCGGAAAGAAGCTGAACTGTAGACTGGCAGTGTGCACTGTCCGTGGGCAGTCTCGTCTTCAAGACCAGAGTGGACTTGAACGGTATCAAAGTGCCAATCGCCAGCGGCACGCGCCGGAGTCTTAACAGGGACAACATGGCCGTCAGCGGCGCCGTTGAACTCGTCGTGGACAGCTGAAGGACTCATGCTAACGTGGTGTTAGGGGAACTAAACACTATCTGATCCGCAAAATGATTATGTGCGCTTACGGACTATGCAGTCAAAACCTATATATTCTGAGATAGAATCCTCAATATTTGCTTCTCCTCCTTCGTAGAATGATGTCGTCAAGGAGGTTATGCTGTGCAACTTCCTGCGGTAGTTCTTAGGGTAGTCTACAGGACCAGATGACCCTGCAGTAGCGCCGGCATTTCTCTCCTGAGTTGCAGTGTCAACAACCAGCAACATGAATCACAAACTTGACTGTGCAGACAATCTTGTCCCCTGAATTGGTTGAGATCGACATTGACGCAGGTCTTGCTTGGAACGTGCTGAAATTTGAGACTGTCTATTATGGCAATGCGATGCACCCACCGTCAGTTCTTAAGTCGATCTCCCCTTGTGAATAAGACGATCCATAGCTTCACCATAACTTCATCCTTTCTTTTGGTACGCTCTTCAGTGCGAGATCGTGACAGACAGACATGGTTCCTCACGCAATATCAGGGCCGGAAAGCACAGGAAGCGTCCGGGACCTCCAGAGCGAAGCTCAATACTATGTGCGCAAGATGACTATCAACATCACAAACGCCAGTTCCCTGGGCCCTTTAGACACACCGGAGAAAGCCGATGAGCTCGTTGCTCTCTGGGATGATTTCTACGAAGTCATCGCCTTTACAACGCTGGACAGCGAACTCGAGCGCGAGATCCTGGAAGATCCAGCGATTATCAAAATCATGCCAGATATCAGACGGATCCTGGGAGAGAGTGAGGTAGCTCTAGAAAAGACCTGGGCCGATCGGGTTGTGGCTGTAAAAGATCCCTCAGAAGGTGAGCTATCGAGTCCCTCGTCCCTGTTGAGAAACCCCAGACGGCCCACTGACCAACTGACTTTCAGCACGGAAGATTTTTGTCTCAACGCCATTACACGAATTCTATGAGCACGTGGTCAAGGCGGAGTGGTCCGCGATGCTCTCAATCTTAGGCCGGACCCCTACCTCTGTGGCCATTTTGGGATCCGGCGCCATGCCTGAGACAGGGATCTGGATCACCGACTGGGCGCAGAAGAATGGTCAACAAGTCCACATCTATAGTCTTGAACTATTCCCTGACCGGCTAGAGCAAGGCAGAAAGGTTTATGATGCTCTTACTGGATCAAAGCATTGCACCTTTGAAGCAGGCGACGTTCGAACGACTCCTCAGGACCTCAGCGCCCACGATATCGTTTATTTCAACGCCGCCGTTGGCACCACGACCCTGGAGAAGGAGACGATCATTCTCGACGTCGTCAAGCGTATGCGCGTAGGTGCTTACATGATCACCCGAAGCACCCACTCTCTCAAGACCATGGCATACCCGGTATGTCTGCCTCTTCTCTTCTCTTTATGTTTGCGATTTGCTCCACAAAGTCCAATTTTTCTTTTAACACATTGCCACAGCCCGCCCAGATCCAGACACCGCGCGTCTTCAAGAAGCTAAGGCCGGTCCAAACCTGCCATCTCAACGGCGAGCGTGGCAAGAACGCCAGTGCGAGTTTCATCATCTCAAGAGTCGTTTAGGTGATGCTTTAGAAAGCCGTCACTCGACATAAGGGTTACCGACAAGTCTCCATATACCGCGCAGCCCATATTGTTAGTAGTTATTTCTGTCACATAGAGTGAAGAAATGCGTATCATTTCGGTTGTGAAGTCTCCTGTGTTCCTTGGTACCGTGGTGAAATGTGGTTCACATAAACTCATCACATCATCACGAATAGCTGACTATGCCTTGCTCATCTGAACCATTCAAACACTGTTGATGAATGCACAGAGGAATATCCAACTTGTGTGAATATACCTCGCACGGTCAACAAATTAAGTCGATTTTAACCTAAGACTCGCATTATGCGTGTACGTAGCCCAATGCCATGGTAGGCCCGTTCGATGACGGTGGAATACAAGATCAACCCTGCCTTGCAATGTCCTGCACGGTGGTGAAGGGGTCTTCCTATGTTTCGCATCTGTAAATGTGCCAATTAACACCAGTACTATATATACTCCTATAAGTAATAAACACTTCGCTATGGCTAACTATACCTCTCGCGCTTTGGATCGAACTTGTCATAGATGAAACGAAGGAAACGCAGGAAGGCCCACCACAGTGATGTATATTAGCTGCAATAGTGAATAGATCTGCTTAGCAATCTACTTAGTACGTATGTGAGTTTTCCTGCTGGGTCGTCTCTGAACGAGGGGAGAAAGAGAAAAAGAAGGGAAGATAGGCAGACGGTTGAGTAGCCGAATCATGCCAAGCCACACGTTTCTCGGCGGTTCATCGGTCTGGGCATGTTCCTTGGGTGAACCAGAAATTCCATAATCCTGTCGAACGGTCTAATCCATCTTCCCCGCCTGGCGATACCCCTTGTACTTCTTGGTATGCCAGTCAATGCTCTTCCAGCGCTTGCCGTTCTCGTCGACGAACCCTGCGTCCAGTTCAGGGCGGATGAAATACGCACACGAGAACCGATTTTCAATGACTGTCCCTGGGTATGGGATAACTCGATGGAGAGCAGAACTGAACGTCTTGCCCGAGAGAAATCGAAGAGAGTCCCCGATGTTTATAACGGCGCAGCCCGGCTTGGCTTCAAGGTACTGCCATCGACCTGTGGTTGGGCGAAACGCTTGCAGGCCACGGTCGCCACAAAACAGAATGGTCAGGCTACCAACGTCTGTATGGGCGGCAAGACCGGCGTTCGAACTCTCCGAAGACAGGTACGGATAGCGTCCAATGGTCATACAGGTGGTGGAAGGCTTAAAAGGTCGGTGCACTGATGCCAATCCATTCTCGCGCCAGTCTGAGCTCCTGCCTCTTGTATTATAGTCCAGCGACTTCAGCATGTCCAATCCGATATTGTGCAACTGGTTCATGAATTCTGTGAGGAAGGCTGAATTCTCCTGAAAAGCGGGTGGCAGAAGACATTGAGCTTCTCCAGGAATTGGGTTGCACATGTTGTCCCTGGGAAGCTGAAGAACGTGGAAACCATAAACGTCAGCGCTTCTCTTCAAACACGTTCACACCATACAAGACACTTACCGAGTATGCTTCTACACCAAACTTCTTGTTATCTCCGCGCAATCCAGCATTTCGACCAAACGGTGTATAGCTGGTAGGTTGTCAATATTAAGCTGGAAAAACAGAATGACTGACGCCAACAATGGGATCTGTCCCATGGTCAGGAATTCGTAGAGATAGACCTACCCGTTCAGTTTCCAAGCATTGATCAGGTCTATGTCGTATGCCATCTTCTCATCGTCATCCAGTGCAAAAAAGTCCCCAGCAATCTTGTAAACCTCATGGACGTCCTGCACCACGACGCCTGAAACTTCGTTCTCATCACGAAGATCAAGATACCAGAACCCGTCTTGCTCGCAGGCTTTGCGGAGGGCTACCAACTCGTCGGCATCAGCATTGCGCAGCTTTGCGTAGGAAATGGTGGCAAAGTCAGCATCTTCTGTGATGTTAGTGATGCACTCGGAGGTCTGGGGTGCTGTGACGGTGGTGGTGGCAGTGGTCGACATGACTATGTCAAATTGATGTGTAACAAAATGTTTGGATACGAGCAGCAGGGAAGGCTCCTGGACGAGTTGTTTCACCTTCAGTTAATGCTCTCTAGGCTTCGACAGCAGCGGTTCCAGCACTGCATCTATTTCTAGGCAACATAGAGGCCCCGAAACCATCGATACTATGAGCCGTTCACCCGCCGCATCAACAACAAAATCCCTGGTGCTTTTTCTGACCAAGATTTGCATAGTTACGGGTCGACCGACAGCTGCATGGTCACAAGCAAGGAGAGGGGCCTGCCTTGGAACACACTCATTCCTAAAATGGTGAGCAACGAGGCAGTCTTGATCCTTGGCGGCCCCCTGGTTCCATATCTGGTCGTATATGAGATATATAGCTTTAGTCAATGGGCGATAGGAAATGAGCGGTTGGAATTCGTGAGGGCTGTATGTCGACCAATCATATATATCTTACAGCTGAAAAGGGTAATTCCTATTTCTATATTACTACCGCCTTGGGCAAATGATGGTAGACTACGAGGTACACAATTTTAGGTTCTGACCTGGCTTCCGAACGGGAACGCTAATGTTCAACTTATGTTAAACTTCGCGCTATGAGGCTTTGGCGGTGACTACCTAGGGGCAACACACCTCTCAGTCTGGCCATTCTCATTACGAACATCCATACACCTCTCGCATCGACACCCGCCTATTAGCCTCACTATGCATATATACTAACTAAAGCTCTCTCCTGCCTCCAAAACGCCCAACAGGTGGAGAATGACGTATGGGTACCCACTCCTGGACACGGACTAGATGACAATGCAGGTGTCGATTGAGCGGATCGCCTGATGCTCAGTGCGCACACATTATTGTGTCATGGCCCTGAAGGAGCACCTGATTAGCTGGAAGTCGCTGCCGCCTGGGCTGGCTACCGGCAGCTCATCTCATAGGCCACGCGTCTAGGAGTGGTAAATGCAGCTTCAGGGGCCTCGGTATACCTGCTTCGTTTTCCGCGGGCAGCTTCCCATTCCCAGTTTTCCAGAATCGACGTCTTGTTTTCCACTTCATCATTGCAGTTTCTCCTTTCGCACAGCGATAACACAATTTCATTCCAGCTGCAATTTCTCACGTCCACGCTTGCACATGGCGCGCCATGTGGCGGGCAGCCACGATGAGGCCAATGAAGCAAGACCTCTTCTCTCACCTATCCCGGATTCGCATTCGTCTGCCGATGGGCTGTCCACATCAGAGCAGCTAACACACTGTGACTGGCCTTGGATACGCGTTGTCGCACTGGTTGTTGTCATCGCCGTTGTCTCCGACATTGGAGAATCCCTTTACGCTGCGCCCAGGGTCCGTTTCTTTGAGTCTATTGTCTGCACTGAATACTACAGGCAGGAGGACCCTTCGTTGCTTCACAAACACGGCGATATTCCGGAACATCTCTGCAAAGTGAATCCGGTCCAGGACGAGCTCGCTTCTGTCTTGGGCTGGCAGCTTTTCTTCGACAGTATTCCAGCTATCTTGCTTCCCGTCCCGTACGGCTATCTCGCCGATAGACGTGGCCGGAAGCAGATCTTGATCATGGCAATGGTGGGCTATACAATGTCTTACGTGTGGACCCTCTTTTCTGTAAGTCTCAATGAGCCCTGCAGTCACTTCCTCCACCCTTCGGACTGACCTCTATTTTTCTTGAGAATAGGCCGGGGTGTTGCATTTGCCCTTGAACTATGTCTGGCTGTCCTCGCTCTTCTTTCTCCTCGGTGGCGGCCCAACAGTCGGAACAACTCTACTCACCACCGTCGTTGCTGACGTAGTACCACCAGAGTCAAGGACCACTGTGTTTTTCTACCGATTCTGTACCGACCTAATCGCAGACGTGGCAATTCCCCCGCTCACCTCATTTTTAATGTCCAAGAACATATGGATCCCCCTTTTTGGTGCGGTGCTCTTCCAAGCAGGCAGTTCCGTGATGACTTTCACTTTACCCGAAACGTTGCCGCTCCCTATCCCCAAAGAGGCTGTCGATCATTCCACGAGTCCCTCAATAGCCACGACTACTTCAGAGCCAGAAGACAGTTCAAACATTGACAAGCGGTGGAAGGATTGGATCCGAGAGACGAAAGACTCGTTCGACTTTGTCAGACGAGATACGGCAGTTGCAGCTCTCGTGTTAACTTTGTTGATTTCCAAAGTCGGGCGTCAGTCAACGAATGTCCTTTTCCAATATGCGTCCAAAAGATACGGGTGGTCCCTGTCACAGGTATTTGCTCGATTCCCCGTCTCTTTTCTTGTGACTGACTCTATTTGCCATATAGGCTGGACTATTAATTTCTTTACGTGCGGCTGTAAACATTGCATTATTTGCCGCCATTTTACCAGCGATTGCTTCTTTCGCTCTCCGACGTATTGGTGCAGCACCGCTCAGAGATCTTCTACTCGCAAGAGGGAGCATTATCTTCTTACTTCTTGGTACTATTGTACTGTTCTTGTCTGCAACCCCCGCTCTTATGATAATCGGTAAGAGATCCGACATGCGCGTCGGCTCAGACGGACTGGGATTGGCTGACTTGTTTCTTATAGGCATCATTCTGTTCACACTAGGGACGGGTTTTGCACCTACAGCCCGCAGCTTGGTGACCTCGCTTGTCGAATCTCAATGTATAGAGACAACTAGTGACATTGGACGGCTGTACGCACTGATTTCTGTAATGGAGGGGGTCGGTGCTCTTGTAGCAGCATTGGGCATGTCATGGGCCCTCCGATTCGGCCTACACCTAGGCCAGGCATGGCTTGGGTTGCCTTTTGGATTTGCTGCCATCCTCTTCGCTGTGGTGGCAATCATCACGTTCAGCATCAAGGTTAGAAGCGTATGACTGCTCAAGTCGAAGGGAATGGAGATTACAAAAGCAACATGTCAATTACCTCTCAAGCCCCTGCTTCCGTGGAAAAGAATAGTCCATCTGCACAAACGCTGCAGTGCGAGGTCCTACCAGTCCCCTACATAAGACATGATATCTGTCGTCTCAACTGCATACTGCACAGTTTCTAAGCAATGGTTAGTCTCACCGGGACTGATGTTCGGGATCCTGGTCGCCTTCCAGCAGGTCGGTACCTCTTCGACGAGCGGCTGTCGGTCGAAGAAGAGCTGCAGGAGATTGTTCATCTGCTCCCCCTCAAGCAGGAATCCGTCATGTCCGTCATCACTTTCCATCCAGGCAAACTGTGCATTTGGAATGTGCTCTGACAACTCCATTTGCTCCTGGATCGGGTAGAGGCCGTCTGAGGCAACACCAATCACGAGGGCGCGCTGCTTCATCCCTTTCAGGACCTCCTTCATGGCTTCGCTCGGACACAAGTGTGGACAGCGACCTCTGGAGATATCGTGTGTGTCGATCTTGTCCAAGATGTGGACGTAGCAGTTGGCGTCAAAGCGTCTGTTGAATTTCTCGCCTTGATACCACAGGTAGCTCTGCGCCAGGAATACCGGAGATGGGTTGCCCTCGGCCTCAATATCGCCGACATCTGTGCATGTCCCGATCTGTCCAGACCGATATCCGTTGCAGGGTCCCCTTTCGAGGACTTTGACATCTATCTGGCGTCTTCCAAATCGCTTCTCAAAGGACGAATATGTCCGATACGATAGCATGGCTGCCATACGCGCAGCCGCCAGACCAGCTACGGGAGGATCGTCGCCGTAGCAGCCTCCACGCCATCTTGAATCAGACTTGATGGTCGAACGTTGATTCTCGGCCCATGCTATGGCCCACGGGCTTTGTCTCGCGGCGGTTGAGATCAGGACTACTGATCGGACATAGCGGGGACCATGGTGTAACGCCCATTCCATCGCAACCATACCACCCATGCTTGCACCAATTATGCAGTAGATTGATTGTACACCCAGAATATCCATAACATGCTTCTGGATCCTGATAGTGGGAAAGAGACTCAGCTTAAACTTTGTGAAAAGGGAAAAGTGACTCACCGAACATCATCTCGGATTGTCGTCTTCGGGAAAGAGCTTCCGTAGCACGATGTGCTACCAGGCTTGATGGAAAGAGGACTTGAAGAGCCATAAGGACTGCCCAAGACGTTGCAGCATATAACACAGAACTTCGTGAGGTCTAAGGCTGATCTGGGCCGTGAGAAGAGGGACGACCACCAGTCCGCAACATCAGCAGTGCCGGACAGAGCATGGCAAATTAGAATGGCGTTGGTGCCGAGCGGGTTCAGACGACCGCTAACGGTGAAGGCAATGGTAACATCCTTCAGTTTTGCTCCGGATTCCAATTTAAACTCATCAATGGTGGTGTACAGCTGGTTGGGGAGTCTTGATTGCATCGAATGAGGGGCGCCTGGGTTCGAGGGTTTCAAGTTTCAGCAATCAAAACACTTTATGGCGCAATGCTGGTTCCGGACTCACTGCTGGAGCTGACGATGTGCCCTGATGGAGTACGCATGGCTATACTAACGGAAGAGAAAGATGTGTTTCTAGCATACTCGAAGATGATGAACGTAGTATTACATCTCATATGTTACTAGACGTTTAATGTGATTTGAGTCTTCCGAAATTGGATGCCCTGAGACGATCAAAATCTGATGGTAGACGACCCCGGGAAAGGGCACGCATGACTTCTCCAGCCCTCGCTATCGACTCTGAACTCCACCCAACTGGAATCCTTCCACAGCAAGGTCATCTAGTTGTAGCATGTCTGATGCCCAATTCTTGCATGGAATCTGCGTGATTACCGTGTGTTGCACGAAAACAACACGATCCCAACAGTGATTGTCGCTCAGGCTTACTGAAAAGCTGGCATGCAGATCGAGGATGTGTAGGGCTCATCAACATCCCCGGGATGAGATGACAATGCTGCGGATGTCACAGCATATACACCGATACAGATGGGACAAGCTCTGCTAGCTTGTGACATTGCATTGACCAGCCGGGAGGCTGCAAGGTCAATTAGAATCGAACAATGCAATTAGTAGGGGGGTGGGCGCTCGGGGTGGCAGGGCTTTCCACCTTGCTTACACTATATCTATGCAGCCCACGATCCTTCGCTATCTCAGCTTCTCCGTTGGTCATAGTGGCTGGTGGCGCTCCGGATGAGGGTGCCGGCTCCGCTTTCGATGCCACCATCCTACTTTGAGCTCCATTTGTGTGCATAGCTATCCCCCATTTCCGCGCACCTTATCGCCTCCTAAATCCCTCCAGTGTTTGATTGGATGCTACAGCCATTATCGCCAACAAGTAATGATCTTCCGGTGAAGGACGTACAGGTGGTATACTAAAGAATACAACAGAATGACGACAGAAAAAGCTAGGTACCATCAGTACGACATGAGCAGCCCTGTATGTGAGTCGACCAACAACCCTACTTGCGATCGCGTCTCAATCCGAGCCAGAGCTGTGTGCAAGTCCTCAACATGCGACTCTCGACCTGTAACAACGACGATACCCTAGGCCCCAGTGTATCGGGCTGCCGAGGCGACTTCGACTTCACCATCAAATTTGAGCAGCTTGTTTTCTCTATTGTTCCTTCAGCACTCCTCATCGTCGCCGTCGTTGGGAGAGCAGCATGGTCTGTTCGGAAGCCTGTCATTGTCCATGCTCCGACATTCCTGTCTATAAAGCTTGTATGTACTCCGCTGGCTTCCTCAAAGTGGTGCTCGCTGATTCCTCCAGGGAGCTATCGTACTATATGCGTTGCTCAAGTTTGTGCTGCTCATCCTGGTAGCAACCGGTCCCCTTGTCAAAACACATGCCTCCATCGCCTCCAATATCTTGCAACTGTTGGCGGCAACGGCGATGTTCACCCTCTCGTTTCTCGACCACGGGCGGTCGGCAAGACCTTCGGTGCTGTTGAGCAGCTACCTCTTTTTCACGCTGCTTCCCGATATCGCTCAAACTCGCACGTTCTGGCTTGTTGCAGACACCGAGCATGACGCGGCGCATGCCGGTGTCTTCACCGCTTCAATGTTACTGAAGGTCTTCATGCTTTTCGTCGAAGCTCAACAAAAAACTAAGTGGGTGAACTGGGGTACTGAAGAGTTGCACAGCCCCGAAGAGACCAGTGGTATATACAGTCTTGGACTCTATTTTTGGCTAAATAACCTTTTCTTTAGCGGTTACAGAAAGGTCCTGCACATGGAAGATCTGTATCCTCTGGATCGTGCCATTGCCGGTGCAAACCTCTACAGACGGTTTCAAATACACGCCGACTACACCAAAATGAAGGGTACTGCGTATGGCTTGGCTAAGGCGGTGGCTCGAACACTGCTAGTTCCAATGCTGTTACCAATTCCCCCCCGAATTGGCTTGATCTTCTTCAAATTTTGCCAACCATTTCTGATCAACTCCATTCTTGAGGTTATCTCCGGGCAGTCGACCCAAGAGACTGTCAATTATGGATACGGTTTCATCGGAGCCACTGCGCTCATATACTCTGGACTTGCCGTATCTACAGCTCTTTACTGGTATTTTCACTTCCGATCGCTTCAAATGGCTCGTGGTATTCTCATTACCGCCATTTACACCAAAACTACAGAAGCACAGGTTGGGATAGGAGATTCGAGCGCGCCTGTGACCCTGATGAGTGTCGATATTGAACGCATCAATTTCGGTTTCCAGTCCCTTCATGGTGAGCACTTGATAAATTCATTTATTTGTCCCGCCTGGAAAGGCTCTTGGTATTTGAGTCTGACTTGTTTATAGAGGTATGGGCTGCCGGCATAGAGGTCGGTCTAGCTAGCTATCTACTCTACAATGAACTTGGGATCGCGTTCGTTGCTCCCATCGTAACTCTGATCATCTGCTTCTTGGTCATGTCTGTACTGGTCAAATATACGGGTAAAGCACAAAAGAGCTGGATGACTCGGGTCCAGAAGCGTGTCGGCCTGACTGCCACCGTCATCGCAAACATGAAAAACGTGAAAATTGCTGGATTGGCGGGGCCCATCTTCGATTCTATCCAAAAAAATCGGGTCGACGAGTTAAAAGGGAGCAGTCGCGTCCGCCAATTGGCTTTAATGGGCATCATCGTCTCCTGGGCCCCCTTCCTCATTTCTCCCGTCATCACCTTTGCTCTCAGTGAGCGTTCCCTGGACACCGCAAGAGTGTTTACTGCTCTATCATATCTCGTCCTCCTGGCAACTCCTCTCACCGTGGTCCTCAAGGTCGGTCCTCAGATGGCCTCTGGATTCGCGTGTTTGAGTCGTATGCAAGCTCATCTGGAGCGCAACAGCCGAGACGACTTCCGGGTGGTCCCGCTCAACAGCACAGCGCCAGTGGAAAAGGAGCTCTGCATAGTTTCACCTTCGAATAACGATGACAAGATCCGCCCAGGCTCTGCCATTGTGGTTACTGAAGCGACTTTTGGATGGGAAGAGGGGAAAGCGGTCCTCACTGACATAAACATCTGCATTCCCAGATCCTCTCTTACCATGGTCGTCGGGCCGATCGGGTCTGGGAAATCTACTTTGTGCAAGGCGCTTTTGGGAGAAATCCCTTACCATCGAGGCCAAGTCGCTTGGACCAACGGAATCGGCCGAGTGGGTTATTGCGATCAAGCACCCTTTTTGTCAAATTGCTCAATTCGGGACAACATTGTCGGCTTTTCGCCGTTCGATGAGGAAAGATATGCTAGCGTCATCAGCGCGGCAATGCTTGAGGCCGACTTTGAAATACTGCCGCGAGGCGACAGCACAAAGATTGGCAGCAACGGAATCATTCTCTCCGGAGGCCAACGACAACGCATTTCATTGGCTCGGGCTTTGTACTTGCAAACGGACATGCTTATCTTCGACGACGTGCTCAGAGGGCTTGACGCTGACACCGAAGAGCAAGTCTTTAAGCGTGTCTTTGGCACCAATGGCATCATTCGAAGTCGTCAAGCCACTGCAGTACTCTGTACACACTCTGTCCGACACTTACCATCCGCTAATAAGATCATCGCTCTAAACACTCAAGGCACTGTCACTGAGCAAGGCTCCTTTGAGGAACTGGTTGCGAATGGCAAGTACATCCATAGACTTGGTGTGAAAGCCACGGAGAACGACACAATCGGCGAATCAACCGAGACTGAAGAATCATACCAGCATTCTGGACTCACGGCTTCGCGGCGGAAAGCAATCACAATATCTACAAATGACCCTGACGTACCAGACATAGCACGACAACAAGGAGATCGAAGGGTTTACAAACACTACTTCAAGAGCATGGGTTATCTCGTCGCCACCATTCAGATGGTTCTGACCGCTCTGTTCGGCTTTTTTTACAATTTTCCCACTATCTGGCTCAAGTATTGGAGTGATTCCGCGTCCTCGGCGCACCCGTCGCACTGTTCGGGATACTATGTCGGCATATACGGCTTGCTCAATATTTGTTGTCTGCTCTCTATGGTTGTCCTTGCATATCTTGTATGGGTGCTTGCTGTCAGAAGGGCTGGAGCTAACCTGCACCGCGAGGTGTTGCGCACGCTGACCCGTGCCCCTCTCCGATTTTTGACCACGACTGATCAAGGCGTGATCACGAACCTGTTCTCACAGGATCTCAACCTGGTTGATACTGAACTGCCTAATGCCTTACTAAACACTTTGTATAACCTTACTATTGCTGTCGGACAGGCTGCTGTCATGATTACTGCTACAGCCTACATCGTTGCAAGCTATCCCTTCATCATAGCTTTGATGTGGTTGATTCAGAAGCTCTACCTCCGGACCTCCAGACAGATGAGGATGCTGGATCTCGAAGCAAAGAGTCCTTTATAGTTAGTTAACTGCCTAACCTTTCTTATCATCTGACAAAACGTACTAATATTGTCCTGGCAGCACCCACTTCCTGGATACAACTAAAGGAATTGTAACGCTCCGTGCGTTTGGTTTCATCTCCAACGACCGAGCAAAGAATATGAATTTGCTTGACGACTCGCAGCGACCGGCTTATCTGCTCTTCATGCTACAGCAATGGCTTACACTAGTAAGTGTCAGAGACTTGGGCGTTCAAGTGAAAGAGTCGACCCACACCATACCTCATAAATTCCCCCCGATTTAGTGTACAAAACAGCTACTTACCGGCCTTTCAGGTTCTTAATTTCATCGTCATGGCACTGGCAGTCCTTCTCGTCAGCCTTGCTGTAAATCTACATCACAACTCAGGCTTCACCGGAGCATCATTGGTCACGCTAATGAGCTTCGGGGATTTTCTCTCGAGCATTGTGATGCAGTGGACGAAGCTCGAAACTTCAATTGGTGCCATTGCGAGGTTACAAACTTTCAATAACACGGTCGCTCCTGAAGACAGGATGGAAGAGACCATCATTCCAGGCGAGGAGTGGCCAACGAACGGCCAAATTGACCTGCGAGAAGTCTCGGCTACTTATGATGAGTAAGTGTCGTCCTCATTCTTTCGCTTCTTTAGTGGAAGAATTTCTCACTGAGTAACACCTTCTCAGCCCCAGAGGATGTGGAGAGGTACCCAACCTCGTGATCAACAAAGTCAGTCTCTTCATCGCACCCGGGGAGAAGGTTGCCATTTGCGGACGTACCGGCAGTGGAAAGTCCAGTATGTTCGCTCTACTGCTCAAGCTGCTCGACCCCTGCGAAGGTACCCCTGGACGAATCTACATAGACGGCACGCCGCTTCATCTCATTGACCGTACAACTTTGCGTCTCCGTATTATAGCGATCCCTCAGGAAGCCTTGTCTCTGCCGGGCGGTGCCACTTTCAGGCAGAACCTGGATCCATTCGACAGGGCCCACACAGATGAATGCTGTGCCGTCCTGAAAACGGTCGACCTATGGTCGCTGATCCAAAGCCGAGGCGGGCTGGACACGGCGATGACGTCCGACACGTTCTCGCAGGGGCAACGCCAGCTGTTCTCTTTAGCGTATGCGGTCCTCCGGCGGAGGATGCGCTCTCGACTCCTCGGAGCCGGTGGTGTCGGCTCTGAGGGCGGCATCCTTTTGCTGGACGAAGTTACGTCTTCCGTCGATCAGGACACGGAACGAGTAATGCAGGAGATTATTGCAACTGAGTTCCAAGATTACACCGTCGTCGCCGTGAGCCACCGTCTCAGCACGATCATGGACTTTGACAGAGTTGCGGTCATGGACCACGGCGAGATTGTCGAGGTCGGCAACCCCAGGACACTGGTCGAAACCGAGAATACAAGGTTCGGCAACCTGTGGAAATCCGGAGGGAGCTAGGGGAAGAGTGACTCCGGGGTGGCAAGTCTGGGCGTGAATACATTTTTGTCTACATATGACAATGCTCACAGTGCCTAGTATATGAAAGATTTTCACTCACAAAAAGAAAGTAAAGCACCTGATTCACATCTATGTGGCCGGACTCTTGATAGCAGGTCTGTTGTAGGCTCAGGGTAACATTCAAGACTCTGGCTTCGGCGGGGGTAAAGACACTACGCTATATTGGGTAGTGAAATTAATGGTTTGAACCCTTTCGGTTCCTTGACATTAGATCTGAATAGGGCAGACAGAAAAAAGTGAGTGGCGTGCTTCCCTCACCCTATATGCTGGATACACTAGACCCTAGTTCACCTTTTAGACATATGTAACTCGTATCTGCTACCTCCTCGCTGTGCTCACCAGAAAGCAATGCATCTGACCTCAATGCTCTCTCTGGCGGAGCCATAAGATGCCTTCCCGATGTCTGGACTTGCGTGTGGCACACTTGACGCTTCCTCGCTGTGCTGACCGTCATCAACTAAAGCTGCGCTGTCGAAAAACTTGAGAACGATCACCTCGTTAGGCTTCTGCTCCGCAAGATAGTACCATTGCGGATCGGACGATGCTAGCGACGAGGACGGCAACTGCTCCACCTCTCCATTAGCACCGGGTGTGGCACGATCAGTGTTGGCATTTTCATTGGCCGCTTTCATGGCGTTCTCTTCGGTTATGAAGAGAGCCTCCAGCTCTCGGAGAAAGTCGCCTTTCATGCTGGGTGCGGCAAGGACTTTGAGGTAGCGCGGGGCAAAGGTGAGCTCTTGGTTGCCGTTAAAAGTACAACGTGGAGCCATGGCCAAGGGATCCCGGGTCACGGTGTGTAAAGGTCGCCAAACGCTGTAAGCTGCGTAGCGCGGACCCAGCTTGCCACCATAATTGTACTCGCTGTTGATGACGGCGTCACTATCATGTGTTTGAGGGTCGACCTGAGCACTGGCGCAGATGGCGTCTTCGGTCGGGATGACACCGGACTTAACAGCAGCATGATAGATGTCTGGCCGCCAAGAACGGATTGCACAGCGGGCTCCGAGAGGTGTATAGTCCATATGAGGCACTCGGGAGGGTCTTGCGTTGTCTGAGGATTTCAGATGTGTGGGTTTGTTGTCGTGCAGAGCTTTGTAATTGGCCTCTTCTGTCTTATTCTCGCCATTGGTGACAGCGGTGTCCTGAACGTGCTGAAAGTTTGATCTGTCGCCCGTGGTCTTCGTACAGCCGTCGATAGAGGCCCCCGTTTCACCTCGGCGCACAATGCTATTCGTAATAAAAATCTCTTTGGCGCCTGTCAGTTTGACTAGAGCCTGTTTCACCTGGGGGAAATAGATATCCTCTAAGACTTCCACATCATCAAAATCACAGGACGTGGCTTGATTCGCATCGGCGGGTACGAACTTGGAAGTGTCGAATTTCACGGCGGTGAAACCGTGCCTTTTCAACAATTCGGCTGATCGTGACCATGACCAGCCATCCCCTTGGGGATTTCCAAACACCTCGTCGCGGAAGTCATGCAGAGGAAATATTCTTTCGATCCTTTTGTTTTGACGACGAGTCAGGTAGCCTCTCGCCCACGGATCATCCACTGTGTCGCCGAAGACATTGACCTGGAAGGTCCCGAATATCTGTTTGTCTGCGCCTGGCGAGCGATGCATAGTGACCCACGTTGGCCTGGACAGGCAACTGCGACAAGAGTGCAGGTGATTCTATTGCTATATCCGTGGACGAAGGAATCTCTTAGCCTTTGACGGGCACTGTTGAAGCTTTGTATGAAATAATCCTTTCGTACCAGCAATCATTCTGTCTTTTACTCACACCATAGTTACCTTGCGTCGTCCCTAATGATGGGCAAGGCACTTACTCAGTCCAATGACAATGCGTTACTAATAAGCGACAGTGTTCGAGGACTCAAAGAAAGTGGTAGTGCCCTGTTTGTGAAAAACATACCCTGGCAAATCAGGCCCATGGCTGCCGGGGGATATGGTGATCCGTCAACATCATCATGTAATGCCTTCGCGTGACACTCACTCACAAATCGTCTCGGAGGGAAAAGCCATAAGGAGAAAGGGTAACAAACATGCACATACGTCTATCAATCACAATAACTGGAAACATAATCTGGGCTTAGCTAATACACGTGTATTTGCACATGTCTTGCTAAACTTCGTCGGAGAAATTGAGTTCTTAGGGAACTCTCCTCCCCACTGATCGGCAGTTGGGCCCGTCGCAGGCTGAATGCTTGCTTACAGTAAGCTTAATGCCGCTATTACGCTGAGTGGTTGAAAGATTCCCATGCAAAGTCAACTAGCCTACGTAGGCCTTGCCCGCAGCCATTTTGCCAGTTTGAGGGAAAACTTTCTCTTAACTCAAAATTGGCAATTGATCTACGCCTGGAATCGACTCTTTGAAAGGCCCTAGCAACAGGGTGGGCCGCCTTCAGTGGGCCTGTTTTTCATTTCCAACCCTACCTAGAGCTCGAGCATAGGTATGCATCACCTAATCCAAATGAAACCTTAGATGCTCACGAGCGTCGGCTATCTTCCGGAGCAATTCCTGACGGCTGGTGAACGATCTGAACACCATAAAACCCAGCCCCGGCCACGGTCGATCCTTCGCCGGAGGTACCCACTCACCCCCCTTCCAGTAATGCCAATGATCCGCGTAGGAGTTACTGAGCCCCAGCTTCTCGAGGCCGAGGTCGTGGGGCATACGGCCACTCGTAGAAGTCTCAATAGCTTGTGGTAGCCAAGCATACTGCCACGATGGCTTGTTTCGAAATCCGTGCGCGATGCTACGGAAGCGAGCCTCGTCTCCAATGGCATGTAGTAGCTTACCAGCAAAATAGTCCACTCCGTATGCGTAGATCGAGCACATGGCCTCAGGAAGACCTGCTGGCCGTGGATTTATTTCCAGCAGGAAGGTACTGGCTCGGCCAGGAACCGGTTTGCTGCGGGGTCGTAGGTCATACATTCCTTTTTCAGCCAAGAAGACTTCTCTTGCTGAGTTGTGCACTTTGGCCTCAGCATGGATGACGCCACTGTGCAGCCCCACCGCTCGGACGATCGCCAGCACATCGCGCTGGAGCATGTCGATTTCGTCCGACGGGAGAGCAGAAGGAAAGATCGAGCCCGTGCAGCCGAACGTCTTCGATTCTGCCTCTGGGCTATCGCCAAGGCAGGGGAAATTGTCGGTCACCTCAGCATGCAGCAATTCCCCATCCCAAAGAAGCATGTTCACATCGACTTCAGGACCCTCGCAGTATGTCTCCACAATGACCGGGACTCCGTGGTATTCCAGCCCGAATTGGTCGTGTTGCTTCTTCAGCGCCGCAAAGGCAAAATGCAGTGCTTGAATGAGCTCCGCTTCATTCTCCACTCTCATAACGCCCTCAGAGCCGTGACTGCGGGTGGGTTTCACAATCAGTGGGTATTCCAGCGGTTGCGGCATAGCTGCCAGTTGAGACGGGAATTCTTCCAGGCTCTCGACTTTGATTGTGGTCGGCGCCCGTGAGAGCTGTCTCGTCTCGAATTTGTCAGTGCCCCGACGATATGCTTCGGACCCGAGAGTGGGCAGACCGAGAATCTCGGCAGCGCGTGCAATACCAGGCATAAAGACATCTACCGTGGTCAGAATGCCGTCCACCTTGTAGGGTAGACCGCGGATCACATCGGCGATATGTTGAGGCAAGTCTTTGAGAGCATAGCCAGTGGTGGTGAATGGGACGAAGTGCTCTCGGTATTGAGGACCAAGTCCATTGTCATCTTCCATCCAATGACCCGGCTTGTCCATAACCACCACAGAGATTCCGCAACCTCGAGCTGCCGCGTAGAAGTTTCGGCACATTGGGGGCCTTCGTCTCTCGCATATCATGACAACGCGACTGGGCATCACAGGGGTGTCAATGATCCAAGGCCATGACAGACGGTTCAACAATTCATGGTCCAAGCCCTGGAGCGCCTTACTGCCTCGTGCCATGACCACGCCGACACTCGACTGGAGGAGGGCAAGCAAATGACTTGCCGATCCTTGGGAAGCGGCGAGAGGCGGGGCAATGGAGCAATGCTGGCCCGATGTGACAAACCCTTGCACCACGCTGCTCAAAGGAATCCCTCGTAAGGACTCTTCAAGGAAGTCACTTCTGACAATGTAACCATCCTGTGCAGCAAGGATAAATTTGAAGTGTGATTGGTCAACGGTTGGGCCACCAACGCAGTGTTCGAGCAGAAACGAGATGGCCCGGCCCGCGTTTTTGGGGATCTTTACCCTGGTTAGAGCAGTTCGTCCGTCTACCCCTGGTGGCGCTGAAGCGGTGGAACCGGGGCTCAAGGCGGCCTGATTGGTCCCAGCTGCAGGCGTAATCAGGACAGAGTCTATGGTGAGGTCGACAAAGTTGCACCCATGCTTGACTTCGGAGGTGAGATCCTGGGACCACGACCAGGTTGCTCGGATCAGGACTGTTTCTGTCAGTCGAGCGACCACGATGAATTGAATTCGTCAGGAAGTGCCTCATCCCATACCTGGACAATCTTCAGATCTCAGTTCCGCATGATAGGGCATAGGTCCGTTCATCAATTGCCCTGACCCCATGTCGGCAGTCAATGTCTGCTTTTCCTCTGTAGTTGCAAGGGCCTGGAATATGAGGTGCAAAATAGCACACTCTGCTCTGGGCTTGAGATGCGATCGCAAGCCTGGTGTTTATGAAGGACCGAGGCACCAAACTTCTAAGTCGGTGGACCTTCCACCCTGAGACATACAGGGGTGTGTAGGTCATCCCCTTCTCGGGGACACCGTTGACGTGCATATCGAAAATGATGAGATGCAAGGTAATGTGGGGAGCTGCAAGGTAAAGTTGTCACGGTGGCGAGCTCTTGAACGATGTTTTGAGTAACCCAGATGTGGCCTGGAGTCAAATCAGGCACATGAGGCAAATCTCACTTGAAGTTCGAGGTTGTACCATAGTACCTACTAGGTAGGTAGTATGCGAGAGACAGGGGCCTGATAAGGCTGGTCACCACCCCGATGTCATCTCTGCGGGGCAGGATAGGACGTCCGTCCAGTCCTGTGCCTGGCCTAGCCAATACCCCATCTGCGTGACGCAAGATGGTGCTGCTTAGTGGTCCTTACTGGCAGTGCCACTATTCCTGTCAATCACCGTGTCCAACCCCCGGTGACTCCTGCAGGGCCAATGATAACCCAATAATCCTTGCGGTCCCCGTGTTGGCTTTCAGCCGGCGTCTCTCTGTCGCCCACCGAGAGAGCTTGGCCTTAACCACTGATCCCTTACATAAAGAGGCTGCAAAAGTACTCGGCCATCTATTTCCCCATGTGGGTCGCGGAGACTGGGTTGATCGCGGGATAATGAACAAGCATTCTTAGCCGGCGGCCGGTACTTACATCCGCCAGGCTTGACTGCTTATCTGGGTGGCTAGGAATTACCTCTTGGGCAGGCATCTGCATCGAATGAAACAGCGCCACCATGCCAATTGAAAGAGTACTTCGATTCCAACACCATCTATAGTCCCCCCCTCAGACTGCGCCGCGATGGATGGGCTCACTGATACTGAGACGACCTACGTTCACCTGGAGCCCGACGTTGTAGTACGTCTGGATCTTCGGGACCAAGACACCATCACACGAAAACGAAACCGCGACGCCCAACGAAACCATCGGGAATGTGAGTCGATTCATCTCCCCGTCTCCCTCGTGCCAGACAAATAGGCGGCTAACACTGACCAGTGAAACGAATGGCTGCAGCTGCCGCCGCCGCCGCGAATCGCTCCGCCGCCGGCGAGAAGCCGAAAGACACAGGCTCTAGGACTCGATGGGGACACAGAAAGCCGACTCAGCAGAGCACATTCGAGGAAGGAGAGCATTCTAGGTATGCTATGCGGTCTTGCACTACCCGTGTCTCGGAGGGAAAAGAGTTGACTGACCTGTGACTACTGGTTATAGTAGACCTGACGAGATACTTGACATGACAAATCCTATGTTCTTAGGGACAACCAATAAGACGCTCATGGACCTCGATAGCGTGTTTGACGAGAGCTGGTCGAGTCTCAGCATGATGCAGCCTGGACTAGGAGAGCCTGCCGCTCAGCCCAACGCAATCGTCTCCTTAGCCCCACAACCAGATTCCTCCTTCAATTCCTTCTACAACCGTTGTCAGACTCCAGACCGACAGCACGCAAACTGGGGCCAGGGCCAAAACACCATGAGCACTGCACCCCAGGCTGCTCATGACACCCAGTACGGACATCCCCCGACATTACCAGATCATGCGGTTAAGACGGCCGACAAGATCGTGGAAGCCGGACCACATGGTTCACAAGATACCCATCTGGGATCGTCTATTTCGGAGGAAAAAAAGTCCCAACAGAGCAGCTTCGATGCCAAGCAGCCTGAGAATCAGATCCAGGATGGCCGGTTTGAGTCAATCCTGGAAGCAGTGGAATCCGCCGGCTTCTACAGTTTTGACGAAATGGCGGCAGCGTACTACACATCGTCACTGGGCAACGACTCCTCGCTCCGCGCCACCCAGAAATTTAGCCGCGAACGAGAGCTGAAATCCCTCCTGAGAGCATTGAATCAGAGCGCAAAGGACTGGTCAGCTCGCGAGGCGTGGGCGTACCAAGAAGAAACTTTAGATTCGGCGCGAAGGATCCTGTCCGATGAGCTCTCAAAACTGGCTGAAAAAAGGTTGTCCCAGGTCAACCCGTCGGCAGTAGAGAGCAACAACTCGTCGTCGTCGTCCTCAGCACCATTATCCTGTTCTTCTTCTTCTTCATCTTCTTCGTCTGGGTCAGGAGAGAATAGCTATTCCCTGATATCCGAGAACTTCGAAAGACTTCTCCAGGACGGCAAGATCAATCAACTTCTGAAGCAGGAGATAATAATGCTTCGGCAGACGGTGTGTTTGTCATATCCAATTCTCCTTCCACCTGCAACGACACTGACGCTTTGCCATTTCTACAGGTGCCAGATGCTTTTGATCATTTAGCAAAACTTGCCCAAAACGCAAATATATCACAACCTTTAAACTCGCGCATCGTCGCTGTCTTCCTTCATCTTCTGATACACCGAGGCAGGTGAAAAGTCCTCGGAGAAGCTTTTAACCCGGCTCTTTTCTCGCCAACTGCGATTTAACATCTTGGAAACCCCCTGACTTCGTAAAAGGTCCGAAGTGGCCAGGTCAGCATGTGTATCTACAACTCCAGCCAAGACAGAAAGAAATAGAACAAGGGCCTAGATACAACTCATATTTTTATCATGCCGATGGCCTCCAGTCAGATTTTTGAGAGGCTATCCGGGGAAAATTCAAAGGCGTTTAAAGAGACCATGGTCTTTTCCCCATACCCTATGGCTATCTTAAAGGACCATCCTCTACCACATGTGGAATGATCAAAGTCGAACATGAGTATGCGGGCTTCGAATTTTTTCAAGCCTGAACCATAGGGTTGGTGGGTGGACTGTAGGAATTGGGCCGTGCTTAACATTCTCCAATGTGTTGATATCTCCAAAAGCGTGCCCACATCTAAACGACATAGTACTTCTGTCTCACCAAGTCCTGGTAAAGGTCCTGGATGTTCTCTGCAACGTGACGTGCGTGCTGACGACTGATGGGCGATACTATCACCATACAACCGCCCCACAGCCACTCTCCTTCCTGGAAGCCGTATCGTGCCGCGTCCTTGACATTGGCATAGTGTCGCAACACGTACTTTGTCAGATCTCCATGAGACTTGGCGAGCTCCCGGATCGGGTTGTGGTTGCTGTCGACCATCTTGTTGTTGAGTAGGTCAAGCGGTATACCCGGATACATGGCCTCAATGCCCTTTGGGGTGACCAGTTCCCTGGCGTTGGTCAGCCATGCATGATCGCAGCGGTCATCACGACCGAATGGATTTGAAAGCGCTTCATATCGCGACCAGTCACTGACTGCACACAGGAGTTGCAAGGTCCAAAAGTCAATCCCACGGGCAAGCATCGAAACAGCAGAGCTAGCGATACCCGGGATGCGGGCGTTGACCTCGTGAAGGAAAATAGACGGCGTCTCTGTTGTAATCTCTATTGGCTTCTTGTTCCACTCCAGCTCCGGAAGAGTGGCGTCCTCGGCCACAATGTAGTGCATTGACGAATTGCGGACTCTTGCCTCGCAGTGGAAGACTCCAGTGTCAAACCCTTGCAGGAGAACCGCATCGAGGACGGCGTCAATGATGGCATGCTGCTCGAAGGCAGGCAGTCTTGACGGCACAACAGCTTCGGTTTCGGCAAACAGCTTGTCCGAGGGGTCTTGGGCGACATCCGCTTGGCAGGGGAAGTCGTCGACCACCTCGGAATAGAGAATGCGGCCATTGAGGAGAACGAGATTGCAGTCCACCTCGGGCCCATCCACGTAAGGCTCAACCAAAACATTGGCGCCATTCTTCGAAGCCAGTGCTCGAGAGACAGCATGTCGGAGTTGCGCAGCGTTGTCGGCTCGGAAGACGCCTTCACTTCCTCTGCCTTGGAATGGCTTGCAGACAAGGGGGAAGTTGACGGGATCGCTAGATGCAAGCCGCGTCTCCAGTGCCTGTACTGAGTCCACCCAGAAGTACTCTCGTGACAGCGGGTCCAGTATCCGGCGTGTGAGATACTTGTTTGTGGAGATGGTAAAGGGTTTGGGACCACTGGTCCATAAGCCAAGCTGTGTGGCTGCCTCCGCCACCGGGATCAGAAGGACATCTGATATTGCAAAAATGCCATCGATCGGTTGTGGATACAACTTGACAGCATTGGCGATCCTCTCGGACAAACCAGAGTCGACTGTCATATCGATGTCAATGAAGGCTTCTCTTAAATGTGCACAAGGTCCGTTGTCATCCTTCCACCATGAGCCCGTGCTCAGCACAACAACCTTCACACCCATAGCAGCTGCTGTGTCCCACCTAATTTTCGTTGTCGGGATGCTGACATTACTTAGGAGAACGACGCACACGCGACGCGTGGGGACCGGCTTTGAGGATAGCCAGGGAAAGGCCAGCCTTCGCTCCAGCTCCAGCTCAAGTTCCTGAATAGATTCTTCGTTCCAAGGAAGGGGAGACCAGACCATCCCGGCCGATACGTTCAAAGCTTCGGTGATTCCCGCCGCATCCATACACAAGGGAGATGAGGAGTGTATGTTGTACCCGACAACTCGGCCAAGCGGTGACAAGAAACTATGCGTCGATGAAACAAGTGCACAGTCTGCTACCCGCGAGCTCCAGGGGTCTGCGTACGCAACATGACAATCAACCTTGGGGATCTGAAAGACCAAAACACCACCGTCGGCAGGGCTCGCGCTAGCATCAAGCAGAAGCCTTCCAATGGTTGTCTCTTTTTCTAGGCTCAGCCTTTGAAACTCGGGACGGTGGTGATTCTGGGAGATCCGTACTCCAGCCCTAGCGGCTGACGATGTATCTTCTCCAGTTGAGATGCAATGGCGCACTGCAATAAATAAATTATCGTAGCACTGTGTGTCATCGTGTCGGATATATCGATGCTCACAGTCAAGCAGGACTGACGATGTCAACCAAGCTGGACTTCTCTTGGTCTGTGGCTAAGGGACACATGCACTCACCGTGGCGATCTGGCAGATTGATCGATATTTGAAAGGCTTTGCGGTCGCCCATCGTGAGGGCTGGGTATAGAGCAGAGAGTGAAGCGATCCGGTCCCAGGAAGAAGATTAAGTATCCCGCAGTGGCTGGGAGCGATCCAGTATCCCACTACTCCATTGGCTCCAGATAGGAAGCTCCCGCCCCGTCCCATTCAATGACCGTGCATAATCACTCCGCCCTACCTCCTCCCGAGTTTCACTGATGTGCCACTCCAACTTCAAGAGACCTAGAATCTCGATCCCTAGGTGTCGAACAACTCAAGGAAAATTGGCACGTCCAGAATCTGTGCAATTACCCAATTTTCCGTGTTCATCCCGTTCTGATAGCAACCATTGTCTTACTACAACCCCCCTCCCCCTGAAAGGATAGCGCACAGATTTGGGTTCAACTGAGAAGCCTCGGGGCCCGTACCTTTACTCTCTGACTGCAAGTTCCTCTGCCTCATTGTATAGTAAGCTGTTTTGCTATACACTCAGCCGTCGATCGGTATACTGTTGCAGTGGAGGCTCGGTGGAAATTTAAGCATGCTTACTGTAACGTGCGGAATAGTTGTTGTCGGCAAAATGGCTACGGTAATAACGTGGCCAGTTCAATGTACTATACCGAGTGCTCGGCAAACAGTGAACAAGACTGCCTACATATGGCCTGAATCGCAGGGTCAGCAGTACAGACAGTTATAGCTCGACTGTAATTTCATCACCGATTGAACCGTATCGCCGCCATATTTTCGCTCCAACTTGGCCGGCTGAAGCTTTGAATTACTGCTCTTTTGCACGTGCCGACTGCGACTCCTAGAAGATGCAAGAGTTTTCGTCCTATAAGGCTGCCGGAGGGTGTTTTGTCGCGGCGCTGCTCGGGTTCTTGTTCTGCGCCACCAATGCCAAATCTCTCCCTCTCGCTCACACCCTCAGACTTCTGCCCTCCATTTCTCGTCTCAGACGAGCCCGACAGGCAGGCACAAGAGGTCGATACGGCAAAGATCTGACCTATTCTCAGCCGGACCGCTCGACGATGCTCTTCGGGTGTCACGTCACAAGCACTCGCGTTACCCTGCTGGAGCTCGACATCAACCTGCACAAGTCCAATAGTACCTTCTTCATCGACGCCGACGTCAGCCGCACAGTCCTTCTGACGAACCTACTCGCTCAGGCACTGGGGGAGCTCCCTAGCGGGCCGGCAAGTTTTATCTTGGCTGGCGTGCAGTGCACCTTTCGGCGTGAGATCCGCCTGTTCCAGCAGTATTATGTCACGTCGAGGATCCTGGCGTGGGACCACAAGTGGCTCTTCACCGTGACGTACTTCTTGAATGGAAATGCTGGTGACGGCACGCTTCCTGCGGATCCAGACCTTACCGGGGGGCCTGGGGCAGTTCTACGTGATCAAAAGCTGGGCAAATCGATTTTGGCCGTCATGGTAACCAAGTTCGTTTTCAAGGCTGGTCGAGTCACTGTGCCCCCAGAAGATGTCTTGCGCTTGGCTGGGTTGCTTGGCTCTGAGTCCAAGGGTGACGGGTTCAAGTGTGAAGTGATTAGAGAGGCTAGCAAGAGCGTCGATAGTGGACTACAATATGCCAGGGAGTGCATGTGTTGAGAGTGAAGGAATCAGGCATTATGAGACGGCGTCGGCCAGAGATCAGCATGTCCCATGCTGAGAGAGGCTGTCACGATGACACAGAATTACTATTTATTCGGTGAAAATGAAACCCAATCTTCCTGGTTGTTGCGAGATGTCTATTTGGTTCTCTGCGGCTGGAGTGGTGGTGGTCGCCCTCTCCACTGCCTTCAACAAACTTCATCCGTCCTCCTTCTCTACATTGTTCTCCCACAGTTTTCTCAACTTGCGTCTCGCATCTCAAGGAGTTACCGGGTAGTTTTTCAACATCAAGTCTGATGCCAGATCTCTGTGTCGCTTTGAAAGCTTACATGAAGTGTGCTCAGTGGACGGAGTTGTCAGGGTTCTTCACACTTGACATCGGCACCATATTCAAGCAATTGGGAGACAATCTGAGTGCGTCCCAGCATGACGGCCAATTGGAGAGGGGTGAACCCAGCATTGTCTTTCTCGTTGACAGAAATTTCCGCATCTTGGAGGAGGACTGATATGACGTCTGAGTGATTTCCGGCGACAGCCATATGTAGAAGAGGGGCAGTGTTTGACACAGGTTCCGGTGTTGCGACCTTGGACTGGTTTCTAGTGGAAGGAGCCCATGGTAAAGTAAAGTTGAGATCTTCTGTGGGAATAGTCAGATCAGGAAGCCCATGCAAAAAACCGGTGTCGGAAGAAGATAAAGTGGTTGGTTCTCCAAAGAATAGTTCCCCTGCCCTCGGATCAGCCGTTATTGGTGGCATTTGCACCAAGTTCTGGCAATCCGATTTCTGAATGCTTGATACCGGGGATGGATATGGTATGGGGTAGCCGGAGGCATCGACACTGCTGCTCGGTGGTAGTTTGGGCGGTGACGAGGGACTGCCGGTGCTAGCAGATCCCTGGCGGTCATTTAGAGCAGACCACGCTCCAGGGGTCATTTGCTGTGGTTCAATGTTGGCGGCACCCCATGGTTCGCTAGGGCAGTGCCAGGGCGAGGCTGGAGGTGAGTTGGGACCCTTCCCTTGCTGACACTGGCGCAGCTGCTTCCTGAGCTCCTCAACCTCTCTGGCCTTGCGCTGCGCATTCCGTCCTGCAAGTTGGGCATCAGCTTCGTCCTGAAAAGAAGATAGAGCGAGTAAGTGAACTGACGGTAAGCCCGCTGCGCAATACGGTTCTGGATCTTCCTGCGTTCAGCTGTGTTCCGAAGGCCGCGCTGAGGACAATGGTCAGTGACCCGTCAAGACGCGGCTGTTCGTGCTGCTCATGACATACCCAGTCCTCGTCCGGCTTCATCAGGTCGGCGTATGCGATACGGGGTGGTGTACACATGTTTTGCGGCCCGGTGGTAGGAGGCATGCTTGTTGTCATGATGGAGGACGTGAATGCATTTCTGCCTGCTTTATCATTGTTCAGTACTCGAGCTTGCCGCGTGTGATGAGTATGCAAGTGGCCACTTCTCCTGGCTAGACGTGCGCGGGACACCGTACGATCGGAGAGACTCGATGGTAAGTACCACAACTCACCCCATGCTGAATGGGTTAGCTCCCTTTCGAGAACGTGACGCGCAATCACCGCCGCCATGATATTCCTGGGGGTGGCCTGCCCCCGCCGCACAGATCAACGTGCACCATGCAATGAAGGGATCTTAGCGTTCGTCATCCTGCAGTGCGATGGTGATGCTCTTATCTGACGTTCAAGGACGCACTGTCACTAGCTTTCATTCGGGTGAAGGGCCTCTGGATGGCGAATGTCCAACCCGTGAGTGTGAGTGGGCTGCAATGAAGCACGTCAGCTATGATCTGACGTCTAATATAACCACATATGCAATACTTTGGTGGCCCTTCTTTTAGGACAAGGCGTGTTATCTCCCCACTATAATAACCCCTAACCGCTTTGAGAAGCTTTTCTGCCCCGCCCCCGCCACTCCCGCCTTGGCACCGCTGTATACCGCGTCGGTACTAGTATATGCAATGTCAAGAGTCGCCGCCACTCGCTTCATTTCTTCCAACCAACACATTGGCGCAGCAGTCCGTGGAAGCTTGTCAGCCATTCAAACCCCCAATTTTGACACACTAATGTATGTAGTTGTCAGGATAGACTCTCGGTGTATTGAGCAGAATTGTTAAAGGTCTATATTGGTGGGTTGTTAGCTTGTATGCTTCTTTGAGCTTTCAACAGCAGATCTGTCGGCTGTTCTGGCTAGTCAGCGCTCTGACCTGCGACGACCCGGGAAAGTAGGTCCTTCTGTCTCGTTGCACCTGCTCCACCCAGCTCTCCCAATTGTCTAGTACCTCCCTGAGGCGTTGAGACCGGGTGGTCGCCCAGACGTGCTCAAAGTAGTCCTGGCTGATGCTGAATGGCTTTCCTGTCACATTTGGGACATACCTCCCAACCAGCTGCGATGGATGGAAGCACTCTGCCCCTACCATGCCTTCAAGCATGTGTTTCCAGGCTTGCATTTTCGGTCGGAGCTTGGAGCTGTGGAACGGCACATCCATACCAGCTAAGGGAATCGTGGCAGCACCGCGTTGAAGGCTGATGCTTGTAGACGTAAGCCCGCCATAAGTACGAGCATTCTGGCTGATAAGTGACTCAAAACGTATATTTCCCTCTCCCGGTCTGCCGAGGGCCTTTATGTCGTCTGCCACTTTTTGTACAAGGTCGAGCGCTCGTGAATCTCCGGCACAGACGTATTGGCTGTTGCGTATGTTGCGGTTGACAATCTCAATGAACCACCCCGTCTGGACCCTAATCTGGCGCACCAGCTCCTCTATGGCAGACTCGTCGATATCTGAAATATCACGAACATACGTCAGTTGTAGCTCATGATTTGTAGTTGATCCTGGGAGAGCTCTCACCTTTTCCCATCCGGCTTGGATCTACCGCCACCATTGAGAAGGCACTTTGGCCAAACGCGTCGCGTTCCACTGCGCCTTGCATAGTCATGCCGCGATAGAAGAAGAACTTCAGCACCTCCTCCAAGGACAGAAAATCAGTTCCACAGGCCAGCGCCACCCATTCGCCCAGTGAATGACCCGTGAAACGAAAGTCGGTGTCGACGACGCCTGAAGCCTGCATGTCCCTGAACGCGGCCATTTCCATGATAGCCAGTGCAGGCTGTGCGAATTGCGTAGCGAAGAGCAATCCCTTGGGCGACGTATGAGTAAACTCGATGGTATCTTCCTTGATCGTAGGAAAGAGTGGCCTTGGCTCCAACTTTCCCTCTGCATTTTGGACTTGATCCTGCATTGACATGTACTTCCGGCGGAGCTCACGACCCCGTGCTCCCCCAAAATGAACTTTTATCTCCTTGGGGTTGTCTCGAACGATATTGAGGATGCTGACTCCAAGGTGCTCCAAGAAGTAAGCATCAGCTATGTCCCAGATACCCCGGGCAACTGATGATGAGGCGTAGAGATCCATACCCATCCCCTTTTCTTGGCTGCCTTGTCCGGTGAACACAATAGTGGTTGCGGGCTGGGTCGCCAGCGCTGAGCCTGTAAGGACTCTGGTTCCACTTTCTGCTTCTTGGACCTCAATATCATAAATTGCGAGGCCAGCCTGCATCCCCGTGTGACGAATTGATACTTTGAGTAGCTGGTCTGGCAGTACCATGCCGGCAAAGGACGCCTGGTACTTCATGACTCGCCTTTTTCCGCCAAGGTAGTTTTCCAAAACCAGCGCAACTGCTGCAGAGCAGTACATACCGTGTGTGATGGTTCCGGGGAGGCCTGCAAGCCGTGCAAAAGACGGTGAGGTGTGAATCGGGTTAAAGTCGTCTGACGCCGCCGAGTAAGGTTCGTTGGAGGTCGGGGCGCGTATGTAGCTAACCTGGGCTGGAGAAACAGGGGACAACCGGTGAACCTTGTTGCTGTCTACTATACGGCCACGTCGAAGCAAATACGACAGGACAGGACTTTGGTTCGAGTCATTCTGGCAGAGTTCGATTGTCGCGATTGGAGTCAGCTCGCCATCCTCGGATCTGGCATAGGCTTTGCCTGAAGTATTAACACTGCTGCATCTCGTATGTGTCTGCAAGTGGAATTCTAAGGTGACATCGGGGAGGTTGAGATTGTCAAGAGTCCTTGGGTCATCCACGCGAAACCACGGCTTGGAGTCGAGAACAGCGACATCCGCGGTGCATGACAGTTTGAGTTCGTAGTGCGGTTCGACCCTTTGAGTGAAAGTGCTATCAAAATCCGTATATGTGCCGCGGTATCGAAATCGGGACAGTATTGTGACCAGAATTGGTCCAGAAGGAGTCCGCCGAAGTTTACACGCAATCTCAACGGTCTTTCCTGCATTATCAATGGCAACAGAAGTCACTCGAGCCCTAGCTACGAGCTCATCACCAATCTTCATCGGGCTGGCTGTGGTGTGGACTTCGTACATGTTCGAGAGAAATAAGAGGTTGAGCAGATCGCCTTGTGTTGGGTGATGCAACAGAGCCCCACATATTGCCCCCCAGGCCGGGACTATAGCAAAGTCCAGTAGAACTTTGTCCAAAGATGCATTGATGGCTCTGTTGAACTCGTTGACTCGGGACCTCTCCACACGAAATCTGTCCTCGAACACCAGGGAATCCGTTGATGGACAAACATGACGCCAGAGGCGGCAGTACAGGTTGCGGATGCTCTCCTCACGGCCCGACCAGCTCTCCCAGATAGGTGCATAGCTGGTCTCTGGATGATATTCAAATTTCAGGGTTAGTGGCACTGATTGACCGGAGGCGGTGGTGTGTGTGTAGAGGAGGCATGTAATATCCTTGCCACGCTTCGAAGCATGCATAAGCAACCTTCTTGGCTCATTCCTTCCCCCTTCATACAATGAGATTGAGCTCTTGTTAGATTCGATCATGTCTGCCTCCGCAAATTCGAGTAGCTTCCGAATGGGATTATCCACGAGATGGCGTCCTCGCAGCACGGATCGCCACCTGAGCAATGCGTTTACCCAGAGGTCGTCTTGCGGGCTATGGCTTGAAATTGATTGTGGCGTGTTAGGGATTCGTTGAGCACTGTCGTTGAAGTCATTGGGCTTGAGAAACTCTTCGAAAGGAATTCGAGACTCGTCTCCATCGTATTCTGCGGCAACGAAATGTCGGATCACACCATGGTTTATTCCGTCAAGAACCTCACCCACAGGCTCATTGACTTTGCGCGTGTGGCGAGCCGCAACCGGCCCATGCAGGATGATAAGGCGGCCAACATCCTGTTCGAGGACCGCCTCGAGTTGTTCCGACTGCCAGAGAGAATCCTTCTTGAACCATCGCTCAAAATTCTCGTCCAGGACAGGTATGAATGGGACTGGTTTCTGCCCCGGCCGGCTGCAGAGCTGCAGGAAGTAGTCATGATCCTCAGAGTATAATGGCCACGTTGTAGCATCTGGAAATGTTCGGAGAATTGTTTCCAGTACAAGATCAGGGCCCTGACGGGATATTGCGCTGTCGTCAACAAAGCTATTTTCGTCCTGCCTCATGCTGTTGGCGAAGCGTGCCTCAATTCTCCGCAGCCAGTCCGCAAAAAGTGATGAATAGCTTTCGTCAACCCAACAATCCATATGCTTCATGAACATCAGCCGTGCCAGCCTGCGTGCAACCTCGCCGTATGTCATCGCTGTCACATCGCAGGCTCGGCCGCCCGACTTCTCTCCAAACCAGGGCTTCTGGTGGTCGGCATTCAGACGTGCGATGAGCTCAGTTTTCCTCTTCATCAGTGCAGCCACCCGCTTGTTCTTTTCCAGAGAGAAGATACTCTTGTCCAGATCAGCCCAGAGTTGAGCGCCACGGGTCGCGATGACGTGCATGGGCTCCCCCATTTCGCTCACTATTGATATGACCCCGCCGACAGCTTTCTGGTATGTGCCTTCCCAGGCGGAGTCATCGACTCCAGGAGCAGCCACGATGGCCTGCTTCGCGCCTTGAGAAGTGTAAGCTTCAGCGCACGCCATGACGCGGCTGCCGAACAAAACGCCGTCAACAGGCATAGCCGATCTTTGGCCATGATCCATGCTCCAGGTGCCAGTCAGGTAGGGCGTGACATCGTTGCAAGACCCGAAGCCAGAGCCAGCAACCAAGACGATATTTTCGCAAGTCCTGATGGCGGCGTAAGTCTCCAATAAGGGGGCATGAAAGTCCTCCGCTGAGTGATGGCCTCCGCCACGGCCGCCTGTCCATTGCAGAACAACGGGAAAGGGTCGAATTCGTCTTGCGATTTCAATGACCTGCCGGATTCCCGCGACAGATCCTGGTTTGAACGATACGTGGTCCAGCCCTAGTGTCGTTATGTAGTCTGTTGCAACTTCCAGGGATGGCACCCCCCCGCCGACAGTCATGCCGGTCAGGGGAAACCCTTCTGCACGTAGTTGTCTAATCAAGGGGATCTGCCACGCCAGCGCCTTTGGACTTACATAAATGATGTTAATGGTTATCGTTCGGCCTGCAGGCATCATGTCACGTAGCTTGCACAACGCGGACCGGAGAGAATCGGCATTGTTGTACCCGCCAGCCGCAAACTCGACGGGATATCCTGCTCTCACTGCAGTTTGTGGTGTTAGCGAGGTAATAAGAGCGGAGTGACTTTGAGATATACGTACTGGCCGCCGCCACAAACTCAGGATGTGTCGTCGTTGGTGTCATACCGGCAATGAGGAAAGGGGGCAAGCCGAACAATCGACTGAATTTCGATCCGATCATTGGACCAGCGGCTGTTTTGACGACAGAGACGCGGTATGGTTCTGTGAATCTCGGAAGAGGCACACCTTCATTCGAGAACAGCTCGACGAGAGAGCCTAGTTCGGATTCTTTGTTGCTGCCTAGAGTTCCTGCGACAATGACCCGAGCGTCATTCCCTCTCAGATTGCGCCGAGTAAGAAGTCCAACACCAGTTGAGGCCCCCGGACCAAAATCCACTATCTTTCTTACACCGGTAAAAGCACATAGCGGCCAGTCTACTGGCTCAGAGACAACCATTCGGATCAGCCGTGGGACTAGGTCTCTTTGATGCGGCCCCAATGAAGTCAGAGACGACCCGTCAAGTAGGGCATTGACGGGCAGCCTCAAAGAAGAAGTGGATAAAAAGCATCCTTGCAGGTCTTCTTCGATGACAGGGATAGCTGCATCGAGCAACTTGCAATGGGACGGAATTGTGACGGGAAGAAACCTCATTGACGCAGATGGCTTTCTCTGGGAGTGCGGTATTCGTGCTCGGGACGAAACACTCTTTGGGGCTATTGATTCCAGGATTCGGATCAATGCACCCAATGTTCGTGGAAATCCGCTGACGATAAACTGAGAGTCGGTGTTGGTGAGGCTGAGTGTCACATATCTCTCGGGTGGACTAGTCTCGTTGGTTCGGGTGATAGCAAGTTCCAGTTCTCGGCGGCAGAGCCCAGAAACTGCAAGCATAGGCGATGTTGGGCCATAGCCAGCAGACAGAAACTCTTGTGCAACCTGCGGCGAGATGTTCCTGTGATAAAGGAGGTGTTTAGCACATCTAATCTGGCAGGAGACACTAAAATGGGGGAACATACTCTTTAGAGAAATGCTGCTGGCATCGAGCACCGATCCAGAATAGAATGGTGACAGCTTTGAGAGCGGCATCATGAAAGGTAGGCCAGTCTGATGCAGTAGAAAGCGCGCAGGCCACCACCACCCCCTGGGAGTGCCCGCTGAGTCCGTTGAAGACATTAGGGATTTCGGCTGGTGTCAGGCCGAGCGACAAGAGAATGGCCTTGAAATACAACAGCTGTAATAGACCGATAAGTGGAAAACTAACAGGTGCTGCCAAAAGATCATTCTCGGTTGGTGTTGACGCAGGCTTGCGCAACCATTGTAGAACATCGATCCCGTTTGCGTACTGCTCTGATACCCGCGTGTCTCGGGATAGAGAAAGCAGATGGTGGCCCAGAGTCTCCAACAGATCATCGACAAGGGCCCCATAGGTCAATGAAACGCTGCGGATCTCATCAAAATAGCGAGTCGTGTTTCCCTGTCCCCCAAACACGCCGTGAAGCATTGCCTTTTCTCCGTGATGGATGTGTAAACCAGATGGTTTCAAACGCCCTATGATGCCAGTAACTAGAAATGCATCAAAGTATCCTCGGATGATTCTCTGTTGTACGCTGCGGTCAGTCGACTGGGCGACCGCTAAGGCGTGAATGTCAAGTTCTCCCAAGATTGTGGATTGAAGATGATCCCATGTGAGAGTAAGCAACTCGACTTGGTGCTCGGTTTGTATCTGGCCCGCAATGCAACAGATAAGGCGAGTGCAGAGTTCAACAGGCAGGAGATTGGGCTGTTCCTCGCCGACCGAGTGGCTTTCGAGGTATGTGGAATAGCCAATCCTCTGCTGTTCGGCATAATCGAAAAGGTGAGACGGTATCAGTATTTCCAGTTCCTTCCTCACGCGCCACACTTTGTCCATCTTAGCAACACCTATCTTCAGGTGAATCTTTTGCACACGACACTTTGGAAGACGCCACTGCTGGGGGTTCAGGTGAAGGCAGCAACGTGCTCAGGTATTCTAGTCAGGGCTCTGTGAGGCATTCAGTCGACCAATGAGACTCGGTCCTTTTTATTACTATACGGGCTAAACCATTCCAAGAACCAAAGTAAGCTAGTCTCCGCTGTTGACTACCTAGCTTAGTATGCTATTACTAAGACAAGCGGACATTGAGGTGGCACAGACTTCGTCCCCTCTATGGTCTTGTATGAAGCATAGTACTAACAGAGCGAAATATGACTATGCATTTCCGTATGAAGTTCGAGATATCTGCCCATCCCCTGCCGTCGCTGCACAGCCCAGATGCTGTATTGGTCCCCTGTAGCAGTCTCACAACGACTCACAACGCCTCAGGAGAGAAAGGGTCAGCCATGTGGAGTGTTGTGGCTCATAGATACACCTCAACTTGATCTTACGCATACTACCGTCCGTCTTGGAGCCTGCTCAGAATACTACCATGTCTCCCCCAGCGCCGAAGGCAGGTCTTGGTAGGTGATGGCGCTTTGGAACCAGCAAGCCTCTCACTGATAGCTCTCTCGATAGACTGGGCTTTTCTTTCCTTGGCGAATGACATTCCCATGAACGGGCATATTGAGGCATGGTACAGTGAAACCAAGTGCACTTGGTCGACCCCCAGCCTGGTGACAAACCCGGGAATTACAGTCCATGGGCTCTGTCCCGGTCTGAACTACGGACAGCAGTGCTACGAGGGAATGAAGGCGTTTCGCACAGCTGACAACCGCATCGTCGTCTTCCGTCCCCATCGTCACGCTGCCCGCATGGCTAGATCTGCCGAGTCAGTCTGTCTTCCGCCTCCGCCAGAGGAACTGTTCCTGGAATGCATCCGTCAAGTGGTAGCGGCCAACGCTGAATTTGTCCCCCCAGCCGAGGCAGATTCGTATCTATATATTCGGCCCGTGCTCTTTGGTGCCTCTGCCAGAATTGCGCTGGCCCCGTCAGAAGACACCCTCTTGGCCGTATACGTACAGCCTCTCCGACCGTATCACGGCTCAGCCGCCATCGACGCTGTGGTGCTAGAAGATTTCGACCGGGCAGCACCACGCGGAATGGGCCAGTACAAAATTGGAGGCAACTACGCACCTGTCTGGAAGCACACGGCAAAAGCCAAAGCAAGTGGTTTTGGTGTCACACTACACCTCGACAGCGCCACAAGGACTTTTGTGGAAGAGTTCTCCACCAGTGGCTTCCTGGGTCACAAGACAACGAGCGGGCGTCACATGCTGGTAGTGCCGGACACCACCACGGCCATCGAGAGCGTGACGAGCGACAGCATGCAGAAGTTGGCCGAGAAGGAGGGTTGGGCCATCCACAAAGAACCAGTAAGTCAAAGCCTGGCGCACAAAAAACCTAGGTCGAGGAGATCATTAACAACATAGAAGTTACCGTTTGCCGCGGTCTCTGAGTTGGATGAGGTTGTTGCTGTTGGGACTGCAGCAGCTGCAGTACCTGTCCGCAGCATCACCCGCCTCTCAACGGACGAGAAATATACCTTCAGGGATGGAGACGGAAAGCTCACAGGCTTAGCATCGCTCATGGCTGATATCCAACGAGGGCGGGCCGTAGATACTTGGAACTGGTGCCATGAGATAACAGGATTTGCAGATAAGGGTCAAAAGGCGGGGATCGTCAGGGACATGAATGGTCTCTAGTGTGTACGGCAAGACATTCTGGAGCCTGTAGTGCAAAGCCTTTGTTCACCTGTGCTTCATTACACTCGATATGTGTACTATGGATCATCTCTACCCAACTAGCAACCAGACCGCCATCTTGTGGGAGTAGCATCATATCTCCTACACAGATTGGAAGACCTGGGGGCTCTTCAGCATAGCATGATTAGATATTCAAGTGACGAGTTGAGACTCTCCTTCACGAGCCGGTAGTAGACTAGCAATTGGAGATATTACTACGAGGAGCCTGTTCCTTTGCAGACAACACTACTTCTTCAAAGCTCCAGTGCCATGCAAAATTTCTTCTAGTTCTATTCAATGTCTCTCACCATACACATAGAATCGTTCACCAAATGACTTCAGCAGCAAGCCGCTTAATCCTTTAATCCTGATTTTGAACTCTTGTTGAAAAAATTCAAACAGTTCGAGACGAAAATTGGAGGATGGGACCCCGTCTTTGCCCAGTAATAAAGTCCCAGAGCTGATACTCGTTCTCCCGGTGCCGGCCATAGGGACCTGCTCTAGAACCACGGCCCAACTTTCCCAGGTCACCGGCGGCGAGCTCAAAGTCTCCGTGAAACAAAATTGTCGCCATGGTCAGCAGAAGCTCTGTCATGGCCAGACCTTTGCCCAGGCATGCCCGGCTGCCAATGGAGAAGGGATTGAAGACGGAGCGGGCCCTCTCAATAGCTTTGTCGTTTGCCAGCCATCGGTCCGGCTTGTATTCAAAGGGCTCTTCGAAGTATCGCGGATCGTGATGCATGGTGTATATGGACATTCCGACATCAGATCCCGCCTCCACCACCAGAGAGTCTATCGTAGCGTCGCTACGCACACGCCTCCAAAGCGGTACTCCTACAGGAGGAGACATTCGCATCGCCTCATCCACGCACGCCCGTAGATACGTACATGAGCCCAACGCAGCACCCATGATAATGTCATTGCGCGAGGAGAATTTGGCACGGACCTCTGCTGTGGCTTTTGCTCGGGCAATTGGATTGTTCGCCAGGTAGAAGAACAGGCCTGAGAGTGCAGTTGAAGTGGTGTCGGAGCCTGCCACGATCAAGGTGGTACTCTCGGCGGCAATCTCGTTGTCAGTGAAAGTATCGCCAGTCTCAGGATCCTCGGAGGCCGCGAGATTGGCGAAGACGTCGGTCACCTCGTCCTTCTTGTCAGATATCATCTTCTGCCGGCGCAAACGCTCCTTGACCACTCGCGAAACAAAGGGGACAAACTGGTTCCGAGCCGCGATGGCGTCGCGGAACAGATACTTGGTCCATTTGAAGGACGCCAGCTGCGGGAACTGGAAAAGCGTCGACATGCGCACGTTGGACTTGTTGATAGCATCAGGAACATAGCGAAACTCATCGTTTTCGAGAAGGTTGTACCGGGCGCCAAAAACAACGTCTGACATGATGTCGAACAGAAGATAGTAGCACCAGTCGGAGATGTTGATTGCCTCGGTCTTTGAGTAGACAATCTTACAGAGCCTGTCAATATGGACGGCAATCCTCTTCTCGTATCCCCGTTGCGCTTTTTCCGAGACCCCTTGGGCCATGATTCTTCGCCGGCGCGCATGCTCTTTGCCGCCCCGAATTGTCAGTATGTTTGGACTTCGATGGATAAGTGGGGTGTATGAATCGGCCTTGACAAAATTGGATTGGGTTCCAGTGCTATAGATATCTTTCAATGCTTCAGCTGTGCAGAAGAGAAGCTTGTTCGGTCCGTAACGCACATGGTCTCCTGTTCAAACTCTGTGAGGACCACAATTCTCATAGTGGCTAAGCCCCGACCATCTTACCGTATCTCTGATGACATCTCCAGATATCGAGATGTATATCTCCCATCCATCCATGGTATGCCGCATAAAAGCTGGTGAACTTGGCAAGAAAAGGTCCTGGATACTTTGCAAGCGGATGGAAAAACGCCAGATAACCGATTTTCAAAAGCAGCTGGATTTATTATGAGTCAGTTTCAATGCCTCAGAAAAGAGAGCGTCTCCGAACCAAGGAGATATGTGGCACGTAACTCACAAGCACAGTAGCAGCTCCAATGATCAGCACAGCAAGGCTCAGAAGTGCCATAGTGGTCAAAGAGGGCTTCGTGATAAAGGTGAAGACGAGACGAAGACTGCCGACAAATAAGTTGCTCTAATCCGTAGTTCTTGTAGGCCAAATGTATGAGAAGCGGCCTCCATGCTCCCGTGTAAGCAGTGATTGTTAAGAATTGTGCGCCCAGATCGTCTTACTATGTCTGACTGTATACTCCTCGCGTATTACTACGCCACCTTCGTCAGCATCATTGATCGTCCAGAGCACCATTTCCATAATTTCAGATACGAGATAGCTGGAACGGGTATAAACCTAGAAGGAATCCATACTGTTAGCGTACTGGCATTTGGAGCATGCGCTCAAGGTGTAGATGCAGAAAAATTCTGCCATAATAAGCAAGGGCCAATGAAACGGACGAACATATTACTATATCGAGTAGTTCCATAACTGTGAACCTCAGATATATGGGGTCACCGTGAGTAAAACACATTCCTCATCTCGCTGCTCCGACTGAAGTGTCTCAGTCCAGTCTGGCAGGCTCCCAGTCCTGCGGGCTCTGAGTCTTGCCGGGCAGAGAAAGGCTCACTTTACGCTCAGTCCAGGTCAAATCACGTTCCTCGCACTTTTAGGCCCCGTCCACCAAGAATGTCATTCCGCGTGGACGCTAATCTTTCGCCAGTCGTCTTATACAGCGCTGGGAGTGCAGTCTGCTCGTATTCGAGGCCTTGTTTAACCATCGCGGCAAGCTCCTTTGCGGCTTTGAATATGACTGGCATGCCGTGGCCGTTGAAACCCGCAAGGACAAAACTCCCCGGTCTGTTGGGTATCGAGCCAATGTGTGGTAGTGAATCTGCACTATATCCCATGATGCCTGTCCATACTTGATTAACCTGCGCGTACGTGGTTTCCCATCCGATGAACGCTCGTTGCATAAAATCGGCCTCGAAGTATCTCTGAGCTTCTTCAATGGTATGACTATCATCAGCGTTGTTGTACCAGCTCTCAGGTTCACCTTTCTTGTATGTGTGATGAGCACCACCGACCACGATGGTGTTGTCCGCGAGTTGTATCATGTAATTGTACCCTGTGGCATCTGATGCGGGGTCCTGCTCCATGCTTAAGATGCTCGATGTCGGGAGACCGGGCAGCATTTTTCCTTCAGGGCCTGCAATGCGACATGCGAGGCCTTTGCAGGGGATAATGGCATTGGAATATTCCGGAAGTAGCGCCGATGTATAGGCGTTAGTCGCATAGATAACTTTGTGGGCTGTCGTCGTGGCTCCAGTCTCGGTGGTCAGAATATGGCCTTCGTGACCTGCACTACGTACAGACAACACGGGTGTATGGCTTTTGAGGGCAAGACCTTTGTCCATGCAACGCCTCAGTAAAGCCATAAGGAGCTTATACGGTGATAAATGCGCCGCCGGCATCGCAACGTAACCCTTAGCTTCTGCCATACCGGTGCGACGTGGCGCATCATCTCCAACGTAAAAGGTCAAATCATTCGAGACAGTCTTGTCAAACTGGGGCGCTTGCTTCAATGTGTCGTACATTTCGCGTGCAGCAGCAACTTGGTCCAAAGTGGTGAGGACGAGGAGACTGGTCGTCTCACAGAAATCGCAGTCGATGACCTCCTCAAAGATCAGGTCCTTGATCATGCTGAGATGGTCAGTTTCGAATTGCATGATTTCGAATGCCGCTGATGGTTCAAATCTTTTGCAGAGTCGCGCGGGCCCCAAAAAAAGGTCAGGGCGAAGATTCCCTCCATTGCGTCCCGTGGCACCAGAGCATGGCTCCCTTGCCTCCAGTAGGACCACGCTTGCTGGCGGATGGTCCAAATGAAGTAGGTGGTAAGCTGTTGCGATGCCAGAATATCCGCCGCCTACGATGGCGACTTCACAGGAACTCGGAAGATCAACAATATTGTCGCCGACAGCGTCATGATATTTCTGCCCTTCTTGCTGCCAGTACGATTGCATTGGTCCCGCGACCGGGAGGAGTAAATGGTTCGTCATCTCGCGCCTATACAAGGGCGAAGAACAAGTGAATACCGTAAATCAATCCGTTTGTTAATCTCACTGACCTATTCGCCACCGGACCGAACAATGTATTGGACTCGGGAAGATCGTCCGGGAAGGCGACTTTGTGCAGAACAACTGTGTCATTGGTGCCTACCCTTAGCGATAGCTGACTATGCATGGAGATTTCACCCCGAATTCTCTGTGACGCTTCTGACATTGCATGCTTTTTTTACCCAGTGTGATTTGAGGCCAAGGCGACAAGGTTCTATGATAGTGAAAGGAAATGAAGCAGAGAAAAATGTATTGGCGCCTTGAGAGCTTTGAATTTGTGTATCTCGATGGAAGTTATACCGCACCTGTGGCTTCGTCGGCAAATCTTCATACTACGTCCTCACAGTCGATAGAAAGCGAGACCTGGACGGCGTGGACTGTTGCGGCGATAGATTCCCAGAAGAATGTGCGATCAGCAAGCACGAGCGCAACCTCATTCTTGGCTGGTTTTTCGTCATTACCATCGTGATTGTTGTGCTCGCCCTGTTCTTCCAGTTTGGCTCTATGCAAATCAAAACCTGTGGCAGATTGTTGAGTTTCGGGATAAAGAGGGCGGAACAGAGCTTGCAGATGTATAAACTTGGGACAGATTCAGTTTTCATCCTAGTTCCACTTCTGGAACTCCTCGAAATCGACGAGTCTGGGCGGCGGGCATATCCTATAAAGGGAGAGAACGAAAGCCGCGCCCCTGGGGGGCGGCGCCGGTTGACGTCGAGGAAAGCATCAGAGGCGCCTTGCAGTATGTAGAATAAAGATTTCCATCTGGATTCTCCGTAGCCAGGGTGTTTGCGGCGCCCTCCGAAGCTGGCTCATTTTCCAAGTGCCCCTTCTTGAAACCTCTGGCTGAAGGTCAAGTCCACGAGCTCATTCGTGGCGACCCACGTGATCGTTACAGATGTCACATGGTGGCCTCGGCACAAGGTCTAATCACAAATTGTCTACTGAATCCCTCGTACTCTGGTGCTGATGGATTGTTAATTTATCAATTGGTGCCTTCGAGCATTGACTGATGTAGGAGAATGGAACAGCTACATAAGCAGGTAGGTCGCCTTGCGGATAATAAGACGGTGACATTGAACAAGCTATATTTCTTCCTTTACTCCCTCAGGTTAAAGTATATCAATCATTCAAATCTTTCAGCAGGCTCCTTGTACTCCTGCTCGCAATGGCCACACTTGAGGAAAAGACTATCGAGACCGAGCGCTCACTGACCTACACATACTATGTCTCACCCAAGACCAACGACAATTCCCTTCACCAGCTTTGTTCTTTATCCACGGCTTCCCCGACAGCGCTTTCATCTAGTCGGAGGTCATTGAACAGCTCCCAGACCTGCCGTACCAGATTATCGTTCCAGACTGCCTCGGGAACGCGGGTACTTCCAAGCCTCGTGATGTCTCCAAGTACAAATGGTCTGGCCAATGCGCTGACCTTCTGGATATCCTGAGGGCGGAGGACATTGAGAAGGTCGTCGTCATTGGTCACGACTGGGGATGCATCCTGGCCCAGCGGTTCTGCCAATCGCCATCCAAAAATGGTATCTGGGATGATCTTGTGTAATATTTCTTATCGACCGCCATCTGCAGAGAAATTCGACCTCGTTAAGTTTAATGCCCTGACCAAAGAGCGCTTTGGATATCCCCTCTTCCGGTATTGGTATTTCTTGACCTTTCCGGACGGCTACAAAGTCATCGATAGCAAACTTGAAAGATTCTCGGCAGTGCTGCATGGCGCCGACCCTGATTGGATGAAGACGATGTTCGCCGGCAAGGATGCAATGGTAAATTACATGTCGGGCAACGAGCGGGTTGCGTTGAAGCCGTATGCAGCCGACCCCAAATGGAGGGACGACTTTATGCAACGCTTCACCAAGGCCGGCTTCCAGGCCCCAACGAACTGGTACAAGGCACACCTGACCAATGTCCAATGGGAAGACGACCAGAGTATTCCCAAGGAGAATCATGTTGTCAATGTCCCTTTCTTTTTCGTCGGGTGCACGGGTGACACCGTTGGACGGACAGACCTGATTAACATCTTGAGGGAGGCGGGATACTTGCCAGACTTCGAGATGACCTAGATCGAATCTGGTCATTGGTGTGCAATGGAACGGCCTGAAGAGGTGGCCCAAGCCAGCAGAGACTGGGCGACGAAGCGATTCCCATGAGATGGCTGCAGACTTGCATGCATCTTGCAATGCCTAAGCTCGAGTTGTCTATTTTCTCTTTTCATATTCTCTAGGATTAGGTACTGATCCAGTTTGGGGCATAAGCCTTTGACGATACCACTGTACATTTAACATACTCCATCAATATAGCGATCTAAGGCTTCCTCTATGTTATTATACTCTCTTTACAAGTCTAGTACAATGGTTCCAATGCCTCTGGACACGCAACTGAGCATGGCAGAACACTTTTCATCTTCCATCAACCCGGTCCCTCGATGTTCCACGCTGCCACTTCTGACACCTACACGACAAGTACCACAATTCCCAGCCTCACAGGAAGATGAAATCTCCAGGCCCGCCTCCCGCAGTACAGCGAGCAGAGACTTCCCTCCTTTCACAGACAGCGTCCTCCCCGAGTCGGCCAATTGCGCCACGAAAGGGTCTCCAGAAGTCGCAACCTCGAAGGTCTCGAAGTGGAGATGGCTGGAACTGACACCCATTGAATGAGCCGCGTCTGTAACGCCCTGCTGGAGTCGACTTGAGCCGCAGCAGTAGATATGTGTGTTGCACTTCACCTTGCCCAGCACCGCCGCAGGGTTGAAATCCCTCCCCGAGGACTTGTCGTAAATGGTAACATTTGCTCCAAACTGTGTGAGATATGTCTTCAGAGCAACGTCGCACGAATTTCGAATCAGATAGTGCAGGTGATAGGATAGACCGTTCCGTTGACAGTATGCCGCGGAGGCAATGAATGCGGTGAGACCAATGCCGCCAGCGATGAGGACATGCTCGTCGGCCTCGTTCGCAAGTGGGAAAACAACAACGTATCGCCTGGGTGGAGGTCTTGATGGACGAAGTGTGATCCTCCACGGCTCGTCTCCCTAAGGGCAATAGCGAGCTCGAAACGATTTGTATCACCTGAAATCACTGAGTATGCCCGCACCAATCTTCGGTTGCTCAGTTTCACTCGCACATGCGACCCTGGCTGAACCTCCTCGGCGTTTGACAAGGGCTCGGTTTTCTCGAAGGTCAGAGAGACAATCCTAGGGGTCTCCTTCTGCTTCTGAACGAGTCTGTAACTGGACCAAATATCGAGCGCCATGCCTTCTCCGCCGGTGAGGCGTCCCTCCTGGTCCTCGTACTGCTTCCTGAGACGGTTCTCAAAAATGGTACGTGCTTCGGAGCCTAGCTCGTCGATTTCGATCAGTTGCCGCATGGCCATTTCATTCCGCATATCGTGGTAGAGATAATGTTGAACCTTGGCTATCGTCCATTCGGGATGCGGTCGTCGGAGAAGAACCATGTCGTCTCCAGCCTGCACCGTGCCTTCTTTCAGGATTCGATACAGCCAACCTGTCCGAAAGAGGTCCTGGGAGCGCTTGGACATGTCCTTGATTTGAAATCGGTGGTTCAATTTAAAGCATGGTTGACGAGGTAGCGTCACTTGCGCAACGACGGTTCCAATCTGGAGGACATCGCCGATGCAAATGTTTCGTTCGTTGGCGTACTTCGCTACGAGATTTTCACCGAATCCTCCTGGGGCGAACAAATGTGCGCTCTCAGGTAGCTCCTCTTTCCACCGATGATAGTGTAGCGTGCTGTATTGCAATAAGGCCATCTCAGGACCGCCGTGAAGCTCGAAGGCATGCTCGTCGCCGTCACATCCCAACTTGTTGACGGCGATGGGGCCTGGTCGGACATTCTTGAATATGGCAGATTGAATACCAAACGCAGGCTTCACCCTCCCAGTCCTTACTTCAAGTAGTTTCTCGCCTGTCCAGGGTCGTTCCAGAAGTTTGATTGCCTCGAGATTTTCATCTTGGAATATCGTCATAGTGGAACAACCCGAGTCGATTGCCCTGGACGAAACACATGCAGAGGCGCAGGCACCTATAACGGCAACCGTTCTGTCTCCCTGTGGTAACCCCTCCAGAATTTTCACGCCGTCGTCCAGGCTGACTCACTGGGATTCGAGGTTGCATTGAATCTGACGAAATTCCATTGGATATAGATCCGAAGTGGGGATTGGTCCTGTCGAGATCGTGGCAACATGGCGAGATCTGTAGCTCCGAAGCGATAAGAGACGACGATCTAGCATCCAGTTACATAGTTTGTGCTTTAGCAATTTCTGGGTAGACACGAGTTGTCCCTGACGGTCTGCGGCTTGGCTTCCAGCCTTCGGTTTCAGTAGAGGAATTATATCGCACATCCGGACTGGAAGACGAATGTACATCCAGCCGCCACTTGCAAGAGCCCAGGCTTGGTGTATCGGTCATTCGCAAGCCAGTACCCGTGTATGACTTTGATTTCCGAATGCGAGGAGAGGGTGGAAGAATTTCATCAGCACGCGTGCCTATCCGAGTATCTTTATGATTTTGCGGAATGCATAGATCAAGATGCGCCAAATCCTACCCGGCCCCAACCTCTTCCTGTGTTGTGACTTAGCGGACCGTTTTGAACAGGTTGCACAGCCACATTTTGCATTGTTTGTTTCAACATGACAATTCTCGGACGGTTGATCTCCCGAAGCCAGTGTAACCGGCGGCTTCACGTATGACAGTTTCGATCAAATTATCTCTCCTCTCTCCTCTCTTCTTTGTTCTTGGAGAGATCCTGCGTAAGTTCATTCACAGTCAAGGTGCATGGACTTAAGTCGTCTACAGTGCGACCGGCAGGAAAATGAAGTTTTGGACATCGTTGCTCGGATATAAAGAGTGGCAGCGCGAACGAGATGTTCCGGTTTCACTCTCCCAAAAAACATTGTCGACAACCAGTCATTCGCCCAAAATGTTACTTGTCACGCTCTGGTCAAGCATGCTGGCCTTGACAGGTCAGGGTGTCGCGCAAGATCATGGCATTTCGCCCCCTGTCTACCCCAGCCCTCCTAGTGCTGGGATTGGCTGGGAAGCAGCCTTTTCTCAAGCACAGATATTTGTGTCCAACTTGACAGTCGAAGAGAAGGCTCAACTCGTGACAGGGATCGAGGGTCCGTGTGTGGGCAACATTGGCAGCATCCCGCGGCTTGGATTTGAGGGGCTCTGCCTCCAAGACGGTCCTCTCGCCATAAGACAGGCGACGTACGCCTCTGTTTTCCCAGCGGGGCTCACAGCTGCGGCGTCATGGGACAGGGAACTCATATACCTGCGAGGCCTGTTCTTGGGAGCAGAGTTCAAAGGCAAAGGAAGTCATGTGGCCCTTGGACCCGTTGTCGGTCCTCTAGGTCGGTCTGCGTACGGCGGACGCGGCTGGGAAGGATTCTCCCCAGACCCATACCTGACTGGTGCTGCAGCGGAGGAAACAATTATGAGTATGCAACGCAGCGGCGTTCAGGCCTGCCTCAAGCATTACATTGGCAACGAGCAGGAAACGCAAAGGAATCCAGGGTTATCTCCATCCGGCACCACGATCGAAGCCGTCTCCTCCAACATTGATGATCGGACTATGCACGAGTTGTATCTGTGGCCCTTCGCCAATGGGGTCCGGGCTGGCACGGCTTCGATCATGTGCTCATACAATCGTGTGAATGGTTCCTACGGGTGCCAGAATTCCAAGACGTTAAATGGACTGTTAAAAACAGAGCTGGGCTTTCAAGGCTATGTGATGTCTGACTGGCAGGCAACGCATACTGGTGTACCTGCCGTCAAGGCCGGATTAGATATGAATATGCCTGGTCAGTCCAAACTTCCCACTCCCGGAGTTCAGCACCCTTCTCACAAGAACTTTGCTAGGACCTATTGGCAGCTCGCGGAACATCTCGTTCTTTGGCAGCAACATCACTCACGCGGTGCAGAATGGGACACTCGACCAGGATCGGCTCGACGACATGGTCACACGGATCATGACCCCTTACTTTGCCCTCAATCAGAACGTATATCCACCGATCGACGGAATTGAGCCGACGCTCAACTCAGACTATCCGCCTTATCAACACCCATTCACGTTTGGAGCCTCTGACGTGGACGTTAGAAGCGGCCACAGCCAACTCATCCGCGAGCTTGCTGCTGCCGGAACAGTACTCTTGAAGAACACAAATAACGTCTTGCCTCTGACGGCGCCAAAAACACTGGGTGTATTCGGGAATGATGCTGGTGACTTGGTAAATGGACAATATTTCCTGACCTCTGCATTCCAGACTCCCTTCGGCTATGGTAAGCAACCTTGACTTGCCCGTCTCCTCAACATAAACTGATGATAGGCTATTCTAGAATATGGAACCCTTCCTGTTGCTGGTGGCAGTGGAGCAGGCCGACTGTCATATATCGTCTCTCCACTCGAAGCCATCAAATACCGCGCAGCTTTAGATGGCACTCTGGTACAGTATATCTTGAACAACAACTTGCTTAGTCGACCTGGTGGCCTGGGTGAGATCCTGCCAATCCCAGAAGTCTGCCTTGTGTTTCTTAAGTCCTGGGCAACTGAAGGAAGTGATAGGCGCAGTCTCGAAGCAGACTGGGACAGCACAGCCGTCGTCAACTCCGTTGCTGCATACTGCAATAACACGGTGGTCATCACGCACTCGGCTGGGCTGAACGTGATGCCCTGGGCGCATAACCCCAACGTTACAGCCATTCTTGCGGCACATCTTCCTGGACAAGAATCTGGGAACGCCATCGTCGACATCCTTTATGGAGCGGTCAGTCCAAGCGGTAAGCTGCCGTATACCATCGCCTTGAACGAGAGCGATTACTCGTTTGGCGGCATCACCAATTCCACTGCATTACTTCGGACCGAAAATCCAAACGCATGGCAATCCAACTTCACTGAGGGTTTGCTGATTGATTACCGGCATTTCGACTATTATAACAAAACAGTCTTGTATGAGTTCGGCTTTGGCCTGTCCTATACGACTTTCAACTTATCAGACTTGAGGGTGGAGAAGCAAAACGCTATGATCAGTCCTCTTCCGGACTCTCTCCCGATAGCCCCAGGTGGGAATCCGTCGCTGTGGCAGATACTCTGCACGGTGAATTTTACGGTGGCGAACACCGGCGACGTGCTCGGCGGTGCGGTGCCGCAGCTGTACCTGTCCTTCCCACCCATACCCAGCTCCATGCCCACTCCACGCAACGTGCTCCGTGGCTTTGGCAAAATCTGGCTCGATCCTGGTGGATCGCAGACCGCGAGCTTCCCACTGACAAGGCGGGATTTGAGCTATTGGAACGTTAACAAGCAGGAGTGGGTTATCCCCTCTGGGACTTTTGTCGTGTCTATTGGTTTCAGTTCGAGGGATCTGACGCTAAAGGATCAACTGACTGTTGTTGGATGAGATTAAAACCACTTGAGGCGTGAATTAGGCACGGAGCCCAGGATAGAGGATATTATATGCACCTGCTTGGAAAGGTAGTCAAGGGGATCGAGGCCTAGGCCTGTGCTCTTCTCTGGCCCATAGATGCTCAGATGAAGAATTTCAGCCAAGTTCCATTAAGGACCGTAAGATCTCTTGCGCTCGTCCCACCCATATAGTCTCATGTAAACTTCCTGATTCCAGGCCCCTCAGCGGAACCCGTAGATTACGTCCTAGTTCGTTTCCAAACTCTTTACCATGGCACTTCGCACTTGACCTTGGTGTTGGTCCCGTGCAGAAACCCCAATGAACGTCATCGCGGCAAGGAGCGACGTGGAGTCAAGGCCTGGGTTGGAGTTGGCGGTATTGATATGTTGGTGTTGGATTACTGCTGCAAGGTTGGAGACATAATTATCTGTGCAGCGCTAGATGCGAGTCTGCGATCGCCCATGCCAGCTCCAGATTCTGACAGCGGGCGAGCATAAGGTGATACGGAGGTTACTGACGCAAGGAGATCTCGTAGGGGTTCGCTGTTTCCAAGTTCTTTCGAGTGTCACCGTTTTCTCAGAACACGCAACCTCAGCACGACTATCCGTTTCGTCCCAGTAAAGGTTGGCCTACCCTCATTTTTCCTTCCTCAATGGGTTTTCTGAATAGCTTTTTATCCTGGCTCATATGGAGTTCACGACTTCGCAATGCAGACTTGTTAGCCCCTGCCCCCGTGAGAAATCGTTTCTCAATGAACGGCCCGTGTTGTGTCGCAAGATGCGCCCCAAACGGTGAACATCATCCAGAGCTTAGAGTGGAGGCAGGCCTTCTCTGCATACAGGACAAACGAGCCTCAGATTCATCCAACCCTCAAGGCACTCGGCATGAAATATATGCCGACAAGGAGTCACCATATAGTTTCTCTGCTCAAGCCACGCCACCCCGGTACTCCTGGTAAGAGGTCTTCCACTCATACTGTCTGCTTTCGACAGAACTGGCACATCGATTTCGTTCATACAAATGGCGCAATCGAACACCTTGCGGGTTCTGTCGTCTTTGTCTTTGGCCTCAGACGCAGAGGCGAGCCGCCCGATGGACATCCCATTTGCTTCGACATCATCCTCACGGAGTAAGGGGTGGTAATCGTAGGCCGGCGGGCACCAGGAATCTTGCACAAGAAGACGGGGGCCTAGGAACTGTTGGCTCGCAAGGAGCGCGACTTGAAGCCACAGCCAACCAAGCAAGATAACAGCGGCAGTCGGGCTCGTGTCGATGGAAAGGAGGTTATTATCGGCGAAATACCAATAGAGGATTGGCACTGCGCGAAGAATACTTGTGCCGACCACATATTCCCAGCTCAGGGCTTTTCGACAGTTACGCATTGCGTTGCGATAGATCTGTGGCCACCAGTATGAGAAGTAACATAATACCAAAAGGTTCACATAAGCCGATCGCAAGGCTCTTGGCCACGTCGTTGCCCAGAGGGAAAAGAACATGAGCATCACGAGCGAGAAGTAGAATCGACTGTAAATGGCAGCAAAGGAGGCACGTGGGCTCGGAATCTCTGCTGGCACCGGGTTTCCCTGATCGGAGGGGATGATCACTGGAGTAGCTCCATCAGGCCTTGGAGCTGTGGCTGGAAGAGGCAGGCCGACCGTGGCATCGGCGCTTGATGTTTGGACACCAGTCGATGCTGAAGCAGGTGTAGCTGCCGGATTTGTGGTGGCCCTCCGTTGACGTTCCTGTTCCGCACGCGCAGGGTCGCCGACCTGGACTGTCCAGATGTCAAAGACGAACTTCACCTCCAGAAAGGCAACGTGTATACAGGCCAGATAGGCAGCTGCTGCGACCATTAAGAAAGCTGCATCATCTACCATGAGCAGTGCCATGAGCGCAAACAAGAGCAAGCCATCACCTAGTGCAGCAATGACAATACTTTGGTAAGCAATGCGGCTTCGGGTCGAGGGCGTGGAAGCCTTTTCCATTTGCCGTTTGAGAAGAGCGATTTGCATCCCAATCGAGATGACGTATGCAAACAGCAATCGCTGTGCTAGAGTCCAGTACGTCTCGATTTTAGGCCCGAAAAGCGTGGGAGATGATAAGATGTAACCGCAGTCGGGCGAGAAAACGACGGCTGAAAAGCTCAACGGTGGCGACTGTCCGACAGGAGCGCCTTCTGGCTGAGATAGCTCCTGTTCAACTCGGTGAAGGAAATCACTGGCTCTCGTTGAATCAAGACTGGAAAACCTATACGGTATCGGCTGCAGCCAGACGATGAGTTCGCATTGAGGAGCAAATACCAGTCCATCGACTCCGTCGTCGAAGGCTCTGTCCCACATTTCGTGAATTGTCTCGTTCACCACGGGTATCGATGCATTGAAAGCTGTAACATCCAGGGCAAAATGCGGAAGAGCGGGCAGAGCGTCGAATTTGGAACTGGCCGTAGACATGATGATCTGGCCCGAAGGAAGATGGACGCCCTGGAGCTTGGCCTGCCAACCATTGCCAGGAGAGGAATCTGTCCAAATGGAAATGTCCGCTTTGATTGAGGAGGCTTCTCGAACTGGCCTCTCATTGACATCGTGGATGGATAGACTGAGCTCGCCTTCACGTTCAGTGATATTTCTTTCGAATCTGTCCGTGAGATAGTCCATTCTTGGGTCCAGGGCGGTCAGGTTGATAACTGGAGAGATGCCGGAGATCTCATCGTGGTAGAACTTGCCACGAACCTCCCCCGTGACCCTTTGAAAGATGGGCAAATTATCGGTCACATCTATCCCCTCCCAGTTGGTTTCAAACTGACCTCGGCTCAGGTCCTGCGCGAGTGATAGGGAATCCCATTTGTAGCCATCGACTTTTCGAAAGCCTGTCAAGTTCAACCAGCTATTTCCTTTCGGATTGATTTGCCCGTAAGATGAATTTGCCAAAACGTCGAGTCCTGCTCGACGCTCATCCTCGATGCGATCCGAGTCGAGTTGGCGCAAGCGTCGTGCAGGCTGTTCTGGAGTGAGAAAGACGAAAAGAAGCAAAATGATCAACAGTGCGACACGGGGACTCTCCATCCACCGGATTGTAACCTTCTGCGACTCATCGCAGAGTTCAACTATTATGATCTTTGAGATGGACTGTGGATGATGAGTTGTCGCGAGAAGGCGCCAGCAGGGGACACGCTGATGTTCGGATAAAGTATTTCTCCATAGACCGAGGTTGCCCCTTTGAGCCGCCGCCAACATCCCTCATTCTATGGCACCCATATGGAGTCCGAGCACGGAGTCAAGGAGCCCAGACACAGCTTTCCAAAGGATTTCCTCGGTACACAAAACACGGACTCTGTTGGTGCATACCAAGTCAGCCTGGGCACCTGTCCCTTTGGAGGGTGGCGGCAACTATCACTCGCGATGGCTAATATAATGCCCATTCCTCTACCTCCTCGAACACCTACACCTCCCCCTGACGAGATGTCCTCGCCTCAGAAACCTGCAGCATTCGATCCAGAACCTCCATATGACCCGAGGTCACTGTCACCGCACCAGTACGATCCCGAATACATGCCCTCACCTGGAGTCGCATACTTCTCCCCCGCAACCCCTGAAAAACAAAGCGTGAATATCAATGGAAATGGAACAGGACCATTCAACTTCCAGCCATCGACGCTAGCCAAGTCTCCAGTGATCAAATCTGTTCGTGGCTGTCCCCATCCACTCACAGCTCTGTGATCTATCAAAAGATATACTGATTGGGAGTTTCCATATTTTAGAACATCGGCCAGAGGCGCGGCCATAAGTACAAACACAGCAGTGTCTCACACCAAATTTTCCTTGAACCTCCTCCGCGGGCGCCTTTAGCGTTACCCAACTCACTTCCGATTCCTACGTTCGCAGAATGCCGAGCTAGCATGACGAAAGATCAAAAGGTTCGCTTCTACTGGAGCATCTGTCACATGGCTATCGCAGGCTACACGGCATGGAACGCGCATGGTTCGTCTGCAATGGAAGCTCTATCGCACTTGATCTTTTATGACTCGTTGGGAGCATTGTTGTGTGTCTTGGTGGAAGTCCTTTCCAATTTCGAAGTATGGGGACGGTCAAGCGTACGGCATCCGTTCGGTCTACAACGTATGGAAGTCATTGCTGGATTCGCCCTCTCTGTCCTGTTGATTTTCTTTGGCTTCGACCTTATCTCGCACAACGCAAAGCACGCCCTGGAAGGTATTGGGCACGAGCCTCACCATCCACACATACACGAACAAGTCACAGCTGGCACCGTCGACGTGACGGCGATACTAGCTCTCGTCGCAACATTGATCTCCGCAGTGGGCCTACAGAATCACGCACGAATAGGGAAAGCGATGCGTTTCGCAGCCATGGAGAATCTGCCATCACTACTTAGCAACCCTTGTCATTTTCTGACACTCTCTTGTTCGGCAACAGTCTTACTACTCCCTCTTCTCGACCTTCACACCTATGAATGGGTGGACAAAGCCCTGTCACTGAGTATCGCATTTTCCATGCTCTTTTTGGGCTTCCACCTTGGCCGCAATGTTGGTTCGATGCTCCTGATGTCACTGCCCTCGAAATCCGCCTCTGCTCTATCCGAAGTCGTGGAGACGATTGAATCCGACCCCTTGGTGCGAGCAGTCGAACAAGCCAAGTTTTGGCAAGCACACTATGGCACAGGTATGGCGAATCTGCGACTCCGAGTCGTTGGTAGCGAAGAGAACCTGGTGAAGCTCAGGGAACGGATCACGAGTATTGTGCGGAACAAATTGAGCGGCGGGTATGGTTTGGGAAGCAGTGGCCAGAAATGGGAAGTAAGCGTCCAGTTCAAAGTCGAAGCGGAAACGGCGATGAGTGCAAGTCATAGTCATTTCATGAGTCCTCAGTCATGGGTGGGAATGACGACTTAAAACGGGCATGGCTGCTCTTTGTATATTTACAATTATCTGATGACTTTACGACATGATAAGCCCAGACAGAATACTGTCCAGCGTGGCGGGACAATGTAAATTTACAGAGTTTCGATCATGAACCCACATCCTTGAAACCTGGTTCCCACCAGCTGGGTCAGTCGAAGAACTTCTTGCTTGGGCGTTGATCGATCACCGAGGACAACCCGTGTGACAACAAGGGATCCCGAGCGATTTCATTCCAGGAACCCATGTGGCCTGCACGATGTCGGTTCAGAACAGCCAGAAGATCCGCAGCTTCGCTTCGGGACTCGTACGGCAGGCTTTCATGTCTCTGTGGAGCTCCAGTGGCGGTTCTTGGTTGACTCGTTGTTCAGGTTCCGCGCATCTTCACAGTCAAGAGAGCCTGCCTGAGAATCGCACCCTCCATAGGCACGACTTCGGCGGCGCCGACTTCCTCGATCTTCTCTCTGACGTTCTTCAGCAACGTCTCTGCTTCCTCCTGCGACGCTTTTCTCTGGTGCCTTTTGTTTGCCAACAGGAGCTCGACTTTCTTTCCTTTCTTTAGAAACTCTTGCATCTGCTTCATCTTGAGCTGGAGGTCATTGGCGCTAATGGCCCAGTTGAGCTCCAACTGTTTCGGTCTCTTCTCCTTCTCCAGCCGTTTCTGATTCTTCAACAGATCCTCTTGGCGGTTAATCCTTTGGATTAGATCGGTACGGGTGACAATCTGCACAATAGCCATCTCGCCTTCTGCGGGCTTGTTCATTTGTAGCACATACTGGGTGGTGTGGTCAATCGAATCGAGCAGTTTGTAGAGCGGCTGCGGCTCAGAGAGCTTGCCATCAGGACCTTTGAGTTGGACTTTGGGAGACCGGATCCTTTCGTTCAGTGTGAATGCGGCGATTTTGTCATCGATGGTTTTGATCTCAATTTTCCCAGCAACGCGCCGTTGGTCAATTGCGAGACAGGGAGTGGTCGCGAAGCATCTTTTCGATGCTAACTGAAAGTGCTGGACGGGTCGGAGAGCCCGCACGAGCGGTCGAGGAAACCAGATAGACCGCCGCATCCAAGTGTGAGTCGAGGTATCCTGTTGAGGGAAGCAGATTGCAGCGAAAGTCCGCAGCTCAATTCTGAACTCCTCAATTCTCGTCACTTGCGACCCCAAATCTGAAGTGAGGGAGAGACACAGCCTCACCACTTTCTCCGCATCTATCGGCCCCCTGTCCATCCGCAGGCTCTACGACTGATTTTCAAGAAATTCCAGATTGCACGTTCTCCTTCTCGTTCTATTTCGCTCGCTTTGTCCACTTCCATGTCCTCTTTGGCCAAATCCTCAGACCGATCCGGCATCTGGTCATACGTTCCTTTCAGCTCCTCCCCTCGCCGCCGCTCCGTCAGTAACGGACTTCCTCGCGCAGCAGCCAACAATACCCCCTGGGATCCTTTCGAAAAATCAGATCGACAGACAAGCGGCTCGGGCGCAAGCCTACCATCCATGCTGGAGTCGGCTCAGAACGCCTGGATGACTCAAAGTCGTCAGGCTCGCTTTTTCAAGACCGGGGGGGTGCTCGCTCTGATCATTGTCCTGTACTGGTTCCTCTCGGGAGGAAATGGGAGCACGTCCGGCTCCGTCCCAAACGTCTATACACCAGCCGATTCTCCTACCTCAAGATGCACGAAACCCTATAATCCTTCGAGGCCTCTTGTGCAGTATGCCATCATGATCGACGCGGGCAGCACGGGAAGCCGAATCCATGTCTATAAATTCAACAACTGCGGACCAACGCCGGAACTGGAGCATGAGGAGTTCAAAATGACTGAGAAGAGACCAGAGGGCTCTGGGTTGAGTTCATACAAGACGGATGCCGAGGGCGCTGCCAGGAGTCTCGACCCCCTCATGGAAGTCGCAATGGCTTCCGTGCCAAACGAGTACAAGTCATGCACGCCTATCGCGGTCAAGGCGACCGCAGGTCTGCGACTACTTGGTGACGAGATGAGCGCCAAGATCCTCGAGGCCGTTCGGAACAGGCTCGAGACTCATTATCCTTTCCCCGTGGTGTCTCGCGAAAAAGGCGGCGTCGAGATCATGAAAGGAGAGGATGAAGGCGTTTTTGCTTGGATCACTACCAACTATCTGTTGGGCAAGATTGGCGGCCCAGACGAGACTCCCACGGCGGCCATCTTCGACCTTGGAGGCGGTTCGACTCAGATTGTCTTCCAGCCGACTTTTAAGAACAGTCCGCATGGAGGCATGCCACAGAAAATGGAAGAGGGAGACCACAAGTACAATCTCAAGTTTGGAGGGCGGGAATTTGAGCTGTATCAGCATTCACATCTCGGCTACGGACTCATGTCAGCGCGCAAAGCATTGCATCAGCTAGTGCTGGACCGCATGCACAAACAGAACCCCGATTCGAGGGCCTGGCTCAGCAAACCCATCCCGAATAGCTGTATCACTCCCGGCGTACAGAAAAAGCTCGTTGTCGAAATGCCTGCCGATCACGAATTGTCGGGAGAACATACAGTGATAATGGAGGGTCCCGCCGACGCCATCCCCGCTCAGTGTCGAGCTCTCGCCGAAGCCATTCTGTACAAGGACAAAGAATGCACGCTGGCACCCTGTTCCTTCAACGGAGTGCACCAACCATCGCTCGAAAAGACCTTCTCCAGGGAGGATGTTTATATCTTCTCGTATTTTTATGATCGCACGCACGACTTGGGCATGCCTGAGTCGTTCACTTTACGCGAACTCCAAGATCTCACAGCCCGCGTTTGTGGGGGAGAACAAGCGTGGGATGCGTTTGCCGGCATCGAGGGTGCTCTAGACGACCTGCGAGAGCGGCCCGAATGGTGTTTGGATTTGAATTTCATGTCGGCGCTCCTGCATACCGGCTATGAGATGCCCATTGATAGAGAGGTCAAGATTGCTAAGAAAATCAAAGGCAACGAATTGGGATGGTGTTTGGGTGCGAGTCTGCCGCTGCTGGAGAAGGAGAGTGGCTGGGAGTGTCGCATCAAGGAGGTCTCGTAATAACATTGTAAAGTGACATGATTCGGAGAGGGGGTTCTTATGAGTCTGTGTTGGCTTTATGGTCTCTGGGGATGGACTATCTGGCACAGACTAGAATGGAAAGGGGCGCAACAGGACATGGTTCAAACATGATTATATGTGCATGCACTCATGGTCGAAGATATGGTCGAAGAATTGATGCCACCGCGATCCGACTGGACAGGACGCTGATCGAGCTTGAGCTGTAGCTCGTTCCGCTCATAAGGAGTAGAATGATACATTAAAAAAAAAACTTGGTTGAGGCCCACAGCGCAAGGCCATTGCTTTTCGTCGATGTTGGCCTCACTTCAGTGTTCTATCCCCCCACTTTCTCCTTGAGTCGTAATCTACTTCTATCGAACAAGTGAATCCAAACGCGCCAACAAGCTCCGTCTTATCCTTCTGTTCTAAGTGATGTCAGACGTATATCTTCCCAAGTGTGTGGTGTTCTGACAGTCAAAATCCGCCTCGGCCCAGCAGCTCCTCCCCGACTTCTTTCAACAACTTCTCGCCTTTGGTGTCGTCACGCTTCCCGAACTCCTTCAGAACATCCGTGAGGTCCATTGCCCGACACAGATCCCAGAGCATGTCCCCCGCAGGGGCTGCGTAGAGAAGCACGCCAAGGGTGAGCAGAAGCGCGTGGAGCGTTTCTTTGAGATTGCCGCTTCCTGAAGGAGTTGTGGTGGAGGTGGGAGTGAGGGTTGTCAGGGATGAAATGCTCTCGAGCAAAGCGGCGGCAAGGTCGTCGCCCACTGCTCCTCGTTCTTCCGAGTGTGTTTCGGCAGATGAAGAAGGGGAGCTATGCGCGTGCATCCTTGCATTGTGCGTCCAACTCGCCAGGTTATATACTAACACCGCTGCCAAAGACCTCGAATTCAGATGTGGGGATAACAAACATTGTGCCGCAAGTTCTTCGAGCTTTTCTCTCAAGCTGCTGCTGGGCGAAGGAGATGGCGAGGACTGCGGGCTGAAGACTTGCTCCTGGAAAACATTGGAGGAGAATAAGTTGCACCCTAGTTGGAGAGTGACGGATTGTATTTTGTACGGCGCGTTTGTGAAATCGCCGTGTAAGGTTTGGACGGTTTTGAAGAGTGTTGAAAGTGTACGATTTGCGCTTTCAGCGGCAAGAAAACTTGCCACACGGGGATCAGCAGCAGCGATGCGGACCAAGTCGACAGCTGCAAAAAGACTCTCTTTCGGAAGACTTGGGTATATCGAGGTAATGTGTTCGCTAAAGGCATGTAGATCTGGGAGTGCAGCTTCTGTCATACCCTTTGCGTCCCGCTTTTTGATGTAGCTCACGAGATCCTGCACAGACTGGTCATCTGAGAACGTTCTGCCCAGTTTCCCAAGCATCTTCTCTAAGGGCGGCGTCTTCGTGTAGAGAATCGGTACATCGAAGACACGTTGAAATGTCGGAAGCCTCAATTTCGAATGCTGATGCTGCTGGGGCTTTGCCATCTGCAACAATAACTGGACATTGCCTTTCAGTTGTGCCGGGTTCGCACCAGCCCATTCATCCTGCTTCTGGCCCCTGAGGAACGTGATAAATGTCGGTGTCGCCCGGATACGATATCGTTGTGCGACTGCATGTGCGTAAGTGGACGCCGAAATGTCAATCTTGATCAACTTTGCGCCGGAAAGCGTGCCTGCTTCGGCGGCCAAGTCGTCATAGGTAGGATAGACGATTTTACAGGGAGGGCATGTCGCCGAAGTGAAGAATATCACAGCGCAAGAGTGTGAGGCCGAGGACAGCAGGGAGTCCAATTCAGAAACACTAGTGATGCTATGGACCTTGCCCGGACTGTCTGCAGGTGGTTGTGCATTGATAATGACGGGAGTGATGAGCGTGTGCGATGATGCGTTGACTAATGAAGAGGATAAAGCGTCGTTGTGGTTGGCCTTCGAGGTTTTCTGCGCAGCCGACTGGGTGCGGCCAGCATTTTGGCCTGCAACGGCATCGGGGGCCTGGGTCATGGTTCTCATCGACTCATCAATCTGGCCTCGCAGCATCTGGCCGATGGGAGTATTCAAGAATGTCTGTGGGAGACTTCGAATTTCGTCGGGGATACTCTTGCCCACGAGAAACATGGCGAGGTCTTGCGTGAAGTTGTTGCAATTGTGCAGGAATAAATCATACGATTCGGGCGTGTAGATTGTCTCTAGCGACTCGACGTACTCCTCGATGACATCGAGGGGTAGTTGCGTCTGGCCCAGACTCACGATTTTCATCGGACGGCCATGGTGGGTTGAACCAGGGACTTTTCGGTGAATGCCCTGGCCGAAGAAGTACTCGACGTTATTGAAGACAATCGCCGTGTGATAGATGGCGTCGATGTGAATGCCGGTCAAGGCTTGAGAGAATTGACGGGCGAGGCCCTTTGATGCCATTAGCTTGTTCTGGCAATGTCTTTGTATGGCAAGAACGTTACCTGTGACAGGTCGTAGACGTACAGATGGACCTCCATGGCAGATGCAATGTTGATGATCCAATATCCGCAGTCACATCATGTGGACTAGGCAATGAATATATATGTTGGTAGAATATCTGTGTTGTCCTGGGTATTATTATGTTGTTCGCAGGCGGCAAAAATACGTAAGCCGCGGACCTGCCTTGTCGAGGCTGGAAATCTGTGGCGTCACCGAGGAATCAACATTCCTTGTGGCGATGAACAGCAACCATCACTTCTCGTCTGTCACAGGATTGTTTCTACCAACAGAAGCTCTTGAACTGAACTTGACGCGAGCGGAACAAGCCTCAAGTCGGTTGAGTCTCTCGGACTACCCTGCTCTGCTTTGATATTGCACCATGCCTCCCCGCAAGACCCCAGCCAAGAGCAAGGCCGCTCTCAAGTCTACTCCAGGTGCAAATTCATCTGCTAGGCCACAAGCCCGCCGGTCAAGGCTTGCAAAGGAGAACGATATCACGGCAGAAGAAGAGGCCAGGATCAAAGAAGCATGGAGTCTCTTTAGTATCGATGAGGTGGAGGAGTACGAAGACGAAAAGGAAGGGGTCATTCGGACGAGTGACGTGCAGAAGGTGTTGAAGTAAGTCAGGAATAAAACGAAAGACCACACGCTGTGGCGCATCCACTGCGACGACCCGTGCAACTGACTGCTTGCTTTCTCCATTGACAGGGCACAAGGCCTTGCTCCGAGCAGTCAATCACAGATGGAGGAATTCATTGAAACACTGGATCCCGAGTCCGAAGGCTACGTAACGTATCCGCACTTCCTTGCCCTGTGCGCTATCCAGCTTAAATCAAAGACGGACGAGACCAAGGCAGAGGAAGTTGAGACAGCCTTTAATCTCTTCCATCCCGGTCAAGTCGCTGGTGGAAAAGCGCAAGTGATTCGACTGGAGGATTTACGGGCAGTGGCCAAGACCTTGAACGAGGACGACGACGTTGAGGTGTTGAAAGCCATGATACTGGAAGCGAACGGAGGCAAGGGGGTCAACAGGGGTGTGAATATAGACGAGTTCCAATCCATCATGACCCGAGCAGGTGTCTTTCACTAGGTTGCCCCTGTGGCTATGAACTTTGTAGACGAGTTCGGCGTTGCAAAATGTACAATCAGAACTGAGAGGTTGAAGCAACAATGTCTCCACATAAATCAGACCACAGCCCATGATACATACAGCTGCGACAGTAGAGATCGGTGGAAGTCCCGCGACCAGATATTGTCATCTGGCCGTTGAATCGAGACCTTGTGCTATTCTAGCTTCCCTGTCCACACTGGCTCGCTTTGGAGAGAAATCAAACGGCCAGCTCTAGCATAGATAGAAGCGAAGGAGATCAGGAGCATCAGAGGAGGCTCAAGACCATGGTTGATGGCGGTGAGCTCTGACAAAGCGTGCCATGCTTGAGCAGATTGGATTCAATGGCGCACGAAGTCTTCATCATAAGAGTTCAAAGGGCACTGAACGAGCTGCTTCCGCATGGACGCTTCTGAAGAGAGTTTTCCATTGAAGCTTGAGAGACGGAGAAAGCGTGAGAGTGAAATTGAAGATGCAAAATATTTGTGTCTGACATTTTCGGTGCCGAGCATTTGGGGCGAAAATACTCTAGCTCGCTGTGGCTGGCTCCCGAGACATGCGTGCGTATCCTCAATGCACTCAATTACTCGTCAGCAGCACTCTGTTTCTTCCTCGTTGTTACACGGTCGATCCCTTTCTCATCGCAAGCTTGATTCATCATTCCTTTTATACCCAAATCGCTTTTCAGAGTCACATGCATGAGAAAGCGTCCTTCCCGCATGCAGTGCGGTATAGCGGCCCCCTTTTGCATCGACAAACAATTGAGTCACCGGCTGCTTCGCGTTTAACCTTAATCATTACGGCCTCTGGTTGGAAAGTGGTCATAATCATACAATCCTAATCTTTCCTAGGAGAACTCCAACAGGAGCGGGAGGTGAGTGTTGAAGATAATCAATCCTCGCTCAGATCGGCCCATACACTTAGTCCATCCATCTATTCCCTAAGAGAACTTTTTGGTGGTATCGTGGTGCCAGAAGGAATTCTTTCGGACCTTCTCAAGTCAAACAACATCCAACGTGTCCATCTTCCATATCTCAACATGTCGCACGTCCTTCTCCTGGATTCTCTTCGCTCGCCGCCTATAGGCGGTCTCTTTCTTCGACCTGTTAGCGTCACAACGGAAGCCATTCGTGTTGCTTTCTTGAGCGTCATCTCCGGAATCAACTTTCCCGTTAATGTCCTCTTCCATAACTGTTGTAATCTCCCAAACCTTGCTCCCCAGCCCAATATACCTCAATTTGGATAAATCCGGGACCTCGGTTCCCTCCGAGCCAACACGCTCGGACAGGGCCTCGTTTATCTTCTGCTCGTGCACAGAATCTGGGAAACTTTCGAAAATCTCGTGTACTTCTCTGCTTCTCCTTGCATCCTCACCGCTCGCGACGACATCAGGAGAATACCAAGGCACAAGAGCACGGATAGCCCACAGCTCACTCAGGAATGGCATCAATAACCTCAACATCTCCATCTGGGACTCTTCAAGACATTCAATCGCGGCGGCAAGCTGTGTTAGGTTCGGGCACGAGCGGATGAGGCGGGCGGTTATGGAGGTTGGCAGAGGCCAACGGGAGGGTAAAATCAGGTGTTGAAGGGTAGGACCACAGATGGTACAGATGTTGGTGATGTAGAGATCTCTTAAGGAGAGTGTTGCGGAACACGAGGTTGAGCCACTAGGTGTAGTCCTGGCAGAGGTCGTTCCATTGACGACTGATCCTGACCAAGGGGAGTGCTCGGCTGAGGGAGGGCCAGAATCCGAAGTGCCTAGGCTTTTGCTACGGTCTTGGCCATTGCACTCTGCCATGGTGTTGTTTGATTTTCTCGATTGATATCTTGCGTTGACGAGATAGAGCCTCTCCAACCCCACGAACTGGGCCAGATCCATGGCATGTCTTTTATGCAACTGATCCAACCTCAGAGATTTGGGTTTTGGTTGATTCTCCTTGGTGTTCACCATCATATGCCAAGTGCGATCGATAAAATGAGTGGCGCTTTCCCTCCCGGCCACAACAAGGTCCTCATCCAGCCCAAATGTATTTAGAACCGTCACATCCTCGATCGTGCTGGTATCGAATGCGAGAAGGCAATCCGATGTGTCCGCATTAGCGAGAAGGTTATACACGCCCATTTTCCTCAAACGCAGTTTCCGTTTCGCTGCAATGTTTTTCCGGAAAAAGTGCATGAGAACAACCGACGGTTCCCCTTGTTCGCGCATGCGAGGTGAGAAGTGCAACACTAAGCTCGAGAGGCGTGTCGCGTGGAGGAGCAGAGTGGATATGTCGTCGGGAAAACATAGAGGATCGTAATGTGTTATTGTCAAGGCCTTGAGATTCGGCATAGCGGGGATGTCGTAGGATGGTTGGGGTGAACGGTTCGTAGGAAAGCGAAGCCACAGTTCCTCCAGTCTAGAGAGCTTCGCCAGTCCCGCGTACATGTTCGGTTGTAGTCTGACGTCCAGATCCCATCGGAATCGCTCGAGATGGGCACACTGGTCAATGGCTGCCCGAAGCGCGATGTTTAGCACCATGATGCTCTCCGAAATGCGCCCAGCTCTTGAATATTCGTGCAAATCCGAGGCACTGTATTCTCCCTCCAACCGCAGTGAGCGAACCAAACCCGACACATTTCTCGTCACTAAGGCATTGAGGCCCATGGAGAAAGGACTCGCACTCCCAAATCCTTCGGGCACATCATCCTTGTAGCGGATACTGCTGTATGATTTCAAGGTGACATTTTTCCACAGATGCGGTAGGGTCATGTACCAGAGGACGCGTGATGTGCGGCAAAGTCGTGCAAGGGAAGCGACATCGTCATCCAGGTACGAGATGATGTGGGCAACCGTGGTGAGCGGGAGTGTGTCCACGCCAAACGCGCCTTGTACTTCAGGGCCATTGCTGTACAGATGGTTGGCACGCGAAGTCATGCTGCAGCGTCATTGAGGAAAGCAGCGGTGGATATAACGTCGGTACATGCCCCCTGGTCTGAGGGGCATGCGTATTCAGTGCATCGAAGGAGGTACACGGTTGACAGGGCGAGGAATGACAGTTACGATGGTACAGACAGATTCACAGGGGAATGCCGTTCAATGTCAGGCAGGACAATTCGTCATGATCAATACTGCGTAAGGTATCTGCGGATCATCGCCTCCATGCTCCGCAGCAGCATTGACTATTTCGGCGCATATGCCGCCCAGAACGCAGTATTAATCAATGTTTCAGGAGAAGGTGGCGTTCTAAACAGCACATCGCAGGGATTGTTAATATTGTGCTGTCGTCTAGTTATGCATTCAATTCTTCTTCCCCATAACCCTCTTTGTGACCTGGAAATAACCTATGCCATTTATGTGTGTATACTTTTCAATTATCTAATTAGATTGGGATGCCGTGCCACCGGTATATCTCCCATCAGCATCCTGATTCATCTGGCTCCCTGAGGTACGGCGCTCCTCATGAGGCGCCCGATCTGCAGTTGAAGTGGCCGCCGAGGAGTTCCCGACATTTGCGTCACTACCAGACGATTCGAAACCAGTGCGTCCGGGATCACCCACACTGCTCACCCTCTGAGATTGTTCTAGGGGCACGGAGATTTCTTGCTGGTGTGCACCCGGACGCGAGAGTTCACCGCTCATCTCGTTTGTTGTGTCTTCCGCAATTGGAGCAATGGCCGGAGGCCGGGCATATGTGGAGGACCGCGGCAAAGCAGTATTAAAAAGGTCCGCCGGCCGGCTCGCTCGTGACTCTGGCTCCGAGATGGAGAGTGAGCCCCGAGTAATGTAGGTTTGCGGAGGTCGCTGCAATTCGGTGGGACTTGCTGAAGGGTTTCGAGATGCCGCGCTGTCAGAACGCTGAGGGCTTGGGGTGAAGTGAGAGCGGACGTGCGCTTCATCTGGAAGCCCGGCTCGGCCGTTCATGGGCGGTGGGATGACAACCGCTGGGCTTGAGTCAGCAACGCTCGGCCGTCCTGCTATGGTTGCTGGTCTCTGTGTCGAAGCATCTGTTGTTTCAATGCGGACAGAATCGTCGTCTGTCGACCGGTCACGAACGTCGTCAGGGGACCATGTGCGACCATTACTTTTCGGCGCCGGAATGACTGTGACTGGCAAGGCAGCCGGGGGCACATTTCCTCGACTTGCAAGCCTCTCTTTTTGCGCAGAAGCGAACGCCCCAAATCGATCTCTGAGATTGAGGGTGCGATCGATTGGCGAGCGTCGCACGCCATTCGCATTCTGTGCGTAGGCCACTTCTGCTGGAGGTTCAGATCGTCGTCGTTTGAAGGGATTCGGCATTGTTTGCCAAATGGTCCGTCTTTGGGCCCCTGGCTCCGGTGGAAGAACTGATTCTAAAGCGAGCTCCTTTTCTGCGTCCGAGGGAGAAGACCCAGAGTCACCAGATGCTTTCGGAATAGCAGGCGCAGCAGGTTCTTCAGGTTGGGCCTGCAATTCAGGTTGGGGATTGGGCGAAGGACTTGTCAAATTGTGATAACGTACGGCATAAACCGTGCTGGCGGCGCTTCCCGTATCGCTTCTGCTGGGAGGGGTCATAACCTGTTGGGGTATCACATATTGTGAAGCTGGTATGGTTTGACCGACTGTATCAGTCGCTTCTGCACCAGTAGCAATGCCGTCCGCAGGAGGCCTCTTCCGCCGCTTTCGGAGCGGCAGTCGGACGCGAAGGCGTTGATAATGGGATGCCACGCCCTCTGCCATGCCCCTCCGCCCACCGCCTTCTTGATCAGGCCTCGATTCATCCCCGCGCCAACTAGCGTCCTCCGAGGGTGTCATGTTCAGCATCTCGTCGCCATCAAAGATCTCCCGTCCAAGAATGCCATCTTTTCTCTCGTCTCGCTCCAATGATTCGATTCGCTCGACCCATTCCCAAACAACAACACTTGCGGCTGCAGCGCCAACCCACCGGATATATTCACCCCATCCTGCCAAATCTGGCTGGGATATATCCAGAATGAAAAAGACCACAGGAATGACAACCGAAATCAGTGACAAGAGCGCCACCAGGCAGATGTTCTTCATCTTTGGGTGCCAAAACGCAAAGCGCCTTTTTGACAGACAATAATACACCACGCAAGAAGCATAAATGAGTGAAATCGCCAGTTCGAACAAATAATTCAGGGCGGGGATTGCGTCTGAAAAGCTCCTCGGCCTTGTCCGTGCGTTGCCGCTAACAAAGGAATCCAAGATACTGAATATCGTGTCGAAAGATACCATGGCGAATCCGAGCCATTTGATGGTGACCTTCTCTTTGTGCCGCGGAAATAATCGTATTAACGTTTGCACCTGGGCCAGCCACAAGAATGTGTCTGAGATGACTCGGATGATGCGAATTTCCAAACTGCCCACCACATTGTCGACCAACTGGCTGGAGTCAATGTATCCCTCGTTGTATTGCCCCTCCGCGACGTGGAAAGTGTCCGCCGTGGCGATCGTAAGAGAGATTGCCACGGTGACAGTTGCAATCTTTTGGAGCAAAGGTCTCCGCCCCACGCCGACGATCGAAGACGACCCGTATGATCCTGTTATCATTCCACGTCGACCCAGGAAGCGGGCCCCCCCTCCTCCGCCTGCGCTGCCCACATAGAACGTCCTTGGAGTAATGAAAATGAGGATGACGAGGATGTAGCTGATGACGGTCGCTGTAGCAAGAGCGAAGATCTGGGGTGATATCGAGGCATAAAAGGGGTTGGAGAAGCCAATAACGGACGAGTTGCCGGTGGTGTCGGGGCTGATGATGGGCTCGGGGTTTTCGCATGGGAGTTTGAAGGTGACTTTGGCGGAAAGAGTTGTCGTGGTATCGTCATTGAAAATAAAGATGCCTGTCTCCCAGGTCAGTGTCTCGTCTCGCCCACATGTAGGAGCTTGCCGTCATTGCACACCTCCACTAGGTAGAATCAAAGGCGTACACCAGGCATCGGTCGCCGTCCGGTGCTTGTGGGTGGTACTCGACTGGCCCCATAATTGGCGAGCAGTGAGCGTAGCATCAGTGGACATGCCGCGGCTGGCGTCGTAGTTATGTAGCGCCAGCAAACGACTGGGGTTTCTACATGGTCAATGCACCGAGACTCGGAGGACGTCTGCAAGACTGCGGACGCGCCGCAGGCTTTGGTCATGCGAGCATGAGCAAGGAGACACAGTAGCGCGCGAGTCTGAATTCGAGGAGGCAACGAGGATGTTCAGGCGATATCCTTGCAGGTGCTTTAAAATATGGACATTGGGCAACCAAATTAACGTATAAGGAATTTCCTGTGGTAGAATTGGTGCTTGACAGAGGATGTCGATGGAAGGTCGATAGGATAGCGCAGTTTCGGTGGCGGGGCGTCCTCCCTCAGTCCCTTTCTTCTTAACTAGCAGGGGCAAATTCGGAGCTAGAGGCAAAGTTAGATCTAACCACCTCTCGCCGTAATACCTTCCGAGTATTGTCCAGGGCACGAAGGTCCCTGCGCATTCCGCATCATACGCTACTGCACCATAATTGCTGGAGCCATGTAAGTGAAGGATTCGATTTAACTCCAGGTTCCGGGGAATTAGATGCCCAGGGTTGGGCAATCTGCTCGCGACTCACTCCCTTTGGGTGGGAGGGTGACGCCGCCCTGTGCTCACCCCGGGCTTGCGCGAGCTGGGTGGGCGATCACCCTTGACCCACCCGGGCGCGTACTACATGACGGTTGACGTAGTGTTGTTTACGACTCTGGCTGCGACTCTCTTACATTGCAGTTTCGTTAATTTCAACAGTTCCCAGCGTGATATCAGCATAAGTCGCTTGTATCAATTCCCCATAGCGATCACGAGTAGCAGTATCTGTTCATAGCACGAATGTCGTGGGTTTGGACCAATGTTTCTCTCTTGAGCAATGTTGTTTACGTTAGCGGACTAGGTTAATATAATGAATCCTCCTGTCGCTCCTCCTCCTGTTCGCGAGTCTATTCAGCCGCATAACGTCGAATCGACGTTCGAGGTCGCTATATATAGACCGACAGACTCTAGAGACCTGCATCATTGGGCGATACATATAACCTGCCCTACTCGCTGTAGCACTCTGCACTAAGTGCACGATAAGATCGGCGGCACAGGCTACTATGTGGCCAACGAACGCTTGGGCGTGCGGCCGAGTCACGCACGACTGTATCGAATGCGCATTCGTGTTGGCCATTTTCGGTTAATTTATATCCGCAGAATTCGTCGGCTCATACAAAGTTGGGCTGTAAACAACGTGTCGGCGCGCTGGAACTGCCAGCGTTGGGTCATTGAGATAGTCTGGTGGTTGAGAACTTGCGGCATTTTAGTTGGAAGGAGGCGGGCACTTCGTCGACTTCTGAGGCTCAGAGTATATTAGCAGTAAGCTGTGCTTGAGTTTGGTTGGCTGTATTTTTATCTCTTGGCATCATTGGACAAGCAGAAGGTCGAATGGTCGATTCGACGTGTATTATTTCATCATGAGAGATTCCCAGGTTTCGCACGGTGACATTCAAGAAATCCACAATGTCGTCCACACCTTGAGGCTCCTTCACCCAATGACCCCCATCCGCGTACTCGTGTAACTGAGCGTTCAATCCTAAGGAACGCACTAGGACATCCCACATTCGCCTTCCATTCTTGATGGGTACAGTGTCATCATCGATTGAGTGGCCGAGAAAGATGGGAGTAGACCGGAGGAACGGCGATGATGGTTCTTCTGGGGACTGATGACCGAAGTAAATCCTCTGAACTGCATTGGAAAGCTGCTCGTCATTGGCGCTAGATGCTTTAAGATCTTCGATAAGGTTGGCAAAAGGCATCCAGCTACATAGGCCAATTAGACCAGCGAGCCCTTGGCCGTTTGCGAAGAAGGTCGACAACGCTGTCGCAAATCCCTGGCTGATACCTCCTAAAAAGATGTTTTGTCGAGGCACGTGAATTTCTTCGGCTCTGATCAATTCCAGCAGGGCGGTAACGCTTTGTTTCAATCCATCCATTTGGATTTCGACTTGCTCCTCAGGATCTTCGACTGACCATATATCGAACCATTGCGATATCGTGGTGTCGAAGCGTTTCGAGTAAAGCTCTGGTGCTGTGGGAAACACCCATCTGATACCTGGAAACAGATCTGGAAGGGTGCGTGGTCTCCCAGCAGGCTCGGATGCCTCGCTCTCGAAGAACTCGTCCGCAAATTCTTGGGCGTCACTGTCTCGGCCGTGGAGGAAGATGACTGTGTGAGTGTGTTTGCTGATCTCTCTTTGAGTAACGATAGACATGTTGGCAGGATGAGTGGGAGTACAGTCGTGATGGATATAGTTATGGGCGAGTAGATATGGAATGAAGATGAGGAAATGTGATAAAGGAGGGAAATAGGTAAGTATGGAAATGTATAGATCAGAGCATGTGTTTGGGGCGCTAAACTGAGAACTCTGGACAAATCCGGCTCGCACCCAAGTCGGCTACACTTGGCGAGATAGTACCAACTGCGTGGTAATTCTCCCAAGTGGTACGTCCAGATGATTTATGGATTGGATAAGGTTGATGACTCTTACTTTTTGGGCTCAATTATTTGGATCTGTATGGCTGAGTCGGATGGTAGAGTGTACATTCTCTCGTTGCGATCTCACCTCGCATTTGGCTGCGTAATAAAAAAAAACTTTTCTCTGAGGATCTTGATTTACTTCGTCCTAGGAGAGACGACACCTACAGTGAGGGCTGAAGGGCCTGGTGTCGAGAGGGAAGATCGCGCTCGGCAGGCCGATCCGTGGAATGGACGCAGTTTTGTACTTGAGGTGAGGAGGGTGAATGACGAGATGGGCAGGTATAAAAGCGGCGCGGCCTGGGTGAGCCACACGTGACCTACGAGCGGTAGTCCCATCGCTTTTGTCGCCAAGCCTTTTTAAATCTGCATCCGCTGTGTTCCTCCTAGACTCGATGATGAACTACATACGCCGGTACCGCTGGCTCAGCGTGTCAGCCGGTGATCTACTGCCCCAAAAGACCATCCGTATCAATCAGAGTCCCGTCAGTGTTCGTTCCTCCCGGACTTTTCAGGTCTTCAATCATCTTGCGAAGAGAACTTGAGATCATTTTTCAATTCGTGGGGTCATTGGAAAGGCCTTCCACCACCATCTCGCAGACCCAGATAGAGGTGGCGTTCTTTTCAAAAAGAGGAGACCATTTTCCCATATCATATGTTTTCGTAGCCAAAAGTGTTGTTGCCCCATTGCATCTGGTTGTAGTTTCGGTTGGTGATGGCTTCGAGCAAGTCTCGGCCACCCAAGGTCGGACCGATGCCACCGAATCCTTGGTCCACAGTCGCTTCGTCACTTCCCCAGAGGTTGTCAAGTGGCAGTGCGAGCCAATCGCCGCCGGGAAGGTCAGCCATCGCTGAGTTCATGTTGACATCGTCGGGTAATGGAAAATCAATATCATGGTCTCCACCAAAATTGGGAGGAGGCACGAATGTCTGAGAATCCAAGTCTGCCATGGGTCTTGCTTGGATGCCGGCGAGAGGATCGTTCACGTAGAACTCGAGCTTGGGTTGGATTGAGTTGCTAGCTTGAGGCAGATGTTGATGTTGCTGCTGGTGTCGGTGCTGCTGTTGTTGCGATTGATCACCAGCGCCATCATGTCCATGGGGATGCGGGGATTGTGGGCGAGACTGTTCACGGCTTGGACCTGCAGACCCTGTTCCAGGGTGCTGGACTCGAATCATTGTCTGCTTCACGTTGCGTACAATATTTTGCACAAGTCGAGACGTTGACGAAGCTAGGTGCACATCGTCAACGACTTCTTTGGACAAAAGCTCAGTGATCTGATCGAGCTGCTGGAGGCACTTTCTTACTAGCCCCTCGTGGGTCCCCAAGCTGAAGCGCTGTACATAACAAGGTCAGTTGCCAATACCACGGGAGAAATGGAAGGGCTGCTACTCACCTTCAGAGTGAACATCATGCCCGACAGGCTTCGCAGGTATGTGCGGACAGGCGCGTTTCTCAAGAAACCTGTGGCCGCGATGCCGTCAATGACGAGACCGAGAATGTTCAGAGCGGCTTCAGTGACTTCATCGATGTAGGGTTTGTTTTCTTCCGAAATTCTAAGCAGAGTTGCCTTGCGCATGGTTGCCCCGCCTTCTACCCAAGACTCGACAACCTTCTGGAGCCCGAGGGAATTGATGTACAGGCGAGCATACTCATATTCCATGAGCAAGATGGATTGCATGACTGGGTGGATGTGAGGTTTCACTTTTTCAAACTCGGTTTTCCAGTTTTGTAGTAGGGGAGCGATATCAGCAATTGCCTCCTTGTACCTGCCAGTAGTTGTCAGCTCTCGCGTGAACTGGTGCGACGAAAATATTTGCCGATTTGCCTGGTTCATGATTTTGGCCACGTGCACCCAGCAACCATGCATCATATCAATCGGATGGTCTTGCTTTGGGTTGGTTTTGTCCCAGTTGACATCGGTTTCCCACTCGTCGACGCTGAGAGAAGACTGAACGCCCATTCTGCCGCTGGTTTGCGCGACATAAACGAGCACTAGACGCCGGATGCGCCTCTTCCGCGCACAATCCGACTCCGGCCCGTGCTGGTGACGGCAGTAGAAGTGGTTCGTATCGAAAACACCAAGTTCAAAGGCAAGACTTTGGGCAAGTCCAAGAAGCATCCAGGACATCCTATCGGACCTCCACGCAGGCTCAAGCCAGCTTGCATACGGGAGATTGTCGTAGTCCCGGGCGTCTCCCCGCTCATCGAGTTGTGTGGCCGCCTGGGCATTCACCTCGCTTGTAACGATCAGGCTGTGGTCCAAAAGGCCGTTTTCTTCGTCTCCAGGTGGGAAATGCAGCGCGCGTGGTTGCCAGTCGGTAAGCAATAGAAGAGCCTCGATAGTGCCCAAGGTGCGCAGGCTGCCTTGCCATGTAATTTGGCCTGTGTTGGACTCACGGATTTTTGCATTGTTGCCGCCTCCACAGAATCCTCCCCCAAACTGTTCCTGGCCCCAAAGAAGCCGCTCCACTTGGCGGCGAAGGTGAGTCCAGAGCTTGTCATGAATCTGATATGATCGAGACATCGCCGCGTGACCGGAGAGAGGCATATGACGCGAAGCAATGGCGAGGATGGCCAGCGCTAGAATGGGCTCGTCAGCGAGCAGAACGTGATGTTTGATGGGCGATCTGAAATCCGGAAACACGACTGGTGTCATGGGAGCCAGCTTGTCGTAGAAATACTCAACGTATTGCATGGCTTCCCAAGCGGTGAACCACCCGTTGCGTACAAAGCGCATCTGTGACCAGGTCTTCAAACCGGCTTCCTGTTCGGCTTGCTCGGTTGGCGAAAGGCCTATGCCAGGAGGTTCTGCCGGACCGCCATGACCGAAACTCGAGATCGTCCTCTTCCGTCCACCACGGTCGGAGAGGGGGCTGTCCTTGTCACCTGGGCCGACATCTTCGAAGACGTTGGCAGCATCCACCAAGAGCATGATGCTGTCTTGAGTACTCGATACTGGAGCGCCCAAGGTTGCAGCGGCGACCTGACTGTGCAGCTGAACATCGGATGCAGGCTTGATCCCTGTCGAGGTGGGATACATGGTGGAAGTCTGCGCGGGGCGTGGATCGCTTCGAGGTTGAGAGGCGACAGATTCTCCGCGTGTTTGAGACATTTGAGGTGACCATGAGTGACGACCAAAGCCATTGTCCGTCGAGACGGCAGAAGTTAACGGTCGGGAGCCCGTCGGAAGCCCATACGGGGACAGACTGTTATCTATTGATAGTGCTTCCCCATTGTCATATGTTTGGGAAACCTCTCTTGCAGTGCCGTCCGACTTCTTTTGTTTCTTTCTGGTGGGCGCAAACTCGCACTGCAGTCGCTCGCGTAGGCATCGCTTGCAAGGGGGATCCGTGGGCGCATCAACACCTGGGACATGACACCGTTAGTGGCAAGACAGGTAACTCTCATTCGTGTAACGTACTGCCCAAGTCACACTTGACCTTGCGCTCACGACATCGTTGGCAGGCTTGATAGCCTCGTCGGTGAGGCCTGCCCTCGCGGGGTTGCGCAGCAGTAGCGTCAGCGGGCTCTGGTGAAGAGCTGTTTTTGAAGCTATTTGACTGGATCACATTGTTGGCAGGCAGTTGAATATGAGCATTGTAGGCCATAGCAGGCAAGGCACTACTATAAGGTGGAGCAGCAGCTTGGAATGCTGGGAGTGTTGCGATACCGACACCGAGATAGCCGTCCGGAGGAGCGAGTCCAAGCGGAGAGTAATTTGGCTGAGGCTGGAGTTGAACGGGGCCGAGGCCATGCCCCACCACGGGCGCTGCGCCATCAGTTATTGGCGGTGCCACTTCAGCATCGAAAACTTGCATAGCCGACGGCAAGACTAGTGAGGCTTCACTATCGGCAGCCACATCCTCCAGTATGAACACGTCCAAGCCGTCAAAAGCGCCAGCCTCAACATCCCGCATGAACTCTTCATACCCTTCATACAAGTCTGGTTCGGCATCTTCTGATTCGGCATCTTGCACATGTGGAAATTCAAACGACTCGGAATACACCTTATCATCCATAACGCGCCCGAGTCACTTAAGAAACGATTATAGGTTGAATGATGAAATTGGGAACCTTGGAGAACCGCGATGAGTCTCTTTTTGCTTCAGGTCGCGGGTTGATATTCACTATAGAATAGGTGCACATACTAGGCATGATCGGACCCGTGTCACTGATTCACGTACCATCATGCCCTGCCTTAATCGTGAAGGGCAACACCAGACCACGTGAGATGCAGAGAGCTGGCCAGAGAGGCGTAGAGACAGACCACAAGATCAATCCGTTGTGCCCCAATCACGCCAGAAGTGTCAGCTCACCTTTATCACCTATTCCTTGTCCCCGAGAAACCTTGTCGATATGGAAGACCTACGGCCGGGGATGCCGTCACAAAAGGATCAGTATCCTTTTCTCTGCTGCCGACAAGAGTCCTCATGTCGTCGGACTCATGCTTTAGCGGTGGCGGCAGACTCCGGACACTGTCTTCGCTGGCTCGTCGTAGTATGTCTGGTGTGGTGCGACCTCCCATCAATCCTCTGACACCACCAGCTTTCCGCGAGGGCATCTCGCCTGTGCCTGCGGTCAACACATAGAGGAGATACTTGAGGTTCGGAAGAGTGTGCCGAATATCAAGAACCCTCAAACTTTGTCGGTTCATCAGAAACTCAATATCCTTGTTCAATAAAAAGACCCCATAGTCAAACTTGTAAGGGACGGTCGTTGGATGCAGTGGGTATCTTCGTTGGCTGAGCCCGATGGATATCGGATCAGTGATGTAAGATGCTGATCCATATGGCTCAATTGGATAGGGTAAGGGTATCGACAGGTAGAGCGCCAGCTGATGCACCAGCTGAGCAGTGAATCCAAGCGCTGCAGCAATCTCATCCCGGTTTGTGTCGTTGTAGACTGAATTGGGGAGGTAAATGCCACGAATAGTGAACTGAAGGGTTCGATCCTTGAGTGGTTCAATGGGAAATATAACGAGAAGAGACTCGCATATTCGTCTAACCTGACCGCTAGATTCTGTTCCAATCTGTTTGAGTTGAGCTTCAAGCTCCCTGGATTCTTTTGCTCTTTCCTGCACCAGCCTTCTGGATTCGGTTTCAGCTTCGCGCCCCACGCCCAGAGCGTGTCTCTGGTTCTCCAAAGATTCCTGTAGTTCGTCTCGCCTTTTCTTCAGTTGTCTGAGCTGTCTTTGTTCTGCAGCCAAGGCCGCCTTTGCCAGAGGGTTCTCGTCATCGATCTCAGGTTCTGCTTCCGCCTCGACTGTGAGGACGTGTGCCTTGGCAAGGATGTTGTTGATATCCTCCTCTAGCTGCGAGCGCACTTTGATGGCATCCTGAATGCACTCATCCAGGTTGGCAAGCTGCATCAGGGCGTCGAACGTGGAGCCCGGCTTGCTACTCCCGGCTCTATGATCAATTGAATGTTCGATCGTAGGATGCCGCTCGGCGGGCAAGTCTGTGAAACTGGTGTAGATCCCATCAGATAAGTGCAGCAAGATGCAATTTTGAGGCAAGGGGTGGTGGAAATTCTCCAGGTTTCGTCCAATGAATTGCAATGATCGTAGGTTCAAGTCCAGTTCAACAAGCAGGGAGTAGTCTTCTGTCTTCGATGGCCGTGCCCACACTCGGATGGTACACTCGTCTGATCTTGATATTTCCGGCCCACTGTTCTCTAAGTCGAAGAACGCAAAGCTCGGATTCATGGACTTTTCTACGACCTCACTGATATAGACAGGTTCGGAAATGCCTGCACAATGTACCGAAACCCACGTATCGGCAAGGCGCTTGACGACCATATCTTCCAGCCTCGACTGACGTACTCGGGGACTGGTCGTAGCCCAATGTAGAGTACTTCTCCTGCGAAGTCTCGCCCCGCCGGGCCTGGTGTGTCCCTTCTCATTTCTCTCGAAGGAAGTGACAGCTCTCTGTGGACCACCGGCAAACCCAGCATCGTCGATGGCAGCGGGAAGGTTCGTGAATGAACGCGAGTGGGTTAGATGCGATGGGTTTGACTCTTCGTGCAGAGCGCGCTTTGCTGGGCTGACGAGATTGTACGGAGCGTCGTCGTCGGTAGTCGTCTTGCCCTGTCGTTTAGGACTGCTCGAGGTTACATAGAGATTGCGCAAGGATATTCCATGCAGATGGCGCATGTGGCGGTTCTGTGTACATTGTGAGCTGGGTGAAGGACTAGGAACAATCGTACTAACCCATGGATACAGGAATGGCCGCCCTTGGACTCTTGAGTAGACAACGGAATCGTCTCCACGATCAGCCATTGCTTTCAGTGCTGGCGTGACACATTGCTGATAAGGCGCTGTGGAAGATTCGGACCGTAGAAAGCTGTATAAGGCTACATTGAGTATGTTTAACCAATGTCGCTATCCACCCATGTCGGGGTTTGGATGGTCTTTACAATTTGTGGCCACAGGTTTTGGGCACCGCCTGGGTGAAGTCGGCCTGCAGCCAATGACCGAATCCTCTGAATCGAAAGGCTTTTCGGATTATAGTTTATCCGAAAGTCTTACTGCCGTTGTCTTGGCTTGCCCCTGAGTTCACAGTGCGAACGTCAAACGACTTCATCAAACCCAGCTATAGACATATCGCATATTGCAGGCACTGGCACCACATCGACATAGAGGTTTTGTCTAAATGGCCCTTTCAGCTCTACCGAGCATCCCAAGCCACCCCCTCAATTGCAAATTCCCAAATGAGACCTGCGCATTCCGGTTTCACCTCGCGTTACGGAAAGTAATGATCTCCTCCGAGAGACATCGTCATGGACAACTCCTGGTATTCTGACCTGCGAACCCATTCGTCCGTACAGGTGGCATTGAAGGCAATGTACGCTCTACTCAAATTTGATACCGAGGCCTTTGACATCTCTGACAGCCTCGTACACACCACTAAGTTTGTTGTTACACCACCCCCACCACATCATCTATGCACCAGTCCGCAATCTCCCTTTTGATAGTTGTCCCATCTTCGACTTGTCCTGGCCGTTTCGAGGTGGCACAGCTTCAAAGTAAGCATTCAAGTTGTACCAGGCAGTAGGCCTCTGTCCACACCCAAACGGCTGGGTTCCTCCCTTCCCCTGGGTCCGGGCCCCTTTTGTAACTCACCTGTATGAGCACGCTTTTAGATCCAATGATAAATACCACGTCTACACCTCTTCGGCACCGTTTCTGTCATCGATCTAGAACCTGTTCTCTTCCAATGCGCAATATGGTTTCCTGGACGACCTGTTCTTCGATCCATCCACGTTTTTCCAGCATTCCGCTCTTGAATGGAGCGGAATATGGCAAAGGCCGAGATCATTCGCATCTGGAACTCGGGCCAGTTGCTATGACAGCGGTCCATATCCGCCGTCTAATCTCTTTCGACTCACCCACCGGAAGAGGTTCATCGAAAGTATTGTTGAACAAGGCGCTCGCATCACAAGGCGCCACTTTCCGCTCGAGGGTAAAGAGAAAACCAAGGACACATAAATCTCTCGAACGCCGCAATGAATCTCGATCCTACCATCTTCCACTCTTCTTTTCTTCCTTCCTTGCCCTTATATTCACTTCCCTTCTGGACTATTAGTTTTTGACCCAGCTCAACCCCGAACTCGCCACCCAATATCCCCAACACCGCAAGTAGCATTTATTTGCCGTTATTGTCTAACATGAAGTTCCCAGCAATGATACTTACGGTGGTAGCAGCTGCTGGCCCGGCACTATGCTCCTGGACGGACTGGGTCAGAGAGGTTACAGTGACGGAAACAGCTACAAGGACCATTCAGTCCTGTCCATGCAACGGGGAAGTAAGGGCCACCCCGGTTGTTCGAGGGCAAGATTTTCCAGATTTTCCAGGCCCAGGGCCGCAAACTGGACCTTTTGGCCCGCATTTTCCTGGTGCACCCGGAGAGGTTGTGACTAAGGCAGGTCCCATAGTGGCAGTCTACAGCACCACGGGAACAATAACGACCAAGACCGGAATTGTCATTGAACTGGAACCAACTCCTGGAGGCCACGGCCCTGGATTGACAACGACGATCTGGACAGGTCCTCAGCCCACTGATGATCTAGCTTGGATAGACTGGGAACCCAAGTTCGGAGAAGACGCCGGTACATTGACACGAACTCAGACGAAATTTACGACCATCTATGGCTCTGCTCCGACAAACGCAGAACCTGAGCCATGGAGCGATTGGCTTCGGCCTCCTCGCTCTACGTCGACCTCTTCAAGGTTTTCCAGTTCATCCGCAGGCGTAGGTCCTGTCGGTGGTTCCACAAGATCGAGTGCAACTACCTGGGGCTATCCGACTACCACCCAAGAGTCGTCTAGCACCTCCGTGCTCTCAACGTCTTCCTCATCCGGCAGCGGCAGCGGCAGTGGCATTGGCCCAATTGGAGGCTCCACATCTTCAGGTTCATCCAGAACCCCCAGTGCATCGACAAGCACTTTCGGCAGCAGCACTGGAGGCGCAAAGACGTCAAGCTCTCCATCCACCTCCGCCTCTCTCAGCATGTTGACCAGCTCAACTGCCGCGAGAGACAGCACCGTTACTTCCACTAGCATCACCAGTACAACAACGTCCCTTTCGAGTAGCAATGGCGTTGGTCCCATTGGGGGAAACACCACAACCTCTTTGGGTACCAGCAGGAGCTCTTTCACGTCAACCCTCACCACCGGCATTTCAACAACTTCAACCTCAACTTCTAACGGTACAGGTGGGAGCACAAGTGTGTCCATCAGCACCAGTGGCAGTTCAACAAGCAGCTCTTCGTCAGTCACATCCGACACCTCCTCTACCTCTGGTACCACATTGTCAACGACTACTTCAACAGGCTCCACGGCAACCACTCCCTCTTCCAGCACCACCTTGCTCTCCACATCGTTCATATCCACCACAACCATATCCACTACAGGCACAACTGTTGCGCCGGGGGCAGTCGTGACAGATGATGTTCGCTCTTTGTCCTATAACGATGCCATCCTTGAAGCTCACAACGTTCACCGCCGCAACCACAGTGCAGCTGATCTGACTTGGTCAGACAATATGGCTACGATTGCCGCCCAAATTGCCGCCAGCTGTACATATGGCCACAACACGTGAGTAATTCCATCCTCGTCCTTTTCCGTTGCGCCCGTTTGGTGAATCAGTACTAAACCATTCGACCATCTCAGGACCGCTGGTAGCGGTGATTATGGTCAGAACATCGGCGCTGGATACACCTCCTCGCAAGTGCCAGTTATGATCGGCGATGACATGTACAATAAGGAGATGCCCAACTACCCGCTCCCTTACGGCTTGGACGATCCGGACACCAGTAACTTCGATTCATGGGGCCATTTCTCGCAGATTGTGTGGAAAGGCACTCAACAAGTTGGTTGTGCGACGCAGTTTTGCCCCAACGGCGTTGTAGGTGCCGAGTTCACACAGTACTTCACTGTTTGCAACTATTATCCTCCCGGTACGTTCACTGCGTCAAGGCCTACCTTTGACATCAATCCTTCCTGGTTTGCTGGTTTGTGCATAGACTGATTAGAGAATTAGGCAATATCCAGGGAGCCTACAGCAATGTCGGCGCGCCTCTAGACCAGCCCATTACAGTGGAGCTGACTAATTGAGGAATATGCAAGCGCATGATATACTCCAGCCAATGTGCTTGAAATTGTAAAAACAAAATGAACCTACAAAGAGTCGTCGGGTATACTGTCTACAAGGTTGGAGCATCGACGCTGGCAGCCGATGTGGATTTCCGGGCGCGAAGGAGGAGGGCGAGAGGGTGAGATGCACCGAATATTATTTTGACATTTTGCTCAAAGATTGTCTACGGAGCACCTTGATGGAGCTCTATGTCCATTGATCATGAGATACATTTCTGCCCGAAGGAATCGTTGTAACTCCTCTCTAATACAGGGTTTAAGTTCTGGGTGCAGCAACTTTTTGGGGGGTGTTGCTTTTCTCATGCAATATTTTAGCTCTTGGGACTTCCCTGGCAAAGGGTAAAGTAGAGGACCTATTGTAAAACCCAACCAAGGGGATCGAGTCGTCATTGTAGATAGTTGTTCGCACTTGGAAAATAGACCAAGACATCCCCGTCTGCTTTGAACGCCTGACGCCGTGCTCGACATGCAAGTCTTCTTTCCAGATATCCCTGTTCTCAGTCCTACTTTCGCAGACTATCCAAACGAGCCTGCAAGTCATCATCCTCACCTCCTCCACCTATTGCCTGGGCGACACGGCCTTCCGGCACGGCCGCCTTCTGTATACCAGTTGGTGTTTCACCGAGCTGCGGCACGGAATTAGTCTTCGGCATTCAATGCTTGCAATTGGTCTTACCGCGTTATTCAAGTCAACTCCGATCTCATCCAGCACCTGATTCACTACTTCTTCCCCTTCCTCTTCATCTTCCAACCCGGTGACATCGTCAATGGCATCGTCCATCATCTCCTGGCGCTGATCCATGATATCGTTCTCGCGTTCAAACTCCATGGCAATTCGCTGTAGAGCAGGCAAATTCATTTGGCGATTCATGCTTCCGAGTAGCATGGTAGCTCCTTTCATGGACTGCATCATTTGTTCATTGCTCCGGACAGTCTGTTACACGCAAAGCCTTGGTCAGTGGACATTCCTCGCTGCAAAGGATTTTGGGATGTTTACCTGTATCCTCAGACTGATCGCCTGCAGCTGGGTCCTCATCTGATAGAATTTTTGAATATACCTCCTCGTCCGGACCAGATCCTTTGCTTGTATCTTGCATGCTCCAATCTGCCCATTCTTTGCGCTCTTTTTGATGTCTGCCACAAGCTTTTTCTCCTGATTCTCAAGCTTTACACGTTCACGGTCAAGTTCGCGCTGAGTCTTCTCCAAAGCTCGTTGGTGTTTGCGTAGCCTCTCGGCTGGAGTCATGCGTTTGCCAAAGGCCCATTCTATAATCTGATATCGGGTGGTCAGCGGGGTAGAGGCGGACGTGGACGGTAAGATAGCAGACTCACATTCATGGTGAGATGTCTGAAGGGTGACCGGGAGAAAAAGGCAAGATAATTTACTGTTGACTCAGTACAAGGTTGTAATCGAAGGACCAATGTCATAGGATTTGGCACAGCTACAGTCAAGGCTGTGGTTCATGGAAGTGTGAACTGGACTGTCGGTGCAGCAGCCACTGACGCTGCCGGAAGAACATCGGGTTTTTCCTCTCACCACTTCAAACTGCGACTTTCGCCTCTTCTCCGTGGACAGACAGAAACATCCACAGAGTATTCTCTGAAGCTTCAGCCACGGACATGATCATGGACCTAGATGAGCCCCTAGATCCGGTGAATTCTGCAACAATCGATTAGGGACTATTAATGACCACTTCCGACATGAGCCACAACGACGAACCTGGCGAAGGTTCATCGCACCCATCCCTGGATCCTCATTCGGATAACTGGAAAGACCAGGACGAATTGACGTCGCCCAACCCTGTCCACCCACGTGCATACCGGCCCGAGTACATGACTGTTGGCACTGGATCACAACCATCTCATGCTGCAGCTCTTATGGAACAGCTGGAACGAGATTCTGGCTACGGCAGCATGGCAAGCGACGTGCAACAGTCTGGTGGCGAGATGCGCGCATGGGAGGACGAATTCCTCAGAGACAGACCGACACCTGCCCATACTCCCCAAATCAATGGACAACCCGCAAGAATGTCAGAAACAGAGAAACGATCGCTCGCCAGCCATGTGCATCAGCTCTACTACAACCAAAATCGCGTCGCCCTCGCCAAAGCCATCTCGCAAACCGTGGAACTGCTAAAACAACTACAGGAGATGAATTCTCAATGGCCTGCGCTCTACCCTTCCGTCCAGAAAGATGAGAGAGAAAGCCAAGCTGCCAGACCGGCCCTACGAGAAGTGCAGTCAACGAGGGAGGCGGCAGTTCTGTCGCGACAGATGTTTCTCAAAAAGACAGCACATGAACGGCCAGGGGCATTGCGAAGAGCTGGCACTTCAGCAGGAGAAGATACATCAGGAGAGTCAAGTTCGCAGGCACAACACAGGCGGACGCCAGAACCACGACTCGTCACACCACAAATCGCGCAGGAGTTCTCCATTCTCAAGCTTGACCTCAAGGTCGGCGCGCTATCTCAAACGGAACTGGTCCACTCTCTAGAGAAGAAATCGATCGCGTCGCTACTGGATGGAAAAATAAGCCAGAGCGTACGGCATTTATTGGCACTCCGGGACCGAATAGAGGATACGTCAAGCAAGGTTTTGGTCACTGGTGATCTAAATGCTGGAAAGTCGACCTTCTGCAACGCCCTCCTTCGCCGCAAGATTCTGCCCGAAGATCAGCAACCCTGTACCAGTATTTTCTGCGAAGTGCTCGATGCAAAAGAGAATGGTGGCATCGAAGAGGTCCATGCCGTTCACAAAGATTCCGTCTACGACCGAAACGATGAAAGCACCTACGACTCTTATTCGTTGCAAGAACTGGAGAAAATTGTCGTTGACAATGACCGATATATGCAGTGCAAGGTCTATGTCAAAGATATCAGGACGATCGACCAGTCGTTACTCAATAACGGCGTTGTCGACATCGCGCTGATTGATGCTCCGGGCCTGAATTCAGACTCGGTCAAGACCACGGCTGTGTTTGCCCGCCAAGAAGAAATCGACGTGGTTGTCTTTGTGGTCTCGGCCGCAAACCACTTTACACTCTCTGCTAAGGAGTTCATTTGGCAAGCAGCGCACGAGAAAGCCTACATATTCATGGTGGTTAATGGATTTGACAACATCCGCGATAAAGAACGGTGTCAGAAGATGATTCTGGACCAACTGGCTAAGTTGAGCCCACAGACATTCAAGGAAGCGCAAGAATTAGTCCATTTCGTATCTAGCAATGCCATTCCTATGGTGCCTTCGCTGCTCATCGATGGAGTTGCTGGTGAGAGCAGTGGCAGCGGTGGTGGATCGGATCCTCCCGGGGATGACGACGATGACGGTTCGGACAAGGGCAAGGGGAAAGACAAGGAAAAGATTCGAGATTTTGAAGTCCTGGAAAGCGCCCTCCGGCGATTTGTCCTGGAGAAGAGAGCACGTTCGAAGCTTGCGCCTGCAAAGACTTATCTCATGAACTGCTTGGGCGACATGAACGTCCTGGCCACGGTGAACCGCGACGTGGCACAATCGGAGCTGGACCGCGTGTCCAGTGAACTTTCAAAAATCGAGCCGGAGTTCGAAGAAAAGCAGAAGCAGCGTGCCATCGTTTCGGAACAAGTCGAAAAAGGAATCGACTCGACCTCCACAGAGGTGTACAACCACACTCGATCCACTCTATCCAGCACCATTGCAAACGTCGGCAATCAAAACCATGGCATTGAATACCCTGGGATATTTTCTGCATTCCAATATGCAGAAGATTTGCGCATTGCCATGCTTGATCAAATTTCCGCAGCAGTCGCCAGCTGTGAGAACTACGGCCGGGCAAGGACTGTGCAAGGAGTCAATACTATCAAGTCACTTGGCTTGTTGCATGTAGGTTCCAGCTATGACAACCTGAACTTCGCAGCAGACAAGATGTTCCAGCGCCGCAAGGACGCTCTGGTGCGGTCTGTGGATACAGACGTCGATATCTGGGATTTCTTCGACGTTGCTGGGTTGTGGGAGCGACAAGAGAAGACCGTAGGCACGGGGCTCGCGCTCACTGTCGCCGGGACCTTAGGCACCAGGGCAGTCGGTGGTGTCGGGTGGGTTGATGGAGCGTTCGGCGCCGCCAAAATTCTCGGCAGCCGGAATCTGAGGAGGTTGATTGTGCCAGGCGCTGTTGCTGCCGGTGAGTACTGTGATTCCTTGTGAATCTTCGAACTTCAACTAATGAGGTGTTCTTGCAAGCGATCCTGGCTGTGGCCTACATTCTCTCCACCATCCCGCAAACCCTGCCACCGCGTCTCGCACAGAAACTCTCGGCCACTCTAGCCCAGATGGATTACACGCACAGCAACGCCCACCGAATCGCCTCCGAGGTCCGTCGCGTCCTCCGCTACCCGGCCCAACAATTAACGGCAGACCTCGCCCAAAATGTAGAAGAGCTGAGACAAAGGAAAGAAGATGTGACGAAAACGAAGAGAGAGAGTGAGGTCGCGCGAAAATACTTTGGCAACCTCGTGCGGGAGAGTAACGAGGCAAGGAGGCGAGTGGCAGCAATTGATCTCGAAGGAGGTCCCCCGGGTGCTGTGGGTGGTTACGTCTTGTAGTCGCCCGTGATCTCTTTGTTCTTGCACTAACAAGAGAGGCATAATAAACAGACGGATCCCCAAAGGAGAGAAGAGACGTGCTTCGTATCCTATGGAGGTGGGTTACGACTTTGACGGGCATGTACGGAGTAGGTATGTACATGAGCGATGCTGGGCATCTCCACTTGGCCTGCTTTTGATTGATGTCTTGTACAAATCCAGCATCCAATTTTTGTCGCAGTAAAATCAGCGATAACATGAGGCGTTTCTTCACCCGGCATGTCCCTGATCCGAGTTTCATGTCTACCTGGTCGTAGTCTGGTCGTAGTACGACTGATCGTGGCTGATGAAGGCTGATGTGATGCATGAAAGAGCATGAATCGCGGCTGCCTTGGGCTCGCCGCCTCGGATATGGCGGGATGCGGGACGCTAGTGAGGCTTAGAGAAGCTTAGTGGAATTAGAGGCGCCTAATGACAGCACCCTAGACATTGACGTCACTTTGATGGAGGGTCACCTGTGACCATCAACACCATCATTTGTCTGTTGGTCAGTGGTTTTTATTCGTACCTAATGTGCCTAGTGGTTACGAGATGACCATATTATTACAGAAGACTTCCCTATATCTACTCTGTGTCGCGGACTTCTCCTCAGTCAGAGAACGCCAGATCAGCTCATTAACTGTAGCATCACATCGCAATGGCAGACCCGTCGCAGCATCCTAACTACTACCCCAATCAACAGCCTGTGGACATGAATCATCCAGCTTTTGTGTATCAACCACAAGGACAACATCCCAGCTACCCACCACCTCCTCCTCAGCCACCGCGACCATGTGAAACCACAGCAGCAACAGGCTACGATCCTCCGGGTCCGCCTCTCCCACAAAGGCCCAGCAGCCAAGGAAACTTTGATGTCGAAGCTCAAACGGCTCCTTATCCACGGCCACCCGTCTACAACCCGGCCGCTTACGCTCCTGGCCAACAACACCAGCAATTCCAACCTCCACCCCAGCGTTACAAGCAACCATTCGTAGCTGAGGATGATCCGAATAATCCCATCCACTATATCCGCGATCCTCATAAACTGATAGGCTACTTGGTCCCGTTCCCGCGACCAGTGCTTCCTAATGTCAATCCAGAAACCATTCCAGCCCGCTTCATGATCTACACGCCACCACCACCTCCTCTGCAAAAGCCGGCTGAAGGCCAGAAAGAAGGCAAGTTGCACAAGGTGCAGCGGAAATGGCAAGAGGAAGTCCGCTCCTCGAAGACCAGCACCGCAAAGACTGCCAGCTGGAAAGGTGTCAAGTCTAAAGCGACGCGCGGGATCGATTGGGCCATCCATAAAACCACGTCTTCGAACTTAGATTTCTTGGGCCGCGTATCTCCCGGTCCGCAACAATCACATTCCGATGACGAGAGAGACCACGAAGGGTCCGAAACGCACAAGACGGTAGCAGTCGAGGAAATGGTACTCATCTACCCACCCACCATGAACTTGACCGATCAACAGATGCGCGAGGAGTTTGTGAACACAATGCTGCGAACCAAATCCAAAGCGCAGAGAGACACCATCATCGCAACCGGCCTCATGCCTGTGGCTTACGGTATCGATATCCTTGCGACATTCATCTGGCCGTTCGGCGGGCTGGGCGAGATCGATACAGTCTGGGCGTATTCAAGTTTCCGCGGCGCAAAGACCGCAAGGACCGTGACCAAGAGGTTGACCAGCTCAACTCAGTCGTCTGCCGGCCACGAAGACGAATCCAGCAAATTGAAACTCACATTCACCCATTCCCAGCGTCTCGAAGTCCTTCGCAAATATCTTGATGCGGAATGCCACAAGGCTGATTCCAAGCTATTCCCGCACTATGAGCATTCTCCTACGGAGAGCGACGTGTTGGAGGCGATAGGATGGACTCCCAGTCGTGACACCGAGGACAGGAATTGGGAAGATGAACACTGGGAAATGCAGGAGGTCAAGGAGGATCTGAAAACGGTGTTCAAAAAAGCAGCTAGTGAGTGGATAAAGTGGTGCCGGCTGCTAGAGAAGAAGTAAGATCTTCCCAAATCCTGCTCGCAGTGCCAGGAGCGGTTTATCCCCTTCCAGCATGTGAGGTCCTCTGATCTCTGTGCGCGAGGCTAACAAGAAAACAGTCCGGAGAAGGCCATGAAGAAGTAACTTTGACCCGAGTCCTATGACCACTGATACCCATATGTTCTGCATCGTTGCAACCCTGAATCACCTCTTCAGGGAATGTGCTGGATACGTCTTTTCTTGCGTTCAATTCTATAGAGTGGACGGCGATGTCGGCCTTCGCATACGAAAATCATGCCGATCTGGCAGCTTTGCTATGTAATTTACTTCACCTCTTCTTGGCTGGGTTTTCTCCTGGCTCCTTCATCTTTCTTCGCGCTGGAAGTCTGCCCGGTCACATGCTGCTCTTCTTGATAAACGGCCGAGTCTCCAGGTCCCTGGGAATTGTAGTGTCCTCCGTATCGCATTCTGTAGAGAGTGTATGTCTTTTTGCCTGCAACTAACCCACGAATGCAATATACATGTAATCCTATAGGATTAAGGGCTATCTTGTAGGGTGAAGCAACCCGCATGGGGGTGTGAAAGAATGCAAAGAAGTCAAGCGTACGTTTGATATAGAAAGTCTGCAGGGCAAGACCCGCGTAGTCCGATTCGAGGATTGAAGAACCATGAGTCTGCGTAAGCCCGCATCGTGAGGAACCATATAAAGGTGTGGGCTCGCTGTTCTGCAACGGAATTAAGCCTGCGCCTCGTCCAACGTTTGTAAGCCGTTGAGACGTACGGAGCAGTTGTCGTCGTGTGGTAGCGAGCAATATTTGGTTCACGCTACATAGGTCGATCAGAGACGTCTTGAACAGGAAGGGGGAAGATTGATACCTCGTACTCGGTACTTCTACAAGTATGCATTGCTTGTCTACCTCCTGATCACTACCACACACGGGGCATTCCGGTAGAACAACGGCTCGCCGAGCAACTCGGCCGGATCGGGGTTGCCACTGAACACTCCGCCCCTAAAAAGGCCAAAACGGCTTTAAAGGGGAGCCTGACAGCTTGCCAGGTACAGGGTTCCTCACGTTGTCGGTGTCGGAGGTTGGTCTTTGGGGGGCGAAGAGCATGAATAATGGCAACGGTGGAGGGAATGATGGATGCCTGCACTGTGCATGGGTATTGGTCTCCGTCTTTGCTGAGTATACCCGCAGATTATGTGCCTTCGAGCACAGAAGTGGTGGTAGGTAGATGCACAACAGGCATAATTAGAGACAAGCAGGACAGGTTTCGCTTGGTGCATGGCGAGCCAAGTACCCACGCACCTTGCAAGCAGGCAGGCATCCCGGAAATCGCCTTGGCCAGCCGCTCTAGGCACCTCCCTCACAATTACCTAACTCTGGACCTAGGTAATTGGTTAGCTTCCAGGGGCGGTCTGATGATGTGGTTCATCCTTGGAAGGGGCAGGAGCAGCCTCTCTGGTTCTCGCCCACCCTTGGTCTTCCCCTCCCCCACAAACCTCCAGCCCAGCGATTGAAAGAAGCAAAAGAGAGGTGGAAAGAACAAGCAAGCAGAGCAGAGCAAAGGCACGCCCACAAAGCAAGCCACGCTTCCCCCTCATCCTTCCATCACCACGCACCACCAACATCGCAAGCCCAAATTTCATCATTCCCTACCTACATTATCTTCTCCTGCTGAGTTGCGCGCAGTCTGCATTGCCACCTCCATCCTCTCATCCTCATCTTTTTCACCCAATCATAAATTACTGTACTACCCTCTCGACCGCCCTGCCTCTGGCGGGTGCTATCACTACTGACCTCATCTTATTGCGCTCCTCTTGCTGCACCTACTCCGATCACCTTGCCACGCCCGTGACCGGGCCTTGCGTCGCCTCGAGTCAAAACCCCGAGTTGATCGACCTGGGCTTCTGCAATAATACACCTCCTCATCAATAACAACACCCAGGCCAACATACTGCTTCTCTGCACTCGTCGAACCGCCACTTACCTACCACTCACGCCTCTGCGTTCTTCCTCGAACGACCTCGTATTCCTTGTCCTCAGACAGAGAGCACCACTCGTCCTGTAGGTCCTCCCTCCTGTCACACCCTGGAGCTCCGCACCCTCGTTCCCCGAAGTACGTTCGCTTGAGGCGCTCCTGCTATCCGGCCCAAGGCTCCCAGCGCATTTCTGTCTCTTTCAAGCTGGCGGGCACAACCGATCGGAGAACCTCCTCGGGAGGCTTTCTCAACCGTGTCTTCGGAGGCAAGAAAGAGAAGGACGCAGATTCGGATAGCACACCCTCTCGAATCAGCACTGACAGCAACCACAATGGCCCCACTTCTCCGGGTGGCAGCATCACAGTCAAGACCAATGACTTGAGCCCTAGATCCGAGACTCGAAAGCCAGCAGAAGAGGCCTCCGCTTCGCCCACGGCCGACTCCAAGAAGCGGAGGAGTAGTAGCGCCAAAGCGAAAGAGATCTTTACCCAGGCCAAAAACTCATTAATACACGGTGACAAGGACGGCCCTCAGACACCGATGCAGAGGCTGTCCAAGACAGATGCTGCCCTGAGCGTGCCACAGGGCTCGCTGAACAACTCGGCCGGCGAATCGCAACCTACGCCCAATTCCTCCTTCTTGGTTGGTGTGACAGAAGACAAGAACAAGAAGTGTCGCCGTACTATGGAAGACACTCATTCGTATCTTTACAATTTCCTCGGAACACCGGCGCCTGTATTGTCATCTGACAGCTCATTATCCAAGAAAACTTCGAGAGAAGATAGGAACAGCCTCAACACCATCCCCTCCAATTCTGCCCAACACGTGGTGGAGACCGACAATGGCTACTTTGCTATTTTTGATGGGCATGCAGGCACTTTTGCTGCCGAGTGGTGTGGGAAGAAATTGCACGTCATCCTGGAAGAGTTAATGCGCAAATATCCCAATACGCCCGTTCCCGAGTTGCTCGATCAGACATACACCACGGCCGATAATCAATTAGAGAAATTACCGCTCAAAAACAGTGGGTGTACAGCTATTACGGCAGTGCTACGGTGGGAGGACCGTGTGCCCACCAACCATTCCGCCACAGGGTCTCAGGCTATTGCGTCGTTGGCCGCGGCCGCGGCGAAAGAGGCGGAAAAGAATGAGAAGAATAACGAGCCACTGAAAGATGGGAAAGATTCTACTCCCCGATCCAACTCTACGGCTGAAGCGGCGGCGGCAGCGATTCAAGAAGCCAAGCAAAAAGCTACGCGACAGAGAGTGCTGTACACTGCTAACGTTGGTGACGCCCGGATTGTTTTGTGTCGCAACGGGAAGGCGCTTCGTTTGTCGTACGACCACAAGGGAATGGACGAAAATGAGGGACGAAGGATATCGAAAGCCGGAGGGTTAATACTGAACAACCGGGTGAATGGGGTGCTTGCGGTGACACGAGCGCTCGGCGACTCATATCTTAAAGACTTGGTCACCGGTCATCCTTATACGACTGAAACTGTGATTCAACCTGACCAAGACGAATTTTTAATCTTGGCCTGTGATGGAGTAAGTTTATGATGATAATTTGGGGGTGCAAGTCATGCTAATCTGCCACAGTTGTGGGATGTCTGTTCGGACCAGGAAGCAGTGGACTTGGTCCGCAACGTTCACGACCCTCAAGCTGCTTCTAAGATTTTGGTGGATCATGCGTTGGCCCGATTCTCGACCGATAACTTGTCTGTCATGGTTGTTCGGTTCGATCCACAGAAGCTGCAACAAAATACCAAGATGGACATTGGAGTCGAAACCGAATCGACCAAGGATAAACTAGCGATCAGCGAGGTGGAAATGCTCGTGGGAGAAGCACGGCGGCATTCTGGACTGGCTCAAGAAGGTCAAATATCTGACCAGGACTCGGAAGAGTTGAGGCAGACAGTGATCAAAGAACAGGAGGAAGAGGATCAGGAAACGGGACCAGAGTATACGCCAGAGGGCCAGACGGAAGCTGAGAAGATCTTGTCGGAGAAGAAGTCGGAGCACGAGAAGCCCAGTGAAGGTTGAGTTGGTATCGTGCTATACGCGGTAAAACAATGCGGAGAGTGGATGACTTACCTGGTACGAAAGGGGGCAAATGAACTCCAGTCACCCACAGAAGGCGTGATACATCATCCATCGCCGCCAAATTGGAGAGTCTGCTCCAGTAAAGACGTGTTGTCGAGTCGAGTGTCACAAATTGATCGGTGTCCCCATTTCAGACCTGTCGTCTTGGATACACCAGGCCTTGATCAGAAATATGTTACAATCCGAGACAATCGACGCATTCTCAGGATGTTTTCCATTATTGCCCATGGGAGAAGGGCTGGCTCAGCAGACCGGTAGCGGACAGACTCAGTGGTGGAGTGATTGGTGGCGGCAGAAGAAACACAGCAAGCATGTTGAGATTTTACCTTGATACTCTTCTTCTCAGATCATGGAAAGTTCTGATTAGGTGCTTGAACAGTGTCTGGTGGGTGGCTTTGAGTGGATTGGTGATTGAATGATAAATTTTTCCAGTCGAGAGCCAATCTTCAAAATTCTTTTCTCTTCGTGGACACTCATTTGGATCCAAGGGGCTAGCTGCAATGGAGATGCCCAGCGATGTGGCGAGGCTGAAGTGGACAACGAAAGGGGCTTCGGGATAAGGGAGGCGGGGATACGGCATTGATCCTCTCAGGTACAAGCCACCCATGGTGAGCGTGAAGAGGCGACTTGGGAGTATCCACCTGAGAGGAGTACATTTTATTGTTGTTATTCCATTCAGATTCCATTCAGCCGAATGGGCGGAGGGATAGACGTGCAGCACATGGCCGCTGGGCTGCACGAGGGACTTCGTACGGAGTATTATGTAAGGATATTCCGACATATTGGTGCCATGGTGCAATTGGCGCCGGGATCAAGCAACGCCCCAGGAGGCATAGCGGAGCGGAGCCCAAGAACCCAGTTGACCGAATTTAGGAAAACGGGGGGTCGAAGCAGAGGTGCTAAGATACTCCTAAGAATTAAGAACAGCAGCGGAGCAGCAGCATAAAGACCGTTGGTCCGTGGAATGTGCCCTTGTCTCCGTGAATGGGGGAGGAGGGGACAGGAGGACGAGGGCGTTTGGATGGATCCCCGGAACATCATTTATTTACTGTCGGTAGAAAAGTAGGGACTGAGTATGTTACAATACTTCGTCCTGATTACGTATCCTGTACGAAGAACATGGTGAGTAGCTATCATCGATGAATGTCTGGATGAGGGTTAGTGCTATCTGTCTTGTCATTCTGCCTTATTACGGAGTACTCGGTACCTCGCCCTAGTACGAGATACAGAGTACTTGTGTAACAAAGGCGCCGCATCCGCCAGGTACCTGGTCGCTCCATGGATGCGGGCCGCTTATCATCATCATCAGCTCGCAGCTTTCTTCGCAAAAGCAAGAATGCGCCCCCGGCCCACTCCCACCACAATTATTCCAGCCATGGAGCTCCTTGTAATACCAATCCTAGCTCAAAAGTCTACCCTGCAAGCTGCGTGATCCAATCCCCCCAATCACTCCAAAACCCTGACGTTCTCTGGCAATTTTTTTCTCCAAAATATTAATCTCTGGCATCTCTAATCTGTGTTCTCTACAACCTTCGTTCAACATCGGCCCTCTTCGTATTCCTAAAGGCCTCTGGCTAATCCTTTCTTTCTCCTCTCTCTTTGTCTGATCTTCTGATGGGCTTCGTGATTTTGCCTTGATTCCCCCTCTCCACGTCTCGACCATTACGACCACCATGGCGAGCAAAGTCCCCCTGCGCATGATGCCTGGTTTTCCAATGGCGTCACCCAGGCCGTTGTCCATGCGAGCTCTCTCAACATGTCGCCGCTCAACCATTCCACTCCCAATCGCCTCTAGACCATCCTCCTTGGTGTCCCGGCCACTGATCCAGCAATCCTTTCGTCGCAACTATGCCGATGCTCCCCAAGCCCAGCTCTCCCCAGAACCTAAGCCGAAGAGGCGCTTCCGGTTCTTCGTCTGGACCTGGCGCTTGACCTATCTCTCCGTCCTTGCCAGTCTAGGATATGTCACTTATCAGATCTATGAGGGTCGCAACCCGAAGGAGCAGTTTGATCCCGACCCGAACAAGAAGACACTCGTCATCCTGGGTGCGCATGCGACCTTCGACTATATCTTATAGTTAAATGCTGACACACTTAGGCACCGGTTGGGGTTCCGTCTCCTTGCTCAAGAATTTGGATACTGAGAACTACAACGTCGTCGTCGTCTCGCCTCGCAACTACTTCCTCTTCACCCCCCTGCTGCCCTCGTGTACCACCGGCACAATTGAACATCGCTCCATCATGGAACCCATCCGGAACATTCTCCGACACAAGAAGGCCAAGGTCAAGTACTACGAAGCCGAATGCACAAAGATTGACTACCAGAAGAAGATCGTCTATGCCAAGGACGATTCGGAAATCAAGGGTGACACGATGGAAACGGAGATTCCCTTCGATCTATTGGTCGTGGGCGTTGGAGCTGAAAATGCCACCTTTGGAATCCCCGGTGTGCGTGAACATGCCTGTTTTCTGAAAGAGGTCGGCGATGCTCAAAAGATCCGGAAACAAATCATGGACTGTGTGGAAACTGCAACTTTCAAGGATCAGAGCCCCGAGGAAATCAAGCGCCTTCTCCATATGGTGGTCGTTGGTGGCGGTCCAACCGGTGTCGAATTTGCTGGTGAATTGCAGGATTTCTTCATGGAGGACTTGCAGAAATGGGTCCCTCAGATTAAGGACGACTTCCATGTCACTTTGGTCGAAGCTCTGCCCAATGTGCTCCCTATGTTCAGCAAGCAACTGATCGAATACACCGAGTCGTCCTTCAAGGAAGAGCACATCCAGATCCGCACAAAGACTATGGTTAAGAACGTTACCGACAAGTACATTGAAGCCGAAGTCCAGAACCCGGATGGTTCGAAGTCCGTGGAAAAGATTCCCTACGGACTCCTTGTCTGGGCTACCGGCAATGCTCTCCGCCCAGTGGTGAAGGATCTCATGTCCCAGATCCCTGCTCAAGCGAAAGCCCGCCGTGGTCTCGAGGTTAATGAGTACCTCGTTGTCAATGGCACCGAAAACATCTGGGCGGTCGGCGACTGCGCAGTGGCGAACTACGCACCTACTGCTCAAGTAGCTGCCCAAGAAGGCGCTTTCCTTGCTCGTCTGTTTAACACCATGGCCAAGACAGATGCCATCGAGGCCGAATTACGCGACTTGTCCGCCAAGCAGGCTACCGCGAACCCGGATCAGCGCAAAGTCATCTTGGAGGAAATCAACGAGCGCCAGCGTCAGCTCCGTCGCATCAAGCAGATCGGCCCCTTTAGCTATTCACATCAAGGATCGCTTGCATACATTGGCGCCGAGAAAGCGGTCGCCGACGTGTCGTGGTTCAGCGGAAACATCGCTAGCGGAGGTACTATGACGTACCTGTTCTGGAAGAGCGCCTATCTGAGCATGTGCTTTAGCAGTGAGTGTGCTCTTTGTCCTTTTCCCACCCGCCCTTCCATGTAAGAGGATTTTGGCTGACATTTTTGACTTGACTAGCGCGCAACCGCATCCTCGTCTGTTTCGACTGGCTCAAGGCCAAATTCTTTGGCAGAGACGTGTCGAGAGAATAGTTAAAGTCGGAAACAAGGGTTCAAAGCCTCAGCATGTTTTGGGGAAGGTGGTATCAATGCTTCCCCAAAGGCTTTTTTTTTGCTTTTCGCTCGGATCGAGAAAACGACAACTTGTTCGACTTATAGATGGCCCCCTTTGCAGTGGGCGAGCAACTGTATGGTATTATCACCCTGTTATTTTATCTTTGTACACCGAAACAACTCACTGTGCGTGCACATGCCTTGTGGGGGCGAGATCGTAGCTTGACCTGGGTCATCCCGGTGCTCCATTGAGATTCAAAAAACTGTACTCGGTAGAAACGTCCTAACCGCCAGCGAGTTTAGCGGTAGTTCGCTTGCCAGCTGTTTCCTCAAGTCTATGAGATCGCGCTGAGAGTCGTGTTCTCTCTATATTTTGAGAAGCTATTTCACTTTGTACAAGTCTGGTCTTCCATTGGACATCCATATTTTCCCAGTTCGGGAACCAAGGCTGCGACCAAAAAGAAGAGTCCCGTATATAATACACATAATTCGACCCCTCTTTACCACAGTTTATCTCCCTCCTTCCTTTTCGCGGCCCTACCACCCCGTGCACTCTCTCTTTTCAGGGCTTTCAGCTCCTCTTCGCTGATGGGTGGCTTGAAGTACAGACTGGCACTCTCGCCCTCCTTGACGATATGGCTCAGATAGCCACGATGCTTCGCGTCCCTATAATACTCTAGCTCTTTCCGTGAGCTGGGGTCCGGCAGTCTGTAGGGGAAGCCCATGCCCCTGGCACGGTTTTCAGCCAGCTCGGACCCTTCCACGGTTAAATTGGGATTTTTGAGGGCTAAAGGATCCCAGCGCAGAGAGAGAAAGGGATGTGTTTGGCTGTTCTTAATGCGGCGTATCGATTGCGCGGTGTAGAAGCGTGTCGTCACTGTTCCGCCCAGAGCTTCGACTGCGGCGATGGCAGATTGCGATGCCCTTGAGACTACAATATGGATGGGTGTTTTGAGCTCCGAGGCTCCGTTTCCGAGCAGTTTCACGCCATCTTTAATGCGACCCAGAACGCGCGAGGAGCAGAGTTCCTTGAGAGTGATCGGCCGGGAAGAGTCAAGGCGGCCTTGGTCGATCCAGGATTGGATTTTGTCCAGATTGATAGGGGACATTTCGTTGGCAAAGCTGCAGGCCACAGGTCAATTGACCTTCTGTCGACATAAAAGGCGAGGGGTATACATACAGATTCTTGAACCCATATTTTCCGTGTACGATGTGTTCGGGTGTCTGACCACCATTGAACCCAGCGGGGACTTTGCCATGCTGTTTCTGCCCATCAGACCCGCGACCGGACTTGCCTCCTTTCCCAGATGCGGGACCCCGTCCACGGCGAATCTTCTTGTTATAGGCGCCAGGCCGATCCGATAGGGAAGTTAGAATTGAGGCATATCGGCGTTGGGGAAGCGTTTGGGCGTAGCTCTGGAGGAAGGGGACGAGGAACGCTGGAAGAGATGACGTGGTGGTTGCGGGCTTGATTTTGACGAAGTCGGAGCACGACATCGTCGATGGCGAGAGCCGTAGACTTAGACGAGGCGGCATTGTCTTGTAGAAATGGCCTTATTCTTCACTACGCTTGTGCTCAGGAAAGTTGATTGAAAGCTCTAGTACTAATTGCGCAGACGCCGGTATACTTTCTCTTTTCAGATGCCAAGCTCAATATGCCAAGATCCCGCCCCGAGTGCTTTCGCTCCTCCCTGACTTTCTCGCTTGATGGCCCTCTCAAACAAGGGACGAGCCTGGCGACCTCGTGCCTCGAGTTTCCTCTCCACACATTATGCAACAGTGGGTGGTTCAAAATATGGATCGCTCATGGCCCCGGACAAGCCATCTCCGCGATACGTTCGCCCTCGTTCACACGGGAGGATTTGAGATACTCCCCATGCACAAAATGTCCAATATACGCCTCTAAGGATGCAAGAAGATCACAGCATGCTATCATATCAACAATGCGTTGTGTCGGACTCGCCAGCCACCCTATTTTTACAGATTTGTCCCAGGTCTTGGAAGATCGACACACTACGTTGCGCTAGCATATTTATGAAGCAGCAGGCAGGTGATGCTGCATAAGACTTTACGAGAAATTCAACTTCGAGACTTCTTGGCGATATCACCATCGTGTCACGGCCCACAACAGCATAGCAAAACCGGGCCACCAGCTTCGGAGATTGCAAGCTAGAGCAAGATGTCTTTGACTTGTTTGACACGCAACATCGGAACAAACGGAAAAGTGACCTGCGTAGCATGGCCATGACAGATTCGATGACTACAAACTTTACTGTTCCCAAGGAAGCTTGTCTGGATCCCAAACCTCGGCGCCATTCGCGATCTAGAGGTAAAGTGACTGCTTTGAGAACTCTAAATTGGCGCTTGATTGATTTATGGCGACTGCAGATCCTGACACAGGTTGATGTTAAAATATGCGACGACCTCTGGTGCCTCATATCTCTGAATGTCCTGGCTCAACCCGACAAACAAAGTGCATGATATCCATTATAGCAATGCCATAGTAAAAGCTGCTCGGACGACGAAGGAGCCACCCTTGTAGGTTGTCGAGAACTACTTGAGAATCAGTCCTGGGAGGACAGCCTAATCGCTCTTGTGGAAGGGAGAAGCTGTCGACACCTTCCCGCATGACCCGACTGTGGCAATGGAGAAATCTCGCTGGACCTGAACGAAAAAAGCTTTCGGCCGTTTGTGGACCTCGATGTTCTTTCCTGATCAGACCCAGCCTTGTTCAGCCTCGCTAGGGTGTCGGACTTATGTAGTACGGGATCGTTCTGCCAACATATTGAGTGAAAGACAAACCATATCTACTTCTAGAATTATATCTTGCACACCTGAAGGTAAGCCAGCGGGTACTCCTCCTTTGCAAAGGCCTTTGATCACACGGCTTTTCAAGTCTCAACGATAACGGACAGGTTGCCGTGATTCCAACATGGCGACGGAAAGCACGCAATCGAGGCTCCCTTCGGTCTAAATTACCCCGGTCGACATCACACGTCCATTCATGTAGCAGTGGAAATGTTGTTACAGGCCTTTGCAGAGTGGGTCACACCACAGGCGCAAAGCCACCACACCAGATCCGCACCCTGATAAGTGCCATGAACTTGTTCTGGACTTTTGTTGATCCAATGGTGTTTGGCTTCACACTCGAGAACGAAGCGATCCCACTTCCCACGAGGCAAAAAAAGTGCAAAGACCAGACGAAAGATTGCGTGCTTATCTCGGTTTTGTGCATCATTCACGCGCATGGAGAGTATAAAAGCTCTTCGGTGTGTGAAGTCGTCAGCAGATGGACTCCAAGGTATTTGCTCCACGACTGGGTCACTCCGGTATTGTACAACTGTGGTAGCATCCAGAGAACTATGGCAGCAAAAGAAAGCACTTTATCTGAGGTCAATGCCCCTCCTACGACGATACATACATTTGCTTCATACAGAAAAAAGAAGGGCGATGCGGCGTTGGAACTCCTTGCCTCTACCGGTGGCGTGGAGCAGCCGACTGATGCAGTGCGGAATCGACGGCTCCTTCGACGAATCGACTACCATATTATGCCTCTGATCTGCACCGTATACTTTCTCCAATACCTTGACAAAACCTCCATCTCGTATGCCAGTGTCACAGGTCTGCGAGAGTCGGCTCATCTGGTGGGGGACCAATTCAACTGGGTGGCTTCTATATTCTTCTTCGGCCAGCTTACATTCGAGTTTCCCACCATTTACGTTTTGCAGTTGTTCCCCCTGGCAAAGTATGTCAGTATCAATGTCGTCATCTGGGGCGCGATCTTAGCTGCTTTGGCCGGGTGCAAGTCTTTCGTCAGCTTGATGGTCTGCCGTTTCTTCCTTGGGGCGGCAGAGGCTACCATTGTCCCTGCTTGGGTGGTCTTCACCAGCCAGTGGTACAAAAAAGAAGAACAAGCATTCCGCGTAGGCATCTGGTTCTCCATGTGTGGATTATCCCAGATGTTCGGAGGGTATTTTGCTTATGGCGTTGCGAGGCATGTCGGAGGAGACGTCCACGCCGCCTTGAGAGGATGGCAAATCATCTTCCTGTTCCTGGGACTCTTGACTGTCGTGGTCGGTGTGATCTTCTGGTTCATCCTCCCGGACTCGCCAGCAGTGGCGGGCTTTCTTTCTCCCGAAGAAAAGATCCAACATGTTGAACGCATCCGAGGGAATGAACAAGGAATTGGATCCAAGGCTTTCAAGTGGGAACAAGTCAGAGAAGCGCTCACCGACATCAACACCTGGCTCTATGCCTTCTGGGTCTTTGCCGCCAATATCCCCAACTCAATCGCCACCAGCTTTGGCAACATCCTGGTCACGGGCATGGGTTACAGCAAGCTCAACTCTCTCTTGCTGGTGACACCGCTCGGTGCATACGAGGTTGTCATACTTATTGCAGTGACCTACTTGGCGATGAAGACTAAGCAAAGGTTGTGGTGTTGTATCATTACACACATACCCTCTATTGTCGGAGCGATCCTCATGGCAACGACTGAGAAGACTCCTGCACTGATCGGATACTACCTCAGCGGAGGTATTCCCATTGGCTGGACGACCATTCTCGGGCTTCAAGCCAGCAACGTGGCCGGGTCCACAAAGAAAATAACCGTCACTTGCATCGGCACCATCGCGTATACAGTGGGCAACATCATATCGCCACAGACATTTCAGGCCAAAGACGCACCGAGATATCTCCCGGCGAAGATCTCGATTGTGATTCTCTACTTCTTAATCACAGTGGACTTGTTCCTCATCCGGCTCGTCTATGTGCGGAGGAACAAGAAGCGCGACGAAGCGAAGGCGGCGCTGGGCGAAGCTTATGTGGTGGAGAAAAATCATGAGTTCCAAGACATGACCGACATCCAAAACCAACATTTTCGATACTCGTTGTGAGAGGGACTGGTACACATACCCCTCGATCGGAACATTCGGATTAGAATAGTCAATATGTCTGACCAGAAATAATATCCATCCCCGTTGTCGTCTCCGCAGTTTATATTGATATCTTGCTCGTCATATATTTGTGAAATGGAGAGTAACTGACTGCTCTCAACGAAATGAACTTTTCACTGGAGATGAAGGTTGAAAGGGCGAAACCATCGTCCATATCATACTTCATAGCAGAGGAAGAAGCCCTTGTTATTTCTACCACTTACTTCTTGCAGCTACATATATAGGTGCCCACCCAAGCGGACTAACATCTTCCTTCAATCTTCACTCATTGATATTCCACTCCAGCCATCCAACACCTTTGCGACCGTCATTCGTGGTGATTGTCGCCCAAGAACGAGGAAACTTGGCCACCCTCCCATCCTTCGCCACGAGGCACAGAGGCGCGTGTCCGACCGGTTTCACGTAGAAGGTGAGTGGCAGCGGCGCCATGGTGATGGTGGTGGACACGCCCAGGCCGTTGGGGGCCATTTCCGCGGCGGCTTTGACGTCGGTCATCTCGATCAACGGCTCGCCTTGCTTCTGCACGTATCCGACGCCCAGGTGAGGGAAGTCTCCTCCGCGGGCTTTGGCATGCACCAGGTGGCTGTGCGTCCCGTCGTCGAAGTGGAACGCCGTCCACACCCAGTCGGCCGCCCACCAGTCGCGCGGGCCCCATGAGTGATCGCGTTGGCCTCGGGCCTTGGTGAAAGTGAATGACTGATCGTCCCATGAGAAAGTGCCCGTGACTTTGCAGGGGATCTCGTATCTGGTCGCCCGGCGCCATTGGTACGGGTGCCCGTCCGTTTCGAAGAGGAGATCCATCTGCACATCCACCGGGCGCCCGGTCCTGCCTTGGAGGATTGCCGCTGGATCATCGAAGGCCACTCCTTTTCCCTTGACCGTGATACGATATTCCTTGAGAGGCACTTCTGCTGTATGGGTGGCCGTGTATTCTGCGCCGTGGACTGTCAGGTCCTTCCCCGGATGAGGCGCCTCGAAGTCGATAACTCCCACGGTGGGTATGTGTGGGCCACAGATCAGAGCATGATACCATGAGCCGCTCTGGTTGGGAATAACGCCGAGTCTCGCCCACACACCGACTTGCTGCTCTGGGTCGATGACGTCGAAATACCAGCTCTCGTTGTGAAGTGGGTGCTCACCGAATGGGTGCATCTCATCGTCCGAGGCTTCTGGTTCCAGATGCGGGAGAGGGACCGGTGGCGGCAATACCTCGAGCGCCTTCGTATCGGCGACGTGCTCACAGCTGCGTTCGAACATGGTCAGGAACAGATCGTCTCCTCTGGCCGTCCTCTCCACGAGACTCGCCGCGGTGATGGCTTGGCGCATGCCCGTAAAACTGTGCATTCGCACGCCTGCCTTACATTCATGGATGCTGATCGGATACGGGGCGCTCGCAGACAGCGCCTCGTGGTATATTTTCAGCAGCTCCTCTCCGTGCTCGCGGCGAAACTCGGGCGTCAGAGCGAGGCCCAAGAAGTAGGATGGATCGTGGAGGAGAGGTCCCCAATAGCACGTCTGCCAATCCACCAACGTCAACGGTAGGTCGGTGCCGTCTCTGAACAGGATGTTGTCGAGTCGATAGTCTCCGTGGACGAGCCCTGTAGGTGCTGATGTGGCGTCAAGGGCGGCATGGTACGCCTCGTAGCTGTCGATGAATTTTTGGCCGATGTCGCGGTGTTCTGGCTTGAGGCGTTCTCCATACCGCTCTTGGAACCGTGTCCAGTATCCCACCATGTGTTCTTTGGCCGACCACGCTCGCGTCCTCTTCATCCAGCTATGGCCCTCCAAGGGGACATGGTTCAAGATCAAGCCGTGAAGTCTCCCGAGCTCCGACATGGCCAACTTCGCTTCTTCTAGCGTCGCTCCGTTGATGTCGGAGCCCACCCTTCCCGCATTGTCACTCATGAGGATGACGAATTCCCCAGAAACCTCGTCTCTTTCCACCCTGTAGACATCTGGGATCGGCCCCGTCGTCAGGAGCGGAGCAATCTCTTGGTAAAAGCGGACCTCCCGCTCGTACAAGCCAGAGCTGATCCCGAAAGACTTGCAGTCTGCGTCGAGAGAGGCCATTTTGGCCACCACCGACGCCGGTCCTGCTCGTGTCTTGGAGCCATATTCGAGCTCAACACGGTACACTTCACCAATCTGGCCGGTTCCGATCCGGACAGGTTTTGCACCGACCACGTCGAAGCCCAGAGCCTTCGAAAGCCACTGGGGTGACAGTTCAATGTGTGCGGCAACCATATTCGGCGGGAATTGGAAGGAGGATTTTTAATGAAACTGCCTTTTCTCAAGGGGAGTTCTCAGGGACTTTTAGATGTCACGCCAGGTCTCGACGCGACCCTGACCTGTGGGAGTTCAGGCGGGGTCGCAACTCGTCTTGCGAGCCCATCTGATGCCCATCGCGATGTAATTTGCCTAGGATGTTGGTTATTTTGCGGGGTTCTATTGTCGAAAACCACCAGCTACCGAGGCCGAGGTATGCACCGAGTAGGCAGGCGGACGTAATCAGGCAAATGGTATCAGGTCCATATTGGGGTGTTTCTGACTGCTGCCTGTTGACTCAGAAGAGGTCGGGGTGACTTGTCATTGGTATACATGCGGGTGGAAAGGCTCTAAGCCACTGATGCTGCAGCTCTATACGCTTAGCGTGTTTGGTTTGGGTACCATTGTATATAGGAGGGTTTCTAGCGGAAGAACGATTCAAACAGAGTGGAGGGTGGGAAGTGAGACCAGAAACAGAGCATTCAAATACACGTGATTGTGGCTCTATAATGACCCTAGATTCCGAAGCCCTCAAGCCGCTTTCCTTTCGGTGAAGATAAAGTTAAGAGGTGGGCAGGCCAGGGTAAAGCCATCCGTCATGTCCCGAGTGAACTTGGCTGGATCCTCCCCTGGGGCCAGGGCGAAGTCGTACTGATGCACTATGTAAGCCGTGACATATCGAAGCTCCATCAAGGCGAGCTGTTTGCCAATACAGCTATATGGGCCTGGTATCGAGAGCGTCATGTCAGTCTACTGTCCCTCGATAGGATCTTCCAAAAGTGTGGTGGACGATCCAACTGTAACATCACTGTAGTAGACTCACCGTACGAAAACGGAACAAACACCGAAGCATCCACGGTCAGCTCTGGTTTAGTGGTCCATCGTTCGGGAATAAATTCGTCTGGTCTCCGGAAATTTCGCTCATCTGCCACAAGGTTTAGAGTGAGTTTCCCTGGAATCTGCATCGGAACTGTCACAAGGAGACAAATTTACCTCGAAACAAAGTGTAGAAGGGAAGATATATAATCGTGTTCCCAGGAACAAAGGTGTCGCCGATCATCATGCCTTCAGGGGGAGTCAATCGCTGCACGCCCGAAGGCACGGGAGGGTGGAGACGCAATGCCTCGTTGATGACAGCATCCAAGTGTTTGCTCTTCGATAGGGCGATCGAATCGACTTCACCGCTCTCAAACAGTTGATCCACGTGTTTCCGAAGCTCAGTCAGTAGATGCGGTTCGGTTGCCAGGTGGAAGAAGAGGGTGGTCAGCGTCGACGCGGTAGTGTCACTGAAGTGGTTCAGTTAGATATAGGCGCAAGAACCACAATTGGTCGTTCTTCACAGGGAGTGTGCATTACCTTCCAGCGACGACAATCAGATAGGCATCGGCTTGAAGATTCAAAAGGCCCTGAGCTGCTTTCGGCTCCTGTTTTTCATATTCTTCCAGCAGATATGAGAAAACGTCCGGTTTATCGGGTTTCATCTAATGTAGCTCAGTCAGAGAGATCTTTCCCTTGCAAACCGGTCGAAGCTTACCTTCATTCTCTCATCCACTTGGCTGTTCACAAAATCCCAGAATCTCTTATGCTCGTAATTGAGGATCGGAATCGATCTGAATATCGGTGCTATCCAAACCACATGTTTAAAGTAGCCTCCCATGGTCATACTCGTCTTGAGTGAGTTCATGAAGTAATGTTTGACGCCGTTCTTGACCATATCGAAAGATTTACCGAACGCGAGGTCGCCCATGACATCGAAACTGTAAAAGTTGAACCAGTCGCTGATGTTGAATGGTTTGCCCTTTTGAGCCTCAATTACATTCATCAAGCCAGTCGTGTATGAGACTACGCGGGGCTCATAATCGCGAAGACCTAAGTGTTCCGCACGTTAGCCTAGAACGAACTAGGTTCCCGAAGAGTGATTTAAGCAGAATGTACTTTTAGCACCAAATCCTCGGTCCCAGACCTTCCTTCGCTGTGCATGCTCTTGCTTATCTCGGCTGTTTTGCAAGGCCACTCGTGGTCGCATTCCATTGTACCAGGGTCCTTTAGTGCAGGGAGTTTGCGCTGAGTTCACTGCTAGAACGGCGCGTGGATCAGCAATCGACAACTCCATCGGTCCTGATCAAAAGGTCAGTGCCTGAATGTTTTTCGCGTTATTGGACAGCAAGCCGCTACCGAGTCGCACAAAATCCCCATATTGTCTGTGCAAGGCTTGAACCTCTTCATAAAGATGCAACTTGGACTTGACGGAAAGGGACGTCGGGTATAGGGTAGACACCCGTGCCCAGAAAGGGCCAGGAAATTTGGATAGTCGATGAAAAAATCCACGATATATAAACATGCTAGTGAACGTGCCCACGAGAACGCATATACCGAGAGCTGACACATGGAGTACGGCGAGTAGGGTGGCTGTTAATGACGGCGCATAGGCGGTCAGAAATCCAATGAGAAGTAACTGTGTGGTGCAAAAGGACGTGATCAAAGCTGGCGCAGACAAGTCCCATTCGCCCCAGCGAAACAAGGCCAGATGGAGGACAACACCCAACAGCAATGCCCACAGATAGCTCTGTGGAGATTGGAGAAGTGTGAGTATATCCATGACTGGAATTGCGTTGAGATCGGGCTTTCCACTGGACAACTATAACGACAGACGGAGATGGATAGAACTGGCATCAACAGACATTAATACAGCTTCACACGACGTTGCATTGCCTGCCGAGGTAGCGTATCTTTTGCCCAGCTCGGTTGGCACCGTTGACATCGTGCACTTGACGTCCGTCTGTAGAGTCAACCAGCCGTATCCAGACACGGCATGGGCCACGGTCGTCGAGAGGCCAATCACGATGACTGTCTCGTGTCGGCAAGACTGGGGCATACAATGCGGGGTGGAGTCTTAGTCTTATCCGAGGGTCCTGGTGTACTCGGACCCCTGAGCGTAAGTGTGTTTGGTGAGCAGACCAAGTCAATAAAGCGATGCCTGTGCTTACCTTAGGGAGAAACCTACTTCCCACATAAGCAAGGGCTTGTCTGTCAGTTTTGGAAGGATACAACTGGCTGGTACTTGATGATGCTGCGAGCGACCATCCCGCTTTCTGCAGCACCTTATTGGTACACTCCCGTTTGAGACGTTATATGCTGCACCTGAGCGAGGGCTTCGTGACCTTGGTGGCTTTCTCCATATCACGCTGATCTTTGTCCTGGAAGAGCAGTCTGTACAAGTTGAATTCGACAGGGTAAGGAAAAACACAAGGCTGCTTCCCCCCTATTCTGCCTCGGCAAACCTTCACCTCTGCTTCCTTATATCAACACACCTGATGCAGGGGTTAAGGCCCTTTCACAACAATGAGGCGTCGCCATCTGGCCAAGTTCTGGAGGGTAGCATGATCGGCACTTGTGCTGAAGCGTATTTTGGTCATTGCAGCCTAATGGCTCCGCAGGGGGGTTCATAAATATATTGCCGAGTTTGAGCACTCAAGATGCCTTATCTCCTCAATTCAAATTGTTCCAGAAACATTATTGGTCTCATTAACAAATGCTATGCGAGAAACGATGGAAAGAAGCACTGTTGCCTTTTGGGGGCCGAGTTCCAGGCCGTGCCTAACGGTTGTGATATTCGCCTCAGCCCGCCAATGGGAGTTGCCTTTCGAAATTCTCATCCGCCACATGCGGAGCCCCTGCGACCTGCGGCAACGCCTGTACTCGTACCACCACCTCCTGAAGAATCATCGCCTCAGTTCGACTTCAACACTTCCAACAATGGCTCGGTGAGACGGCGGCAGCCGGGTGGCATAGTTACTACAGTTTGCTTGCATCGTCTATCCTGTCATTTATCCAAAGCCATGACTACGTAGGCAGTTACTCGTCTTGCGGAACACATTTCCCGTCCACCACCACAGTGCAGGCACAATGGGCCCTATCGAGCTGAACAAGCGACGGATCATCCTACTCATCGCTAGTATAATCGCCTTTTACATTGTCTTTCATGGCCTATCACCCTCTGGCGACGACTTACAAGATGTCGCCTCCCACATACCCATTCCCGGCCATTTGGACCCTACAGAGCATAAACTCCCCCCCTCGGCGCCCGATCCAGACACGATATGGGACCTGGGACCCGATCCTGCTCCCACCCTCGAACCTGAGCCTCAGCCTGAGCCTAAGCCCGAGTCCGAACATGAACACGAAATCGACACCGAGAAACCCACCCCTCCCAGCACACAACCCGTTGAACACTTCGACTTACATCCCATTGCACAGTTGATGCAAGAAGCCGATGCTGCGTGGCGGACCTACGAGACTGGGATTTCGACAACATTTAGGCAGACGGTGGAAAAGTACAGAAGCAAATATGGCAGACATCCTCCGCCAGCGTTTAAAGACTGGTATAGGTTCGCACGAAAGAGGAACGTGTTCAATATCGACGACTTTGAACAGATCATGGACGACTTGCGTCCCTTCTGGGCAGTTAATGCGTCTGACATCCGCATTCACGCTGCCCACATGTGGGAGAACCCTGACTTTGGTGTGTCGGTCATTCATATTCGCGATCACAAGGTGGTCAGAGTGGACAACCCGAGTTGGAGATCCGAAACCATGGAGAAAGTCATTGAGAAGTTTATCAAATTCCTTCCGGACATGGACATTCCTATGAATAGATTGGATCAACCCCGGCTAATTGTGCCTTGGGAAGATATGCAAGAGTTACTGCAAAAGGAATATCACTCACGCGTCATGGCGCCTGAGGTCACGGACAGCTTTACCAAAAACCAACCCGAGCTCCTGGATATGAGCATCGAAGACAAGGAACTCGACCACTCCACAAGACTGAGCGAAGACTGGATATTTGCTGCCGGTCAGCAGTATATGAAGCTCGCAGCCAAAGGTTGCCCTCCAAAATCCCCCGCCCGAGCGGAGATGACGGTTGCGGAGGCAGATTCTCTGTACAAAGAGCCCACGCTGGGATTTGTGAAGAATTTCAACCTCTCCACCGACCTGTGTACAGTGGGTCCGACTATTCAAGATATGCATGGCATGTTGTATTCACCTAGCAGCATCATCGCCTCTCACAAGCTGGTACCCATCTTCGGCGAATGCAAAGTGAGCGTCAACAACGACATTCTTTTCCCAGCAAACATGTATTATCAGCATGATGACCGATATGACTATAACGGGGAGGAAGATGTCGACTGGCGGGACAAGCAAGATAACACCATCTGGCGCGGCGTCACCTCTGGTGGCGTCCAGCTCGAGGATAACTGGGACAGGATGCACCGGCAGAGGCTTGTTCAGCTCCTGAATGGCACGCACATGCTCATAACCGGGAAAGAGGTCAAAGCTCTAACAGAAAAAGATGATGGCCCAGACAAGGTGAACACCACCTACGAGCTCTACGATCGATTCAAGCCTTCACAATTTGCTGAGCGTCACAGCGACATCGGTTTCACCGAACCAATGTCCTGTCTCCCGAATTGCTCATTCTACGACAGCGTTTTCTCCTGGAAACCACAGGTCCCGCTCACGTCACAGTTCAAGTCGAGATATTTGATCGACGTCGATGGACATTCATTTTCGGGCCGTTGGCATGCTTTCCTCCAAAGTAAGAGTCTCGGACTCAAAGCTACTATCTTCCGCGAATGGCACGATAGCCGACTTCTAGCATGGCGACATTTTGTTCCGGTGGACAATCGATACGATGACATTTACGGACTCTTGACATACTTTATTGGATATGGCAAACCCTACAAACAGCATGCCGAGGAAGGCGAAGACCCGAATCCGCGCGTCTTCATTGCCCGGCATGACAGGGAGGCACAGATGCTCGCCCGGCAAGGACGCGAATGGGCAAATAAGGTGCTCCGACGGGAGGACATCGAGGTGTACATGTTCAGGTTGCTTCTAGAGTATGGGCGTTTGATTGACGACAATCGAGATTTTATTGGCTACTCCGGCGACGGCAGTGAACTGGACAAGTTTGATGAGGGTGAGGAAAGCGAAGGCCGCTGGGGAATTGGAGGGTGGTAGATGTCCTTGGACGGGGACACCCTTGGAAGAATGACGACGAGCCCATCGCCCAAACCAGGCCAATGTCGCCCTGAGCGGTGAAATTCTCCTGCGCGTTTCAAGCGGTCCACATCTGACGTCCAGGGCACAATCGCTACTACTGACAGCAGTGCACAGTAATCCTGGAGAACACAGAATCCGCTGGTCGCTCGACCCGCGGACTATCAGTGCTGAAGTCTGCACCGGGTCGCAACGTCCACAATTGACCGCCATTTGGGTATAAAGCAAGACGGGGACCTTTGTTGCAAAATTGGAATGACACAACCTAAGAATGAAGAGGAGACCTTGGAAGGGGCCGAAAATGTACTATACAGAATGAGCGTTTGGGGTTTGGTCCCCTTTTTTTTGGCTGGCGCACTCCTCCATCGATAAGTGTGTAGGGATATAGAGACCATTACAATACATGGGCAGGCACGCGATGGAACGAGCAAATAAAACTGTCAAAACGAGCGGACGGTGGCACGAGGGACTCGGGCTGAGCCGGACCGAGACCACAGGCACATCGATGGATCATCTTCGATGCACAATTCATGGCCTTCTGCACAAGCCTGTATAGTCACGGGGAAGCACTCGAAAGACATTGCTCGATAAATATCCCAAATCATGAATATATCGTCAATAGAAGAAGTTGATGTTTGTGATCCCTCACTACACACGTGCGTATGTCGATAGTTACGGAGTCGTCCTACTTCTTCAGCTTCTTCTTCAGCCTCTTCTCGGCCCTCACGTCCTTCTTCAACCGCGCATCCACAATCTTATATTTGCCCTTGACGCCCCTCGGGCGGCCGGCAACACCCCTGTTCGCACCCCGGGCCACGACCAGCTTGACCTTTTCCTTGGGTCGTCCCTTTTTGGCCGCCCGCGCCATCATTCGCGAAATGGTCGAGGCCTTGTCCTTTTCGCTGACGCCCTCGTCTTCCAGCAAAAGCGCGGATTTCTTGCGGAGCTTCTCTAGCCGTTGCGCCGCTTTCATCTTCTTCCGCCCTTTCGCTTCCAGCACCTTCTTGATAGGCCGGGCGTTCAACGCGCGCAGTTTCTCTTTGATGGCTGCCGCGGCCGCCGCCGTAATCGGTCTGATGGGTCGAGAGTGTCGGTCTTCGTCATCCAGGAACCAGTCGGGGAGGCCGTCGGTGTCGCGGAAAGTGTATTTGTTGAAATTGTCATCGATCAGATCTTTGGGTGTGATTTGCTTGGTGGCAAGCGACTGCGCGAGAGTCATGGCTTCAGCCGTGATTATGTCGACATCCAAATGGCCGGATGGTGTTAATGGGTCTTCGGGGCGTGGAGAGGTTGTGGAGGGGTTGGCAGTGTGAGCTTGAGGAATGGTCTCGGTACCGGATTCCGATTCAACATCTGTTGGCCGAACGGATGATTGTGGTTTCTTCAATGCTGACTTTATGGGTTTGTGTTGCTGTTCTTTTTGTGTGAGAGCTTTTGCGGGGAGGGAGTCTGCGTGATCCGAGGGATCGTCGTCCATCTCAATCGCGCTATCCTTATCCAAATCTTCTTCCTCATCATCAAGGCCCAGGCTCTGGAAAATGTCTTGATCAAAGAACATGGCTGCTTTCGTGGAAAGGCCCTCACTTTGCGGTATTTGTTTCATACGATAGCCGTCTTGAACGTCATCAGAGCCCGCGTCAGTCGCTATATCGCCAGATGAATCCTCGGCATCCGAGAGGCCCTCCCATTCATCTGTTTCTTTCTCTTTCCTTGCTCGCTTTGCTCGGGCTTTTGCATCTGCTTCCTCCCTCCTTTGTTGATAGGTTTCGTACATCAAGTCGAGTTCCCTTTCAAGCCTGTCGCCGGCCTCGTCCTCGTCACTCTCAGAATCATCATATGGGGTTTCTGACTCCGAATTTTCCTCGTCTACCATGTCGTCGGCGGTCGGAACAGAATCCTGAACTTTATCAGCAGCCTTAATGCTGAACATGGACCCTTCGGCTCCGGGCCCACTCTGTTCCAATCCAATGTCAAACGGTGCAGTCATGTGCATCTGCATGCGGACAATCTCTTTTCGCTTCCTTTCGTTTTCTTTCCGTCGCTCCCTCTTCTTTTCCTTCGTGTCTTGATCCTTTAATCTCTGCAGTTCTTCTTGAAGTTTGAGTTCGTCTTCCATCGACTCGACCTGAGCTACCTCTTCTCCTTCCTGGTCTTTGAGCTGAGTTTCCTGTTCCTGCTTTTTCGCCTTGGTTGACAGGCCAAACTGATCGCGAACTTTCAACCGCCAGCGAAGTAACGTTCGGAATTCCTTCTTTCCTAGCACTTTCAAGTCGGCACAACAGTGTCGAATTTCGGCTGTTGTCTCGGGTAGTCGATTTATTGTGGCCAATGCAAGATCACCGTTGGGGGGCTGCTCGAAACTGAGTTTGTTTACGGAACCCAGGATCGCGATCGGGTCTGTGGTATGGATAAAATCGCTGACGGGAACTTCTTTGTGTTGTGTCCAATCACCTTCCTCATAACCCTCTCGCTTCCGTTTCTTCTTTTCGGGATTGAAGACCTTGGCTTCATTGTTCGGTGTGGGATCCTGTAGCTCGGCGAAAACATGTTTCGGGTCCAAAAACTTGGGATCCAGTCTCTTTGGGGCCTTAAAACCTCTGCACACGACAAAAATTTCTGCCGACACGTTCCTGGAAGAAGGAGGTTTGGTAGCCTCGACCGACGTAAATAGCTGTTTGAACACCCAGAGCAGCGCGTTGTAGTCCTTCGACCTGAAAACCTTTGTGACAAACGTTCCTCCTTCTTTCAGAAACTCCGTTGCCAATTTCATCGACTGCAGGACCAATTCCGCTTGCGAGAAAGCGTCTTGTACCCAGGCCACACCGACATTGGGTGCCCCGTCATGCAGCACCGTGTCCGCTTTCATGTGTTTGAAGTGCTGTCGGATAGTTGCTCGGCATTTGTCCGTGGTGATATCACTTTGGAAGGAGATAACCCGAGGGATGGGTTTAATGGGAGCCAGGTCGACTCCGACAATCAGGCTTTGCGCAGGCATCGTCTCTGCCGCGACTTGACACCAGGATCCTGGTGCGGCGCAGAGATCCAACAGCACCCGACTCTTCTCCAGAAAGCCATATTTCTTGTTCAATTGGATCAACTTGAAGGCTGCTCGGGCTCTGTATCCTTTTTCTTTAGCAAGCTTGTACCATTTGTCTGGCAGGAAGTCAGTCAACGTGCCCGAAAACGTAAGTCGAAATGGGTGGCGGGGTGCATACCAAGGCGTCCTTTGCCGTGCTTCTTCTGGATCGCCATTATGAATGACGGGCCAAAAGCCTTTTGACAGCCTCCTTAGTAGTATTGTCCTCGATTACCCTCGATAAGGCTGCTGCATGTGCATGCACAGGATGGCAACCGCTGGAACATTTGTATCGAGGTCACAGAAAATTCGAGCCAAGATCGGATAAATTTATGGTGGGGCCCATATTCGGCGCAGTATAGATCCGGGCCGATGATTGGCGCCGGGGGATGCCACTCTTTAACAGCGAGACGCGCCGCCCACGTTTCTCTCCATTATCCTTGGGTACGCCATCCTTGACACATTGACACAAAGATGGAGCAATAACTGCCTGAGTACATAGATTCGCATTCGTACCTGATCCCTCTCGCTTGAGATCTGAGGCTTGTTTTCTAACCGGTCCAAAAATACTGCGTCACTTCTTGCGGCAAATAAAATCATTCAAAACATACTGCCAAAGGTAGAGAGGACAAAACATAAAGCAGACCGTAGACAGCTTTGTCGATAGCACAGGAGGAGGAGGAGGTCGCCTGAGCTCGTATGAGATCGAGGTGATCATTGGGAGGTCCTCAGAGGCATTCGTTGCTTCTCTCAATCAACCTTCATTACTCCAGTTGGAGACGTCTGGCTCAGTGTCCAGGCCAATTCAGGCAGACAATAAGGTCGACACCAGGAAGGAAAGTGAGTGAGGCCAGATGGGATGACCTAGACGGCCCTGGTACTCAACAAGGCTCTCCACGAACACAAAGTCGCTTGGCAACCATTTCCCTTCACTTATAGATTGCAGGCTATTCTCACAAGTACTGTACAACCTTCTCAGGCACCTGAAGCTTATTCGCGAGCTTCACATCCTTCAACGGTTTCTCGAAAGTAAACACCGTTCCGTTCTCTTTGAATGTTTGCTCCTTACACAACAAGCTGAGCAAAGCAGATCTCTCAATCACTACTCGCCCGCTGGTCAGGAGATCCTTGACATCCACGTCCTCAATGTCTTTGAGCTCGCCGTGCTCGCCAATCGTATCCATCTCGTCGAAGATCCGTGCGCCAGACGACTCTGGCGTACTTGTGACAAGGAGGCTCCGACCGTGCCCCTGGCCCCAGTAGTTGGCTTCGAAAATGTTGTTGAGAAACCGTGCGCTGTTTCCATCTGGTAGATTGATTTTGTTGTCCAGGATGATCAATTCGTTTCTTCTGAATCGATAGCTCAGTGCAATCCGGAATGCTTGATGATAAACCTTCTTTTGCAGTTCGGTCGAGAAATCCCTCGGTTTCGGGCCGAACGCAACACCACCACCTCTTCTGATCGGGGACTTTTTATCTCTTACACGAGCGCGGCCTGTGCCTTTCTGCTGGTACAATTTGCGGTTCGACCCATGGACGTCGAAACGCCATTTTGTGCTCGCTGTGCCCTGGCGTGTCGCGTCCGCTTCATAGACCACCGCGCGGTGAAGAAGGTCTCGGCGCAAAGGGGCGTCCAAGTAACGTGGCCCATACAGAGCATAACGGGCAGGTTCGATGTGAGGCCATGAATACAGGGTAGCTAAGACCGGGTGGTCTAAAGCATGTAGCTCTGCGGAGGTTGACAAGCCCGGCGTGGGCGATGCCTCAATGGAAGGAATTTGAGTGTGGGAGGATTCACTCCTTTGTTCGGTGTCTTTGGTGAGCTCGGCGACAGGTAGGTGGGTTTGGGATGCAAATGTCCGACAGCTCAGCCGCGGTGCCAGGCATTGCTATGAACGGGTTAGTCGAGGTCAATGCAACGATTTTGAAGAATTCATACGGTCAATGGATCGGCCACATTAAGCTGGTTGAATCTTCTGGCGAGCCCCAGCAGACTCCGTGGTGCCGACGTGTGCGGCATCGATGCGAATCGGCAGAGATGTTGAAGAGCAAGGAAACTGTGACCGTCACTTCCCTTCACTTGATGGCACGACTGGGGGATGGGCAAAACGTGTCCCAATCATTATTATTGGAAGCTGATGTTCGCGCATACAGTATTAGTGCAGCCGAAGTTTTAGAGAAAGAACCATCACGTGACGTAAAGCCTCTAGTCAGATCTCTTGTTTTTTAACTGACAAATCAACCCTCTACTACTCCACCGCTCGTATTCCCCTGAAAACATGTCCCATCCTGTTCGAGAGGTCTTTTCGTCGTAGAGACGGTATTGGGGCCCCACAACGTCTCCGGTTCGAGGCTCGCCAATCTTCGTCCTCCGTTTGGAGTTCCTGCGCTGGTCGCAAATGTGTCAGATCCAAGGAGAGAGCGGCGCAAATTTTTACTCTGGAGCCGTTATTGGGGACACCCTTCGCGGGGCTTATTACTGCGTGCATGGTGGAGAAGCCTAGTGAGCCTCACTAGCCAGCGCTGTTCACCCAAGAGCCTAGGCTGTATGCAATCGCGGTACTGCGTAGATAGGCTCGGTTCCCCTCTAGATAGTCGATGCTGCTCCGTATTCCCGTCAACTGATTAATCAAACAGCCTCGAACGGTCGTCCCTGTCCTGCCCTACATGCGGGTGAGTGGGGGTTGCCCGCTGTCGTCAGATCTTCTTCTCACGATAGCCTCATCGAAATTCTCTTTGTATCCGAGTGGCATTGAGTTACGATCGTCTTAGAACACAGATAACACTTCAGTTCTCAGAAGGTTTACTCACACGGTGTTCGCAACCTCCGTCCCCACGGTCCGATAACGCCTCCCTTACGTCGCCATCTCACTGCTGCCCTCACCAGGCGACACATCCAATGCTTTCGACCTGATTGAACTATTTCTGCCCCATAGAGAAACAAGGCACTCGTGTCGCGTCAAATCATCGCCGCAACCTCTGAAATAGTTTTTTGCCCTTCCTGCAGAACCTGTCCTCTGACTGAGAATGCTCCCGGGCCGGCCTTATACGACCAGCCCAGATGTCGCGATAACGACAGATACATGAGACAATTGTTCCCCTATAAGTACAACGATGGAAGGGGATATCAAAGCAGAACAACATCGTCAACTGAGCCCCCTCAGGGATATCTCGGAGCACCCGGACGCCTCGGCGCAGTCATCGGCTAAAGGCAAAAACAAGAGCAAAGAGAAGGACGCTGGCGGTGCCGCCACGAAAAGGCGATGCGTGAGTACGGCTTGCATTGCTTGCCGAAAGAGAAAGAGCAAGTGCGACGGCAACTTGCCCAAATGCGCCGCTTGTGCATCAGTCTACATGACTGAATGTGAATATGCCCCGCATACCGACCACCGGCGCAAAGGGGTTTACAAGAAGGATGTGAACGCAAGCAAGACCAAGAACTCGACCCTTCAGATACTCATACAGGCTATTCTCAATGCCGAGGAGGAGGAAGTCATGGATTTAGTCCGCCAGATACGAACCTGCGACAACCTGGAGGAACTTGCCGCTACGATAGACGCCCAAGAGAGAGGTCTCATAGAGGGTCCCGACGACTCCCCATTGTATGAGGGTGACCCTGGCGTACCCAAATTCGAAGCCGAGCTCTCAGGGAAAATGGGCGATCTGATGCTGGATGGGTCCGTCAAATTTATTGGGGGAACGTCAAATTTGATCTGGCTTCCCGAGGACTATGAACATCGAGGTTCACAAAACTCGCCAGCTTTCCAGCGGGCTGTTGTACGGCCTCAAGAAGAAGCCGTTCTCTCGTGGACGACCGTCACCCAGGACAAAGAAGCGATCCTCCACTTCATGAATATGTACTTTTGCTGGCACTATGCCTTTTTCACGACCCTGGCCAAGGAACTTTTCTATCGAGATTTCCTGACAGGAACATCCTCGCAATACTGCTCCCACCTCCTTGTCAACGTCATGCTGGCGCTTGGTTGTCACTTCTCAGCCCGACCCGCAGCAAGAGCGGATCCAGCGGACTCTGGGACGACAGGTGACCATTTCTTTGCAGAGGCTAAAAGGCTTCTTTATGAGAACGATGAGTTTGCCAACGCGAAACTATGTACGGTTCAGGCTTTGGCTTTGATGTCCGTCAGGGAAGCCGGATGCGGCCATGAGAGCAAGGGCTGGGTATATAGTGGCATGAGTTTTCGAATGGCTTGTGATCTCGGCTTGAATGTCGACACGGTGCCTATCAATGAAATGTCACGTTTGACTGACGAGGACATTGATGCAAGGCGAATCACATTCTGGGGCTGTTTCCTCTTTGACAAGTGAGGGCCTTTGCTACAACACCATATCATTGCTAATCGGTTTCAGGTGCTGGTCTAACTACCTGGGACGGCTACCTCAACTTCAAATGCCCAATATCACAGTCAAAAAGCCTGACGTATTCCCGTCAGAAGAAAGTGAAATGTGGTCGCCATATACAGACTCGGGCATCATTCAGGCCCACGCGCAACCGGCGCGCACCCGAGCTGTTGCGTTGCATTTGTCCAAACTAGCAGAAATATCCAGTGATCTGCTGGCATCATTCTATAACCCGCAACTGCTAGACAAACCTCCTTCGAGACAAACGGAACTCAAACGACTGAGCGATCTGCACACAAGGCTGGAAGCGTGGAAACAGGGGCTACCAGCCGAAATGGAAGCCAAAGAAGGGCAGCTTCCTCAAGTCCTGCTGATGCAGTAAGTCTCTGAAGTTCTCAAATCTTCAGAAGCGTGCTGACCAGAGGCAGTATGTTTTACCAACTCTTATATGTCCACCTATATCGGCCGTTTCTGAAGTACACTCGAACGACCTCACCACTCCCAGCACACGTATCTCCAAGAAAATACTGTACCCAGGGAGCCGCCTCCATCTCCAAGCTTTTCCGACTCTACAAGCGGACACACGGCCTCCGACAAATCTGCAACATCGCAATCTATATTATACATTCTGCTTGTACGATTCATCTATTGAACCTCCCGGACAAGAACGCTCGAAGAGACATTATTCACGGCGTCAGACACCTCGAGGAAATGGGGGAATCTTGGACGGCTGCCCGTCGAACGCTCAGAGTTTTGCATCTGTGCGCCGACCGGTGGAGCATTGAAATGCCCGAGGAGGCAGAAATGGTATACACGAGGCTCAGAGCGAAGTGGGGGCTTGCCGCGAGTGCACCTTCGCCGGTGTCGCCCGACTCGCTGGCCAACATAGCTCAGCAAATCGCATCTCAGCCTGTGCCTGATTTGATGGCGAAGAATGTTCAACAACAACAACAGTTGCACGCTCCGCGTCCGACCTCGATGTCTCAGTATGCAGGTGGACTCTCCGCGGCCATGGCTGCATCGCCGGCAGAAACAATTGATTCTCGACGCACGTCAGGAGGTCTATCTATGCCTCCACAGTCTGCAGCCGATCTTTCGCGAGACTCTCACCGAGTGCGCCCTTCAACCTACCTTACCAAGGCGCAACAGGATGCATGGAACGCCCACCAAACCCGACTAGCAGTTGCGACATCCTCGAACAACTCCGGGGCTCCCGGCGAGCAGAATGCCGCTCGATTGTTCGGTGGGGTGGAAAGTCTGATCGAAGAAACTCAAGACTGGTTCTTTAAGGATCAGAATCAGTTGGCGATGGGCTTTGAAAACTGGGGATCCGAGCCGCCAGACTGGGGAACCTTAGATCTCAGTTTCTTTGACACGCCCGAAACGGGATCCAGCACAAACGGCAATACGAATGGTAACTCACCATCCCACAATGGGCTGCAATATTCGTATGATTCGGTGGGAGGACCAGCCAACACGGGCGCAACGGGAAACAAAAGCGGATATGGATATGGATACAATGGAGACACGTATCCAACAACAACAACAACAACAACAACAACCGACACGGGTATCAATGGGATGGCCACGAATGGAACGAATGGCATGAACAATATAATGGGGTCCGGTATGGGCTTGCGGTTAGGAATGAATATGAGTTCTCGCGGACAGGGTTCCATGGCGACTAGCACCAGAAATATGAGTATGGGAGGGTCTGTGACTTCGAAGCGCTCTTCTCAAAACCTGGGATTCGATGAAGAGGTATATTATTGACGTGCAACTTTGAGGTGTACGATCTTTATGAACTGTTGGTCCCGAGTTTGGCGGGATCTAAAGATTATGAATATGTTTTGTTCTGAGGTAGTTATCGAGATACCAAGTGCAAGGGACGAACCCAAGATCTCTTGCCCTCGATTTGATTCTCTATACGAGATACATAGTCTACACCTGGGTTGCCAGTGCCGTAATATCAAAGATGAGGTTCCAGGAGTGTTGACTGGGTCCACAGCGTTATCACGACAGCCTCGCGGTGACGTCTTTCCCCAAACAAAAGAATGAAACACTTCGGTGTCGCCAGTTTTTTGTCGTATAATACATTTCACACGCTCAGGCTTGGTTCCCTCACCCCTCTGTGAGAGGAGATCTACGTCTTCTCCTTCTTCTTCTTCTCCTCCTCCTCCTCCTCCTGCTTGTCCTCTCAAAAAAAACAAGGGGGCTATATTCCAGTCCAGCCATGTCCCCTCTCCTCGACTGGCTGGTCGAACATGAACCCTTATTTCGCAAGTGTGCCTCTCCCTCCCTCCGCCACACATATCCCTAATCGCCAGACGAGCTGAAATAGTGACCCGCATTGGATATGCTGACTGACGCGTGGGGTTTGTTTCTGTGACAGAACACGGCTCCCCTCGTTATACTCCGACCTCAACGTCCAGCGCACGTCCAACCCCGAAGGCTACACCGCCAACGTGACCGCCTGGTCGTCCGCCCTGACTCACGCCGCGGTCGCGGGGCAAATCCCCCATGAACAGCACCATTTGATTCTGCAAACGAACGACGAACTCCTCAATGCGCTGGCAAGTCCGACATACGGGAGGCCTAGTGGGCTCGGGACCGTGGTGGACGAATGCGTCAGGCAAGGGAAGATGGTGGATCTACAAGACTTTATAAGCTCAGAAAAGAGCATATACTCCCGTAGTTGGATACCGAGCCCGTGGGCAGTCCTGCGTTGGGGCTTACAAAAAGCTGGCCTGTCGTGGAGCAGCTTCGATCTACGCGGTGGCAGGTTAAAGGCAGCAAAGCTCGCGCTGGTTCCAGCGTTGGAAGAAGTCTGGAAAAGACTATCCGCTGCGAGGGAAGCAGGAGCAAAGGCACAGACTCTGACTGACCGAGTCATGACGCGAGAGATGTTTATGAAGGACGTTAACGGCGTCCTCAGCCAGGCCGGCGACATAACAGGGTCGCTATCAGACCAGGATCTGGACGTGCTCCTCCGCTACCTCTCCCGGGACAAACAAGTTCTGTCCTACGACGCCAATACCGTCAAGTTCAAATCGCCCTCCTCTACAAGCACACCCGAGCCGATAACCCAGGGAGATCGCTCCATCGCGTCACTAAAATCCCTCATCGAAGACCTACTCCAAAAAACCGCGACCATGTCCGCCCGTATCACGACACTACAAGAAAAAGCCTCGGGGGCCGTGAAATCCGGCAACAAAGTCAGTGCCCTCTCGGCCCTGCGCTCGAAGAAGCTCGCCGAACGGGCCCTCCAGCAACGTCTCGACACCCTACATCAACTGGAAGAGATCTACACCAAAATTGAATCCGCCGTGGACCAGGTTGAAATCCTCGCGGTGATGGAATCGTCGGCGTCGGTGCTCAAGACGCTCAACAAGCGCGTTGGAGGCGTCGAGCGCGTCGAGGACGTCCTGGAGAGCCTGCGAGAGGAGGTGAGCAAGGTCGACGAAGTGTCCGACGTGCTGGCGGAGCCAGTGGACCAGAAGGCGGTCTTGGACGAGGACGAAGTGGACGAAGAGTTCGAGGCGATGGAGCGAGAAGAGCGCGATCGGACGCGGAAGGCCGAGGAGGAGAAGACCCGGCAGAAACTCCAGGAGCTGGACGCGCTGGAGCAGCTGCACCAGGACAAGGAGAGGGAGAGCGAAAGAAGCGAGCTGAAAAAGCAACGGGAAGGAGGAGGAGATGATGATGATGAACAGGCCCTCTTGTCGACGAGCATAGAGAAGATGCAGAGATTGGATATCGGCGGGCGAACAGATGGAGAAGGCATGCAGAGGCAGCCACAACAAACAAAAGAAGGATCAGGGCGTATCGAGCAGATCGCTCAAGAGGCAACCTAGTTAGTCAGTTGGTTAGTTCAGTCAGCGACAAACAGACGGATGCCCGTCATACCTACCTGGGTAATCGACCAGGGATATCAGTGATAGTGATGGTGACAGTGGATTATTGAGACATGGATAGAATCCCAAGGGAATCAATTGCCTGCCTGCCTGCCTGCCTGTCTCAGAAGAGAGATCCATTCAAACGTATTATGTGTTCCCTTTCGTTTATTTTCTTATGTAATTCATGGCTCGAGTGCCGTCTAGGTACAAATGTCATCAAGTTCCCACGTTTTTGACTGGTATTGCTCGAGCGAGCGATACCGGCCTAAAGTCCACATGAGTGTAAGAAGATTTCGCCATTTTTATCCAGACAAACGAGTGCCACGGCGATATATAGCGCAATCTTCGAGGCAAGATTTCATGCAAAGTACCTCCCATGTGGCTTCTCTGGACCCTGGAGATCGAGCTGTGGTTTTGATACATTCACGAATGATGGGGATATTGCGGTCACCTGTGATTGACCGTTGGTTGCAGCCTCTTTGAATTCGGCCGGCGTGTGCCCTCGTATCTCGAGTGCCTCTCCGAGACTTGAGATTACTTCAGCGTCATTTGGGTCCTTCGCAGATGCTGGCCTAGGTCCAGGAAATTCTGGACCTTGTGGCACGGCCTCTGGGGTTGGGTTTCCTGCTGCAGACGGCGTTTCTTCCTCGGACGCTTTTGATTTTCTCGACCTGGCCTGCCGTATCAATTCATCAAAATTACTCTTCTGAGTCTTCACATGGCGCTCTCTGTCAAAATCCTTGGCCATAAACCCCGTGTTGGATGACTTTTCCAGCTGCCTCCCCAGTGTATCCTCCCAAATCTTCAACTCTCGGAGCAATTCTCTTTTCGTGACAGGGTGGGTGGAATCGCAATTGGCGTTCCACAGGTTCACCCACTCGGTGTGGCGCCGGCGCATCAGGTCCTTGGAACCGTAGTCGGGAATGCCCAGGTCTCGCAGCTTTCTCCGTAACGAGTTGTCATTGAGGAGGGAATAGTTGATGAATGGCAGCCGGTCCAGTTGTTTGGAGGATCTCTGCGCGTAGGCGATGGTGCCTGGTGGCGCCACATGCCGGGAATTTGAAGGTGGAGCAGGAGACGACGAGGATCCAGCATCGTCCATCGGGGTGGAGCTGTCGCCTTGTATGCATTTATCTAGATGCAAATTTATAACTGCTTCCTTCATTCGCCGGTGGCAACAGGGACACTGGACGAGGCCATCTTGTGGCTCTGGGTTGCCGTTACCATTCATAAAGTGTGGGCTCCTGTGGCTCTCTGAGTCTTCGTAGACACTGCCCTCTTCTTCACTGTCGTCTATGACTTCCTGGGTCGACGCTAGGCTCTGTTGACTAGCGGCATCCGAGGCGATCCTCTTACTCTGGCTTCGTGTACTTCGTCTTTCCACTCCGTTGCTGGCCGGTTCTGGCGCTACTTTCCGCCTCTTCTTCGGCCTCTGAGACTCGTGTTCAACACCGTCTTGTGCTCTTCCTATCGCCAGACTTGCGGTCGCAAAAGCAAGGAGGCCTTTGCGCGAGGCAGTGAAATGGGCGACCAGTTCTTCAACAGCCCAGTTTCTCCGCAATTTGATTTCCTGATCGGCCTCTCGACACGCCGGGCATCTCCCTTCCTGCGAGAGACACCGTCGTATACAGAGGCTGCAGAAGGTATGGGAACAGCTGGTCATCATCGGAGTCGTGAAGTAGTCCTTGCATACTTGACATCGCAGTGAGGCGTCGAGGGGCGCGAGGGCGGCGAGTGGAGTTTGAAGCCAGTCTGTGCTGTCCGTGAAGTCACCGCGATCTGCCATCGTAGTCCTGCTGGTGGTGCCCGAGCGGCGGTAAACGGAGTTACAAGTCGCAGCGTTTGCGTGAGCCCGCGACTATAGGCGTGACGACAAGAATGAACGAGATGGTCGGAATGGGATGGCGCGGTGCAGCCAGTGGCTTCGCTTAGCGTGTTTTTAGGTTTGTGGCTACGCGTAAAGTGGCTTTCGCGTGGCGCGTGGCACAAATATCCTTATTATGTGCATTCACTACCACTACATTTCCCATTGAACCAAGCGCCTTTGCAGTCGCCTCTTCAGAAAAGCATAGAAGTGCAGACAGACACAACCTAGGGTATGTCATTACTTAACGCACTCGTCTTCTCTTGGTTCGACAACTGCCACGTGCCTGTCCACACCGCGGATTATAAGCAAAGTACCGAGCACAAGATTGCCCAGGCCGACCAGAGACACGGTAGAATGGGAGGGGCTAACCCCCAGGGAGGGATGCGGTGTGGTTTGGTTTGGTATGGTGTCATCTGACGTGATGTTTGGGCAAAAGCCACTCAGCTGTCTTCAATCAACCAGGGAGGAAGCTATATATTCCAGACCTGTGCATAAAATGCCTGGTGGATGGATGCCTGGGACTACAGAGTACCCATGCCTACTGCTTCGTAATTGCTGCCTCAACTTGGGCCAGAACGGAGAATACGGGAGTACCAAACAAGCCCCCCGCGAGAGAGTGTGAGAGAGCGACACAGACCACCTGTGTGGTCCGCCACCATGCGTACCATGGGATTGTCCATACAGTTGTCTGGCCACACACCCACCCACCCCATTTCTGCTGCTAAACGGCCCTTCTGTTCCAGTTTCTGATGCGATTAACAGGTCTCGATCACAAGTGGCTGCGAGCTAGGTAGGCATGTGCAGTATGACCCATCGCACGACCCGTTGTCGGTGCTCAAGTTCCGCCCCACAGCTGCTTGCTGCGTCAACATGGGTAATAGTGAAGGGTCATCCGAGCCATTTCCCACCATCCATCCTGAAAGGCTCCTCGGTGACAGAAGTTGAGAGTTACAGACACCTCGGGCGGAAATCCTGGCGGCTTCTCTGGCGCAAGCCATCAGGATGTGAGTGTCGTTAGAACAACGCCAGTTTCGTCATGTTCGTCTCAAGAAACAGCTTGTCGTGTCTCAAGTGTCATCAATGTGTCCTGGGACGTCATAAATATGAGTTCGTCGTCTTGACTGAGACTAATTGTTGGTCCATGTTCTCGACACCCAGTAACCCTTCATCTTCATTCGAAATCATCGTCTCGCCGATATGTGTCGGCTCTGTTCAGCCGAGCCGGACTCAACGGCGTGACTGGCTCCAGCAGGGTCGCTCCTGTTCCCACGCCGCCTCCCAAGAGACTTCTCCTGTGTCCCTTGCTATCGACCTTTTCCAGAGCATTCATTTCTTCCACCGTTTCGTCTTCCACATCGGCTTGACCGTCCGCCGGACCCTCCAGTTCAATCTGTCTCGTGGCGCCACTAAAGCCTCTTCGTCTTGCTTCTCCCAGCTTCATCCTCACGGCCAGTCTCAGCTGTTCCAGATATTCGGCGAGCTCGTGAAACTCCTTATGTGAATCACTGTTCCTCGTCTCTCCGTAGAGCTCTTGTGCCTCATCAAGCCTTTCGGCAGCGATCTCTGCTCGGCCCAGTTTCATCCATTCGTCTGCGGCCATGATATTCCATAGCGCCGCTTTCCTTTTCCGCATGCCCCAGCTCGTGTTGCCGATGCCGATGCGATCTGCGAAAGAAGACGCCACGCGCTCACTGACCAACACGTGTCCGATACTACCGACCAGCCCCAGCTCGAGGCTGCGGACTGCCCACTTCGCCGCGAGTTCGCCCGCGGTACGACCTCGCACTTTCAACAGCTCAACCCCGAGCAAGATAGAGCGCAATGCAAGAGCTGGTTCGGAGCACCGGGTCAAATACGAATAGCTCGCCGTTTCGATCATGCTGTCGAAGTTTTCAATCTTGAATTTGGAACTGCCACTGCTGGTGAGAGGATTCAGGAGAGTAGCAACGCAGCACATTTCGTTCGCGCCGGCTAAATGCTCCCACGCTTTATCGTTGGAGTAGTCTCCTCGAAGCAGCTCATAGGTCGATGCCGCGAGTTTGTAGTCTCTCAACATGAACGCATAGTCGGCAAGCTTTCGCAATAGACTCTCGGGAGCATCGTAGCGGTATGTCCCCTGCAGGCTGTCGTAATTGCCGCTGGCTCCGACATTGGCGGTCGATGATGAGCTTCGAGAAGAACTTCCAATCCCGGTCCACCTCTTCGAAAGCGACATGAATCGCCCCGAGATACCTCGACGACGCGAAGCGATTTGATCATTCCACAACGCAATCCTTTGCTCCATGTGGTAGATGATTGATTGTGCAACAAGCTCGCGGACGAATGCACGCAGGGCCGTCGCATCCGAGGAAAATATGTAGGGAGATGTCGAGGTGTTAAGGTCAATGAGATCTGCATTGTCATGCAGGAGGGCGAGCTGTTCAACGGGCGACAGCCACTCGCTGGTGGGGAGTTCTTCGGTGTCATCGTCCGTCTGTGTGCATGGCGCAGACTTCAGCCTGAGAAGATGGCAGTGGAGGCCAAAATGGCGCTTCATCTGATCAAAAAGCGCAGACGACTTGCTAAAATCATCTCTGTCCTCATCGTGGACAAGCACATAATATCTGAGGTATTCTGGATTGGCGTAGACGGGTAAGGATCTCGAACCTGACATGGTTTGCTGATAGAGATTGCGTAAGGTCTCAATGGGTTGCTGCGTGGAAGAGCTGATAGCAATCACCGCACCGACTGGATGATGAAAAGATTCGTGCGGGCTGATAGTCTGGGAAGACAAGAGCCGGGCCAGAAATAGGCGATAAAAAGGAGACGTCTCTCCCCGACGCAGGCCATCTTCGGTCTGGTCGAAGCCATCTCCCACAAAGTGTTCCATCAACTCTTCTAGCTTTTCCGTCGAGCTGGACGCAGAGTGTGAAGATGTGCCATCTTGAACCAATTCGCCGAGATCCGCAAAGTGGACGCCAAAGTCCTCCCAAGCCCGACTGGCCCCTGTGCTGTCTCGCACGACGACTTTCCCATTGATCTTGTCGCCGAAGGGGCGGACCAATCCTACGAAGCCATCTCTCAAGCCCTTGCGAGCAGCGAGTTCGTCCACTTCGGGCGATGCGTAGATTGCAATGGTGGGAGAAAATGCTCGGACGATCAACGATCGTGTGTCATCATATGTCTCTGAGGGATTGCCCAGGGGGCTGTTGGCTCGCGACCTCCCAAACCTCGATAGTGACAACGATAATCGTCCATTGGGAGAGCTAGAGCGGGACAGGACGCTGGTAAGAGTGCTGGTCCGAGAACCTAGGGCGGGAGGGCTCGAGGTGCGGATCGGGAGGCTCGTAGTGGATGTCTCGGGTGATTCGTCTCTTGCGGGTGGTCTTGTCTTATGAACCTCGAGAGATGGAATCGAGTGTGAGGACAGGATGCCTGGCGACTGAAGAGGGTCTCCATCACTCGGCGAAGAGGTCATGGACAATGATGGAGGAGGGCGTCGACAAGGGCGTCGTCTTGCGCGATGTCATGGAGTGTGTGACTGTGGGGTCTGGAACGGCTCTTAGATTATCAGCATACCAAGGGACATTCACAAATAAAGATTCATAAAGCATCTCTCTTTCAGCCACCGGTCCAGACTTGCGTGTTTAGTACCACCTGGCAAAATGACTGAACAATGCACACGGCTCGACGGATTGTGTAGGATCCTTGTCGCAGCCTCGGGACAAAGTTGATCCGCCGTATCTCGGGTAAGGAGGATCACTATAAGGCTTGACGCCATTCCAAGGACATACATCAACGACCAGAGGCATTCCTTTTCATCCTTCATTAAGTCTACCTTGGACGTACTCTCATAATATTCATTGCTGGAGATATCTATCCCGGTTACACAAAGCGTGCCTCCCATCAACGGAGGCCCATCAACTGCTTACTGTTCTCGTAAACAATATAACTGATGCTGACTGCCGGCGCCACCTTCAACAGGTTCGGGGTCACTCCCTTGAACAATCCTTTCGTCCCTTCTCTCTGAATCGTTCTGATCGTGACGTCGACAATGCCTTTGTAGGTGGGTGGGTGCAATACTGTGCCTTGGGCTTGTAATCTTGTTCTTAAGAGATTGATGGGGTAAACCGCCGTCGCGCTGATCGCCCCTGAAGTCGCTCCAATGACGCCTGTAAGAAGGTTGCTCATGTCGACATCCTCCTCGTGGCAGCGATTTCTCTTGGCTTTCCGTGCCAGGACAAAATGTTTGCAGTTTTCGAAGATGAATAGGTCGATGGCGCTGTAAGGGAACATGCCAGCCAGACCCATCCCCAGTCCGCGATAATATGGCCTGAGTCCGCCCTGTTTCCACATTTTCCGTGCCGTTTGAGCGATCAAGGCATTTCCATGTAAGCCACCCTCAACCGTTTCGCATTGCATGCGGCTATCTCTCGTCAGTCCATGCTCACCGAACAGGAATTATCGCAATGACCAAATTTGACGCTTACAATTTCAGAGTATCAAGAGGGTAAACCACGCATTGAGCAACTGCTCCACCGATGCCGCCTGCGAGGAATTGAGAGGTTGGGTACAGGTGCTTCGGATCCGAACCTTCAAGCTCGGCGAACATTTTTTTCGCGGCCTCGTATGCACCAAACTTGATCGCTGACTCCGGCATGACCTTGACGACATTGAGTCCGTTCCCCGCGAACAGGCTGCGCATGCCCCCGGCTCGCCACAGATCCTTACATGCGTCGACCAGCGGCCGGGCAAAGTTTTTGACCACCTCGAGAGGTGCCCCCTTTTTGGCCGCTTCTACCGCCGCCTGTTTGGGATTCGTCTGTGCAATTAGGTAGACCTTGAGTCGGTCGAGCGGTGCTGTGGCTGTCCGGGAGATCATGCCTGCTAAGCCACCTGCTATGAAATAGCCTAATGGGATGAGGATTTCTGTCAGCATCGTCAATGAGGTTAGAGACGATGAACGAAAATCCTGCGTGGAACCGCTGAAAATGAAACGACTGAGTCTCTGTGAACTTGGTACTCTGTACTCTCGAGGCTCAAAGCAGTGTAGAGTAACTCAAGGTCATCCGATGTTCAGTCGCGACTGGAATGTAGGTGCCGAACAAAGGGGCAACGTAGTCCTTACCAAATCCTTGAAGGGTATCATTGATGTGGACATCGCCCTCTTGGTTGACGTTTGCTGTTGCTGAATAGTATGATATAAGGGATCCGAGAGTGGGTGCACTCGCAGGTAGGAAGAGCAGAAAATTTCTGTGCGCCATATTAAGTGCTGTCGGGACACGGCCAGAGAGGTGTATGTGCATACCTCCATTCTTCAAAGGAAATTTGTCCGTCATGGTTGACATCCACCTCGTCAAAGAACTGATCGAGCTTTGCATTGCTTATGGTCAGGCCCGCTCTGCTGAATGCGGCACGAAGCTCTGCCTTGTCCAGCGCGCCACTGTGGTCTCTGTCTATACTTTCGAAGAGTTGCCAGAGTTCACGCTCGGCATGTTCCACAAACACCCTGAACTCATTGTATTGTATGCGTCCATCTCCCGACGTATCGACCGCTCTGAGGACATCGTTGAGCAAAGCATCGGCATTTTTCAGAGGGTGGTCGATTTTGCGCAGGCCTTTCTTGAGGGCCAACAGGTCCAGCTGGCCCTCGTTTCGAGTGTCAAGGTTGCGCCATAGCTCTTGAATCCGCTCATCGCGGCGTTCATGTGACTCTCCGTTCATGCTACATCCGTTGCTGGGAATGATAAGAAGGACTATCTGTGGGGGAGCATGATTGTGTCCTTCTCTTCACCAAGCGAAGCTGCGGAGGGTGACTGCTTGAGGGGTTGGCGTTCCAAAAGAGATGTTAGCGAGACCAAGTAACGGATCGGTAATGGCCCAGCCCGACTGCGAAATGCAGTATAGAAGAGGGAAGTAAATCTTGAAGCTCTGTTTGGCAGGGTAGCAAACGAACAAGCAGGGCAGCTGGTGAGGGATTGCTGAGGTGTGCATTGGGAGGGTGACGTGCTGTGGGGTTCCTACTTAACTGGCTCTTGTACGCACTAGCTATTTGCACACAGCGCCGCTGACGACGGAATTCTAAGACTAGCCTAAACCCCCGAAGGCCTGAGAAGTTCCACTCCTCTCTCCCCCATTTGGCCCCCATTTCGCCCACCAAGCGTCCCAGGCGTGTGCAGTGTTCACTGGCCAGCCTCGTTCAGCCTTTGCCAAGCCATCTCTCAACTTCTCATGTTAATGCCGCTGTTCTTCCCCAACCTCTGTCCTTCTGCTAAGTTTGACGAATCCCAATCCCAACCAAGAAGAATGGCGCCAGGAGCCTGACGTATGGCGTTGTGCTCTGAGAAGGGGCGCAGTATCGGGTTCTGACGAGGTTCGTGGCCATCGACGCCGTCGTCGAGGAGCATGGCGGCCAACTACTGGGTCTCGACCCAACGCAAATTCTGGACATTTACACCGGAGAAGCTGCTCGAGATCCGTGATGATCTGGAGAAGGAGAACTCCAAAATCCTGGAACAGTGGCCCTACCCCGACAGAAGGCTGATGTTCATCTTCCTGAGAGACAGGATCTTACAGCTGGGCAAGAGGCTGCAGTTCCGCCAGCAGTGTGTTGCCACTGCCATGGTCTACATGCAGCGCTATTTCCTCTCAACCCCGATGCAAAACGTCAACCTCTACCTTCTTGTCGCGACAGCTTTCTATCTCGCCTCTAAAACCGAGGAGTCACCCCACCACATCCGCCTGGTTGCAGCCGAAGCACGCCAGGCATGGCCCGAATTTGTGCCGGGGGATGTCTCGAGGCTCGGGGAGATGGAGTTCTGCCTCATCTCGGAGATGCGCTCACAATTAATTGTCTGGCACCCCTACCGCTCCTTGATTGCGCTGAAGGAGAATCAAGACCTCAAGTTGACCAATGACGAACTGGGCCTTGCTTGGTCCATCATCAATGACAGCTACATGACCGATCTGCCGCTGACATGTCCTCCACACCTTATTGCCATCATTGCAATGTTCCTTGCGGTGGTATTCTTGCCGTCTGCCAAGGCGGCCGGCACACTGCGTCCCTTGCCCCATGAGACCCTCTCAAACCCGGACCCCGGCCACTTTGCATCTCTTGGAGTCGCCGGCCGCCAGAGCCTGTCCGCCCCCTTCAGTAGCGTCCTGGGTAATCTGCAGATGTCCAACCAATTAGCCGCTCAAGGCGCGGCCAATCTCAATGGCAAAGCACCGTCTCTTGGTCAAAATGACCCAGCTTCGCAGCAGCCTTCAGACAAAGGAAAGGCGACAATCTTGACCAAAGAGAATGAGAAGTTACAGAATACCATGAAATTCTTGGTCGAGTCCGGCATCAATATTGAACAAATGATCGAGGGCACCCAGGAATTGATCAGTCTGTACGATATTTGGGAGCAGTACAACGAAAAGTCAGTCAAAAAAGCCGTTGCTCGATGTATGAAGACGCGTAAATTGGATAGCTAGTTGCTATGGCAATTTATCAACACAACAACTCCCACACCTTCAGGCTGCTGACTTAGTGGAGCTCGCCCCGGCTGCACCGACCTGCTTTCGGATCTCGAGCACGACGGGCTTGATTCTGGCCAGCGGTTCGTTCCAGTCGCAAAGGGCAAGTCTCTGGCTGGGGTAGTCAACATAGAGAAAGTCCGCCGCAATGTTGCGGATCTTACACGTTAGTCAACTTGTGGTTCACGGAGGAGGAGTGGGAAGTACCTTTGGCCAGCGATGGAGCAGCTGCCGTGTCAATTTATCCAGCGCCCTGGCACGATAGACATCGATAGCCAACATCCTCGAGTAGACATTCAGAGAAGCCTCAATTCTCTGGAGGTTCGACATGGAGTTGTGGACTTTTTGCATCACAGACCATAAGTCCAGACTAGTATTGTCTAAACGTCTGCTCGAGTCGACAACGTATAGATTTTGATCGATGATGAAACACAGAAAGTCAAGCAAAGGGACAACCTGGCGGTCATCTTCTTGAGCCTTGAGTGCAAGCTCTTCAACAACGATCGTCGAAACTGTCTCAGCAAGCATTTCCTGCGGCTTCGTATCAAGAGACTGCATGTGTAACACAAACGCGTTGCTCGCAGCACGACAAAGATCTTCTGCGCCGGAGGTTGCTGATGAAACAAGCCCAACAATGAGCGCTCTTTGTGCCCAGGATATGCATATTAGTTCCATCAATTGCTGAAAGTATGTGACCGAGGAGACATCAGTAGAATAATGGAAAATATCCCGGAGGCGTGGTAGAGACAAATCCGTTTTCCAGTGGCTTTCTAAGCATTTCCACGCGCGGAAACGTACATTGGCCAGCTTCTCTGCTGCCAATTTCACAACAAGTGGCATCACGTCCTTCGAAAATGTGCTAGCTTGTTCACAGGAACCCAGCTGAATTCGGTATATGTCGACGGTCTCGAGTGCCTGCAGTCGGAGCGTTGAACCAATGTCCCCTCGTTGATCATTGGTGTAGTCTGTCAAACCACATTGGAATACATTGTACAGTCGACTTGTCATATTTTCGTCGGCTTTTGGTATTTCACTGGCCAGTATAACACCCAGAGCCTCCATGGCGTCAACTCTTGTCTCGATTTTGTATGGTCCCTGGACGATATCCATGGTGTACGACACGATGTTTTGCCGGATTCCATGATGAGACTGAACCTGTGCCAGGTATCCGTAGATCAATCCGAGCGTTTTCAGGCGTCCTTTGCTGGTAGAAGCTGCCGATGGCTGGCGTGTGTCCTCGAGCCACCCTTCGATCATAGTGCCATCCGCGGAAAGTGGAAGGATTCTGAACAGCTCCACAAATGCTTCGGCGCTTGTTTGGACAGTGATCTCCCTCGTCCCCGCTGTGGTGCAATGATTGAGAACTCCAGCAGCCGCGGAAACCCACAATTGCAGCACAGGCGCTGGCCTTAATTTTGCCTTCGCGCAGCATTTGCTGATTTTAGAAATGAGCGTGGCTATTCCTTCCATGACAAGCTCGATATCCGATGTTGTGCGGCCCTCGATCTTTCCGGTTAACATCTTCAAATCGAGAGCCTTGTTTCCACGTTTCTCAAGCCAGCACAATGCTGTCTCGGGATCAAGCTTTGTAAGTGAGCCAAATACAGAGGCGAGCCCGAGAAGCAAACCGTGTCTTGCTGCTGCAGTGCTGCCCATATTAACAGGCTTAAGATCCAGGAGTTGGTAAATGACGGCTTCTGCAAACGAGGGGATTTCTGGCACGGGAAGGGTTTCAGTGAGAAGTTGAATAGTCGAGGCAGCCCAGCGACGCTGATTGACATCGGCAGCACAAACTCCTCGCCATTCTCGCACGGCCTCCAACAGGGCTCTGTGGTAGACACTACCAAGAGCAGCGGCCTGTGGGGCGACCTCAGTCATGGCTCGGGAAAGTCGCGCCACAGCGTGGTAGTCCACAGCCTGAACCACCGAAATACCATTAGTGATTGTATCGGGATGCCGACCGATGAGCTCTTGTAGTGCCGCTGATGATCCTCGGCGAATGTTACCAGAAGGGTCGAGGCAAGCAGATATCGTCAGTCTGACGGCTATCAACTGTAGGACACTGTGGCACTCTGTTTCACTTGGTTCAGCATAGTCCAAGAATGGGACGCCATTCAAATCTGAAGTGCTGTACTTTCTCGCCAAAGCCCAGAGACCAAAGCAAGCGGCATCCCGGACACCGACACCAATTGAAGTTCCGACATTGGACCTCTGCTCAAAGCCCAAGCCCAAGAGCAAGGCCCGGATGATATCCGAAAGCATCTGAGACGGAGGAGATCGGCGGAACAGTAAGTGAGCAAGCGTCAACATCAAGCCATGCCATCTCAGAGGGTCGACCGCGGTAATGACTCTTCTCATACTTGCGGGATCGTCGATGGTTCTATCGGTTATTGCCATAAGTTTATGGCTGCGGGGATCTTCTAACAGGACATTTTCTTCGAGACACCCCAAGATGGCTTCAACAACCTCTGCAGACATGTCAGGATCTAATCTCAGGGTTACAACACTCAGCGCCTTCGCCGCGGCCATTCTGACTGGTGTATCTTTGTCGCTGAGGGCATCGAGGAAGTATTGTATACTCTCCTCAAGCATGGTCTTCAGGCTCTTTGGTTGCAGAGAAGGATGGCTTGAGCTCAAGGAGACGGCATGCAGCAGAACTGCTCGCAAAATCTTCAAGGTCCATTTCCTTGCAGGGGCAGAGTCCCTGATGGCGGCAAAGTGGCTCCTCTCAGCTGTGGCAATCTTCATTATCGAATTGTAGACGTCCTCAAGATAAGAAGCAACCTCAATATCCGAACCAGAGTTTGTGATGCCGTAAAGAAGCGACAGAAGGCCCAAAGCTTTGTAGGGACTCACACTGACCCGATCAGTGTCACTAAGGAGCTTTTGAGAAGCGTAATGCACAAGCTTCATGGGCTGTCTATGGGCTAGCATGTCTCTTCGTAGGCTCAGCCGCACCAGCAGCACACTCGCAGCCTCACGCTCTTTGCCCGGGCTTTCCAGTTGTCGAAAGGCAACTGAAATGACATCACCAGCGATGCCAGGGAGATTACCAAGGTCACCGGGAAGGGCTGTGACGGTGTTGCTGACAGACACGGTGGCCAGCTCGAAGGGCGCAAGCATCAGATGAGAGAGCCAAAGAAGCATGACGTATCGCTCTTCCCAGGTCATGCCTTTCGACGGTGTATTCCAAGCCGTGAAAGCAGACAGCATAGGAGCCAAGTATTTAGGCTCATTATTGAGTAAACGAACAATAACTTTGTAGCCCCTGACTTTGCAAAAAGAGTAGAGAATTCTGCATATCGCTCGTGGCAAAGGACAGACGGAACCATGTTGTTGTGTCGGGCCATACCGACTGCTCGATTCTGCGAGGTAGCCTACGAAGGCATCGGTTAGAAGCTGGATCAATGTGGAAAGAGATGGGTCAAGCAATTGAGGCCATTCTTGAAAGCGATCGAGCTGATGCAGAGTTAGCTATCCGAATAACAACCTACATATTTATTCAGGCATACCAATCGAACCAGCTCTTCACATTTTGAGTCGAGGACTCGAAGACGATGTTTTAATGGACCTGTCCCGTGCTGGTACAACAGCAATGGAAGTTTGTGCTGGACTTCGGAAAGAAGGGTACTTGAAGCTTTGTAGAGTTTTGCGTCCAGATCATGTTCGGCTGCATCCATGTGGCAACGCTTGACCACTTCGACAAGGACTGGGGGAGGGTACCTGGCTATATTATCACTGACTTCCCGCAACCTTTTAGATATGGATTCTAGGCAGAGCGAGATCCTCTCAAAGGTACTTGGCTGGTCACTGACACGTGACTGCGCGTTGCCGCGGCACGCTAGTCCAGATACGGCGCGGCTCACGCTGCCCAACGAGTCTCCACCAATGGAAAACGCGCACGCCAACTACGTCGACGTGAAGCCGAAACCAGCCCAAATGTGCCTGTTTCCAACCTCGATGCGAGCAAATACCACTCCACGCCGAAGAACAAAGCCCAGGGTTATACTAGGTCGCCGCGTCCGGCAACAGGCCATCCCGACAGACCCTTCAGTCATGCCATTCATGTTCAAGCTGCGGCGACTCATTCGCCCTGGTGTACGACCTCTTCATGCCTTTGTGCTAGCCGACATCATTCACCACTCGATTTGTTTCGGTTCTGATTAGTTGCTTCTCACCGCCAGCTCACTGTTGCGTTTCCTCTTCCCTACGCCATCTTCACGACGTCCTTTGCGATCCTCAACGGCGCTCCTTTGCGATCATGGTCAGATCAGCCTTTGCCTCTCCCTTTCGATTCCTTTCGAGTCTGCTGAACTCACCAAGGGCTGCTCCATCCCACTCTGACGACCCTACCACCTCGAGCCAGCGAGATGACACTGGCTACATCCCGAGTCCTGAAAGGTGTGAAGTGTCCTACGACTCTGCTGGCCATGGCAAGGGCAAAAGGAAGGCTAGGGAAGAGGATTACTCAGAGCCTAAGAGCAAGAAACGTGCGATAAGTGTCGACCGGGACGCTTTCACATCACACACAAATGAAATTGATTTTGATGAGAGCTCGTCCAGACCCAGCAGAGCAATATGGACAAAGGCAGAGCTGGATCGAACCTTGATGCCGCCTCCATCAACTCCTCGAAATCGGACGATGTCGTCGCTCACCCTGCAGGTCGACCCTGACACGGTGCATGACCCTCACACGACGTCTCACGATGATGACTCGATATCGTTCGTGTCGACTGCAATATCGCGGCGCAAGATCGATTCAATAGATACCGACGCCATGGAGGAAGCCAGACGACATGCTGCTGCTGTGACTTTGCCTGCCAACTCAGGGCTTTGGTCCCAGACAGAACGCGAATTGTTCTTCCACCTCGCCTATCGTGGTTTCGAAGCCCTCCTTCCCCAGAACTGGATGATCGACTTCGACACATTACCGATCAGTGTCTTTGCGCACGAGAACTCGGTAGACCCACCACTCATCCAAAACCTCCGAGACAATCAATTCAGAGCGAGCCATGCCCTCCGTCGACTCTTCGAGGCTGGCCATGACATTCGAGACAGAACCCACGTCAGCCCGGGGGCCTTGAGAGAACGAATCCTGGAGAACTCCGTGAAAAGGTACATCTATTGGGCTCTGACAGATGTCGGACTTCGCCCAGCATCAAGCACCAAATACATTCCGGTCCACGCTGTCGTCGCAAGAAAAAAGGGCCGATCTACACTACAGACTCTTGAGGAGATTGCGAATAAGCTACAACGGCTCTCGCAGCGCCATCAAAGAGCTCAGAATATTCTGCCAAGCATTGAGACCGATCCCCCGGGCTTCAGTGACCCAACCGAAACCCGAGTTGTCGAAGAGGACGCATCATTACCTACGCTCATCGGCTTCGTTATTATCTCATCGGTACTTGTCATTGTTACTCTTAACTCCTCCCCAGCGTCTACACTAGAAAAGCAAACACCGTCTCCCCTTATCAGAGAACCTTCACTTCAAGGCGGTGTAAGCGTCAACGCCGACCGACTTCGGATTATCGCAGAATTGGATTTCAGCCAGAGAGATCAAGACGTATGGAATGCACTAGGTGTAGCAATCGTGGCGATGCAGGTGCGTACAGAGGCCCTGAAAGTGAATCGGAGGTCCACATCTGTTGAGTTGACCGAAATTGGTTGGGAGCCCATGCCGGACCCGGATTCTAGGCTTGAGGATGATTTTGAGCGTTCGAGCTCTGTGTCAAGGTTACATTTGATTGATGATGACCCCGACCTCTAGACTTGGGTGTTGTGGTGGATTCAGGTTCTAAGATGGGGCTGGGTATATTGGAACTATACGGGTTGGAACTCACGACAGGCTCTACGATGCTTTCGTTCATCTCACAAGTTTCCGTCAAATAAGCCTATGCAGTGCTCACACAACAAGTCGATGATCCATCATCCTAGACAACCTCTCTCATTCCAGCGTCCCACGATGCAACGTATGTCCTTGTATCTATGAATCTTTCCGAAGATGACAATTTGCGCCCCTGGAGCATGCCTGTTTCGCGTCCAGTCCATTCGATGGCTCTACCGCATACCATCCATCATGACCTGGCCTTTCTTTCTGATAGTGCCTTACGTTCCGCGTCTACGTACTTGGTATGTGGCTGCGCGTAACCGCAGCGTCCCAACCAACCTCGTTGCCCGTCCACCAGGAAAAGGCCGGAACCTGTCGTTTTCATGAAGCTAGAACGTCAATCGATGTGGCCATGCCGTTTGATGAAAGACATCATCCATCCATTGATTAATTTCACGTACTGCCAAATACTGATCTAAATGCCATAATTATAACCCCACAATTGGTAACAGATACCCGCCGTGGCTGACTAGCAGGGATGCCCCAGCCCTTGAAATCCCCGTTATGATCCCGTTTGGCACTGACAGTATTCATTCCAGCTGCAGCGATGGATTGCAGCTTGTGCAGAGCAAAAGACTCATCATATTAGTCAATAGCACCAAAAGCCAGTGGTCAGCAGAGCATGTCACCCCAGCGCCTACATCTTCAATTCAGTGCCGTCTCTACCAAATCGCGCCAACATCGGCGTCGAATCTTGCTAGCTCTTTTCCTTGTTCCTCCACCTCCTTTCTCGCTTTCATTCTCATATAGAAGATTGGGCAATCCCTGCTCGAGCATAGCACCTCGGAGTGCATGCTGCCTTGACACCGTTGACACTGCGTCCACAATCTGGCAAACCTTACCTCCAATTCACCGACTTTCTTGATATGTTTCGTGTACAATTCGCCTATGCGGGGACGACAGTTTTCACACACCGCGCCCTTGGATTCTTGGGCGTTGACGAGAGGCTTTTTGCAGCCCATGCATGTCTGCGTCTTTTTGGCGAATTTCATCAGCCCGCCGAGCGTTGGGGCAGCAACCGAGATGGACCGTGTATGGTCGCCCGCAAGCAGGGAATTAGCTCGTCGTTCGCCGAGGATAGGTTCGAAGATTCTATGCAGTGGGTTGGCGAGTTGATTGTCCAGATAATATTTTGTGTCGATGGGGACATTGTTTTCGAGCACATATATCGGGTCTTCAGAGTTCTCGTAATTCTTAGATCCGCTGGCACCTTTCACCATGACATAGGCAACACGGTCGCCCAGTGCTGGGGCTGAGCCTGCGTCACGCTTCTTCATCCGCTCGGCCAGTTCCACATGCGCTTGTTTGGCGGTGTAATCACTTTTGCTGAGCGCCTTTGTAATCACCAGCATGCTTAAGTCGATCTTATTTTGCAAAAGGTTGGCAATGGTCTCCTTGACATAGTCCTGTGCGCCTTCTAGGTCACGGTCGATCAAGATCTTCTTCAGAACTGTCTCAATGACGACTTGGACAAGACGACAATTGTCACGACGGACAGTTTCAATGCCTTTGCTGTCCATCTTGTCATGCTTCTCAGGATTCGTCCAATATAGTCCCGCGTATCGCTTCTTATTGATCAACAAATAGGGGAAATAAACCTTTTCGAACTCCAGTTTGATAGGCTTGACGAACTTGGAAGAGACAAAGTTGGCGGCTTCCTGTCCAAGTTCCATGGTCTTTGAAAGATCTTTCTCGCCAAACTTGACCATGACTGAATCAGTATCACCGTAAATGACCTGCGCGTCATGCGAGTAGCCGTTTGCCATTGTGTACTTTTGTTCCACCTCATGCTTCGTCTTTTCGATCATTTGACGACCATATGCTGTTGTGCTGGAGGCAATAGCCAAACAGGGCAACTTTCCAACAGTGGCACCTGTAATACCGTAGACAGAGTTTGCAGACACTTTAAGAGCGAGTTGACGACCGTTGAGCACAGCCTTCTTGAACGGGTCTTGCTCTATAGCAAGTTCCTTTTTGGCTCGCTTTCGTGCACTCAACAGTTCTTCCAGAATTTGAGTGAGGAGTCCTTTCCGAACTTTGGCAGTGCAGAAGAGATCCCCATTCGGGGTGAGAATATAGTCTTCGTCCTTTTTCAGGTTGAGTTTCTCGACGATGTTCTTATTTAACAACGTGGTGTAACACAAATTGTGGGCCTGGATGATGGAAGGGTACAAAGAAGCAAAATCCAAAGTGGCAACGGGCACATCATAATAACCTCGAATGGGTTCAATGACTGTAGCCCCTTCGTACTGTTCGTCGGTGCTTTCATTCCGCAGATTCGGGATGACCAGTTGCTGCTCTAGAGCTTTCCGGAAAAGCTGGCTGATGAATTTAACCTGTTGCCCTCGGGCTAAGAGGTAGTTGAAGGGAACACCCGTGACTCTAGCCATTTCTGTGTAGTTGACGAGGCACATGAGTTTGTCCATAAGCCGTTGGGGAAGGTAGGCATCCTTGAGACAGTAGACGGCCAATCGTCTTCGCGAATCTGGAGTTCCATTGAATAGTTCTGTAATCATGGTGTGATGGACATCCTCTTTCTGCTCACCCAAGAAATGAGCACAGACAGAGTTCAAAGTGTAGCTGCGAAGTTGATAGTCTCGTTGAACTAGCTGCAGCAAATCCAGCTGAATTCGTCCATTGGTATTTGTGGCTTTCGTGTCACGATTACCCATTTGTTTGCTGGAGAAGTTGGTGTCTTTGGCTTGGGATGCCACACTCTTCAGTCGGGACCAGTAGGGAAATTTCGTCAGTTTAAGATGTTTTGCTCTGTCGAGAAGGTAGGGGAAGTCAAAGTTTGCAATGTTGTAGCCGATGATGACGTCCGGGTCGACCTCTTCCAGGAAGTGTCTCCATGCCATCAACATATCGGACTCTGACTTATGTTCAAATATCTTCGTATTCACAATCAGGCTGCACGTGTCCAGTACAAAGACATTCCGGATGAAAGGTTTCGAGTCGCCATATCTTGTGACCACGTTCGCGATTTGGATAACTGGATCCTGATTGGCTTCGGGGAAGACGCCTTTACGACCAGCACATTCAATGTCGAAGGATAAGATTCGGAGTGGTGCCATTTTTGCCCACTCCCCATCGTGTCCGTGGGCGATGAGATCCCGATAGTGACAGTATGCCTCGATCTGACAGTTGGATTGGCGGTCATGCTGAGGGAGGACGTGATACTTCTGTGGCGGGACCTCAACCCACGACATACCGGTGATGCCGGTATCGATCATGAAGCGAAGAACATATTGAATGTTATCGAAGGTTAATATCTTACTTTCGACGCCCTTCCACATCCCTTTGTAATTGGCATGCCCATCTTCTATCGAAGACCGCAACCTGTTGATAAACTTTGGGTCTGTCACTGTAATCTTGAGATAGGGACTCTTTTGATTGCCTTGAAACCCAAACAAGTTTTCCCGAAGCACCATCTGAACAGAATGAATGGTGGGTTGGTGTTGGGCTAATTGAGTTTCAAGGAATGCTTTGTAGCCTTCCACGTCTGAGCGTTGGAAGTTGACAGGAGCTGCCACATAGAGGTAATGGAGGAAGTCAGTGACATGGAGGAGGATGGAGTGGCCAGTCTGGATACTAGTTAGCGAAGGCCGGTTCAACGCGGTGGCCAACGAACCTCTGATACACCAAACATCTTAAGGGCGATCTTCCCCCCATGTAGTGTGCCTTCCTCAATCTCAATCTGTTGAAATCTCAATGGATCCGTGTCAGGGTTGAAGTCCTTAAGAGTTGGTCTTTCCCACTGTTGGTCTTTTTCCGAGTTGCTCTCCTTCAAGCCTGCAATATCCTGGGTCATCTTCTCGAGGACTTCAGTTTCAAACTGGCTCTTAGGCTGGGACGAGCCCAGCTTCGATTTGAACCCATTTGGGCCGGGCTGCGATGAATGGAAGGAAACATGAGGTCCGTTGCCGTTCAGTTTCCTCTTCTTCGCCGACGGCGGGGATTTGAGGACGTTGTGGGTGTTGGTGGCATCCGTCAAGACCCTCTTCTTGGGTTGATCAGCCACGCGTCCAGGCATTTTTACGACCTCGTCGTCAAAAAAGAATCGCAGTCAAACGAGAAGCGTGCTGGACGTGGTGGCTGAAGGCTTGGGAGACTTGAACGAGCAGTCGCGGAGAACCACTTATCAAGCAGTGACGTGAACGCGACGCGCTTTTCTACTATGGAATTAGCGTGATATTGAGGCGGTCAGACCGCCACAACCTCCACGACGTTGGGCTCCAGCCTCAGGTCAGCGTTGAAACGGTTTCAAATGTCCTGCCCCTCCAAACACCTCACTCTCTACTTTCACTCATTGCACAATCTTCCGAAGAAATTTCACGACGACTACTACTTCTGTGACCGGGAATACTCACAACGATAGCACCGTCTTAAGCCAGCGAACATGGCTGACGATCTTCAAGCCGAGCATACACCAGGATTCAAGGTGGGGGAAAAGAAGACTTTGGAGGAATATCACCAACTGGGTGAGTTAACCTTCTGTGTGCTTCCCCCACAGGTGACAGTATGGGGCATTGTTGTCACAGTCTCGTAGCAACAACGAAGGTCGAAGAACGCAGGATTTACAGAATGGTTTGGGACCACTACCGTCAACAGAGACCAGTGTCCTCTTCTCAGTTGGTTTTGTGACCCAGACACTGACCTACTCAACACCCCTCAGACCAAAGCGACGACGCCATGAAACGATGGAAGCAATCGCTTGGCCTAGGCAATGGCGACACGATCGGCGACCCCAACGACCCTCGCACGTGCATCATTAAATCTCTTGCATTGGTGAGCCCGTCCGAATTCACACACTCTTCATGACGCCTGACCAGAGCCATAGGAAGTCGAAGGCCGACCAGATATAACCATCGATCTGACTCAACCCGGCGCCCTCGAAACCCTCAATAAACACCCATTCACCATCAAGGAAGGCTGTCAGTACCGCATGAAGGCCGTCTTCACTGTCCACCACCAAGTGCTTTCCGGCCTGAAGTACATCCAAGTTGTGAAGCGAAAAGGGATCACTGTGAGCAAGGACCAGGAGATGATCGGCAGTTATGCGCCAAGCACCACCGATAAGCCCACATATGAAAAGAAGTTCGCTGAAGAAGAGGCTCCGTCTGGTATGCTTGCTCGTGGCCACTACGAGGCAAAGTCGAGATTTACTGATGACGACAACCAAACACACCTCGAGTTCAACTGGTCATTCGATATTGCCAAGGACTGGAAGTGATCGGGCATGGCCGTCGTGAGGCACCGACTCCTCTTTTCAACCATGTCCGACCGAAGCTGCTGTCACGCTGGTCTTACCCTCGGGCTTCCAGCAATTGGGGTTACATGGGCCACAAATTCGTCGCGAGTGGCTCGAGAGATTGTGCTGTGCATGGTGCATGGGAGCCTCCAACCTGACCCAACGGGCGTGATGATTCAAATTCTAGAGAAAGTACTCAATGTGAGAACCTTGACCATCTTTCCCCTGCGTCTGTTGCTGCTGCTGTTGCTGCTCGTTTCGATGGATATCATTCTCCGGTGCCGCATCGAAGATATTGAAGTAGCGATCACCCGCATCACTGACTTCGAGAACACTCGCTAGATTCCCGCAACGATAGCAATAGTTTGGAGCACTCCAGACGGTGCTCAGACGATCGTCATACAAGACCTGGTAGCCCTCCTGACACAGCTGATGTGCGCGAAGGATATGAGACATACTATTGACTTGCAGGAACTTTTTCACCACATCCCCGCCAAAAGTATATCCAGCTCCTCTCGGCGACAGCGAAAATTCGTCTCGCTCCGGGTCGGGGTCTGACCATACCAAGTCCGCCATCGGTCCTTCGTGGGGGATTTCTCGGTATCTGTCAATGATTTTGATTTGGTCGATGGAGTGGATGGACGGAGACAGGCCGCCGTGAACGCAAAAGATCTGATTGTTGATGACGACGCTCAGGGTAAGGAAATCGAACATATCGGTGAAATAGTGCCAAACATTTGCATTGCCGTACTTTCGTGCGCATTCCGTGTAGAAGCCGTAGGATTGCGTGACGCCTCGTGATTCATGATTGCCTCGAATGAGATGGACGCGTTGGGGGTATCTTAACTTTAAGCAAACAAGAAGAGAAATCGTCTCGACGCTGAACAGACCACGGTCCACGTAGTCGCCTGCGACGCCCCGATTAGCAAGGCCATTCCCAAATGTGTAGATCACAAGCGTACCGAGGAATAGGTAGTTGGTATCTGGACAAAAGCCACCGATCTTGAAGATTTCCAACATGTCAAAAAACTGGCCATGGATATCGCCGACGACGGTGACAGGAGCTAATATATGGACCACATTGCTCTCCTTCATCAACATCTCCTTTGCTTTTGCACATATTGCCTCAATCAGGGATTCGGCCAGGAGGTTTTTCTTGTACAGTTGGGTGATGCATTCATCAAGATCGATGCTAGCTGTACCGCTCCGTCATTAGCGAGATGCGCTACCTGCGCAGCTTGGAGGGACATACCAGGTAGACCCGGCATTGCAAAAAGCTATGCAGGCCGGCCAGGGTCGCAGCCACGGGTTTGGAAGCAGAGGGTGCGCTGGAGCGCTGGAGCGACTGCGCCTAAGTTAAATTCTTTGGAATGTTGCAAGAGTCGCAGCGCTCTGTCATGATGCCCAACTCCGGGGAAATGCTAGCAATGCTGCAGAGAGATAGAATGTAACGAACGCGGCATGAGTGACGAGAAAAGAAAAGCTACAGGAATTGCGGCGAATTTCGTGCAAAAGGAATCCAGGTTGTTGCAGGGTGAAGGCGACGATGGCGCGGCGGCGGCGTCGGAGGCGGCAACGGGCACGCGGCGTTCTGAAAGGGGCAATTGTCCACACGTCTCGTGCGTCTGCCACACACACAAACACACACACACACACCCACACACCAGTAACTCACACATCCTCCCTTCATTGCTAAGTCATATTCCACCCTCTTCCTCCTCTATCTTGTGGCACTGACCACTTGACTACACCTGATTGTTCACTGTGCTCGCCGGGCTTGGTCCTTCCCATTGGTGCGGCCTGCATCAAACTCTGGATAGCTTCGAGAATCTGCTGCCTCACCTCTTCTAAGGAACCTGCAATGAACCGCTGAAAGTCGGTTACAAGCAGCATCCGCCTCGTAGACCAGGAACTCATGCACATTCATGCACTAATATATAGCACGGGATTGCAGGTGGCATTTCCCTCCACGAACTCTGTGCTTTTCTTCTTCCGTCCGTGGATGGCTACACCAACCATATTGAAAGTCAGAGGTTGCCTCTGCTTCTTTGTTCCCTGTTCTGTGTTCTGCACTCTGAACTTCACTTCCTCTCAAGTCCAATGGTCGAGGCGTGTCTCCAAGCACTGTCAATTCGACTGTTCTTTCCCACCGTCACTCTCTTCATCGCCATTTCTTGATTCACTCCTCCTCTGCTTTGTCTGCGTCTTCTCTACTAAATCTCCTGACGGTGAAAGTCCTATTCTTTGACGACCAACCGGGCCTTTGCCAAAGGGCAATCTCGGCTATTGCTCGCTCCGCACCCTTGGCTCGTGATGGAAACTGGCCCTTACGAAGACAGACCACCAGGGCAGCATCGCGCTATGGCAGAGCCTGTTTCTGATACAAATGGCGTCACGAGTGGTTACTGCAATGGCACAGACCCTCTAGTGAGACAGAGTCGAGGTGAAGAAGGCAACCACGTCAACTACCATGAAGACTACGGCAGGCAACAGACTGATTATACCCTGTGAGTGAAGCCAGGCCTCCTTTGACGTGGTCGACCTGTTGACAATGTTCCAAAAAGTGCCGCCGATGGAAGACAACGATACGATCAGAGCTACGGCACGTCTCTCAGCTCAGACCCTGGGAATCAACTGCAGTACAGTGACCTTGCTCATCGCGAATTTTCACCGGACCCATCGTCTCGTGTCGCATGTAGCCGGCCATCTTCCACACGTCCTGTTCGGTATCCGTCTCACTCGTGGCAGCCCGTATCTCATGTTTCAATGACCATACCAAAGGAACCCCTGATCAGTCCATCCCAGCCTGCGGTTTATGACCTCGAACGACCTATACAGCCCCCGTTGTCACACAAGCCATGTCGAGACCTCCTTCAGTCATCTCAGTGCCAGATGCATGCACGTGAGGAGTGGCGTGGCGAATTTTCCCAAGAATATCATGTCGACTCCGAAGATGATCTCCAGGCTCTCGAATTTCCTGATGACGTTAATGCTGAGGCTGTGAATCACTTCTCATGGGTCCAACGAAAGATACAAGCATTCGGCGCAACCATGGACGAGAACGACTGGATGGAATCGCAGCAATCAGTCATTGTCTCGAAGTATTTCCGCAATACCAAAGACGCCATCTACTTCAAGCCCGTGAGCGAGACCGGACATTGGAACTTTGTCAAGGACGATCCGGCTTTTGCAGATATTGCTTCTCATGGAGATGTAGTGGTTTTTGAGGAACTTTATCGGCGCCAAAACGCCATGGTCCTAAGCTACGGCAACGCTGAAAACGACCGTCATGGATCGATTCCGTCAACTGCCGACGCTCAACATGTTTATCACAATGTTCCACTGCAGCAGGCGGCTGAGACAAGCCTATCTATTGAGCAAGAAGAACGCTTGGCTGCTCTTGGAGTGACTGGTGACCCCAAACCAGTTCAACCTCGCGCTTCCAAAAAAAGAGGTCGTCAGACAAGGTCGCGGTCGCCCGAGTCGACGGGGCAGCAGAAACAATGCGAGAGCTACCGCCAGCGACGTTATGATCAGGCCAGTGGAGCAGTGCGATCCCAAGATTGGCGAGAGGTTCAAGACTCTAGAGCTCGTGAGCCTGAAAGTCTTGGGCCGGTGATGGGCAGAGGAAGGCGGAGAAATGTCGAAATGAAAATCCCGCGAGGCCAGGAGCCCCAGAGTGGACGGCGAGGATGTAAGACGAAAGAAAAGAACAAACAGCAGTACAGCGGCAAATTGTCCAGAAGAACTAGGAAGCGTCAACATCAGCGAATGTCCCAGTTACAGTCACCAAACGCCTCAACGGCGGAATCCAGCCATCGAAGTAAGTCAACGTTGCCCAACCACATCCTACTAAGAGACTAACTTGTTAAAAAGCCTCCCAAATGGCCGTTGATCACCTGAAGAAACGCAAGGAAAGTTGCGCACAGGCGGCGAAGTTTCAGTAAACTCTGGAATGATAACAGGGAAGAACAATGAGACTCTTGAGTCAACAGTAAGGAACGACATTGCATCCGATCCCGGTGGCAGAAGGACGATGCTGGAACCAGCCCGCGCCGGCGGGAAGCCGGAGATTCAGAGCCAGAGCGTCGTTGAGCTATTTTGGGCTGAATTGCGCAAATTGGCAAAGGAGCTAGAACTGTCTCAGCCATTGGAGCAGAGCTGCTAGGGCCTGGTGCTTTAATAACAACGACACAACGGCGATTTGCTGGGGCTGGGAGCACCTAGCTCATCTGTGACATTTCCGCCTGCGGCTTGCCTGGGGCAGGAGGAGATGCGACGCATCGTCTACGAACGCAGCAGTAGGGATATTGGAAAACAGCGTAGGCGAACACAAGCACAGGTCTTTCTCTCTCCCTTTGCATCTCTCAAGTTCCAGGCCCTCCTCTCTAGCAGTATGAAAAGGCCCTCGTTCGTCTTTGTCTCGGTTCCGTTAAACGGCGGTAGTATAAGTCTATATACTTTTTGTAGGTTCTGTACATGTTATGGCATCGAGTGGGTTTCTCCTCTGTCCTGTTCTGGATCGTATATATCGCCACAGTCTTCCATCTGACCACGACCACCGCGACGCTGCTACTGGGGTCCAGAGATAGTGATTGAGCTGGACAAGAACAAGAGAGCTAGGGCTAGATCCACCCGGGTACACACACACTCCCTCTCGCCATCTTGATGACCTCCATGGAGTCGTCTCCGTCACCTATGTTGATTTTCTGTGCATGACGGTCGCAGCAGCCTACACTCACATCCGTCAGTAACTTCTTCATCTTCTTGTGATGAAATTTGCTTGTTCTGGGCGAGAGAAAACTTCTCCCGACGCCACAGAAGAGATAGGACGTGGCAACAACAACGCTTTCGAGACAAATGCATCACGAGGGGGGATAGAGGGATGGGATGGAGAGGAGGGAGCCTGACCTGATGGTTCGGGAAGATCAAGGAGTCCGCCAGCACGACGTTCTCCCTTCTTCCCGCCGCGAACACGACAACTTCGGCGATGTCGTCGGGTGTCAGGGGCTCGACACCTTTGTACACGGCGTCGGCCTTGGCCTTGTCCCCGTAGAAGCGGACGATGGAGAATTCCTACCAGTTCACACGACGAGTCAGTGTCAGTTGGTCTCCAATATCAAACAGAACCTCCTCCTTCGGGGGCAATTTGGGAAGAAAGCCATAAGGGGCCCCGAACGTACCGTCTCGACCTGCCCTGGATCCACCTCGATGATTCGTATGCGCGAGGCGACCAACTCCCTTCTCAGCGCATCCGTGAATGTCCTCACTGCAGCTTTGGTGGCACAGTAGATGCTTCCACCGGCGTAGCCCTCCCTCCCCGCAATTGAGCCAATCATAATGACGTCCCCTCTGCCGCCGACGTCTTCGCCGTTATCTCCTTTCTTGGCCTTCATGATAGGGAGAACGGCCTGAGTCATATTGATCAGGCCGGTCACGTTCGTGGCGAACATGACCTCCATGTCCTCGGCCTTGATATCCGGCGCTTTATCCATGCCCTTGACCAAGCCTGCATTGTTGACCAGGACGTCGATGTTTCTGAACTCCTCAGGCAGATTGCCCACGAAGCTGCTGACTTCCTGCGGTTTTGAAATGTCCAACTTCACCGGCAAGACCTTCACGCCCTCACCCACTTCCTTGGTGATGTCGGCGGCGACCTGCTTGAGCGTGTCGACCCGGCGGGCCGTGAGGATGATCTTGAGGTTCTGCGGGGATGTGCGAGCGAACTCCTGGGCGATGCTGCGGCCGATGCCAGAGGAGGCGCCGGTGACCAGGATGGTCTTGCCCGAAAGGCGTTTGCCCATGGCGGAGACGGAGGAAGACATCCTGCGTATCGTGTGTATGGAGATCTGGAGCTGAGGGTGTTGAAAGAAAGCGTGCGAGATGAGTCGGTGCGGGGAAACAGTGGTTGTCGAAGGTCTGCGGACGGCGACGGGTAGGAAGCTGCGTGTAAGAGCTGTAAAGGTCGAGGTAGTGAGGTGGGAAGGCATGTACAGAGAGACGAGACTTGGTTGGAGTGTCAGGGAACGGGGAAACAGAGGGTCGATGAGGGACAGAAATGCATTGGAACTTGGTAGTCAGTGGTATTAGTGGTGGTGGTGGTGGTGAGAAGTGCGGAGTTGTCACCGAGGCGGAGAAACAACCAGCACAGTCTGTGCGTGATTGTTATCAACCAGTAGTGATGGTCTCTGGGTGGTCGCGGTATGTCGCTGGTAATTATTATATCGGTAAAAAGGCGATCAACGGTTATAACCGGCAAAGGAGCCGGCAGCCTTGCAGCTTGCACGAGAGATTGACATGCTTGCTATATAGGGACTGATTCTGGTCTATACGAAAAGCTGTTTTTGTGTTTCTGACAGAGACGGAGATAAAGAGCGCACGCACAGAGACAGAAGAAGGAAAAAGACAAGAACAAAGCCACCCATATCCAATCCACGGAAATGGCCCTCTCTGTATTGATCCTCTGCAGGTCCCCATTATCCCGACTATCGCTTGTTTCATGCTTCCCCCTTCAGCAAAGACACAAGACGCCGCCAGTCCTGGGGGAAGAAAAGAGCCTCCGGCTCTCACAGGTCCAACAGAATCCCCAATGCAGCCAGATTCCCATACTCACATGTATGCAGAGCTTCGTTAACTTGACGTGGGCACATATCTCCTCGTCCAAATCCAATCCCAGATCTCTTCGTCGTGATACCATATGCTTGCCATCATTATTCCCAGGCCATGCGCCGAATTGATTTCATGTCTGCGGGCGTCCAACTCAAACACGTCAGTTGGTGTTGCGTTGCGTGGTGCTGACTTTGTGCGTATAGCCAAAGCCGCCTCGTTCTAGCGGAAACATACTTTTGTTCCGGACAAAAGCAAATTGTAACAGTCGAGTGATTCAGCCTTTGTGCATATGGCAGCTCACAGGAACCCCGACTCGGACAGCAGCCGTGCAATCTTCTCCTCTTCTCGCTCACGAGGTTCAACCTTGAGACTCTGAGCGAACATGTCGTCGTGGGAGTCTCCGGCATTTTTCATGTTGTCGGAAATCCACTCCTGCAATTCGGGGACGGGATGGAGACTGTAAGGCACGTTCTGATACTGCTGAATATCTCTAATAACCTCGGCAGTTTTAGTCCGTTTGGCGAAGTTGATCAACTCTGTGTTCTTGGTCAGAGACGGAATTCCATCTTCGATGAATGTCAGATCGGTCAAGTAGACACCTAAGAAAGGAATGCACGGCGGGGTTGCCTGGCGTAGTGTTTCACGATAAAGCGCAAAGTTTTTCGAGGAGGCTATCAGATTGCGCATGGACTCAAGGATGGCGTTGGTCTTGGGGTTGACAGCTTGCCAGGTTCGACTCAGTCGGACGATATGGGCAGTGCCCAGTGCTGAAATGATGGCTGTCACAGCCGAGAAATTGTTCAATACACGGCATTGCTATTCATTACGTTAGTACCGGTACAAGGTCAAAGCAGTTGTCGCACAACTCACCTCAGCAATCAGCACAAAATGTTTGATGATAACCACCCTCTTCTTGACCTCTGATTGTCCCAGTATCATTGCGGAAACCCAGTTCGTCAACTGGTTGGAATGTAAAATGAGAGCTTGCACGTTAGGAGCGGTATCGCTGCTGTCCGACTTGCTCTTTCTCTCCCATGTCTTGGCCAGGCATTCTACCGGCTTGATCTTGCCATAAAGTTTCGATTCGATGATAGTCAGTTGCCGCGCAAATTCTTTGGGATCGATATCCAGGAATTTGAGCTTCTTCATGTTCTTGGGCAGAATAGGTGCCGGGGCGGAATTGGTGAGAGTCAACACAAGCTTCTTGGAAAGTGCCTCCCCTCCCTTCAGTCGCTGATCGATGATGGTGGTTAGAGATTTTGCTAGCGGAATCTTCGTCGTGGTGTATGTGCGGTTCGCGAAAGCCAGCATTCGCTCTAACAATGCTTGACTGTTGCCATCGTCGGCCTCCATCCAATACTGCTCCAGCCACGACTTGAGAATGTTCAGAACTCGAAATCTCGCCGGCTTCTGCTTGTGCTCTTCCCAAACGGAATACTCGTCTCGATTGAGGCCGGCAGGTGGCTGAAGGTTGAACCGCCTGACCAAAAGCTCAAAGAGCTCCGAAGCTGACGTGAAAGAACGGTAGGTGAGTAAGAAGGTCGTTGTAAAGGTTGTATCCGGTCGATCATGTCGCGTAAGTTGCTCAACTAGTCCCGTGAGCGTTCCGCTTTTGACTTGCGGAGGGTCGTTCTTGGTATCATAAGTGATTTCGTCCGCGTGGTCGAGTTGTAGATACCATGGGACCTCGTCCGCAGAGAAGCTCGGCTCAATAGTGGCTTTAACGGGGTTCAAATCCGGCGGGATCTGTCCGAAGAATTGCCTTGCTTTGTCCTTGGTCGGCGGTCGACGTAATTTGTCTGCCATGGGATCTTCACCAAGCGTGTATGACTTTGACTGACCGAGGTCTGCCAACGCAGGGCGCAGATTCGCCGCGTGCTTCGAGTCGGATCGAAGATGATGAGTCTGATAGGTCTCACCTCCGTCCGTCACGCGATTCTCCCGCTTGTTCGTCGCCGTAGCTGGGTTTAGGGCGGTGGCAGGAAGCAACAGCTCCAATGCGTAGCCCACGTTGGCCACGTGAGTGTCCAGCTGCTGGCAAGCATGTCGAACGTTGGTTATGCGAGTATCCAGAGAATCGCCACGCACTTCAGCCCATTCGTCCGGGAGTGGCATGGTGACCGCCTGGCAAGTGGCCACCAACTCGCCAATGGAATCGTAGGCTTTTTGCTTCTGCGGTCCAAAATCCACCAGCGACGGTTTCTGAAACACATTTCCCAGCGCAGAAAGATCGATAGACTCGACGTGCGAGATCCAGGGTCGGAACTTTTCCAAAACCAAGCCTGCTCCTTGACAGATCATATCTCCTATCGCAGATAGCCGCGCGGGAGTGACGATCTTTTCGGTGAGAACCAGAACCTCCTCAAGGCGACGAATCGCAGCCGACAAGGTCCTCTTGGAATCTTCAATGCGTCGAAGTAGGTTGGCGTCGAGTGGTTCGGAGGGCCGGTAGACGATCTCATCATTGGAGTCCATAAACGAAACCTCGCCCAAGCTGGTTTGGCTGTCGATATTATTGTCCCGCCAGCTCCCTCCAACCGTACTGCCATGATAAAGCCAGGGAACAATCGTGGGATCTCTTCTCCTCTCTGCTGCCGAGCCACTTCTACATAGCCGTATACCCCATTCATCACGCCATCGGCTTCTTGTAGACATTTCGTCAATGCGTCAGGCCCCGGCCAGTCGGCGGCGGCGATATGCGAAGACAGAACGAGTTTCGAAAACTTGGACATCATCTCCCGAAAGTGAGGGTACAGGGCCTTGTTTGACGATATTATGGAAGGGTTTCCTGAGTGGTTATCCGTGGTTCCTGAACCGGCAGCGAGCAGCATGCGAAGATGGTCTGAGATGTCTTCTGCCCTTCGAACATAGTCTGCCCGTGCGCGGACGTGAATTGCATGACGATACGCCTCGACGGCAGTGCGCATATTTTCCACCAGATTGTTCCACGTGACAGCAGTGACACCTCCGTCGTCCAGGAAAAATCGGGGTGTGGGAGATTTGGACAGCTTGGGAGGTAGCCCTGCTGCGAATGAAGTTGAGCTGGGGCCCAGACGAGACGGGGCCATTGACATGCTGAGAGAGTCAAACTGGGTAGAAGGAAAGTCTGAAAGGGCGGGGTGGTTCGCATAGAAGCTGGCTGAGCCTGCGTTGAGGGAATCCATGGAGGTTGAGGTTGAGATACTGGCAGAAGTCATAGAACTGGACCCTTTCTTGCGCGAAGACAAGAATGATTGTTCACCGTCCGCCTCAGAAGCAGACCCATCGTAGTCTTCTTCATTCTGCCCGTACCCTCCTGCCATCATCTCGGGCGGCGGCCTCGTTTGCTCTGGTACGTGAAAATTGTTTCGATCTCGGGGTCCGCTCTCATCCGAACTTGTTGGCGTTTCCAACGGCAGTTCCATCGTACTGACCCCGGTCAGTGTGTTGAAATAGAACAATCGACCATCTGGGGTCGCCTGAGGAACCCAAAACGCCGCCTCTTCCTGCGCCTGGGAATGACCACCCTCAATCGGCAAGTCCGAGTCCTCATCTTGAGTGTGCGCGTCTGAATCTTCCTCCTCTTCATCATACTCTTCCTCGGTGCCTGACCCGGTCTCACTCTCATCATGGACACCTAGACCCGCCTCGCTCAGTTCGTCCAGATTTGTGATCTCGGCGGTATAATTGCTGGGGAACCAGCCCCGAACGTCGTTGATCACGCCATCCCACCACCCACTCTCCAACTGGGTCAACACCTGGATTATATCCCCCTGGCGGAAACTCAAGCTGGTGTGGTCATCGGCTTCATAGTTATACAAGGCACGGACAAAGATGGGAGGAGGCGGTGGAGGAAGGTCGGTGCTGGCGACATAGCTGTTCATCGCAGCCTGTTGAGCACGGCGACGTGGCGAGAGGCCGTTCATGCCCGCGTGATGGACGCTGGATGACCTCGAACGGGAGGCAGAGTGGGAAGGTCGACTCGGTTCGGTGTATTGAAAGGCGGCGGCAAGGACTGAGCCTGACTTGGCCGAAGCACCTTGCGACGTCGAATCTTGTGTTCCTCTGCGCGACGCTGACATTGCACCGGTGGGCTCACCGACTCTCGAGGAGGGTCTGAAGCGCTAAATATTGCCTTTCAGAGCGCAGCAAGGCGGGCAGGCTCTGCATGTTCGAATGCTGCGACAAAACGTGGGCAAGCAGACAGCACGGCCAGCCAGTTCGTCGTCGGTGGAGGAATCTAGAGGGCAGAAATGGCGGACGGGTCTTGTTACACACGGGACTACCTCAATGGAGGAGAAGAGGAAGGGTCTTTCTGGGGTTGGCACAGGTCAATGGTGTGCGATTCTTGAAGTTCTGCGGTCTGTAGGACGGAGTAGGCGTTGCAGTCTCTGGCTTCTTCTGCAGGCTCGCTGGGTTATTGGGGGAAGTGGGTGGAGCGAGGGCTGGGATAGGCCGCCCGATTGGGTGTCTGGTGATGGTTCAGAGGGGCAGAGGACAAGCCGCACCGGCTGGTAGGCCCTGTGAGCCAGAGGTCTAAGGTGGCCGAAGAGGTCAGGGCAACAGGCTGACCCGGCCGCTCGCTAGCGGCTATCTGCACGAAGCTGTTGGTCGCAGAGGATGCTGAGGGAGGGTGGACGTGGGATGAAGGGGGCTCGACTGTCAGCCCACACGCACAGAGGACACTTGGACGGAGTAGACTCTTCCGAAAAGGAGAAAGGATGAGACGGAAGATAGCACTGGCGGTGGGTGGGTGTACGGGGGATGGGCGTTGAGTTTGAGTGTGAGTTCGGAGTATGCAGGGCGAGTTGTAGGTGTTGTCACTGTGTCTGTGTCTCTATTACAGCATTTGCTAGGACTACTTGTACCGGGTAGATTGGTGACCAGGTGCCCCAGTGACCCAGATAACTCCGGCTAGTAGGCTTCTCTGTCTCTCATATTATATTATGAGTATTGTCTCTCTGGCTCTGCCCTCCTGTCTCCCTCTCGCTTGTGTTTCTTCTTTGCCTACCAACCCGTCCTTCGCCCCCCCCCCTACCCCCATCCAAACTATTATGCCCTAGACCCTCCCTCCTTCGCCTCGTTTGATATACGCAGTAGACAATTAAATTCAATTGCCTTCGCCTCGCCGACACTGCGAGCTACTAGTGGCATCCTTTATCCTCGATTCAGCTAAACCACTCCCCAGGCTGAGCATCGGCCGTTGACCCCCCGATCCACTCGTTGCCTTGCCCAAAACTGAGCGGTACAGCTGCTCGTGTCAACCGCATCAGAAGAGGGGGTTTACGAGGACCACCAGGATCAAACTCTCCCCCCGTGTCAGTGACGCGTATTCTCGATCATTGCACATGCCTTGATTTCCTCTTCTCAGTCGATCGGAACCTTGTCTTTCCGTTCGTTTCGAGCCTCACCAGTCATGACATGCAGAGATCTGGAGGTGGCTGAGCTCTTTACCCCTGGTTTCAGGGATGGTTCGATCGGACACGAACACGGTATGACGAGATAGATGAACAAGTGAAAACATGGCTATGCCATTGAAGGCTCTACTTGTGTAGCTATTTTCTCTGTGCCGACAGAGTACTCCGTATGCCGTGCTGGATTGAACGAGTTTGGCTCGGGTCACCAGGGCCTCGAGGGGGCCCCGTGTCGCGTAACCGAGAGAGCCTTTTTCAGGGGCTTCAGAATACCAGTCGCGTGCCACAAAGTTAAAGTTACGAGAATGCGCATGAAGCAGGCATCCAAGCTTAGAGCTCTTTTCGTAGAGGTCCGAACCATGCTGAGCACTACGTAGTCATCTCCTTCATCGTCGAAATGAACTCGAGATGCTGCACGGACTTTGCGAAATCGTCGCTGTCGTCTGCCGTGTGAGAAGACACGCACCGAGCGAGTATGGGGTAGTTTGAGTGTACTCCGTACTCAGGAAGAACCTACAGCCGAGTACAATTTTTTGGCTGTATGAGCTGCCCAAAACTGGAATAAGATCAATGCATCGGCTGTCAGCGTCTGTCGGCCAGTCGCCTAAATCCGTAAGTCTCATTGTTGTGCTCATCCCCATCAGGCGTCCATCGGACAGATACCTTAGCAACCCAGCAGGTCGGCCATCTCCTCAGCTCTCCAGGAAATGCCTGCATTTCGGGGATCCAGACCCCAGATACCTGTACGAGGTACACCCCTCAGGTCAGCCTGGAAGGTGGAGTCTCAGCTCAATCACTGGACCAGGACGAATCCACCGTGCAGGTGATATCAGGCTGCCGAAAGCTGGGACTGAAACGTCTTGACGGCGGAGAGCGAGCCGTCTGTACAGAGTAAGGAAGGCTGTCTAGGTCCTTCGTCTCGCCGTGGAAACAAGATCGGTCCTCGACCAACCCCCTGTCGCCTGATCTGCACCCCATCCAACATGCCTCCAGTCGACCTCCACGCAGGGATAATAGGGGCGGGCATGGGCGGACTTGCGGCGGCTATTGCACTGCGTCGAGGAGGAGTCAAGGTCACGATTCTCGAGGCTGCAACCGAACTTGGCGAGATTGGCGCGGGGATCCAGATTTTCTCCAATATTTCAAAGTACATCATCCGCTGGGATGTCGACGAGATCATCGGCGAGAACCTGGTGCAGGTGGACGAAGTGCGGACGTGGGGGGTCAACGGGGAGGTGGTGACGAGAGTCGATCCGAAACGCGTCCAAAAGATCACTGGCTTCCCTCACCTGATCGCTCGTCGAGACCATCTACACGCGGGTCTTACAGAATCGGCGCGCCGACATGGAGTTGAGATTATTGTCGGAGCACGGGTGCAAGAGCTTGAGCATTCCGAAAAGTCGGCGACGGTCATCACGACGAAGGGCATCTCCTACACGTTCGATCTCGTGGTCGGGTGTGACGGCATCAAATCGACGATCCGACAACATCTCTTCCCAGATGTCAAGCCTCGTGCTCCATCCAAGGTTGCCGCCTACCGCGGAGTGCTAACTTATGAGGAGATCAAGACCAAGGCCCCCGAAGCGGCGTCGATATTGACCAACACCATGGACATGTGGACGGGGCCAAACGGCTATATAATGACCTACCCACTCTCTGGGGGGAAAGAGTTAAACGTCGTCACGTCGTTCTGCAAGGACTACTACGTTGAGAAGATGGAAGAGGTCGACATCGATGAATTCAGAGGATACTACAAGGATTACAGCCCAGCTATCCAGTCCATCATCAAATTGGTCAACTATACGCAACGATGGCCCCTCCTGGTGATGCCTCCAATGGACCGGTGGTCGAACGAGGCCAGAAACGTGGTATTGCTGGGCGACGCCGCGCATTGCATGCAGAACCATGTGGGACAGGGAGCAGCCACGGCGATCGAAGACGGCGTCTTCCTTGGGCGTGTGATGAGTGAAGTTGTGCGCGGGACGCTCACAGTCCCCGAGGCGGTGTCCATCTACGAGCAGAAACGCATACCCAGAGCATGGACCAAACAACAAGTATCTCTCGTTTCGGGCGAGTTGAACATGTGCTCCAGTGCGGAAGACCTGCGAAAGCGGAACGCATCGTCCTTGCCCGAAGTGCAGGGCCTCGAGAACGGCGAGGCCAGGAGTCAATTTCCGCCTCTTCCGCCAGAGTATCGATCGTGGCAGATGTTCGATTCACCAGAGAGCGTGCCTGGGATCTTCTACTATGATGCTGAAGGCGATGCCGATAACGCGGTATGTGAGCTCTTGCAGGCCAGGGATCGCGAGGCCGGAAAGGTAGATGAATTGACGATGGTAAGTCAGGCACTGAGGAAGAAGTGGTGGGCAGCCACCGAGTTCAACGGCATTGGGTGAAACATGTATATAAGAGGATTCAGGGTCGGCACAACAATGAGTGTGCTCTTACGAGGGATGACCTTTCTTGCCTTGAATGCTGGCTGTCAACTTGACCGACTCCTTACGTTGGAGCACATCTGGGCCGCATATCCAAGTAGTTACTGAAGGGTGAAATGGAACGCCAAACGCTCTTAAGGCTGCTGCTTAGGTTCATCGTCAAAAGGGCCTCATCCCCTACTTCATTGTGAACACGGCCACCATCGCTTAAAAGCACGACCAGAGTCCTAGCATCGGGAACCTTCTGGTCAGAGGACAATGGTCGGTTTTGAGCCACAAGCCACAGGATTGACCAGGCCCAATCTCTTGGACGGCACCAGAACAGTTCTGACGGCGAACCCTACGATTTCAACGGAGCCCGAAATCGTAGACCAGCGCTCAGGGGTGCCCTCTGCACTGTCATCAAAGAGGCCACGCAGGCATAAAGACAAGGGCCGAGCTCAGGCTGTACGCAACATAATAGAAGGAAGTCCCAGAAGAAAGCCAGAATAGACCTTCACCACCTCAAAGGAACAATGAGAGACATTCCATTGGCAATAACATACCACCTCGAGAATTGGGCAGTTGCGGCCCAATGGCCGAAGTGTATGCTGGCTCGCGGTTGCTTGTTGCATACATAGTAATTACGAGCAAAAGGGGGCCTAGCCTCGCCCCCAGATCAAGTACATACATACAAATAGACAGACAAACATTCATCCCCGTCACCATTATGCCGTGATGACGAGGCGTTAATAATGAATACGTACACACCAATGTATTGTGCACCTACGTGGGGGGAGCCTCTACGCTACTAAGCTATCGTATGTACCAAGTGACTTGGATTTTTTTTTCTTTTTCTTTTTCTTTTTTTGAATGCCGAATCGGAACCGATCGGAGAACAACAACCACATGAGAAAGTACCATACATACGAGGTGCAGAAAGGCAATAGGTATCCACTTCCGTGCTCTACATATGAGTACTACGCAGTAATACGTACTCGTATGTTCTGTGCGGTACGAGCAGAGCATAGATTGGTCCCACTTCCTAGGAATGAGAAGAAAAAAACCAACCTTTGCCGCATACAAATTTAACCACACCACCGACAAGGTTCCACATTCCAGTAGTACCTCAATACCTCCTACCACGCTGGGTGGTAATCGAGGAGCAGCAGCAGCATCAGTCGTGCAAGGAAAGAGAATACAGTCAAGGTGGTAATGGGCTGGATATCATTAATTAATTGCTGGTGATGTCCCATTTCTGCCTGGCTCTGCAATATCATGCAGAGCTCTGCTGTGCTCTGCGCAATTAAAACTCAGAATGTATCCTGATCCGGCGACACCACATCCGCCCATGTCACTAGTATACAGAGGTAAGAATGATCAAATCAAACAAACGGCCGTTTCTCAGTCCTAAGGGTTCAAATGTTGTAAAGAGATGAAGAGTCATGAGGCCAGAAATTCCTGCTGGCCGTGGTGGACGCTCAAGGCCATCCTTTTGTGTGAGCGAGAAACGTCATCAGTAAATGCAAAAAGTTGGAGTCTTGCATCTGTTAAGCGCACAAGGTATCAAGTGGAGGAGATTAGATTTGTATGTGGTTCGTGATGAGATCGAGTTGGAGTAGGTTGCGCGATAAGATGAATGGTGCTTGTCTTGGCCGCTCAAGGTCGTGGACGGGCCGTCGATCGTCGAGAGGGACAAAGTGTATCATGGAGGTGGGTTGCTGTAAATCGAGCCGATGGTGCAAAAGGACGAACCCGCCAAATTGGTGAACGCCGTAATTTTCTCTGAAGAAGGCCTCCGTTCGCCATGCAAGGTGTAAGAGAGGAGTAATTGTGCCGACACAGTTCACAAAGGAAAATGGTTTAGTATGCTGTTTCCATGCCCAATAGTGCCTGATCTGACACTTGTGGAATGCCCGTGACCGGATCCACATGCATCTCATCGACATATCCAACGAGAGCCTGAGCATGGAGTTTGAATGATTCACCCATGGTTTTCGAGATTCTGTGACAGATGTTAGCGTTGCCGGGTGGCTGCGTGCGAAACCTGACTTACCCCCAAACAACCACGCCATCCAACATAGACCCCCAGACTCGAGCAACAGTCGAGCTCAAACGCGATCCATTCGAATCGACGGCATCGTCGTCAAACAAGCCCCGAACTTTCATGTACATAGAAAGCTCCTCATCCGTAGCATCTTGGTCGTCGTGTTCGATTCGATAGAGCCATAGACTCAGAATGGTGATTAAATCCAAGCCGCAAAGAGGATGCTCAATGCTCCAATTGGTTGAGGAGGTCTTGGTTACCCAATTGATGCCCTGCATAGCAACAATCTCCATGCATTCGTAGCACTGCTCGATCACCTTGATCATCTCCTTGGTTCTTTTGACGGCATCTCGGGATAACGTCATGGCCCCTGCAATCTCGTACGAGTTGTGATAACGCAAGGCTTCTTGGACGTTCTTAAGGTCCACTTCGAGGAAAGCCCTGGTGTTTCGATACACAGCCATGGAGTTGAAGATCAGCGGGTGGCTCTTGTGCGGCGTGCTCAGGGGGACGACAATGGTTTCCGGTTCGCAAAGATCAAGGGACCTCTCCCACGTTTCCAACGCAATTCGAATCTTCCACTCAAGAACAACGTCCTGCAACGACTCAAAACTTCGCCGGAGGTTCCAAACCTCCAAAAAGAGTGCATTGATCATCACACGAGTTGCGAACGCGCTGTACCTGGCGGCGTCACCCTGGAACAGACTGTCGTGCGCTTCCCTGACCGTGATCGTGGGCGAAGCTGCAAAAATATCCTGCCAAGAATCCTCATCGCTTGGTTCAATGTTCCACAACGATTCTGACGACGGCAGAGGTAATGAATCGAACTCGTTGAAACTGATAGCAGGGGTGTGATTGTATGTCAAGGTCAACATTCCAAAAAAGATGTAGACGGCGTAGTAGGTTCTCCTGCATCCCTCCTCGTTGACCCATTCTGGGTGGGTCGGTGGACTGCCAGAACGCGCATCAATTCGTAGCTTGAGCTCGTATTTGTTACCGGCGACCATCTATAAAAGTTAGCTCGCGCTTACGACAAGATTTAGGAATACGTACGTTTGCGAGAAGGCTTTTGATGGAACACGCCCACTCTAGGCCTTGTGAGCCACCACTCCAGCTTTCGAAAACCATGTTGAGAAGCGTGCTCTGCATCGTCCAAAGTGGGCATTTTCGCGAGTCGAAATTATCTTTATTCTGGAGGAACTGGTTCACGAGCTTCTTAGACCCGTGATGAAGCAGATACGCTTGTTCCTGGTCGAAATTATAGAGCGCGCCGATGGAAAGGATGGCAAGGAGAAGAGCCGGTTCGGTTGTCTCGGGTCGGAAACTGACGGGGTGGAGGAAGGGTAGATGATGGTGGAACAGGTTGAAATAAGTGGTGAGGTAGAGGTTGACGGAGGGCAACGAGGGAAGGGATATGTCTCCGCCTAGTTGATTAGCAATCATGGCTCTCTCATCTTCGCTGTTAAACTGTGGAGCTTTGGGCAAAGAAAGGGGCTGGGCTGGGCCCGGCGACTTGCGATAGTTCACCGGCGAGACGGGACCTGTCATTGACGGAAAAGGCGAGAGCGCATTGGGCGTCGGTGTACCCGAGACCGGGAAGGCGTCGGTCAGACCATGGAACGCGGAGGGTAGAGAGGCGCTGAGGGAACTCGTGCGTTCCATAATGGGAGGAAGCTGCACTTGATGGGTTGGTAACGACCCCAGGTGGATGTACGGCGGCTGTGACAGGTTATCTTGCGACGACATGCTGGACATGGAATGCGCTTTGGGCAACGAGGGTCCCTGGGGCATGAAGCTGTCCCAGGGCATATGGGGGATGCTGTTGGCGCCACCGAGATAGTCGGACGATTCGAGGAGCGAGCTGCGATCTGGGGAGTAGCCGGGTATGGATCCTTCGCCGTTGTTCAGATGACCGTTCGCTGCTGCAGCCGCCTTGTGTTGGAAGTCTGTCATCAACATGGCGGCAGTTTCAAGGTCGAGCATACCATCGCTGCTTGCCTCTATCTGCTCCAACGTGCCAGGGTCGATGGTGATGGAGGGCTTGGACGGAGCGGGAGCCGTTGAGGGCGCCGCTTTCGTCCCTGCGCCTGCACCTTTATCTGTCCCTGTAGTTGTACTCGACTTCTTCTGCCTTCCCTCAGACTGCAGAGGTACACCGCCATCCTTCGCGTGTACGGTTCGGTCGTGGCGCAGGAGCAGATCTCGGCGGACGAAGGTGCTGCGACATTTCTGGCACTTGAAGGGACGCTCCTTGGTGTCTGTCGAGGGATAAAATGTTAGCAAACCGTTCAACAGGAGATGAATTGTTGATGGCGGGGTTGGTTTTCTGTTATTGCCCCACGTTGCAACAACCGAAAAAAAGTTGGTGACTTACGCGACCGCTCGTGTCGACTCCTATGCTCGCTCCGACTGAAGGCTCGGTTGCAGTACTGGCATTTGTACTTCTTTTCTGGCGCCGCCGCCGGCTTTTTGGGTGGGACGGTCGTCGTGGTCGCGGATGCGGCATTGGCAGGCTCAGCAGCGGTAGCAGCGTCAGCCTGGGCCATGGCGGATGTAAATTGAGGGTTAAAAGTCCTCCGACCAGGCGCAAGCCTTTGGCTCGAAAGTGAGTTGGTTCAGAGGGTTTGATGTCGCCGTGATCATTCCGTGTGGGATCAGCGCAGGCTCGAGTCGAGTTCGATTAGAGGGAAGAGGCGAGAAGGAGGGATTTGGGAAGGGTTGGTTGCAGCTGTGGGCTCCTCTCTGCAAGCAAGTTGCTGGCTGGGTCGCTGGGTTGGTTCGCGCGGTGACTTGAATGGCGAGACTCGATTGGTGAAGACCAGCAGTCAAAGTGGATCACGTGTGTATGCGTGAAGTCTGCTCTCGAGTATCAGCCGACCTGCAGCGACAAGCTGCAACGATGGCGACGGTGAGATTATGATACAAAAATCGACGAGGTAAGAGACGACGAAGGGGGTGTGTGTTAGTACAGCGCAGGCAGGGGAAGAGATGTGTGCGATGAAAAGAAATGAAAACGGAGGAGGGGCAAAAAGAGGGGAGGGGGAGGGCATGTCCTGGGGGGGGGGCGGCCTTCCCAGCTCAAGCAGAGATTCCAGGCGAGGGCCCAGGCATCTCCTCCAGCCCATAATCCCGCTCGGTGAGAACCCTGAAGCCCCTGAAAATTGCTACAGTGACCAGCTCATCACTGGCCGAGGGGCACCCGAACAAACCTGAACGGACCCGCGCCATTCCCAGCTGGCGGGTCTCCGTTCCCTCCTCCTTCTCCCTTCGAGTGCCACCCTTCGAGAAGAGAGCTCATCCATCCACCCAGTCTCCATACCCTCCTTCAACCACTTCCCCGGCAGCCTACGACGAAAACCCAGCAAACCGGCCTAGACTCTAACGTTAGGAAACTTAGCATGGCCTGTCTACACCTGTCATTTCTGGCGGAAGGCCACTTTCGAGATACCGGAGTGCTGGAAGCCAGCCCACTTCGAGGCCTCATCCCTGGCTCCGAGATACTGGGCAATTTGGGTCACAGAAGCCCAGAACGGATTCTACGAATGGCGGCCAAATCAGGAAGGGAAAGGAAAAGTGATGGTGAGTTGACCGTCCGCCGTGGCCCCGTCACGAGACACACACTCACACACGCATGCAGGCAAAACTGCCCAGTCCATGGATACAGAGAAGGCGCCCAAGATGCGCTCGTCATCACATCCGCGATTGCCATCCTGATGGCTGAGTCGATGAGTTGATGTGCCTCAGGCTTGGATGTGATTCCTCGGACCCCCAGCCACCTCACCTTCACCAGCCATCTCTCGAATCTCACGGCCACAAGCTTCGGACCGTACCCACGCTTGTGCCGTTGCCTATGCAGCGTGACGCCCAAAAACGATGCTCCCACTCACAACCCTTCCGACACCCACGCTGTTTCTCCCATTGGAGAGCATGCGATCCAATTGATTGCTTATGGCGGTCCGTAACGGTGAACACAGGTGGCCACCTGACCGAATCAAGGACTGGCATTGTTGCTCCGCAAGATTAAAGCAATCGTGGCACCAAGTAAAAAAAAGTGGAAAGAGAACAAAATGTCGGATCGTCAGCACTTAGAATCTCGCCTTGGCTCCTGTTCCTGCATTTTCCCATGCACCTTGGAGCTCCTTGATCTCATGGGGGGAGGCGGTCTTCAATCAAGACGTGGAGCTCGCTAGCAAGGTCGGTTCGCAGGATATCCCGTCTGACCCTCTCTGCCAGCGACCAGCTGAGAAGATTGCCACGGTCAGACAGCCATCCCTTTTCACTGACGTGGCGGGACTAGGAAGCATCACCCCTCCTTCCGCGCCCTGGTTCGAGGCAATTCCCATACTCCCGAGTCCCCATCCTCGTGGACAAACCCAGTCTGGTGGACCTGGGTGGGTAACATGGGCGGGATTCAGAGGGGAATAACTCGACCGCCCATAAAGAAGATTAACAGCAACTTCTCCTGACAGGATAGCAACGAGTCAATCTGTTCCAAACGAGTCATACCTACATAAGCTTTGGAGAGGTTTTCTGCGCGCTCCCGAACATCGACCAGGTTTCGAACAAGCCAGATGCTTGTGGAACGGAGGTAATGAAATCATTCCAAAGTCAATCGGACAGCATCCAGCTCTTTGCTCCGCGAGACGAGTCAGCCTGGACTTGGGTAGAGCCCCGCGAGGGGAACCCCTCCCTGACAATCTGGCTTGACCCAGCATCTGATGAGGTTGCCGGTCACTCCCTCTCTTATCACGCCATATCTCATCTTTAGGCGATCTAACTGGTGGCATTGCAAGAGACGGTGAACACATTTCGAACAATGCATTTCCGGACTCCCCTCCCCGCCAGCTAAAGAGCCTTGAAAGCCAAAAACTGCCGGCATATTTGCCAATCGTGGCTTCGAGCAGTTCCGTGTGGGCGGTCCAAGTTGCAAGGGGACAGCCCACCGAGCAGTTTGCTACCATTCAAGCCAGGGCTGGCAAAGCTCTCAGAGCCCCATCACCACCAGTAGCCAGAGCGGACACCGCCTCTTTCGCGCCCGCCGGGATACCCACAAGCCGTCAAAGCTACCAGAGCTCTCCACCCACCCACTTTTCTTCTGGAGACTGCAGACAATTTCCGTTTGTGTTGCATCGGTCGTCGCGTTCGCTGTTTTCCAAACCCCCCCTGGTGCCTTAGTCACTGAGATTCGAGAAACTCCACGGAACCACGACACTCCCTCATTTGGCAGTCAATTTCGCACCGCCAAGTTTGCAACCCTTGAGAAACCGAGGGGCTTGGAGGGGCATGACTGCGTCGGCTTGCGCCGAAGTTTTTTGTTCTCCTTGCTCTGAAACAAGCTTCCAGAAGGAAAGCAGTCATTATCTACTTGAAACATCCATCAAGCTTGCAAGAAGAAAGACAAGAAAAAGACAAAGTATCCAGGCTGCGTCAACAAGTGCCTGGCATCGTGAGGTGGAAAGCTCGATCTTCTCCTCGGAGGGGCATGCCGATACCAGTTGCTTGACCGCATTGACTTGGAGGCCCCCTGATCAGCCGATTGAACAAAACCTTGTCCCAAAACATGGCGAGTCAAATACTATTATTACTGCCTGCTTGTCATGGTCAACAAGAACGGTAGGTAGTCCATACATGGAACTCTTACGTTGAGTCTGTCGATTTGTCTCATTGGATACAAGCCAAACTGAAAACGCATCTTTCCAGCCGAACCGGGTTCACATCTGGCACCCTGACGGCATACCGTTGGTGTTCACATTCACCAGGGTCGGCCGGCAGTAGTCGTGGATACTCCAGTATCGATTTACGGTGTCCGGTCGATATCAGCTAAAGATCTACGGTTTTATCGTTTCGAAAGAGCTACTCAATCGGCGTGGAAGCGTCACCTGATTGTAGGGCGGCGGCCACCAAGGCGGCAGCAATGAAGTGAGTTGGCGATTCCTGTCTTAATGGAAATATGCTAAGCCAGTGCTCCGTATCTATTCCCTACGTGTTCTGTTGAGCCGTCATTACCCTGGCCCATTGCTTGCTCTTTGTTTGATTGTTTGGTTGTTTTTATTCATCTGAAACACATCATATCGTCCGTCTTGTAGTGTCAATGCCCAAGGTTGACACCCCTCTTCAGCCTTTCCACAAGGGCCTCCAACTCGGCGTTGCGATCCTCCAGCGTCGCTACCTCCTTCTGCAGTACCTCCTTCTCTGACCTCAGCTGCTGAACTTTGGTCGCCATTTTCTCGCGATGTCTGAGACTGTCTTCAAACATGGTCTCAACGCGACTGAGCAGCACATCGCCTCCTATTGCGCCACTAGCACTATTGCTAGGCGCCGTCATGGATCGAGCACGCAACTCGGTATTTACCTTCTCAAGCTCCAGAACACGTTGCTCCATTGCGGCTGACCGAGCTTGTTGCCACAGATCATCTGAGTCGGACCGTGAGAGTCTCTGTGGAATGGGTGTGATGGCCCCACCGCTCAAGATGGACCGTCTGTCTTGTGGTTGCGACGTTTGCACTCTTCCCGACCATGTCGCTCTGGCAAGCTTCCCTCTCAACATCAATACGTTTTCCAGGTCTTCGTCTCTCAATTTCCTCATGGCGGCATGTCCTCGCTTTTCTTCAGCGAGCAAATGCCGTACTTTAATCAGATTGGAGAGGTCTTCGTTTCTCAGGGACAGCAGATCAGCATGATTCTTGAGGATGGTTTGATTCTCGCGTTCAAGCTCGGTGATGCGAGTTTGGAGTTGGTTGTAGTCCCTGGACATGATTGTGGGGTGAGACCGTTCGACGTCAGCCACGCGGAGGAGGATGGAGCGCAGGAGATCCGACATAGGACCGGCCGTCTCGATCGGAGGAGCTGGTTCGCTGACCAGCTGCTCCTCCGGTTCGTGGGAAAGCTTCAGTCCCATCACAGTCGGTGTTTTGAGATCCATGTCGTCTGGCGTCGAGGTATCTTCGGCAAGCGTGGCGTGCGAGTCGTCTGTCACCACAGATACACTGCGTTTTCTTTGCATCTCCAGGTTCTGGTGGACTTGACGGTGCTGTTTCGACGCGACGAGGAAATGCTCTCGTGAATTCAAGGCCAATGCTCGCTTCTTGGGCTGCCAGAGGGGCATGTCCTCCAGGTTGAATTGGACATCCTGCTTCTCGTCTTGGTATGAAGATAAGATGCTGTCATTGTCATTCTCGCTGTAGTTGGTCTCTGGACTTGACGTAGATGCGGCCATGGACGCGACAGATATGGCGAGAGAATGGCTCGAGGACGAGCGGGTGATGTGACTGGGCGACCACATTGTCCTTAGGGTTTGTGATGGAGAATTACTGGGCCTTGAAGGACCCAAGCAATAGAAGCAACAAAGGTATATATATTTGGGTCGGTGTATGTCGATGTCTCGTGTAAAGAGATAGTTATCAAGTAAAGATGCAATGGCAAGAAGAAAAAGAAAAAGGGAAGCAAAGGTATGACGAGAGTCGGTCCAGATCATCCGACGTCCTGTCGCGCCTTTTAAGGCTTCGAGACGATGGTATTCCAGAGCCCTCTAGTAATAGTACCTCGTTGAGCTGAACGAAAAGTCAAAAGGGGGAGTGTGTGTGTGATGAAGCCATGGTGAAACGCGCCCCTTACTTCGGCTTGACGAGGCTGTGACCAAGTTGAGACGGTGGATGGTGATGGTGTTTCTGGCCCATGCGATAGGATCAAGCTGTCCACCAATGGCTGGGCATATCACATTCGGAGGGGAGGAAAGGGACTGACATGGTTCGCCGTACCAGGTAGACATATAATAGTATGCGCTCCTATCATGGACGATTCACAATCCCCCGGTATCAACGGGGTGATGGGGTCTTCGGATTTTTGGAAACATGAGGACATAATGAGATTTTCTTCGTGTAGCCCAACCCTTCTGCACTTTCATTGTCATAGGAATGAAATACTTCATTGCTTGAGTCAACATGGCGCCATCTCAGACTGCCTTTCTTGACTCAAAACCGGCATCACCCAGCCCTCTTTCCGAGCTTCTTGAAGAGGTGGCACGTAGTGAATAGCTCAATGGCTAAAAATGAGGGAGAGTTCCTTCTAGAGGACCAAGTCTTAGCTATAAGCTTGATATAATATGTGACCTAGAATGAAAAGTGAGAAAGAATGTGGTCGGCCTTGTAAAGACGTCTTTAAAGCGGCAAGCGGCGGCGAGGGGAATGTGATCGATCCCTTGACTCTCCCAACTTGAACTTCTTACCTCACGCTCTGGATCGAGACCTCGCTCGTTCATCGACGCCCAACACGACTAACAACTGCATTATCCTGCACCTCCTCCTTTCGTACCCTAGATATCCCCTTCAAATAGCATCTCCGTTGCCGTCTCTCGCCCATGCCCATGACCTCATCCTGAGCCTAGATCTTGCGACTCCTCCCCGCCTGCAAGTACCATCGAACCATAATGGCTCCCTCTCCTACGATCCGGCGCCTCCTCAAAGAGACTGCAGAACTCTCATCCCCTTCTTCGAATCCTAACCCCGCCTTCTTCGCAGCCCCGGTCTCCGATGCCGACCTACACGAATGGCATTTCACCCTCCTGGGACCTCCCTCGCCTGCCCCTTACGCCGGGGGGATGTACCACGGGCGCATCACGCTGCCGGCCACATACCCGCTGAAACCTCCGAATTTCCGATTCCTGACCCCGTCGGGAAGGTTCGAGGTGAACCGCGAGATTTGTCTGAGCATCTCTGGGTTTCACGAAGAGACGTGGATGCCTGCCTGGGGTGTGCGAACCGCACTGACGGCGCTGCGGACGTTCATGGCGGAAAAGGGCTCGGCAGGCCAGGTTGGAGGCTTGGAGGCCCCCGTGGACGTGAGGAAGAGACTTGCCAAGGAGAGCCGGAGTTGGAAATGTGAGGCGTGCAAGAAAACGAACGAGACCATTATGCGCGAGTGGTGGGACATCTGTCGGGAAGCAGGGGTCAATGTCTCGGCAGAGGAGGATCTGGGCTTAGAGAGTCTGCCGGAAGGGATGACGCTCGAGACGCGAGATCCTAATGCACAGTCTAAGGCTTCTACCAAAAATGGAGTGGAAGCTAATGCACAGGAAGACTCGAAGGTGACGACAACAGTACCACAAGAGCGGCAGCAGCAGCAACCACACCCTTCTACACCATCCACATCGGCGCCGGTGCCACCCTCCCAGCAACCTCCGCCTCGCTCGTCATCATCTCACTCGTCAAGATCGAACTCGACCAACCTCACCCGACCGGCGAGCCAAAGATGTATCCCGATGGTCCCCACCCCCTCAGCAGAAGCAGCCCAAGCCTCCGCCGAAGCTGTGCTCACGCCGGGTGACTTTGTTCAACCTCCCAATGGCTCAACAACATCCAACACCGGTTCCTCTACGACGACACATCAACGGCCGTTCTTCACGGGGCTGCACAACGCCCCACTAGCCGCCGCAAATGCGGCAATTGCACAGAGCGGACGGCCTTTGACTCTCCAGCGGGATCGGGAGCCGACTATCACAATCGACCGGGCCATTGCGGGCGTGTTTCTGGCTCTGTGTCTGATGGTCCTGAAGAAGATCTTCTACCCGGCTGGGGGCCCCGGGAGCCGGTATAATGGCATGGATGAGTTTTATTTGCAGCGGGAGTAGGTCCTCTGCCCTGGCTCATCGTTTAGTGCGATTGAAGCCATGCTATGGATCCCACGGACTGGGGGCTTCGATAAAATGCGGGGATCCTGCGTGGTTTGGTTTGGGTTGGTTTGAGGATTGGGCTATGATCACGATGGGATGGGATGTTTTATTATGGAATTTCAACAGAAGCCCTTTGGGATGAGGGGACGTGAGGGAGCTTGTGTCTAGGTCCATCTCCCAGAGCTTTGGTCTTTCGAGCAAGCGAGTGAACATGCGTACAAGCGAGCAACCACCGAGTAGAGACGCTCAGGGTGGGTCCCCATGCCAGGCCTCAGCCTAGCTACCCAGATCCTACAATTTGATTGATACCTATAGATGTAAGAGTGTACTGTATGCATGACTTTGTGCATGCGAGAGAGAAAAGGAAACATTCCTTTCCCCTCCTGTATCCTGTAGCCCGTATCCCTTTCAAATATTGAACCCCTTTGGAACGATCCATAGCAACTTTGTTTTATTTCACTTCAGTTTTTGCCTTGTGGTTAGCAGGGCAGAGCAGAGCAGAAAGAACGCTGTCTATACCTGCATCAATAAACTCGCATCCTATGCAACCCAATCCTATCCTATCCTATCCAAGCCAGTTCAGCTCAGTTCTCAATCTGATCTGATTCAACCCATTCCTGCAATGCGCCCCTCCCCCGGTGATCGGCCGTATGATACATAGACATAACCCGGATGGACAGACAGACAGACAGACAGACGGAGAGGGCCATGGTCGGTGCATGACATGCATGCAATCTACGCATGTACACCATGAAGGGGGGGGTTGTTTGTCTCTATGCATGTTTGTATCCAAAGGGGGAATCGAACCAACCAACCGATCGTCGACTCATTCAAGTCCTGTACGGACCAGCGTTTCCCGAATAGATACATATATACACAAAGATGAATCATCATCGCCCTCTGCCGGCACGGTTCCTTCGGACCCAGCCCCTTTCCGCATCATCGTCGTTGCCTGTAATGTCGTATCCAATATCTGAGTCGCTGTCTTCGTCGTCGCCACTGCTGACCTCAAAGGCCTCATCCTGGTCGAAGTCTCTCCGTTGTCTTCTCTTGGTCTGATCGGCTGCTGCTATCGAGAATGACGCATTCATTGGGTTGGGAGGGAGATGCTTCATGGACATGGCACTGCGGGAGTACAGGTCCTCGTCCCTATCACCAGCAGTCTCGTGGCTTTCGCCCAAGTTGATGGTGTAATCACGGTCTCGATCTCGCTCGTACTCTTGATATCCATAGCCACGATCGCCTCTGCCGTTAGAAGGAGGATCATGATCCATCATCGCCACTAATCTCTGCTCTTTCCTCCGCACCGCTTCTTCTTGCGCCGCCATCCATTTCGGGCTGACTTCCCACCGCCATCCGTCACCCGTGGTATTACATATTGGAAAGGGCCAGAGAAACCAATTCGGGCCAAATAAATGGCTCAGATTCCGACGCCAGCCCAGATCGAATGCATTGGGCATTTTCTCGGACTCTTGCTCATCCAGATATTGAGTATATCTCTCCCGCTCGCGGGCAGCCTCCATGTGGGTGTAGGTATTTCGCAACGCACGAACGGCTGGTGTGTCGTTGAAAGGGTTATCGTGTTGGTGGCCAGGATCGGCGGACAGATCCGGACCTCGAGAATAAGGGTTCTCACGACGTGTCGTGTTGTAGACACTCGGGACGGGCGACGTATGTTCTTCACCTTCCTCGTACCGTGAAGCCCCTGGGACAGCATTGGCGTTCCACTCGAGAAACTGCTCACCAGCACGCTGCAACCTCCCCGCAACACCTTCAGAGCTGCGTCTGCTGTGGTTCAGCTGCTGCTCCTGGCGATTTCGTTCCACGAGAGTCCTGACACCGCTCAAGTATCTCGTCTTCTCAAGTCTCTCGATGGTCGTTTGCCCCTTGGTGCAGAGATATATATGCCAACTGGTGAACGCACTCAGTACCAGACCGATGATTCCGGCAATAACGGAAAGGAGGATGATGTTGATGGGGGCGACTTCGTCGAGATAGCCACTTTGCTCGAACAGCTCCTTCCACATCCACCAGGCGGCATTGAAAAAGCAGACCCAGCAGAACAGAGACGTATAGATGAGAAAGAGGACAAATGCCTTGTAGTTCCGCAACCCCAGGCAGGTGGACAGCCACGGGCAGTGATGGTCCATCTTCAAGACGCATCTTTTACAAGTAGAGCAGTGATGTGTCCGATCGGGCTTGGGTGTATGACACTTTTTGCAGAACCTCGGCGCTCCGGTCGAGGACACGGTGATGCTTTGGATCTGAGCCCCATTGGCAGGCGGTTCATGAGTGGGAAGCATCGAGTATCTCCCCTGACTGCCGTTCGAGGACTTGGCAGGAGATTTTAAGGGCGAGCCCGGATCGGTAAAGGCGGCCACCGTGTATGACCAGCACGCCAGCGCGTAGAGGACGATTCCCAACAACGAAATGGCTTGTATCAACCACCACACATGTTCTGACCTGTGAGACCCGAGGCCGATCGAGGCTACCACCCATACAGCCCATGTTGATATACTATACACAAAAGCGAGAGGGAAGAATGTGGCTATGGCGCAGCACGCCCGCTCGCATGTTCGGGCACATGATCGTAATCGACGGCGCGAAGGAGTTGGGGGAGGTGAGGGAGAAGGACTCGAGTAGCTGGGCATGGGAAGAGGCGAGACGAAGGAGATCTATATGGGACGCTGATTGAGGGAGTCGTGGCCGTGTATTATCCACTCAGGCAGTCGTATCCATTGTCGCTGACGAGGGGGTCATCTCGAAGCAGTCGACTGCATGGTGACGGCGATGAAGTGAGGTAAGGTAAGGTGTTCGTTATCCAAAGACGTAAACTCATGAAACTAGAAAGGGAAAAAGAAAAAAGAATGAATTTGGGGCCTCTCTTTGGAATACAAGGCGTAATAGGTGATGCGTCTAACAAGTACCGTGCCGTGTGTTCACACTGAGAAACAAAAGGTTGTGAACCGGCGCAGTTTGAGATTCGAGATTCTGACGGCGGAAGTGACGTGATCACATGGCTCCCACACATCAGTCTTGGCCACCACCTTCGTCTTCGTCTTCGTCTTCATCTTCATCTTGGTATTATTTACAGAATAGTTTGGGCAGTGCAGATCTTGCATTTGTGTATCTAAACGAGCGTGGCAATAGTTGGATATTCCGTGTCAGTTCTTCCTGTCTCTCGTCCCCCCACAGCCCTGCCTCCGCCCTTGTGCCTCATCACTCCTCCTACGGACCTCATCATTGTTCTTTGTACTCAGCACGTTGCCCATATTCAGCCTGACTTCACTGGCCCAGTGTTGGCACTCTCCCCCTTATTCTTCTCCGGATCAATGGGCTCCCTCACCATGACATCCATCCTCAGCTCCTTGCCCGCAGCACGTTGCAAGTAGATGTGCTTGCGCAACTCAAAGCCCAACTTGCCGTAGATGATGATGTTGATGTCGTGCGAGCTCTCCAGATAACAGGGGATCCCATCGGCATCGGCCTGTTTGTGCGTTAGCATGTCAATCAGGGAAATCAATTCCCGACGGGTAACCAGTACCATCTTCGTGACATATTCGATCAGCTTGCGGGCATAACCACGCCCACGTGCCGCGGGTTTGGTTCCGATATAGTTCAGATACCAGGAGTTGTTGTCCCGGTCGCCCAAGATCTCCTGCTTGGTATGGTGCAACAGGGGCAGGAATTCGTCGAAGAATCGCACCTTACCCTCCTTAGACAGCTTCCAGCTCAATCGCCACATGCCGCTGCGGAGGATGGTGAACCAATCGTCGATGTTCTTACCCGGCGGCAGCCACAAAGCAACACAGTCAAAGTCCTCACCGACGGTCAAGACCAGTCCTTGGAGACAATGGGCATAGGTGACGTACTCCATGGAGGCTTTGTGCAGTTCGAAGCGCTCCTCTTCCGTCATGTCCATGCGGTCCGGGGTGTCGATGGCGTAGCGGACGATGTTGTCGAGTCGAAACGCCTCGGCCAGGCAGGCAGCGGCCTGTTTGTACTCGTGCGGAGCGACGACGCGGACTTGATCCTTGTTCGGAACGGTCGGGGTGACCTTTGCAGCAGCGGTCGGAGTCGGTTTCTCGTGGACGATCGCAGCGTCCAGCATGGGGACGGCAGCACTAGGAAGAGCCATACTGAAAGAGTTTGGATTTAGCAGCTTCTAGTTTGGGACTCTCTCTTTTGCTTTTCCCTTTATGGGTCCTTTCCTTTACTTTAGTCGAAAGGTCAAACATGGTCGGTCAACCTACTCTTTGATCAACCTCGATCAAGGGGTCTTGTAGAAATGCCCGTATGCTCGGAACAGAGCTGAGCAGTAGAGACAGTGTCGCTTCTAAATGGGAAGCGGAGGCTAGGGCAAGATGTGCGTATATCAACCGACATCAGCGTACGATACGTCTGAGGGTTAAACTTTGCAGGAGAAAGGCAGAGACGAAGAGCTAGGAGACAGCAGTATAGATAGTTCTGTTGGAGCTCGCGGGTTGCACGAAGCGTTTGATGCGTGTGGCACGACGGGTCGGTGGTGGTCGAACTGAGGATCGAGCGTGGGAGCTGTGCTAACGTTGTGTAGCTTCAAGGTCACGACAGGCAACTGATATGTCGAAGTCGACACTTCAGTGATCTTGTACGAGGCCTCGAGGCTGGAGAGGAAAGCAGAAATGGGCGGAAGTGTCCCCTGGGGAGGTGGGTGGGAGTTTATCAACCTGTCAAAAGATTAGAGATGCCACCCAGGATGCGAGGCAAGGTTCCTGGGTGCCACTTGGCGGAAAGGATGTGGTGAGAAGCCAATCGCCAGGGTAGGACAAGTCGCAGGTGAGTATTCGTGGGCGAGGACGGTTGAAGCCGACGTAATTCAGTCAGCTCCCCCGGCACCAACGGGCTCGTCGGATTGCTGGAATCCACGACGACAATGGACACTCCCCACGCTATTGTTTGTTGGATTGCAGCCAGCTGGTTCACATCAGCAGCGGTGGACGTCCAACTTCTCCCTTTTTTCGGCACAACTCTGCACGGTGCTTTGTATCAGCTCCACCCTGCAAATAGTGAATGGAGGACAAAGGACATCAGCGAGAGGAGAAGGGTCACGGGGTCCCACGCATAGACATGCTCCTTGAGGTATAGGCAGGAAAATGGGTTGCAGACCAAGTGAGGCGAAACTTGGGGGCCGTCCAGGGGGCATGATTGGCTCATCTCCTGGTTCCCTTTTGATCCGAGAGAACACTGTGCAAGACATGAGTGGTCGGCATGCGTGGGATATCTGTACGGTCTGATCTTTTCCGTAAGTGCGCCCTTGTGACCAAGACTTCGACGGAGAAGAAAAGGGTTTACACCGAGAGCTGTGTCGGGGTAGGGCGAGGGAAGCTTTGCGCGTATCGAGTACACTAACCTGGAACCTTTCAGGAGCTGGCCTTCTCACAAAGAACAAGACCGTAGAGTGGGCAGTGTGATGCCCAGGAGGAGCGGACACCACAACAACGACCCAGCTGGGCCGTTTTTCCGATCGAGCAAGCCAGGAGAATATGGGAACAGCGGGAGCCCACCGCTATTGCCAGAGATAAGGCAATCTCCTTTCCATAACAAATAGATATATCCTTCGATAGTGAGCTGCCGTGCTTATATATTCTAATGTATATAAGATAGTCTTGGCACAATGGTGGAGGTGAAAGTCGGCACTGATACTGGCTAATATCTAGATATAGGTCCTCTATGTTGCGGTGCTTGATCATTTTGCATGATCCATGATGGCAACAGATCATATAAAATATGGTTGCTGACGGGATGGAAGGTGTGTAGCGATCGAGCAACCCGGTGCATCTGGATACTGTTCGGAGCTTGTCACGTCAGATAAGGGCATGACCTCTGCATGTTCGAAAAGTGAATGACTTGAGGGCTGTTGAGATTCAACTCCAGGGTCCAGGTCGATGTTGAGTGAATGGGGCCAATGTTCATTGCGACCGTCCATGTTGCTTGCCTCACTTCACCTCGACGTGGATGGCCTCGACATCGTGCTTATGGGCAGCCACTCCGACATCCTCGATTCCGCTAAAGTCGGTCATTCCGAACAACTCATCCATTCGCTCCAAAGAGATCTGTGCGCATTGTTAGCATCCAGCAGCCGAGAAACACATCGTGACCGTTCTCCACTTACCCCTTTGGTCTCTGGCACCAGGAAGTATGCTCCAATGGCGATGGTGAAGCAGAAGCAGCCGTATATAAAGTAGGTACCGTAGCCGCCTGCACCCACAGTATCCAGCATCACGGGAGTGGCTCGAGCAACAGCCAGGTTAAACACCCATTGTGTCGCCGCAGCATACGATACGATCAATCCTCGGAGTCGTTGAGTGCTGATTTCGGACGAATAGATCCCTGCGGAGAAGGTGAGTATCATCCATCATATGCGAGTCATAAGACTTACAACAAACAGGCCCCCAGCCAAATTGGAAAGCTGCCGCGTAGAGATAGACCATGACCAACGCAGCGTAACCCGCACCCGATATGGGAGCACCTTTCTTGGGAGGATCAAATCGGACGAAGAAGCCTAGATAGAACATGCAGAACCACATGAATAGCCCTGTCCAGACGAGTGACCATCTGCGCCCGAGAGTGTCGGCCAGAAAGGTAATGAAGATGGCGCAGGAGCCCATTTTCACGATGCCATAGACCCCGGTTGCAAACAGGCTCTGTGTGTTCCCGGTGACGCCCAAATCAGTGAAGATAGTTGGCGCATAGTAGTTCTGCAACTGTGTTAGCAGGCCAACGTCATACTGGACAGCGTAAACACCTACGATGGCATTAGTTCCAGTCCACTGTTGAGCGGTCATCAGTGCGATCGCCATGATCGATCGCCTGCGATTTCCAGGAATCGTCCACGCCTCCTTTGTCAACGCCCAATAACTGTTGCCTGCGGCACGGCCCCTCTCGGCCTCCAGCTGAGTCTGCATTTCGAGGAGTTCGGCTTGGACGTACGGGTGCGTGGGCGGTAGATTTCGAACTTTGCCGAGAACCCTGGAAGCCTCGTCCCAGTTGTCTTGTGACGCAAGCCACCGAGGACTCTCAGGACAGAATAGTATGCAAACAAAGAGGAGCAACGGAGGCAGGGATTGCATCGACAACGGGACTATCCAGGTGGCATGGCCTTTCAAATGGAGCAGACTGCCGTAGTTGATGAAAAATGCTACCATGGCACCCATGGTTTCGAAAAGCTGATAGAACCCGACAAGGAGACCTCGAATGCCACGGGGAGCATTCTCAGCGACGTAGGTAGGTGCCACCATGGTGGCTCCACCAAGTCCCAGCCCTTCAACGAATCTGATATTGTCAGTTACCAGCTCCTACCAAGGATTTTCTTAATTGGCAACGTACCGCCCAATGTAGAAGCAGGATAAATGGCCATACGACAGAGCCTGAAGGAGGCCACCGACAAAAGCGAAGGATGCAACCGTGTAGATGGTAATCTTGCGACCCCATTTGTCGGCCAATGGATTGGCGGCGAGCGCACCAAGAATGGCGCCTGCTTGCATGACTGATACCAAGTTGGCCGAGAGATTGGACTGGGCGATTTTCGACTTGTGTGTGATTCCGAATTCACTTGGAGCCGGTTAGTCGCCATCATTGCAAGTTGTTGGGAGGTAGGTCTATACTCTTTAAAATCCGGCAGCGTCAACACTCCGCCGATGATACCAATATCCATGCCAAAGAGTGTTCCTCCAAAACACGCCTGTTTGATCTCAGTGCAAATCTTTTCAACTGGGTGCGGCGGCCACGACTTACGGCTGCTGCCAACGCGAAAACTCTCCAGTTGTACACCTCCGGAGGGTCCAACTTGACCGCATCATTGTGCACGATCCTTCTGAGGAATGACATGTCGGCCGAGTACAGAGAGCGCTCTGGAGAGTCCAACAAGGTGAACAGTTAAGGCTGGAGAGCAGGACGAGCGAGGTGGTGCGACGGCCAAGTCATTAAATGCAACCATCGATCGGCCTTCTCATGCTGCCACATGCTGGACAAGGATTCTGTTGAAGCGAAGGGACAGTGTCGATTCATTGCCGTGTCAGCAGATCTCCATCTCCCCTTGGGGAGACGAACATGGGGCAGACACAATGGATCTTTGCACCGAACGTCGCCCAGACAGGAATGATAGAGGCCGGACATTTGCCAGATGTCGAATAGTTCAGCCGTTGGAACACCACTTAGTCGCACGCACCAGTCTGAATGAAGACAAGATGTGCAAAGCATCAACAAGCATTGGACGTAGCATGGTAGGGTGCCCGTCCCTGTTGTAACGTTCTGTCGCCTCTCAAAATGAGCAGTCCATGTCTTGGTTTCATTCAACTGCGGGGAAAAGCTGTGCTCGTCTCTAGGAGTGGTCGGTGTTTTCAGGCTGAAATCGAGCTTGGTGAAGATGGGGAAAGCCGGGGAGCCGGGGGGAATCCGGCACCTTTCATCAGGCTCAATCTCTAGAAGACATTGAAGTGGAGGTTGACTCTCCACCTGGGGTACGGGAGAACGACGTGGACGACAATCCGTCCGCAGATCATGGGTAAATTGATAGATAAATAGCCATGGTTGGGGGGGGGGGGGGCAAAAGCAAGGGGAGGAGGGTATTTGTCCATCAGCTCCACCGCTCTTCGGTACAATCTTTCACCGAACATATATCGTCCAATCTGTTTGGTAACAGCTTTCCTTTAGCGATGGAAGCTGGCTGTCAATCTGTCGGAGATCCGGGCGACTTCGCCATCCTGGTTTCTTGTAGAACAGAGGAGGGTCCATGCGTGTCCAGCTCGGCAACTATCCCTTTGAGCTGCCAGCTGCCAGAAACAGGGCAGCAAGGACCGCCTCATTCAGCAGCTGGCGGGTCAACATCATGTAGGAGTGCTAAGAAGGCTCCAAAGATGAGACCGCCTAGACCATCCTGCTTCTCAGCCAGTCTGGGATCTGTGGTCGCCGCATCCAGCCCTGTTGCCACTTCTGTCGATAATCTGCAACACTTGATGGCAAGGCAAACACGCCAGCTGCCATCCAAACATCTGCATTCGCAGGTATATCCATCACCAGGGTGGGTAGGACTGATCTGCTTTCCATCAGGTTACTGTTCGCATCTTCGTCCAATACGCGACCAGCACGGGCTTCGCGTTGGTGCAGCTCAACAATACCAACAGCACCGCCCCGCGTTACAGCCACCGCTTCGCTGTTGTGTGCCTGTCTTCCTTCGGTTTTATCTGTTTCCATCTGTTGTAACTCGCGCTCATCCTTCTGCGAGACGCCGTTCAGTGCAAAGGCGCCTTCACTCGTCCTCAGGGCTCTCCTGCCTGTCGTGATATGGTGTACCCGGAGATGCCAATTGGGTGCGGCGTCCGTGGGAGGAAGCAGGTAGGTCTCAACATTTATGTCTGCCCACGGTCTCCATTCAGAAATCAACACTGGGGTGTCGTCCATAGTCTCCAGCCTGGCATTGAGTGGTTTCCTCCGAACCTTCCACGTCTCACCGTCATCGTCAGAGACCGCGAGGACGTTGTCTCCTCCGATGGCCTCCACAAAGTAGCCGCCCGTGGGAACCGAATACCCAAATGCCGTGCTGTACGCAAACTTTCCGTACTTGCTTTCCGCGGCCCTCATTGGGTAGTGACACATCTGTCCCGAAGACAAGAGAAACGTATGCCCTCCTTTTCTCACCATGATGTGTTTGGGGTGCATTAGTGCCACAATCTGCGGTATTGAATCGGAGGGATATGGTTCTTCTTGACACTGCCAAAATCCATGAGACTCAGGCAAGGCCAATGCTGCAAACGAGAGCATGAACCAGTAGGTCGAGCCAGGTGAGTTATAGTTCTCGGATATAAACTGGTTGGGATACCCATAGCCGATGGTCAATATCCCGGATCCATTGAGAATGTCTTTTTGCTGAGACCAGTAGCCTAGATTCCGGAGGAGAATGCCCTTGACCACTCCCCAGCTGAGAGGTGGCTCGAGTTCTAGGTCTGCAAAAGCGACAGCTGCCCAGAATCCGGCCATTGCGAAACGATAGGTGAGTGATCGGCCAAAGGTCATTGCTCGGCCTAGGACAGTCAGGAACAGAGCTGTATCTGCATAGAATGTGGTGTCCTTACCTTGCTCGTCAAAGTAGTGAAGGAAATCCTTTGCGTACATTCTCGCCCGATGCCTGTATACTTCTGCTCTTTTCTGATCCCGATCACCATTTAACTTTGCATACAACAACTGAAGATACTGAATCGCGAACGAGCCAGAGTAATAGTCCATCTGAAGCGTGTCAGGTGGGCCGTCGTTGCTCCAGCCACCAGAAAGATGAAAGGTGTCGAGATGGTCGAGGTCAGCTTCGAGTCGTTCAGCATCGTACTCTGCTCCATTCTTCATCAATGCCAGATTCGCAAAAACACGAAACCATAGCCAATTGGTATTTGGCATCTCTTTCTTGTTGATATCCAGCCACCTGCGGACATTCTCGCGCTCTTTCTCGTTGAGTGGCTTCCAGAAGTGGTCCGGGGCAACACAAAGAGCAAACCCGAGAGGGCACATTTCGACCATTCTTTGATCCAAATCCTTCGACCAGCCCCAAAATTCCGGATGATCGGGGTTTGTGCCATTCCTTATGCCTTCCAGCCAAAAGTCAGAGCCTTCAAACGACTCACCACTAGCAAGCAAGGCTCCAAGACCCCACATGGGCCGTGTAAAGCCTTCGAGCTGGGCGCCTGCTTCATCGTACCGGGTTGCCGTAGCTCCAAGTCGCAGCCTCGTCTTGCCAGGAGAAAAGAAAGGCAAAAGGGGGTTCAGGAGTGATTTGCATGCTTGCACAACGTCAGATCGGGATGCGAGGGGGCTATTCAAGGAAGTAAAGAAGGGTGATGGTGATGTCCCAGCTGCCATGGTCCTTGACTCTGGCGGCTGCTTCAAGGAGATGAGCTGGATCAGGTCTATTGATGCCGTCTATCCGAATGCACCGAATACCAGATGAACCTCGAACGCTTGGAGCCAAATAGAGCTGTGGTTCGCTGCGCTTATATTCATTGAACAGTTGGGATGCTGGAGCCTTGCTGTTGAAAGACAACTTACAATATGATGTCGCACCAGACGGCGTCGCATTCTCTACCGGCTTCATACCGTTGCGACCCAGATATCGAGACCTCAGACGCTGGAATTTAGCCGTAGAGCAGAAGATGCATGTTGTCAGTGGATACGTGGGGCAGTCATGGGCGCCCTGCAGGTTGGAGTCAATCGTCCATCTCTCCGAGTTCCACGTAACACCGCCATAGGCTATGTTGCCCGTACTGTTCAATACTCGTACATTGATCATGCCATTGGCTTACATTCATGAACTCCTTCAGCTGCTACCCATTGACGTAGAATTGCCATGTCTCATATCCATGTACAGTACACTGTCGCGTTGGTATCCTTTTCCACGCCGCCGCAAGCCGGCCAGTCCGTTTCCCAGTGAAATCTCGGCCTCTTTCTGTTTCACCCGTCCAGAACTGCCCAGGTATTGTCGTCGACGGTCGTGAAAATCTTACCGGCGGCAACAAGTTCTTCGGCGCCCTTGTACACATCACTCGTTGATAAGCCCATTGCAGAAGCAATCATCTGAACGTGCAAACCCTCGTTGCTTTGCGGCGTGTTCTTCAACGTGGCGAAAATCTTCCGTGCCAGCGGGGAGCAATGGGCTAGCTGGCCGTCTGCGGCAAAATCCTGCCGAGTTCCATTCCCCATCAACCCATTGACCGCTCCGTTTCTCTGCTGTCCGTTCGTCTGCGCGTTCGGGGGAGGTCCTCTCGTGAAGAACAGATGTACGGCCGTTGCTTCGAGCAAGTGATAGTTGATCTCGTTGTAGTCCGTGATAGGTCGAATGATATGTGCTCCAACATGCCTCTTGTTGTTGAATGCCTTCAGTCTTCCCCATACTCGACAATAGCCATCTTCTACCAGCTTGGGTTTATTTGAGTCAACATCCATCTTCTCTGTGTTGTTTGACTCTCCGTCAATCCACTGTTTTGCCTCAATGAGGCCCGTCCCATCGTCGATCTTGTACGTGATGTTTGTCGGCTGGGTGCTTATACTGCGGATTTGGCCGACAAATGTGACCTGCAAGAAAGACTGTTAGCCTCATCTTGTCGGAATCCCCATGAGAACGAATTACCTGGCTGAACGGCTCTCCATCGCACCGAAAATCTGCGTCCGGATGGGGTTGTTCTGCGTCGAGAATTTGTTTGATGGTCATCGGTCGGACAGTATCTTTCCCATAACCTCCCTGGCGAAAAACAGTTAGTCATGTGTACTGAGTCTGGGACCATGGTTAAGGGCATACCTTCCCGGCAGCAGGGCTGCTCTGCGGCTCTCCAGCCACGAAACCGCCACCGTCTGCGGCACCATGGGCGCCGTAAGAGGTTGTATACTGATTGTCGTAGCCGTAATCTGCCAACGTTAGAAAACTTCTCCACTCATCGGGCTTCGTTCAACATACTCATTGTGGTCGCAGTTGAGGGTAATTGAGGCGCTGAGACGTGGTGGGATGAAAGACCTGGAAGGAGAAGCGATTCCAAACGGCGACGCGTTCTCAACGCGTAAAGTGATTTTCGTCACAGCCGGGTTTTGGTGAACCGTAGTCGCCCCTCTACAGACAGACAAATATACGCAAGACGCAAATTGTAAATTTATTGATTTTCGGAGATTTCTTAAGGCGCAGGCAGATCCACACACTGATCCCTCACCCGCACCACGAGAATGGCGCAAACTGCGAGGGAGATTTCTTTCTAACACTAACTGCTGCATGACAGGGCTCAAACCTCGCAATGCCTCCCAGATCGGGCTCCCCTGCCCGCTCAGAGAATGACTTTGACATTGGAAGTGCATTATTCGGAGGTGCTTTTGGAACGGAGCACCAAATCCCAGACAGACAAAATGGAGGCCTACAGGGTGATGACTTGGATGTCATGGCGGAAGACTCCGAGGTTGATGAAGAGGCCATTATCGCCGCTCAACAAGCCGCATCGAATCGCAAAGCTGCCAATCTGAAAGGGAGAACTGTGAAAAAAGGTGGTGGCTTTCAAGCCATGGGTCTCAATGCCAATCTCCTAAAAGCCATAACGAGGAAGGGCTTCTCTGTGCCCACACCTATTCAACGCAAGACAATACCTCTTCTACTCAACGAAAAGGACGTGGTGGGTATGGCGAGGACTGGATCCGGGAAGACCGCTGCCTTCGTCATTCCTATGATTGAAAAGCTGAAGGTACATAGCACAAAAGTCGGGGCCAGGGCTCTGATTTTGTCGCCCTCGAGGGAGTTGGCTTTGCAGACACTACAAGTGGTTAAGGAGCTAGGCAAGGGCACAGACCTCCGATCCATCCTCCTCGTGGGAGGTGACAGCCTGGAGGACCAGTTTTATGCCATGTCTAACAACCCAGACATCATCATCGCGACCCCGGGCAGATTCCTCCATCTCAAGGTCGAAATGAATCTGGATCTCCTGAGCATCAAGTATGTCGTGTTTGATGAGGCGGATCGACTCTTTGAAATGGGGTTTGCAGCCCAACTAACAGAGATTCTTCACGCCTTACCCGCATCAAGGCAAACGCTGCTGTTTTCTGCTACGCTGCCTAAGTCGCTGGTTGAGTTCGCCCGGGCAGGATTACAGGAACCTATGTTGGTCAGGCTTGATGCAGACAGCAAGATATCTCCCGATTTACAAAGCGCATTCTTCACCCTGAAGTCGTCCGAGAAAGAAGGGGCTTTGCTTCATGTCCTCCAAGACATCATCAAAATGCCCACCAGGTCGCAATTGATCACGTCAACCACGACTGCTGGAACAACAAGCAAACCAAACAGCAAGAAGAGGAAACGGCAGGAAACAGAAGAAAACGGTGGCAATTCATCCGGTCCCAACCCCTTTTCAACCATAGTGTTCACTGCGACGAAGCACCACGTTGAATACATCGCAAGCCTGCTCCGTCTGGCTGGCTACGCAGTCTCATATGTCTATGGCTCACTCGACCAAACCGCCAGAAAATCTCAAGTACAGGCTTTTCGAACCGGTCAGACAAACATTCTTGTCGTCACGGATGTCGCAGCCCGGGGTATCGATATCCCGGTGCTCGCCAATGTGATAAACTACGATTTCCCCTCACAACCAAAGATATATGTCCATCGTGTGGGACGAACGGCTCGAGCAGGCCAAAAGGGCTGGAGTTACAGTTTTGTCCGAGATGCCGACGCGCCATATCTACTGGATCTGCAACTATTCCTTGGTCGGACATTGGTCCTTGGCAGAGCAGCAAGCAGTGAGCTTGTTAACTTCGCACAAGATGTCGTGGTGGGTAGTTTTCGGCGGGAAGCAATCCAGTCCAGTTGCGAATGGGTGACAAAATCACTGGAAAGTGATTCCGATCTTTCGGCCCTCCGCAATGTGGCGTTGAAGGGCGAGAAACTATATCAGCGGACCAGGAATTCCGCCTCCTCGGAGAGCGCGAAGAGATCGAAACAACTCGTGTCGTCACCGACCTGGTCTGAGTTGCACGCCTTGTTCAATAATGAAGCCGATGACTTGGAAGTTGAAAGAGAAAAAATGCTTGCACGAGTGGGAGGGTTTCGACCGCAGGAATCGATCTTTGAAATTGGAGCACGGCGTGGCGGGCGAAAGAACAACGAGGACGCGGTGGACGCCATACGCAAAATCCGGTCTGGTTTCGAGAGTAGGAAGCAGAAGGGCGCAGATGCATCCCAAGCGCGGATAGAAGCTGGCGATGACCATGCCGGCCCTCAAACCAAGAATCTAGGTGGTTCGGCAGAACACGACGAGCCGGGCTTCATTGACGAGGGTCACGACGTCGATGACATGTCCGAGGCCTCTTTGAGTGATTTGGAAGTCACTTTTTCTCAACCATACTCTACAAAATCACATACACCAAAGTCGTCCAAGATGCGCAACACGGAGGGAGATTTTCGCGATCCTGAGAACTTCATGTCTTACCTCCCCACTGCTCATGATCTTACCTCTGACCGGGCTTACGGCGTTCACTCTGGTTCCAATACCAATGCAAGCACCAGCTTTGTGGAGTCTGCACGAACAGCCACGATGGATCTCGGTGCGGATGAGTCGTCCAAGACTTTTGGCGAGAACAGAGCGATCATGCGATGGGACAAGAGACATAAAAAGTATGTGAGACGCGACAATGACGAGGATGGATCTAAGACGGGCAAGAGGCTCGTAAGGGGAGAATCCGGAGCCAAGATTGCCGCAAGTTTTAGGAGCGGACGTTTTGAACGGTGGATGAAGGCCAATCGAGTAAAAGGACCGGGAAGAGTCGGTGAGGAGGAGAAATCCTCCAGCGTTCACGCGGACGGCCTGGGCGTTGCTGGTGGACGGGGCAAGAGATTCCAGCATAAATCGCAGAGAACACCGAAACAGCCGGATAAATTGAGAGGGGATTATGAAAAACAAGTCAAAAAGGCCAAGGGTGCGAAAGAGAGAGAAGAGCAAGCGGGTGGTAAGGCCGCAGGGGAGCTGAGAAGTGTCGATCGGATGGTCAAGGAGAGGCGGCTGAAGGAGAAGAGGAGGGAGAAGAATGCTCGACCACGACGAAGGAAGGCATAAAATCGAATAGATACGGCAAGATCAATAACATGGAAGAAGTTGTGATTGACACCCGACACTGACTGACGAATAATGGATTTCTCGACGTGACAACTGTGCCGCCATAGATGACATGTACGAGGCACACAGGGAGTGACCAAAGGCCGGACATACTACCTCTATGTAGGTACCTGGGTTCCTATGGACCTACCTCCCGAGGTTCCATATATTATTACATCCCACGTAAAAGGGGCAAGACAACCTTGCTTGCTGCGTGCTGCGTGCTGCTTGCGTGCCATGCTATGTTGTATGTGTGTATCTCTTGGCGAAATTTGGGAAGCGAGAAACCGTCGACCTGACCTCTTTCTCTTTCAGGGGCAGAACATTCATTTGTACCCTACCCTGCCCAACTCTTCGTTATCCATCTCCCCAATACTGCAAGCAAGCAAGCAAGAAAGCAAGCAATTCACGATACATCTATCTGCCCGGGTGGCTGCCCGGCAGATCTTAGAACCACTGAAAGAACCACTGGAAGACCCTGCGAGCCAAACAAATGCCCGACACGTTGTGATCACGACTGGAGAATTGAGGAATTATTTATTGTTATCGTTATTATTATTATAACAGAACTCAGCCCCAGAGCTAGATTTCAAAAGAATACACACCTACCTCAATTTCAAAACGCACGTCTTCTCCTAAAGCCATGAACCGCAAGCAACGGCGGGCCAAGGAGGCGGCGACGACCACGATCCAAAGCGCGGATGACATCCCAATGGCCAGACCGGAGAGGACCAGTAGGACGGTGACGACACCAGGACACGGCCCAGATGGTAAAGCAACGACGAAGACACTGCTCGAGATCGCCGCTGAGCGACAGGCTCAACTGGCGTCGACAACGTCGTCTGGGGCTGGCTTCAAGGACTTCGACTCACGCCCGATCCAGCCGGAGAATATCGTGCAGGTGAGAATCGGCAAGGGGGGAGAGGTCATCACAGAGTCAGAGTCGGACTCATCGTCGTCGCCGTCCGAGTATCCCTGGCTTGACACGCTGCTGCTTGCGTCGTCCCTTAGCGCCGTGCACTTCACGCTCTCGGTGCTCGCCATGCACCAGTACGCTGAAGAGGTGCGCTTCCGGCCGCTGATCACGCAGACCGTCGTCGTCGCGTTCCCCGCGCTCTCCGTCTTCATCGCTCTATTTCATGGGCACCTCCTCCCGGCGTCGCTCACGAAAGTCCCGGCATCGGTGAAGGACTGGATTGTTGTTCTGCGCTCCCTGATCTACGTGGTCACGGCGAACGTGGCGGGGTGTTATTTAATACACTTGACAAACGACAAGGGGTACTACGCGGTCATGAAAGATGCGCCCGGAGTAGGCACGATCTGGGTCTGGTCGATTCTGGAGATGGGATTGCTTGGGGCACTGGCCGGCGTGGCAGGGCCAGGAATTTATGCTTGGTGGTTTGGGTACGGGATTTGGTGATGATCATCGACCAAGAAAGAGACGTGGTCAACTCCATTGCGGAGGACCAGTTTCGCTCCAAGACGGGTTTGTCAAAATATTTGACATGACATGTCCATTTCCGTGGCCCGGAGAAGGCGGAGAAGCTGAGAAATATTCTCCTCTCCGTGTGACCAACAGCATGTCAAAAGCGTCTTGGCCTGGTGGTAAAAGCTGCAGACGTCCTTCTTGGAACGTGTTTGAGGACCTTCTGGAATCCACCTGGTTATTGGACCGGAAATCACGACATCGTCCCAAGTTATGGAAAAATTGGACGACCACGACCGGGCTGGTCCCCTGGAGTCCCGCCGAGTCCGCGTCTGGACTTCGGGCCGCTCATGGGGCCTTTTTTTGCCCGGGTCTGACTGTGGTCGGAGAAGCCCGATTGTACTGTTGGAGCGAAATATTGAAATTTTCGGTGGTACGAACCAAACAAGTTGGGGCCTCGAGGCCCGAAAACAGCAGTGGCATTGGATTTTCTGGTGGATTCCATCGAGTAATGATGGAGTAATAACGATGAAGTTTCAGCACCGGGAGAACCAACGGATGACCGTCTCCGTCGACACATGGCAAAATTTTCTGCAGCAAGGCGCGTTCACCGGCTAGTATGGCAACATGGTCTGAGTCAGTCGCGCGAATGTCACCTTAATGTGTTTGGCTTCCTCTTTTCTGTACCCAGCTGGGCCATAGTGACTCCTGTTCGTCTGTCACTTTGCGAAAGGCCTCTTCAGGAGGGCCGCGTTATCCGCACATGCTGGGCAAGTTTGCAAATGGTGCGAAGAGGGGATGATGTTCAGGAATCGATCAAGTTTTTTGTCCAACTTTGCGGGGTACAGCAAGTGTGGCGTTTTCTGGGTGCCATTATTGGATCTGGGTGGTCCGGGTACTGGGAAGCGAGTTGGTTGAGGCGATGGCGGTGGCCAGGGGGTCGAGGCGGACCTCGTACGATGTCTTGCGACGGGTACCTAGACCGTAGAAGGTAGTCAGCTGCCCTGTGAATCACAAGGATCGCAGCAGATGGAGAGGAGACTGGCCCAATCGGCACTCAACCTCACCCAACCTACTTGATTGCTTGGTGGAAGAAATCTCCTAAAGAGCAGGTGGTGGTGGTGTCCGCGTCGGCGGTGATGTCAGCTTTGGCTCACGACGAGGGCACCCAGAGGGAACTGGCATGGGAATCTCGAGGTGATCCCAGGCGGTGGACCACAGTCGTACCAACAGTGGCATTGGTGGCATGAGACAGAGGATGAGAGAGAGGAACGTGTTGTCCGGTGCTGCAGTAGTTGCGCTTGACTTTGCCCTGATCGAGTTTCCATTATTCATAGCCCTGCTCTTTTGGTGACCCAGCGCCCAACGCGGCTGAACATACAAAGACGGGCACATCTGGCTCATGACCTGATGGAAAAGAAAAAAATTCTCTCCGTAAGTCTCTCATTCAGTCTTGGGCAATTTCTCTCGCTCTCTCGTCGCCGAATAGTTGTCAGTCTCACATCACAAGACCGCGTCGAAGGAGATTCGAAGACTGCGCCGAACCTGCCCCTGCCCCCTCGAGCCGCCTGCACATCCCCCGGACTTTTTGGCGTCGACAAGACATTTAGAGGCCTCTGGAGTGTCTTTCCTAGTTAAAGGCACCCCTCCCCTGGTGTCCCCCAGCGAACGAACGCCCTTGTACGCCACTACCTCATCCCTCATCCCTCATCCCTCCCCACCCCTGTCCCCCCTCGATCTCGCCTATTCGCGACCTGCGTCACCCACTCACTTTTTTTCTCGAATTCTTAATTCGCAGCATCATGCCATCGCGCATTCAAATTCATCACGGAACCTCAACTTCTCCACGACAGGCCCCCAGTACCGTCAACGACGTGGTCAATGCCCTTCATCGCAAATTGACCGCCAACCACTTCGACATTCCCTCCTCCAACCCTCCGTCTCGGAGACCCTCTTTCTCCATGGATTCTATACTCCACCCCAAGAAAGACAAGAAACACGAGGATCCCAAAGATCGGGACTCGCGAAATCAGAAACGCCTGTCGCTGCCCGGCCGTCATGCCACCAAATCCAAGGACAGAGTGTCGGGTCATTCTCCCCGATTCGCGCCCATTCACCCAGGTCGATTTGAAATGATCATTGAGTCGCCTCCTCTCGTACTATACGGAACTCCGGCCACCTCCACCGGGGCATTACTCTCTGGTCGGTTGAAGCTGCTCATTGACGACCCGACCCGTGAGCTTCGTCTGGACAAATTCGGTATGGTGCTGCGGGCAACCATCACGACCAAGAAGCCTGTTGCGAAAGACTGCAAAGACTGCACCGAGAGGATCGACAACATCAAGCAATGGGTCTTTCTTTCCGAACCAAAGACTTTCTACGCCGACGACGACAACCAATTCCCCTACTCCGTTCTGTTTCCTGGTCATCTTCCTGCATCCACACATTCTTCGTTGGCCTCGATCCAGTACTCCCTCGTGGCCACTGCAACTACTTCTCATGGCGAGAACATTGTCCTGACTCATCCGCTCACCCTTCAGCGCGCCATCCAGCCCGGTCCTGAGAAGTCCAGCATCCGAATTTTCCCGCCGACCAATCTCACTGGCCGTGTTCAACTACCTCCCATCGTGCACCCCATTGGGGTCTTCCCCGTCACCATGTCGATGAGCGGCGTCGTGGAGAAAAGAGCCGAGAGCCAGGTCCGATGGAGGTTGAGGAAGATGGCTTGGCGGATCGAAGAGCACTCCAAGGTCATCTCGACCCCGTGTGCTAAGCATGCTCACAAAGTCAGCGAGGGGAAATCCATTTTGCACTCCGAAACAAGAGTGCTGGGCAATGACGAGCTGAAGAGCGGCTGGAAGACCGACTTCGACACCATTGGAGGCGAAATCACCATGGAGTTCGAAGCGTCTCTCGCGACGAAATCGAGCCACAGGGCCAGTTGCGATGTCGAATCTGCCACGGGCATTGAAGTCAAGCACAACTTGGTGCTCGAGTTGATCGTAGCCGAAGAATTCTGCCCTAACAAGAACCCCTCGTTAGTCACTCCCACCGGTGCCGCGCGTGTGCTGAGAATGCAGTTCGGCTTGATCGTCACCGAACGTGCAGGGATGGGCATCAGCTGGGACGAAGAAATGCCACCGGTCTACGAAGATGTGCCGCCGAGCCCACCGGGCTACGGCAGCTCGGACCGAAACGATGGAGCTTGGGGCGGTGCCGTCATGGAAGACTACCATGGGCCGGAACTCGAGTACGAAGACCTGGAAACTATGCACAATCAGAATCCCCATGGACCTCCATCGCGACGTTCCAGCAACTCAGGTCTCCCTATGCGGGATCGACCTCACCATTTGATGAGAGATAATTCGAGCGGTGAGGGACCGTCGAGGAGATTCAGTCCTGTCCGGAGGCACCTGACGGGTTTGACGAATGACGAGCTGGGAGCAGAACCGCCTCAATATGCTCTGAGAGCGACGAACATGTCTCGAGATAGCCAGCCAAATGCGCCGGTTGAAGACTATGGTGAAGGGACTTCCTCCAGCGCGCAACGCGGATGAAGAAGCCTTGGGAAGGACTAGGACGGAAGCGAATAGACGTCACGACGATCTGTCACTGTTGATTTATCGGAGTGCACCCACTTTCAACTCACGATACGAACGGGAACGAAGCGATACGAATATTTTCATTTTCATCACTTTTGCCGACCTCCTTTTGGGAGGTACATCTTACGGGCGGCTGCTTGATTCTGAACCTTTTTCGACGACAGAAAGCATTGATGATACCCAGCATGGTTCAAGTGTGACAGCGAAGCATTTTCTGATTTGAGGGAAAAAGCAGGTCATGGGCATGGAAGCAGACCTTTTGTGGTTCGGGCAGTTAACTTTTATGGGAGTGATGGGGTTTTCACATTCCTGGGTCTCAACTCTTATTATTCCACCCGTCCTCAGGGCTCCTTGCGAGCGTCTGGCGGAGTAATGTTAGGGGGCTAAAAACAGCTGGTAGCTAGCAGCATCTTTGGGGCTGGAGGAAGATCCCTCGCCCTTTTTTCCCCTCCATTCCAATCGCTTTACATCATTTCGAGATATGCCTTCTGTGGCCTTCTCTCTCTCTCTCTCTCTCTCTCTCTCTCTCTCTCTCTCTCTGTCTGTGTGTCTGTGTGTGTGTGTGCGTGTGTGGGAAAATGTGACGAGGCCGTAGACTCCTATACTAGTAGCGTCACATGCTTGCAAAACTAACATTACAAACTGCATGACGTCGAGCGGAGGCAAATACATAATACTGTATTCAACCTACCCTACCACTACGTACAGTAGTCCTCCTGTATTACCTCATACCGATTGTCTCTGGGCGAGTCATGAAGTAATAATTATCGAGTAGGATACCTACCTACACTGTATGAATGCAAGAAAATCAAGGATAGACATTTTCGCAGTTGATTTTTTAACTTCTGCCACTATGTAATTAAATAGTTAAATAATTTTTTGGTTTTCCTTTTGCGTGTCCCTCCTCCTTGTGCGTTCGGAGAAATAACGCGCCGTTGGAGATCCGGATTCATATTTCCTGGATGACGGCTCGGTCGGGGTGGATGGAGGCGGCGGGCAAAATGTTTTGCGCAGGGTTGAGTTAATCATAATAATTAATCTGGTGGGTACGCAGGTAACAGTGACACTAGGATGGAACTTTCTTCCGGCAGTCTGACATACAGTCCTGTACCGAGTACCCAATGCCACGTATCCCTACCTACCTAACAACAAAGCTGAGTATAGATAGACTGAGGATCTTGTGTAGTAGCCGCCCTGCTTGCACAGCCGAGTGCTGTAGATAGGTAGAAACAAGTACATGGGTGAGGGTGAAGGTTAACCCCGTAGGTACGTACATGGACAGGTACACGGACATTGGCATAGCACACACAGCCTCACTCAAATAGCGACAAGGATAACGACGACAAACAGCGGCGACGACGAGGATAATACGCATCAATTGTCATGATGATGGATCTGATTCTGAATTAGAAACTGGCTCGATCTAACACAGGGGGATGCTATGGTGCGTCATTATTGTTGTCGCCGTCGTCATGACTTCTCTCCTCTTTCTTCGCGCCGACGTTGTCGCCATCACTACCCCGTATCATTCAACTGTAACAAGTTAGAGAGGGAGGGAAAATCTTTCCAGGCCAAGGTGCCCAAAGTCATGGTCAAACAAACCACCGAGTTCTTGCACGGCCGGTCGTATAGAGTAATCATCACTCAACGAATAAGTGTCGATATCCATAGAATGGTTGGGTGGCTGTATTCCTCACGCAGCCGTGGATCCATTCTTCTTCCATCCACCGCTTTCTCATTCATCCACATCTCGAGGATCGTGTTTCGACCACCAGTCGTCGTACTCATCCGGAGTCATAGTCTGGAACTCGGTCGGCCGCGTAATGGGCACCAGCGACTCGCCTCTCTTGGCGAAATCCTCGATCCTCTTCCTCGTCTGCTCGCGGCTCTTGTTGACGCTGTAGATCTTGACCCGGTGGCACGACGACGTCACATGCAGCCCCCAATTCCATGAGTTGCGCACCTCGAGAGGCTGCGTATTGAGACTGTTATCCCAGCAGCGCACCACAACTTCGATCCACCCCTCGACGTCGCAGGGCAGGTCGTACTCCCAGGTGCGCCACGCCCATTTGTGTTTGGTCGAGAGGTTCTCGTTGGGTACCGAGTACCACGAGAAGCCGCCGTCGGCGGAGAGCTCGACTCGTTCAGGCCAGCGACCGCCGCCGGAGTAAGCCCAGCCCTTGCAGGCGATCTTGCCCTCGTGCACCACCACTTGCTTAGCCCATGGTGACATGATGGCGCTGGAGACGGGCATTTCCTGGATCTGGATTCCCAGTACCGGGAGCTGGTTGTGCTTGCCCACCTGCTGGTTGAAGTACAGGTACTCCTTGCTCTGCACGGGAGCCCGGGTTGGGTGAGGAAGAGCGCGGATGCGGTACACCCATTTCACCGAACGGGCTCCGATGTAGCCCATGACTACCATGCGCACAGGATAACCATGGATCTTGGGCAGGGGTTCACCGTTCATCTCCCATGCCAACATAACCTCGTTGGCCTTGACCTTGGACCATGGCACACTGACCAAGTAGTTCATAACCTCGTTCTGCTTGAAGTAGGTGTCCGCTCCGTGGAATTCCAAGTGTTTACCGCCCTCGGCCATGCCGCCGCACTGCTTGATGACCTTCTTGAGCGACACGCCGACGTAGCGAGCTGTGCCGATAGCGCCTTCGGCCCAGGGTGCATTAATCATCTCGTCACCTTCACCTGCGTACATTTGAATCTGCTCGATACGACGCGTACCGGAGCACTGGATCGTTACCAATTTCTCCATGCGTGGAAAGATCTCCTCGTTCTGCAGGTCTTTCAGCGTGAAAGTACGGGGATGTTTGACCATGCCGTCGAGTTTGAGTTCCCACGCATCCGCATCGATATCAGGAATACCTCCGTGGTTTCTAATGAAATGCAGAGGATTCGGGGTGACGGGTTTGGCGGTGACCAATCGCTTTGGGGGTTCTCCGTTGTAGGGGAACTGCAGGAGGTGAAGCATTTCAGGGTGCTTCTCCTGAATGACGCGAAGCCAGGATTCTTCAGGGACTGCCGTCAGAGGGCCTCCAATGGCCTTGTGCCACTGTTTCCAGCGGACGCCCTCCAGAACAGGGTTTGTGTCAGGAATAGGACCCAGCTGGAACTCTGGTGGAGGCGGGAATTTGTTGGTGATCATAATCTTGTGCGCAAGGGCCTTCTTCTCCGGATACTGTTCCCATTCGATGTAACTGGCAATCGTCTGTTAGCCCGGGTTTTCCGCTCAGCCAAGCATTCCTAGGTGCTCACCCGTGCCATCCTGCGCGTTCTTCAGCGAATGCCACATTGGGATCAATGTTTTCTTTTTCGAGGTACGCGCGAGCGTCCTCGACCTCCTTGATTACTTCTTGGTCGAGTGCTATCTCTTCGACTAATTGACCTTCGGGGAGAGTCTGATCGCGAAGGGGCAGCTCGGCAGCCGCGAGGCCTTGCTCGAGCTTCCACTCATCTTCCGGCTGGAGACAGATCATGGTTAGCTTTGAGATATCCTCTCCGAGTTTAAGTAACGGGCAAGATCAACCTGGATGGGATGATGCAGCTCTCTGGCCCGGATGTCGGTGTGCATTTTGGAGAAGAGGAAGGGTTGCGAGTAATTTCTAGATTTTCAGCCGTCGCCACCAAGTGGCACCAAGTGGGATGTTGGATGTCGTCAAAACGGTGCCCGACCGTGAAGCAGCTGCGAAAGAGGGACTGGAAACAGGAAACCAGGAAGAATGTTGAGTAGATAAAAGGAAACGAGGAAAACGAGCGGAGTGGCCGGGCAAACTTGTCAGTCGGGTCAGTTGGACAGCTGGTCACACCCTCGGTCTCGGGGCGTCAGTCTCATATATGGTATGCGGCAGCGAGCCTCACTGAGCTCAGCTACTCCGTGGATAGCTGTTCTGGTGAAGCTTTAGCCATTGGCAGCTCGTGCCTTTCCCGATCCTGAACGGGGAGGTCAAAGGCTGCCCTCTCCGGCGACCTCATCCACCTATCAGCTCTTCCGATCGGACCTCATCTTGCACCTAGCACGCCCCCATGACGTTCACATCATCATGGAGAGGCAGCTTCGACCACTCAGCAAACCATTTACCGAGCATGGACCCTGCGTGTTCCCACACACGAGGACTGCTGACGTTGCAGCTCCGAGCCCAGAGATGGAGGACCAAGGGCCAAGTGGAGGCAGAGACGGGAAGGGGAGCCGGAGGGGCATCATGCAAGGCTAGTCCGAAACCTGCAAACCATCAACGAGGTTAATGGGACGAAGAGGAGCGACGAGAGAGAATGGCATTGTATCGATATTCCCGGATAAAGCCATGAAGGGCGAGAAAGTCAATCGCGCGAAGACTGCAACGAGACTAGTGGCTGCTCCCAAAGAAATACGGCTGTCTGACAAGGGGAGGGTTTCCTCCTTGTGCTCGGCTCCCGTGGCTCCCAGGCCCCCAATGCCACCAATGTCGGTTGCCAGGCGCCTGTCAGACCGAGCGTCATTTAACTGAATCTCTCGCGCGGGATCGTTTTCTCGTGCGAGGCTCAACTATTTTCCTTCCTCCTGCGGCCTTCAACTCTCAACCTCCAATCCTTCATTTTCATCGTCGCTACGACATACAGGTACAGCGTCAGAACGACATAGTTGCTCGACGAGTCACTCTCGATAGGCTCGTTGGCCATGCGATCCCTGTCCTTGTCCAGATATGCCCATCTTGATCCCGATCCCAATCAACGACGGCGAAATTTCCGACCCCGGATGTTGGAAACCTTACGCCCTCGCTCCCCGGCTAATGGATGCCTGACGAATCGTGCATGACGGCCTTTTTAGGAAAAACTTCCAGGCATCCTCTGTCGTCGAATGTCACCATTTTCGGAGCCATCTAAACTACTAGTGTAATCTGAAAGTCAAACGACGCTCCTGCGCAGAAAGTGTGATACTGGGTTTGATAAAAAGAAAAGTGCTGGGTACATTCCATGTGATCGTTGAGGCAGATATTGGAGACCAGTCGTGATCACTGGACCCCATAGAAACACAATCTTCGAGGAAAAAATCAAAGCTGCCCATTGCTTTTTGACCTTGCTAGCCTGAGACAGAAGCGCCCCATTTACCGTCTAATGTAACTCCCTATAAGCCATGTGATAAAATGGTCCAATGCCTCAAATCGTGCCCAACTTTTTGACAGCCTCCCATGTGTCCTCGACAGTCTTCTGGAAGGGCGTAAACTCCAGTTTCAGCACGTGCTCCGCTTCACTCCTGTCGATGCTGAAATGCTTGCTTGGGTCACAGTGCACCCCTTCTTCTCCCAGCCCTTTCTCTCCTTTCGCCCTGAGACCTGCGAGCCCATCCTCAAAGTAATCGACTCCGCCGCAGAGAAGAAACCTCTTGCTCACGCCCTTCTCCAATTGCAAACTCTTCAAGTGCGCTTCCGCCACGTCTCTCACGTCCACCCACGCAGGCAATCCCGGAGTCGCGACCTTCGGTGCAAAGCTTGAATCCTTGCCCTGGACAGAAGTGATGAGTCTCTTGACGCTCGTGTTCAACCCATCGACCCCTTTGGCGACGTCCACCTCCTGGATCGGGGGCCCATAAACCATCGGCGGACAGAATGTGACCAGATCCCAGCTGATCTCGCCCTTATCCTTTGAGCTTCGCCACATGTCCCATGCCGCACGCTCAGCAAATGTCTTGGAAGCGTGATATCCGTAATACCCATCCTTTGCCGCTTCCTCCATGGTGACCGGATCCCAATCATCTGAGGTATACTTATAGCCCGGCCGTGGGTTCTTGGAGAGGTCCACCACACTGGCAAAAGAGCTCATGATGGTCATTCTCTTCAGTGTTTTCGACTTCAATGCCGAAGACACCACATTCCGCGTTCCGTTCACAGCTGGTTCCACCAGCTCTTTGATCGGGTCTGAGGACGAAATGAAATAGGGGCTGGCGACATGACAGATATAGTCGACCCCCTCAGCAGCCTGGTCCAGCGCCCCGGGGGCTTGGATGTCTGGTACTTCAAAGAAGGTGAGGTCTCCAGATTTGGTGGCTTCGGGATATTTGGCGGCGATATGATTGGCTTTGGAAAGGGAGCGCAACGTGCCTCGGACACGATAGTTATGGCTGATGAGCGTGGAGAGGACATGAGCTCCAACGAACCCATTTGGTCCGGTCAGGAGAACGAGAGGCTTGAGGTTCGACATTCTGTGCTATGTGTCTTTGGAAACCGTTGGAAGTGAGGCTGTTTGTTTGGAAATGATCGTTGTTATTTCAAAGAGCACGAGAGCGTTACCCTCCGTTCTTATATCAGGACAAGACGTTTGTGAAACTTTACCTTTGCAAGATGTGTAAGCTCGGGCTAGTATCCGAGTTACAGTCGATGGGACCAGCGTCTGTGTTCGGATGGCTCAATCGAGTGGTCTCGAGAACCTGCCGCGTCAACATATTGTCGATGTTCAAAGCAGCGTCACTGTATCCCTCCTCTGGATATCGCCTTTCCGTAATGACTTCGTGGTTGCTGACCAAGTCGACGTGTACCTGCATTAGCCACGACTGTCCCACCAGTCAGACCGGAGTGCAAGGTCGAAGGCAGATAGATACTGGAGATACGGATGTTACTGCTTCTCTCCGCTGCGTCCCTTCCGACAACGACGATGATGTCATATGTCGCGCTCTCCTCCCCACGCTCTCCTTTTCGTCACGTGACTCTCCCTCACATGCTCAACCCACGGCGACATGCTTCTTGTTGCCCAAGGATTCGCAGTGGCCTTCTCAGTGTCGACTTCCCATCTGCCAGTTAACCAATCGCCCTCGCGGAGAATCAATGTTCCTTGTCGCTGCAGTCGAGACAGCGACACCAAACTGCTTCTGGAAGGACACTGCGACCCAACCAGCGAGAGGAAAAGAATTGTCGTGAAAACCTTCATCAAAGCCATCCATACATTACATATCGCTCGGCTGCTGCGCGGACTGCCGACTGGTTGGTCGGGATAGACACGCTGCGGGTTTCGCGGAGATTTCACCATCTTACCTCCTTATGCCGGCGGCTTTATGACTAACCGTGCATAACCTGGCAGGTCAACAGCGACAACCACAGAAAGGGGTCTTTTCAGAGGTTAGGCCTTATCCTCCCCATGTCAACCAAGCAACATCTCAAGCTCTTCGATGCGTCTCTTCTTTCTCTCCTCTTCGTTTTCACCGGCCCCTGATTGGCCGACACCCAGGCTTCCTGCAACCGCCATCTTTCTCTCTTGCACCCGAAGCATCCTGCCTTCAATGCTCTCCTTTGTCACAAACCTAATCACCTCTACCTTCTGCGTCTGGCCCATGCGGTGCACTCGATCGATAGCCTGTGCTTCCACCGCAAAACTCCACCAAGGGTCCATCATATAGCACCGACTCGCTGCCGTGAGGTTCAATCCCACTCCGCCAGCCCGGAGAGAAAGCAGTAAGATGCGAGGCGCTTTGGGGTCGGATGTGTTCTCCGTATTAAACGCCCGAATGACCTGTGCTCGTACCTTTTGTGACATGGTGCCATCGAACCGGAGGTATGAGAAGCCGTGTTTGGTGAGTTGTGGAGCGATAAGGTCAAGGAAGGACGTGAACTGCGAAAACACCACTGATTTAGTAGCTCGTGGTAGGGCGGACAGATGCTGCAGCAGCGCCGCAATCTTTGCTGACGTCGAAGCAGTCGGTGAGTAGGGATGTAACCGACGGAGCGAGATTCTGGTAGGTCTCGTAACACCCTCATCGGCCCCGTACATGTCTCCCTCTGAATCAGAGCCCGCAGATGGACTGTTGTGCTTAACAACTTCAAAAACATCTCTTGGGTTGATGGTTTCTCTGCAAGAAAAGCAGCGAGGGATTTCTCCTTTGTCCGTCTGCACCTTGATCAACTTCTCCAGACATTCTTTGCAAGCACTGTGCCAACATGTAGTAACGGCAGGGTTGATCATAGGCTCTTCATAGCACAACGGACACTCGCCACTTGATTCGTCTTGGATTTGGCGCAAGGCATTGGTGGTGAATGTTGTGATGGGGTCTCTCGGTGCGGGATTTTCCTTTTCTGCAAGGTCGCTATCTTTGGTGAACCGGTCTATCAGTTCTTGCAAATCCATGTCATCGGCAAATCCGTTCTCATCAGCCGCAGCCGCAACAGCAGCATCCTCCTCATCCGCCACGATGTCCTTGTTCCGAGTAAGGACGGGATGACAGCAAGACTGCCGGAGGCGTAGAATCTGTGCAAAGATTGTCGTGTACGACTTTAGCAGAGTGCCGGCAGCCACGGACTCATTAAAAGCACGCTTGGCGCGTGTGAAAATCAAATCATATACCTCGCGTTCCGTCTTTGAGAGCTCGACTTCTTCGACAATGACGGACTTCGGCGGAAGCGGTACAAGCGCTTCGCCCGCCGGGGTTCTCATGTCTTTCGTTCTTCTCAACACGAGAGGCTCCAGGACAGTCTGAACAACATTGAGGGCTCGTGCAATCTCCTTTGACTCAAACGGCACCGTAATAAACGTTTTCCAAAACGAAAAGTTACTCCAAGGCTCGACTTTGAGGAATCTAACCAAGCTGAACAAATCCTCCAAGCGGTTGACGATGGGTGTTCCCGTCAGGACCCATCTGTGCTTTGCCTTAATCTCATAACACGCCTTGGATGTCTTTGCCTGTCTGTTTTTGATGGTATGGGCCTCGTCAAGAATGACCCGATGAAAATCGACGGAGAACAGGCCGCCATGAGATGCACGATCGCCTCCAGCAGCCGACACCTGGCCAAATTCTGAGAGGACCGTGCCGTAACTGGTGATGATGACGTTTGGGGCAGAGGGTGCATTTGCGGCAGAACAAAGAATCTGTAAATTGGCCGACTTCTCGCTGCCATAGTAGACCATGGTCCTTAGAGAGCCGGGTGCCGAGCATTTGACCGCTTCGCTCTCCCACTGTGCCAACAAGGACATAGGCGCGACAACTAACGTGGTACATGGGGCTGGTTCGACTGATGTTGACGATTGAGGCAGTCTGGGGAGATGATTGACAGTTGTTATGGCCTGACCGGCGGCATCCAGATCAATCTGTGAGCGGTTGGAGTGAATCAGGCTATAGATCTCAATCGTCTTGCCCAGGCCCATCTCGTCGGCCAAAATGCCTCCCAAGCAGTTTTGTTCTTGGACAGGGAAGTCTAGACTGATTTCCCCAGAGTAGAGGTTGACGTAAAACTTGTCTTGTCCTTCAATTACAGGAAGCAATTCATCGTTTGCGTCTTTCGTGGGCCAGGTATACTCTTCCCAAAGTGGATGCATTGATTGTTGCTTGTCTGACTTTTCATCTCGTTCTTTGCTGAGCATCCAGTGCAAGGCCTGTTTCTGATATCTTCGTAGTTCCAACCGGAAAGTTGGTTCCGGATTGGCCTCTGGTGTATTAAAATCAAATGACTGTGCTTTCTGGTAGAGCGTATCAAGTTGGTCTTCTTCTAGCTCTTCTCCTTCCTCGTCCTCAGAGACGGGCGTCGAAACGCCTGACTTGCCCTTGGCTTCCTTGTCTTTGTCATACTGCTCTGCCATTTCAGCAGCTCTCAGGAGTCCCTGCTTCTTGTGCTTCGCAGTTGTCTCACTCGTTGTAGTCGGATTGAGGTTGACTTCCTCAAATAATTTGACGAGAGCCACTTGCCGCAAACGAAGATCTTTTTCTTCCGTGCTCTCCTTCTCTTCGAAGAACCCTGTCGCGCGATTGTCATCCTTTGGCTTGACGAAAGTGTTTGCCTCAAAAGCTGTTTTGAGCAGATACGCACGAAGCTGCAGGTAGATTGTGTCATTGACTCGGACACGGTCAGGCGCAAAGACACAGGTCCCCTCGAAGCGGCAGATCTTTTGGTCTAATAAAGATGACACCCAGGAGGCCGTCTCCTCGGGGAGGCGACCAAGCTCCTCCCCTTTCATGTTTGTAAATCGTGTGATCACATCGGCCTTTTGATTCCTGCCGACTACGGTCACAAGTTTGCCGCCTCTTCCAATTTTCGTCTTGGGAGCGATCTTTGATCTCTCTATCCTCACCGACTCACCATGAGCCAATAGCCCTGTACCGCCTTTTGTCATCCATGCTCCCACGCCGAACGACCCAACATACCGTTCAGTGGGCATTGTTGCCAGCGCGACCGCCTTCGAGCCGGGGTCTTTCCGGTTTGCTTGCGGAGGCAGGGCGACATTACCACTAGAGGAAGCAGGTGCATTCAGCCACGAGTCTACACTTCTTGAAGGAAGTGATGTCCTCGACTGCGAAGCGGCAGCGGTTTTCCACGACCCATCGAAGTACATGTTGATTGCTTGCTCGATGTCTCCATTGGAGGCAGCCTCCACCTGGTCCACGACATCTTGAGAAACTTCCTCTCCAACGACCGCGCGAAATGTGTCAGCGTCGAAGGCTCGAGATTTCTCGCTGTCGACCGCGGTTTGGACATCAGACGGGTGCGCTGGAAAGGATTCGGGGTCGCGGCCGGTAGACGAGGTGGCGGAAGTTGGTCGGCTGGATGCATTCGTGGGGGAGGAGACGCGTTCGGGTAGATTTTCAGAGTCGTCAGTGAAGAAACGTCTCTTCTTCCTGGGACGTACATCGATGTCCATGGGAGCAGCCAATTTCCCTCAGTCAGTACTGAAGAAAAGATCGTGTTCGGGAATGGAAATGAACGCGTTAATTCATTCAACGCGCTCGCACGTGATGCGAACCCGGATTCACGTCATGACAAATTAATTTCTTCCTCCAACTTCAATTCGATCCAGCAGACCGACTGCTAGTCTTCCTTTCTATATCGAAGCTTTTGAGCATAGAAGCAATTGCCTGTTTTTTGGGTTTCTTGCTTGTTAAAATGGTTGCGCCTCTGAGTTGAGGAGTTGATGTGAGAAGTTTAGGCAGCGGGAGACGGGTACGGGAAAACTTCAATATGCTTCTTGCTAAGGAGCATGGCCGAGCTATGTTGTCAAGACGGCGGCTAGGTCGAGGGTTTTCCCTTCTGAAGTACCGTGCGTTCTCGGCAAGTACACGGACGTCACTTTCTCTTGAGCGAGATTCGCCGGATGTGAAGAAAGCGCAGAGCTACTGCTCAAATCTTGTTCGGTAAGCTCACTCATGCTCTGCCCCCCTGGGGCACCTTGCTCACTGGATATCCCAGAAACTATGATTCGCCCTCATATACTCTGGCTCATTTCGTCCGGCCACACACGCTTCCAGCATATTTTGCTATCCGTGCCTTCAATATCGAGCTGGCCAGGATCCCCGACGTGGTTTCAATGCCACAAATCGGTGCCATGAGGATGCAATTCTGGCGAGAAACCATCGATAAGACTTTCAAACTTGCACCTCCTTCAGAACCCGTTGCCATTCTGCTTGCTTCATATCTGAAGCAAGGGTACAAGCTCAACAAAACCTGGTTCCACCGCATCATTACGGCCCGTGATCGGAAACTGATGCATCCCGGCTTTACCAACCTGGCCGAGCTCGAGTCTTATGCCGAGTCGACCTACTCAACGCTCTTATATTTGACTTTGTCATCGCTCCCTCTGAACTCCATGACTATGGATCATTTGGCTTCTCACGTCGGGAAGGCAGCTGGGATCGTGGCTGTCCTTCGTGGAGTGCCATTGCTTGCTTTTCCACCTCCGCCTAACCTTCATTCCAACAATCCTCCTGGTATGGGCGCTGCTTCCACCCGAGACCGGCAGGGCGTTATTACGCTGCCTTTAGAAATCATGTCTCAAAGTGGGGTCAGGGAAGAAGATATTTTTCGAAATGGTGCCAAAGCTTCGGGCATCCGTGATGCTGTTTTCACGGTTGCTACCCGTGCTTCTGACCATCTCATCACCGCACGTGCCATGCTCAAAGGCATCCGAGAGAATCAAGATCCTAGCCACGAGTTTGAGCACATCCACGACGAAGGTCATGAGTACAGCAGGGACGACCTTGGTGCTAAGACCCCCACCGATAGGAGCAGAGAAGATGTCGACAAGGGCTTCGGTGTTATAATGGGCCCAGCTGTCAGCACTCAGTTGTGGCTTGATCGTCTTCAGAGAGTTGACTTTGATATTTTCCATGAAAGTCTCCGAAGATTTGAATGGAAGCTGCCTTTTGTTGCATGGATGCACAATAGGAGTGGTAAATTATGAGTAGCTTAGCCGGAACTCGTGTCAGGGAGTCTTAAGAGCCTCTATTCGAGCATTTGTCCTTGCTTCCTGCAGTTGAGACAAGGCATTTGCGTCGACGGTGTTCCTCCGGCTCCTGCTCACGGCCATGGCATCTCCTTTTCTACCGAGAATTGCTTCGATGGCGCCAACCAGGGCTTGCGGATCGTAGAACATCTCGCCCTTTGAGCTCTTGCGACCGTACAGCTTCAAGCAATCAATCCCGAGAGATGCAAGATGATTTCGGTCGACTTGTGGAGTTCCTTCACCAGTCAGGTGAATGACATGGGTCACATATTTACGGTACACCGAGTCTCGAGCACCATCACGTGGATGATGGTTCGCTCCTGGGAAAAGAGATTCGCCGTGTCGAACAGCTGTGGGGGTTGTTGGCGCTGACGACTTTAATGTGTCGTCTGATCGTGAAGTATGAAGCTTGGGTCTCCATAGACGTCCCTGGGACTGTTCACAAGCACGGGCTATGGCTTCCACGAAGTCAAAGGCAGAGAAGGGATTCGAACTGGGACTAGTCTCACGATCCAAGGAGCCATTCAGAATGAGAATCTTATGACGGGCAGAAGTCGAGCTTAGAGCTTCTCCAACTCCTTTAAGGACAATGGAAGGTATAATCGAGGTGAAGAGGGAACCGATAGAGTATATAACCGCCTGGGATTGCTTGATTGCTGAGATCACTCGTGGGTTGGCGGGTGGTAGCATTTCTTGTCCGTAGGGATTGATGTACCATATTCGCTCGATACGAGCTGGGAGATCTTGGTCAAGATCTTTGCTGAATTTGATGTTTCGCTGTCGCAGCGTCGGGAGCGTCCCCGGCAGATGAGCATCCTCAATCTCCTCGGGATGCTCGACATGATAGCGGGCACGGAAGTCGGAGGTTGTATTTGAAGGAGACACGGTGGGCATCTCCAAGGCGGTTTTGGCCGCAGGATGCGAGATATTGTTCTGTCCTACTATGGTCTCACCGTTTGCCAGCCCGGCCGCGATGTGGTGGGAGAAGTTGGAGTTGATGCTGGGGATAACGCACACCTCCCCGTCGGGGATGGCACACAGACTGCTCAACAAGTAGATCGCAGATTCGAAACTGCCACTGAAGAGCCGTGCCCCAGTCAAAAACAGATTGCCGACGCTCGCTGACGTGAAGTCGAAAGTCGACGAAGGCCTCGCGCGCTTCAGGATCTCGAGGTTCAGCAGGTTGAGAAAAGACCGGATCAGCTCCTTCTTGGCCGACGGTATGCCGTTCCACAGCGCAGATGTGCCCCAGACTATGCTCTGCCACTGATTCGCCGCATCTGTCGAGGAAGATGACGACAACCGGTGATTGAACAGGTTGGAAATGGCCGACCTTTCTGTCGAAGGCGGATCCGTGGGAATCAACCGGACCAACCGACTTCGCACGTCTCCGATGCCCGGTCCTCCGAAAACCCGTATCAACTCCGAAGAGGAGCCACCGTTGTCGCTTATAGGAATGATGTAGGACAGAGGGCAGTCTTTGCTCTCGCGAACCGCTTCGAAGACATCGACGAGAGAGTTGGCAGCGCTGCCGCCGGAGAAGACCACAATGCCCTTAGCGGTGAGCATGTTGGATTGGAGCAATAATGGGTGTGTGAAAGTGTGGGTTCAAAATCGTACTGCAGGGGACCAAGAACGTCTTTATAATGCTCCCACGGGCCCGGCCATTGATCAATATCAGGGTACGAACACTGTGTCCAGGAATCACTTTTATGTGGTGACTCAGCCTTGCCATACGAGTCGCAGGAGATGGCTAAATAGTGCGGAATGGCTGATTCTGGAAAAATAGCCGGTCATTAACATGATTAGTGTTGGTCCGTATCTGGAAATGGCGCCGCAAGTTGATCCCATAAAAGGATCTTAGTATTGTCGAGTGTCGATAAGGTCGAATACGCCTCTTTCGGTATGGGGAGAGAGCTGGTATGGTCTCTGACGGAGAAACTCACTGTGGCCTTTCTGTTGGTATGTGACGGGTAGTAGCGCTCCATCAAGTGCCTGGGTCAGTTACGACGTCGTGGTTCTTGAAACCTCTGGTGCTCCCATTCTTGCCTCGGTATCCGCCCAGGAGGGTCCAGACTCGCCCATTGGAAGCCCCAGGGGCCTAAAACAAATCCCACCAGCTTCCCTGGCACCCCTAAGGGGCAGTTGCATCGTCTAAAAGCTTAGCTGAAGGGGCACGCTAAGCATGCCGTTGGTGCCATTGGCGTCGAGCCCCAGTAAGGATTTTCTCCCCTCGTCCTGATGGCGTCTCTCCATCCCTCGCGTCATGGGAATTTTATTTCTGGGGGCGCATTTCTTTTCAGCTGATCCTTTAGCACAACACACCATGCCCTCGTCACCAACTTCCACCCCCTTTGATCTGACCCTCTTCCCCCTGGCCTTATCTTGACACCACGCACTGCTCTTGTATCCTGCCAAATGTCCCGCGACTTCCTTCGGTGAAAGTCTTGCCATACCTCACAATGGTGAGCCATCCCGCCCATATCGTGGCCTCCTCGAAGCGCACGTCCATCGAGTCTGTCGCTGAATCTGAAACTTCGCTGACCCGCCACTCCCGAGACCATGGCCATCGCGGGCGTCGTGAGGAGGACTTGGAAGCTCAGAACTCGGTGGTCCATGAGAATCCCCCGCCTCATGTCCGGATCCGAGACAGCATGGAACATCACCATCACGATGGAAATGGTGCGTCGCCGACCCTTCAACGCAGCGAAACTGGTGTCTCCAAATACTCGGTAAGGTCTCTGCGGAGGAGGGGTCGAGCAGACACCACCAATGTCATGTATGGGGCAGGCGAAATGGGCAGGACAACGGGTTGGACGCCCGGGCAAGAGCCAGGAATTGACACAAGTGACCCAGCTCCTCCCTACAGCTTGGGTGCCACAACGCCCGCCGATGCTGCACATCTGGAGAGATTGAATCAACGGTGCGAAATAACCGTGGTGGACTTCAGCAACGAGATGGTCTCTACTACAGATTTGGACAACGATAACCTTGAAGAATTTCTCCAGCAGGATCCCCCCCAGTGGGCTGATGTTCGGTGGATCAACGTCAATGGGCTTTCTTGGGACGTGATTCGAGTGCTGGGAAACCACAAACACCTCCACCGGCTTGCCATTGAGGATCTATTCAATACCAAGAATCGCACCAAGGTCGACTGGTACAGTGATCACACCTACATGATCCTGCCCCTGCAGAAGCTCATCAACATCGAAGAGAACGAATCCGATTTCGAGTCTGATGACGACGACAAAGAGGATTCGAAATCTGACGAGGCCGGATCCGAATTTCGGACCAGGATCGCCACAGAACGCCAGCGGAGACGTCGGCAACGGAAACGGAAAGGCGCTATCCGGTCTCTGATTGAGGATTTGCAAAAACCCCTCTGGAAGAAGAACAATAAGACGCGGGACTCCAGATCGCCAGATATCGTAAGCGACGGACTCCAGCCCTCGAACAGTTTCAGACACTCGAGCAAAGTGGAAACGCCATGGGCACCCAGGACCATCCGCACCATGCAACGCTATCACGCCGGCCCAAATCAAGACCGCATTGAATACATGGAGCGGCACGCGGTACTCGCTCACAAGGGTTATGGTGTCTCCATGGAACAGGTCTCTATTTTCCTCTGTGCCGACAACACCGTCATTTCCTTTTTCGAGTACTCTGCACACGATGTACAGACACCCATTATCCGCCGGTTGCAGTCCCCCGGCACCATCCTTCGTCAGTGCTCTGACGCCAGCATGCTCTGTCAGGCGATTCTTGACGCCATCATCGACCTTGCCCTGCCCGTGACGACAGCATATCAGGATGCAATAGGGGATTTGGAACTGGACGTCCTCACGGACCCAGACATCCATCAGTCATCCACTTTGTACATCTTAACGTCTGAAATTGCCATCCTCCGCAACGCTATCGCTCCGGTGGTTCAGCTGATCGGCGCACTCAAGGACCATAAGACCAACGCCCAGCCCATGACGGCAACCCATTCGCGTGTTGCTACTCCGTTAGCGCTCGACCAACAGAACAACGACCCAATGAGCAAGGTTTCGCCGAATAACGCCCAGGGCAATAACCTCCGAAAGCACTACAGTGCTCCACCATTGCTGAGCGGCGTCCAGATCTCTCCCCTCACCGTAACCTACCTAGGAGACGTCGAGGACCATGCCCTCCTGATCCAGGACGGCTATGACCAGATGCGCCGCAACGCCGACAACCTCGTCGACCTCATTTTTAACACCGTGTCCGCTTATCAGAACGAATCCATGAAGCAGCTCACCATCGTCACCTGCTTTTTCCTCCCTCTAACTTTCTTGACCGGGTATTTTGGACAGAATTTTGCGCATTTCCCCGGTGTGACAGATCATTCCGACGCGTTCTTCTGGGTCATTGCCACACCCGTGTCCGTGGTGGTATTCTTGTTGTTGATGAGGGATGTCATGGTTCGCTGGCTGGGCCGGTGGGCGAATAAGGCGTTGATTGCGAGGGGGAGAAAGAGGCGGATGGCACAGAATGGACAGCCAAGTTGAAATGTTCTCACTTGGCACAAGGATGGATTAGACTGGCTGCGTTGAGATTGAGCCGCTCAAGCAAGCGTGGGGAAGTTCCCTGTACAATTTCTACTATACTATGTGTATGTGCGGATTTGTTTCCTTTTCTTCCTAAGTGTGGCCTTGGTTAGTTCTGTCAGCCAGATACATGCGTGTGTATATACTCCACGCCTAACGAAGAGGATTTTCCTATCATTCTAAATGGTGTATTCCCTTCTGTTCTGCTCTGTTCTGCTCTGCTCTGCTCTGCTCTGCCTCGCTGTAAATTTTCATACTTGGTCCATCTATCTCCTCATCGTGTCTGTAATAATTCTTGACCAGTCCCTTATGCTGCCATACACAGTGATGGCGAAACGCATATGTATATAAGGAGTACGTACTGCCTGGCTCGGTGTCCTCCCGCCACATCTCCACATATGTATATGAAACCATGAAATATGAAACACGAATGTGATATACCAACCAACCAGACAAAGTTAAGTAAGTTCTTCGTCGTCCTGTCCAGCCAGTCCACCTATGCGTTTTTATTCATGATGAGATAGATAGATATGCGTACCGAGGTGACTTTCTCACCACCATGGCCACAGCCGTCCGTCTCTGGGAGTCAAAGCAGACCAGATAGATAGATACATAGGTATTTGCAAAACAAAGAGACTGTTCTGCTGGTGGCACTGGCCACTGGCCACTGGTCCATGGACCTGACCTGATCTGGTCTGATCTGGGGTCTGTCTCTCTTGGAATTGTTTTGTTCATTTTTGTTCATCTTCGAACCTCAACCTCAACTCCAACCTAAATTCAGTGCGTCTTCGCCATCAGAGGATGCAAGTCGTTGAAATCATTTCGTGGGTATCGTCAAAAAGAGAGAGGCACAAAAACACTAGACCTCGTCTCGCCTTCCCATCCAACACTATAAACAGCAATCCAGAATGTTCGCCATTTCTGTAGCCAACTTAAGTTGCATTCACGGAATTCCACTAATAGGTCGTGCTCGAACGATGCACAAGAAGAGGATACTCCATTGAGCGCGTCGATTTCATGCCGTCTAAGCATCGTCGTTGATGAATTCCCAATATGGCTCGTTTACGGTCGGTGTTTCAGCCTTGCCCTTTCCCTTCCCCTTTCCCTGGCCATTCTCGTCCGGGTCGTCCTCTCGTTTCCGCTTCCTCACCAACAACTTCAACTCGAGAGGAATCAACCCCCTCCCGACTCCTGGGGTATCCTTCACATCTAAAGGCTTACGGCATACCGGACACACGCCTTTGGGCTTCCGCGACATAGGCATTTGATCTCGTCGTGCTTCGGCAGACCACTTCAGGGTATCGACAATGCAACGGTGGCAGAAGACATGGCCGCATGCCGTGGACGTTGCATCGGTAGGTGTATCCATGCACACCGGACATTTGTACGCTGTGAGTGACGTGCGACCGCTGTCCGTTCCGGGGTTCTGAGCCAGTATGGCGTCTTCTCTCTGCTTTGCAAGGGCGGCGGAGAGGGCTTCACTGTTGCAAACGCCAGTGAGATCAACAGATTCGATCAAGGGATCTTCTGCTGCGACGGGTGGCGTTGGTGAATGGCTCTGAGAGGACCCATGAAGGCTTCTTGCGGATGAGGAGGGACGTGGTGGCATGGTGTCCTGTGAAGAGACTTGGCTAGAAACTTGGCTTTGTCTTCGTTCCTGTTCGACACGTCGACGGTGTCTACTTCTGGCTTGAGTGCGTTCCCAGTTTTCGTGGTTTTCCCGTTGACGATTTATCGCGTCTCTCTCCAAGGCTGGCGGTAGCCTGCCCTCAATTATTGCTCGAGATGGTTCCATGTAATAGCCACGACGTTCTGACCAATGATTGATGCCCGGAGTGAGAAGAGCAAGCCCGTTTCGTATATGTTCCCTGGTGGTTGCTCTGGGTAGTGGAAGGTAGATAGGTTCGTCAAGGGCGCGAAGCCTTCTTAATCGACGGCCGGAGTAAGGATCGTGAGGATGTGTGGTTTGGGAGATGTAGTGACTTTCGTCTGCAAGTGAACTGTCTGAGAGTGTACTGATTGAAGGTGAACTGTCTGATCTTCCCGATGAAGTGCTCGGCTGGGCTGTCAAGTCGACTAATTGACGGACTGCCTCGCCTTCTCCCTGCCGTCCTCTGCCTTGATGGAAGGCTTCTTGGGCAGTTTGGAGCGCACGGTTTGCGTTTGCAAGAGCGCGGTTGACGTCGTGAAAGGTCTCTTCGTGACTGGGCGCAGGATCAGGGTTTCTGGTTCGGTTCAGACCATCTGCCATAGCACTCGCGGCAGCATTAAAGAAGTCACATAAGCGCCTGGGCGAAGCTCTGTGGAGAGCTGTGGAGGGTTGCTGGTGATAATAATCGTGTGGCGAAGAAACCTGCTGTGGTTGCGGGAGAGGCAGAGTGGGATCGAGGGAGGCGGGGGAGACCGAATAATAGGAAGAGGCAGAGCTCATAGTTGACACCCTAATAAATGGCTCGAATAGTCCAATACCCTCACATGCTCAGGATATGATCCACCGACCGACACGGATTGTGAAAGATCTGAGAGAGGCGCAGATCCAGAGTGGCAAGTCTTTGTGAACCTGATCTGCTTTCACTCCTGGTGGCATTGTTTCGCCGTAGCAAGGTCTTGCCGCTCTATGGGGTCACTACTAAGTCAATCCACTATTGACACGGGGTCACAGCCTCGTCAGACTGTGGGGTATATGGGATACAAACTGAAATGCCTTGATATTTCCTGAAGACGGCACCGACAACCGCAAGAATGTGCTCAGACAAATGTCTGAAGTCTCTTTGTATGATTGCATCTTCGGTCTACAATAAATCACCCCACACATACATAGTGTGTATCAACGACTTAATCACCAACACGTTGGGCTTGGATAGCCGAGGCTAGAGCGGCCCTCGATACGAGAACTTGGGAACAGGTAGGCAAAGGTTCTTTGACCAGTAGCTGAGTCATGTAAGTTCGATGTAATAGGACTAAGATTTGCCAGGTCTCAGGGACGCTGGACGCTTCGTGTATCGGTAACTCTAGCGCCAAGGTAGAACCAGACTTGACCCTGAGCTCGTTGGACCGTTGCAAGAGTAATAAACATACAGAGTGTTCGAATCCCACTTGGAGTAAATATGCAAAACTGTAGGGACTATTTTTCACCCACAATTCATCTGTATATCTAACAAAAACTCTAACCTGAAGCTCAACTCCCCGGTGGGAATTGAGGTTCAGGTCGAGGGAAACTCTCCAGTTGTAGAGGAGAGTTTTTTCCGTCGTTTCGTCAGGTTCTCTCCGGCCTCGGTCAACCCTCGCTTAGGGAGCCGGGAATGGCGCGGAACAACTGGGCTACCTACAGAAGGTAGTTCCATCAGTGTCAGGGCAGTTACCTTCAGGCAATCTCGTAACTCCCAAGAGAAGCTGTCCCAGATCTGGTGGCCACACCCTCACGCCCCAGCTAGCTCCGTCTGCACACTCGGTGTGGCCATCAGAGGCTGGAACCCGGGATAGACCTGGGAATTGTTGGAGAGAATTGTGCTCGAACAAAATATATTACCAAATAAAACAAGCCTCGGCTGGTAGTGCTGGTGGACCAACCAGGTGGTCAGAGTTTTTTTGCATAACTTGGCGCGAGTGGTATCATTATGCTTTCCAGCGTCAACGGCGTGATCTTCCTCTTGCCTTCCAAGCTGATATCTGTCGTTCTTCATTTTCTTCCTCTTCTCTTTCGGAAATCCCCGACATGATGAGGCTTGTGTGTCTGCTTTCCGGTAGGCGAACGCAAGTGGTCGTGGTGCGAAGCGAAAGGCGGAGTCAATCATCATGTCCTCCATTTTTCCCATCCGTCCGCACACCTGTGGTTTCAAAAGACGCGCAACAAGAGATAAGAGACCGCATCCTAAGCCTTCTCCTGCTTTATATTTATATTTCGCAGTTGTCATGCTGTGCTCGGCAAGTTTCACTGAGTGACATGCTGTTGACAGGTCAGCTCTCCTTGCGGCACGAAACATTTCAAAGACCCCTTGGGATCTTGCCAATGGTGGAAAGTCAGTCCCTTCCACCAACTCATCCATCTTCCGGATTCCGCCAGATGGGAATTGTGTAGTCAAACGTTGCTGGCATCTTGTCCTAACAACATAGGGAGAAGACCATGACTATTGAGGTTGGAAAAAGCGTTCTCACGTTTTCTTGGCCCCGGGTCGCGATATCCGGAGATCGCCACCTTTTCCTCAGATCTATCAACGAGTGCCGATAGTATCTCTACTGCAAGGCATGGAAAATTGGATTATTATTGCTGCTTCCCTCTCATGACGAGAGCTGATCGTTATTCGTACTGTGCGGCACCAAACACTATCACAGAAGGTATTACGCCCAGCACTGTTGAAGAGAACAACTGCCTTCCAGCTGGGCGACAGTATAATTTGCGAGACTAAGATCCCGTTACCTCTTTTCAATCGTCCCGAGCACCTCTGTCCTGGCCGCCGACATCCGCAGTTGGGATCTATTCAGACAGCCTGTCGACAATCTTTACCGATATCGTCAGGGAACCGACCCATTCCAGTAGTCCACCGTGTGAAAGACTTAGTGTTTTTGCTATGCCCTAATGTGTTTTCGCCCACGCACGGTACCAATCCAAACAGTCACTGTTGGCCACGCTTGCACTCGTCTTGATATGGAGACCACATAGAATCTGCTTGACGGCGCCTTCAACTTTCTTGCCATTTGTCGTGACGGGGATCTCGGGACACTCATCCACAATCTTCGGCACATGACGCGCGCTCAGCTCCTTTCTTACTACAGCCTGGATCTTGTGCACCAACTCTTGGGAAAAGGACTGGCCTGGCGCCATCTTGAGAAACAAGACCACAATTTCATCGGGGTCTTGTTCCCGCTTGCGCCCGATGCAGAGCCCATCCTCGACCTCAGTGCTAAAATGTTTGAGGAGGATGTTGTAGATCTCGCTAGAACCGAAACGGACACCCATGGGATTGAGCACGCCATCGGATCTGCCCAGCATCCATATGCCACCTGTCAAAGGGCTAAAGCGTACGAAGTCGCCGTGGTGCCAGATTGGATGGCCTGTTTTGGGATCAGCGAAGACTTCAAAATACGACGATTTGTATCGCTTTTCGCCGCTTGGGCCGGGCGGCCAGAACATGCACGGTTGGCAAGGGAATGGAACGGTACAGACAAGCTCTCCTGGTTGACCCGTAGACGTTATGTCTTGGCCGTCTGCGGAGAAGGCCTTGATTGCCATACCGAGGCCACGACATTGGATTTCGCCAGAGTGAACAGGTAATATTGGACAAGGAGCCCCGAAGAGGGAGATAATGTCTGTTCCTCCTGTTATAGATCCAAGAAGTATTCCTGGGTGTGGGGCTGGAGGGGACAGGTTCTTGTAGACATATTCGAAAGTACTAGGGGCCAGGGGGGAGCCCGTTGAGAAGATAGACTTCAGCGAGTTGAGTGTGGCTCTCTGGGGGGCTGCCTCTCTGGGTAGTGTCTGGGCCTGTTCCAAGACGGACAGGTATTTGGCGGAGGTGCCGAAGTGGTTGATCTTAAGCTCATCGATTAAAAGTGGCATGCTCATCTCCTTGTGCGGGTGAAATGGAGAGCCGTCGTACAGCACAATAGTTGCTCCAGAGGCCAAGCCCGACACAAGCCAGTGCCACATCCTAGCATCCACCATGTCAGCAGTCAAAAAAGGAGGAGCTGTGCAACAGGCACAGAGCGCCAATGACGTTAGAGGATCTCAGGAAAAGACTCACATCCAGGTCACAGTAGAAAAGTAGAACACCCTCTCCAGAGGCTTGACATCGGAGTGGATCTGGTGTTCTTTCTTGTGTTGCAGGAGAGTCCCAAGCGAAGCATGTACAATAGGCTTGGGTACGCCAGTAGTGCCGGAAGAGTACAGGATATAGACAGGATGATCTGGCGAAAGGTACGTAAACCGGAGCGGTCTCGATACGTCACCCTTGGCCAGGAAGGAAGAATATATCTCCACGATTTTGTCTGGATTCCCATTTATCGAAGAGATGTCAAATTGGTGCCCAGGCACGTTTTCGAAAATGATAATGTTCTTGACAGATGGCAACTCGGAAATAACTTGCGACACTTTGGCATGGGTCTCATGGATCTTCCCATTGTATGTAACAGCATTGTCGGCAAACAGGATCACCGGTTCAATTTGACGGAGTCTGTCGAGGACGGCGTGCACGCCCGTGTCAGGACTGACACCCGACCATATGGCACCCAGCGAGGTCGCCGCTAGCATAGCAACCACTGAATTCGAGTGATTGGCCAGATAACCCGCGACTCTGTCTCCTTTCTTGAGCCCGTGTCTTTCCATTGCCGCAGCGCATTTTCGAACCCGCTCTCGCAGCTCGGACCATGTCACCTGCTCACGTGTGTTCTCAGTCGCGGCAATAATAGCGAGTGCATCCTCGGGGGGATCTGATTGGGGGAACAAGAGGTTTTCAGCGAAGTTCAGTTCGCACCCAGAGAAGAAGGCAGGCTTGGGGAACATTGGAGCAGACTCGTCCAGAACCTGCACACAAAGTCAGCGCCAATTCGCCTCTTTTACCGCGGCTCTACGTACGAATTCGTACTGCTTGTTTGCCTTTATACCTGTATAATGCCAGACCTCCTCCCAGAAAGCACTGGGGTGGTCGACACTCCATTGCCAGATGTCATGGTAAGAGGCTGTAGACACCCCGAACTTGTTTGCGACGTGCTGCTGAAAAGCGTAAAATTCTGTCGTCTCCGGACGAGGATGTCTCCAGAGTTCAAGAGAGCCCTCGGACTCACCGTGTACGCCGTTTGTGGCCATTGCAACCATGTCGGTGAGGGAGGAAAGAAAACGTTGTGGAGAGCCATTGAAAAGAGACTAGGGCTTGCGATTTTGTTTGGGAAAACGAATCGCCGCCAAAACGCCGATTCTCTACGAGCCGCGGTGGGCAGCAACAGATCCCAATTGACGGTTGACCGTTAGGTGCTGACGGAATTCTGTCCGTGATTCAAACTCACACCAACCGGGGTCATTTTGCTGGTGCGTCAGTTTGGGGGGAAAACAACTCGTTCGGAAGAGGGCTGCCAGCACGATCACCGGAATAAGTAGGTGATCGGATAAATCAGGGAAGGAAATATATCACAGGATAAGTCATCACGAAGAACAGGTCCCCGTAAATGCCCAATTATCTGAGACGAAAATGTGAGCCACTGATTGCGGAATCTTCTTCCATTCCATCGATATATGGGTAATATCCAGCTGGAGCTTGCTCATCTCATTCTTCGGGGGAACCGAGAGGAAGCTAGAGCAGATAATATATGTACACACGAGATACCCGTCACCCACCCGTATCCGACTAAATACCTAGGTAGTGATCGGGAAATGCACAGATTTCTGCATGATGATGCCAAGCGGCGCTGGTTGGGCTAGCGTGGCTGGAGCGAGATTCCTGAGCCAATGACGCCCCATTGCAATCTGTGTGCAAATTCTACTGGGCTCCGGGCTCTCTTCCCCCCTTTCAAGTTTAAGTTTAGCCTGCGGTGGCCCCTGATACCCCTATTCATGCTGGCGTATGGCGCCTAAAAGGTCCCCCTCTTTCTTCTTGGGTACCTGGAACACCCCCGTCTGCGTTGAAACGGACGCCCACAGGTGCCCGGCAGTACGAGTAATTTCCTACCAGCCCCCCAAAGGGCTCCAGTTGTTTCAATCAAACCCATCTGGGCCTTGTCAGCAAAATCTTCTCTGTTTCCAGCTTCGCGTGTTTTTCGTGTCGTGTGCACATCTCCTGGGGTTGCCGTCGTCTCTTCCTATTCTGCATCTTTTCTCCTCAACTTTATACCGCACCCTTCTGGCATCCCGATCATCGCTGCTCTCCGCAAAGAGGCATTGGGTGTGCGGCTGAGCGCGGGCGGTTCCTGCAAGGAACAAGCTCCTCGTGTCCAACCACAGCGCGGCGGATCAAGGCGGAATATCTCAGTCATCCGGTCAAACCGGCGTCGAGTGCCCCTTCGTCATACACTCGACAACCTCCTATCGCATGATTCCTTCTTACAGGCGCGGTTAGAAGGTCAAAGCGGCGTTCTGAGCTTCCATCGGGCACTCGCAGTCAAATTTCATCTGCGGTATCCCTCCAACTCTTCCAGTCTACCTCGACCGACCTCGTTTGTTCGCAACCTGCAACAGTACAGTTAGTACCAAGATTGCTGCCGAGCCCTCCATTCGAAAACCATTCATTTTTCTCGGCCCCTACACCGCCACCCGGTCCACGCCCATCATTGGAGAAAAAAGAAGGAATTCGAACAACTTTCGCTACCTGTTGCGCTTGCACGCAACGACGGTGTTCATTACGAAGAACCTTGTGGCGTGAACCAACCCTCCCGTCTTTGAAGAGATCCTTTTGGCCATGCCTCGTCGAGTGTCCGGCTCCCTCCTAAGCAGCTCACCTCCGACCCCCTGGCCGTCCTTTTCGCCGTCAGAAAAGGGCGGCAGCCTCGTCAACAAGACCTCTCAAAAGGCCAGCAAAATTGCTCAGCTTTTCTCGACATCTCCAAAGACAAAAGAAGCCCAGTCGGCTGCTGCAGCGCTGCTAGCGGCTAGCAAAGCTCAAGAACAGGCATTTTTGGCTTCGGGTTCGCCTCCCATAAGCACGCCCTCGCTTTCACTGCCCAGTATCTCCTTGTCAACAGCCCGCGCAGACTCTGTCAATATGGACGAGCCACCCACCACTCTTTTCCAGCCGCCCTCTCCCGCTGAGACGCGCAAGCTGGCCCGACAACATGCTCAATTTGGACCGTTAAATTCCCAGTCTCACAGATACACCAGTCGGCACCAGGGCGGAGAATTTCCAGAACCCGTCATGGACGAACCGCCCTACTACTATCTTTTGACGACCTACATCTCCTATTTGATTCTCATAATCTTCGGGCATGTTAGAGATTTTTTTGGCATGAAACTAAAAGAAGACAATTATCGACACCTCAAGGCGCGGAACGGCTATGCGGCCCTCAATAGTGATTTTGACAATTTTTACGTTCGGCGGCTGAAGATGCGTATCAACGACTGTTTCAATCGACCTACCACCGGAGTTCCTGGAAGATACATTAATTTGCTGGATCGAACATCGGATGATGGGAACGTGCATTTCACCATGACGGGCACCACCACCGAAACCTTGAACATGAGCTCGTACAACTACCTCGGCTTCGCGCAATCGGAAGGTCCGTGTGCTGATTTCGTCGAAGACACGATCAGGAGGTGTGGTCTCTCAACAGCAAGCTCGAGAAGCGAGGTGGGTACTTCTGAGCTGGCCGTCGACTGCGAGGCCCTCATCGCCGAATTTGTTGGCAAGGAATCTGCCATGGTTTTCTCGATGGGTTTCGGAACCAACGCCTCCATTTTCCCTGCCCTGGTTGGAAAGGGTGACTTGATCATTTCCGACGAACTCAACCATGCATCGATCCGATTCGGCTCCAGGCTCTCCGGCGCCATGATCGCGTCGTTCAAGCACAACGACATGAAGGATCTCGAGGGCAAGCTTCGTGAGGCCATTTCTCAAGGGCAACCGCGCACTCATCGCCCCTGGAAGAAGATACTCGTTGTTGTGGAGGGCTTGTACTCGATGGAAGGCACGATGTGCAATCTACCGGGGCTGGTCAGGTTAAAGAAGCGCTACAAGTTTAACCTCTTTGTTGACGAGGCCCATTCGATTGGCGCTTTGGGACCGCGCGGAAGAGGTGTGTGCGACTACTTTGGCATCCACCCTTCCGAAGTGGACATCCTTATGGGTACTCTCACCAAGTCATTTGGTGCCAATGGAGGATATGTGGCCGGTGAGAAGGCTGCCATCGACAAGCTGCGACTATCCAATGCCGGTACCGTGTACGGCGAAACTCCTGCTCCCGCGGTTCTGGCCCAGATCATTGCTGCCCTCAAAATCATTAACGGCGAGCTTGTGCCCGGCCAGGGCGAGGAGAGATTGCAGAGGATCGCCTTCAACTCTCGCTACCTTCGACTGGGTCTCAAGCGCCTCGGGTTTATAGTCTACGGTCACGACGATTCGCCTATCATCCCTCTCATGCTCTACAACCCCGCCAAGATGCCAGCCTTTTCCCACGAGATGCTCAAGCGCAAGATCTCGGTTGTCGTTGTTGGATATCCAGCCACCCCGCTGATCTCCTCCCGAGCACGGTTTTGTGTCTCGGCTGCGCATAACAAGGACGACCTCGACCGACTCCTTGCGGCATGCGACGAGATTGGCAATGTCCTCCAGCTCAAGTTTGCGAGCGGCATCGCTGGCGGTGCTCCTCCTCTCCCTGAGGGCGTGACGTGGGAAATGGAGCAGAGCCGGAAGCGACTGGAAAAGCACGACAAAGTCGCCAAATCGTTGGTGGTGTCGCCTCGATGGGGCTTGGATGAAGTCATCAAGCGTGGCGTTCAGGATGTCAAGGTCCCGCTGCGGTAACGTCTCGACCAGGATGGCTCACATCAGTCAATTCAGTCTGGCACATGGACATATATGTGTACACGTAATGAGCAGGGATGCGAGCGGTTGCAAGATTTTCGATTTTTTCATTTGGGGAAAATAATTTTTCGACCAAACCGTCGCAACAGAGCCGATTGTACATAGAATTTGGGTCTCTGAGAAGGGCGTCGATGGGTGTCTGGAGCCAAGGGGCCGGGCAGGATGAGGGAAGCATTTCAATGCCTGCACAAAGCATGGAGTTTTGACAGTGACGGTCACTGTGGCCATGTTCGACCAAAAAAGAGGTTAGACTCGCCTGAACGATACATTTTATCAATAGCACAAACCTAATAACGTCCACCATCACAAGTTCCCGTGTGATCCCTGATGTTTCTGTCGCGTTCTTTTCCCACCAGGGTGTGGTCGGCTGAGGAGAAATGGATATATGCACAGTACGAAAGTGAGACGAGAGATCTACAAACATGCTCCATAGCAATCGGGCACATCGAAGTGCTTGCATGAACACCTTGGATTCTGGTTTGCCCGCCTGCACACTGATCTTTCGGCCTGCGATGTCGCGCAGGGTCAAGGACATTGCCCCATTCTGCTGGGACGATAGCCTTGTTGTAGCATAGCTTGTCCTTGCCTGGGAAGACACGACCAAGCAAGGGACTTACTACCCAATGGATCTGGGGCAGGTTGCAAGGTAGCTGAGCAGAGCACGAAGTATTCGTCCTCTATCAAAGGCCTCGAACCCGGGACGGGGTTAGATCAGCCAGCGCATTCGACACCCCTACGAGTGGTTGTGCTAGGTGGTCGGGCAATGCACTGCCGGAAAAGAGTTCGGCTGCACTTCGACGAGACCAGGCAGCAGGGACAGGCCTTCCAAGCAGGTCAGCACTATTGAGTCAAGTCTAGTCGCCCAAAAGAGCTAGTAGCCTTGTCGCCACGAAGAGATGGTGTGAAGCCGAGGGGGAGCAATGTGGTGTGTTCAGTGCCGGGGGTCGTCGACACAAATTCGCTGTTGTATTTGTCCATGCTAGAATTTCGAGGATCATTTGCTGGTGAGGGAATTGTACAGGAATGTTTATGTTCTGAACACGTCGTTGCCGGAGACTTTTGGCAACATACAAAGTACCAAGTACAGGACAAGGAGTCAGAGTGTCACGTGGTGGAACTTTTGGGTGCATGGGCCGGGCGCAGGCGCAGGCGCAATAATCTCCTTGCCCGTTTCATCTCACCACATTCATCTTCTCAGCAAGTAATGGCCACCATCTTTCACGCCCCCTCTGGCAAGAGAAATCCTACGCGCCCGACTGCATGATGACTGAACGTGGTTTGGACTGCCATGACCACGGCCACCCCCATTCACAGACGGCTGCAATGACAGCTGTCTCTGATTCGCCCTCACCGTCCTCCAGTCCAATTTCTTCCTAGCCGCGCTACTGCACCTCCTGCATCCTTTCAACGAGAGAATAGCGACACCGCCGTTTCAAGCACTGACCCTGTCCTCTCCCGATCATCCCTCTCCTTGCTGCCTTCCAGAGGCCCCGCAAATCATGTCCCGCAGGTTCCCGTTCCTTGGAGCCCCTGGCCACTCAGACAGGCATGGCTCTCGACCTGCTCTGAGAGACAAGCCAATGTGATCCATGCCTGGTCTGCAAGGCAACCGTCACGAGCATTCATCCTTCTCTCCAGCTAAGAAAAAGGGCGGATCTTCCACACCGGTCACAAGTTACCCTCTTGATCCCCTCCACCTACGAATCCCTCCTCCTCCCTTGACTCAGACAGAACCTGGGGCCACATACCTGGCTGATCCAATAACGGGCGAATACTCTCAGTGTTGAACCGGAGTGCAAAGTCAATTGAAATCTACCTGGCACTCCTCTGACGTTCCGTCTACCGTGCGTGGCCGTTGCATATCATTGACCCATTTCCCCTTGTGTGTTGCCCCACTAAGCTTCCGTTCCTCTTACACACCCGTCCGTTTACTCGTATATCCTTTGCAAAGACGCATCCTCACCAGCAGCAGACTGCGCCTGGCTTGTCCAGCCTTGCGGCTTCGTTAAGCGCAACCATGGAACCTCCAATTCCCCCTGATCACCATTTTGTTCCGGTTGATCCAGATGTTCGTGGTCTCCACGAGCCGTATGGAGAACACTTCGATGACCGCTTCGCCGAAGACCCTGCCTTCTTCGAAGAGCGGGCACCAAGTGTCCATCAACGCTTTGACAGAATGACCTTAAATGATGACCCAGAAGAGATCCGCCCGCGCGCGGATCGCATTCGATCTGCTGACACTATCCCTACCCTCCAAGATTATTTATACTATCGTCTGTCCAAGCGTGGCGACGATTGGAGCTCATGTGTCAAGAAGCCAATCCCAGCCCCGGTGGACGAGATTGAGAGAAAGGCCCGGAGAGGCAAGGGTGGCGATGGCCCGGTGTTAGAGCAGATGACCCGTATGCCCTCACTCCGCCGAAGCATGCTTGAAGAAGTGATCCGAAAGGCCAATGGGCAAGAGACAGGCGATGCCCTTTGGGAAGTTGTCTATATCAAGTCCAAGAGAGTTCAGACAAGGAGGGGTAAAATGGAAGTCCCAGAGATGGATGTCATCCTGGCCCGAACGAGAGACAGGTCAAGGTCACGGGCCAAGTCATTTGGTGGCGAGAAGGTGAGAAAAGTCGAAACCGTCCGAGAGAAGAGGTATATCAACGACAGCTACGGCCGTGTCAGGAAAGATTCAGTTCTCGACAAATTAGAGGATCCCGTCGCGAACCTCCCATTGTTTGAGGCGGATGGCACGCCACGAGACGACCTCGGCCCGATGCATTTCAATAACGCCAACCTCCCTCCATACATCGCAAGAGAGACTCCATTGGGGTCCAAACCCGAGAAGAAGAAGGACAAGGCAGAGAAGAAACGCAGCAAGTCCCGCAGCAAGTCGCGAGACAGAGGTGCTGTGCCTGACGAAGATGGTGTCTACGTGGTGCCGGAAGTGCAAGACTTTGCCACTGACGCTGTTGACCCTGCTCCGGTTGACGCAGTATTCGTGGAGAACCCGACTGACCGTCGCGGTCGTCGCGGGCATTCGCCACAGGAGCATCCGGTGGTCGTTGTTGACGGTGATGCTCGAAGATCTCATTCCCGGCACCGGACGCAGCCAGAGGCACGTTCCAAGTCTCGGCGCCGCGAGTCGGTGCATTTCCCCAATCAGCATACTCAGCAGTATTTTGACGGAGGCTATGCCTCTTCGGAGAACAGCGACACTAGCCATTACGGCTTTGTGGCCGACTACGCAGAAAGCTCCAATACCTCCCTCAGCACACCCGGAGGGGTCCCTCGCCGAGGAAGCCTCGTGTACAGCCAGGGCCGCCCTGACGTCGTGTATAAGAAACATCACCCCGGACCTAGCAGGAGACAGTCGTATGTGGAACGACCATATCAGGGTGAGCAGCAGGTTGTCGTACCAGCAATTCCGCGCCGGAACTCTTATGTCGTCTATGACCAACGGCCGTCTGAGACCCGCCATGAACGCCATCCCCGTCTGATGAGGCAGGCGACGGCGCCTATCCCCGAGGACAGACAGATCGTCTCTCGCGACTTGCCTCGACGATCCAAGGAACAGGATTTCGTACCCATTCGTCGCTACAGCACCCATGAGTCTGCCATGCCGATCGTTCACTATCACCACGCAGAGGACGAACGTGACATCTACTACCGCGACGAACTCGACCGCCAAAGCATCCGCGTCGAGGACTACCAGCGGGATCGCGTCCTTGAGGATCATTTGAGTCGACGCGAACAACAACTAACAGCCCGCGAGAGGGACCTGGACCTCCGCGAAGATGAGCTGAGGCAGGCGAAGAGGCGGAGCGAGCTGGTAGGAGAACGAGAATTCTACGACGACAGGGATCTCAGGAGGGAGAGAAGAGAGCCAAGGAAGCTTTACTATGACGCCAGAACCGGGGAGCACTTTTTCTACAACGATTAGCGCTTGCAGTTCGATGCGAACTCTTCTCCAACGATTACAGCTGGGAGATGTATGTGGTTGTAGGCCTCACGCTGGTCTGGATTTGCGGGATGTTGTCATTTCGGTACGGACTTTCTCGTCGTGGGTTACGGTTCCGCGCAGTCTGAGGGGGCAATTGTTCCTGGGAAAGAAAAAAAAAGGAAGCGTCTCCTTTTCCTCGATATTATTCTACTTTGGAGAGAATTCACGGCTCGCTGCCGTTTCTGGGGCAGGAAGAGAAGATCATTACCTGCCACGCTGGTGAGGAACGCCAACAAAACCGAGAAAACTTTGGCGGTTGTGAGGCGATGGTTTCGTGGACATGGACTGGGATCGCAGCAGAACGAGCGCATGAACGCCTGGAAGTCGGGTGTACAGGTTGATGAAACATCCAACCTACTTCAACGGTGATGTATACGCGACGATTCTGACATGATTGGGATTTGATGGATTTCCTTGTTTCAATTCTCGTTGTCTCTTCTGGAAGATACCCCACCGTTCTTTTTGCTGGGCAGACTGAAGAGCTGATCTGCGTCCTTTTTCTTCGTTTTTTTTTCTGTGTGTTGGAAGAGGCCGGAACGGCGTCAGGTGAAATGAGATGATATGACGATTAGGATTTTGATGTTTGGTGTGTGCGACGCTCCCTCGAGATTGTCGCCTGGAGAGCGTGGAGGAGCGGGCATTCGCAGTGTGTGAAATCGTGTGGAAGACTTGATGTTATTCCCGTAGGAGCGTGGCTGGGTCCACGCATGCTTTTGAATGAGAAGACTGAGGAGACTGAGTGTGAACTTGCACGAGCATGAGCACGAGACTGAGACTGAGACTGAGACTACGACGGTGACTGAGAGAAACAGACTGGTAAATGTGCTCTAAAAGCCTTTGATTAAATGACATATCAACTTTTACCCTCGTTACACTTGTTGGGCTCTTATTTCAGAGGCACTTTCTCTCTTGCGTCTGTCTCTCTTTTCTTACACCTAATTCGTTCGAATGCTCAGTTCTGTTCAGCTGGGCCCTTTGCTCGGTCCTTGACCCTCTGTGCAGTATATAATGGCACCACCCCCTTGGCCGTAAAAACTGCAGTATCTCCCGCACATATTATATGTGTGGTTAAAAGTGTTCGTCGTCTCTCACAAGAACCCGCGCAGGGCTCGCGCCACGGCCCCGACATCCTCAATGACATGCCAATGGCCGACGCCCTCGAGTACCTCCAGCTTGGCGTTGGGCAGCCTCCTGACGTACGTCTCGGCCAGGCTCGTGGGGGAGATCTTGTCGTCCCGGCCGGCGACCAGCAGCGCGGGCATGTCGAGTTTCTCGACGCGGATCGTCGTGTCCTTCGACTTGGCCAGCGCCATGCACCCCTTGGCGTATCCCTCCGGGTGTGTGGCGAGCAGGGACTGGCGCACCGCCGAGACCAGCACAGGCGACTGCTGCTGCGTGCGTGGCGACGTGGCTGCGTGGCTCACCGCCTGGGCTATCCCGGAGGCGTCCATGCCCTTGGCCCGCACGGACGCGGCTCTGTCGCTGAAAACTTTGACGCCCCCGTCAGGGAACGGATTGGGGCCGGGGCCGAGCAGGACCAGTTTGCTCACGGCGGAGCTGTTGCGTTCAGCGAACAGCATGGCGATCAGTCCGCCCAAGGACCAGCCGACGAGGGTGGCTTTCGTGATGCCCTTGGTGGCGAAGAGGTTCTCGAGGTCGGCGACGTAAGACTCCACGCTGACAACCGACGAGGCGGCCGTGGGCGTCAGCCCGTGGCCCTCCAGGTCGTAGAGGACGATGCGGTGTCTCGCGTCGTCGCCGTCGAGGCCGGCTTCCTGGATCAGCGGCGTGTAGTACTCCGACGAGGCGCCCAGGCCGTGGACGAAGACGATCGTGTCCGACCCGGAGCCGATTTCTCGCACGTGGACCAGCTTGTCACCCACGCGCGTCAACGACCCGGCTGCTGCTCCGCCCCACGTGCGCTCGAGGTTGTATACTGGGAGGCTGGATCGGGGCTGGAGCTGGAGTTGCTGTGCCGGTGATCTGGTTTTGTCTGACACGCGGTTGCTGAGCTTTCCGAGGCCCGTCACCGACACCTCGACTAAGGGGGAAAGAAATAGATTTAGAATCAGAATTTGTTTCTTCTTGGGGAAGAGCCCACCGCAAGAAGCACAGAAGAACAAGAAAGAAAGAAGCAGAGACAGGCAGACAGACAGACAGACTCACCTAAATCGCCTGGCTTGAGGAACTTGGGCGGATGGAAGCCGACGCCCACGCCGGCCGGGGTCCCTGTCGCAATAACATCGCCCGCCTGAAGCGTCAAGCCCGCCGAGATGACCTCAATCAGCTTCGGAATCGACGTGATCAGGTCGGCGGTGGTGCCGTCCTGGCGCCTCTCGCCGTTGACGAATGTCTGCACACGTAAAGTCTCTGGCAAAGCGTCCTTGGGGACGGCGACGGGGCCCTGTAGGGTACACAATAGCTGTCAGATTGGATTGAACTCAAAAAGAAGAGGAGGAGGAGCCCTTCTTCCCAACGAATGTACGAGATAGATAATTGCAAGTACTCACCATCGGACAGAATGTATCTGGCGACTTGCCCATCAGGAACTGGCCGTGGTCACGCTGCCTGTCCCGGGCCGTCACATCTGGAAAAAAACGAAGAACATCCGTCGTCAGTTCCGCAAGTACAGGAAAGTCCTGGAGGACGGAGGGATCTACGTGCAGGGCGAGCTAGCTAGCTTACCGTTGATGATCGTATATCCCCAGACATGGTCCATGGCGTCCTTCTCGGCGATGCCGAACCCGGGGGTGCCGATGATGACGCCGACCTCGCCTTCATAGTCCAAACAGTCGGTGAAGCCCGGGTGGGCGTAGATGTCGTCGGTTGCGGCGACGACACTGGTGCTGCGCTTCGTGAAGATGGTTGGGAAGGAGGAGGAAGCTTTGTCGACGTCGTTCGAGTCAGATTATTCTCCCCTTCGTGCATAGAACGCAGACTCGACTCTGCTAGCGTACGTACCTTTCTGCTGTTGATTCTTCTGCCGCTGCTGCCGCTGCTGCGTGTTGTCATACCCGCTCTCTCGGTACTCTTTGACGTGGTCTGCGTAGTTGTTCCCAACGCACACGACGTCCCTGTCGGTAATGGGGGCCAACAGCTTCTTGACGGACGACAGCGGGAAGGATTCGCCTGTCTGTATGATGGTCTCGTGCCCGAGCTCGATCACCTGCTGCAGACTACTCAGAGGAGATCCTGAAGGCATCGCCAATGCGTGCACGACGGAGGTCTCTAGATCCAGGTGTCCGACGCAGGCCCTGCCTAGGTCGTCTTCGAAGGTGACAAAGTTGTGTGGCTTCTTCGTTGATGGCAGTGGCTGCGCCGCAGGCGGTACAGGAGTGACAAAGTCGGCCGGGGACGATTTGTGAATGCGTCCGTTGATCATGATGACGTCCAACTTGTCGTGGTCCTGGAGGACGGCGATGTCCTTCAGCGGGTCGCCGTTGACGAGGAGACAGTCGGCGTAGTACCCCGGCAGGATCTTGCCCAGCTCGTTCTCCTGCATGAAGAGTTTGGCCACGCCCGCTGTGGCGGCGATGATGGACTCCATGGGCGAGAAGTCGAGCAGCTTGACGAAGTGTTCGAGGTCACGGGCGTATGTGCCGTGAGGACACCATGCGAACCCATAGTCGCCACCACTGAGGGGCAGTCGTGTCTGGTCAGTGGAACTGGAAGTGACTAGACGGGACTTGCTTCAGCACCCGGGGAGAAACAACTTACGGAAGAACCGTGATGCCTCTCCTGTTCATCTCCTTCAGCGCCGTGATCGCCACCTCCAGCTCCTTCCTGTAGCCGACCTGCTCGGCTTTCTCAAACGTGTATCCGAAGGGCTCGGCCTCGTGGACGGTCGTGTATAGCCAGTTGATCGCCGGCGCGACCACGTGCTTGTGCTTTGCTTTGGTGAGCATGTTCATGCCCACTTCGTCCGTGTACGATGCTTTGTCCTTTGTTAGAGAGTCAAAGGTTCCAGTGAAGAGAGTGATTGTCTCCTGCACGAACCATGATATATCACGTCCACGCCGTGTTGGACGCATTGGATGACCGAGTCTCGTGCTCGAGCATGAGAACAAACCCTCAAGCCGTGGCGGTGGGCTTGCAAACCGGTTAGCTGGCCGAGAATCAGTGCAGGCAACGGGGACGACCATACCCTCGTCCACACATGCAGCCGTCTCTTCGTCAGAGAAGAAGCACTCTTCAGCGGACCTCGTTTCCGTGATCTAGTCGATATGCATTCAGCAACCTTTTTCCAAGCTGAATATATGCCACAACTCACCGATTCTCCAGACATGCTCAGCTTGATCTGGTCGACCCCTATCCGAGCATGGTGTCTAATGACTTCGCGCATTTCCAGGGGCCCTAGAGGAATGAGCAGTTGGAACTGGCAGTAACTAATTAGAGACTCACCGTCAGCAAACGCCGTGATGCCAGCGGCTAGTTCGCCATCTCTCCGAGCGATCTCACGTCCATTGGCGAGGTAACGAGGACCGGGTATGTCACCCCGGTTGATGGCGTCGCGGACCACACAGTCCAGCCGGTCTTTCGCAGACGCAGCTCCGTAACACCTGAAGAGGTTCAGACCATAGTCACAAATGATGCGACCGAAGTCCGACTTACATTGTGTAGCCAGAGTCGAGGTAGCATAACGCAGATTTGATTGTTATCAACACATGCTCTTCCACACTGACATCACCCAGCAGTTCGAGTGCGTTGTTGTTCCACGTCAAGTGAGTATGTGAGTCGCCCAGTCCTGACATGAGTGTGCGGCCTCGTCCTTGGATCACCCGCACATCAGGTTTGTTTTGAATGTGCTCAACTCGAGGAACGGATCCAACCGCGACAATGCGCTCGCCTAGGTTTCTTGATTAGCCAGTGTCAAAGTGCAGCTCCAGTGGATTTACCTTCGATGTATACATCTCCTCGATATGGTTCTTTGCCCGTAGAATCAATACTGTCGCAGGTCAGTTCGAGATGGAGTTGAACTTCCAATCAAGCAGATAGAGAGCATACATGTTCACATCGAGGAACAATATCTTGGAAGACGGCGACGTCCCTATGGAATCTCGCGTCAGAGAGACACCTCTTTGAGGAGGCGATATACTAACCTGCTATTTCATATCTCTTGGGCTGTAGTTTTGGGTCAAAGTCAAGGTTCTCATACGGATAGCGTGTTGGTGTCGACTTGGGTGTGATGGCCACGTCGTCGTGCCAGCCATTCGCGAGTAAACCAGGAGCCATTGTGGCTAAGGACAAGATCGAGCGTTGTATAGTACCCGAGATGAAGCTGATTAGAACATCCTCCAATACCTTCTCTTGCATCACATCCAGTATATAATCTGACCGACTCCACGTTGTACTCGCCCGTGCTCCCCATGCACCACCCGCACCAGCCGCCCTCCCCGGAGCGTTGCATTGGATCCAGCGACGTAGCTGTTCCGACTCAGTCTGAGTTTTTGATCGACCTCTGATCTTCGATTGGGAGACTGCTGCACAAGTTGTGGTTTCTGGATGGTAGGGTGGATCTGCGGAATGAGAACAGCCGCAATACCCGCAACAGCCGCTTGAGATAGGAGACAGGGAGTATTGCGGTCAAGGACCCCCCTTTTTTGTGCTGGAAGATGAGATGCGGGGATATTCTTGTTCCGCACCATCCATCACGTACCCTGTCAAGTTGGAGGAAGCGTTGGTGCGGAAAAATCAAGCGGTTCAATCCAGAATTGGTCCCAGTTCACGTCACCCAAAGCAGGCGTGTTCCAGAGGACGTCGGCGGACCACTGGTCAGGGAGGTCATCCTCAGGCCCTGCTATACCATTGCCATTGCCATTGCTCATGTGACGGTCTTGTTCCTGGGCAATTCCACTATTGTCCAGGCAGTTTTGGAGCAAGACAATGTCCTGTTCCTTTCGATTCTGTGCAATCCGAACCAATTGTTCGATGGTGGCCAGTGCTTTCTGGGCGATGGGAGTCTTGAAGTGGTTGACCACGGTCCTCAACGTCAATATCGCTTGACCCACGTGGCAGAGTGACTCTTGTGTGTCCATCGCCAGGAGGATGCAGGCAAATTGGAAGGGGACGTTCGAGACGTGCCACCACGGGGAGCTTGCTCGGGTCGCCCTAATCGAGGCCTCGAGGCCCTTACAACCCACCGCAATGACCTGTTCCAAGAGTTGGGGTTTGACGTTGGTAGTGGCAAGACGTAGTCGTCGATAGAGGGTGAAGCAGAGATTGCTCTGTGAGAGCGTCAGCGGGTTGAGGGTGAACTGAAAGCCCGCCACCTGCATCAGGCAATTCTCCAATTCTGCGGGCTCGCTTGGTTTCGAAGGATCGAGCACCTCGGAGAGCTGGAACATGGCGATGAGGTCTGTGGTGGAGTCCCCAGGAGTTGGCGTGGGCGATTGGCAGGAAGCTCCTTGCAAAGAAACTCTTGATCGGCCGTATTCAAAACTGATCCATGAGTTCAGCAGCTTAGCGACCCAAAAGAGCCTCCTTCTCCTCTCGACATCGTGCTCGGAGGGTTCGGCGTCCGAGTAGACCAATGATACGTCGGCCAACTCTCGATGCAGGCCAGCTGCCTCAATGATGTGCATAGTCGTGCAGCTGGCCATCCAAGCTGCGTGTGGGGGACTGTTGCATCGTAGGTAGAGTGTCCGTAACAGCCACGCTTCTGCATCGTGGACAGTCGGGTCTCGCAGCAGACTTGTCGATTCCAGGATCTCCTTGGCACAGTCCACAAGCAGACCTTCGCGATTGTCCGTCCTCTCCGGGGAGAAGAGCGTTGCGAGAGCGGCGATGCCGCATAGGACGTGGTCGTAGGTGTTGGTAGCGTGAGGATCTTGCCATCTCCGGGCTGCTTTTGAGAGCACGATTTCAGGATCGAGGAAACCGTATGGGCGGTGAATCTCCCGAAGATAGACGTCAAACAGGCTGTGCCACTCATCTCTGGTGATGATCCACGTCATGCTCTTTTCCGAGCGGGAGTGGTGGTAATGGATGCCCAGGTTCCAGCCAAAGCCTTGGACCTTTGGGGCGCTGGTCGGATTGAACTTCATGCCCAGGATGTGGGGAAAGACGACGCCAGAGTTTGCCTCCATCGACTGCTCGTTGTGTCCATTGTATTTGATTTCCTTCTCCGGGGATATGGGAAGGGCAGAAATGGGCTGGGAAATGTCGGGCACAAGTTCAAGAGGTGGACGACCCTCAGACAACGACGGGATCCTCGCCACTCTCTTTCTGGGTTGAGTTGTGTAATAGCATTGATACTCGTACCTGGTACATGAGAGGCAGGGTTCGTTCCCATTACACCGACGTTTGCGAGCTTTACAGGGCTCACACGCCTTCCTTGCCCTTCGCCGGCCGCCATCTTCAGCAGCAGGAGCTGGTTCCAAGTGCTCTTGAACCGCGGGCATTGTCTCTCATCGTTAGTGAAGAAGGCTAGGCGAATTACCAGAAGACTGTGCCATCCTCGACCGAAATTGTGCAGTTGGTGCAAAAGGAAGTGGGAAATGAGAAGGAAGCCAATAAGTCAAGCTTAGTTGGTAATAATAAGTACTAACTAAGTGCTAAGATATGTAGCAATATTTGACCCCCGCTCTCCACAACCTTCTAACCCCACAAATTGTCTGGGGCTGCCGAATGCGGATGTATATTGTCAAGGCTTAAATAAAGACCATCAGCTTATATGGTGTTTAGTCCTCAATATAGATCACTACATCATATCCCGTGTACTCAATATTCTTCCCTTTACTCACTCATTACATCCTTCTTTTCTCCTTTCCCGAGAGCCTCTTTCTCGAGATGCACAGCAGTATGGTTCGTGAAGTAGGGAGAAGGGTCGCGCACAAATATCGCCAGACCACAGGCGATGAGTCCAAAGGGAATGGTGGCCAGCCAAGTGATTCGAAAGGCATCGGCCCACCCCAGCTGGTAGCCCTCCAGAGCCTTGCTGAGAATCTCAGGACTCAGGCCCAAGGGTTTCGTCGCGCCGTCTGCTATCGCGGAGACCAGAGATGAGACCTTGTCGGCGGGATACCCCATAGGGACCACGGCCGAAGCCACTCGCGAAATGGTACTGCCAGACGCACGGTTACTCAAGATTGTAGAGAAGACGGTCGTGCCCACAGCACTGCCCAGGAACCGAAAGGTGCCAATCAGACCGAGTGCCAGGCCCAAGTCTTCCTGTGGGACGTGGAGAGATGCCGTGATATAGCAAGCGAGGGTGATCCAAGCAAAGGGAGCATTGGCAAAGAGCTGAAAGACCAGCAGCTTGGCGACCTGGCCTGGCCAACAAATCGACTGTAATGCCGTGAAGATCGTCTGGACCGCGATTGCAAATGTCAGCTGCCAGTGGACGTGCTTGATCTTGGAGATTAGTCCACCAAGGAAGACGCCTCCCGCAGCCCCGCCAAAGCCTCCAGGGATGTTGTAGACCCCAGCCAGGGTGGCGTCACCCGTCAAGGTGTAAACAATCTGCTGCGGCATCAAGGTCGTGAGAGTGAAGTAGACAACGCCCGTCACAAAGATAATGACGAGGAGAAAAGTGTATTCCCTGACCATCGCAAACAACCAGCGGGGAAACAGAGGTCTTCGAGCCCTGCCACTGAAATCCCAGACGAAAGTACAGACGAACAACACCGCTCCCACGAGAAGAGGGGCCAGCACATGGGCACTGTTCCAGGCATATGACGTGCCTGCCCAACCAAGACCAAGAAGGAACAGCGTCAGCCCCGAGACGTAGAAGAACAACCCGACATAGTCCAGCTGGGCTAAGATTTGCCTGCGTGAATATTCCCGAATGGGCCGAGCAGGAGGGAAGTAGAAGGCGGCTGTACCTGCCAACGAAATGACTCCAGTAATGATCCCTAGGTAGAAGATCCATTTCCAAGTTGCTCGAGCGACGAACTCCCTAGCAATCAATGGCGCCAACGTCGTGAAGGGAAGGAGGTTGAGCTCAGTCCAGGCTAGACCATACGGTCGGTACTTATTGGGAAGTATTTCTGAGATCCCAGGGTAGAGAATGAACGTGGTGCCAGTTCCAAACCCCAGGATTACCATTGCGGCGATGCATTGCTCGAGGCTCTGTGCTGTGGCGCCGATGATATGGCCCAAGACGAGGAGGCCTTGACCAAACATCAAGAGGTATCTCCGGCCAAAGTAGTCACTCATCTGTCCTGCAAGTGCAAAGGCAATGCTACCAGCGAGCGACCAGCCCGATGCCAGCCAGTTGGAGTTGTAGGTTGATCCCTGTAGCTCCATCGCGATGGGTACGATGACGGGGAATACAAACAAACAGGTGAAGGTGAGGGAGGGCTGGAAGGTAAATCCCAGGAAGAAGACGGCAAGGTAAGTGGACGTGGTGACATGGATCTCGGCATCAGCGTCTCTCAATGCTGCTTCGTGGGCGTCATGCTTCTTTGAGACGACAGACCGGTCAGGGGCTTGTTGAGCTTCAAGATGGTCGGCTGTAGCCCCGGATTTGGAAACTGGCTGCAGCTCCATTGTGGCGATATGTTTGAGGAGAATCTCGACATTGTACATTGTGGAGGATCATGTTATTATAATACATGCCATGGTCCGTCGGGCCTATCACCAAATCGATATTTGCAAAGGAGGGCAACGGTTGATGCGGGAGTTGCGGGTAACCATTGTGAACAACTGGTATTCAGAGGCGGAAGACCACTTACACAGGACCGCATTCCCTTTTGCCCAGTATATTCATTTCCTCGGCTTGGGATAAGGGTTCTCGACGCCTTCGGCCCGCCCGACTCTCAAACCAGGAAGCCATTTTCGGTTGCCTTGAAGGTCATGTAGCTTGTGAAATTGCCCTAACAAGTTCCTGGTGTGAGTGTGTATCGGCCATGGTCGGGCTCCATCGATGACTTACACGAACAGTCTTTTCCAGCAAATGACCTGATGACGGTGTCTCCGCCGGGATGTTTGTTCACAAAACTTGTACAATCATAGACTATCTCGTCGATAACGATCCCTAATATAGTATTTCAGCACGGTAGTCAACTCAGATACTCAAATTTGAACTTACAGATGTCTGGACAAGATTTCCCATTCCTCCTTGAGACCTCAATTGCGGGTATTGATGGTAGATCCTGGTTCGACACCCCCCTTGGAACAATTTGATATTCACCAGTGCAGGATTTCAACTTTTCACCCGGTTGTAGCGTCTTCTCTCCGATTATCCCCCCTTTGGAAAACATGTCTTCTTGACGGCGATAAAGGTTGATTGTCTGAGAACCACCGGACGAAGTTGCTCAACTTGAGACGGGTAGAACACAAGACCGTTAGACATATTCTAGCAAAAGGCCGCGTGCCCATTCAGGATTACTTTCTCCAACGTTCTGGAGAAACATGGCCGATCTACTGCTGTGCAAGTCAGGACTGAGCGGGTACGGGGGCTATTGCGGCTACTGCGGCAATTGCCAGCTCCACCGCGAATTGAGCCTTGTATAGACGGCGCAGTCAAGATGTGGACGGTGTCATTGGCGAGAATGATATGTGCCGACACCTCAGGTGGCAGCACTAGTCCTTTGGAGTGAGGATTCCTGCTGAGAGGGCTAGATGTGGCATTTTCACAAAGGGAGTTGCCCGTGATGTCTTGGTTGCTCGCGCAGCAAGAGCTCTTCATTCTGTGTTGCAGGCACGTCAGGGATACGGCCACGTTGCCATTCGCTGTCGTCTCTGGAACAATCTCAGACAGTTGTGGGTGATAGTAGGTGGTAAGAGCAAGCGGAGGAGAGAGAGAGAGAGGGAAGGAGGCAAGTAGAGCAGACACGCTGCACGCGGTCGTGGCATTGTCTAAAAGCGGCGATGGCTCGTTTGACTTGCCAATCTGAGCCACAAATCAGTTCGTTCCCACCGGTGCCCCGGACCTCCTCGTCTTCATCCTAGGATATAGTTTGATCACCGGGAACCCAGGCAAAGAAACCCCCCTTTTTTCCCACAGCCCCCTTCGAAGCTAGCATAGGTGCCGAACATACTCGCTTGGGCTCTAGCTCATCGCCCTTGGCGCCAACTGCCACGTGGTGACTTGCACCGTTTCTCGGCTCGATCGAGCCGCCTGGTTCCCTCGTGCGGCACGCATGGTGCAGAACCCCCAGACTCCTTGTGCTCGCCTATTCCGAGATATGCCCTTTTCCCACCCAGGTTCCGACGGGTGTAGTTCGGAAAAATGGGAACGTGAGGGCATCCCATGAGGTCCTCCGATCTTACGGCAGCCTTGCCCGTGGTAGTCGATAGTTCTCGGCGGCTGACAACACTGAGACGTGCTCTGCATAAGCAGCAAAGGTAAGCTCGGCCAGCACGGCTAGCTCGCTGGTCAGCTAATATGGGCGAGTATGGTGGTTACAAAGTGGACAGAAGGAGAGAAAACGCCGGCCACATAGAGCTCGCCACATCACAAAAAAGCGTCATCGGCCTCAAGAGGCCTTGAGCAGTAAATTCATATTTTACGTTCAATCTCTCTGAACATCGCTTGACCTGCAAAACACAAGATCAAAACGTGGTCAAGTTCCCGATAGGGATATATTCAGTCTGCCTTCGGAGTGTACCGGAACGACTGCCTATTTTCAGAGCGGTATTTGGTAGGCGGAAGAACCTTTATGAAACGTCTGCCTCCCCGAGTGGAATGGTGATAGATTACGTAGCCGTCTTCTCCGGCTGCTCCAGGTCGACAGCCTTGCTTTCGTGGTGGCCTTCTCCGAGAACATTCTTTTCCATGTGTACTGCCGTATGGTTCGTCAGGTATTCCGAGGCATCCTTGATGAAGAGTGCAGTAATAATGGCAATCACACCAAAAGGAATGGTGCTGTAGAAGACCCGCTGATACGCATATCCGTATGCTCCCTTGTAGGCTTCTGCAGTCGCAGAGATGAGAGCGGGAGTGGCCCCTTGAACTTTTGCGAAGGCGTCGGGAATCCCCCTGGCGTTATTGGTGACCGCCGTCACTAGGCCTTCCACTGCATCTGCATTGCCCTTGAATCCGTTGGCTGTGGCTGCTTTCAAGATGCGTGGCACAAGCTGGTCGTTGAGAACGCCGTTTCTGATGGTGTTGAAAATGGCAATGCCAACGCTGCCTCCGGTATTGCGGAAAGTCCCCACCAAGCCCGACGCAATTCCAAGATCCTTGTGCGGCACATGGAGCCCAACGACGACGTAGCAGCAGAGAGTGATCCACGAGAAACACATCATGCCGAAAAGCTGGAAGATGACCCATGCGGTTTTGTGGTGCGGGATGATTCCGTAAGCGTACAGGGCCGAGAACAGGGTTTGGAGGAAAAGGGCGAAAACAATTTGAGCTCGAATGTTCTTGATTTTGTGAATCAAAGAAGGGAGGACAGCGCCTCCGATGAATTGGCCGATACCATTCGGAATCAGGGCGACACCGAGCTTGATCGGGTCGCTGTCGTACACCGACTCGGTGGCTTGAGGGAGCAGGGAGACCATGGCGAAGAAGACCAGTCCCGAGACAAAAAGCGCAACCAGCAAGATGGTGAATTCCCGGACCATGCGGAATATGTGGAGCGGCATCAACGGTAGCTTCGGCTTCACGGTCCAGTCGTAGATAAATGTGCCAATGAAGATCAAGGCTCCAAGAACGATTGGCGCAACCACAGAGGCAGAATGCCACGCATGGCCCTCCTCGCCAGCCCAGCTCATTCCAATCAGGAAAACAGTTAAGCCTCCAGCGTAGAGGTAGTAGCCGATAAAATCCAGCTCCATGAACTCTTGCCAGCGGGTCTTGTCGTAGTCTTTACGCGGGCGAGCTGGCGGAAAGTAGAAGATGGCCGTTCCGACCAGACAGACCGCCGCATAGATGATTGACAGATAGTACACCCACCGCCACGTCGCATGTTCATTCAGTTGATTGGCGAGGAGAGTTGCGAGTAGACCCCATGGGATAGTAATGCAGAATTCAGTCCATGCTAAACCCATGCCACTATTTGCCAGAATTAGCGATCATCCAAGGCGTTGTTTTACGAACGGAAAGGAGAGCAGCGCCCGGTTGACATACCGGTACTTGTTGGGCAGGATCTCAGGAATTCCGGCGTAAGCAACGAAAACGAGACCGGCACCGAAGCCAACAATGGCAGATCCAGCGATGACATGTTTCGTGGTTTGAGCAGTGGCGGCGACGATGGCTCCAACAATGTTGAGAGCTTGCCCACCCATAATAACGTATCGACGGCCGAATATGTCGCTCAAACCACCTCCCAGGGACATACTGACTGCCGAGGTGACTGACCAGGAGGAGGCTATCCAGCTGATCGGCTCCAAATCGCCCAACGCGGTTCCGATTGGGACCAGGATGGACGACGCCAAAAGGAACGCAGTCGAAATGCATCCTGAGAAGGACAGGCCCATGAACTACATTTCCACGGTTCTGGTAAGCCAGCGTTGGAACATGGCACGCTCTTGTTTGTTGCAACTTACAAAAACGGCCATGATGGTGGACCAAGAGACATGTTGAGCGGTCTCGGGATTGTCCTCGAGGGCAGCTCGATGGGGATCATCCTCAATGTCCTCGGTGGCCTCCACGGGTGGTGGTGCCACCTCGCTATGTCTGGGGACAGCCTCGATCTCTTCGGTCTTGTTACCCATCTCTTTCGTTGCAGCTTCTTCGGCCATGATGTTCAAAGTGTAATGCTACCTCACGAGTACCACGGGGAGAGCGTCTCTGAAGTAGAAGGTCAGACCACATATCATGCGGACATGGGATGCTTTTGCATTTGAAACCCCAGACCCCAGACAGGCATTCCGGGGAAACGACGGGGACGACCCACGACACAGACATAACATGAGTCGACCTATATTTTGGACGGCCTGGATCCGTGGCGCGTGCGATAAGATGGAGACGGTACGGAGAATGGCCGGGAACAGCTGGTTTCGGGCCCTCAGATTATTTCTTGGGGTGGATGCGAGGTGCGGAGGTGATTTGTCGGGGCCCCAATCAGCGGCTGGATTTCTCCGCATGCTGGATGGCGGTTGATGACCAGAGGAGAGCTTCATTGCTGGATACTGGTGGAGGCCTCGCTTATGCAATCTCGCGATAAGCCCACGTTCAAGGGCCTTTGCCACGCTTACAGCTCTGCATCTGATAGACAAGCAAGTCGACCTGCATCTTTTCATGCATTCATCCGAACAGAGAGAATCCAGGTCAACTCCAAGGAATATGTGCGAGGCCAAAACCTGTGGTGGTGCCAAGGCGCCAATGCCGCGGAACCTCCCGGAAGCTTGTAAGCTTAAACTCCACGGGGCAACTTGCAAAGCGGCCAAGACTTGCCAAGTCATTTCTCAGCCGCCAGCCGCCCTCAGCCGTTCAGTGCCACCCGCTCTGCCCCCGACTCCCTTCGGTGAGGTTGGTACAAGAGGTTCATCGGATCCTGCACCCCCCTAGATCTGTCGGCTCTCGGCCGTCCTGAAAGTGGATTTCAACGTCGGACAACATCGCCGGGCTGGTCATCTGGCCGTGTATCGAAGCCTTGCTGCCTCAAATGCCTTCTCATTCCCTCGGGTAAGGATTGGTATGGGGAGAAACCGACACAATCGATCCTTCTGTGGGTTAAAATGTCTTGCAGAAACCACGGCCCAGAATTCTAGCGGATATGTCTCACTCCCGGTCAACCCCCACGACTGGAAAGTAGGTAGCTCCAGGATGAATAGCAGGAGGCCTTGCACAACGCCCTGCATATCACAAGGCGCGTGCACTGGACTATCTCTGCAAGGAAAACCTCTTTCTTCTTCATGTCGCGCTCGTCGGCAAATCATCGGTGGTGGAGGAGAACAATATCAAGGGAGCTCCTTTCATTCCACAGAGAACAATACTAAGCACCGGCTTTGTCCCGAACCTTGGATTAACCCCTTTTCTGACAGTTCTCCCACCTATGCCAGCGCCGTCGTCTTGGGAACCAATCTCAAGGGCGTCTTGGCTCTTCGAAAGCGGTAGGAAACGTTTGTTCGAAGCCCTCTCTGCTGCCGTTCAAACAAAGCCTCGTTCTCCCAGAGAGGCTCTACTACGGGCATCGTGCTTTACATAAATCGCAATGATGGATGCTAAATCCCTTCGGGCAATCTCACCATCTTTAAGGTATTTCTATTGGCTTGCGCACTAACGCACTACACAAATGGTTGTTATTAAACATGCAGTGGCCTTCATGGCCTTCCTCGCTACTATGACCGCCGCCTCGCCTACTTCTACTCAATGGCAAAGGTCGGATGCCTCGGATACTGGAGTTGCGCACTATGGCAAGCCCAGTGGCACTGCCGCAGGTGGCAACATGGGAAGCCAGGATGCCGGTGACTGGCAGCACTCGCCAACAGGTCACATCGAGGAAGATGAACATGACGGCTCCTTCCAGGAGAACGATGACACCTTCAAACAGCATCACCCACGCAGTGCCGATGTGCTTGAGACATTTCGGAGGATGGCACAGCAAAAAGACGACCACGACCACCACGGCGATAGCCATGGCAACGACCAAAACATGGAGGGTGCATCGCGCAACGACGCGGAAAGTGGCGAGGACGGGAAGGGTAAATACCATGATACCCGGGCGACGACTGAAAGAGGAGTCTACGAGTGTTCAGGTCAAAACTGGCAGCACCCGTGTGTATGGACTCCATTAAAAGAAGGGCAATGCTATAACAGGTCAGTGACGGGCAGTTGATGCAGCCCACGGATGAGATCCAAGAAGTATGCTGACATTCGGTACAATAGGTTGTACGGACGCCTTGGCTCCATGGGCCCCGACAACGGGCTATCCTGCACCATCTACGAGCAACCAAATTGTAATGACCATGGCTGGAATACATGCGGGCCCTTCGTGTACCCTGGTATCCCAAACTATCAGACCAGCCACTTGCTGCTATACAACGGGATGTCTGACGATGGTATATTCAGCATCAAGTGCAAGGTCAGTGCTGACTATGAATCGAAGTCGATGACGAATGCTGATATACAACAGTATACTTAATGGACCTGACACCTATCATTGATCCAGCGGGCCTGGATGGACCTAGAGTTGAACTGCATTACGGAGTTGTTGCTGTGGACGCATAGCAAAAACGTCGGGTCTAGAAGGTGAATGTTTGCTGTTTGGGTGTCAGGCAGCCGACATGGCATTCAGATGGCATTTCATCGTCGTATCTATGCAGTCCTCTCGAGTTGTCGATAGGAAAATAGTGTCTTCAGCCTGATGACCTTGGTGATTCTATTGACTTTACCTCCTTCATGCAAGGCTGTGATGGGCGCCACTAGCCGCCACCTTGCAGCGCCACATATGACGTCGATCGGCCCTATCGTGATCCCTCTTTTCGATCTTGGAGTATCTTTCCCATTCTCTCAAACCCCTTCTCAAGCCACCGATCGGCAGTGACAATCGTCATCGGTCAGCAGGCTTGACCCCGACTCGATGGCCAGCAGTCAAGAAACAGGTTTCAGACCACGGTGAGTATATTTCCATTGGCTGCTCGTCTTTGACCTAGCCAGTCTCTCATCCCCGGTCCGTTCCCAACTTGTTCAGACCTTTGATCTAAAGAGGCTGTGTAAGTATAGCACGGACGTTGACGGGGAGGACCCTGTATGACATCGTTGGTTCGCACTTGCTGCTATTTGCTGTCCCATCCGCAGTAAGAGCTCAGACACTCCGCTCTGGTGGGTATATAGTCGCGGATTCTTCTTCCCAAGTTCTTGTGATTCACCACCACCGAATCGAATATCAATCCCCTCAAGCTCTCTTACTTCAACGTTCCAAACCACCACGAAAATCACGATAACAAATCAGAAATCATGAACTCCCTCCGATCAGCGGGCAACTGGATCTCCAACAAGGTCCAGGGCGGCGCCCACTCTGCCAGCAAGGAGACCAACAAGCAGTATGTCATCCCCGACCTTCACTGGGCTTATCTGGTTTGATCAAACAAATCCTAACACCGCATGCAGGATTGCCAAAGACCCCAATGTCCGAACCTCCACTCGCGTGCGAGCCGCGGGCAACGCCATGAAGGACAAGGTCCACGAGACGAACCACAACCGCCAGGCAGATGTGAATAGGCATGCGGCCAAGCATAACTACTGATCCGCCAACCCCACATTCTTGATGTTTGAACATTGAAGCCCTGTGGGACGACGAGAGGCGATCCCTCGCGAACAAAGGCTGGTTGTTCATTCTCAGGATGGCTTGCAAGAAATAAGTAACCGTCCTGCAGATGATGATGCTGATGATATGATATCCTTGTATTACTACGATTGTGCGGGCTCTTGTTTTCAATAGACCAAGATTGAATGATTGATTGACGAATACTGCAACCTAAAACCCTATTCTCGGCTTCTGTCTCCTTGCTGTTTAGACTGCGTGGAAATCAGTCGTATCAGATCTATAGCAGCGCGTGGTGGGTCCCGTGCACGCTGCTTCGTACGTTTAACGCGAACAGCTGTTCTGTGACATAGAGAAACAGTTATCGTAAGAGCGACGAGGTCCTGATCGTGTGTACCATGCTGGTCAGTCTCGCCAAAACGGGAAAACTGAGCAATCATGATGTGGTCCTTTGTTTGCTTCTGATTGAATCGTGTTGTTGTCGATATGTACATCATGCCCAAGTGCCTCCCTTCACAAAATTCACGGGCAAAGCTTCACGTGCGTCTCAGAGCTTTCTCGGCATCACCCTTTGCTATGCTCTTCTCGGTATTCTGGGCCGATCTTCAGCATTCCCACAGCATGTCGCTTGTCCAGCTTCTTCCTTCTGCAGCTCCTACCCCATCGCTTATTTCGTCTTGATATGCTTCAACCGCGGACCGGGCTCGTGTAAGAAATTGTTCGCGTAGGCCTTGGGCACAAACCGCCTCTCCTGCGGCTCCTGCACGTACCACTCGTAGCCCTGTTTCTCCGCAAACGCGATCGCATCCTCTTTCGTCTTGAAGTTCACCTTGGTGCCCTGCATGAAGTCGCCCGACGACTGCCAGCCCATCAGCGGGTTTTCCCAGCGGTGGCCCTTGCCGAGGACGTCCCAGTCCATCCGCCAGGCGTGGGAGCCCCAGGTGCCGGACTGTGTGGCGGGCTTAACGGGTTTGTAGATCCTGGACAAGGTTGTCAACTTTCCAGACGTGGTGGAAAACCGGCGAAGAGGGTTGTCTTACCTGACTGTGCGAGCTTGGAGGTCCACGGGAGCCCCAGACAAGACCGCAGCGGGTGTGACGTGCCCGGGCTCGCTCCCGTTCATCACCCTCCTCGGCACCGGCGAATATGTGGAGGTTCCGTGGTCGACCATCGCAGTGTAGTCGGGCTGGTGGTCAGGATGGTATTTCTCGACCGCGGGCTCGGGTTTATGGTCAACCTCGACCATCGAGGCCTGGTCTTCGGTCATCTGCATAGCTTGGACGTCCGGGATGGCTCGAGGGTCGGGCTCGCCCAGCCGTCGCTGCGGGGCCTGCGACAGGCATCGTGTCAATCTCGGGGCCTGCGAGTATGTTCGTAAGAGCCGCATTGAGCACTGTACGGGTAGGAGCGCCATCTTGAGCTGTCGACGTGGAATGGTGACGGAAGTAGTGGAGGTCACAGTCGAACGTCAAAGCGCAATTGACAAACGCCAAGCCAAGCTGCTGGCGGAGCACCCTTTTCGGGAAGAGAATAACGCCGCCCTACGATCGCCCAGAACCAATCTTCGCGGAGCCAGAGTCGTCGCTCGGGAGTCATAAAAGCAGCGACACCGGTATACCGGTTTTGGAACAACCTTGGCTTCATTCTTTGGAGACGAGCTTCCCTCCTCCACAACTCATATCTACCTCACATGTCGTTGCATCTATATGTTAATTTGCGGTTGGTATAGTCAAATCTTGCTATTTTTCATACCACGCTTCTTGACCTGCCTTCCTTCCTGGAATCGAAAGAGAACTGGTCAAGGGTTCGAGGAGGAAAGAATCAGGCGCGAGACAGGCTGAGCTGGTGAGGATCGACAGAGGTTTCGTCGGCGTCCATAGCGATAGAACCTGCTTTGCCAACGGTGCCTGCCTGTCCATCATCTTTTCGGTTCAGTAGTTGCCCCAATGGTGCCGTCAGCACCTCTATGTCCTGGCACGATCAAAGTCACACGGTCTCAATTCGGCCTGGCATTGAGCAGCAGATTGTGTGGTCTGATGTCTCCGTGCACGAATCCGATTTTTTCGAACCCACTGACATCCAGGCATAACTGACCTATGTATCGAATGATGGTTTGTGGTTCGATGTCTTGTGTGGCTTGAAGGACTGGCACACCACCTTGGGCGCGGGACTTGGTGTTGGTTAAGAAGCATGGCGATACTTCCCTCTTCGGCATACTCCATGAACGCGTTCGGCGGCCTGCGAATAAAACACTCGATGAAATATTGGATTGGGCGGACTGGTGTTCAAAGATGGCTTGTTCGTGGGCATGGACGGTCTCCTCCTCAGCCCCTTTCCCGTAATGGACACGCAACGGAGGGGCATTTATAGAGATCAAAATCCAGGATATGGAAAAATATGAGCGGAAACTTAGAGGACTGTTGGACTAGCCGCCTAATCCAAATTGTCCGTCACAATCCACCAGAATGTCGTGTTGGCCGCCGATGTCCCTCGATATAAGGGCAGAGTGAGATTTGGGTTGACGCCGTAATTGACGTGACCATCCCGAAGGAGGTCCACGAGTCCAACTTTCAAACTCATGCTGCCCATCGGAAGCGAAGGCGCCTTTGATAAGGGGCCTTTGATAGCCGAGAGCAGGGTTAAGATTCTTGCACACGCTCTATTGGCTAACGGTATGTTGTTAAGTGGCACTAGCTCTCCGGGTATATTCTGTATATACATATATCGGTGGGCTATAACGGTGGCAGCCGAACTAGACTGTAGGTAGCTAGTCTATTCTATAGCTGCGAGGGATAAGACTTATAACGAGGCTAGTCTCGATATAGCCAAATAATTTCACTTCTTTACAAAACCAGCAGCAGACCCCAAGGCTTCCCAGATGGGTCAGGGGACACAAACGTTACCAGAGAGGCTGTATGTCTCAAATGCGTTATACAGCTTCTTTAGGGTTTCCTTGACTTGCCTCTGATGAATGCTGAAGCTGGTTGGCAGCATGAGGCACACCAATATAACTTCCCGTCTTCCCTCCTCAATGCATTGCCGAAGTTGCATGCAATATCGCAATGTCCCAGACGGCTATTGTCTTGCTCTAGATACCGGCTCTGGTCTGTACTCTCGGAAATTCAAATACTGCCGCACTCAACTTAGCTGAGGAGTGCCCGAGTTGGCCGTGGTCGGGGTATCGAGGTGTGAGTCATAACGAGGCCAAGGTATCATCTTAACGTATTAGTGATATACGAACCAATATATCCACCACGTCCTTGACCACCTCCGAGCCGTGTCTTGCAATACATTTTCGTCTGCTGAAGCACTGAAATCATACTAGGAGCGAGCCAATATGTCACCGCAGCTCTCCTTCGTGACGCTCGACGTCTTCACCTCGACGCGGTACACGGGCAACCCGCTGGCCCTGGTCAAAGTCCCACAGCGCGTGACACTTTCCCAGAGCCAGAAGCAATGCATCGCGCGCGAGTTCAATCTCTCAGAAACGGTTTTCCTGCACGAGCAGACGCCCGCGGACCGTGACGTCGACGACCACGCCGTGCGGGTCGACATCTTCACCGCTCACGCCGAGGTGCCCTTCGCGGGCCACCCGACGGTCGGGGCGGCGAACTATCTGCTCCGTCTCGGAGGAGATGACGACGACGATGGAGCGGCGAGCAAGAAGCAGGTGAAGGCCCTGCGCGCGAAAGCCGGTCGGATCCCCATCGTCCTGAACCCAGCTGCCGCCAATGGCGTCCAGATTTCCGTCGCCCACGACCTGCATGTCCACACGTCGCGGCCGTACGCGGAGACGCCGCTCGCCCACCACCCGGTAGTCAGCATCGTCAAGGGCATGACCTTCATCCTGGCGCGGCTGCCTGATCTGGCCGCCCTCGCGGCTGCGACTGAGAGCCTGATCGAGCCGAACGCGACGTACACGGCGGCGACGACGGATCTCCTGGACGAAGGCTGGCGCGAGGGCCTTGTGGTGACGTATTTCTTCGTCGATGAGCAGCCGAGTCCCCAGCTCTCAAAAGACGAGACCAGTGTCCGGACCCTACGGACACGCTGTCTCGGCGAGCGCGAGGATCCCGCCACGGGGAGCGCCGCTTGCGCCTTGACCGCGTACCTGTCCCTGCAGGCCGGGAAGGCCGGACGGTACCGGTACGCGATCGTGCAGGGCGTGGAGATGGGCCAGCGCAGCGAAATCTACGTCGAGGTCGGCGTCAGGGCCGCTTCACACGACGGCCGGCTGCAGATCGAGGAGGTGCTCTTGAGCGGGAGTGCCGTGCAGGTCATGCAGGGGTCGTTGGTTGTTCCTGCGCCGGAGGACTGAGGTTATTATTTATCCAATGCCGTGATGATGCGTGCTCTGTGATTGCGCTGTACGGCTGGCGCACATACTAGAGCTGTCGCAAAGCTGTGTGACGAAGTTGTATTAGAATATCAAATCTGCTACAATGTAAAAGGCAAAGCTGGGAGACACTTCAACCCTGTCTAACCTGAATGGCTTGACTTGGAAAATGTGGCACGAGCGAAAGGCGAACGCATAACTGAACACGGAGTTCATCAATTGAAAGTTAATTGCATTCACTTTATTAGAGCTAATGTGCTGGAGATGTCTGACTCTGATATTTAATTTGAGCAACTTTTCCACAATCATGGACTGATACTTCAGTAAACCCTGAACACTAACAAGTCTCACCATTGGCTTAGATGGACACCTGCTCCGCGTAACCATCCAGTTCTCTGGGGAAATTCCGATGCTGGGAGATGTTCCAGAAGAACTTGCTCGTGAAGTCCTTTGCTTCCTTCACCATCTTGACGTTATCCTTCACACTGCTGCCCGTGTCAGGCTTCTGGGCCGTGACGACACCGTACCAGTCCACAATGTCATCGCTTCCTTCAGACGCTAGAGTTACATTCTGGACCTCGGTCAGAGCGGCGTGCACAAATTTTACGCCCTCGCCAACGGCCCCAATAGCCTTCAGGTGACCGAAAGCTTCTTTGACCCAGAATCGTGCCAAGGCAATCTCTTTCAGCGTGTTAGCGGATTCGGCGCCGCCGGGGATGAACAAGGCGTCGAACATCGTGGATCGCTGGCCGTTCAGGAAGTGGTCGGGCTTCACCTGCGACGAACCATCGGAGGCCACGATAGGCTGGCGTCTCGTCCCGATTGTCCACGGAACAGCGCTCTGTGCCAGGACTGCTGCCTTCATGGACTCGTAGGCCTTGATATCGAACCCGTCGGCAATCAAAATGGCAACACGGCGGCCTTTGATGGTCGGCTCCTGCGGCATGTAGTCAAATTGGCTGAGACCCTTGGCCTTCTTGCCATGGTTCGGGACGGCCTGTTTTTCAGGCGTCTTCGCACCGCAGTTCTTGGCCACGGCCTGGGCGAGCGACAGGTCGATCTCCGCCAAGCGGGTGACTAGGCGTTCGTAGACGACGTCGTCATCGCAGTGGTCCAACTCAAAGGAAAAGGCCTCAATCATGTGCTTCTTCTCGATGTCGGACATAGAGTTGAAGAATAGTTGCGCTTGCGACAGATAGTCCTTCCATTTCTCGGTGAGTTTTCGGGCCTTGACACCAGGGTACTGTGCTGGATATGACTCGAATCCGCCTGTGCCGCTGTGGCTAGTTGGTGGGTTGGCTTCCCATCTATTGGGCCAGTAGTTGGCCTTCCCTTTGGTGATTGTGTGACGGAGCTGGCCATCTCGGTTAAAGTTTAGAACTGGGCAGACTGGACGGTTGATGGGCAGCTCTTCCCAGTTCACACCCAACCGGGTAATTTGAGTGTCTTGGTAGGAGAAGTTTCGACCCTGCAGCAGGGGATCTTCGCTAAAGTCGATGCCAGGGACGATGTGGCTGGTGCAAAAAGCCACCTGCTCGGTCTCGGCAAAGTACTCGTCAACGTTGCGGTTGAGCTCCAATTCACCAATGTAGCGAATAGGCACTTGCTCCTCGGGCCAGACCTTGGTGGCATCGAGGATGTCAAAGTCGAATTTATCTTGCTCACCGTCCTTGATGCATTGTATTCCGAACTTCCATTTCGGGTACGCCCCGTTCTCGATGGCCTCCCACAGATCCTTGCGATGGAAGTCTGGGTCTTGACCCGCCAATTTCAGGGCCTCGTCCCAAACCAATGAATGCACGCCAAGTTCCGGTGTCCAGATGAACTTGCAATAAGTTCTCTCCCCCTTTGCATTGATGAGCGCAAAGGTGTTGACGCCGAAACCCTGGATCATGCGGTAGGAACGAGGAATGCCTCTGTCGGACATGGCCCAACAGAACATGTGGGTTGCTTCCTTGTGCAGAAACACGAAATCCCAGAAATTGTTGTGAGCGGTTTGCCCTTGTGGGACTTCATTGTCCGGCTCCGGTTTGACGGCGTGAATGAGATCCGGGAACTAAGCAAAGCCTGGTTAGACCATATTGTTCAAGAGGACGTTCCTGGCACTTACCTTGATGGCATCCTGGATAAAAAATACGGGAATCTTGAGATTCAGTTAGCCCATGACCTCTGCACGAGTAAATTAAGTATGCTTACGTCGTTGGCCACAATATCCCAGTTGCCCTCTTCAGTGTAGAACTTCACCGCAAAGCCTCTGACATCACGTACAGTGTCGGCACTGCCTCTGCTGCCTTGCACTGTAGAGAATCGGACGAAGATTGGGGTGGTGCGTGAGGTGTCTGTTAGGACGCCAGCGGTGGTGACGTCTTCGGCGCTCTCGAAAAGTTTGAAGTGACCGTGAGCAGCAGCGCCTCGCGCATGGACGACTCGCTCGGGGATGCGCTCATGGTCGAAGCGGTGGATCTGGCGTACCTCAGAATTTATGGTCACAGGAAAAGAGGGGGCAGGCAACATACACGCTCGCGGGCCACTTGGTCTTCAAGGAATGAAGGTCCAATTCTGCCGCTCTTGTCATCGGCGATCTTCAGCCAGTGGTCAACATCTGAGACTTTGGCACCCCAGTCAGTGGTGGTATTCTGCTTGGTGTCCTGTTGATTCTTCTTGTTCTTTTCAAGGTCGGCGATCTTCTTGTTCTCAGCCATGGTTTGGACGGACTCGGCGGCAGAATTTCCAATATCTCGAACAGTGTTGGCGATGGATGAGGCCATTCTCTGCATTGGTTGAGGAGTCAAAGCAAAAGGGAGAGAGAAGCGACGATGGCGGGATAAAAGGGAAAAAAGTGAGAGGAACAAGCAGGGATTTCACTAGGCTTTGCTGCGTTATTTCACCTTGTGAAAGACGGGGTCTCTACCAATGGTATCTCTGCCGATTGAAATCCTATGTGTAGACTTTTTCCGGAACTGTAAGCGAACAGGCTGTTGCATCATAAGCCTGACGCGTGAGGGGATCATTGGCAGCAACAGTTCATTGTCATGACTACAGCGCGTGTTGAGGACACTGCCAAACTGCCTGGTTGGGCCATTTGACGTAGGTAGACTTTGAGCATGGTTCCACATCATCCTTGTTCTGGTGGTGACCGAGTGGAGATTTCGTCATGGTAGACACGCATCTGGAATATGGTATCCTCAGACATGGCTATTTCGACAGCAGGAAACAGCAAGGCAAACCCATGAATGAGGCTCGTCTGGAAAGGTGAAATGCGGAAGCGGAATCCGGAGGGGCAAGTCGTTGCATCATGACGCTGATCTACGGGTTCTCATTGGTGCGGAGCTGAAGCCGGGATCCAGAATGGCAATCTGTCATAGCATCATGCTTGTGAATTGGAGAATCTCCATCAGCGTGGCGTTTAGCTGCCTCGTACGAGACGACAAGTTCGATAGCTGGGGAACGTGACGTTGGTTGAAGCGGAAAATTGATCCACGAGTGGAAGACTCAGTTTGCAGGGAACAACATTCTTCCAGACGGGGTTTACTGGTCAAAGTGGCATAAGGCTATGAGATTGATGGTGAAGCCGGAAGTGTCGTCAGATGATTACTATATCCGTGGTCTGTCGCAAAATGGGCCTGTCGACTTGTCGTCTGAAGTCTATATCATTATGTCAGCAAGGCAGCGAAAAGTGCAAGGCTGAGTCCAAGATCCAGTCTGGGCACAAGGACATATCACATAGTTCTTCTCTCTCAAGGGCCAGCTGAACAATATTATTAGTCTCCCGCCTCTGCCCTAAACCGTACCCCAGATATCTGCCACGACCGGCATCAGGACTTCTCAGTAGCTAACTCTGTGAGAAGTGCGAGTTTCTCGATCGTGGAGGGCAGCTGGCGACTGGAAGCTTAAGGCGGTCTGATTCATAGTTCGTGTGACGACTGAGTAAGGAAAGTCTGGGCTCCTCCATCATGGCTCGTGAACGGCTCTCGGAGGAGAGAAGCGATCTATCATGTAATAACCTCGGGCTCTGCGACAACTTGCTGTACTCCAGACGGGTGTGCTTGGCCCTGGGGCAGGCTCTCCGGGGGAAATAGGGTTGAACAAGCGAGGACAATGGGTGCTGCACATTGGCACAGGCAGTTCCTCGTAGGCTGCAGGCCCTCCTATAGGAGCAGGAGGCTGCCGATGGGCCCGAGACGGCGATCTCCTCCCACGCCCAGAGATTCCTCTGTCGCCAATCACACCCTCGCCCGAGTCTCGCCAGAGGCTTATCAGTTCGTTGTCGCTTCGTGTTGGACTTGTCGCGTGCAAATCCGCAGCTCTTCATCTCGTTGCACCCTCCACCCTGTCGCCCTCAAATCACCATCCTTTCCCCCCGTCATGCGGCATTGCCTTTGGGGTTGAGGCTTCAGCTCTAACCAAATCCGCCCGGTTGGGCTGCCCATCTGACCTGCTCTTACAGTCATTCCGCTATGTCATCTGCACATAATCGCCCTGGTGGCCCGAACTCCTTCGGCTCGTCCCTTTGCCCGCGCCGAATCAGCCTCAATCCCAAGGGTTCGAGTTCCTATCTGGGGCTCCCTCTTCTGCCTGTGACTGCCTTATCGAGTCCCCCTCCTCGTGTCCCACTGTCTGTGTCATGCCAGAGTTCGGAACACGCCTGCGCTTCTCTCTCACACTCTTTCACTTCCACAACACCCAGTCTGCACCGTTGTTACAGCGCATTTGTCGTTCTGCATTGCTTCTTCCTGTCATTTCTTTCAGTCCTTCACGGTTCCGCTCACGAATTATAGAGCCGCCCTTTTTTCGCGCCAGCACATCTCGACCTGAAGTCGAACTCAACCTACGGGTGCACGGTGCTTGTTTCGTTCGCAACACACGCCTCGACAGCGATCAAGCAAAGCTTCATATGCCCGCAGGCTCTTTACCATTTCGTACAAGCAGAATATAAGTGTTCACGAGCCGGAGCGAAACAGATACGACCGTGCCTCGAGCCCACCACGCCCGCATCTTCGCAGATGGTACGACAGCAATGATAAGAAAGTTTCGAGTTGCATAATTGTTTTATAACCCTGAAGAGTACTGCGACAGCACCGTCCAGCGATGGCTTCCACCTACATACCGCTCTTGCCAGCGTCCGCACTGCCAGACCATTGCACACCAACCTCTCCCATCCTATCTGATATATCATTATACCTTGGCTTTTGCATACCCACTCCTCTTGCCGCGCTCTCTACCCTCCTCGGCACGCTCTCAATAGTGTCATGGCTCTTTGCGCAGATGCCGCAGATTTTCAAAAACTACTACATCAAGTCGACTGCAGGGCTGTCGATTTTCTTCCTGGGCGAGTGGTTACTGGGCGATCTGGCCAACCTCCTGGGAGCCATGTTCACCAAGCAAGCCGGCTGGCAGATCATCGTTGCGACCTACTACGTCTTCGTTGACATGTGCCTCGTGTTTCAATACTTCTGGTACAGCTACGCCGCCAAATGGATATACGAGGAAAGTCTGCATTCCACAGGGAGCAGCGATATCGACGATGCGGACAGTGCCATCATAAACGGCTTGTCGCCCATCAACTCGAATTTCGCTAGCGAGGCCCCGCTACTTGGGGACTCTGACGACTATGCTCCCAAACGAACAGATCCGACCGACGTCAACGCTCCTCAGTTTTCTACTGTAAATTATGGTGAAAAGAAAGGAACTCCTCCTCGAGATATTGTTTACGGGGATAAACTTGGGTCGAGCTGGATGGCTTCACCTTCTCCACGCACTCTTCTCTACGCCGCAACCATGGCCTCCTTGGCCTCCAATGTCGCGGCTGCTCCTGTACCTTTTCCTTCCGACCATTATGCGCACGGCATTCATCTCTTCCGTGTCAATACTCCTCTTGAAATTGCCGGCACTATTTTGTCGTGGTGCTCGACTTTTCTATACCTTGGTTCAAGGTTACCTCAACTGTACAAGAATTGGCAACGGCAGTCAACGGCCGGCCTCTCACCTCTCTTATTCATCGCCGCTTTTTGTGGTAATTTCTTCGTAAGTCCTCTCTCGCACAAAGCCTGTCGTACTGAGAGAGTGCTTTCTTTCCTGTCCCAACATGCGCCATCGTGCTAACAGGGTTCGCCAGTACTCTGCGTCATTGGTCACCAATCCCAATGCCTGGAGCGACTACGAACCATATGGACATCACGGCTGGGTGGACGCAGACGGAAACCAGAGATGGGCGTGGGTGGCTCGAGCAGCCCCGTTCTTTCTAGGGGCTGCAGGAGTGTTAATGATGGATGCCTTGATGGGCGCCCAGTTCATCATGTACGGAGAGCGAGAAGACAGAATCGTGAAGGTAAGAGACTCGCATGGGTATAGCCACTGGGAACGAGTCAATGGATGGATGAGAGGTTGGATCCCCGCCATGGCAGGGAAAGACAGAGTCGTGGATATGGCCCAAAGCCAGCGGTTACTGCATGAGAGCGGACATTTGAGTCTGAGTCGGAGACGAAGCCACCATCATGTGGACTACGGCACGGTAGCATGACGCAGGTAGACATGGCTAGATGCATAGAAAATCTGTTGTCCATGGATTTCCTGCAACTACAACGGAGTGAATAGTACTACAAAGACCGAAGACACGAAAGCCGTTTTGATTAGTATATGGTAGTATATGATTTGACGTCAGCTCCCATCCACGCTGGTGACGCGATTTTGGAGCTGGCACGCCCGCTTCCGCATCTCCTCCGCATCTCACCAAGCACCGCTGCTACTCCACGAACGACCTCACTATCAACGGACCGCATTCGCACGAAATCTCCTCTACCAATCTCCAGGATTGCCTTCGAGTTCCCTCTCTCATGATCACATCACGCCTTGTCCGCCCGATCCTTTCTACCGCCGCCACGTTTGCTACGTTCATCCGTCCTGCAAATACCCCGCATTTGGGAATCTCGTCGCACCGATTGGGATTCGCGCAGCAGCCAGTGAAAAAGATGCATATCTTGAGTATTCCAATGTGTACGTCAGCTCGTATCTTCGTCGTTGTGTACGGGCAGTCGTCACTGTCAGTGAGAACGTAGACAAAGATGTCTGTTTATATCGTCGAACCTCTTGGGCGAAGAACCGAGCTGTGACAGGAATCAATGGAATAAACTGCTAACCATCAGTGCTATTCAGGGGTTGGCTCGTCCGACAACTATGCATACTTAGTCACCGATGACGAGACCAAGGATGCTGTGATTATCGATCCAGCCAATCCTCAAGAGTACGTTTCAGACTTCCACGATATTGTGAACCAGAAGGACACGAAGACTGACATCCATCCTTCTGCCGTCTTAGAGTCCTTCCTGTTCTCCGTGACGTGGCTCGACATGTAAAGCTCGGCGCGATCATGAATACACACCATCATTGGGACCACGCGGGTGGGAATACAAAGATACTGGAGGCGCAGAAGGAATCCCAGTTACCCAATCTGCCCATCATCGGAGGCAAAGACTGCGAAGGCGCGACAGACACTCCACCCCATAAGGCGAAATTCTCAATAGGCAAGAATATTATAGTGACCGCCCTGCACACGCCCTGCCACACGCAGGACAGCATTTGCTGGTATATGGAGGACAAGGCCACAAAGGAACGGGCCGTATTCACCGGGGACACGCTGTTCATCGGCGGCTGCGGTAAATTCTTCGAGGGCAATGGCACAGAGATGAACAAGGCCCTCAATGAAATCTTGGCGGCGCTGCCGGATGATACACTGATCTACCCAGGCCACGAATACACCAAATCCAACGTCAGGTTCTTGAAGAAAGTCGACGGGGATAACGAGGCGGTGAAAATGCTGGAGAAATTCGCAAACGAAAATGCCCAAACGCAGGGCAAGTTCACCATTGGCCAGGAAAAGAAACACAATGCCTTTATGCGAGTGCACACGGAGGAGATGAAGAAAGTCACGGGTAAGACAGAGCCAAGCGAAGTAATGGCTAAGTTGAGAGAGATGAAGAATGCGGGTTAGGAGGAACCGAGTTTGATGGATAAGAGTGATTATGATATGTAAAGATGAATCCAAGTCGTGCAGAGACCGTGTTCAATACAAGCCACGGCCTTTTGAGATGGGAGATTGCAAGGAGTGACGTGAAATGCTTCGCCATCTTCACGACTGTTGAAACATACTTCTTACAACACATTCGAAGCCTGCGTCCTGTTGAACACTGATACGCATCCACTCTATCCAGGTATATTATCAGTGAACATACAGCCCTACGAATTCTCAGCATGTATCCTAGAGAAAGATTTGCATGGTTTATATTTTACGTTAAACCATTTCCTTCCGCAATCGACCATAGGAAGTGGAAAACAGGGCTTCCCGTTCGCTCAGCCGTACTTAAGCCACTTGCCGATTAGTTAGTACTACCGTGGGTGACCAGGTGGGAATCCTGATTGTTGATTGTTTTTGTTTTTTTGGGTGAAGATTGAGATCTCTTATAGCTCTCTCTTCCTCGAAAGGCGTAGTGGTCAGGAGAAAGTTGTTGTTTTTTGGGTTTTTGGATGTAGCCTTCTGCTGGTGCTGGTGGTGGTGGTGGTGCGAATATGCTCGTAAGCGTGACAATTTCCTTGGTTGGGAGTCCAAGGTGTGGCTAGTGAGGTTGGCGCCTGCAGCGCCTAATCTGCCCGCCAACCACAGACTCCTGGGCACAACTTCGCCCAAACCGCGGAGTACTGCACTGCGCTCTTACCTCTTCTGGGGCTGTATCTCGACCTTTTCAGCAGACTTCAAAACGGCTTTTCGACGTCACATATCAGATTCTGCACCACAACATTCAACGAAATATTAAATTCATACCACCGAGGTTACCTTGTAACGACCTTCCAAAACGGATATTCAACAGTTCATCCTCACCTTTGTCCTGATTGTGCAAATACCCCCGACGTCGTCCCTCTCCACAGTCTAATTTCCTCCGCACGAGACAGAATCTCCAGCCGACAAACCATTCTGACTCTTTCCTCAACGAAGCAAGCCCTCATCTGCGCCAAAGCGACTCCCTTTGAACCCGACTCTTCTCTATTCTAGTGTTTCGACAGCTCTTTCTACGTGGTCCGCTCTTCGACCTCTCCTCTGCTCTCAGCGCTCTCTTTGCCACGTCTCCGTTGTCGCCGCACTCGAAACCGATGCGAGAACTACTCCTTTACCGCCTCGAATTATGTCTGGGAAATATTCTGTCGAAGATCTGTTGAAGTTGCGAGCATCACCGCTAATATGTAAACCTCCAAATCTTCCACCCATAGAGGAATGGATGGGGTATGGAATACGTGCCATTTCATGGCTGAAGCAGGACCAAGATAACTGACAATTGGCCAGTGCACAAGAACTGAGTGGCAGGAGGCCTATCCCTCGAGGAATCAAAGATGAACAGCCGATCCAGAATGAACCATTTCAAAAGAGACCGACCATAATTGACGCCCAGCGTCGATCAACTACCGGTACGCTTCGAGGCGATTTTCCTGAGCTGTTTCAACTAACGAAGATTTTCAGATCCTGACCGTATAGTTCTCGGCCCTCCTCGACGATCATTCGCTTCTAACGCCCGCGTGGCAAGCAAGTCGCAAGATTTAGCAGACGATTTGGGCAATAACAAGGAACGGTCAACATTGAATGATAAATCCAGAAATGGGGAAGACGTCGACTCCCGGCACCATGAGCGGAGGTATACCCAAACAAATGGTCGCCACGGTAATCGTCAAGAGAGCGAAGAGCCAGAGATTGAAGGTCGTCGTGACTATGACCGGAGGCCGAAGTGGGGAGGCAGAGACAGAAATGATCAAGACTTAGACAACGATCAAGCAGCGGAAGATTCGACACGTGGTTTCAGGAGGGACACGCAGTCGAGGGCGAAGCTTTCGCAGTCATGGTTTAAAAGAGACAATGGAGATACTGAGGACGATAAGACACCTGACTGGCGTCGTGATCGTGCCAGAGACCGTGACTGGGACAGGGATCGCGGTGCCAAAGTGGAAGCGGAACCCGAATGGATGGACTCGACAGAACCCGGAGAGCCTTTCCAAGCGCGTACCCAGGAGGACTTCCAACGCTGGAAAGAAAGGATGAAGGCCGGCAGCGCCGCACCATCTGACACCGTTGGAGCAGCTGCCCCCAGTCCATCAGCTGAAGAGAAACCGGCCAAGAGAGTCGTTTCCGCCGAGCCAGACGACTCGATGGACAAATTCTTTGCCAGATTCGAGTCCAAAGCGACCGAACAAAAGGCCGGGCCCTCAAAGTCACATGGAAAAACACGTTTTGCGTCACTTTTCAGCCCTCCCACGGAACAAAATAAGCAAGTCGAAAATCCTACTCAGGCGTTGTTCACCGAGAGACCTACATCTGCCCAAGCGACAGGTTCATCGACGGATGCTGACCAAGCTGGATTCGCTCGCATTCTCGAAATGTTGCAGACACGAAGTAACAACCCGACTCCTCAAAACCAAGAGGGAGCAAAACCGAAAACACCTTTATATGCGAGGGCGACCGAGCCAAAGACCGAACCTGAAGCAAAGCCGCCCACGCCTACACTCTGGGCGTTACTGTCTGGCCAGCTTGATTCTCAACCGCGGCAGTCTGAGCAAATACACCCACCTGTCGCCCAGGATAGATATACAGAGAGCAAATCTCCAATTGAACAATCCACGCATACACGACAGCAGTCTAGCATCACCAAAGATGAAGTTCTCTTGACCTTGCTCCGTCAAGCCAGCCTGGCACCCAAGCCCCAACCACCACCGCCTATAGCCGCCGGGGGGATGTTTGGCTTGCCTCCTCCGGAGCCCAGCAATCGTGCGGTGCAGCCAAGAGGGCCGGTGATTTCACCCATCCAAGCACTACAAGATCCAATAGTGGCACAGCGAAGAGAGCCAAGAGGGTCCATATTCGACGAATCACCAGTGTCCATGTATCAAAACGAACAGACGCAGCGCGAACAACCCGGTGGTAGGAGGCCGACCAACGGTGCCCAGCCCGTGTTTGCGGACGCACCTCTGATGGCGCTTCTGCGTGGCCAAGCACCTCCACAGAGACAAATGCAGCCTACACAACCACCTCAAGCACTTCCACCTGGTCTTCAACGACCTCCTGGACTGGATCAAATGGCACGACAGAATCCAAGCTGGCCTCCTCAGCAGCCCCAGCAGCCCCCACCACAGCCTTCACGCCAGCCGTCCCTCCCACCTGGCCTGGCCAACCTCCCTCGGGGGATGTCAGGGGCACCATATAGTCAACCCCAGCAGATCCCGAATCAGCCAACTCTACCACCATCACAGCGCCCACAGCAGCCACAGCCACAACGTAAATACACTGCTGAGTCTTCTGGAATGCCCCCGAATCTTCCCCCCGGTATGTATCCTCCGCCGGGTTTCATGGGTGCAGGTCCACCACCAGGCTTTCCAGGTGGAGTGGCCAATCATCCGGCAGCCCGGTTTGGGGGTGATCCAGCAGCTCAGCAACGAGCTCTCATGGAGATGTATGGTGAAGTTGGCGTCAGAGGGCTGGGACTGAGAGGTGGTGCAGGGAGTTCTGGGATGCCGCCGTATCGGTGAACAGAAAAGGTGAAAGCTAGAGAGAGAATGATGAACGTGGGTCCTTCTCCAAGAAGGAAGATGCAAGCGATGGCAGAAGCGACAACAAAAGCGGCTGGCACAGACACAAGATGGATGAGTTTGCAGGAGCTGGGAAGATAATCTGTTCAAGTGGTGGGCATTCACAGCGCAACAAACCCTTTGAGTGGATGCTTACCAGCACCGCTCGGCGAAAGATATCTGGTGGGACGGATGCGAGTGAAAGCGAACCAAATATGCGATCGAGGCCACCAGTGCGGCAAGGACTTGTATGTTGGGCATGCATGCAGTCTGGACTCACAGAACAACGCAGCATCAGGAGAGGCCAAATTGGAACTGCGACGAGAGACAGAACGATGAGTGCCCAGTACCTTTTGACGAAACGGAGCAGAGCCCTGTTGATATCTAAGGAGGGGGAAAGACAAATCGCAATCGAAGGGAGCGGAGGAAGTAGCAATGCGTGTCAATTGTTCTTCTGTCTCTATCTCTGTCTCTGTCATTTACCTCTGCGTTTTCCCGACCGAGACAATAATACCTCTTATTGACTCCAGCTCTTGTGTGTCGTCTGTGTGCCTATCCCTACTTACTCGCCTCCCTACCCCTGCCTCCTTGCCTAACTGCCTGCCGGACCAAGACAACACCACGACACCACACAACAGACAGCGATTAATCTATAGAGTGTGACGGAGTCCCGTTATTATTTACAGGGTCATACATACATGCACTCTCTCTATTCTTTCCAATCCCCTGAACCTATTCTACGTGGCTCGTCGGTGTGATTAACCCCCCTCGATAAGGTGAAATGGTGGTCTTTCTGTAGCTCGATGGGAGAGCGGAGGAGGGTAGGGGGGTAGGTACTAAAGGTATCGGTCTATAGTCCGTTTGTGATTGTTTCGTAGCATTTATGTAGGGGTGTCCGTATACTCCTTCACGTATGCTGGCGGCGTTTAATCTTCTCGACCAGCCTCTTGACATCGCTAGTCGCACCATCGCCAGGCTTGTTCTTCTTCTTATCACCATCAGCGGCGGCGTTCTGCATGGACGTCTGGACGTCTGGCTGACCACGGTCACCATCCTCCCCTCTCCTTGGCCGGTCCGAACCACCACCCGACCTCTCGACTCCATTGTGCTTCCTCCGACGTCGTTCCTCCAACAGCGCCCGCATGGCCTTGGTGCCTTTGAATTTCGGATTCGTCGGGTCGATGGCGTACTCGTGGCTCTCGAACAGTCGGGAGAAACGCGGATCCGAGGTGTCTACTTTGAACTCATCTCGGGCATCGTCGGGGTTGTCGGCGTGGCTGGCTCTGCCCTTCTTCGCCTGGAGTTTCTTTTTATTTTTCTTCCGCTCCTCCTTCTCGGCCTTCTGGATCTCCCGCATGTCAAAGTGCCTGATCTTCTTCTTGGCTCCATCGGGGCCGTCTGCCTCGGCGGCGTCGTCGTCCGCCATCAACAACTCAAGTTCCGCCCGTTGTTTGCGATCTGCCTCCTCCTCGGCCTCCCGCTCTTTCTGCTTCTTCAACCGCTCTTCCTTTCTCAATTTCTTGGACGCGGCTTTCTCTGATGCAGCTGACGGCTCCGCAAAGAACGGATCATCGAAGCCCAGGTCGTCTTCCTCCTCCCCAGCTCGAACCGCTTGCTCGTCGCCGTCGTCGTTGTCGTCGGCATTGCCTTTGGCCTCGGAATCGCGGCCTTCCCGAGCATTCTTCATTTTCTCCTTGCGCTTCTGCTTCCTCTCTCTTTCCTTCCGAACATATTTCTCCAGCGTCGTCTCCTCTGGCTCAGGCGAGTTCTCAAACACCGATTTCTTTTTGCCCGCCTCGTTCGTACTACCGCTTAAGCCAGATGTGAAAGTGATCTGCATGTCTCCGACCAGCCCTTTGTCTTTCTTCGAAGACTTCTTCTTCTCCGGCTCCGGCGGAAGGCCCAGGAGTGCACGCATACGTTGTCTTTCTGCTTCTTTCTTGGAAACGGGACCGTTGGTTGCCACGTCCTCCTCTTCATCTTCCTCTGAATCATCCGAAGCCAAGTACGCCTTGAGATCATTCTCATCAATTTCCTTCCTCCCACCTTTAAAGGCCCTTGCCGCAGCTTCCTTTCGACCCCCGTCTTCCGCGTCCCACGTCAACTTCACCTTTGAATGCTGCAACGCATCCGTCACAAATTCATTCGGTCGGTAATCATCGGGTATCCTGTCACACTCTTCACGAGGTACGTCGGTGGAGAAATCGGTGTCGTCGGGCACGAATCGGAGATCAAAGAAATTGGCCGTACGCAGATATTCAGTGCCGTCGACGGCATCATAGATCTGTTTTGCCACACCTGGCGAAGAAAAGGTCAAAATAGCGTAGAAATACCGCAGGCGTTCGAGTTGGTAGCGGCGTAGGGCCGTGGAGTCGAAGTCAGTGGTACCTTCGTCCGGTTTCAGCATCGAGTTTTTGATATCCTCATCCGCTTGTTCTTCGTCGTCGGATAAGTCTCCGTCGGCGTCTTCCTTCGCTGGGTTCGCAAAGATTTCCTTGGGTGGGCCTTCCATCTCTTCCCGTTCCAGACGTTCTTTACCAAACTCACTGGGATAGATGGAGACCTTGAGCAGGGAGTCCGAGGACGAGAGGAAACTGCTGAAGACGGCCATCAGGTCGGCTGCACGTATATTGTCCCAATCGAGGTTGACAACTGCGATGCGAGACGTGACTTCGCCCGTCGGGATGTCTGTCTGCTGCGTCGGACCAATGCCAACTTCTTCCTCCAGAGCTGCTTCTTCTTCTTCTTCTTCCGACTCATCGTCGCTTGTGGTCTCATCTGACGAAGATTCAGAGTCTGTATCTCTTCCTTCCCGTAGAGGGTCACGGGTTTTCTTCTCAACCCTACTCAATTCCTGTTGTACTTCGTCGTCGTCGTCCGGCACATCACTCTCTTCGTCTTCGCCCTCCTCATCAAACTCGTATTTCCGCTTCAACCGCTTCCTCTCCACATTGGATTCGAGGGGCCGGCCATACCGGTCGACCTTGGCTCGTTTCACAAAGTCCTCGTCTTCGAGAACTCGAGCAAACCGTTTGTCGAGTTTGACCTTGTTCTTCTTCCCAGGAAGGCGGTATCGTGGGTCGGACTGGATGTTGGCGAATCGAGGATCAGTGATTCGAGGGTCGGTCGGGGCCTTGGAAGGTTTCGCTGAAGTCTTCAGCTTCTTCCTCGACCGCTCCTCCATCTTGAGCCTGTCTTCAGTCAACTTGTCTGCAGTGACCGATACAATTGCGGACAAGACACTGCGGAGAGAAAAAAAAGTTCTCCGACTCTCAAATTTTGGTGGGGAAAGTTGGTGCATGGACGGGATTTTCCGCCTGCGGCACGTTCGCCATGCCACCAATTCATTCATTCCCACTTGGTCCCTTGCAGCAACCAGGGTGGGAAGATCTTTTTGGAGCTCCCCTTGACAATGGATCAGTTCCCTTTTCTCATGTCTTGTTGACCTTGCTGTCCCAAAACGCCCATTACGTCCCTCTTGTGCGCACCCTGAGCTCGATTTCCAACAGCGCAGTCGGCACTGCGCAGACATCCTCTGCCCCGCCTTGTTTGTCTCGGGTAGCGACGTGCCTCCATTGACAAAATGCCTGCGGGATCCTGCTTGATCACCGGGTAAGTCAGGCCAGACTGGACTCTTTCTTGGAACAGCCTAGACCGAGACTGATCCTGTCTTCCTTCTCCAGTGGTACCGGTTACATTGGCTCCTTCACGGCCCTAGCCCTCCTCGAAGCAGACTACAAAGTCGTGGTCGTCGACAACCTCTACAATTCCTCCCCCGAAGTCCTCAATCGAATAGAACTCATTTGTGGCAAAAGACCCGAATACTACAAGGTTGACATCACGGACGAAAAGGCGCTCGACGACGTGTTCTCGAAGCATCCGGACATCGACAGCGTCATTCACTTCGCCGCATTGAAAGCCGTGGGCGAGTCCGGCGAGATTCCTCTCGACTACTACCGGGTCAATGTCTACGGCACGCTTTGTCTTCTCTCTTCTGCTGCCCGACACAACGTAACGAATATTGTCTACTCGTCCTCCGCTACCGTCTATGGCGACGCTACTCGCGTACCGGGTATGATCCCCATTCCAGAAGAATGTCCACTAGGCCCGACAAATCCCTATGGCAATACCAAGTTCACTTCCGAGTTGATGATCACGGACCACATCAACGCCGAGCGCGCAAAGGCTCAAAAGAAGGGCGACGCAGATGGGGTCAAGAAGTGGAATGCCGGATTATTGCGATATTTCAACCCGGCGGGAAGCCACCCCAGCGGAATCATGGGCGAAGACCCCTCCGGAGTTCCATACAATCTTCTGCCGTTGCTCGCGCAAGTCGCCACAGGTAAGAGAGAGAAGTTGCTGGTCTTTGGCGACGACTACGCTTCTCATGACGGCACCGCCATTCGCGATTATATCCACATCCTCGACCTCGCTGCGGGCCATCTGAAGGCATTAGATTACCTGCGTACACACCAGCCAGGTGTACGGGCCTGGAACCTCGGAACCGGACGCGGCTCTACCGTATTCGAGATAATCAAGGCATTCAGCAAAGCCGTGGGCCGCGAATTACCTTACCAAGTGGTCGAGAGAAGACCTGGTGACGTGTTGGATTTGACCAGTAACCCGACACGTGCCAATCAAGAACTCGGCTGGAAGGCCACCAGGACGATGGAGGATGCCTGTGCTGATCTGTGGCGATGGACGGAGAATAATCCAGAGGGATACAGGCAGAAACCACCACAGAAGTTCTTGGACGCGTTGAAGAAAAACAACTGAAAACATCTCTGCTCGTGCTATGAGGTATGAGATGTGTTGTCATATGGGCTGACTGGTTCGTGGTTTGAATAGATGGTCTGAGCCAATCCATACGAAAAGAATGCCCTGGTCGCAAGATGCATTGGTGGGGAGCAATGACAGGGGGCCAGTTTGAACGAACATGTTCTATGTATGCCGGCTTCCGTTGGGTTGCACCCTTCCTTGTATCTTCGGGGCAAAGTAGACGAGACAACAACGGACACAGTCTGGGTATGTAAGAGACTTGATCTTGGATAGAGGCAGTAGACAGAGGAACGCATCCATCCCCCATAGGAATAGGAGCAGCCTCGCAATATCGGAAGCATTCGAGCCCGAGCTGACTCATGCAACTTCTCGGAGTCGGAACAAGATGCCCCGAACCCCGTTTGCGGTCTACATCGAGTAATAGTATTATAATTTATTATCTACAGTTACGTGCTTTCACACCGAGATGGTGTGGAGACTGGCCATGTGCCGCCGATGGGTAATCCTCACTCTCGGGCTGCGAGCCCTATTTACTCTTCTTGAAATCTCCCGAACACTTACTGTATGTCGTTGACGCCCGGTTCTCTCTGAAACGGTAGGTACGGATTCGACAGTTACACCTACTACATGCTCAGTACAGATCCAAGCATGGTAACAGCCTTACCCTTGCAATGACGCAGAAACCCGTCCTCATATCGGGCGCCGGCCTCGCCTCTCTCCTTCTCGCGCGCTCCCTCCTTCGCTCCAACATCCCCTTCCAGGTCTTCGAGCGCGATGCCTCCCTCACCTTCCGTGGTCAGGGCTACCGTCTGCGCCTGTCCTCCGAGGGCCTCGACGCGATCGAGTCCGTCCTGGACCCGGTGGCGTTTCGGCGTTTCTACGACTGTTGCGGGAAGACGGCCGGGAGCGGGTTCCTGGGGTTTGATGCTATCACGGGCGAAGTGATCGAGGAGCACAAAATGGGCGAGCAACTTGGGTCGCGAGAGGGCAAGGTCGTGGGCATCGCTCGCGGAGACATGAGGCGTCTGTTCATGGAAGAATGCGAGGAGTTTGTACACTTTAATAAGCACGTCAAAAGCTACGAGTTGACCGCTGATGGAGTTCGAGCCGTCTTTGCGGACGGGACCAAATCCGTCGAAGGCTCCCTCCTCGTCGGAGGCGAGGGTATCAACTCGACCGTTGCCAAGCAGCTATCTGGTGGCCGTCTCAAGGTCTACGACCTCGGCGCCCGAGGCATTCACGGACAGGCGCCGACCACGGCGTTCAGGGCCCTGGGTGAGGGAGTCTTCCGGATCGTCGACACGTCCAATCCCCGCGGCCGCGTCTCCATCATCACCAACGTCCGACCCAATGACATGGACAACCCCGACGTCTGGTTCGGGTGGACCATGTCCGGCCTGCCGGGGGTCATCAAGGCGCCGAATGACGATTACACGATCGTCGGCAAGGTCGCGGCCGATATTGCCAAGTCGCTGACGAAGAACTGGAACCCGCGCTTCAAACCTCTCTTCGACCAGATGAACGAGTCCGAGGCCGCCTTCTGGAAAATCACCTGCTCGTCCCCGAGCGGCGTGCCGGAATGGCCCAACGAGGCGCGCGTCACGGTCATCGGCGACGCGGCGCACTCGATGACTCCCGCGGGCGGCATCGGCGCGAACACGGCCGTGCGGGATTCGGCACTGCTGGGACGGTTACTGCGCGAGGCCGGTGGGTTCAAAGAGGGCGTCACGGCTGCCTACGAGAAGGAAATGAGAGTCTATGCCAGCGACGCCGTGAGGGCGAGCTATGGCATGGCCACCAAGGCGTTTCAGGTCCACATTGACGAGTCGTCTCAAACGATTCAGGGGGCATAGAACGGGACGAAACGAAAGTACAAGGTAGAGGGGGGAGGCACCGGATCCTGTTTCTTACGGATGTCGTTCGTTGTTGTGCCGACTGGCTCCATCCGACGACACAAGACCCTTTTGTACTCCACTACCCTTAATTCCTACCATTGGGGCCTGTCATGGATAGATAGATTCTAGAGTGAACAGAGCCGAAGAGAACTGACTTTACTCACAAGTGCGCCACATTGATCCGTCGCTCGTGGTGTACGAGGTACTTGTTCCCACACTCCAAAGGGGCCGTTACAGTATAGTTGATGTGAAAGGACTGTGCCAATTCAAGGGCTGCTTGCTTTTTGTGTATCTCATAGTCTCATACAGTGTATATATATATAGGGGGGTATCAATCAAAAAGACGTCGTGATCGACCGGCCCACGAACGGCACGAATGTCGCCGCCAACGCCATCGCTCACACGCAATATATTGGGGTATAAAAGTCGCTGTCGTGGGGGGTGTGGTGGATGATTTACCACGAGAAGGTATACAGGCCAAGGCTGGACAATATCATCAGGTTGAGTAGACAATGCCCACGCCCACCTTGCCTGTCCATTTCTTGACTCCCCCTCCGTCATACGAAGCACCTTTTTTCCCACTCCCGGTTCCCGCACTGGTGCCACTGGTCCTGAATCCGCCAGCAGCAGCTCCGCTGACAGGACTTACCGAGACTCCAACCTCCACAAGCAGGCTCTTGACTCTCCCGGTCCACAGCGCCTTGACATTCCAGGAATCATCGACCCGAAAGTTCAGCACGTTCTCTTCTTCCCGTTCGATTCGCGTTTCCTTGAGCGAGCGCTCGGCCGGGCTGAACCAGTCTTTGGTGAGAGTGCGGGCCCATTGAATTGGATCTGCATTTGTCTCGTTGTTAGAGCCGGTGGCAGTAGCGTCACTCTCCAGATCTCGGAAGGGCGCAGACGAAGACGAGTTCCGCCGGCGCCGAGGACGCCATAATTCTCCACCCACAACATATCGAGACTCCCATGAATAAAAATTAAAGTCGAATCTGGACGAGAGGGACAGGGCCGATGTTGGACGCACGGAGTAAGTGGACGATATTGATCCGGTGAGCGGAGTCAGAGTCAAGGTCATGGTGTAGGGAAATGAAGAATGCGGTATGTTTGAGGGTGTGAGTAGAGTGTGGGATGCCGTAGAGAGGATGGCAGCAGACGTTCCCGCCAGCGGCTTGTTGGGAGAAGGAGTCGGTTGAGGTAGTGGCTCCGATGGTGTTATATGCGGCGTAAGGGTGGTGAAGCGCAAGCCCGTCGAAAGGCCGATTACGTGGGTAAGAGGACTGTAGTAGAATTCTGCGCCCGCAGACAGGAGCGACGGCTTAGAGGCGAGACGATTTTGATATGCAGTCAATGCGTCTGCTTGTGGCGGAGAGCCCAGTTCCGGAGAAAGGAACTCTGTAAAGCCGTCTGTTGCACCTGCAACTCGCGACGACGGAGGGGCAATCGATGGCGAGATCACTGGCGTCTTCGGTGGGCTGAGGCCGAAATTCCAGAGACCTCTGACCCCGAGCAGACCATTGTCTGTCGAGCCCAGTCCTTCGACTGAATACTGGCCCGCGTCGTGCTGGATATGGGCAAGCACCGAGGCAGGCGGAGGACCAGAATTTGTCACTGGAGTCGAGGCTGATTTGCTGTATATGGAGACGGAGAGAAGAGTCTTGGGACTTATGCGACGTGCATATAACGCCGTCAAAACTGAAGGAGGGGGAAGATCCAGCGTCGCATGCAGCAAAATTGGCTTCCTCCCATCTTCACTTAGAAACTTGGGTAGGCCCTTCTTTTGCCCCGGTACGAACGCAACGGGCAGCCTTATATCTCTGTATCCCGGAGTCAAATACTTCAATGGAATGGTAGGTGCTTCGGAAGGGACATGGCCCAATGGGACGCTTGAGTAGAGGTAGGATATCGAGCCATCGATGTGTCCCAGCGTCGACAGGGTGTATGAAGACGCGAAGTTCGGAGTGCTCAGCGACGAGACATGTAATGACAAGGTCGAGGGAGTCTGAAACGTGAGTAATGCGTCCGAGGTTGCGGTCAGGGAGGAATAGCTGTTGTCAGGATTCCAGTCGGTCGACGTCCCAAAGGCGTGGACAATATAGTCCATGAATCCGATCATTCTGGGGGGTGAGATAGCTGAGGCGCACCAGGCGCTATCTCAAGCCTAGGACCATCCGAAAACTCGTCAGTGACATTCCATCACTCGCCGTCTTTCTGTGTAGTGCTCATGGTCGAGAATAGTGGTGGACATTGAGGAAGCCCGCAGTTGCTGCAAGCTGCTGTGGAGGTCTTCTTGGTCCACCGTACTTATAGTACGGGGCCGCATGTGATTTCAAAGCGCACCTCTCATAATTGCGAATAAGTGCTCAACAACAACAACAACAAGCATCAAACATGGCTTAGCCTACGGATGCCAGAGAGAGCAACTCTACGCCTCAAATGGCAGAAGAACAACAATTGTACGTAAAGATCACTGTCAATCTCCCCCCTGGCCGAATGACCTTCTGTTCTCTGCCAAGTCGATCTTGTCTGACGGTGTCTTTTGGTTTCCTTCCGGCGCGCTTCTAAAGCTTGAAGTCTCTTGTCAAAAGTCTTGTCTGCACACCTCATCACCCATGTCTTGTTTGTTGTTGCTATTACTCAGTTGCTCTCACTGATTTCAAGCTCTTTGTCAGGAATACGAGAATGCCAAATCGCCGCTTTCGGTACCAGACTTCCGGACCCAAGCCAGCCTCTACGACTTACCATGAAGGCGCGAACTTTGGAGGAAGAAGGAATCGCGACATCCGACATGGCAATGAACAGGCTGTGGTCTCGGATCTTTTACGCCTTTCTAGCTAAGTGGATCCACCAAATCGAGTTGGGTGACCATTCGAATGCGTTGGGATGGGAGGTGGTAGTAACAGCCTTGTTGATTGCCTGCCCCGGTTCTGAGGTTACAGCTGACGCCACGAGTCTGAGGCCGCCAGCCCACGCGTTCCAGCTCCGTCTGCTTGCGCTCTAGACTCGGTCTGCCCTGGTAGACGCATGGATCAAGAAACGGCAACTTCGCGACCACCTGCTCAAACGACGGTGTGATGGCGCTAACGCGTTGCCTGGATTGCCACGATGTACCCACAGCAGCCTATCACGACCAGTTTGGCTTTATCACGCAATAGCTTGCTGCAACGATAAGCTGAACACCAAAAGGACTTTATCGCAGATAAACCCCATGCTCGTGGGCTTCTAGAAAAAATTTCACATGCGGAATAGTTCTTTAAAGACCCTGCCTGGATCTCGAAAGGTTGTGCTTTTCTCCGCATCCCTCAGCCGCCCGACATCTCACTGCCTCGAGAGACACCAGCACACAATGTCCAAGCCCTCCTACGCCGACGAAAAGCAGATAGATCCCTTCTATCCAGCTGCTGGTGAGGATCAAAATGAACACGGGACTGTCCCCGTCGAAGGCTTCAGTGCCTTGATTGCTGAGGGTATGTACTATCAGCCGGTAAACGTGACTTTGCGATTGTTAACAAGGTATTTTCATAGACCACAAACATGAGATCAAGCTTCGAACTATGTCCTGGCAGAAGGCAGCCTGGTTGCTCGCTGGCGATCAGGTCTGCCTTGCCATCATGGCCCAAACATGGTCGCTCTCGTAAGGTTATTCCCCTGCATTTCGTCTCTTCGCCGGACTAACGACAGCATTCTTTCAGCGTCCTTGGCTGGGTGCCTGGTATCATCACCATGGTTGGCGCGGGTATCCTTTTCTGGATCACCTCCATTACCATGCACAAATACATCATGAAACATCCTCAAATCAGGGATATTTGTAAGTTCGATCTTCTTTGCTTGGGACGACGACTTGTTGCCGCAGCTCGAATCGGAATTCCAGCCTAACTTCAGAACAGGTGACTTCGGGTATTACGCCTTTGGCAGGAGTCGAATCGCATACGAATGGACTGGATTTATGCTGCTCGCTAACAACATCCTCCTCATTGGCTTCCACGTCCTCACTGGCGCCAAAGTCCTCAACACTCTGTCGAACCACTCCCAGTGCACTGTCGTTTTCTCAGTGATCGTCATGCTCATGTACGTTCCCCCTAAACCTAAATCCTTGCTCCTCTGCCGTGGACTTTTAGTACTAACCACCAACAGGGGTATTGTTATGTCAATTCCCAGAACCTTACGACATGTCTCGTTCATGTCAATGTTCTCAGGTGAGGAGCCGTCCCATCCGCCCACCTCTTCCTCGCTCGCTAACCCTATACTTAGCTTTCTGTATGGGAATTGCAATCCTCCTCTTTCTGATCTTCTCGGGCATCGAGGCACATCCCGGTTACGGGTATTACGGGACTTATCCTGCTGCTGGGGAGGTCAGAACCTACCCATTCCCTCTTCCTGGCACTACCTGGGTCGACTGGTAAGTGTCGATGAATAGTGTTCCGTTCTTACACGGCCACTTTACCAAGCACAATCTGTGTCAATACTAATCACGTGACAGTCTAAATGCAACACTCAACATAACATTTTTATGGGTGCCCCAGATACTATTTCCAACCTTCATTGCAGAGATGGAAAAGCCTCAAGACTTCCCTAAGTCGCTTGCCGTTCTCACGGCCATCTCGGCATTCTTGTTCATCTGCCCCCCGGCAATTGGGTTTCACTACCTGGGCCAATATTCGACTGCTCCAGCATTCGGCAGCTTGGGCGTCACGGCATACAAGAAAGGTTCCTTCGCCTTCGTTATTGTGCCAACGCTCGTTATCGGCGTCATCTATGCCAACGTCACGGCCAAGTTCATCTACTTCCGCGTCATGGGAAGATCTCGCCACGCCCACAGCAACACTGTCACCGGATGGGGCATTTGGATCCTGGTCATGGCCGGCATCTGGATCCTCGCATTTATCTTCGCTGAAGTTATCCCCAGCATGGGAGACTTTCTCTCTCTTCTCGGAGCGGCATTCGATTCGTTCTTCGGCTTCATCTTCTTCGCCGTGGCCTATTATCACTTGTACAAGGGGAGACTATTCCACGGCGTGTATAGGTCGATTATGACGGTCATACACGTCCTTGTGATGTTTGTCGGACTGTTTTTGCTTGGACCAGGTCTCTATGCTGCTGTCAAGGCTATCATGGCGGACTACTCTGGGTCCACTACGCCGGCATTTAGCTGCGCAGATTTATCCATCTAGACGAACCTTTTTGACAGTAGAAGGACTGTTCTGAAGGCACTGTTGCCTATTGGTATCTGCGTGACAATTTATCAAAATACGAGCTTACAGGTAATGAAGCCTTGATCAAAGTGTTCAGTCTACACAGTGCTTGACTTTGCAGCGTTCGCTGTAGGAAAATACCAGCAGCTATTGGCCATTGAGTTGAACGTGGCATCCGTCCGTCTACGATCATTCGCCTGCCCTTTCATGTTCTCCATTTGCCTTCTTTCAAAGTCTCACCAAGCCATCAAAAGGGGGCTGGCCTTGTTTGAGCGGTTATTGAAGTGGCCAAGGAGACCCTCGCGCAGAGCCTACCAGATCTCTTGTTCTTCCGGCCGAACACTTTATCCTACAAACTGGCTCCATGCATGAGGCGCTTGTCCCAGCATCATGACAGATCTTGTCAATCGGAACATGCAAGCGAGAGCTGAACTCGTAAGCACGATTTGACTTTCCAACTGTCATGACCACGGGACAGGCTAGACGGCCAAGGCTCCTAAATAAAGGCACGAATACGAACATCTAACCAAACCGCTTCTATGAGCTGAAAATACCTCTCAACCTCGCCTGTCGTCAAGTCTAGGGGTACCCATCTGTGGACATCATCAGAAGGACGCAAGTGTATCTTCTTCTGAGGCCCGAAGAAGTTGCAAGGGCTGAATATCAGCAAACACTATCATGTCTACATCAACACCGGCACTTGCCCGGATCGAAGTCAATGGAGTGAAACTGGCCTACCGCGAGTCCGGGGAGGGCGAGCCCCTTGTTCTCGTCCACGGACATCTATCCGACTATCGCTCTTGGTCGTCCATTGAAGCCAAACTGGCGACCAATTTCCGTGTGTACAACTACAGCAGACGTTTCGCCTGGCCCAATGAACCAATACAAGACGGCGAGCCTCAGCCCTGGGAGCAGGACGCACTCGACCTAGCCGCCTTCATCGAGGCCCTCGGCATCGCACCGGTCCATGTCCTGGGAAACTCGTCAGGTGCCTTCATTGCCATCTGGCTGGCCCGAGCCAGACCACAGCTCTTCAGGACTCTCCTGCTCGAAGAACCGCCCCTCATCACTCTCTTCCTCCCCAGCCTCCCACCCAGTCTGCTGTCCGTTCTCTCCTTCCTGCTCTGGCATCCGATCTCTTTCTGGCCCGTCATGGCCTTCGGTGCCACCACGGTCTCACCCGCAACGACTTACAGCAAACAGGGTGATTATGAGCGCGCCATCTCCACGTTCGGGAAAGGAGTCCTAGGCACTAACTTCTGGTCTCGCGCCCTCACCGACGTCAACCGCAAGCGTCAGATCGACGACAACGCGAAGATCCTCTGCCACTTCCTTCGGTACAACGCCATGCCAAAATTCCAGGTGCCAGACGCGCGGGAAATCCGGACCCCGACGCTCGTGATTACGGGGATTGAGGGTCCGTGGTCGCAGCAGTGCATTGACGCTGAGCTGATCCGTGTTTGTGGCGCGAGGAGAAAGACGGAGGTGAAGATCGAGGGCGCAGGGCATGTCGTGCACGAAGATAACCCGGAGCAGGTGTATGAGCAGGTGGTGAGGTTTGTGTTAGAGGACAAGGCTGTCTAGAATAGGGGGGCTGTCGAACAAGTGGAGTTTAAGACGAATTCAGGGGCTCTATTGATGACTTCTTTTTTTGTTACCCTTCATTGCTTCTAAAACAGGTCCTCCTCCTCCCGGACACATGTCAAGAGCAACAGCCCCGCATCGTCCAAGGCATAAATGCCCTCCCGCCTTCATCCAGGAGGCCGGCCGGCATGATCCCGTTGAGAAGCCCTGGGACGGCCCGGGAATGCTGTAAACAGTGGCTCGTCCGTCCAGGCCCCATTACAAAGCACAATGATCCTGTTGGTCGTGCTTATGATATGACTTGCGGAAATTGGGCCGCCTAACACATCTTAGGCAGTCTGCTCTACATGAGATTCACATTGAACATGGAGTGTGGGGGAGTGTATAAGCAGCAAAGCCTTTGCCTCCCGGGCAGTGTTTCGGGGGTTTAACGACCTTGCCATCGCCTCTCCTTTCCTCCTTGTGAGATTTACAACCCGCCACACCATTCCTGTCAGCTCTGTTAACAATTCACGAGCATCATGGATCAACTGCCCCGACTTGGCCGATCAATCTGGGAGGTAATTCCCCAGACGACAGAAATATACAGTTCTCTCCTGACACAGAACTCGAAAGACGCCATCCTGGCCACCAGCCGCGAGGTGGCCAACTACGGCCCCGACACGCGTCAGAAGCTGGACATCTACGCGCCCAGAAAGTCCCGCACCGCAGCTCCTATCATGGTATTCCTGTACGGCGGAGCCTGGGTGGAAGGCGACAGAGTCCTCGGCAGCGTACCCGATGGACTCGTGTACCGCAATCTCGGGTACTATTTTGCTGAAAAGCACGGCATTGAGACCATCATCCCTGACTACCGGCTGGTCAAGCACGGAGTGAAGTACCCTTCAGGGGCGGAGGACATTGCCCTCGTCTTGAAATTCATCCGAGAGAGATACGGCGGTGAACGACCGCTCTTCATCCTCGGAAACTCCGCGGGGGGCGTCAACGCCCTGTCGTGGCTTTTGGACAGTGCCTTCAAGGGCAGCCGCGATACGAGCAACGTGGCTGGGATCATCAGTCTGGGCGCTCTGATGGACTTTGCGGACCTGCCTGCGCCGTTTCCGGATCTGCTCGCACAGTACTTTGAAGAAGATTACGTCTCGAGATCTCCCCTGGCACTGTTACGATCCGCGGCGCCGAATAATCGTCTGGACGGAGACCTGCCGGCGTTGTTGATTCTCTGGAGCGAGCTGGATCCTGAAGTTATCACAGAATCAAATCACGGGTTTGTGGCCCAGCTGAAGCAGGTCGGCATTCCAGTCGACGCCGAGGAGATAGCGGGCCACAACCATATCAGCCCGCCTATGGCTCTGGGGACGGGACTCGAAATTGAAGAGGAGTGGGGGCAGTCGGTTGTTGCTTGGACTGGGAAGCATGTAGGCAGGGCTTGAGTGTTGAACTTTGCTATTTATTCCTCTTGTTCGAAGGAGAATGCATGTGGGAGAGCAAAGTTGATAACGCTCGCCACGAAATTAGGATTCTCTGTGATGAAACCACCTGGATCTGCTGTTAATATTGTTGTACGGATGAAGTCGTGTCCCCGAAGATTTCCAACCACCCTCGTTGCTACTTTCAATCCCGAAATTTCAACAATTTTGTTAGCATGCTTGATAATGGAATTTCCCCAGCCACCGCGAAGGCATCGAACCTACTCCTTGGTCACTAAGGGTGAAATTGTGCCTCGAGTGCGCATAGTAAAGCTCGTAAACTTCGCATAGTCCCCGGCATTAGTCTACTCACAAACTGATGAGAATAGCGCCGTAAATATCCCAAGCATGACCGCGACTAAGATGGTGGGCGTGAATTGATGTAGACAGCTCAATGTTGACGCAGAAATCTCTGTTTCTATCGAGACATTCTCAGGAATTGTACACCTTCAAAGGCGTCCCCATCAACTCTGCCTTGATCTGCAGTGCAATGAAACGACCATAATACCTTGCAATGCCGATGTCGCCCCCAGTGAACCACACCCCCGGATCTGTAGCAATAGATTGGTTAACAACCATTTTGCTTTCCGATCGAGGAGAGATACTTACGCCCGGCAGGTTTGAATGCTCCCCTGAGCTCTCCCTCTGCGTCCAATCCCCAGAAATCATCGAGCTGATCGGCAACCTGTGGTCCCACTATCTCGCCTGCTATCTGGCGCATGTTCTGAACGAAGCCTGTCGTGAAGACGACGACATCGGCCTTGAGCTCGGTGCCGTCGTCGAATGCAAGCCCGTCGGGGGTGTAGTGGGTGGGCACACTTCCAGACTTTACTTTGATCTAGACGTTGTCGTTAGTCGGAGGTTGCCACAATCGCCTTCCTCTTGACTTACCAGTCCACTGCTGATTTTGGCAGAAGTGCCCACGTCCATGTAGTGGCCCCCCAGACGCTCGAACAGGACGTGCATCAGGTCTCCGTATCTCTCGACGTTGAACCCGGCGTTCTGCAAAGCATCGAACCGCTCGCTATCGTTCCGGGCCATGCTGTGTAGATAGGCCATGATGATCTGGCGACGAATGGAGGCAGGGAAAGAAAAATTCTCCCGGTCAGCTCTCTCGGTGGGTATTTCGGCGTTATAGTATGCTGAAGTCGAGAGTCAGTACTAGAGAGTCAAAGAAGCTCATGGTGGGTTGGTAACCTTTTGTTACTTCCATGTAGTGCTCGGCAGGAAGCACCCCTGAGCGATGTCAGTCTGTGGCGCAGCACACAAACGAAGTGTCGTGTACATGTACGGCCCCTCTGGACCATGGTTATCGATGCAAGTCCTGCAGTCAACATGTCGTCCGCGACATCGTGCGCTGGAATATAGTGTCAAACGAGTGACTGATCAGAGATGCTGAGGAGCGTTTACCGGTATTTGCTGAGCCCACCACAACTCCACGGAGGCCCTTCCATTCATTCGAGTGACGGTATTCGGAAGAATGCAAAACGATTCCTTTGAATTGTTCCTGCACAGCGGCGGTCAGTCACTTTCCTTCCAGCCGGGGAAAAGGGTGGTCCACTCTGTTTGGTAGCAACGGCATCACGGGCAACCGTCCACCCGAACCGCTGGCAAATACTAGATGGAAGGTCGTCAGGGTGACTTCTTCGCCGCCTCTATTCAAGCTGCAGGTCCACATCTTGTGTTCCGGTGACCAAGAACTCGACACGAACTCGGTTGATTGCCAAACATTCTGGAACACGTCAGCATTGAACACCATCGATCGTGCAAATACCTACAATTCCGAATCTCTTGACATACTCCTTGTGGCCTCGGGCGATATGCTCCTTTGTCAGAAACTCTGGGTATGAGCTGTCGTAGGTCCGGTATAGTGGCAAGTGTCCTGTAAGCTCAAATTAGTTACGATGAGGCTTTGCAGAATGCCAGACTTGCCGTATTCTCGAGCTGTGTGGACTGCTTCACAGTCAGCATTGCATTCGCGACATGGATCAGGAGACAGTTTCACGCTTTGTTGAGTGGTATCTTGAGTTCCAACTGTCCCCAACGGTGCCGAACTTGTCAACCACCAGGTAAGAGACACCCAAAGCCTGCAGACGTCCACCGACTCCAAGCCCAGCTTGACCCCCGCCAACCACGATGACATCAAAATGTTGGGCTTGTCCGTCGCTGTGGCCATCTCTCCTCTCTCGATTGCCATAAGCAGAGTCTTGAATGGCTCTCGATGGGATTTCTGGGTCCAGAACATCGACGTTTCCGTAATCCGCGACCTCATCTAGGATTGTTCGGATCATCCAGATTTTCCACTGTCCATGGTCGTTTGGGACAAGAGAGATATATCCAGAGCAGGACAGCGGAGGCCCATCTCCTGAGGTTTGGAAAGTGAATTGAGCATCAACCCAGGACGATACATCGAGCACTGATAAAAGCTTCGCTGTGTTCGGCACCAACTTCAAATCAGACGGACTCTGACGACCAAAGGTGTTGGTCCATGCTTCAGCAACATTTTTTACGCCGTGGAATGTACGGAATGTTCCAGTCAACGCCAGCAAGTCTCTCCACACTGCTGACTCTGTGAGATCTTCAGGCGAGAGTGAGAGTAATTTTAGGAGGTGGGATCGAGCTATTTCTTCGCAGTCCACGCCCGCTTGAATTGGGGACTTTGGCAGCGAGCCGGGAAGTTGACTGACGCTGACAGCCGGTGTTCGCTTCAAGACCCCATTCGAGGGTCGACCATTGTTTTCCATCGTCCTTTGTGACAGAGATTGGTTCTCCAGGTATTCTGGTTGGCAGACCCATCTGTTCAACAACCAGCCTCAAATACTCCGGGAACATGAATCGAAAGCTGCCCATGTCACAATGCTAATTCCGCACTGTTGCTAATGGGAAAACGCATGATTGTAATGCATTTCTTCGAGGTGTATCGTCCATCGGCGTTTCGCGGTATTCCAGCCAACCCTCGTCAGCTGTTGACCTTGACCATGTTGTTGTTGTTGGAGCGGGCGGGCCGTGTCCGTGCCGCTCATTCGGGAAGATGGGGTTTCTCCACAGCACATCCTTTTTCACCTTCTCGTGCGAGAAATCAGACCCCGATATGGATCGTGCCAGCGCTCATCAGATTCGGTGTTCGGGGTGGTCCAGTCAAGTCCATGTAGGCTGACCGATAAAGCCGCTAAGTAGGTCTGGGGTCCCCACCGGGGTCTCTCACACAATATTCCCAGAATTACAGCCTCCAGCCCACACCGTGCGATTGAAGTCTTAGGTTTGAGTGGTGCTGGGAAGGAAGCGAGAGCGGGTATGTTGATTGGAAACCATGTCTGCATTGACAGACCTGTGCTGATAACTTGAATATATAATCTCCTTCCAGCTAAGCAATTGTCTCGCAGTCAAGGACAAGAACCTGGACGTACGTCCCCGACCAATGGAATAAGGACAGGGGAGGAGTTCAAATAACTTGCAAGGTCTTTTCTTTTTGCTTATGAGCCACCAACAACGTCAATGTCAGAGTTCAGTTCAAAAGCCACTCAACTAGGTTTGCTGACGTCCAGTCGAGAGAATCGGGCCCAAACTCCGAATCCTCTGTTTTTTCGGAGTGAATATTTTCACCCGTATACTCGATTTTAACCTGGCTCGACGTTGCTTTCCAACAAGAAGCTTGATTCGTCACACGGTTACACGGCATTGGTAATGAACTACTCTTGCTCTAGAACCTATACCATCAAAACTGCCTTGCTTATCGAGCTGGCCTCCTTCCATTTGCATATAGATACCAGTGCTCAAGCAATGCCTCATGCATCAGGACTATCAAACTTCGTGTATCCCACACCCTTGACGAATGTCTGCATCCATGGGCCCTGGGACGTTTCCTCCGCAAGCTTCCAGTAGAGCTGTGCATGAGCGTCTCCGTTGACCTTGTAAATCGCCGTCCCATCCGGCTTGCGTTCGTCGCAGTAATAAAATCTGCAACAGCTCAGTTTCTGCACGAGAGAGTGATAGGACGAGGTAAATAGCTTACTTGAATCCGCGGTCTTTATATGCGGCTGAGGCCGCCCATATCATATGTGCGCCTGCAGACTTGCCCATGCCTTGGTCGATGAATCCTGGGAGGATCGTCATATTCAGAATGTTTCCAGTATAGATGAATGTCCTCGACGCAGACACAGGAAGTTGTGCAAAGCCCAGGGTAGCTTGTTGCGCGGCGACGAAAGCACTCGTGATGTTTATCGCTACATCACGATTGAAAGCGGCTAGCGGAAGGGCGAACGGGTCCTGAGGCGGGGTGAACGTCGAGGCGCTGACTGCGAATTGTCAGTATGAATTCAAAGGCTTTCCCAGGAATCAGACTTCACCATTGTAGACGACTACACTCGGGATACCAAACGCTGTATTGACCTTTCTGAATGCGTTGACAACATCGTCTGGGTTGGCAAAATCACTCTTGATGTTCAGTTGATTGTCTGTGCTATCTGCCTCGTTGAGGGATCGAGCAGCGAGGGCAACCTTGTAGCCTCTGGAGGCAAAAGTCCGACCAACCGCCTGCCCGATGTTGGGCCCTGCTCCGAGGATGAGGATGACTGGGGATGTGCCGGGCATGACTCTGAGTGTAGGGAGAGGTCAGAAGATCATGTGCAAACACCATGCTTTCCGTCTACTATATAGATAGACTTCTGGGAGCATCTATACGCGAGATCTGAGTGCCGACCCGCACCAGATCGCACCAGCATAGCATAAGCCAAAGCATAAGCACATGTTGGTATCAGATCGCACCAACTCGGACCACTAATCTATTGTACGCAGTATAGACTGAGAGTAAAACACACTAAACTGCACTAGCGACCAAACCAGTACAAAGTAAGTAATTGGATGTACAAGATAGGACTAGCTTCCATACTAGCATAAACTAAAGATCAAGCCGCACGAAATCGGGGAATGTCTCGGGGCAGCAATTTCGAAAGCGCCTTCGTACAACGGCGAGCTCGGAGTTAGGTCTAATTGGCTAATGTCAGTGGTCGTTGTCCAATAGCCGCCCATCTCCATCGTCAAGCCTTCTCCTTTCCTACTTCTTACAGTAATAACGAGCAGAGAAGGAGCGCGGCGAGGTCAAATAGACGGCGCACAGATCAAGGATAACGCCAGGAAGCAGATATATATCATGGGAGAATTGACTCTCCCATATAATTTTGGTGATGTTGGATTCTGCTGAACATTAAGCGAATTCGTCGTTGTACGAAGGCGCTTTCGAGATCGCTGCCCTGGGACAGTCCCCGAAGTCGCACGAAATCGCACCAGCTATTCTATCAGCACAGGTTGAGTTCCAAGTCACAGCGATCGCACCAATATAGACTTCCAACGGGACATGGATTACAAATCCCCCTGAATCAGGCTACACAGCTGCCTCGCGGCTTTCTATACAATGATGATTGATAATAGCATCAGTTCGGCGCATGGAGAACTACAGGAGCAGCGATATAAAAGCCGGCTCTGTCCCGTATGGTGGACATAGCTAATTGCCAGACAAACTTAATAGCAAGTTCTGCGATCTGTCGTTTTGAAGAAGAAAAAGGGCTTCTTCCCTACAACTTTTCTAGACATGGCGCCCGACACACTCTCCCTCGCAGGAAAGACTGCCTTGGTGACCGGCTCTGGACGAGAGACGGGCATTGGTGCCGCCATTGCCAGAGCCCTGGCTCGGAACGGCGCGTCAGTCGCAATCCATCATGTCTCCGAGGCTTCCAAGGCGCGGGCTGAGAAGGTCGCGAAGGACATCGAGGAGGAATTTGGCACCAAGACCACCATCGTCCAAGGAGGGGTGGAGAACTACGAAACGGCGAAGAGCATGGTTGAGCAGGTCCTGAAAGCATTCGGTGTCGATCACATCGATATCCTCGGTACGTTACTTTTCTCTCCTGGCAGTGGGACGACACTGACAGGTTGTTCATTCTAGTCAACAACGCAGCGGCCGCACGCAACACAACTCTCATGGAGGTCAAACAAGATCAGCTGGAATATGAGTTCAGTGTCAACGTCTTTGGCGTGATTTACATGACACAAGCGGTCGTTGGCGTGGGTCGGATGCCGAAGGGTGGCCGCATCATCAATATCGGCTCCATCGCCTCGAAACTTCTGGTCCCTCCCGCAGTATACAGCACGACGAAGGCGGCAATGGATGCCCTGACAACGCTATGGGCGGGCGAGGTAAGCCTTACTTATCACCTTTCCTTCGTCTCCTCTGGCCAAAATCTGACGAAAAGTACGACAGCTGGGCAAGAGCCATGGAATCACCGTCAACACAATCGCCCCGGGCCCAGTTCCGACGGACATGTCGAGAGACTACCTCGTGGCCCCTGATGGGTCTCCCACCCCCATGCAGCGCTCTATGTATGAGCAGACGCGGGCGGCGAATCGCCTTGGGTCGGTGGAGGACCTGGCTGATGCTACGCTTCTGCTCGTGTCGGAAAAGAGCAGATGGATCACGGCGCAGTTCATCTCAGTGAGCGGCGGGATCACCGGCACCATGTAGCCTTTATGATGATATGGGGACGTGCCTTACAGATAGCATAGAATAGACCTCAGATGAGCGTAGAATTGAATCCATTGAGCTAGAGTAAGAGGTATTTTCTCCTCGACTTGGCCAGTCATCACGTGATGAGGCTGGACCCCCTGACTGCCAGTGCAGTGCTGTAGGTATAATCTGTATCTGTCATGACTGGTTGAATTTTGCAGCAGAGCTTCATGGAAGTTGCTGAGATAGGAAGAGGGCAACAAGCACTCCACGTGTGAAACTCCACCTATGGCATCCTAGGTTGCCGGATGGCCGTTGACGAGCGGCATGTACTCCCTCCGATCATCATTTCTCCAGGTGACAGATGAGAACCACCACCCTGGGTAAGTTGATGGTGTCTGACAGTGGTAGAAATGATGGTAGTGGTGGTGTAGTTGAGTCGTCACTGCCCATGGCCTAACAGCGGTCGATGGCGCCCACAGCCCGCCCACAGCCAAGTTACTTAGGCGACGCCGTGATTTGACACACCCAAGCCACGCAAAAGTGCCCATTTCAACGCCCCTTGTCTTTCTTGCCATGTTGTTGATCTTCATCGCGCGTGCTCTTTAAAGAGACGCAGCCGAGTCACTCGCTAGACCTTCCTAATGAAGAACTAGAGCACACACTCGGCTGGCCTTCCTAGTCCGTCCAACAGTGCCTGGTTTAGAGTCTGCGTTTCAGGAGTCCGATGAATTTCACATCAGTACGCCATGGTCCATACATCAAGCCGTCTTTGATGCAGTGACTCGGACGAGAACAAGGATGATGAACTGGGCGAGCACTACAGACATCGCTCCAATGGCTTCCAGGCCACCTTATCGGGACAGACTAAGCACTATAGAGATTGTGAAAGAGCTGGGGGTTTCAGTCCTTGTGGATTGTTGCTGAGTGGTGAGCATGTTACAGCCTTCTGGCACGCTGAGTCTGAGCATAAGGGTGGCATGCTTGTTTTAATTACTCGATATTATATAGATAGACAGCCTCAGGCCGTTGTAAAACCCGTCAGATTTCTGCATTGAACCATAATTCGTGGCCAGAAGTATAGTGGGTTGTTAATGAATGCCTCCATTAATAGTTGTAATCATGACAGTGAACGCTAAAGATGGACAGAATCAAACAAGATTGCTTTGTTATACAACAAGCACTTTCATAATCCATACTTCCAATTCAAACTTCCACCCGTCCATCCCGGTCTCAAGCTGCTACCTGGAACGGTTCCCGACAAAGTCCCTCATACTTGGCGGCCACCGTCGCGGTATCCTTCCACGCCGCTGCGACCTTCTTGTTCCGTTCCTCGCACGCCTGCGGCCCGGCTGTGACGACTCTCATCTGGCCCTGCGTCCGGGCCCCCTTGACCAATGCCGACGTCCGAGGCTGTCTCTTCTCTGCATATGCCTCAAAGATTGCCGGCATGCGTTCTTTCAGCTCAGCGAGGATTCGTTGGTTGTCATCTTCATCCTCACCGAAATTGGGCAGTGCCCGGCTGAGGTGATAGCAGTCCTCCCTGTGTGGGTATTAGTTGTAGCTCAAACACAGGAGATGCAGCCAATTTACTTACAATGCCTGATTTGCGCCCTGCCCCAGATGGGGGCTTGTCGGGTGTGCAGCGTCTCCGACCAGCACACAGCGCTTCGTGTGCCATTGATCGGGCCTCATCTCGTCTCGGTCAAACAGCCCAAATTTGATCATTCGCGCGGCCGACCGGATCAGTTCTGCCGGGGACTTGTCTTGCCAGAGCTCGAGGTGGGCAAGCAATTTCCGTTTCCTCTCGTCCATCTCGTCTGCGGTGATCAGACCCCAAGAAGCCTCGGACCCGGTTTCTTCGGGGAGGGTCAGGGCCCAGGATGTCACGTCGGGCGAGACGGGGTAGGTGATCATGTGGACGCCTTCCCCGTAGAAGTTTTGCATGTATGCTGTGCCTTTCATGGCCTGTGGTGTCGAGGAGAGGCCGGCGGTCTGGAGAGCGGTTAGTCGCTGGCTCGTCCAGGATTGGGACTGGAACTGGCTCACCTGAGTCAATCCACTGAACAAGGGCAAGCCTTCGCTGGATCCCTTATTCTTTAGTAGAATTCTTCTCGATGCCGCCTTGATGCCGTCGCCACCGATGAGAAAGGTGCCCGTGACGCTGCGGCCACCCTTGAAATGAGCCGTGACAGCGTCTGCGCTCTCCTCAATGTCCTCCAACTCCCAGCCTTCACGCAGGTCAATGCCCATGTCAATCAGCATGTCCTTGAGTTTCAGATTCAGCCCTGTGCGCTTGACTCCCATGGCATGCTGGCCATATTTCGCCTTGAACGACTTGGGCTCCTCGGAGAAGCCCAACACCTCACCGTCCGAGGAGCGGTCGAGAAATCCTTCTAGTGGGAGTGATCCCTGCTCGATCTCGGTGGCGAGCCCGACCAGGTTCAACACTTTCAATCTGCGTCTCCGTCAATAGAGTGCAATATGCAAAAGGGCCACCATCGTAGGACTCACCCGTTCGGCATCAACATTAGAGACGCTCCTACATCACCCAACTGCTTCACTTTCTCAAATACAATGGGAATGTATCCTTTCCGTTTGAGGAGGACCGCAAAGACCGGGCCAGCAACGCCACAGCCAATGATGAGGACGGTGACAGGAGCCATATCTTTTTTGCTTTTCTTCTCGTTTCTGCGAATTCAAATCTTTAAGGTCGTTGTATTGTGTTTTGTGTGTTTGCTTGCTGATAGAGTTCATCCACACCACCGACGGCCATGATCCCGTCTTTTATGTCTTCCTTCGAGACGTCCTCTCTTTTGACGCACTCTGCCCCGGGATCACATATTGAAGCCTCTTGGCATCTGGACACCCACTATGTCATCGATCGCTAGAGGAATTCAGGTGAGTGCCAAAAGAATTACCCGGGACCTTTCGGTTATGTTTGGCCTGGGGCCTTTTGCTCTCCTGGCCTTAGGGCTGAGTAACAACAGAGGAAAACTCTAAGCGAACGACTCAAACTCTCCCGCCATCGCGGCCTCGCTCTTTGCGTGATCCCGAGGCCTCCTTGTGCCAGGCCTAAGAACTGCTTCATTAGGGACTAGTTCTCCATAAACGTTTTCCCCGCTTCGTTGAGGCCGCCGGCACAGTTTCTGAACCATTGCAACAATACAGTTGAATGTTTCGCGTCGATGAGTGAGAGTGACTCATTGCGGGCAGCTGGAGGAACAGAAGGCACAGAAGGAGAGAGGAGACACTGTTCGACCTCGCGCTCTCGGGTCTAGCTTTGGTGCCGAAGACCGCACGCAGCATTGTCCTCGCTGATCCAAGAGGCCCTCGGCTAAGATTAGCTGGCGGTGGCAATCATCAAGTTTCATCATGACCACGTCCCAAAGCTACGGGCTCACCTTGCCCAGCGGCTGCACCATAGTGCACGGACAAGGTGCGAACATCAAGCATCCCTTCAGCGACATCCCGGTGGAGATGCACGAGCTGGACCCAGGTAGCAGACGCGCCTTTTCGGGGCAATTTGGATTTATCGAGTTCTCGACCGACTTCAGGCTGCCTCGCCATGTGCATATCGCTCCGCCCTCTACTTCTTCTTCGCCTTCACTGCCAGAAGAGCAAAAGTTCATTGCCGAGCGCATCGTCGTCCTGAACGGCGTCGCTCTCGTCGAGCTCAACGGTCAGATCTACGTGATCCCGCCCAAGAGCCTGGTGACCATCGCCCCGGGCGTGCCGCATACTTGGACGGCGTGTCCAGCGGGGGTATCGGTGCCTGTCCTGCAGGGAACGACGACCGGCGAAGTCCTGTCCGAAGGGACATTCCTCATGCTCTACGAGTACGAAGAACCCACCGCGTTCTTCCCCACGAGACAGACCGAGACGCTCACGCGGGTGGATGAGTATGAGCGATGCGATGATCTCGAGGCCATCAGGATCCCTAGGTTGAGCGCCGATGAAGTCAGGCAGAGGTGCTGGTTCGTTTGGGATAGGACCGTGAGTAAACTCGGTTGAGAAAGGGCTGGTTTGCAAGTCGTATAGCCCTTGCTAGATAAAAGTATATATAATGCGTGCATTGCGGTTTGGTACGACATCCATTGTAGACACATGCAAAGAATTCTCACCACTATTTTGCAGGAATCTTCGTTGCCAACGGCAGGCTCCTTCGCTTGGGAACTGCAGTCCGCGTCTTCCGTGACATGATTACCACCGGCTTTATAAACAGCAGCCCCTCGGGCATCACTGGGGTCGCTGCGGCTATGCTGCTGCTGCTGGACGTTCCAGCTAAGAGCCGGGAGCAGACACTCCTAAGACCAATCAAGGCTTCTGACGGAGGTTGCAAAGAAGGGACTGTAGACATAGCTAGGACGCACAGTGGCTCTCTGGCTGGACAAAGTGTTAGTTAACATTTGTGGTAAACCTGATACATAACGGACAGCTATTGACGCCCAAAGGTGGCTTTTTTTTCGGTTGGGAGTGTAGTCCTTCGGCGAGATAAGGGGTGCAGGCAAGCTCCGATCCGTCGGTGCACGCCCTGGCGAGCACAACTATGTGTTTCAACCATGTCGGTCCAGTGGAATTTATAATTTGCTCCGAGAATGCACATTTTTGCTCATCTCATCCCTCATGCCACACTTGGGCGTTTGAAGAAGAGCTGATCGAGGTGTGCCTCCCTTTCTTCGTTCAGGCTTATTGTTGAAAGATGCTTGGTCGCCCACTGCCATGAACCTGTGCCTTGCGGAGTCGTGTCTCTGATCACCAGACAAGACCAGGTGAGAGCGTCCTCCTCACAATCATCGAGGTCGGATCTTTGGCTCAATGAGGCGATCTGCATCTCCACGCTATGTTCGGACGAGAAGTTGCTCCAGTGGCGCACGGTTCTTTCCAGCCAGTTCACGTATGCCTGGATTGCCACGGCAAGCACCCGCTCAGTGGTGCTCAGCCCAGCCATTGCCAGGATGTCGTGACTAAGCTCGGTCACAGAGTCATGGGGTCCGGCAGTAGAGTTATTAGTCGCAGACCAGTCGCAAAAGATCTCTAGGAAGTTGACAAATTGGAGGCTGAGTCGGCCCTCGTTAGCAAGGCAAGCAAGACCCGGAGGATATTTCGAAATTTTGTTTCGCAAGGCTCGAGGGAAAGGTTTCGAGGGATATTCTACCACGAAGTCGTCGGCGAGCTTGAGGCCTTGCGCCTCGTCCTGGCTGCGTTGGGCCCGTTGACGGTGTAACACGGCGGCAGATTCGAACATGCTGGCACCAGAGGCCATGTTAGAGAGGCATTGAAAGCAGCCAGTGCTTAGCTGTGCTCAAGACTTCTTACCCGACAGCCGAGATTTTCAGAAACCCACTCCACCCCAAGCAATCGAGCCCTCCACGCAGCGCGACAATGCGGCGGACGCCTTGAACATGTGCATCGAAAGCGGCATGATCGTGTAACATCCGCTGTGAGTGTCTGTTAGCTAGCCAACGAAGCGACCTTTAGGATTGCCAGGATCAGAAAAGGGCGCGAATGGTCATACATAGACGACAGCCATCGGGAAAATGGTGGCAAGAACAATATCGCTTGTGTTGGTTACCGGATCTTCCAACGCTTCTCGCAACTGAACAACAGCATTATTCAGATGGTAGAGAGCAGCTCTTGAGAGGCGTGCTGTGCTGTCCATATGTAATCTCTGCATGATCAAGTTCAAGGCAATCATGGAGCTGCAATACATGCCCGTTTGGAGCACATTGGTCCTCATGAACTGATGCTGGGCATTGTTGTAGTTGCCTAAGCTCAGTGCGAGCGGGCATAGGACTTGGAAGTCTGTACAGTGAGTGTAAAGATAGAAAGGGGGACTCGGGACAACGTACGGTAGTCAAAACCCCTCATGGCATCACAAGTATTTTCCACCGGGAGAGTCCAGAAAGGGTCATCTCGCAAGCCACCAATTTGGCAGAACAGGAGGGGCATAGAGGCACTGGATGCCTCGACGTAGCTTAACAGCTGGGCGTTTCGCCTGCGAGCCGCGTCTCTGATCGCCTTGCGTCGTTTCTCATGTTTTATATGGGCGTGGTGAGCATTGATGGCAGCCAATTCGCTGTTCCGCTGGAAGTTTTGGATGTTTCTGTTGATGAAAGTCACAGGCATTGCAGCTCGCTCGATCAGATCGAGGCATATTAGTGATAGAAAGTCATGAAAGAGTAATGCATTGCCGTTTCTGCGCATTTCACCGAGTCTAGAGTCAAAGATCAGCCATCCCATTTTGGGACGCAACCTATGCCGCTCTAAATTGCTGTCCAGGTGTTTAAAGCGGCGGGATAAATGTCCACAGGCAAGCACCCGTCAACCACCTAGTCCGCACTCCCCGTTATCAACCGTTGAACTCAACGGAAAACATGGCAAAGAATGAAAATGGCTTGAGAATAAAATCAAGAATATCTCCGTGTCCTATCTTTCACGGGCAGCAAAGCTCAGTCAGCTGAGGCTTTGCGTTGACGCAGTCGATGAGTGTGGCACCACCAGCGGCAGGAAGTTGGTGAACCTGTTGCAAGACATAGTATCGCGGCTTCTTGATGACGCCTCTCTTCAGTTGCTCTTCTGGTCCCGGCACTATCCGCTGATTGTTTCATCGCGGAGCTCGAAATATGTATGGCAGTTTGGAATCGTGGGGATATCAGGCTCTATGTCCATGTCGAACTCCAGCGCTACGTCGTCCTGACGGACACCATTGTCGACCGAGACGTCGGGATTTTCCAATGGCTTGTACTAATGGTAGGAAGTGTTATCGACCTCTATCTGGACGGAACTCGGCTCAGCAAGCTTTCGACGCGATCCTAACAAAACCAGTTCACCTTCACGACTTATACCGGGGTCTGTTCGAAAGCATCGAGGCCGGCCAAAACAAAAATCCTTGCAAATCATACGATGGTTCTTGTTTGCCAAATAACCTTTCTCAGTAGGACAGTTGCGCCACGCCATAGATGTTGAATCCAACCCAAAGTCTACATCTCTTGAGGAGTGTCTCAAATATGGGGACTGCGAGACTGATGACGAGATGGAGCGACGGATCCTCAACGTTTCTCGAGGACTGCTCGACGTTCACGGTGACAACATGTGGATACAGTTCATTCACCAGTCAGCCCTTGAACTCGCGCGAGACGATGGGTGTCGGATCATCGACGATTCATTGGAGTCAAAGGCTGAGTTTACCGGCATTTCGCATTTTCACCTGTCGCGGCTTTATATTCGCTACTTCCATTTGAAGATTTCCGAGCACTGGAACACAGATTCAGTTCAGATCCACTCGAATCTGCATTAGGATTCATTTCGTATGGAGAGGACCGTCTCCGAGAGTTCTCCATGTATGCCGCTGAGTATTGGTTGCCCCACGTATAGAACGTGGAAGTCCACAGCATCGCCCAAGGCGACCTCGTGGCACTTTTTGGCTGGCTAGAGTCGGGGCTTTCCAAGGCGTGCAAATGGTATTATCTTGGGTATATCTCTCCTTTCTAGCACCTAGATAGATCGACGGTGCGGCGTCACGTGTGCTGCAGGAACCGTCGAAATACGAGTACGTCGTATCACGAACCTGGTTGTCCGGTTACGAGTCAAGCGCCATTAAGACTTCCAAGTGGAAGATCATTAGGCGAACTGCGGCCACATCCCGGAAAGCCCAGATCTGCCTCATACGTCTTGGTTGTGGACGAATGTGCCTTGTCGATCATACTGGCTCAGCAGGCAATAAGGTTGGACACGGGTAAGGTATATATATCGCGGCGTCTCTCTTTCTTCCCGCAGGTTGAACGAGATGAAAAAGCATCAAAGACCTCCAGGGGCTTTCATACAGCTAGCATTATTCGTCCTTCCATCCACAGAGTCGATCCTCTCACTGAGAAGACGACTCTTTCACAAGACTTCCTAACTTCTTCGCGCAAAGCGTTGTTGGCACGATGGACTCGAAGCTCGACGTCCCCGCACCAGAACGGCATTACGAATCCGACGTCTCTGAGGGCTACGACATGCCGCCACCGGCCTACCGCCGGAACTCGGAATCGTCCACGGAGCGGTCACTGTACGACGAGAAGGACGAGGTGATGTTCGCCGGCGGTCAAGGTCCGGCGCACGCCAACCCCGTGCGGGAATACGGCTGGTACCATCCGCGGGTGCTGACGCGGGGGCTTGTGATCACGGACACTGCGGCGTCAACGCCCACGAGCAAGGCGCCGCTGTACTATGTCGAGGTATCCGAGTTCGCGCTCAAGAAGCCCGACGTGATCCTGCATGCGCTCCCACCCACCACGGGCATGACCAACGACCTCGAGCACCTCGCCAACACGGGTGAGTCGGGCCCCGTGGTCGGCGTGGCGCACTTCCCTAAGCTGTCTCGCCACATCCAAGTCGGGCTGGGCGACCCGTCGTCCCGTGCGGCGGCCATGACCTATGTCGAGGTGCGCAACGCCAATCTGCTTACGCACGGCGAGTACCACATGGCGCTGGACGGGCGGACGTACGCGTGGAAACGCACACACGCGGCCTCGGCGGGGGTCGAGGGCGGGAGCAGTGCGGCGCGCCTCATGCATCACGAGAGCTTCCAGCTGATCGACATGGGCACGCAGGCGGTGGTCGCGGTGTTCCTGGACAACAAGTTCAAGAGCTGGCGGAAGAAGGGCAAGTTGCGCATCTTCCAGAATCTCGACGACGACGGCGTCCATGCCCTCGGCAGTGGCGGCGGCGACCCCCAGCGACAGCGGCTCAGGCTGCTCATCTTCCTCAGCATCGCGGCCATCCTGGAAAAGGCCCGTCGCCGGGCTAATCGCAGGCGCAATAACTCTGGGGGCGGCGGTGGTGGGCCCTGATGGGAAGGGGATAGATAGATAGATAGGTGTGTGGGGATATGTGTTATTTGTTTGGTCGATATCGATACGAACGCTCCGGTGTCATTATTTCAAGGCGCAGATTTGGTGGTTTAGGGATAGGGGGGATACGAATACGAACCAGGTCCAGGACAGAGGTTACCTATCTCTCGTTTCGCAGCTGTTGTGGTGTGTGTCACAACTACCTCTTGGTACATTCCTATATGTCTTCAGAATGTCCTGTCCTCGTTAAGGGTTAACTGCGTCGACACATACTCTATATATCTGTGTATATATATACCGATAAGGAGAGAACGGTCTAATAGTAAATTCCCATTTCAAGATGCCTGCCTACACCCATCCCACCGGCATAGTTTTTTTTAAACCCACCACCACCACCGCCACCGCCCCAGACATCTCCTAAAGACCGACTTCCTGCTCGACCGTAAAGACCTCGTCCATCACGTCCCGGATGCGTTGTGATCTCTCGCGGATTTCTTGCGTCGACGACAGCGTCCCGTCCTCGCACACGTAGTAGTCGATATGTGTCGCGGGCACCCATTCGAAGTAGACGTTACGCACCGTGACCATCTTCTTCCATAAAGCGGATCGCCCTTGCTCATGTTCCGGTCCCTGCGGCCGGAGATCCCAGGATGCGGTGAGTTCGGCCGGGTCGTTGTCCTCTTCGGCGTGATCCTCTTCCGCCATGCCAGGGGCGACGGCGATCTTCTCGCTCTCGCTGACGCATACCACGACCGCCCTGCCGCGCGTGACGGCTTTGGCGACCAGCGCTGCGGCCAGGGATCCGGTCTTATTGCTCACGGCGCCGGTTACTCCAGAGATGCGGTCGGCGCCGAGCACCACTAGGTCGACGGCGTCTTCGCCGTCGTTGTCGTGGTCGTTGTCGCGGCTCAGGACCCCGACCGAGGCGTCGCTGGCGAGTAAGATCCGGAGGCGGTTATCGAAGGGAAGGAGACCTGTGGTGGTGGTGGCGGTGGCGCCAGGAGTCTCGCGGCGACGGCGCCGTTGGGCTTCGTCCGTCAGGGCTTGGGCGAAACTCACGCCCTCGTTCAACGGGCGGGACTCGAGGATGCGGAGTTCGATTGACAACGTCTCATCGGCGTCCAGGGCATGCAGGATCGCGGCTTTGATGGTCGAGGACGAACTCAGGGTCAGAATCTTGATCCGCCAGTTCGTTTTCCCCTCGTCTGCGTGCTTTTGAGTATTCGACCGGAATCTCTCCTGCAGGAACTTCGAGAACTGGTAACTCACTCGTTGGGAGAGCTCGGCCCGTTTGGCCACCGAGACCTCGAGGCTTTGTTTGACTTTCTCGAGATAGTCCTGTTGTGATGGTGGTGGTGATGGTGATGGTTGAGAGGATTCGATATGAGTCTTTGCTTCCTTCAATGCCGCAGCCACAGCGTTCGATATCGCAGCAGCCATGCTGGGTCGGCCGTTGAAGGCGAGGTGGAATGCCTGCCGTTGAAAGCCCTTCCACCATGCCGCGGCGTCTATTTGTTGTTTTGTTTGCTGGTCATGTTCCACGATGCGGATTAGTGACTTCACAGCCATAGTCGCCAGTTCCCTCGCGCCGTGCGAGTGATCCAGCCGTAGTTCTTCGAGTCCTTGGTACAGCACGCTGTCCGGGTCGACCCAGACCTGGCCCAGCGTCACCTCGAGTCGGGGCACGCAGTCATCCAGTATCTTGCCGCTGAGGATGTCGTCGACACTCTGCCACTGGCAGCCCAGATGCTCAAAGTTCATCTGCAGGCCCAATTTTTCCACGTCATCGTCGTAGTCGGCCGTCTCCTTGGTGAGGCGGAACGCGAACGGCCAAACGGTCCAGATACGTCCCTTGACGCGGTGCTCACCCTCACCAGTGACCACGGCCTTCTGGTCCGTGAACTCGAAGCCCGCACCACGTCGCCACAGTTCGATCTGGCCCGGACCGAAGGACGTCTCCTCCTTCAGTTCGCGCCAGGCTGCCTGGAGGGGCGACTTGTCGAACGTCTCGACCGAGCCGGCGATGGGTGCCAGCTTGCGCCGGTACGTGCTGACCTTGTCGGAGCGGCGGAACAGCAGGACCCGAGACGGTTTGGTCGCGTACGGCTGGTGCGGGAAGAGCAGGACCGACACTACCGTGCGTCGCTCGAGATTGTGCCCGGCGGCGGCGGCGAGGGAGTGAGCCATCGTCGTCGGGGGGCGTATCTTAGCACTAGGAGAGGAGGGGTTTTTTACTTATCTATTTTATGGTTTGAGATGACTATGATGAGGCAAGAGTAGTTTGGGCGAGATGGGACAACGATAGCATCGGAAAGAATTAGATGATACTGATGAAGACAAAGTGTTGGTCTGATGTCGTGTCACACCATCAACGAAATCTCCACGTTGCGAGCTGGTGACGTTGTCCGACATGATCCGAGTGGGAACAGGCAAAGCACCTCACCAATCCATGTTGATTATCTTGTATATACTCGAATCGAGGCTTCTACAGGCTATAAGTGCTATATCAACATATAAAGGGGGAAGACATACTGTTTGGCAATACAAGTTGACAAAGGACTATCATTTGAGAATAGCGAGATACACGGATACCTTTGTAAGAAGCACAGCTTCAGCCTCGACATACATACAACGCGCAACAAAGAAGTCCACGTGCAGTGGCCTACTCCAGTGGAATTGCACACCCTGTTACCCTCGAATGATGACCTTCGGTTGACCAGAAGGACTCCTAGCACCTCCTCCTTAGAACGCGGAACCACGGCGTGCGACATTGTCGACAAGCTCCTTCTCCAACACGCCGTCTCGGGCCCTGCTGTGCGCAAATGTCGTGGTCGGCCTCCACTTGGCCGAAGTGCGTGGCGTCGACTCTTCCATCATCCGGTCGACCTGTTCGAGGGTGAGGCCCTTTGTCTCGGGCACCAGGAAATACGCGTAGACGAATGCAGCCGTGCAGAGGCCCCCCCAGACGAAGAAGACGGAAGACTTGAGGTCGCCGTGGTCTTCGCCGACCATGTAGGGCGTGATAACAGCGATGATCTGTCCCTATCTGTGAGCTTGGGATATTCTCAACAAAACTCCACAGGCAAACACCTACCGTATTCCACAGCCAATTCGACGCCGTCGACAGGGCAACACCCCTCGAGCGAATCGGCAGAGGGAAGATCTCTCCGATCACGATCCACGCCCCAGGACCCCATGTGGACGCAAAGAAGAAGATGAAGATGGCAATGAAGGCAATCTGCGCGTTGACCGCGGGCACGTTGTCTGCAAGACTGAGATCCGCATCCGCCGGGTCCATGTGAGTGTGGTTAAACCCAACGGTCACACCGACGATGGCAACAAGAAACTGGCATATCAACATCCCCAAGGCGCCCCAGATCAAGAGTGGACGACGACCGAATTTCTCCACCGTATAGAAGGAAAGCGGTGTGCTGCATACATTGACCAACGTGAAGATGAGCGAGATGAGGAAGGTGTTGTCGATTGCCCCAGTGCTCTGCAGGAACGGAGTCGAGTAGTAGAAGATGAAGTTCACGCCGGTCCTGACGACAGACAGTCAGCATCTGATCCGTAGATCGAGTCCATTTCTCTCAGGGCCATACCATTGTTGCATCATCTGCAGGGACGTGCCCAACACGGTGCGCCGCAAGTTCGATTTCTGCACCCACAAACCACCCTTGAAGCAGTTCGCCCAGCTAGAGAACCATCCACTCGACGGAATGATGGCCCGCTCGTACTCCTCGTTGGCGACAATCTCAGCCAGCTCAATTTGTACATAATCTGAGTCGCGTGGCTGGCCGCGGAGCTTCGACAGCGAGATAGTGGCTTCCTCGAGTCGGCCTTTCTTGACAAAATAGCGCGGCGAGTCAGGGAGGGTGAAGAGGCCACCAGCCAGGATAATGGCCCATGCGAACTGAATGGCGATAGGAATCCTATAAGAGCCGGTGTCTCGGCGGTCTTCAGTGGCGTATACGACGATAGAAGCAAGCATGATGCCGATGGTAATGCAGAATTGGTAACCAGCGACGAGGGCTCCGCGGACTTTCCTAGGGCACTGTTGACTGTTAGCACCGTCGCACTCACAGGAGACAAATACTTACAATCTCACTCATGTAGAGGATCACAATAGCACTTTCAAATCCAACCCCGATGCCCGCGACGAGACGCCCAGCCACGATGGCAGCCAGGGCATCGCCTTCTCCGGTGATCATCTGAATCACAACACCCAGCATATAGATCATACAGCCCATGATAACGGTCCACTTGCGACCGATAAAGTCCGCCATGTCTCCGCCGATGAGAGCTCCGAAGAAGGTTCCAGCGGACAATATCGAGACAACGAGCGATTGGTGTGAAGAGCTAAGAGCATCTGCATTTGGGCTTTCGACGGCCCGAATGAAGATGTCTGCTCCAAGTACTCCGTTGATGTAGCCTGAATCATAACCGAAGAAGATTCCACCGAACCTAATTCCGTCAGCTTCGATACAGAGTCACAACGTCACTACCACTTGTCAACGCCGTTCGGGGAAACTTACGATGCAAAAGCGCACATCAGGTACGCCTTCCATGTCACGGGGGCCTCGATACGGCTGACATCATCGGTAGTTTTCAGGGAGAGAGAGCGAGGATGTTCAGCCTCCTCACGGACTTCTTTGGGGTCAGACATGGTCGTTCACCGCGATGATTGAGGGAAGACACCCCGAGTACGAGCACAAGATATCGTCAGAACCACTGCGAGAGCGGGGAAGTGCATACAACTTATAGGCATCTCCTGTCTGGATCATGCAAAACGAGAAACCCACCAGATTCGCATGCGTGACACGTCGCGGAGTCGCGGAGATCCACAGACAGAACCCATCGCAAGTTGAGAGGAGTACTCCAGCCTCGTTTCAATTGGCCTCATTGATGCGAAATGGCACTCGTGTATCTGAAGGGTGGAGGGTTTCCATCTCCATTGATCGGATTGAAACCCAAGAGAAACGAGAGCGTCGAATTTCATCATCGATTGTAACCTCGTCAAGAGTCATTGCAACATTGGGTGCATGGTGCGAGTCTTGTACTGGGACGTGTAGTCGTGGCATTAGGCTTGTCGTCAACCGATCAAGTCTTGGATTGATTCTTGGGTGGTGTTCCAAGACCAGGACAAGACCGACGACTCCACAGCTTGCTCCAGCATTCCGCCCGCCGCACCGAGAAAGGACAGCCCGGGTTTGGGAAGATAATGGATGTCGAATTGCGAGCCGCTTCTAAGTTAGTCATCCCGAACAATCTCGACGTCAAAGTGGTGCATCAGGAGAACGAGGGCGTCCAGCTGGTTTCTCCTGAAGGAGGAATGCTGCGCTCCCATAATTGCTTGCCCAGACAATGGAATCAGCTTGGCACCCCGAGCCAAGGCGGAGCGACAGAAGCAGATTGCGGGGGTTGCCCCAGCAAGGATACTCATGCGATCATGCGATCATGCCGAGACAGTGTTTTGTGACGGGAGGGTGGCACCTCTGGACTTGCTCGGCCACTGTGTGTGTCGGTGTGGCCGGCAAGGTGAGTCGATCCTCAGCTGCCAGTCTCAATGGGCCGAAAATTCCCAGTCCTGCGTCAAGATATCTGCCAGACGTCTCATCGTCCCGTTCCTGGTCATCCTCCAGAATGCCATGATCTTGTTCATCAACAAAATTTGGGCCTGTGGATCGTCGGTACACACCCCCAGGCAGTAGAATGGCCAGGCATAGTATTCGGCAAAATAGTCCACGGTCGGTTCAATGAAGCGGACAAGGAGCATCATCTCGGATAGCAAGCTCGAGAGGTGTTGAGAGAGAAATTGGCCTCTCAGCCCTGAGGAACGTGCTATCATACGCCTCAGGAGGAGCTTCGCAGCAAGGGAATAGAGTCTCGGGCCGAAGAAAGGTTGATTGGCTTTCTGACGACTAGTGAACAAAGACAAGGAGAGACTGTTGTCGGCGGCATCGGCAGTATCTGAGTCCGGAATATTGTCATCACTCCACCCCCGGAGACCCTGTTCCAAACGGTGACATTCTCGCAGATCGTATATTTGGGAGCGATATTGCGAATAGGCCCATGCCACTTGTCGCACGTATGAAAAGAGCATTGGGGGTGCCCCAAGGACTGGCGAATGTGAATAGTCCACTGTGCCCTCCAGCCAGAGCTGCTCCAGCATCAGCTGGGCGTTCAGAAAGGTTTCATCCACGAGGGCCGATGACGTAGGAGACGGGTGCTGAAAGGGAATGCTTGTGGCGACATGGAAAATAAAAGACTCCAGGGTGAGGATGCGGGTGGTCGTCCAGGCCGCCGGCACGCTTCTGGAGGTCTCCATTTGCTTCCAGCAGGACTTGAGCAGCGCCGCCGCTCCATACAAATGGGTCGATACACCTTCCGAGCGGTAAAGCCGAGTTCTCTGTAAGGTATTTCAGCGATCTCGGGCAATTAACTGCGTCGAACAAAGGAAAACTCACCTCATATATGCATAGGATGAGAACAGTCCGCAGGGCAATAATTTCGGCGACTGGAGAGTTCTCTTGCGCGAGGTAGGTTCGCATACCTCCTATCGCGTTGATATAGTGTGCCTCAGCTATTCTGCGATGGAGCGGGTCGTTTTCTCTGATCTCGGCAGCAGAACAGGCCAGGAGAGCATCCATGAAGAACGGGATGCTGTTGGCCACTTGGAGGCTCCCACTCGTAAAGTCGTGGATGTATTGGCCATCGGTCGCAGGTCGAACCAGCTGCGGCACAAACACCATCCGCATGTAATCGAACACCGGAGGGCTGTGGATCTTTGTGACTGAGGAGATGGTGGTGAGTTGAGGAGACACTACCAGAGGAAGGTCGTCGTCGTCGTCCACGTTATGGATAGCAGATCCTGGCGAGAGCGATGTTGAGGGTGGGGACACATTTTCATCTTCAGTAGCATAGAATCCAGTGTGGTCATGGTCGATGGTGAGACTTGGAACAGGCGACGACGCACTGTGTCCATCTACACTTGGGCTTGGCACGTTGACCCTCGAGTTTGCCTGCGCAGGCCAGACGCAGTCAATCTTCCTTCTCGCACAGTTCTGGCAGATGATTGGATTCTCGTCACACTTTTTCTTTCTCTTTCGGCCTTATGCCAGCAGTCAATCAGCCGGTCATTCCTCACAGCTCGGGCGTGATCTTGACGGCCGATGAATGGGGAAGATAAGCATCAAACTCACAGGTCAGACAGCCAGTCTTGGTGCGCAGATGAGCCGGCCTCCGTCGCGGCTTACGATAGTTCTTGACCCCGTCCGACGGCTCGCCCATGATCAAGCCGAGAACCCTGTGTTCATGAGAAGAGGTGGGTTCTCACCAGACTTCAGAGAGTTGCTGTCACTGAGATCAACTTCGGCTAGCTCTGGCCGAGGACGTCTACTGCGGAGGATGCCGCCAGCGCCGTTGGAAGCGGGCTATCCTTGCCGACCTGGTGTTAGCGAGACATGAGCAGACAATCTGACCAGTTGCAACACGTTGCGCAGTCTTCGCCCTTTCTCCCCAGCTCTTATCACGGGTGGCGGACCAGACTTTGGCAGGCCACGCACTAGAAAAAAGCCGACTTCACGGATTCGTCGAGCCTTCAATGCACCTTTCCTTGTTCAGCTTTGCTTCGCGGATAGACCTGGGGGACAAAGCACCCTTGCTCACGTCGACGACAGACTACGATCATCAACATGGCTTTTCGTTATCTGTGTCTGCGGCAGAGGATGCTCCAGCAAGCCCGGGTTAGGAATATAAAAATGCGAGAGGACTTCCGACGAGGAGCAGACAGAGACTGTCTACCATCACTGTCACCTCCCATACCCGTTCGAGGCAATGTCGTTCCCTCGCCAATGTGTCGACATGCCCATGCCTCCGGGCACAGTTCGCATTGAAGGTCAGATTGTGTCGTATGATACACGCTTCCAAGCACTCACACTGTGTATAGATCTTCACAGCAAGAACGCCGACGTTATCCTCCAGCCCCAGCCCACCACTGACCCCAATGATCCGCTGGTAGGCCATTTCAACATATATCGAATGTGAGTATAAGGCTGAGTGAAAACAGAACTGGCCAGCATGGAGAAAATACCTCAACTTCGTCCTTGCGAATTTCTATGTGCTCCTGGTCTTTGCATTGTATGTACCCCTCCACAACTACTCTTCAAAGTAGTCGCTCATGTCCATCCCCAGAATCAACATGGTGACGGTCACCTGGGCGTCGATGAACCTGGAGCTGGGCTTCAGCTACGACATTCTCAATGACAGCTACGCCGCTGGCTGCGGATCCCTCTGCATAGGAGGCATCTTCCTCCTCCCCTTCGCACTGAAATATGGCAGACGCCCAGTGTACATCCTCAGTCTGGCTGTCCAGTGCGGAATATCAGTCTGGTCTGCTCGGGTACGAAACGTCACGGATCTCATGATGGTCAACATACTCGGGTGTTTCGTCGGAGCCCTGTGCGAGGTCATGATACAAATGACGGTTGCAGATGTCTTCTTCGTCCACCAGCGTGGCTTGATGAACAGCATTTACATCTGGACTCTGACCATTGGATCGTCGCTGGCTCCGCTTGCCGCCGGATACGTTACCACGTCTCAGGGCTGGCGTTGGGTCTGGTGGTGGACTGCCATTTTGATTGGAGTGTTTGTGCTTCTGATGTTCTTCCTCTACGAGGAGACAAAATACGAAGGCTTGGTCCTGGACGGCTTCCCCACTACTAATCGCCCTTCTCAGGACGATTTCACAGGGTCGACAGAGAAGAGCTCGGAGGAGAAGTCACCCCCCTCCAAGGACGCCGGTTCTGATACTGTTGAGGTAACCCACCGGGAGCCTCAACTCACCAAAGTTGAGGTTGATCCTAACATCCCCGTTAAGCCGTACTGGAAAAAGCTGGCTCTCTGGTCTTCATCACCAAAATCCATCCGAGCCTTTGTCAGACATAGCTACCAGCCCTTTCTCATCCTCTGGCACATCCCCGCGGTGCTGTACATGTCGCTACTCAACGGAGCCATGACCGCGGCGGGGATCATGCCCATCACGGTGTATTCGGTCTACATGACTCTGCCGCCGTACAATTTCGAGCCCCAGCAGATCGGACTCTTTGGGTTGCCGTTGTTCATCGGCACGCTGGTTGCCGCACTCATCTGCGGACCACTGAGCGACTGGATGATTTTGCGGATGGCCAGGAGCAACGGCGGGGTCTACGAGCCCGAGATGCGACTGTGGCTGATCCTGGCGTTCACGCCGTTTGTCGCGGCAGGCTTGTTGATGTTTGGGATTGGGCTTGAAAAGGGTCTCCCGTGGCCTTTCGTGGCCGTTGGGCTGGGTGTGAGTTCGTTCGGGACGGCTCCAGCGCAGAGTCTCTCCCTGACGTACTTGACCGACGCCTACACCGAGGTGGGTGGCCAAATTCTCCAAACTCAAGAGTAGTTGCTGACTCGACCGTTGGACAGATCATCTCAGACTCGCTTGTGGCCGTCACCTTCGTGAAGAACCTGTTTCCCACCATCCTGGTGTTTGCATTGACGCCGTGGATTACGGCAGTTGGTCTGGGAAACGTCTTCATTACGGCCTCGGTGATTTTTGTTGCTATCCTGCTGGGTAACATCATCTTTATTCGTTTTGGCAAGCGTTTCCGGGCGCATTCGGCAGAGAAATACCGTCTATACGCTGGTCACCCTTTGGCCGCAGCGTAGGTTTGCTTTTGCTTTAAGACGTACACTGGTAGAGGTGTAGACCTGCATATGGTGGGGGCTGTGACAACTTGGTGTCTTCTATATTTGTTATCGTATCCAGTTCATATGTATTCAAGCATAAAAAGTTTGAGCTTTGACCGTCGTTTCCATGCCATGCCATACTTGACACTTTCTTCCTTTCTTTCCTCCACAGCTTACAGTCGCTTACAAACTTTGCTCAATGCGAGACCGAAGTTTCCTTCCCCTTGACTCTCGCCCTCGCCGGACAGAGATCTATCCTGTTCTGGAAGACGCAGCCATGACGCAGGGGAGGCCGAGCTGAGACTCGGAGCGAGAGATAAAGACAGTCCACATTTTGGGTCCGTGAGAAGACAACAACTAGTCTAGAACCCAGTATGTACCGAGTGACCTACAGTACCTTCATCACTTTGCATCCCTGTTTCCGAGTCGGGGTGATCTCTCTCACTCCCTGTCGGACGGACTCCACGCGAATAGATATCCAAGCTCCAGCAAGGAGGAGGAAGTGGTGCTGGTGGTTGCTGAATCCTTGTCCGTGCGAGCCAATAGCGACACATTGCGCCAGGCGGAAAAGGCATGTTCAGTTTGCTCACGGCCCAGACCTCCTATGTGCTGGAGACAGAAGGGACAGACTTGTCATACTCTCACACTCAAGAGACGAAGCTGCCCGTGCTCGCCTTTCTCCGCCTTCCTTGCCATGCCATACAGGCGTCCATACTCCAGTCCAGCGTGAACCGTGCGCGATGGCAGACTTTATTCCGCCGTCGCCACCGACTTCCAGATGCGAGATGATGGACGGAGTAACCGGTTAATCCACCAATCAACCAATCAATCAATATGCATCTGCTGGATCCTCGCTCTCCAGGCCTGATCTTTTCGTTCGCAAGTAAGGCGTTCGGGGCCGGCGAAAGGCGACATCTATCTGTAATATATCTGTGGAAACTCGCCAAGATGGAAGAAGTCTGAAACCCCCGAGGAAGATAATACAAAGAGTACGTTTACCAGAGACGAGAGGCTCATCATCATCGTCATCATCTTCTTTTTCTTGTTGCTTGCTGGCCCGGAATGATGAATAGATAGGGCGTGAATTGGCTGGAGGACATATTACTTACTTTACTTACTTCCTTACTTTCTTGCAACAGATTCCATCCTGTCTATCGATATATCTGTTTGTCACTCGACTCACTCGCCGCCAGCACATATACACCAAACTCACCACGCCCTGCCTCTAACAGAAGTCAGAAACAATGTCTCCCACCACCGTCGTCACAAATGCCCGCCTCTTCACGAGCACCGACGATTGCGGCGAGGATCTCGTGCCCGGGTGTCTGGTGGTTCGGGACAGGCTGATCGAATACGTCGGGCCCCAGGGATCGGAAACTCTGGCTCAAGCCATGGCTTGTGAGGCGCCCACAACAGAAGTCGAGGTGGTCGACGCCGGCAACCGTGTGGTGACCCCCGGCTTCATCGACGCCCACGTGCACATGCTGCACTTCGGCCTGTCGCTGGGCAAGCTGGACGTGATGGGGTGCACGTCGCTCGAGCAGATCCGGGAGACGATCCGCGCGTTCGCCGTGGCGAATCCTGCCGCCCCGCGCATCCTGTGTAAAGGCTGGATCCAGGCCTCGATCACCGGCGGCAGCAGCCATGGCGGAACTCCGCTGGCGAGCATGCTCGACGACCTCGACCCGCCGCACGCCCGCCCCATCTACGTCGAAGCCCTGGATCTGCACTCGGTGTGGTGCAGCAGGGCCGCGCTGGCGGAGCTGGGTGTCGATGATGCGACGACGAAAGATCCCCCCGGAGGAACCATCCATCGGGATGCCCAGGGCAGACCCTCGGGGTTGCTGGACGAAGGGGCGCTCCCCCTGCTGGTGTGGCCGTTCCTGGCCAAAACCCTGACCGCCCAGCAGAAGCAGACGGCCCTGCACCTCGCGGTGGAGGCATACCTGCAGGCCGGGTACACGGGGGTCATTGACATGGCCATGGACGAGGATGAGTGGACTGCGCTGGAGACGTATCGCGCCCGCAATAACGACGAATTACCGCTGCACATCGCCGCGCACTGGCTCGTCCCGTACAGCGACTCGGATGCAGAAATACAAGCCACGCTGGACCGGGCGATCGAGGTGCATCGGAAATACCCCCCAGCGATGTCCCCCTCCTTCTGCGTCGTGGGCATCAAATTGATCGGCGACGGCGTGGTCGACAGCTGCACGGCGGCGCTGAGCCAACCATACGGCGCGAAGCCCAATCCCGTCGAGCCCATCTGGCCGGCGGCGACGATGACCAGGGTGATCCAGCAGGCAGACGCTGCGGGTCTCCAAATTGCCGTGCACGCGATCGGAGACCGCACCATCACGCAGACCATTGACGCCTTCGCCAGCCTCAACAAGCCCCTTTCACCTTGCCGCCGCCGCCGCCACCGCATCGAGCACCTGGAGCTCGCGTCGGCGCGCGACGCAAAGAGGCTGGGCGAGTTGGGCATCACGGCGTCGGTGCAGCCGGTGCACTCGGACCCGGCGTTGTTCAAGGCCTGGCCGACGCTGCTGGGCACCCACCGCTGCCGCCGCGCGTTTCCCTACCGCGAGTTCCTAGAGGGCGGCGCTCCCGTGGCGTTTGGGACCGACGCACCCACCGCCGCGCACCTCCCGCTGCCGAACCTCTACAACGCCACCACGCGCCGGTCGGCCATTGAGCCCGAGTCGACCGAGAGGACGAATCCACAGTTCGCCGTGTCGCTGACGGCGGCGCTGAAGGCGGCCACGGCCGGCGCGGCGTACTCGCGGCACGCCGAGACGTGGACGGGTAGTCTGAGAAAGGGCATGAGTGCCGACTTTCTGGTGCTGGACATGGACTGGACGCCTGCTGGCTTGTTGGCGGCGAGGGTGCGACAGACCTGGTTTCAAGGGCGGAAGATGTTTGACATGGAACAAGGTGTGAAACGTTGAGGCGACGGTGCAGGAAGGAATGCGAGGAATTCTTCAGTACAAGCATATTCGAGGGAGTCTGGTCGCTTTGAAACGCTTCGTTGCATAGTATTATTACATAGGATCTATCGGATAAAACCCCGTTCCTTTCTCATTCGTGTGCTCATAACAAGGAACGTCATTAAACAACACTGTTTACCCCGTCTTCATGTCTCACACTTGATGGTATGCGCCCTTGATCGAGGCCAGCATTCCTAGGGAGAGATGATGAACACATCTCCTTACAGTTCCGCTTTGGGCTGGGTCGACGTCGAAGACGAGGTCGACGTCGATGTTGATGCTGCACGTTGCACTACCCCGAATCTCGTGTTGCCGACATCGAAGACACTATACACGGTCAGATTCTGTCGGGGACGTGAAAGGAAATCCTGGACTCACGCATAGACATTCTGCAAGAAGGTATCTCCGAAGATGTCAAAGTTCTGGCTGCCGCGAGATTGAATACCGCCGTACACCATATTGCCATCAGAGGCACCGGCAAACCCAAGGTGTTGCTTCTCAATGGTGATGGGAGTGTCGCCGACCATGAACGTGACGGTAGGAAGATCATTTTCAGCAGTGCTCGCAGGGAACACCCAGCCCTGCTCCGTGCTGTCTTGTTTGGCACCGGGAATGGCACTGTAGATAGCTTGACAGACCTCGTCGGATGTCAGGAGAAGAGTGGTACCGGTATCCGCAATCGCCTTGTTCCCGGAGAGCTGAATGGTCTTGCCGTTGACTTGGGCAGAGGTCGAGTCGAACATCCAGAACCCCTGAGAGTTGTCGACCGGGGTGTAGCCGATGCTAGAACCGGACGGGACGACTGACTGATCGATCTGACCAAAGGTGTCTGGGTTCACGTTAGAAAGGACTTGACAAATCTAAGAACAGGGGTCAATAGTTACAGAATGACTCCTCATTCGTATCTTTGATGGAACCCAGATAGCAGGTGAACAACTCGGCATTCTGAGGGATGTCGTCTTGGGCGATCATGTTGGCAACAGGTGTCTGCACAGGCTCCGGTTGGACGGTGTTGATCGAGCCAAACGCGAGACCGAGAAGGCCGTCTGAGGATGTATCCTGGGTAAACTGAGACGACAGCTTTGTGGCGAGCTCAATGGCCTGGTTCTTGACGGTGATATTGCCAATCTCGATGTTGTCTGTCCCGACTTTGCCGGACGCGGAAGATTGATCGCCATACTGGATCTGCCAGGTGGAGCCCTGAGAGGTCTGGAATGTGGACGACTTGGAAGGATCAAAGATGGTATGGCCCTTGCCTGCAGACAAAGTGCTCTGTGGCAGTTCGGTGGACCAGCACCAGAGGTCAGAGGATCCCGAGTCAAAGTCCTGGGTGATGGTCAGTGATGTACTTGGGAGGGGTCGAGAAGCTCACCAAGTTCAGTGTCTGAGCTGGTGTACCAATCTTGACGGGAACGGTGTACAGGGAGTCATTCTGCTGGTCACTTGCAGTCCTGGCGAAGTGGTCAGTATATTTCAGGATTCATGCCAGACGCTGCACATACACTTCACCCTGAGAGCCATCGGCGTTCTGCTTGACCAGCAGTTTCTTGCCTCTGGCGGCGGAGTAAGGACCCTGGATGGTGGGAGCAATGCGGTACTTGTTAAGCATGTAGACGTAGGACTTGAGGCCATTGCGTTTGTAGTGAGGGTTGCGGCGGATGGGCACGCGGATGAGAGAAGACATGTTGGGCAGTGTGTGGTCAGTGATTAGAGCCGAAGGATGTGCAGAAAAGATAGATGTCGAGAGGGATGAAGAAGAGAAGAGAAGAGAAGTGAGATCAAGTCAAGTACTTGTAGCTTGCGAAGTGTCTCTCTCTCTGTTGAAGGATGACGCGTTTACCGTGACAGACAGACGCAGGCAAACAGGGAAGTCGATGATTGTGGGCAGCAACATCCCAGCAACATCCCAGCAACCACTCCTTCTATGGTTTGTACATGTCTTTTTTTCGAGTGAAAGCACCAGGCACCACTTGCATTCATTGGGCCCTTCAGGTCAGTAGGTAAAGTGCTGGTGTGTGCTGGTTTGCCGTGTTTCAAGAGGGTCGCATACTGACTGACCTTGTACAGCCTCACTCCCCGCCTGCGCAGGGAATCCATCCTCGCCACCAGTGCGGCTCTCTCTGCCATTGGCGTCTGTCCCTGTTCTCAAAGCATATATGCTGCGACATCCTTCGGCTGCAGGACAGACGGTGCCACTTGTACCGTCCTGAGAAGCCCAACCCAAGTGCGGGGCGACGATCAGGACGTCGATCACACAACTCGCGCACCATCAGCGTCGATCAGGGCATCGTCATCGTTTTCGTCATTGCTTAAGCCGACACAAGCTTTGACATCCTTCTCGGAATGGGTTTTATTGTGTCACGTATCATAGACCTGTCCGTTCCTATACAAAATGACGGGGGGACAGTCACAACAAATACAAATTGACGGCAATTGCCAACCGTGTATGTGCTCTCAACTCTGGGTAGGTGCAGAGTGTGTTCGAGAAGCAGGTTACGTGCACTGACTTCAGACATTCATTACATCATACTGGAGTCTCTCGTGCTGTCGGCAACGCTGGCATTCGTCGCACCTGAGATGGAAGGTCGAACAGGGAAACCCCAGTCATGGCATCGAGGCAGTCTTATGCTGGCATCAGGTACACTGTCACCACCGCCCTCATCTGAAAATCAAGGTTCTGGTCGAACATTCGGCGCAGATCACCATCCGTCCCGATTCTTGGACATTCGTCGACACCGACTCCGCAGTCTCTCTCGTATTGGGGTGGAAATTGTGGAGCGGGAACTCTGTGCTCAGGGTGGAAAGTCAACTAAACAGACTTGCACCGTATCTGCCACTCCAGGCCAGTCAATGAGCAGCTGGAAGAGAGAGAATGTATATAATATATGTACGGATATGGCAGGCAAGAACTCCCCCTCAGCTTCAGAAGAAATATCCACCTCGATTGCAACTTCGACAAAAATACGAGTCGATGGCTGGAGTTGCTGGCGACGCTGAGAGGGGGGAAAGTGGTGTTTAACAATTCGTTTTGGTCTTCACGTTGGCCAGTATCCGGGTCGCCCATATATAAGCCCCCACGATGTATGCCATCTACCAATTTGTGAATTACCTCCTCAAGCAAAAAACAATCAACAATCAGGATTCCCACCTGGTCACCCACGGTAGTACTAACTAATCGGCAAGCGGCTTAAGTACGGCTGAGCGAACGGGAAGCCCTGTTTTCCACTTCCTATGGTCGATTGCGAGAGAATCTCTTCAAGTATAAATTATATGTTACATTAATCAGGCTCTTCATAAGAATAGAAGTTGGAATGGCGAATATTCACTCAGCCATATTTCTACGGGTTTTTTTTTTGGCAGATGCATCCCCAAACCACTTCTCTATAAGTCTACTGTAATTGAGCACAGAAAACCCCCACACCTTACTCGGTCGAAGCACCACCTGAAGCAAATATAAATAGAGTGTCTCTGAATATATGTAAAGGAATGGAGGCCAGGCTGAGATGCAACACCACGTGAAACCCGCGGGCAGTTCGCGTGGCTGCGGCGCGAGCGCCATGTTCCAGTGATGCTTAAGTTATGTAAATACCCGTGATCTAAATCTAGTCAACCGGTTTTCGGCAACGGGGTTGGGCCGGCCATCATCTCAATAACTTCATAGATAATGCGACCACAACGCTTTCTTCCCCATTCTTCTTGTTCTCACTCCTGGAAATTGGTGTTGTTATTTGCATAACTTGGTGCTGTTCTTTTTTGCGACTGCAACAACCTGACAAGCTCTGCTTTCCGATGACTTGGACTCATCACTTCCCTCCCGCATGAGCGGGGAGACACATGGACACGATGGTCTCGGTTGAATCAACCGCAGCACAAGCAGCTTCTGCAGTCGCCCACGGGCCCATCACCTCTGCCTCGCCTGCCCTATTGAACTTGACCAACCTCAGAACGGCGGCGGCGAATGTGACCTCCTCCTTCGCCCTCCCCCTCACCAAACACCCGATATTCCGCTTCCCACTTCGACTTGCCTCACGGATCGATCGAGCCCTCCTCCACATATGGAACCGATTCATTTTGGAAGGATTCGGTATCACTAGTCTGACAAGAGCTGGGGCGGCCACTGCTGCTGGCACTGCTGGGGCCCAGGCCATGGCAGATGCGGCAGTCCAACCAGGTCTGGCGCAGGCAGTGGGCGACGCGGCGGTAGAGAGTTGGTCAACCTTCTTTGCAGAGGTGTTCCAAGCAACAGGATTTAAGTCTTATTGGGGTATGTTGCACTACCTCACGTCGAGATGGGCCTTCATATGTTTCGCGGTAGTGAGTACCTCTGTCGGACACAACAACGACATCTGCTGACTTGTACAGGCACTGATTCTCAACAGAATCAGCGTGTACGGAGCGTCAAGGCAACGAATACAGCTGACTTGGTCGAGGAGATTGGCTTTACGAATCATACCCATTGTAATGCTCATAACTCAGATTCATCAGCTCCTGCAGGCCATTCGATGCCAAACATCGCCCGACTTCTCGCTGTATCGACACGGCGATAACAACAAATACAGCCTCTTAGATTGGTCGACAGACGGTGGCCCGCTGCACACCCTGACATCGACACTGTTGTTCCAGTCGACAGATGCCCAAGCCTGTGCCGCAGTGGGAATGAGCCGACCAAGTCCCGATGTCCGTGCCCCCTATGGTTCTTTCTCGCTTCTCTGGCCGTCCTTCCTGCGACTGAGCCTGTCCCATGTTATTGAAAATCTATCTTGCTCGCTGCAACAAATTCCCACATCAGTCGAGGTTGGAATGTCCGTGTTCGAGCATTCTCTGGCCTTCGCCGAGGCTGAGACGATGATCTCCCACACCCTAGGTCTGGGGTACTATGGGTCATCCAGATCATCCGGCGGCAGTAAGACAAACGCCACAGCCCCTAGCCTCGATTCCCAGCCTACGATACCCGCATCAGGTACAATATTAGCTCTTGCGGACGCCACGACCGCGTTGACGGGTCCGCACCTCCTTGATCGGGTCAATATTCCGGTAGAAGTACTGTTGGTCACCCTGCTATCGTGCTTGAACTCGCTTTCGTCCCACATCATCGCTGTTTTGGGGAAGCAGCGTCAATGGAGACTGGTCAATACCGGAATATGGGCTTTGTCGTTCATGGCGGCATTTGTCTGGGGGTTCTGCACGACCAGTGTCATGGTGAGAAGCGGCGATAACGGAGACAATCGTCCTGTCAGCAGCCTTTTACACTTCCCTACAGTGGCGATTATAGGATTCCTTCCCCATATGTTCATCTTGGTCGGGATCGTGATCTGTCTGTTCATATACTTGATTGCTCTCACTTTGACGGCAATTTCCCTGGGCACCAATCCGCACATTCCACGGCCAACCACTCTCAAAGAACGTTTCATGATAGCTCACGACAATCTCCAGGTTGCCGTCCAGACCAGGGGGATCGATATCCGTTGGCATGAGGACTTCTACACAGCACTCCTCCGCACCGGATTTGCTGCCCTAGCAGCGGCATCAGAAGCGGTCTTCCTCAACGAGGGCCGGGCTGTCGAAGTCCGCCAGTTTACGTGGTTGGAAGAGGACAGGCTAGATGAATTCGAGAACTCCATGCGTGAAATGGGAGCTTTTCAAAATTCGTTCCCCAACGGCCCGCAATTTCAGATTCTGGAAGAATTCGGTCTTCCTCCTTCGAGCCCGGGCGCCGCGGACAAGGGTGGTGTCTGGGAGTCAGGCTACTCCCAAGAGCGGAAATTCGACAAAAGGGATGACGAAGCCAAAGGGTCATTCGTCTACCCTACTCCCCGTGCGGGCGGAGTTGGCGCTGTACAACGCACCACCCGGTTTTACCTCATCATGATCTATCTTCGCGGTATTATATTCCTGATCGCTGGATATATCGGCTTTGGGATTGGCGTCCTGCTGGACACGATCGGCATCACGGCGCGACCTCGTTGGCTTAGACGAATCGTCGGTCGGTCCCTGAAGAAGATGAATTCGAGGCCCAGCGGACCGAATAATGAAGGGATGCTTGACTTCTGGATCTTGACAGAAGATGGGAAGCTCACAATAGCGAGCAGCGATGATGTCGATATCGAGCCTGAGATGAGGAGGCGGTTGATGACCGAATTTCCAGGCGAGAGGGTGGATGAACTCCTCGACACGAAGCTGTACGAGTGGTGGAAGTCGGGTGGGTGGTTTGGCGCGAAAGACGACAGCGGAGACTATGAGCCATCAAATCATGATGACTTCGACGACACCACGAGTGTTATCTCGATGTCCACGCAGGCCAGCACCCACGACAGCGAGGCCGGAGAAGAAGATGCCTGGGAGTCTGAGCCCGAGGGGACACGCACACCAACTCAGTCAACGACAGGACCGTCATGGTCATTCTCTGGCGTCCAAACCAGAGAATCAACACCCGCCTTCACAGACTCGCCTCTGGATGCGGCGACGCTCGCAAGACTTCTGAATCCACCCGACAGAGAATCTCGTGAAGAAGCACGGATTCTTGCCTCGCACCTTGCCACTGTGGCCTCTGGTTCCTCTGGCGTCATGACTCGTTCACGTTACCGTCGCGAGATTGAAGCCGAACGAGCCCGAATCCTTCTTGCGGGACGCAGGCCAGACCCGTCACAATCGACTCAACGCCGGGTCCCAACCGTCTCGCTGTACAAAGAACCACAAACCACGGGTCCTCGGCCGCTTACCTCCATTGAGGAAGCAGAGGTGCTCGAATCACTAATCCTCAACCGTCGACAGAAGCACGCACCTGCACCGACCGTGAAAAGTGACCCGTCAAGCGCAAGCAGTCCCGAGGAAGACAGACCGTTTGGACCGCCCTGTGTCGTTTGTCAAAACGCTCCTCGGAGCATTATTGCCTGGCCCTGTCGGTGCCTCTGCGTGTGCGAGGACTGTCGAGTCAGCCTAGCATTGAACAATTTCGGAAACTGTGTCACGTGTCGACGGACTGTGCAGGGATTTGTGCGGCTTTATGTGCCGTGAGCTGAGCTGCCCACCCAGCAAGTGTTATGTATGATAAGTTATAACATCCCGCGGCAGACGGGCATATTTATACAATTGATCCTCGCGAGCCCTTTTCGGTTCTTCCTTTACCTGCCATGTGGACCTCACCCACCATAGCTGAACTAGTCAAAAAGTTGGTCGTATCCCAGCAGCTAGCTGCATTTATCATTCCTCGACTCACTCACTCACTTTCTGTTCTCTTTTTTCGACTTGTCCCGTTCTACCATGCTCGCACACATTTATCTAATCGAGCCTCTTGATGTGACTACTAAGCACAGCACAGCACAGTCGAAGCCACGCTCAAGGTCGAGGTCAAGGTCAAGGTCATGTCTATTCATTCCTATATAGATTTCCCTCCTTCTCTCTCTCCCCCCCCGGCAGAGCAAGATAGCAAGAGAAGAAAGCAAGCAGGGCAAAGCAGAGAAAGTGAGAGAGGTAGGGAACGGGGTGTGTAGAGCGTTTTCCTGCCTCTGCATTTCCTAAGAGAGAATAACCCGGATACCGTAATCGTGTTCCAGCATCAATCAATGGTCCTGAACCTTGGCGCCGAATTTCTAAAAGCAAGCGACGAACCGGTCGCAGATGTCAAACACGTCGCAAAACACGTGACACACTGTTGTTTTGGCGACTGGACAACAGTTCCGTTGTGATTTTAGAGATCGACATATGTAAGCTTTCTTTCCACGTCCCAGGTGCCCAAATAAGAGCCCAATTCGTCCATGGCACGTTCCACGTCAAAGTCGTCATCGGCATCGACGATTTTGAGCAACTGTTGTCGTTGTGCATCCTGCTTGTCCGATGACGAACCGGGATTAGGTAGCACTTTCGTCAAACTCTGCGCGGACGATTTGAGGATACTCCTCGGGGCGGAAGCCGGTGACAATTTCGGGGGTTCCGGGCCGGTCACCGCCGGGCGATGCCCATCGTCTCCGTCAGGTTGCTGGTCCTCTCCATGGAGCAGAGCTGTCTTGGAGACGGTGATTTTGTCCTGGATCGTGACGCTTGGCTTTGCTACTTTGAGAATCGATTTTATCGACCCTCGAGTTGAGTCCGGTGCGAGGTGTTCCGTCACAGGTATAAGTCGTCTTTTGGCTCTGTTACCCACTGGAGAGGCAGCTTTTCGTTTACCACTGCCAGCTTCATTCGTGGACCACACAACTGATGCAGGATCAATCTCAGCGATCAGTACGTCAACGACCGCGGCTCTTTTCCGGTTCCCAGCGTCGATAGCTTCGTCATTACAGTGGTTCACGGCATCGCGAAGCATGTCTCTGTGACTGGAAATGTTTGAAGGAAGGGAGGCCAGCACCGGAAGTGGTGGTACTTGAGCAGATGGCAACTCGGCAGTCATGCTAGATTTTGTAGTTTCTTCCGTCAAGCACAGAGGTGGAGGTCTGTCTCGTGCGTTGGGAACTATGTCTGAACCATCGTTCAGTCCCGGCGTCACATGTTTGGCAGGCTCGGATCTATTCAGATTCTTCTTCGCAAGAGGTTGTAATCCGAGACCAGATAGAGATTCACCTGAAGCCGTTGCTCTTTCGCAGCTGTCCTTAGGGCCAGGGTAACGAGAAAGTCGGTTGCCGACGGGCGAGGTATGACGTTCTGCCCCACGTCTCGATCTTGTAGTCGCGTATTCTGTCCTCGACTGCTTCGCCGCCCTGTGACGATGCTTAAAGTAGATATGTCCGTCCTGGTCCTCTTGCCTTGGTGGGGATGTGAAGCAAGACCGCGCTAGCGGAGCAGCTTCTGGGATCGGCGAATTGAGAGGGGATGAAAGACAGGTCTGAAATTCCTGGGAGTGCCTCAGGGTGCCAGAAGGGAGATCCCGTTGATCCGCGACGCTGACCACATCGTCTACTGAGGCAGTCGGATCGATGTTTGGTCTTGGAGCTGCCCGCTCCGTCGCCTTGCCTTCACTTGGTGATGGAGGGGTCAAGTAATGCTGGCTGTTTCCTGACCGCTGATACTTCGTATTCCTCCTCAACCAATCTCTCACCTTGCTGTCCCCGGGCAAAGACTCATCCTTCTTCTTGGGAGGTGCGCTAATGCTCTCTTCCCGCCGCTCATTTCCTCTTGTTGGAATCCGATTGGACTCTGCCTTTGAGATTGTAAAATCCTGCTTCTTCCCTTGAGCAAGCTTGGTAGCTGGTAGAGAACGCTGTTGGCTTGTTACTGTCTCCTTTGTATTCGTAGTGGTATTTCTGGCCCAAGGATCCTTCCACCCGCTGTCAAAGGGCCCTCTTAGTTGAGCCGTGAGAATAAATAAAGGCCGGCCACGGAGATACGCTGCGCTGTGGGACTCGATTCGTCGTCTTCTAGCTGCTCTCTGCTCTGAACTTTCCGCAGCCTCGTCCGTCAGATCTCGATAAACGGCTGTATCCTCACAAATGGGGATCTCGTCGGCAGAAATAGGTGACACTGGTCTCGGATACCTAGGCAATCTAGGATTCCGAGCGGGCATGGCCGAATCGCAAAGAGGCAGACATTCGGGCTGCTACCCGCGAGAACAATAACACTGGGCTGGAAGACAATTGTGCGAGAGGACCAGCTATTAAGGCTAGGAGACATGAGCGGGTGGCGCAGATGGAGGCAGGGTGTTCGACCACCATCGCTTATCGCGCAGGTAGCAGTGGTAGGTGGCGGTCACGGGTTAATTTAATCCCGAAATGACTAGCACGCGTGTCGCGCGTCGCGAATCGCATACGTCATTATGGGCAAGACCACGTTATTACTTAGACTAACGATCTCAGAAAGCTGAATGAATGTTTTTTGCTAATCCTGAAAGTCGGATGTCAACTATCGACCTATTTGGGGTCTAATTACAGGCGCAAGAAGCCTTCGTGTTGCAGGACCACATTGTGAATGAAAGGAAATTCGTAAGCACAGTCGACACGATGTTTTTCCTCCATCACCAGTCTGTACACCACCACCAGCAAAACTCTCAGCAGGGTATCAATGCAAGCAGTTGAATTCATGGAAAACACGAGGATCCATCTTCAGAACCCTACTGTTGGGTGACACCGTCGTAGTAAGTTTTGTTGGCGCTGCCGTTGGTCACACCACCGACAACATTGGCACCACCGTTTGTGATGTTCTTGTTCGGGTCGAACGCTCGGTCAACTTGGCTGCTGAAACCGGCAGTTCCTGGAGCTTGGCCGGTACCAGTGGTGCCGAAAGGGGTAGTGCCTGCAACGTTGCTGGTAGCAGTAGTGCCTGTCACGGTAGACAAGTTATCGTCATTGGGGTGATTACCGCCACGGACAGTGGCAGGAGTCGTATCGTGCGGCTTGCGGGATACCGATTTCGACTTGGGAAGATCAGTCGACTCTTTAGCACTGCCAATGCTGAAGATTGGTGACTCCCAACGTTCACCCTTAGCGGCCAACTCCTTGTACTCGGTCGCCTTGGTCGACACTCCACCCGGTAGATTGATATGTTTGAAGATCGAATCTTGTTTCGTCACGGCCATATTGACGTTGGTCTTGGATGTGACATCTTTGGCCTTCTCCTTCTTCTCTGTCAGCATCTTCTGATAAGAATTCAAGTACGATTGCCAGATGTTCGGAGCATTCTCGGGATCCTCCAAAGCCGCCTCCTTGCCGCGTTGTACGTCCTGATGCACACTGTACGCGAAAGCATCCGCCTTCACGAAGGTATCCCTGATCTGTTTCTCCAAGACCTTTTGGATAACAGGTTTCATAGTCTTGAGCAACAATGGTTTAGCGATCTTGAACAATAGTTTGTGGTTGGACTGCTTGATCTTGACGTTCAAGTTTTTGATGGTGATATCGACCTTATCGACGGCGACAAAGTGGCTGCGGTCTTTGGCATTGGCGTTTCGGGCGGAGATCTTGAAACTGAAACCTTCGCCTCCGAGGAAGATGTCCATGACACCCTTGTCGGTGATGGAGGGGAATCCTTGTTTCTTTTTGATGTAGTAGGCGACGTCCTGCAGGTCCATCTGAATGCCAGAACCAGCGATTGTGAACTTGTTCTCCCGCTTATTGGAGACACCCTTACGGCCCATGCGGAAATAGTTGTCGCTACCAAACTCGAAGACGTTGGGGAAGAGGTTGTCGCTCTCGATGACGAGATTCTCCACCACAGCATCGATCATGGGATCGGAAACTTCAATTCTCGGGATTGGAATGTAGCGGGTATTCTCGAAGATCGCGGGAATAATGACCTCGGTAAGGTCCTTGATCAGATGAGGCTTGAATGTGGCCTTGCCATTCTCATCGTTTCCAAGGTCGAGGAAGAGTTTCTGTACAGCATCTCCAAAGGCCTTGTTTTGTGGATCCTGATCGAACTGATCTGCAAGGAATTTGATCTCGTCAAGGATGCGGTCGGTGTGATTGCGATAACGGTCGCGAAGGAGGAAGCGGCCTTTGTCTTGAAGACGGTTGTACTCATCATTGGCTTCGTCTTGGAGGATATATCCTTGCTCCTGCAGACATCTGCGGATGTATTTGTCCACGGCCTTGAACCATCCCTTGAGTTCTGGGTCGCGATCCGCGTCTCGATAGATGTTGTTCAAGGCGTCGAAGAAGTCATCAGTGCTTGTGTAGTTGGCGAAGCGTTCAATCAGTGTCTTTAATTTTGTCAGCGCATGCTTGTTGTCACGGTAGGCAGCTACACGAACCTTCAAGTTAGCCTCCGCACTCTTCAAGCGGTCATCTTCATGAGCACCTTTGATAGTCCCAGTGGACTGCGAATGCAAATCGGTGGCATGACCACCATATGTCTCTGCGAGGGAGAGCAGCGTGTCAATGGCTTGGCGATCTGGATGGGCGTCAGTCAACTTTTCCTGATCGTATAATGCAGCGAATACTTACAGTCCGAGTGGCCTTGAATCTCCACCACCATCTTCTTAAGACGCCAGATAGTCTGGTCGCGACGCTCTTGAGGCACCTTCTTGTTCAGATAGTTCTTGGTATGTTGAGATGTGGCCTCCTTAGCCTTCCTCACGTCTTCCTGGCGCTCGTCGGGAACATTCTGTTGCGCACGAGTTCTCAGGGTCTCAGTCGCATTCTGCAGCCCCACGCGTCCGGCTTCTTGATTGTCTGGGGTGGGATGCTGCTGAGCAGTGTCCAAGCCTTGCTGCGCGGCATCCTTGGCTTCCTCTCTGCTGAAGGGCTTGTTCTGGTTGAAGGCGTCACGGGCCTGGCCCTTCAGGTTCTCTTTGGATAGGTCAGGAACCTCATGCCAGGTGTTGTCTTCCGCCGGATGATCGATTTGGTTCAACTGGTCTTCGGAGGGATTGACACGGCTGGCAACATTCTGCGCCGCGTCGCCGGCCATATCTCGCATAAGAATGACAGCATCATTCAAGAGTTTCCGGAACTGGCCGTTCGAGAGGATGAGTCTGCCAAGGGTCTTGAGACCTTCCAGAGCTTCATCGCCGTGCTGTTGAGCGGTAGCCTTGTCTGTTGGAGCGTTGGGAAGGTTGGCATTGCTGCCGTCGAGATGCTGTGTGTCCCAAATGAACTCCTGGAGCAGATTTCCGTCATTTTTGGACAGCAGCAGGTATTTGGCCTGCTGGATGACCTCTTTCAAATCTCCAACGAGTTTGCGACCCTCCTGGGAGAGTTTCGAGGATGGGGAAGAGAGAGCCTTGGAGGCAAGTGCACTGTTAAGCGCTACATCAATCTGCTTGTTGGAAGGGACTTTGCCATTGGCGAAGGCTTGGTAGATGCCGTAGAGCTGGAGCTTCTGGTTGATATCCTTCTCCTTGATGGCGTTGTTTGTGGGACGATTTACAGAGGCCATGGTGAAATTTCAGTCAACGCGGTAATGGGGTATCACGTATGAAAACAGACAACAAAGGCGGGTCAAGCCCTTCAATCGCAATTCGAGGTGAGGTTCTCAAGCAGTTTTGAGATTCTGTGGAGAGGTGGATATGAGTCGTTGTGTGGGTTGAATGGTGGTCAAGTAAGGATAAGTAGTCTGAGAAAAGCTGGCAACGCAGGTCAGAGATGGAGGAAGTGATGTAGTTATGAGTGAAAGGTGGGAGGGGGGCCGTGCGGTGTGTATTACCTCACAGCCAAGTTGGTGGCACAGGGCGTCACCTCGAGTAGCAGGAGGCACGCGCAACACGACCTGCTTTGTTCCAAGTTTGGGCAGGATCTGGGCCAAATCTTGCCGTGATCGAGGAGGGATCGACAGACCTGTGGCTTGATCTCAACAGAACAAGTCAGAAACAGAGAGGTTGAGCATCAATGTGGAGATGAAGCGGACATCAATTGCGAGTCCCAGCAAAAACCCAAAAGAACCGTCATGACATCACACCAGCCACCTTTTGACGTAGAGACTACGGAGGATGGAAAGTTTTGTATCATTGTATCACGGCACGAACCATGACGATGCGGTTTGTGCTTGACTCGACTGTCACCAGCCACCTCTTCCCAGGAGGAGAATATGGCCATATCAGCATGCTTCACATGACTCGTTCAGATGTAAACAGTCAAAAACCAGGCAAGGCGCTCACTCCCACCATGGTTGACGATCAACAAGAACAGAGCTCGACTGGACCTCGCCGCCACTGACGCGGTTACCATCCCTCAAGCTCCTCGATGTCGCTTATTTTCCCCAGACCCTGGATTTCTGGACGTTTTCGTCATTCCTGGTCCACCACCAGGGCTGATCACGATCAAACGAGGAATTCTTCTTGCAGGGTCATACCTGATTGAAAGACCAGGAAATCGTTGTTTGCTCTCCACAAAAATGACGTTTAGAAGCCTCTAGTCACTTCCAGATGGCGCAAGGCTCTGGGGACCGCTTCCCGCCAATCAGATGCAGGCCAAGAATCTTGGTGATCCCGATATGGCTGAGCAGAAAAGATTGGCAGTCACCAGCCACTTTTAGGCAAGTTACACGACGCCATGCATCACGTGTGGACGCGCCGAGCGGCGCCTACTTCTCCAACGCGACCTTCCCCGCTTGTTCGACCCGCCAGACTGCACACAGCTCGATCGCTTCAACAAACACTGACAGTTTGCATTCCATGACTATCACTGTATCAATTCAATCATCTCATACGAGTACTTGCGTTATTGTTAACTAGTTGAACCTCAGCAGACGGGCGTTGCTGTTCGGGCCTATGGCAACCCGATCCTCCAAACTGGCTGCCCCCAAACGCCCGTTCCGCGATCAAAAGCGGCAGACCAGGCTGCAATTCTCATCTTTCTCTTCCTCCTCTCCTGCTCGAGGAGTTTCCAGCCCACGTATGCAAGATCGACTAGCTGGGGCGGTACACGAAGAGCCAAACGGCCTTCCTCGAAGATCAGATGAGCCTCCCCCGGAACCTTCGTACCCACTGACCTTGGAGGTTCCTTCAGAGTTGCAACGTGCCACTCACAGTAATATGTTCTTGATATTTTCCTATGCCCTTGACGGGACTGATACATTGCAGAACGAGGCGAGATGCCACCCCGGCCCTCGTTTCCTTCCTCGCCCACAATCCACCGAGTCCAACAAATCGACTTGTCGGAAGACACTGACGAGGACGATTTGATATCTCCGGCTCATAAGAAACGCAAGCCGAATTCCACCTTTGAATCTGCGCAATCACCCAGTCTCCCTTTGCTCAGGAAATCGAAACGGTTGAATCCCAGCTCCTCTTCTCCTCCCAGACAACTATCAAGCCCAGAACGCGAGGATGCTGGATTCCCCAGCTCTCCACCTCCTCGAAGATCAGGAAGACTACATCGTAGGTCGTCACCACAACAAGCACACTCAACTCGGTCTGGGAGTTCTCTCTCTATTCGATCCGTAGAAATCTCCTCCCCAGCCAATCGACACGTTACCTTCTCTGAACTTGGGTCGCCGGAGACGAGTGGCGATGACGATCTTGTGATGGCAACGAAGCCTGCACGGCGCAGGAAATCAAGACTTGAGCGGAATGACCCCTTCATTGTCAATGATGACGAACAGTACCTGTCAGACTGGGAGAGCCGCAAAAGGTCGACACCAAAGAGGAAGAAAAGTAGAGGCCATGATTTCGTGGTGGACGATGATGATGTGGAATTTCTCTCCTCCGAGGATGAGGGCGACAGAGTGAGAGCACAGCCACGGACCAAGTCGCGAAGATTGCTGTCGAAGCGCAAATCCTCCAAAGTGTTTCACGGGCGAACCAAGGAGGAACAAGATGAACTGGAGGAAGATCTCCAGGACTTACAAGATTCGGACGGGGAAATAAGTGAGCCGAGGGCACGAACTAGGGGGGGTCCTGTCACCACACAGCGAGACAAGACTAGAGAGCATTTGGAGCTCTTGAAGCGAAGGCGTGCGGGCGAAAAAGCCCCATTCATTCGTGACTCGGACGAAGAATCACATGAAAGATCGGAACCCGTTGACCTTGATCTTATCGGTCAGCCAGATAACGATGTTTCCAGCGACGAGTCTTCGAATTCTGCAGGCGGCACGGATCACGCGACCGACAACTACGACGAACAAGAGGAGGAAGACGCCTTTGTTATTGACGACTCAAGCGGAAGAAGACTCGGTCGACCACATCCGGATATACCGTTACAGTTCACATCATTTGCCTCAGCTAAGCCAAAAGAACTGTTCCCTCACATCATCGAGTGGATGGTCAAAAACAAAATCGCGCCAGCCTTCAACCGCGAAGATCCATTATACAATCTCGCTTTTGATCGCCTGGATGACCAAGTTAAAGCTCAGGCAGGAAGTCGGCTTATCTCAGCAGCATGGGGTGCCGACTTCAAACGAGCGATACTGGCAAGGCCGAATATGAAAGTCGAAGCATTGCCGGGCGAAGACTACGAGCACATGCGAACCTGCGACGCTTGTAACCGCACCAACAATCCTGCTCGATATGAATTCGTTTTCTCCGGCGAACCGTACTACAAGAAAACACTCGAACCGGTTGACAATTCGGGGTCGGATGAAGATACGGAAGACGGCCATGACGGGGATAGTAGCACCACCTACGACGAGACTGGCCATGCCATTCCTTCGCGACAAATACGCTTCTATCTGGGTCGATTTTGCGCTGCCAATGCCGAAATGGGCCACAAACTCACACATTGGAAATACCATCTCAACGATTCCCTCATGAGCTATCTCGAAGCACAAGGCGTGCTGTCCGCGGAGTCCATCGTCTCCCGTGAAAAGATGAATAAAAAGCAACGCGAAAAGGAAGCAGAGAATGTTGTAGACACAATGAATGAGACGGGTGTGATTGCTGAATTCTGGCGTGATTTTGAAAATGATCTCAACGACGCGAGACTGGGTATGGAGGACTTTGAAAAGCGAGGTGGAAGGTCAAAGGGAAGAGTTGGGGCGATCCGAGTGACAACGGGTGGGCTTGTGAGGGAATGGAGCAACGACAAATATCAAGCGACGAAGGCCATGGAACCAGGTTCAGAGGAAGAGTAAGAAGCCGGATGATAGATGATGGAACCTAACATGTGGGATATGCAGGGCTATGAATACTCCCAAGTGATGCTTGTGATTTAATCAAGAATTTCAGGATGGACTCTTACATGTTGTCGCTTGTGTACCTCGTGGATTTGGACAGGGGATTTTCAGTTGCGACTTTTGGCATGTGTGCGAAAGTGCATAGGAATGAAAATGCTGGAAACTAGTCTGACGGCTCTTCCCATGACGTGTCCAGGTTCTTCGTGCCTTCGTTGTCTTCTCTCTGGATATAGGAAATGCAGACTGTTGCTTCATCCGGAGAGCACCACAGATGACCAAATACGAGCGCACACACACACAAACGCACCACAAGGGGAATAACAACGAATAAAAAAGGGGCGGACATGCGAGACGAGTTCTTCTGTGTGTGGTTTCTTAAGACATTGGAGAGAAAAAGCAACCACCACCTTCGAATCCAGACTCAGTGTGCCCTCCCCTCGAGTGGTATTGAAGGGGCTTCTTTCCGTCCTTCTCCCCTTTGACCCTTTCCGGCGTGGATGAGTAGATATTTTTACATTTCGTTGTCGTGATTTTTGTTGGCAAGCCAGGATTTTTCCTCTTTTTTCCTCCACCACCTCCACCACCAAACCCACCCCTTGTCTCCTCCTTGGTCCTTGCTCCGAATGACGCCTTCTAAGGATGATATCGTCTCCAAGAAAGGGTAGAGCAGAGATCAAATGCGTTCGATGGATACCCGCAGCTGATGGCGCAAGTGATTCGTCTGTCCCGGTCTCCCAAGGGAGGCAGACGTAAGTTGGCGCCGCCCTTTGCCCTCGCAGCGTATACCATTCGGCATCACTCACAACCCAACTCCGTTTCTAGACTGTTCTTACAACGCCGGCTTCGCGTCCCCCTGCCCGGGCTGGCCCTGCTGAATCATTCCCTGCTGTCCCTGCTCCATCATGCCCCGCTGCCTCTCCTCCTCCATGAACTGCTGCTCCTCGCCCAGCGCGAGTGCGTAGGGGATACCCAACAACAAGATGCTGGTCGCGATGACCCACAGGCTCTTGCCACCGTAGGTGATTGATGCATTAGCAGCCGAGTAGACCGACGAGGTTGCAGACACCAGCCGGGCGCGGGTCTTGGGGGGGACGATGTCGCGAAGCGCAGAGAGGCGGTCGAACAGCGTCTCGTCCAGGGGAGCCTCGACGGCGTCGTCGTCGGAGATTTCAGAGTCTGAGGAGATGAGTTGTTAGATTATAATGTTAAACCACTGATGGGCTTTCGTGTGGGCTGTAAGAGAATAGTCATGTGGATCAAGGTGTCGATTGTCGACGACCGTGCGAGATGGAGTGAGAATGGCAGAGGCGCGTTAAGCTTTGGAGGATCATATGAGAAGTAGTAGAGAGACAGCTCTTACCGGTATCAGTGTAGTCTTCATCGTCATCGGCTAGCAGAGCGCCGTCCTTGGTGGTATCTGGCTTGTTGATGAAGTGCTCATCTTCGAGTTCTTCAAGCTTGACCATCTTGCCTGGATTCCGGAAGTGCAGACGTCGTCTAGAATACTAACACCGATAAGTGCTAATAGAAGGAATTGCTGCAAGAGAAAACAGTTGTCACGGACGGCAGCGGTGATGAAATGGTTGAGTGATGGAATACTTGTTGCAAGAAACTTGAAGCTCGCATGCTCTTTTCTCCGACTGCGAAATTTCGGACCCGGTGTTTCGGCGGAGCAAAACCCTCCGAGACGTATATCCTCTTCAGTCGCGTGGGAAATATATTTGTCTACGAGGACATGTCATTCCATAATCCTCTTCGAAGAATTCTCTACGCTGCCGCACGACCTTGGGACTGCGACTCTGGATGTTGTTGCGGCTGGTCTAGCCTGAGTTGCGAATATAAAGGGCCAAATTCCAAGCTAAAGGCAGAACGTCACCTGTTACAAGCGACCTGGCCCATGGGTCTTGGGGCGTTTTCTTCGTTTTCTAGTTCTTCGGGTGCTAAAAGATGTTCGATTTTAGGATTTTCGAAGTAGTGACTAGACCATTGCACTCATCTAGTGCGAGCACTTGACTCTATGCTGATATGGATCAGCCTTGCTTGTCTTCCTGTTGGCCACGAATCTAACTGAAGGCGTTGATGATCTCGACGACTGCGGTTCAAAAGCGTCAGCATTTTTTGCAGGGCCACCATGAACATGTCCTTCAATAAAAGCGTTGACTTACAGGCAGGTTTCAAGCTGGCACCGCCGACCAAGAAGCCGTCCACATCGGGCTGTTTAGCCAATTCTCTGCAGTTCTTCTCGTTGACACTTCCACCGTAGATGATTCTGGTATTTTCGGCGGCCTCAGCCGAGACAGACTCGCTCAACCATTTCCTGATGGCGGCATGAACTTCCTGTGCTTGTTCTGCATTGGTTCGGCGTGTTAGTCACTTCCTTTGACCCTGTCGTTGTTGAGCTTTTCCAACATACCAGTCGTTGCAACCTTGCCTGTCCCGATGGCCCAGATCGGCTCGTATGCGATTACCACATTCTTCCAGCCGTCCTTGCCAATCGCTTTGTTCACTGCGTCCAGTTGTCTTGTCACCACATCTACCGTGATACCCTTCTCTCGCTCCTCGAGACTCTCACCGCAGCACAGGATGACACCGATTCCGCCGTCAAGCGCAGCCTTGGTCTTGCAAGCCACGAACTCATCTTCTTCTCGAAGGATAGTTCGGCGCTCTGAGTGACCCAGCAGTGTCCATGTGATACCGCTGTCCTTTAATTGCGCCACCGAAATCTCACCGGTGAAAGCCCCGTTGGGCTTGTCAAAGACATTTTGAGCCGCAACTTCGATATTGGGAGAAAGGTGTTCGCGAGCAAGGAGGAGGTACAAACTCGGGGGTGCGACGACAACTTCAGTGTTTGGGTCTGCGATAGCCGCTGTCAATCAAGATCGTTCTGCGAATCATCTAGAGTATTGTACCCAGGATAGCAGGGACGTAGATATGGACGTACCGAGCTTGGATGTGGACAGGTTGTGGACAATCTCTTTGATGGACTTGATCGTCCCATTCCTGACGGAGGGGGTTGTGTCAGTAAAGGTCCTCTGGCCGGTCACAAGATAACAGTCCCGGTCTAGGTTGTCGCCGCATACATTTTAAAATTTCCTCCTACGAATGGTTTCCGACCCATTTTGAAAGAATAGCAGAATGCTGGGGAGAGGAAGCAATAGCCAGAAAGTCGAGAGGATATACCGCTACAAAAGACAGGATCACAGGAAGGATAAGATGAGAAAGAACAGTCTCGAGAGTGTCGACGCACAGAAGAATGAGTATCCAGGAAATATGAATATCTCGGAGAGCGAATGGCAGCTATGAATACTCGGGAAAAGCAAAGCAGTAGAAATGCTTTCTGTTGACGTCGGGCACGGCGGAGGCGGGGCTGCCAATAATGCCCGGTCGAGGGGCATTTTGGCGAGGGAAGCTCTTCCGAGCATCTCGGTCCATGCACTCTTCCGTTTTATTATCGTCCCTCCCATATACGTAGGTTAGGGGGCAGCAAGGTGAATTTGTTGCTGAGCAGGGTACAGCTAGATGTCTGTAAACACAGCATGGTATCCTGCTTCTCAATGTCGAGGCAGCGTGGTAGCTGCTAAGTGTTATCATCAGCCAGTTGAAGCCTACCGTTCCCTACAGCAAAAGGCATTCAACAGCAACGGAGAGAATGCGTCTCCTCAGACCATACCCCTTCCTCCGGCGGTGGCGAGTTGTGGCAATCCTGCTGGAGGAATGGCTCGATCATTTGATGTGAGTCCGAGGGGAGAAGAGTTGCGGGATAGCAGAAGTCGGAAATGCACTTGATATATTCTCTGTCTCACCGTACGCACCACGTCGCCGTACAGAATTCTCCGAGATGCAATTCTCAAAATATTTTCGACTTCTGCAACATTGAAATAGGCGGCGATTTACCTGGCAAATCGATACTTTTCAGGTCCGCGTAGTGGAAAGTACCAGGCACTTGACATCTTTCACACAGGCATTGCTTCCTCTTTCAACTGTCCTCTGTCTCTCGCACACTCTTTCCCCGACCGCGCGAGACCGGTTGCGCCTGATCTCTACTTCATTTCCTCTGCTATTCAGCGGCTATGGCAGCCAAACGTCCAGACAACCCAGATGGGATGCCTGCAAAACGTCAGAAGACCGCCGGCGGCATGGATCCTAAAGACAACCCTTACCTTGCTCATTGGTACGACAACGAGGCGAATGGACACACGAATGGTTCCTCAACCCCTCCGATGGCCGGTGACGGCCCCCTCGCCGACTTCCAGCGGCACAAGACCACCGCTGCGATGGCTCGAAAAGCCGAAGACTCTAAAGTCAATCCTTTCACAGGCCGACCACATTCCGATCGATATTTCTCCATCCTACGTACCAGAAGGGATCTACCCGTCCATGCCCAGCGAGACGAGTTTCTTCAGTTGTACCAGAAGTCCCAAATCCTTGTCTTCGTGGGCGAAACTGGTTCTGGAAAGACGACACAAATCCCCCAATTCGTCCTCTACGATGACTTGCCACAGCAAGAACGCAAACTTGTTGCCTGCACACAGCCTCGCCGAGTGGCTGCGATGTCAGTGGCAGAGCGTGTCGCGAATGAGCTGGACGTCAAACTTGGAGACGAAGTGGGTTACAGCATAAGATTTGAAGACATGACCAGCCAAAAGACGATACTCAAATACATGACGGACGGCATGCTACTAAGAGAGGCCATGAACGACCACGAACTCACCAGGTACAGCACCATCATCCTCGATGAAGCCCACGAGCGGACGTTAGCCACAGACGTATTGATGGGTCTCCTGAAGGAGGTGGTTTTACGCAGGCCAGACCTCAAATTGATCATCATGTCTGCAACCCTGGATGCTCAAAAATTTCAGAGATACTTCAACGACGCGCCTTTGCTTGCCGTTCCCGGTCGTACGCATCCTGTCGAGATCTTCTATACTCAAGAGCCCGAACCGGATTACGTTGAGGCAGCAATCAGAACTGTTCTGCAGATACACGCCACGGAACCCGAAGGAGACATCTTACTATTTCTCACTGGAGAAGAAGAAATCGAAGACGCGTGCCGGAAGATCTCGCTGGAAGCCGACGAAATGATCCGTGAGGCTGATGCCGGCCCCATGAAAGTGTATCCCCTCTACGGCACGTTGCCTCCCGCACAACAGCAAAAAATCTTCGAACCAGCTCCGCCCCCGCGGCGACCTGGCGGTCGAGCGGGCAGGAAATGCATCGTTGCCACCAACATTGCAGAGACGTCCCTGACCATCGACGGAATAGTGTATGTGGTCGACCCTGGCTTTTCGAAACAAAAGGTGTACAACCCGCGCATTAGGGTCGAATCCCTTCTCGTTTCGCCCATATCAAAGGCTTCTGCTCAACAGAGAGCTGGTCGTGCCGGTCGTACTCGGCCTGGAAAGTGTTTCAGGTTGTACACTGAAGGTGCCTTCAAGAAGGAGCTCATTGAGCAAACTTACCCCGAGATTCTCCGTTCCAACCTCTCGTCTACTGTTCTGGAGCTGAAGAAACTCGGAATTGACGACCTCGTGCACTTTGACCTCATGGATCCTCCTGCTCCGGAGACTTTGATGCGAGCTCTGGAGGAGTTGAACTATCTCGCATGTTTGGACGACGATGGCAACTTGACCACCATGGGCAGGCTTGCCTCCGAGTTCCCTCTTGATCCGGCCCTGGCAGTCATGCTTATCTCTTCGCCCGAATTCTACTGCTCGAACGAGATCTTGAGCTTGACGGCTTTGCTGTCCGTGCCTCAAATCTTTGTCAGACCGGCATCGGCGCGAAAACGTGCAGATGAGATGAAAAATCTCTTCGCTCATCCTGATGGTGACCATCTGACCATGTTGAACGTCTACCATGCATTCAAAGGTCCTGAAGCGCAGGCGAACCCGAGACAATGGTGTCACGATCATTTCCTGAGTCTCCGAGCTTTACAGTCAGCCGATAATGTGCGTCTGCAGCTGAAACGAATTATGGAACGGGAAGAATTGGAGTTAATGTCCACGCCGTTTGAGGACAAGAAGTATTACGAAAACATCCGGCGAGCACTCGTGTCTGGATTTTTCATGCAGGTAGCGAAGAAGGAAGCGAATGGCAAGACGTATACGACGGTCAAAGACAACCAAACCGTCCTTTTGCATCCGAGTACGGTTCTAGGCCAAGAGAGCGAATGGGTGGTTTACAACGAATTTGTGCTTACCAGCAAGAACTATATTCGAACCGTCACCAGTGTCCGAGGCGAATGGCTACTCGATATTGCACCAGGTTATTACGATATAGACAGCTTCCCCAAGGGTGAAGTCAAGACGGCGCTTCAGAGGATCGCAGAGAGGGTAGCTCGGCGGCAAAAGGTGAAAAGTGGACGATAGATACGCAACAGGTGCCAGATATGCAGATACGGGATAGACCACATGCCTAACTCGGCCACAAGGTACTGCAGAATCAAGCGAGGCCGTGGCTGGTCCTGCCCTACTGGAGGCAGCATAGGCAAATAATCGAGTTCATGGATTAGAGGCTGAAGTCTCTATTAGAGGCTCCCAGCAAACAACAGATCCGCCACCCTCCTTCGAGTCGGCAAGAGTTTTCCAAGCGGTGAACGAGTTCCTTGCAGCATGTCAGCAATTCCTAAGCCGTTTTACGAGTTTCGTGCCGCCACACGCACACCACATCGGAGACATCCTAGTCGGGCCATCGATTGTTTCACCGCATGAACCAGATGTTCGCTGTACTGTACGATTGATAGAAGACACGGAGGCGCCACAAGCCCACAGGGCAGTGGAAGAGGGTATGAGCAGCATTCAGAAGCTGGCCCATGGCCCCCGGGCCGATGGTCACCTCAGGCCAGTGGCGCTCATTCCGTCCTCCAAGACCTGGCGGCCTCGTGCCTCGAGGGCCTTTACAGACATGCCAAGGCAGAGGGATTGGACGCAGAAACACTCCTGTTAATAAACAGCCTGTCTAGAGCAGCATCTTCCCAAACCCGGCTCAGTTATTCTATCCATATATTGATCACTTGAGCAGGGCTTTGCCCCAATCTCTCCAGTGCTTCCAAGAGCGGTTTGAGACCGATGGCGAGCTATATCTTAGCGAGAAGGTCGTCATTGGGCGCCCAGTTTCTGGGGTCCCTGGGCGTCTCACTTTGGCTAACCCTTGTGCTCAGCCCTCAGCAGCTTGACTCGACTAGTTTGCAATGCACTTTCTGCCAGCCTGTCTCGCCGAATGACGAACCACGGGGTTCGAACGCCCGCTTTCATCGCACAGATATTGGCATTCGACTTACTGCCTATTCGACAGCCGGAGCTGCTTACCCAGCTGGAAGAATGAGCCTTACAAGCCCCGACTACTGCACGCCTAATCCGCCGCTCGCTTGACAGTTCTCGAAATATTGGGGGGGCGGTGCAGTAACGGGCGAAGATATCTACGGCACCGCCGTCGGTCGAGGACTTTGTGGCCGCCTGTGTATAATGTGCTTGCCAATTGCTCGTGTCCCATGGTTCCAGTCGTTTTCTTCCCGTCGTTCCCCAAAGGTCTGATGTCTGTCCTTTTAATAGTTGTCGTTGGTTGTGTCTCCCGAACTGGCTTTCCTTGAGCTTTTCTCTTTTTCGCCCGCTTTGCACTCATCCGTGCACAGTCTTTCCAATGCATGACGAGCTGAATTGTCACTAAAGAATCCAAGAGGTCATGGTTTTCGACAATCACTCGTTCTATACATCCGATCTCGCGATGGCGCACCTCCGGAGACAAGACAGCTTCGATGATTCTGACTATGAGTCGTGTCCGGTGGGAGGTCAGTGGTGGACGTGTGAAGATATCAACTATCCGACATTCATCGGATGCTGTTCCAGCAATCCCTGCTCCGGTCAGATGTGCCCTCAGGACAACTTGTATCCCATGGGCTTTGGTTCAGTCACAACTCCTGTGCCAGACTATCCCAACCATTCCTGTCCATATGGCGGACTGTGGTATACTTGCGCCGACAATACTGTTACCTTCCAAGGCTGCTGCGACAGCAATCCGTGCAATGGCCAAGGCTGCCCTGCCTCCGATCTACGACCTGCCGGTGTTCATACGGTTGTCGTGGCTGGAAGCTCAACCTTCACAGTTCCCTCCTCCGTTGCAACGACGAGTTCAGCGTCCGTCCCCTCCGCCTTTGCTACGGCCACATCAAGCACATCGTTGCCGCAACCAGTCTCGAAACCAGTTGACACAGCTGCCATAGCAGGCGGCGCCGCTGCCGCTGCAGTAGCCTTGACGATTGTCGCTGTACTAGTGGCCTTTTGCGTCGTGCGGCGCCGAAGAATGAAACAGTCTCTGCAAGAATCTACTGAGCCTGGACGAGAGCCACAAGAATACAAACCATTTTACAAAGATCCCTTCGGTGGAGGTGAGTCTATGAGCTCCATTTCGGTCTGCATTCTGGCTAACAGCACTGGCCTCAGTCTTGACACCGCTTCCTCGATACTCAGGAAGTCCTTCGACCATGCACGGTCCTTTCTCGCCTGCCCCTGCTTATTACTCACCCCGAGCACCTAAGTCACAAGATGGAGAGCCTCAAGAGATCATGGGACTCGGCCTGACCGCCGACGAATTCAATCGGCGCCACAAATCCAGATCGCCTGTTCACCACAGCACCGACGGCCCCATTGAACTTGCCACCCACCGCTTTTCATCGAACCGCGCCGATGCAGAGGCGGGAAGCCCTCTTCTCCGGTCAAAACCGAAGGACAAGCCCATTAGACGACAAACGGTAGATGGAGAAGCAGATACTCGATCGCGACTACGCAGTCGTGCAGCAGTGGATGACTTGCGCGCAGAAGTGTCACGGAGTCCGTCAAGAGGCCCAGCACGGGGGTTCGATCCCGACGACTGAGCGATGAAATGGCCATCACGCATTTTCGGATGCAATCGACACGAGGAGAAACCAGTGTCTAGACAGAATGGGCGGGGGTTTCGTCTCTGGTCTTGCGACGCCAGGCTTCTGCCAACCATTGTGGTCGGAGAATTGGTTGAAAGGGTCAAAGTACAGTCTCGACCCTCCTAGTCCCTGTCAAACTAGCAACACTAGTCTACGTTGAACGGCTTTGTTCATTGTGGTCTGGTGTTGCGAGCGCCCTCGAATGGGGTTCAGCAAGATTCTTCCTTTTGGCCCGCCACTCTTAGTCAGATATGACCTCGACCTAACGCCTCAAACCTCACATGCAGATACATTTCAGCCTATATTTCAAGAGCCTGGGTCAAAGCACGACTGCTTTGCTACTTCCGCTGTGCATGCAAGGCCTTGGATTTATGGGATACCTGATCTTGAGAGGATGTGATGGAGATCCCCAGTCGTCTGGGCACAATGGCGGACACTCCCGTCGCGGGGGAAATTGCGCTTGTCTTCGGCGCCATTAGTGGGTGGATAAGGTGTAAAAAAGGCTCTGGGCCCGGCCTTACACAGACGAGAAGGAAGCAATGAGGCTGAAGAGGATCTGATGGAGAATCATAATGGAAAAGGGACACGGCGAGGCGGCCGGCTCTAGTACATTTTACGTCGTATAATCCACGCTATCTGATTGGGCCGGGCTATGTCTTGGCATTATTATGTAATCGAATTTTTTCTGAAAGGCTTGAATCTACGAACGACGACGAACTCCTTTTCCTTGTCAATGCGCCGGACAGGGTAGAAGTGAGTGTGGCAGCCTGTTCATTCGAGCCTGTTGAACGGGGAGAAACCCCATGTTTCTGAGTCGTCGCCTTCACAGCGCACAAGACTACTCCGCTCCCACTTCATTCCTTCCCATTCGTCGGGCAACCAACAACAATACCCCAGCGATTCGTATTAGATTCAACAGGCGCACCGCACCAGCCTCCCCCAATTTCGAGCCGTTCAACCGCAGAAAACCCCGCAAGCAGCGATCTTCGGGGGAGTACAATGCGGCATCGATCGCGGCGAGGATGGAGAAAATCAACAACAGAGGCCCCCTTGGCCGCGCGAAGCGGCACCGGCTCCAGCAGCAGCTGTCGCGACTGAGGGACGGCACACCCGAGCAGGTACTGACCATCGAGGCGGAGACGCTTCTCGCGAAACAGCAGCAGCAGCAGCAGCAGCACGATGGGGGTGAAGACCACGATGAGCAGGTATCTCGAGATGGGGACCGGGGATCCAAGGAAGGACACGACCAGGATCCCAACCAGGGCGACAAGAGCCGCTCCAAAACCTCGTCGTCACGCAGCTCACGTCCGGCCCCGCACACGGAGCTCGAGCTGGAGATTGAGGAACTCTCGTCCACGGGCGATGGCCTGGCCTACGCCCCCGAGAGCACGGACTACATCTACGTCGTCCCCTTTTCAGTGCCGGGCGACCGCGTCCTGGCCAAGACGTTCCCGCAACGCGACGAGAGTCCACTGTGGACGCGGGTCGACTTCGTCAAGTTGGTCCGTGCCTCCCCGCAACGTGAGGGCGTGACACCGGGCTGTCGGTATTTCGGCACCTGCTCAGGCTGCCAGCTGCAGATGCTGCCGTACGCGGCGCAGCTGGCGCACAAGAAGACGATCGTGGAGAAGGCCTTCCGCTACTTCTCGAACCTGGACCCGTCGCAGGTCCCACCCGTCGACGACACCGTCGGGTCGCCCCTGCAGTACGCCTACCGCACCAAACTGACCCCCCACTACAGCGCGGGCCCCAAGTCCCGGCCGCTCCGGAAAGGCGACCCCCCGCCGCCCTTCGGGTTCATGCGCAAGAACTCCCCCCGCATCCTGGACATCGAGCAGTGTCCCATTGGCACGCCCATCTTGAACGAAGGCCTCAAGATCGCGAGGAACAAGATGCACGAATCGTTTTGGAAGAGCAACACCGGCGCCACCGTCCTGTTGCGGGAGTCGACCCGGCGCGAAATGATCCCCTCGACCTCGACGGCGGATGCTCCCGGGGGAGAGGACACGGTATCGGGCGAAGACGCAGAAAAGGGAACGAAAGAAGTCACCAAAGAGGGAGAAGAAGCCGACGAGGGACAGGTTCTGGCCTCTGACTCGATTCCAGATCTCTCGTCCCTGCCGCTCGCGTATGCCGGTGAACCCCTATCAACAGAGCTGTCCTTCCCTTCTCCCACCGCGCCCCAGATTATATACACGTACCCGCGCTTCCGAGACATCAAAACCTACACGTCCGACAACAAGGCCCTCACGACCGAGCACATCGGCCCGTACACCTTCACCACGCGGGCCAACAGTTTCTTCCAGAACAACAACTCCATCTTGCCGACGTTCTTGGCCTATATTCGGGAGAACCTGCTTCCCATGACGACATCATCGCCCCCAGCATCAGCAGCAACCGCCACGCCCACACCCGTGTCGTGGATGTCGAACGTCGAGCCCGCCGAACCCTCCGTGAAGATCAAATACTTGCTCGACGCCTACTGTGGCTCGGGCCTGTTCAGCATCGCCCTGGCGCCGTACTTCTCGTCGGTGCTGGGCATCGACATCGACGCACTCTCCATCTCGTGCGCGCGGGACAACGCCAAATTGAACCACCGCACCAACACCCTCTCCAAAACGGGCGAGAGCAACACGGGGTTCATTGCGGCCGACGCCCAGGCCCTGTTTACCGACGTGCCGTTCCCGCCGTCGCAGACCCTCGTGGTGATCGACCCGCCGCGCAAGGGCGCGTCGCCGGACTTCCTGCAGCAGCTGTGCCACTTCGGCCCCCGGCGCGTCGTCTACGTGAGCTGCAACGTCCACACCCAGGCCCGCGACGTGGGCATGCTGGTGGCCGGGTTCGGGGGCCGGTGGCGGTACAGCATCGAGAAGCTCGGCGGGTTTGACTTCTTCCCGCAGACGGGCCACGTCGAGGGGGTATGTTTCCTGAACCGAGTCGAGAGGGAAGGGTGAGAATCTCGATTTCCTGGGGGTTTTGCCGGACGAAAGATTATGCTTCTGGATTGCATTTTTAGTGGGTGGGTGGGTTTGACAGATAGATAGATAGCTTGAGGCATGTGCCGAAGGAGGCGTTGATCGCAAAGAAAAAGAGTTTAGCGGTTGGAGGGCGAAATTGTACAATTAGATGGCCTAGCCGTTCCTCCTCTTCTCCTCCCCCGAGCAGTCTTCGTTGATATTTCATGGCGGATCTGGGCTCTTTCGGTGCCCTTGTCGATCCAGGTTGTTCCAAACACCACGTCTGGAGCTTTCAGTCTCGTACGAGGGCCTGGGTCAGTCAGTCCGACCGACCGATCAGACATCGGCTTGGTGCTTCGAGTCCTTGTCCTTCTCCCTGTCTCTGTTGGTGTCCTTGGGCTGATCCTTATTCTTATCCTCGTCCGCGCCCTCCTCTCCCTCCCCGAGGTGCTGGGTACGAAACACATTTGACCCGGCGTACCATGCCTTCCGCGCGGGCTCATCCATGTTCTCAAACCACAAGTAACAAGCCATGACGGCCTTGAAGTCGGCGAACTTCACAAGACCCAGCTGCGCGGAGCGCTCGTGCAGCTGGGCGACAAACCAGGGCCGGTCGGGCGTGAAGGTGGCGCCGATGCAGCCCAGCAGCAGCGTCCAGAGGACCAGGGGTCGGTACTCTTCACGGCCGCCACCCGGGGTGAACTTGAGGAACTTCTCGGTCAGGGCGTGGCGCAGCGTGCGTGCCAGCCGGGGCTTGATCTCGGAGCTGTCGATCTGCGGATACACGACCATGTCGTTGTAGAGGAGGGCACCCAGCCGCGTGATGGCGAAGATCAGCCGCTCCTCCTCGCTGCCGGCCTCGGACAGTGGGATCTCGGTCGGCAGCGCCAGGATCTGGTGATGGTTCGCCCGCGCCACCGCCAGGAGTCGCCGCCACTCCCGCGTCTTTTCGTACCCTGGCTCCAAGTGCGAGAGTTCCACGGTGACGGCGGCCGTGCAGAGCAAATACTCACGGAGTCTGCCGATGGCGTCTCTCGCTGGGAGCAGCAAGAACCCCGTTCCCAGTCTTCCAAACGTGCCGTTCCCAGGGGATTTCTTGACGTTTTCCGTGTAATCCGTCAGGAGATCCTCGTAGCTTTTGAGAAGTGGGAAGCTGGGTTGTTGGATGAGAGTCGTGCAGTTGTTCAGGCTCCATCTATAATGTGTTTCCCCCAAATGTTAGGATACGTGATCAAAAACGGCGAAGATCAAAGATAGAACAAGATCATGGTAGTTGAGGTTCAGGGAGATCACGTACAACCATATCATCTCTGCAATGCCAATTAGTTTGACTTCTTCTAAGCCGCCCTTGGCCTGAATGAGGAGGTTCATGGCACGCATATGTTCGGCATGCGGTATTTTCCGACCATACCGGGCGAGGAAGCGTGCATTGAGCGTCGGCGGCGGAGGGTGACACTCGGGGAACACCCGCTTGTCCCAGTCTAATCCTTGGTACGACAAGTTGTATACCGCCATGACGAGCGAGTCGGTCGGGATGCCGTTGGGGTCCATGTTTTGTATGACTTGCCGGACCAAGCGGAGCGCCTTGGTGTGATGAAACAGCCTCAGCCGATCAAACATGGCACCGTATCCGGCGGCGTCGTACATGGCTTTGCCGAAATCCGCAACACTCGCGAGATGGACGTGGTGGACGGCAGGACATTCCTGTGCGGCCAAGCGCCATTGCCGCCGACCTGGATGGACGGCTGGCTTTCCTTGGACCTCGATCAGATCAGGCCATAGCTTGTCATAGGCTTTGGAATGAGAAGTTTGGTCAGTGGGGCTCGATGCATTAATGGTTCTGTCTTCCTTGTGCAGGGGGTGGATTGGGATTGCATACTGTACTCGATGAGATCTTGAAAGACTGCTGGATGCTCTGACGCATTGTAGGGAGAGAATGGATCGCGTTTGCTCTGGGTCAGAGCATTGTGGACAAGCACCTTAGAGGATTCCGATTGTTGATCATGCGCATCATCATCCATTCCATCATGAGCGATGGGCTTTTCTGGTTTGTGTCGTTGGGATGAATCACGCTCCAGCTCTCGGCGGTAGCTGCAAGACCATGTCAGCAAAAGAATCGTCAAGTCCCCAGTGCTGTCTATTTACCTCATCTGCCTTTCCCAGCGAGTGCGTCGACCGACATGTTTGGCGGCATGGCTTCGGGCCAGTGCAATCTTGGTGGTCTTGTCCTGTCCACTCTGACGGGCACCGGGATCCTGGATCATGAACCGGACGGTTATTGGAGCGGACGGGGCACGGCTGGACGCCATCGCAGCGGTGGAGGAAGGATCCGGGAAAGCGAGAGGATCTGAGAATGGACAGGCCGGACGGACAACAGCCCTGTCCGTGGGTCACGGATTTCCATTTAATCCTGCCGGGCAACAGGTGTGTTTGAACAACGTTGGCTTCCACCCTCACCCACGAAATCTGACAGCAGGCCCTGTGGCCGAGTTCGTCTTCGTGCAGAAAGCTGTGAGAGGAAAAACGCTAAAGTTAATATTAGTCTGGTGCCGAAAGAATGGGAGCAGTAGTACCGAGTAGGGGAAAGGCGGAGCCCCCGTGGCCTCAGCCTAGTGAGCCCTGACAGGAAGGAGGAAAGATAAACAGCCGGACGCTGAAGAAGCGAGGTCGATGTCGTCCCCGGTGGTGGGCTGACTGCGGAAATATGGAGGTGAGATTATGTAATCGCCATAATATTACTGCGTGCTGGGTGCTGCCATCCGTCGTTTGGCCCCCAACTACCTGTAGCCACTGTCTGCCCATTGAATGGGCTTCGCAAGAGCTTTCTGACGCCGGATCAATCACGAGTCATTGCCCTCGTCGCTCCGGAATCAGAGAGCAAAACGGGGGAAACTAGCCCGCCAGCAACGGGAACTGGTCATCGTGGTATTCTTTTTGCAGTGGTCACTTTCTATCTCGTCAGATCTCGGCAGTCTAAGTGCTTCCCGGGCCTCCCAGCAACGCGAACCTCCGGACGATACTTGGGCCTATCTCATCGTACTCGGCCTTGGTGTGGCAGTAACTTCGGAATTCAGGAGTTTGACCCAGGAGACTGCCACCAAACCACGGCCCATGCCTCTGTCGCTTGTGGGTGACCACCTGGACCTCCAGACCACCACTCTTGGCTCCACCGCTCCGAGCCTCCGATGCTCGGATGCGAGCGTCAACCAAGTGTCGGATATCTCGCTGTAACCTCCGACCAAAATCCTTGTACAGGGTCGAACCACCAGACAGGACAATGTTCTTGTAGAGCCCTCTTCGGACGTCGATCGGGGACGACTGGATAACGCCATCGACCACCGTGGGGAGGGGAGTGAGGAAGTCCGAAGAATAGATTTCAGGGTTGAAGAAGATCTCGGGGGCCAGGAATCGTTCGTATCCAACGTCAACGGTGACAGACCTACCGTTGGGCTGGGTCACGGTGTGCTTGAGAAACCGGTCGGGCTCTTTGTCATAGCGTGCAAACTCTTTGACCATGTCGGGGCAGACATAGCAGTATTCCTCCTTGACCTTTTCTGCTGTCTTGAGGCTGCTGTCCGGCTCTCCTCTGTCCCGCAACAGGCTCTGCACAAAGTATGTGATATCCCGCCCGGCAATCGGTATGCTCTTGATCGACGAACCAATAACGTATCCTTCAGCAACAGGAATGATGTGGGTGACACCGTCTCCAGAATCGATGACCGTGCCGGTGAGAGATCGGTCGGTCACCTTGGAGGACGTCCACGAAGCGGCCAATGCGAGAACGGCTTGTACGGCAATATAGAGACCCGCGCAGTTGAAGGACTCGAACATGATCTCGGCGGTGTTCTCCCGGTTTTCGGGGGGGTTCAGAGGCTGCCAATCAGTCAACAGGAGGCCACCGGGAACAGATCAGCAATACCCACCGGCTCTGTCAGGAGAAAATAGTGGTCTTCCGGCTCAACTCGCAGGTATTTGAAAATGGAGTTGGACCAGAAACGTTCCATGTAATCCCAGTTCTCGATCTGCCCATGTCTGATGGGATAGTTGATGCTGTAGCCAGGACCAGCCGAAGCAGCAAGAGCTTCGTCTCCAATGAAGAAGTCGAGGTCTTCTGTGCCCCGCTTGCCGGCCAGATTGGAACTTGGTCCTGCACCGCCAGTGAGATATGAGGGTTTATTTGCAACCGCCGGTCTTCCTGAGCCTGTTCCTGCAGCGCCGCCGCCAGCACCTTTCATAGCAATGGCCGTGGGGAAAACAAAGGACGGGGCATCATTTCCGGCGAAGCCTAAGTCGGGGCAGGTCAGAAATATAACAATTATCGATGGACGACGGGAGCGCACCCAGTTTCGAAAACCCAGTTCCGCTGAGAGTTCGTCAGTAACACAGTTCAGAGGGCTGAAGAAGGGAGTACACACTTGTCCATGACAACGGCAGGGGTTTGGGAGGCCATTTCGACGGCTAGTTGCGGGCTACCTCGAGGAGCAGCGACGATGCGACAATGTGGCGGATGGAGACGGGCACGACGAGGAGGATGTCGCTAGGATGAGTTGATGCTTGTCGGAGGGATCATTGCCAACAAGGACCAAGCAGAAGAGAAGAAAGACACAGCAACCCAGGACCCAGGCACCGTATTTTCCACCCACCGAGGTATGCAGGCAGCTTTCAATTGTGGGCAAAGGACAAGTCGATTGAGGGACGGACAGCAGCAGTGAGACGAAACAGTAGTTAGTTGGATGGCAGTTGGTGGGATGGCGCCGGGCGGAGTGGGCGCGGATGATTATGTCATCCACGTGACTGCGTTTTAATGGTTCATGGTTCATCTCTCCATAGCACTCACTATAAACACCCACGTGACACCCTAACAGGGACATCATCATCAGCCAGTAGTATACCAGGGGTGCTGCTGGCAGGCATCTGGATAAACACCTCCCTCCCATCTGAGTTTGTCCTGTTTGTATACGAGAAGGAAAGAAGTATGTTGTAAATACGTAGGCAAACAATGTCACTCGAACTGAAACTTGGTTTGCTGGCGTCCTGCTTGCACCGAAATTCACCCGGCTCGACTTTAAGAGTTTCCTCTCTCTTCATCCTCCTCTCTTTCCTTTCGTCCTCCAGTTACCTTGCCTTGACAACAAGAACAAGAACAATTGTGGCAGGTGGCAGCTCAATGTCCATACAAGGACGCGTGTGCTGAGGTCACGGCTTCAAAAATGCCAGGCAGGTCGTCGACTTCAACTGCCTGCAGGCGCGGCCTGCGACAATGATCTTCCACCGACCCTATGACTGAACGGTTTTCCCCCTTTATATCTCTTTCACCCCTCATCACTTATTCATTCATTCACCTCTTCATCCACCAATTTATTCTTTCTTTCACGTATTCAGACGGGCGCCCTCAAGCTCAAGCCCGTCCTCTCTTCAGCAGCTTTTCTCTCCCGCACACAGCCATTTCCACAAAGTAGGATTTAATCCCTTCTGTTCTTTTCACGCAGTGTTCTTTACTCTTCACCCCGACATTCTTGTCGTGTTCAGCGCCCACGACTTGAATTTGCTTTCACTTCAGCACTGCCTCTCCTTCTCCCAGAAATTAGGCCGGACCTCTCCTCGCATTCAAAAATCCTCCCTTCCTTCGTGCTGACCAGAGTTTGCTCTATCTACTCCAACTCATCTCGTTCAATGCCACGCCGCCAGCAACAAGCCGGCGATATCTGTGGGATTTTCATCCACGCTGGTGCCGGCTTCCACAGTCTGCAGAACGAAAAAACCCATCTGAATGCGGTAAACGATGCTGCCAAGGTCGGCATGGCTATCCTGAAGAATGGAGGTGATGCTGTTGAGGCCGTGGAGATGGCGATCCGGTTGTTAGAGGATAAAGAAATAACGAACGCCGGCTATGGGAGCAACCTGACGGTACACGGCCAGGTCGAATGTGATGCTACGCTGGTTGATCACTTCGGTCGGAGTGGTGCAGTCGGGGCAATCTCTCAAGTCAAGAACCCAATCGCCGTGGCACGCCTCGTTCTTGACGATTCCACGAAACCCATGTCACTCCACCGTGTTCCACCGAACCTCTTGGTCGGTGCTGGTGCCACAGACTACGCCGCCGATAAAGGCATTCCAATTCTTCCCCCAGACTACCTGGTCTCGACGTCTGCGCGTGATAGATGGAGCAGATGGCGAGAGGAGCTGGATAACGCCACTCGAAGAGAGGCCCGCCGGGGCTCTCAGAGCCTGCCATCTTCGTCGACAGAACCACCGGATGACTGGGGCCGCTCTCCAACGCCCGCGCCTACTCCCCTGGGTCCTACCGGCTCACCACCAAGCCCGGGGAGACCCCTCAGTCTTGCACAAATGCCACCAATCGTGCGCCCACTGATGGCCTCAACGGCTGATGTACCAACATTATCACGTCCTGGCGGAGGTAGGGACCGAGGACATCCTTCTTCTGTTTCCCCGTCCCAATCAACAGCTGTCCACAACTCATCAGACGGAAATGCATCGTATGGTCACCCCGAGGCTGCCTCTGACGACAGCCTCCAATGGCTATCGTCTGCTCCCAAACGCCAGAAGTTAGATGATACTTTCGACGGCCCGGCTGGTGAGGGCTTCCGTTCCGGCAACACACCTCAGCCGTCGTTGAGGGCACCAGAACTCGCACATGTTGACAACGAAGGGGAAGATGATATACGGGACACGGTCGGCGCCATTGCAATTGACTGCTTCGGGCGGATCGCCGCGGGTTCGTCTTCCGGCGGCATTGGTATGAAACATAAGGGGCGTTGTGGCCCAGCCGCTCTTGTTGGCATTGGCAGTGCCGTAGTCCCCATTGATCCACAAGATCCCACCCAAACTTGTGTGGCCACAGTCACCAGTGGTACGGGAGAACACATGGCCACTACGTCTGCTGCGGCCACGGCTGCCGATCGGATCTACAATTCTGTGCGCAAGGAACAAGGACGGTTGGTGTCATGCAACGAAGATGAGGCGATGCTGTCGGTCATCAAGCACGACTTCATGGCACATCCTGGTGTGAGCAACAGCCCGTGTACTGGAGCCATTGGCATCATGGCGGTCAAAAAGAGCCGTGACGGGATCTATTTCTATTTCGGCCACAACACTGATTCGTTTGCCCTTGCCTCGATGCATTCAGGCGAAAAAAAGCCGGTATGCACCATGTCACGCAGCCGCGGCCACGGCTCGATCGCACAGGGAGGCAGAGTCTCTCGACTCGCCAAATCCAGGTAGATTGCACCGACCACCAGAGGGAGATACCCGTGGATGATCTAGAGCGCTCGACGCGCAAGGGCTGTGGGCCTTCCTAGAAATTCACCATTCACCACAGGCTCAGGGCAGACTGGAGATGAGGATGCTGCAAGGGACATTAATAGCGAGTCGCGGAGCTGGAAGACTGGGCAAAGCATCGAGAAAAGACGTGTGGAGAGGAGGCGGGCGTATCCACACCCTTTTTATCGCTTGAACCGTGAGACTCCAAGGTGCCCTAGATTCTCATATCGCTAGACGAACAATGCGAAGACCCATTCTAGACAAGCCTTACGTCTGTGTACACGTCAAACGAATTCTTCTCAAGTCTAGTCATGGTTCTGTAGTTTTGTGGATCCGTGTTGCGGACGACATCCCATGAAGACGTCCTTATTATTACACTAATGCACACAGGATGCCCACGTTGGTTACCGCGCCACCGCCTGCTGCGGCCTCTTCTTCTTGGATTTGGAGGCGACGACCACGGGCGTCTTCCCATAGCCGCGCTCGTCGACAGCGAGATGGGTGCCGCAGGTCAAGCAGTCCCCGTTCTCGGGCGGCTCACAAAAGATGCTCAGGCAGATGGAGCACACGAAGCCGACGGAGACGACGTTGCGGTGGCAGAAGCAGGCAGCGCGGAAGTCGACGTCGATGCGGGTGGGGAGGATCAAGTGCGCAGCGCGGGTCAGCGGGCTGGACAGAAAACTGGTCAGGAGGTAGGTCAGCAGGGACTGGGACGCTGTCTTGATCGGGTCGGGCCCGTGGGGCCCATGGGGACCGTGGGGTGCGGCGAGGTGGGCGGGGATGAAGATGCCGTGGGTTGCGTCGGCGGCCTGTTGGAGGAAGACGGTGGAGTTGGAGTGTTGGGAGCGTGAGTTCGAGTGTGACGATGATGAGTCCGTGGGAGAAGAAGAAGGTGTTGCTCCCGCGAGTGCTGCAGAGGAGCCGGGGAGAGGGAGTTGGAGGATGTCAATGGGGATTGAGAGCCGCTGGCACGCGAAGATGGCGTTCATGATGGGGATATACTGGTGAGCCAGGTCGGTGGACGGGGATGCTGAGATGAGGAGGATGCGTGACTGGAGGGATTGAGTGGCCCCTTCTCCGGCTGCTGCGGCCGCGGGGTCTCTGGCATTATCAGTGTTCACATTTGATGATCCGACCAGCGATTCGGTGAGTAGGATGGATTCCCGGTTGATGTAGGAGAGGGCCAGGGTGAGGGCGCCTGCGATCATGGTGGACGGGGAGCCAGCCACGGCTTCGGGGGACGTGCTGGCCAGCAACGACGTCAGACTGCGAAGCAGCTTTTCCTCGACGAGGCGGAAGGGCCGGTATTTGCTACTGGTGTTTGCTGCTGTTGAAGAGCCCGGAGGATAATCTCCTGCTGGGCCATTAAGCTTCAGCCTTTTGGGGGGGTCGTCTTCTCGAAGAGATGGGTCTTGATGATGATGAGGTTGTCGCTTGGCCCGGGCCGTCGAGGCGGCGGATCGAGGGAGCTTCTGGTCGGTCGGACTGGGATAGAGCCATGTGGCTTTGTCGCAGTGCGAGGCGATCACGGCCACTTTGTTGGTATAGTTTGCAGCCAGGTGAGCGTTGATGAAGACTAGGAGAGTGGCGACGGCGCTGGACAGAGGGAGGGTTGGGGAGAGTAACGACCATGCTGCCGGGTTGGTGTCGAGGATGACTGTGAGAAGGGAAGGGCTCTGTTCTGTTGCTGTGGTGCGTCGAGGAGGGGGAGTGTCAGTTCAATTCAGTTCAGTTCAGTTCAGTTTTCCACATCGGCCAGCCTCGTGAGTATCAAGATCTAAAGATTTGACGGGGCCACAGGATTGAGTTGGAGGGGGATGATTGGATGGGAGCCAGCAGCTTTGCTCCTTCAAGGGGGAAATGCTCGTGGGGGAATCTTGGGCCCGAGAGCAGCGGAGTGGCGGGTAAAAGATTACAAGATGAGGAATAGTCGGTCCGTGGAAACGACTTACAGTAGGATGGCTTGTCAAAGTGCTCGGATGCATCAACCGCATTCATGATGATGATGATGATGATGACGATGACGATGACGACGACGACGACGACGACAACGGTGACAAGGGGACCAGATATTAGAAATCAAGAGGGGGAAGATTTGTGGAATGTGTGAGAGGTGAGATGCGAGAAGTGAGATGTTGCGTTGCGTGGCGTGGCGATGAAGATGCATGGGATGGATGGATGGATGGATGATTGAGTTTGCTGAGTTGCTAAGATGATGAAGTGTTGAGCGTTCAGGGTCAGCGGCGGTACAAGCACGAGCACGAGCACAAGCACAGCACAAGCTCAGGGCGCCTAGAGGACGCCTTGGTTGGAGTGAGGGAGCACAAGAGATAGGCGTGCGGTTAGGCTACAGTACTGTGCAGCCGACAGGCGAAGGTGAGTTAGTGGTAGTGTGCTGGGGCCAGGCTAGAAGGCACCCACCCAGCGATAAGCCATAGGGGAAGGGCGCCGTACATTATTAGGCTAGGCTAGGGAGGGACTGCGTACGTACGAGTGTACCTAGAGACCTAGACCAACAGTCCGCCAGCCCCAGGAACGTGAGAGATCTGGTGGGTGCGGTTCAGTGAGCAAGCCTAGTGAGCCATAGATACAGGCACAATAATGGATGGATATTCTGCTTCTACTTATGGCGCGCACATGTTAATTTCCGTCTGGCGTTCGTTCGCGTTGCCATTTTTACCCTTTTCCCAATGTTTTGACTCATTATTTGCCCGCCAAACACATCCCCTTTTGGCTGCTCTGCTGCGCGCTCCTCCATTTGGTTATCTTCCTCTTTCCGTCTATCTCTCTCTCTCTCTCTTTTATGTACTTGCCCAGCGACATTTGCATGTGAATGTACCTTTTAACTCCTCCTCTCACAACTCTCCCTGCTATCACCACACCACAAGGAAGACCAAAAAAAAACTTTTCTTTCCTCTCCCAGCAGTAGTCTCTTGCATCATTTTTTTTTCTGCATCCCACGTGGCCCATATTTGGGTCTCCTTCCTACATCGGCTTATCCAGCTGCCAGGCACACAGAAGCAAATTCCATTCGCTCTCCCGCCAACTTCCAGTCCAATAATTGCGACAATCCCTTGGATCTATTTGGCCATCTACACAGCAACCAGCCTTATTCTGTTGCTTCACTTTTCGAATTTCGACATTCATACATAACTGCACCACCCACGACCTTCGAAAAAAGCACCATCAGCTGACCAGCTCAACCAACGCACCTCTTCGAAATTCTTTTTTGTTTCTCCTCGCTTCTTCGCCGCCTTGCTCGCTCGCACGTCAACAGACCGCCCATCCTCCCGTCTGCCGCCCGCCTCCCGCCCTCCGGCTTCCGTCCAAATACTCTGCTCGCTCTTCACGCCTCTATAAATTATGTTCTCGGCCTCTTGATCTCACGTCACTCTCCCCTTCAAGAACTCGACCACTGCAGTCCTCTGGAGTTCTTCATACTCTCTTTCTCTCTCTTCCCCCTTGATATCGCTCTCCCTCTCCGCCCCACGGCGTGTGGACTCCACCCTGGCCTCTGTGGCTCAAAATGTCTACCATGTCGACTGTCCAGCGGATGAACCGAAAATTATCCGAAGAACGCGATGCTGAACGCGCCTCCCAGTTGGCCAAGGAAGCCGTTGAACTTTCAAATGCTGGTAACAAAGTGGTAAGTTTTCTGACCGCTAAGTCTTTTGACTTTTTGCCCGAGGGTCGCTCACAATTTCCTCATAGCAAGCGTCAAGAAAGCTGAGAGAAGCTGCTGCGTTGGGTCATGCCAACCCGGATGTCCAGGCCGCCTTTTTCGCCATCCATCATGATGACCAACTCAGTTCGCCCCTGTTGGACCTGGTGAGGAGGTATGCCCTCTACCACGATAACTCGGCCGGCGATGAGGCTATCAAGTACCTAAAGAGCTCCGAGGCTTCTAATGCTGCCCCGGTGGCTCTCGAATGCTTGCAGATCATCCTCGAATGCCGCCAGTCCACCATGTCTGGTGCCCAAGATTTCATCATCGCCGAACTCGCCAAACGGAGTTCCGCTGTTCGACAGTATCTGGCTGCTGAGCTTCAGGCGTCGACGACCTCCTTCTTTGAGAATGTCTACGAGAGGGGCGATGACGCCGCCAATTGCCTTCGCTCTGTCGTGCTCGATGACACTTTGTGGCCATCCGAGGACGTCCGACTTCGCGTGGAAGATGATCTCTTCCAGCTCTTCCTTGCCAAGTTGATGGAAACTGGTCACGATCATGACGGCCGAGCTCTCAAAGGTATCGCCCTATTGTTGATTGCCGACACGCAGCGGCTTCATACATTTATCGATGAGGATGCGTTTGAAGCTCTCATGGGCTCCCTGGATTTAAGACTTCCTCCAGATGTCCGGGGCCAGGCAACCCTCGTCCTGTCCAAGTACTTTGAAGTGGCGGAACCCGCCGGTCAAGAATACCTCTCCAAGTATATCACGACCCACGTCCAACGGAAAAAGGGCGATGATCTCGTCCTGGCCTTTTCAGCGGGAGCAAGTCTCTTCCCAGTCATTCCCAGCGTTGTGGCTCCACTCTTTTTGGTGGACGGCTTTCTCTCCTCGCTCATGCCGCTTCTCGACAGAAAATTCAGCAGTCCCCTCGTCCATGACGCTTTCCTCTTCCTGCTCAACGCCGCCTGCATCGACGGTGCCTGTCGGACGGCTATCGCACAATACTGTGCATCTTGGCTGGCGGATAAAGTGAGCAACGGTACTGGCAAACAACCATCGGTGGCGGCCACCGTGTTAGCCAAGTTGAGAACGTCAGGAGTGAAGATTGGAGATCAGAGAGCCAACAAGGCGGATGATGATGTTAGTGAACTCGTTGATCTTTTCAAGAAGTCCCTCACCATTGTTGAAGAAGGAAAGAACGTTTCTGACTCGATTGAAGGCCTTGCGTATACATCTTTGAAGCCCGAGGTCAAGGAATCGCTCGCCAAAGATCGCAAGTTTCTCAAATCCCTCCTTGAGGTCCTCAACGAGAACCGTGCTACCCCGGAAGTCGTGGTCGGCGGATTAAGTATTATTTCGAATCTGACACATTATGCGCCAAATCTGTCGGAGGAGCAGAAAAAAATGTCACAGCTGAAAGCATATGCGAATGCTACCAAACCTGCCGAACCCAACCCATTGGAGAACGACGAGCATGTGCGGGCACGTTGCACGGCCGTGGTCGAAGCGGGAATCGTGGCCTCATTAACCATATTGAACAAGGGTAGATCTCCGGCGACAGCACAGCTCAGCGATAAAATCCTCCTGTCCCTGTCCAAGAATCCCAAAGATAGGGGGAAGATCGCGCAACAGGGAGCCGTCAAGCTTCTGGTTTCTCACGCACAGAGAAGTCTACAGTCATCCGAGAACGCTCAAGCCAGCACCGACGCTGCACACGCTCTGGCGCGGATCCTGATCTCTCTGAACCCAGCGCACGTCTTCCCACCCGGATCGACACCCGACATTACTGACGCTGTACCACCGCTTGTGGCGTTGCTGAAGTCCCCGGGCGGAGCAGGTCTCAATGACCAGCCACGAGATCTCCTTCCAGTCTTTGAAAGCCTTCTTGCCCTCACCAACCTTGCATCTGCCCCTACGTCGAACGCGGCGTCTTTCATCATCAAATCCGCCTGGGACAACATCGAAGATTTTCTCTTAGGAAACAATGAGCTTGTCCGCCGTGCGGCTTGTGAATTAATATGCAATTTAACAGTGGTACCTAGCGGAGCCGAGAAATTCGCCGACGGATCGAAACGTGCAGCACAACGATTGCGCATCCTTGTTGCGATGGCGGACGTCGAGGACTTACCCACAAGACGCGCTGCCGGTGGTGCCTTGGCGATGCTTACGGAACAGTATGCCAATATCGTTTCGGCGATGCTTGAGTTCAAACGGACGCCAGAAATCCTTCTAGAACTATGCATCGACGAAGACCCGGGCGTGGTGCATCGAGGCTTGGTCGTGGTCAGAAACATGTTATGTTGCGACGAAGCAGATCGAGAAAACAAGCCTTTGGCATTGAAAGTGAGAGAGGCATTCAAGAAAGAAGGCGCAGTGGAGAAACTCAAGACTTCCCTGAAGCAAGCCAAAGACCCGGAACTGCTGAGTATTGGAGTGCAAGCATTGAAAGTCCTGGTGGACGATCGGACGAAGTGAATAAACTAGAACGACACTTTCTCGTGATACCTCTACGAGGCTAAGCGACCTGTGTCTAGGGCGCTTGCGGTGGTGGTCTACAGCAGGAGCTTGGAATATGACCGCATTGCTGGCCCTCCAGAGTACATGAATCGAGGTTGACGTTTCCATACAGCGTCCAGTGTCCAATCTCAAAGACACACTGTGACCCCACGAAAGGTGTTCGTCATGGAGATCAACTCGGCATCACCCGGAGGACTATGTCTGCATAACGGATGAAATCTACATTGCAGGCTCCTTGGGTAGCGGAGTTTTGGAGTTGGCGGCCTCACAATCGGCCTCTGGCCGTTCAACGGAGCGGCGGATCGCTCTCGACTTTTTTTGTTTTCTTTGGGTTTGTTCTGATGTGCATCCCTGGCTCGGAGTTCCCACGGAAGGATTTTCCTGTCCCTTGAGCGTGGCCAATGATGAGCATGCATGGGTTTTCTGGGGGGTCTTGCTCTGTTCTGTTCTTAGTCTCAACGTTCGAGGGGATCACAATGGGGGTGTCGCTCATATTGCTAGTCTTGACTCTTTCCACGGGCATGAATGTCCAGGAAGGAAGGAAGGGTCTTGTGGTATTTTGTCACCACGCTGCGTGTGCAGTTTTCTGGGCATACATGCCTCAGACGAAGTTGATACAGATATCAATTACCACACACTATCAATATCACTGTCACTGTCACTGTCACTGTCACTGTCAATATGGACATCGATTTCAAGTCGTTCGATTCGCCACCATCCGTGCATTCAATGATGATCTACAGTATACCGGTGAGGTCTGCCTGCCACATGTTGTTGATATATACCCACTACAGCAGCACGATGGCGTTCCCCATGTCTCCAATAGGAGATGCATACATACATGCATGCATCGAGAGGGAGTACTGTGAGTTAGGTCTGACAGTAGAAAGCTACTACAGTGTTATTATTCGTTCAATAAGATCTTGGATGGATTTTTGTTCCATTTGTTTGGATATCTGTCTCCCGCTCAGCGTGGCCCGGATCCCTGGGTATTTAGATGATTCTGTACACATACACACTCACTCACTCACTCACTCACTCACTCACACACTCTCTCTCTCTCAAGTGGAAAGGGAGGGAGGTACTTCCTGCATATATCTATAGATATATATGGACATATACATATACACCCACATACATGTGCATGGACCGCAAGGGACTGTGACCGTGTCCTTCGTGTTCGTACCTCCCGGAGCAATGTTCGCTCATTTATAGACGCTCTGCAAGACTCTCGTCCTCTCTTTCGGCCGCATGCCAGATTGCGTTGTGCAATCACTTTTCTTCCTCGTAGTTTCACCAAATGGGGCGACATAAGAAGGGACGGCTGGCAGATCAACGCGGCTAACACCCATTCCTCCCAACGTGACCTGGACGATGATCTAGTCCTCAATACGTCGAACCCTGCTACGTCCGTAGATACCGGACTAGTCTTCTCCAGTCATGGCCTGCCGTCAGTAGAGGCCACGGTATTATTAGGGAAATAGGAGCGGTCTTCGGCTGGCTCGTTGGACGTGGTGCGAAAAAGCCTGTCGGCTTGAGAGCGGCAACCGTTCATGAGGACTGACATCCTGCCGCCATTCTAGGATGGCGAACTATGCGATCAGAATGGATTGGCCTGAAGCCCCTCGTATCAAGGTGCCGGAGCTGAACTTGCGGCTGGTCGCATCTTGACCTGAACTCGTTTAAACGTCCTCGGTCTGAAATCCTTGTCAAAATTTTTCGAGTAGGTCTGAATTCTGACCTCTCCAGCGGTCAAAATGTGACCAATCTTGGAGCGATGTTTCCGTGGATTAGCGGTTGCGACCGATTTGGTTGAGACTCTGGTCTCTGTTGAGGTCTCCACTTTCACTGGTGCTTGTTCTGGCTCGGGCACAGTCGACACCCCCTCTTCTATTGTTGTCGTCAATGATTCGCCTTTCAGACTCTCCTTCTCGAGAGACAGCTCTGGTGAAACCGAGGCGTTCTGTTTCGGTTGCTGTTGTCGCTGTTGCATCAATTGTTCAGCAACAACTTTGAGGGCTGACATCTCCGCTCGCATGTTTGCGCGCTCCTTCTCGTACAGTCCATTCAGCTTCTGAAGTTTTTCGAACCCTTCTTTCGATTCTCGGAGCTCCGCTGCTAATTCGGATGTACTTTTGATCCATCTCTGTGCTCTTTGAGCTGCTTCTTCTTGGAATGACCTTTGTCTCAGTTCCGCAAGGTCCAGTTTCGTCTTCAATTGAGAAATAATGGCCTCTTGCTGGGTAAATTGACTTTGCAATCTGTCCAGCTCAGCCGACGAGGATTGACTGCCACTGGTTGCAGGGGAATCTGGCGTTGGTCTTCGTACAGCATACCGGAGACTCGGGCTTTGAGCCGTAGGTGCCATCAGCACCAGCTCGCTATCCATGTTGCTCTGGGAGTTCTGGGCTTCCTGGGGCTTTCCGGAGAGCTCCTCCATCAATGACCTGCATGCCAATTGAAACGACCTAGCTTTTTCCCGTGCGGGGCTCTCTTCAACATTGTCTGGGAGAGGGAGCGACTCCCATTCTAGAAGAATGCTTCGAGTCCGAGGGTGAAATGTCCTGCGATCATTTTGAGTTTTATCGACCAGTGGTGGCCCAATGCCTGCATCGACTGCCGCATCGAGGATCGTGGTATATTCTGCAAGTTTGCAGCAACGCACACACAGATCCAGCATACGGTATATCACCCGCGCTAGCCGATCAATCGACTGGTTGGCGATTGTCAAGGCGTGTTTCACAGACCGCTGCAACCACTTTTTGCCCTCCTCCCAATTCCCGTGCTGAGAGTAGTAGGCCAGAAAACTTCTGAACAGGTCATCTTTCCACATGCTTCCATAGTCCGCCTCGCGGAGGAGCGTTAGCCAAGCTTCAGCCCGCGTCGGTTGCTCGCACCTCAGAGATGCATAGACCAAGACCATCAGAAGACGTGGATTCAAAGTGGTCGGAACAGGAAGGTCCATTCCATTGACACGTGTCTTTTCCCATTTGTGAATTACATTGAGGGGGTTATCTGCCTTTGCAATGAAGTGTAGCATATGGTTAAGCGAGCGAGAGTCGCAGGCTCGACCAATTTGCAACAGCATATAGAAGATTGCAGGGTCCGATAGTGGTAGGGTACTCCTCTTCAGGGCGGCAACGGCATGGTAGGCTAAGCTGTGGCTTCCCACCTTTGAAAGAGACCGTATGAGCATCACGTAGACGGAGACAGAGGGTACTTCATCCGTGTGAAGCACCGCTTTTCCATAACCGTCGATCAACCCAGCCAGTGATATACGCCCAGCATCAAACTCAGCCGTTAGCTCTTTGATGGCTTGTTGGAGACCACCTCTGGCAGCCTGCGCTTGGATGCGAGGTGCCACATAGAAAAGGTCTTCCAGATTGCCCAACGAACGCATCTGCTTTCGAGTCAGAGCGAGCATCTCGGCTAGCCGGTTGGTGTCTGAAAGAGGGCCGATATCCTCAGGAGTTTCAAGGCCTGCACTGTCCATTGGATCGTCCGATGGCACGAGCGAGTAGAAGTGATTGGGCCCGACGCGGAGATGCAAGAGCATCCTCAGAGCAAGAGTGATTGCATTCAGACGATGGTAGCGCTTGAAGTTGGACAGCTGCTCAGCTGAAAACTCGCGTGCAGAGAGCACTTGTCGTATCGGTATCTTCTCGTCCTGCAACACCCCGTCTTCCTGGCCCAAGCCTGTCGGCCATATTGGCATCTCAATTTCTCCCGGGATTTCATCGTCTTCCACTCGCGCCTGCACTGCTGTAGCATAGTTTCTCCGTTGCTGAGATAGTCCAGAGAGGGTGTTACGGAGCTGGAGGGTGCTCCGGAGCCGCCGCTCCCGCTCCTTGAGCGAATCTATCTCATTGTCGATGGCAGCGAGCCTCTCCTCCCAGTCCTTCCGCTGTTTAGCCTTCCAACTGGTATCGACGAAGAGGGCGGCCGCAAGGACAGGGGTCAAGAGGACGGTAAAAGCATCACCAAAGCCTGGCCGGCGTCTTGGAGGTCTGGTTGTGGTTTTTCGAACAAGGGTAGAGCTGAGAGAGTCGGTCGACGAGAGATATTGAGAGCCTCTGAGTCTTGGTCGAGACGCTTGAGCCCATAAGCCTCTCATTGCCTCGGTTGAGGCTTCACCACTGTTGTCGCCAGAAGTTGGTTCTCGATGGGCGGGAAAAGTCGAGGTTGTATGTCCAACTGGAAGTGGGCTGATCGCAGTGAAGTTCAAGCACCTAATGAGGCTAAGAAGAGCTACATTGGAGCTTGGAATTGATCTTGTCTGACGGAGCCGATAACTGTTCCAGATCTGCCACGACCTGGGTGAGTCTCACATGATTTTATTCTGTCAGACACATACTTTTTTCCTCGACGCCCAAACCCCCCTGGTCGTCCGCGTTCGTGATCGCGCATCCACTCTCACAATGACACAATTTGCATCGATGTAAACCTGACTCTGCCCTGCGGCGAGGCTTGAATGGCTGCCAGGAGCCGCTTTCATTCGGAAAGCAGAAGCCATGAGCACCCAGAAACCTTCACACTCCGCCGTTCGAAAACCTACAACGCCCTCGTTGGTCGGTGGAAGTCGTTTCGGCGCAGACGCATAATCTTGGTCTTACTCGCAGCATGGCTTCTCTACCTCTTCTTCAAGCATATGCCGACGGATCTCCCACCTGTCTCTGAACGATATGACCATCGTTACGGTCGTTTACACCCGGGGTTACGTGGTCCGCAGGGGGGTGGTTCTCAAGACACGCTCCAAAACTCTGACCAAAGTTACGATGGTCCTATAAAGTTCTACGACCTTGCCAGGACCTTGCAGGAGCATGCATGGATTCGAGACATGAAAGGCAATGTCCTCTTCGCCATCTCGGACTTGAAGAGCGTTCCACAGATTTTGCCCATGGCATGCGCGATGGCACAGCACAACAGGACCCGAGTTCATCTGGTGTTCATGGGACGCCATGCCGCAGGCTGGCCAGAGATGCGTGCAGCGAATGGCATTGAAGAGTCAGGATGTAACATATTCCTGCACGATGCTCGACCTGATCACGCGGCTGAATCATCTGTGTCGAGACTGACGGTCAGCGCAAGTGCGGGTTTGGGACACATCCACGCTACCGTCCCGCTGCATGCGGTGTTGGCTACAGAACACGAGGATGACTATTTGATCAGTGCTTTGAAGGAGAAGACATCCTCACTTGGTATTTCTTACCTCGTCCTTCCTACCAGCAGCCAACAGAGTCTGTCTTGGATTTCATTGCTGGACGCTGCATCGCTCTCGCAGCTCGACAAAGTCCAAATTGACATCGTAATTCAAGCGCAGGCTGAGTCGTCGGCTTCGCTAATGCGGCTTCTACGATCCATCAAAGACGCCGACTACTCAGGATGGGTGCTTCCCAGAATGACAATTGAACTCCCCAATAATGTCGATCCGTTCCTTGTACGGTATTTGTCAGACTTCCGGTGGCCTGCCAATTCTGCTGGCAGGGAGAGCAGACTCACGATCAAGCACAGGCTTGATGCACGGCTCATGACTCCAGTACAGGCATCTATGCGGACGGTCGAATCCTTCTACCCGGTTGCGGCGAGCACATCTCACCTTCTGCTGCTCTCGCCCAATACAGAGCTCTCGCCAAACTACTTCCAGTTCTTAATGTACACTCTGCTGGAATACGGATATGGTTCACAGACTTCGGGTCTGACTGAGCACTTGGCGGGCATCTCGCTGGATCTACCTCGTTATGGACCAGACCTGAAAACGAAGGCGCCGTACGGAGGACAAGCTGCGAAGCCCTTCACTCTCTGGCAAGCGCCTGCATCCACTGCGGTGCTCTATTTCGGAAATCGGTGGGTAGAATTTCACACTTTCCTATCTTACCGACTCCTCCTTGATCCGGAGTTCGTATCGAAGACAAAATCCACACCTATACTGTCACACGAATACCCCGCATGGATGATGCCGATGCTTGAGATGATGCAAGCGCGTGGTTATTATGTTTTGTACCCGAGCTTTATGGAGAGAGAAGGGTTATCCGCCGTGACCGTACACAGCGAACTTTCTCAATCCCCGGAAGAATACATTGTGGAGGACGAAGACCATGCATCCGATAATGGTTCCCCGAAAGTCAAGTTGGCTGGTGATGAAGCTCTGACGGCGGATGACGAGATCACTCGACTGATGCGTCAGGAACAGAAGCTGTCTGGAAACTCGCTTACCGCTCCTCTTTTGGACGCCATGGCCTCACAACACGAAGGCGACTTTTCAACAAGCCGTGATATCCCGTTGATATCTTTTGACGGCGAAAAGAGAGAATGGGCAAATTCCTGGGATGTCGCATCAAGATTTGCCGAGGACTTCGCAGTCTCAGTTGGAGGATGTGTAAATTACAACAGTGACCAGAAGGCTAACTCTGTCGGGTCACTATTCTGTTTGGCAGCAGTATGAGGCTCGACCCTCACAGAACTGCGACACCACCTGCAGGGCGCTTTCAGTGCCACCCAAACAATGCCGATGTCACTATGTCTACTCCAACCATAGAGAAGACACGTCCAACTCAAGGAAACTCGCCAAGGTGACGGACAAAATCATGCTAATGTTATCATTCTCTGATGTTCGAAGATCGAGTGGATGACAAAATCGGTGCTGGGAGGGATGGAGAACTAGACAACCAGGATTACGGAAATGGTGGTGGACGATCGTTATAAGATCGAAGATCCCAGAGCACCAGAGCCGATGTGGAGGAGGACCACCCTGAAGTCAGACAGGGATCGACATTCTAGGAGCAGGACGAACACTCGTCCCTTATCCATCTTGCCCCGTGTAGGCACCACGGCCCAGCATGAACGGAAGGCAATATCATTTTTTTGTTCTGCATGGCGGTAGCAGACTGGTGCCCATCCACTTCAGCCCATCAAATGTCAGATAATTGATAATATTATCGGATACCGGATGAAGGGTGCGCAATGTCCATTGAGACCCGCCGGTGCTTCCCCAGACTTGACACTTTGGTGACACTGTTGGTTCTCGTCTCTTACACACCATGGCCAAAACCCCTCGCTGGCCTCTCACCTCGGCATGGACGCATACTGGATCGACCAGTCGACGGTTAAGCTGGAGCAGGGATCTAATGCTAGAGGGAGGCGGATCTTGGGAGTGGGTGCCCATTGGTGATCGCTGTGCTGCGGCACCATCTCGACTTGGCTGCCGGCTGTGCTTCAAACCCAACGCAAACCCTGGCTGCGGCTGCTCACAAGCCATTTCTCCCTCTTGGCCAGCACACGTTGTGCTGGGATAGATGATTACTCAGAACTGGCAGGGAGCATACTCGTACTTTTGAGGCCCAAGGCTTTCTTTTTCTGTTATCACGATGGCAAAAGGAAGAGAGGGTGGCTACCTCCCGACCTAGCTACCTAGCGCTGTCAAGCTCGAAGAGTTCGGCTAATGCATGGCTGCAGTGGTTGAGCCCACACGGCCCACTAACTGAACTAGCCTCCCTCGCGACATGCTTTGCCCCGGGGCCCTAGACGCCATTCTTGGGGGCCTGTCCACCACTCAGGTGCCCCGGGCTCCACCACCCCGAACCGCTCTGCTCGCGTTCCCAGGCGTCGCTAGCGGACAATTGGCCATTGGAACGGAAGAGTCTCCCTAGCACTAGCTCTGGCTCTCTCCCCGAACATGCATGGGGATTGATGGGCTGATGAGCTGATGGACGACAGGCTTGGGCTCCTTCTGGTGGCCCGGGCTCGTCCCTTCCAACACTTGGTGCCCCACCATCCCTCCATTACTCCCCCTCTCTACTCAGTATTCGTCCCGCCCGTCAGGAATCACCTCGTCGACAGTGGATCTTCCTCCTCTTCCTTTCTCCAGACTTTCCCGCCCGCTGAGCATTCCATTTGGATACTTTTGGATACATCCATCCTGCTCTTGTTCTCACGAGACCACGCAGTCCGGGTCCAGAGTCGACGTTCTATCTCTTCTTCGTATCCCTACCACTATACCACGCATTTCCAGTGACCGCTCGTATCGATCTTTACCTTGGCCTCCATTGGCCCAGTCTCTCTACCTCCACCACGCTCCCGCACCCAGCCAGGAAATACGTCGACCTCGTCGCTCTCCAGACCTATTGTCTTGTTCATTGCCGATTGACACCGACCTACTGGGCAGGACGTGTTGAACATTCCTCGATACCTGTTGTTGTGCAGGACCGGCTAGGACTCCTGTGGGCGCAGGACGAGCCTGGGAGGGGTTTCCTGCTAGGATACCAAACAGAGTCGTGTTTCAACCTCGTCTCCCCCCGCCAATTCAAAGAAGATGGCTACAGTTGTGGTCCAACAACAACCCCAAGTTCGACAGTCCACTCCTCCACCCCTCGGCCCGACCATTTCATTGAACCAAGCTCGATCCTCGACACCGATCCCCAACAAACACCTACCTTACTGTCCGCCGGGACCAGTTCCCTCGCAGACGCAAATCACTCCTCCCAATTCTCCTCCATTACGGACCGTTGCCCCCAAACCCACCTCGCTCCTCCACCCCCCAAACAACTACCAGAGGCTGTGCAACTCCCCACCGATATATGGCATCTCGGCCAAGCAGGTGGCCGAAGCCCTCGAACACTATGCTCGTCAGCCCCTTCCACATCCGTCGTCCGTCTTTCCATGGCTCCACGGGCTCCATCCCGACAATCATATCCAATTGGCCTTCTTTGTCGCTAGGAAGAAGTCGCTGCGGAGAATACCCAAATGCTTGCGAGGAATCACGATCATCAAGGCCGGCGGTGACCTGAGTCGCTCGAGAATCAAAGGTGCCATTGCCCCAGACGAAGTCCTCAACTTGTCCGAGAGCAATGGTCGCGGCTTTGTAGACTGTGATCCTCGAGAGGGCTTCTCGGTACGAAACTTCCATATCCAAGCGGCGAAGATGGCGCTGGTGTCCGACATCATCATTTATGGCGACGAGGACACGGATCACCGTATCATCAAGTCCGTCGCCGAGAGAACCGCGTCTGTGCAGAAGAAATGGCGCAAAGAACTAGAAAACGCCGGCCAATGCCCCGAGACTTTCAACACCTTCGTGTTGACGCAATCTTTCGAGGACTTTGAGCAGCTATATCCTGAATTGGTGGCGGTCGACTCTCAAGGCAGATATGAGGACCATACACTTGACTTCCTCCAGCAAGAACGGAGAGAGATGTGCGCCATGTCCAAAGCCTCGGAAATCTCGCAGGCCGTCTTCTACTGCCAGTCAACAGGGCCCTACACAAGCCCGCCATCCAACCTCGATGACCCGAGCTATGACCTCTATGTAGAAGCCAGTGATCACGCTACTCTCCCTGACGACAAACTTCTGGCGGCGAAATTGAAACAGCTGGAAGAACGCGACGAGGATGACGACCCTGTCCACCTGACTTTCCCTAGCTCGGGAAGTATTCTGCCGCCGTCATGGTCACAAGTGGAAGTCGACGGCATCCTGCGTATGTGTCGATGGCTATACAACCTCACTCACACCATGAAACCCGTCAGCAAATGCAAAGACGAAGACGGCGACATCCAGATGACCGAATTCGCACCTCGGCCCCGTCGAGTCCTGCTGCATTGTGCTGACGGTTACACCGAAACCTCAATGCTCGCCGTCGCCTATTTCATGTACGCTGAAGGTGTTCCCTTGCACGAGGCGTGGATTCGCCTGCACTGTGAAAAGCGGCGCAACTTCTTCGCTTATCCCTCAGATGTCTCCCTATTGAAAGCCATCCAAGGCCGCATTCTGACTGAATCGCCCAACTTCGATTCCTCAAAACTATCCTCCATAGAGGCCCCGGCCTGGCTGTCCAAACTGGACGGAAGTTTGCCGAGTCGCATCCTCCCGTACATGTACCTGGGCAACCTGAGCCACGCGAACAATCCCCAAATGCTCAAGCTGTTGGGCATTCGGCGAATTTTGAGTGTCGGTGAACCAGTCTCCTGGACGGAGCAGGAAGCCAACGACTGGGGACGAGAAAACCTGATGATGGTGGATCGGGTGCAGGATAACGGGATTGATGAGTTAGCACTGGAGATGGAAAGATGCCTAGAGTTTATTGGTAAGTTCTGCCACTGACTGACAAACAGAATGCAATTGCAGAACGTGGGTGACTGACGCGCTGTACAGGACGGGGAAAACAAGACGGCACAGCGACTCTAGTCCACTGTCGTGTTGGTGTCTCTCGCTCCGCAACCATTTGCATCGCTGAAGTCATGGCAAGTCAGGGGCTGAGTTTCCCTCGTGCATAGTAAGTTCCTTCTGGTCACCGACACCCTGCCTCGATGCTCACATCCACTGCAGCTGCTTTGTTCGCGCCCGGCGCCTCAATGTCATTATCCAACCGCACCTACGCTTCGTCTATGAATTGATGAAGTGGGACGAATTACAGCAGGAGAAACGCGGCGTGACTGTCAAGAGAGAACTCGAATGGGCGACCGTAGCAAGGGAGATTGCTGCTATGAACCGGCCTTATGCACGGTCGTGAACCCCGAGCGTCCCACGCCTGCACTTACTGCTGCCCTTGGTGTTTTCCCGGGCTCACATTTTGGTCCATCAGTACAGGCACCAAAGAGTTGGAATGAGCCATGTGCTCCTGTCCTTTTGGCTAGACAGGTGGACCTTCTTGACACCTATTGCAGTAGCGGTTGTTGTTGTTGTCGTTGCTGTTGTGATGATATTGTGTTGATGATGTACAATGAGCCAAATGTGTCATGACCACAGAAGTTACGGATCGGATATATGAGGGATGAGGGATGTTGCATGACTGTTACGAGGATTTGATGATGGACGTGTCTGGGATTCTGGACTGGATACTTTGTTTGATAGGCGGTACGACCTCACTGCACAAGGGCACGCAATGGGAGGATTTGGGGTTCTGTGTTGGACATCCTGACATCGGATAAAGGATCTCAACACTTGAACCTTGCGGTGTCGCGCTGCACTGCGTGTGAGTGTGCGAAATGCCACCCCTGGCCTCAGTTTCTGGGTTTTGCTATAAAAAGCTGCTGGGACACCGGGGTTATTTTTTGGAGAGCCTCTGGGAGCCGGGCTCAGGGGAGCATGAAAAGGTACCTCATTGAAGCTACAACGGGTTCTACCACTTACTCGTGCCACAATCTATTTTGTTCTTTTTGTTGTTGTTGTTGTTGTTGTTGTTGTTGTTGTTGTTGTTGTTGTTGTTGTTGTTGTTGTTGTTGTTGTTGTTGTTGTTGTTGTTGTTGTTGTTGTTATTGTTGTTGTTGTTGTTGCTGTATCTGTCTTGGTTTTTGGCGTTTCCAAACTATTGCACATGTTTATTGTATGTATCTCGCAGAATTCCTGGGCAATGGGGAAGTTGATTCCCTCTTTCCCTGTCACTTTCTTTGTGCATTGACCAGCCAGCCAGTATTTCCTTACAACTTGTCCGCCTTGTCCCTCAACTCGTCAGCCAACCGGACCAAATACGCCCTAACGATGTCCTTTGGAATCACGCCCATTTCCAGCCCAGTCGCGCCGGATCCTGCTCCCTCTTCGGGGCCAGAAACTCCCTGTGCTCGTTTACCATTTGCATTCTCATTCTCATTGTCATTGTCACTCCCATTTCCATTCTTCTGGCCCTGTTTTGACTTTGCCTTTTCGCCGTCGTGGTCGGCCTTCAGGAAGCGGCGGACAATCTTTTCCACGTCCCGGCGGCCATCCTCGTACGCGGCGAGGTCGCGGTTGCCGTACACGTCGCGGCCCGCGGCGTACTTGTGCGGGTGGAGGGTGCGGAAGAAGACGTTGACGGAGATGTTGATTCTCGAGTCCGAAGGCGAGGTTGAGCTTGAATCTGTGTTGCTGTTCGTGGCCGGAAGGTCGCTTGTTTCGTTGGCGGCTTGAGACTCCCGTGATCTATCGCCGGTGCTGGTGGCTGAAGTAGAATCGAGCGTGGGCTGGGATGGATGTGCAGATGCGGACACGGCAGCGGACGTTGAAGCTGAATTGGAAGCTGATTCTGAGGCTGATGCTGATGCCGATGTTGACAACAACACCGGCTGTGGTTTTGTTAGAGCAGGCAATGGCGTCGCCGTGTGTGCCCACAATGGTGGAATATACAACGCACAACCGGGCTTTAAGATAGCAATGTGAGGCCTTGTGTTTGGCACGAATTTCACCGTGTCTTCCCCCGATCCTGGCTGATGGTTTGTCTCGAAGATGTCAATACTGGACGTGGTCGAGCCGGGCGGAAAATTCAGATGCCTCAAATCTTCCGGTGGAAACAAGATAAGTTTTCTGGTACCGCGAATCTGGAAGAGAACATTGGCCATCACATCGTAGTGCAGCCACATATTCACATTTGCGCTGATACGAAGAGGACTGCTGTGCTGGTTATCCTTCACGAACGAGAGCGCAGGCGGCATGCGAAAATCGGACGCCAGCTCAGGCCAGTCATTGGAAAGGTCGGCGGGTAAGGTGGTTGGATGGGTGCTGGAGATCGAACGGAGATACATGTGCGCATTCGGGTTGGAGTCGAGTTGGTTGATGAATTCATGGAATGAGATCGTCTTGTAGGCAAAGTCTTTTCGTTGAAAGTTCATGGTCCGGCCCGGAGCAGAATGGACGACGACGGATTTCGAGGGCGGAGTTTTGGAGAGGAGATATGCTGCTGTCCAAGATGATATACATTGACCAATGTCCAGGTCGGAGAGGAGTCTGGGTCTGCCTTCGCAGAGGACACGTGTAAAATCTTGCTCCGATTCAATCGTGGTATGCTTGACAGGAGTTGAGATGTGTGCCGTCAACGTACCCTGCGTCGTTGATTGAGGGTTAGGATGTCGGGTCTCCGGCTTCACCATGGCCCAGTGCGAACTAAGTCCTCCTTCCCGGTCATATAGAAGCCAACAGCCCGGATTCCAATATGCGCCGAAGCTGAAACAAGTTGCACCTCCGCCAACAATGAGAGTAGTCTGTCGTGCGGTGTAATGTGAAGAATGGCCAATGAGGAAAGGGCGTGGGACATTGGGGTCTCTCTTAGGGAGCACACAGGCGACCCTGAAATCCATTTCCTTCTCGTATTCGTTGAAGGCAGAGAAACTACCGACGATGGAGAGAATCTCATAGTCCTTAGGTATGCAACCGTGCTTTGCTACCCCACCGATGAGCAAAATCTCGTCTCGGATGACGCTGTAAGAAGCCCCGAGGCGATTTAACCATGGCCAGATGCCCGCAGACGCATCCAAAGCCGTGGATACCCTGAAATTGATTCCCATGACTTTGTTGTCCCGGATTATCAGTCTCCATTTCCACAGCCCTTGGCATATGACTCCATCCTGGCGCATTCCACCTAGGAGGAGACCATGATTAAAGCCAAGGCGGATGAAAGATGCCCCAAAGCGCGGCATAGGGTCAGATTTGAGGCTGCGAAGAACTTGCCAGCCGTTCTCCCTGTCCCACAGCAGGCAGTCGATCGCTATTCGTGTGGCCGATGTTTTCCCTCCAAACACCACCACACCATATTGATCGTAAGGGAGTACCACAGCCGCTGCTCGATGTCGAAAACGGGGCTCGGGAAGATCATGAACTCTCTCCCATTTCGAGTCCGTTTGGAGCCAACAGTCTTTCATCGGCGACGATGGTGAACCTCGACCGCCAATGAGAAGGTTCTGTCCATTGCGGAGCGATGTGATGGTATGGCAACACCTAGCACCTATTTCCTCAGGTGGGACGGTGGGATATGGAAGTGTCGAACCTGCCGAGGTGTAGACAGAAGTCGTGGCCAAGCGGCCTCGAAGGCCAACACCGCCATGGACGGCTATAGCATCTTGACCTGGAACGATAAAAGCGGAGCCGTGATGCGACCTCCCTTCTTTCTCTGGATTCGCGGAATATTTGTATGCGAACCACTGGGTATTATCTCTGTGGGGTGAGACGGTCCGTGCTGACATGTCTGACGCCAAACTGTCAACTGATGCCCTCCTCGATCTCTGTTGCTCTGGCACGAGAGGTTCGGGCCCTGTCTGTGCAATTATTAGGCAGTAATGAGAAGCGAAGAGCGCGAACTCTTCCCTAACCCAAATTTTAGCACAGCGGTTATTCTTAAGATGTGACGAATTTGACTCACCACTCATCAAAGGGCTCAGCTTCGTCCAGAGACATTCTTTGAGATGGGGACAGAAATCTGGGATCAGCCCAAAGCTCCCATAAATTCTGTATCTCAACATGAGGGTATCCGGCATCCTGAAAGCGTAATGTTTGGGTGTGACAACTGGGATAGGTAAGTACGGAGCGAAGGGGTGTTCCTAGTTTAGCAAAATGTTTCAACATGGCCGCCGTGAATGGGTTGTCCGGTCGATCTGGTGACTGTTGTTCCAGCAGACAGAATGTTACATCTGGACATGTTAGTCATGTCGTACGCCTCTGGAAAGATCTCGGTGTACCTGGAGACAACGTCGAGGTCCAAGCAATCAGCGCATCCGCATCCTCAGTAGCCATGTAGGTGATGCTGACTTCGGCGATGCATAATACAAGGCATTGATCCAGCTCCACAACGGACTTCAGAAGGCGCTCCAACCTAGGAGGATTTCGTAGATCACATCCGATTGCGACGTAGACATCCGAGTCCAGAACAACACCCTTCATGGACTCCTTGTCCGGTGTCGTTGAGAGCATGTCTCTCATTTTGGGGGTATTCAAGATGATGTCTCGCTTGCTGATCATGAGTTCTTCGAAATCGACATCGATAAATCTGGTGTTGCCACACAAGTCTGGGTGTTGGGCCATCCATTGGAACGGAAGGGGGTCGCTACAAAAGTAAGTCGCACTTGGCCACGCCAGAGAGGCTATCGGCATCCTTACTCACTAGCCACAGCCCAAGTTGATGACGACTTTCTCCAAGTCAGAGGGCTTTTCCAGGAACTGTTTGACCACCCAATCGACGGCCCTCATGCGAAGCCAGTATCCACGGTTGATGGTGGGAGACCGGCGGATTGGCTTTTTGACAAAGTAGCGATAAAAGTGCGGTTGAGGAAGGTACAGCTTCTCAACACTTCTTTTCGACACAATGCTACTGTTGTTTGTCTATATACGGCCCCTTTGTTAGTTCGAGCAGACCAACTGTACAGGGATTGACGTACACCCATCACGAGCCCGGCGTTCTTTTCCAAAGGGATCTCATCGTTGGAGATTCCTTCCTGAGGAGACATGAGGGAGGCCATACTGAACTCCGTTGCCTTCTTTGCATCATCTCAGAGGGACAAGAGAGCGAGGAGATGTCAATTGGGAAAGAAGGTCAGCAGGCGTGAGTCACTGCCTGGCGAGGCATGAATCGTCACTTTTGCGGAAAAAGATTGTAGTCAGTTGCGATATTCGGCCTTGGCACGGTATGCATTTCTGATTGGTGGGAGCGAATTGCCTTCCGGTCGGCGATATTTGCCTCCGTCAGAGCCGTTTCCAACCTCTTGCTAAGCAACTAACTCCCTTTGATGGTGGTCAAAGGGTGAAAGAACGTTCCAGCAATCTCAAAAGGCATCACTATGTGACACACTCCATCCAGGCACGCCCTTCTCCCAAACTTCACAGGGCATAGAAGCAAACAAGACGACGGCACCATGGACGCGCCTGAACCATCCCTCAAGGCACTGTTCAGTCAAGCAAAGAAACAGCAAGAAGACTTGGACAACCTCGACCCCCGGAGTGCCACCTTCAAACATGCACTACAGTCCATCATCGACAACCTCGAAAAATGTCGCAAGTTAATCCAAGACCTCTCTTTGTTCAGCACGAATGAAGAAGTGGAAGATATCTCCACGCAAGATCTGCAGTATGTAGAGAAACGAAATGGCCCCTCTGGTCCAGGTTTCGGCTAACGTTGGCCCTAGATATCTGACCGTGGACTGTCTCTTGGCAGAAATCAAGATCAAAGGATATGGGGAAAACAGGCAGTCATCATTACGGGAGGCAGCAGGACTCTTCGAACAGTTTTTGACTCGGCTAGATCAATATGGTCTGCTCGGTGCCTCAGATCGGAAGCTCTACGAACGCTACCTCGAACAGCGCAGTTCATTCCGGATAGTCACCTCCAACAGCCATGAGGAGAAACGCAGGATCAAGATCTCTCGCTTCCAGGAAGAAAAGTCCTTGAAGCAGAGACTGCAGGTTTGTGCCCATGTTTTTGCTAGGAGGTTACGAATGTCACTGACAAAACAGTATCTGAGAGAGGAATCAGAGAAATCGAATGTGGACGACGAGACCATTCGGAGTTTGTATTTGGCCGAGATTGCTTTCCTAGTCAACAAGGCGTTCTCATCTCTAGATATGATAACACAGGAATTAGAAATCTTGGCTCAAATGCGGCACGCCGAACCAACCAGGCCCGGGCCACCACCTTTAGACCAGAGAGCTCCAACGAGACCGGATTCCTATTCAGAGCGTCTAGATGGACCCGGCACGATGGCAGGCCTTGGAAAGAGAGGAGGTCCCTTGCTCAGCTCCAGCGGAAAGCCTCTTCAACCATTCACCCTGACAGACAAGAGAACCCAATTGCAACAGGGCGTGTTTAGGCCCGGCCACAACCTCCCAACCATGAGCATCGACGAGTACCTCGAAGAAGAGAGGCGAAGAGGTGGTATTATCGACGGTGGAGGGAACGCCAATGCACCTCAGCCCGAGCCCGACGAGGATAACATGGAGCAAGTTGACGCTGCCACGATCAAGGCACGAGAGTGGGACGAGTTTGTCGAGGCCAATCCGAAAGGAGCTGGAAACACGTTGAATCGGGGGTAAAGTTTGACTGGCTCCAATGCTACGTCTGAGCATTTTGCCAGACGTTGAATCCAAGTTTTATTCCAGCTCTTCCATTTCTCGAAGCGGCGCTGTGGATCGAATGCGCCCATATCTGTCCTTGTATGCCTATTTTCACGTTTCCTGGAGATCTGCGACGGTGGTAGGCCGCTTCGCTTTGATATCTGCGAGAATTTTGTCCGCACCCCTGCGGAGCAGTTCAGCTGCAGCATTGATTCCAAACGTTTCTGCATCATTCCGACTCTGGACATTCTCGGTCATGTCGACCTCGGCCTTCTCTTTGCCATCTGTGCTGACCACGAGTGCTTGCAGCCGAAGGAGTGAGCTGCTGCCGTCTTCCTTCTTGACCCATGAGGTCTCCACCCCCAGTGGAGCACTGCATCCTCCTTCTATGGTCTTCAGGAGGCTGCGTTCGCTTGCTATAGCTAGGTGAGTCTGCTCATGATCGATGAGGTTCAACATGCCCTGCACTCGATCGTCCGACGACCTGTTCTCAATACCAATAGCTCCCTGTCCGACAGCATAAAGCATTCCACCGTTTTTGGAATCCAAGTATTGAGTGATGCGATCACCAAGTCCGAGGCGAATGAGTCCGGCGGCAGCGAGAATCAACGCGTCAAAAGGCCCATCCTCGGCATCGAGCTTAGCTAGGCGAGTGCCCACGTTGCCTCGGACATCGACCACTCGTAAATGTGGATATTTGAGTGCAATTTGGGCAGTCCGTCGTATGGAGGAAGTTCCAACGACTGATCCGGCAGGAAGATCCTCTATGTTGCAAGCTTTTCTTCCAGCCTTGATGACAAAGGCGTCTCTTGGATCTTCTCGCGCCAGCACCGCGCCTACCTCACAACCTGGAGGTAACTGCGTGGGGACGTCTATTGGCATGGGTTAGTAGAGTGGCCGCCAACTCCAATGTCCGAGTCCGGACCAAGTGCACACCTTTGAGTGAGTGAACAAGGAAATCCAGTTGTCCCTCAATCATGAGAGTCTCCAATTCGTGAGTCCAGATATTCTTGACGGGCATGTCTTTGAAGGGGGTGATTTTGTCAATGTCCCCAGCTGCCGTGTCTCGCGCCTTGATGGCGTAGACATACTCGGGACAAGCCGCTGCCAGTGCCTGAACGACTAGATCTGTCTGTACCAGGGCGAGTTTGGACTTTCTGGTCCCGACGTTGAACGTGGTCTTGGAGTCGGACCCAGCTGCGTTGGCCCCGGCATTTTCGCCAGACACAACCGCGATGGTCGTCATGCTTGTCCGTATTAACCGGTGTGTTTGCTCAAGCCGTGAGAGATAAAATTAAATCTTCGTGGAATGCGCGGAGAGCCTAGAGCCTCCGCGCCGGAAGTGGTCACGTGCCGTGTTTCCACCTCTCGCGTCCCGTGCCTCGGCAAGCGACTGATGATCCGAGTCACCATGTAATACCTCGACTCTCGATGCGCATCGAGCATCTTCCATCTTCCATGGCTGCAATACCAAGGTGACGAACTGTTGCCGAATCAGTAATCTATCCCCCCTCCCCGGCATATCAATAGAAACCTGCCACCCTCCCTTCCTTTACCTCCATCGAATCCGCTGATACCTCAACATGGGCTACACAGCCAAGGCAACAATACCTCTTATCCCGCTGGCGAAGGATTCCGTCCTTCTGCCCGGTGTCACCCTCCGCATCTCAGTATCCAACCGTGCCGACATCCCCCTACTCCTATCATCGGCCTTCCAACGGGCCACGAAGTCGAGATCAGGATCAGCTCAACTGCCTGTCGGCTGCGTTCCAGTGAATTCACCCTTCCTGAGCCCCGATGGCAAGGAACTGCTCGACAGCGCTGCCAAAGAGAGCAGCCGGGACTATGACTATGCCGACATAGATCCGGGCAAGGCTCGAAAGAAGGATTTATATGGATACGGCACGCTGGCCAAGATTGTCAGCGTCCAGGGAAGTCCCAATGCCGACCCGTATCTGCTGGTGGAAGGGATTCAGAGGTTCAAGATCGACAAGATTAAACATGAAAGGCCATATTTTGAAGCGGACGTCACGTTTTATGAGGATGAAGTCCCCGATCTTAACGACGGTGACCTCCGCGCCAGTTTTACCCGGCTCAAGCAACGATCTCGTGAGCTTCTGACACTGCTCCGGCTCTCGTCTCTCTTCCGCCCCGCATCTATGGCGCTGTCCCCTTTAATTGTCCGCCGCTTCGAGCTGTTCATTGCGAAAAAGGACCTTTCACAAGCTGGCCAGTTGGCCGATTTCATGACGGATATTGTGGAAGCAAGCTTTGAAGAGAAGCTCCGGATCTTAAGCACGCTGGATTTACATGAGAGACTGGAGCGCGTCCTTGCCCTGCTCAACAAGCAGATCTCGGGCATCAATGGAAATATTAAAGTCACCACCATAACCTCAACGACCCTGCCATCCAATATCGGAGTCGACATCTCCGACTTGAATCAAAAGCAGCGCGAAGCTCTAGCGAGGCGGGCAATGTCCGGTCTCAATGGCATGACGCCGCCCGGAATGCCTGGCGTTAACCGAGGTGGTGATGACGACGAGGATAACGAAGTTAATGAAGTCGAAGAGCTGAAGAAGAAGGTGGCTGAAGCGGGCCTGTCGCCGGAGGCTCAAAGGGTCGCGGAGCGCGAACTTCGACGACTCAAGAAGATGAACCCAGCCAACGCCGAGTATGGTGTGATTCGCACTTACGTTGAAAACTTGGTCGAGATACCGTGGACGAAGGTCACCGATGATCAGCTTGGCGCTGATACCCTGAAACGGGCACGTAAGCAGCTTGACGACGATCATTACGGATTGGAGAAGATCAAGAAGAGATTGCTCGAGTACCTTGCGGTCTTGAAGTTGAAACAGTCTGTCAACGCCGACGTCGATCAACAGATTGCTCGTCTCACTAAGCAGCTTACTCCCACTCAAGACGGGGAGGAGAGGGAGGTCGAGCAGATCCCAGACAATGAGAGAGATGCGGCCACTGCCAAGCTTCATGTCCTCAAGTCGAAGCGGATGGTGGACAAGTCTCCCATTCTCTTGCTGGTCGGACCCCCAGGCACTGGCAAGACCTCGCTCGCAAAGTCCATCGCCCTCTCCCTGGGCCGCAAGTTCCATCGTATCTCTCTGGGCGGTGTCAGGGACGAAGCAGAAATCAGAGGCCATCGGCGGACGTACGTGGCTGCTATGCCAGGCTTGATTGTCAGTGGCCTGAAGAAAGTCGGCGTGGCCAACCCCGTCTTCCTCCTCGACGAAATTGACAAAGTGAGCACGAACAACTTCCATGGCGATCCTTCAGCTGCAATGCTTGAAGTTCTTGACCCCGAACAGAATCACAGCTTCAATGACCACTACGTCAACATCCCTATCGATCTGAGCAAAGTCCTCTTTATCGCCACGGCCAACTCTCTAGATACCATTCCGGCGCCCCTCCTTGATCGAATGGAAACTATTCGCCTGGCTGGCTACACAACAGTTGAGAAGCGTCACATCGCCAAGCAGCATCTCATCCCCAAACAGATTCGCACCAACGGTCTCTCCGAAGGGCAGGTCGTCATTCCGGACGATGTCGTGGATACCATCATCACGTCTTACACGCGTGAATCTGGAGTCCGCAACCTCGAGCGTGAGATCGGAAGTGTGTGTCGCTACAAGGCAGTCCAGTACGCCGATGCCCGTGACGCCAATGACATGTCGAAATACAACCCCGTCGTTCGTGTCGAGGAACTGGAAGACATCCTTGGAATTGAACGCTTCGAAGAAGAAATCGCCGAGAAGCAATCGCGTCCCGGCGTCGTTACTGGATTGGTTGCCTATTCGTCTGGCGGGCAAGGAAGCATTCTTTTCATCGAAGTTGCTGATATGCCCGGAAAGGGCCGGGTGCAACTCACAGGAAAACTGGGAGATGTGCTCAAAGAATCCGTCGAAGTCGCACTTAGCTGGGTGAAAGCTCACAGTTATGATCTCGGCCTGACGCACGATCGAGACGAAGATATCATGGAGAAACGTGCCATTCATGTCCACTGCCCCGCCGGGGCGGTGCCAAAGGACGGGCCCAGCGCTGGATTAGCACATACCGTCGCGCTCATTTCGCTGTTCTCCGGCAAGGCTGTCCCGCCGACAATCGCTATGACTGGCGAAGTGAGTCTGAGAGGACGAGTCATGCCTGTCGGGGGCATCAAAGAGAAACTGATCGGTGCCCACCGTGCCGGCGTCAAGACAGTCCTGCTCCCGAGTGGGAACAAGAAGGATGTCAAGGACGTTCCCGATGAAGTGAAGAAGGACTTGGAGATTGTGCATGTCAAGTAAGTCATTCCCGGTGAACACCCCTGTTTGCTATTATTTATTCAACCTTGTCTGGCCCTCTTTTGGAGGAAGCGGAGTCGAATATCGCTAACAATTGATCTTTACAGGCACGTCTATGAGGCTCTTCGTCACATTTGGCCCGAGTCACACTGGGCGTCGGATCGACATTTCGCTGAGATCGAGAGCAGATTGTAGCTATTCAACGAGCGGTGTTGGTATCGGCGCGGCGCGGCGCGGAGCAGTCACAATTACATAGTTCTCCCTGTTGGGGCTCCGGTTCGTTTTAGCAAGCGTCATTTTTTCTCTCTTCCCTACGCATACATATATAGCTTCTTTCGGTCCTGATCAGATCTACTGTATGCTGTACCATGCCGTTCTCACTTTCCTGTGCTCCCAAAGCAACATGTTGGGTACGAACGGTTGCATTTCTGCTTCGTATAGGCCCTCCAAGCGCACAGTATTGTGTGTATTGGGCGCGCGACACTTGGCTCGAAAAGCGTGTGTACAACCCTCGCTGTTCATGGTATCTATACAACGCAGAATGTGTCGTGTTATTTGTACAAATCTTCGAGATCGTCCTCTTCCCTCGCAATGCGATGATGATCTCACGAAGACGAATTCGTCGGTTGTGATGGCTGCGAGTTGTTGGCGGCAGACCCCAATCCTCGCATCGCCCGCCAATCGTCGGAAAAGTTCTGCCACGTCGGCGCCCATTTCATCTTTCCCTTCAGTAATTGCTGAGCTTGGAGGGCGATTGCTTTTCTGTGCTTCAGATCCGGGTTCATCATGCCCCATTCCGATTCCTCGCGGTTCTTCTCCACGATGGCTTTCATTGATTCCCAGTATCGTTCGTGCTCCCATCTATATCGCAGAATTGTGTTAGCATATGTCCACAAAACAAGAATAAAACCTGCTTTCATATGGGGTCGCCTACGGTTCCAGGTCTTCCGGTTCTGCGGGATACACGAAGGGTTTCGCCAGGAGACATGTCATTTTCTTTTTGCTGGGCGGACGAAATAGTTTGCCCTGAGAGTATTTGCCTCTGCCATCTTTTCTCTCCACTTTTTGTTGTACCACCACGCTGCGGATGTGGAGGACGTCGACGCCATAGACATCTTTCAGGTAGGCTCTGAGGTCGATCTTGTTGAAGTGGAGTGGTACATCGAAAGCGGCGTAGCGAGGACCCAGATGCGGTGTTCGCATCAGCACCACAGCGTCTTTAGGATCGGGGCTGCAGATATTTGTTAAAGCAACTCTTGTCAAGGCGTCGTCCAACTTACAAGTACACCTGCCGGCGCATGCTCAAAGGGACATTGTGTGGAACTGCAAAGTATCGGGCAGGGTCCATCAATATTCGCAGGATTGTCGATCTCTCGAAGTTTATCGAACCAGCTGCGATGAAAGACTTGACATCGCTGGACACCTCACGCAGGCTCGGGTGGGTGTCCATGAACCTCTCGAGATTCTTCCGGTCCAGCTTCCACCATTCCATATTTAACCCGTCTTGCCGAAAGACAGGAGCAAATGCTCTCTGCTCGTCGGCATTGAGCCTGTTCCACGAAGACCTCTGCCACTCTTGAAGTTTCTCTTTACTGACCAGCGCATGTGCTCGGAAGAAGGTTAGACCTTTGCTGGTCTTGATGCGTCGTTTTGCGTTCCATAGGCGTGGTCCGTCGCCGTCTCGAGGACGAACCCGTTGTGTTAAAAGAACCGGGGGAGTCCGTTTGACGTGGATCTTCGCACGAGGCGCTGTAGCACGGGGCATCGTGCAAATATGAATTCCAGACAAGTGAGGGAGTGTGAGATGTCACCCTGGTTCATCCCGTAGTCAATGGAAGTCATGCTGTCGACGAACTTTTGGGAAGCTAAAGGCACTCGACACACGGGGAAGGTGCGCCGAGACTCTGGAGCCTCATCCAACGCATCAACCACGGTACGAGCCAGTATTGCCCCCGGAGGCGCGCTGCCGGGCATTATTTTGGTGGATCACCAATTCACCCTTCAACCTATTCCGTAAGCTTCTTGACGCCTGGATCTGCCCTGTCCCAACTCCATTCAGCTTGTATCTGCAACGAAAGCGATTCTGCTCTTCTCAGTCCTCAGAAGACTCCCACTCAACTCTCCAAGTCGCGCATCCTACCCGACAGCGCAACTCCGTTTTCATTCAACTCCTACTGGCCAGTGAAGGCCGTGGTGCAAGATGGCGCAGGACGAAAAGAAGCCCACCGCCGCGGACAAGGGCAAAGGCAAGGCGGAGGATGTGCCAATGGCAAATGGGGAGAACACCGCAGAAAAGAGCGATAAGAAAAAGGCAGATGGCAAGCATGACGAGCCTGCGGTCGAAGAACTGAGCGAAGAAGACCAACAACTCAAGAACGATCTCGAGATGTTGGTTGAAAGATTAAAAGAAGACGACCCCTCGCTCTACAAGCCTTCGATTGACGCCATCAAGAACTTCATCAAAACATCGACCTCCTCCATGACGGCTGTCCCCAAACCTCTCAAGTTCCTGCGTCCTCATTATGACGAGATTGCTGCTCTCTACGATAAATGGCCAGCTGGCCCGGACAGAGACTCTCTTGCCGATATGTTGTCGGTGCTAGGCATGACTTACGGAGAAGAGGAGAAGCTGGAGACGTTGAAATACAGGCTACTGTCAAATAAATCGGATGATCTTGGGTCGTGGGGCCATGAATACATTCGACATCTCGCACTTGAGATTGGCCAAGAATACCAGAATCGCTTGACGGACGAACAGGAGGTCGGCGACCTGACGGAGCTTGCTCTCTCTCTGGTGCCGTACTTCTTGAACCACAATGCCGAAGCGGATGCTGTGGATCTGCTGAGCGAGCTCGAGATGATCGAAGAGATCCCCCGGTTCCTGGACGAGAATACCTTTGCGCGAGTGTGCCTGTACATGGTCAGCATGGTCAATCTCCTCACGTACCCCGACGACGTTACCTTCCTGAAGACCGCACACGATATCTATGTCAAATACGACAAGCTTGCTCAAGCGATGGTGTTGGCAATCAGACTGAATGACCACGAACTCATACGGCAAGACCTGGAATCGACTGACGATGTTGCATTAAAAAAGCAGCTGGCCTTCCTGATTGCTCGGCAAAGAATATCGATAGACGTACCGTCCGAGACGAAGGATGAACAAGAGATCGCCGAGTGCCTTGGAAACACCCAACTACCGAATCACTTCAAGACGCTTGCCAAAGAGTTGAACATCCTGGAGCCCAAGGTGCCAGAAGATATTTACAAGACGCATCTGGAAAGTGGCCGGGCGAGTTCGGCGGCTGCAGACTCGGCGAAACACAATCTTGCGAGTGCATTCGTCAATGCTTTTGTCAATGCCGGTTTTGGTACGGACAAGTTGATGCTGGTAGAAGGTGAACATCGACCATGGGTATGGAAGACCAAGGACGATGGCATGCTCTCCACCACCGCGTCATTGGGCATGCTCATGCAATGGGACGTAGAGGGGAGCTTAGACATTATCGACCGATTCCAACAGGCGTCAGAAGAGCCAATCAAGGCCGGTGCACTTCTCGCGTATGGCATCGTCAACTCTGGAGTCCGAATGGAGGGTGACCCGGTGATTTCACTCTTGAGCGACGACGATGTTCTCCAGAGTCCGAAACCCTCGACACGAATGGCTGCCATCATGGGCCTGGGACTGTCATACGCCGGCTCGAACCGAGAAGATCTGCTCGATTTCTTGTTGCCCATTGTCGAGGACAGTGGCTCAGAGATACAATTATCTGCCATGGCCGCCGTGTCCCTGGGAATGATCTTTGTTGGTTCATCCAATCATCAAGTGGCCGAAGCGATCGCGACCCAGATGATGGACGACGACCGTCAAAAGCAGCTCAAGGATAAATGGGCAAGGTTCATGGCCCTCGGATTGGCTCTGCTCTACTTCGGCAGACAAGAGGAGGTCGATGTCATCCTGGACATCCTGAAAGCCGTCGAGCATCCCATGGCAGGGCCAACAGCCACCCTCGCGTCTGTTTGTGCTTGGGCTGGAACTGGAGCCGTGCTTAAGCTGCAGGAGCTCCTCCATATCTGCAACGACCACATCGAGGAGAAGGACGAGACGACAGGCGAGCAACTCGTACAGTCTTACGCTGTTCTTGGTCTGTCGTTGATCGCTATGGGCGAAGACGTTGGGCAGGAGATGGTTCTCCGCCAGTTTGGCCACTTGATGCACTACGGAGAGGCCAACATTCGGAAAGCTGTGCCCCTCGCCATGGGCCTGATCAGCCCTAGCAACCCTCAGATGAAGATCTACGACACCTTGTCAAGGTACAGCCACGATAACGACAACGACGTTGCAGTCAATGCCATCTTCGCCATGGGCTTGGTTGGAGCAGGAACGAACAATGCCCGTCTTGCACAGCTCCTGAGGCAGCTTGCCAGCTACTACCACCGGGATCAGAACTCGCTCTTCATGGTCCGAATCGCTCAGGGTCTGCTCCACATGGGCAAGGGTACCATGTCTCTCAACCCCTTCCACACCGATCGACAAGTTCTGTCGAGAGTAGCTGCGGCGGGTCTTCTCACTGTGCTTGTCTCTCTGATTGACTCGAAACAATTCATCCTCGCCGACGCTCACTATCTCCTCTACTTCTTGGTCACAGCAATGTATCCCAGATTCCTGGTTACCTTGGACGAAGATTTGAAACCCCTTACGGTCCACGTGCGTGTGGGTCAAGCGGTGGATGTCGTTGGACAAGCTGGACGGCCACGTACCATTACTGGCTGGCAAACTCAGAGTACGCCTGTGCTGTTGGCGTACGGTGAGCGAGCTGAGCTGGAAGACGAGGAATACATTTGTTTGAGCAGCACGCTGGAAGGACTGGTAATCTTGCGCAAGGTCAGTAATACTCCAACCTTCAACATGTTCTTTTCACTGACGTTGTGCAGAATCCGGAATGGGAATCTACCAAATAGAGGGCTCGCTGTGACTTTCGTTTTCATGCATCCCACACAATGGTCTGGGCGTAGGTGGAGGGAAAGGGCCTGGACGGATCCAGACGAGTGTCCCTGTACCATAGATAATCTCAGAGCGAGAAGGCAAACACCGAGTGTATCTGTATGTGCGTGCTGCCGTCGGACATCTCGAAACATATTTCTGGGTTTGCTTTGATAGAGGTTTAGTCACGTGTCGCCGCGCATTCGCGAATTGCGTCATCGGTCATTGGCCCGCGCCCAAGTCCCGAGCATCTGCCATTGCATCCTCAGGCCTCCTTCAATCCCCCCGTTTCACCCTGCATCCCTTGTTGAGCTGGCACGGCACGGCACCACGTGTCGAAGATGGCGTCGCGACGGTGATTCGAGGGCCACTCATCATTATGATCGTGCAATTCGTTTCAATTTTGCCTTGTTAAAGTCTTGCGGTGGAGGGGCTCACTGTTGCCTCGACTCTGCACTCGCCCGCTCAGAAGATGCCGCCCTCTGACCCTCGCATCGCTGCGCTTGACTTCGACACCAATCGAAAACGTGGACGCCGGTCGTCAGGGTCGCGCCCTCGACTCGACGATGAGGACTTTGACTTCATGGGCCAGGTCGCCCAGGAGATCCTCGAGCGAGATCGCATAGCCATGCGCAGGGAGGTGATTCGAATCTTGAGCTTCGTTTGCGCGGTGCTCAGTTGGTATGATATATGCACACGACACCGAAGGTAAAGCCAGAGCTCATATTTGCGTGTAGTTTATGTGCAGGATCAATCACCTCCTTCTCCCTCTACGGCGCTCGTTTCCTTCAAGATCTTCACTACACGCAACTTCGAGTCAATGCAGTCTCCATCACCGCCGAGTTGGCCATGTACCTTCCAGTGCCTCTCTTTGGATATCTGTGCGACCGCTACTCACCACCGCCTTTGTCGCTTCTCGCCTCTCTCTTGTTTGGCATGGGATATCTCCTGGCTGCCTATACCTACAAGTCAGGCCCTCCCTCGGACGCTACAAAACCAGGCCACGGCTGGCCGTTCGGGGTGATGATTATTGCTTTTATTGGCATTGGGGCAGGGACTAGCTGCATGTACCTCTCCGCCGTGGCCACATGCGCAAAGAATTTTGCCAATGCAAAATATCGGGGCTTCATGCTTGCTGTACCTATCGCGGCATTTGGACTCAGTGGCATGTGGGAATCCCAGATTGGCGCACACTTGCTCTATGAAAAACTACCCAATGGTCACAAGGGCGAGGTCGATGTTTTCAAGTATTTCATCTTCCTAGCCGGGACATTGATTGGTGTCGGTCTTCTTGGGACGCTAGGCTTGCAAATCGTGGACGAGGAAGAACTGATTGACCACGGAGTGGAGAACCTTGAGCGGAGCGGCCTTTTGGACGAGAGTGAATTCTACCGCGACACTTCTCGTGCTCCTACCCCCATCAACTACGGCACCATTGGGGATGATGGGGAGTCTGGCGAGGGCTCTGGCTCCTATTCCGACGACGACATGGACTCCGAAGCTGAACGAAACCTCTCCGAATCCCAAGTTCTCAAGAAGCGTGATCAAGACCGCCGCCTTCGGAAGAAGAAATACTGGCTCCTCAATCATGCCACCCATACATTCCTTACCGACCGCACGATGTGGCTTCTTGCGGCTGGGTTTTTCCTGCTCACAGGACCTGGAGAAGCATATATCAACAATCTCGGCACAATCATCCCATCTCTGACGCCAGAAAATTACAACTATATCGGTGGCGACGGGGTCAAAAGTCCTCCTGCAGGCCACGCAAGCACACACGTCTCCATCATCGCCCTCGCGTCAACTTTTGCGCGCCTCTTCACGGGAACACTTTCCGATCTCTTCGCCCCTCCCTCAAACCCTGACTCGCCACCCAGCAACCGGGTCCAGTTTTCTCGCCTTGTCCTGCTCATTCCTTCGGCATTTCTTCTTCTCCTCGCGTTCCTAAACCTCGCCCTTCCTGCGCTCACGGCCCAGCACCCTAGCTTGTTCCCACTTTCGTCGTCGTTGGTGGGATTAGGCTACGGGGCGTGTTTCAGCCTCGTGCCCATCATTATCTCTGTGGTATGGGGAGTGGAAAACTTTGCGACGAACTGGGGTGTGGTGGCTATGATGCCTGCTGGAGGAGCAGCGGTGTGGAGTCTCGTTTATTCCGCTGGCTATTCAGCAGGGAGTTCGCATTCTCCTGATGTCGAGAATGGGGAATGCCGAGGTTACTTGTGCTTCGCGGCATGGGCCTGGGGATGTGCGGCCAGTGTGAGCTTGGCCATCTTCTGCTGGTGTGTTGCCTGGAGGGTATGGAAAAGTAGAAACGTGGTCGTGTAGCATGCGGCAGCAGCGGAACTTGAGGTGGCGCAAGGCAGGGTAAGAGTGGATGTGAATGTTTCGATCACCGTTTGTTCTGAAGGGCCAACACGATGCATACGCCACGGGAAGGGCAAACAACGTGCAGACATCGAAACTCAAGAGCAAAATGAGGAGGATGCTGGAGAGAGAACCCTCCTCTCGAGACAGCCTTGCGACATCCACGTACGGGTGCGTTGAGCTTGAGGAACTGCATCATAAGAATGATGTCCTGAGAATCTTTTCGCCACTGAACTTCTTCCTCCAAGGCCTTTCCTCCAGCAAGCGAGCGACACAATACGCATTTTCTGGTTCTGGGCTGCATTTACTTGCGCGATGGCGTTCTTTCTTGGGTTGCACTACATTGCATTGCGCTGCTGTGCTGGGCAATTGTTTCACTCTTGACCATTTCGTATGGCATATGGCATATGGATGACATTTGCTTACGCCACTACGAACGAGCCTTGGTGCATTTCCGGGCAGAGTGGGTTTTGACTGACATGGGGGGTTATCAGTATCTACTCGGTACATACATACATGCATACATACATACCTAGTAGGTATGGTCCCAGGAGCAAGGGAGCAAGGGAGCAAGGGACAAGGAACAAGGGTACCACGCGCGAAGAACGAAAACACAAGCAGGGCAACACGGGCCTCCTCCTTCCATCGGACGAAGGAGCAATTCGAAGCACCGATTTCTCTCCTTTACGATCAGATTTCTTTATTATCTCAGGATGGATTCAGAGTTGTCTTTCAGTGAAGCACTGGAATTTCCTGTCTTCGAGCTCTCTCACTACCATTCTCACTCTCGTCCAGCAGACTGACAATACGGCAGGCAAGTGAGCCTTCTCCCGTCATCGTCCTCCTCCTCGTCGTCGTTATCAACACAGGTCCTGGCCGTTCCGTTCCTACTCTCTTTGCACATGGGTATCTTTGTTGGGTTTTCATTATCATTATGTCCCCCCCATCCCCTCCGTCCTTGCTCTCATTCATGAATCGATAGATGGCATCGAGCCCCTTTTCCTTTTCTCTCTCTTTCCTTTCCTCGCTCGGTTGCGCCACCATTCGCGTCCATCGGGCCCGGGAACCGCGATATCGGGCCAGGTAAAATGACTCCCGTGTATCAAGGGGGTGGATATCATGCCAGGATTTGTTTCCATTTGTGTCTCCATATGCCAATTGCAAACAAGAATCGCAGCGCCCGTTTCCACGGCGCCTCAGTGCCCACCCGGTGCGAATGTCCCCCAGCGCCATGCCGATAATGCAGACAAAATCTAAAATCCAGAAACCTAAAGACCAGCAAATCAAACCAAGTCCCAAGCCGCGACGCCCGTAAATCCCATCCCAACTCTGCCCTTCCCTTCGCGAAATTCCATCACTGTCAGGCCTCGAGCATCCTGTCTATTACCAAAAGTCGTAACGGCAAACAGCGTGATGGTCTGCCCCGGAGCCCCTAGCTGGCGAGCTGGGATGTCCACCACCCACACATCACCACCCTGTCCCATCGGTCCGGGATAGTAGTCCATGGGCACAAGATCCTTATCTCGGCCGTCAACTCCATTGATCGAGACGAGGAACACAGGCGGTGGCCCTTTCCGTGTGTGTCGTTCCAACGTCCAGTGCGCGCATCTGAGACCAAACTGGAATCGGACACTATCTGGTTGCCGGACGTTGATCTTTCTCGCTCGGGGATATACCGTCTTCTCACCAATCGAGTAGTCTTCCTTTGCGTTTGTAAATATCGTAGGTCCTTCGACCATGTCAGGCCAGCAGGCAGGGTCGATCACGATATATTCTTCCCAGCTCATGCGCCGCCCTCCAGGAAGGAAAAACTGGTCTTTGTTGCCGGGGAAATGCTTCACCGCAAATTCTTCGTTCGACATGGTGAAGAAGTCGGGGTTGAACTTAGCCACGTAAGGGCGACCAGCGCCTTGGACGTAACCTGCTCCCCAGCAAGCATCGATTAGTTTCCATTCTCCATGGTCGATTTTGACAGCGTTCCATGCATGGCCTGCATTGTATGGGGGAAGAGGTGCTCCTGGCGGGAGGGGATTGAATCCATAGCCTTTGCCGTGACCCGAAATGACAACAGATTCTAGACCAGCGTAGGTTGCTAGGTTTGTGAAAAGGGCAGCATAGCCTTCACAGACTGCCAGTCCACTTTGCAGAGTTGACTGTGGCGTCGATCCTCTTACGTTGTTATTGAAGAAGCTGACAACGTCGTAGGCAATGTTGTGGTGCAGCCAAGTAAAAATTGCGCGTGCCTTGTCGGTTGGAGATGGAAATGGAGAGGTCAGTTGATGAGCTAAAGTCTGCAAGGAAGTAACTTGAGTTCTGGGGAAAAGAGTGGCTTGATGATCAGGACCAGAGAAGTCACGGCAAACGAGACAAACACTGGACACAGGTGACAGATTGCCATTTACTGAAACGGTGCTCGCAGAAAATTTGGGCTTAGTCGCCTGTATGGCCGAGAGATCTGGTCGAGAGGACTTTGGAACCGGAGGCGGAGCTGGCTGGGCACCTCTCAAGTGACCCATCATGGTCTCTGCCCACGAGATGGGTCCATTTTCCCTGGCTGGCGGTGGTAATCCATGCTCTCGCAAGGGTAGTGACCCTGACTCCTTTGGCAGCAGCTGAACTGGCTCCATCACAGCGACCGGCTCCTGGTGATGTGGTTGTTCCTTTGGATTGTTGTAGAAGAATGCTGCTTTCTTCGCCTTTTCAATGGATTCGACCGAGGGAACGGGAGGCATCTTCCTAGGCTGAGTATCCCCGGCATGTTCCCGGTGTTCCGTCTCATTCTTGCGGGATGGGAGTCTCGGTGGAAGGGACGGCCGTGGAGGAGGAGCAGGTTTGGCTTCCGCAGTGGTGGATGTGGTAATAAGCGTTGTGCTTGAGGGTGCTCGATTGACATATTTGGGGCGGTCGTCTGAGTGTTTCCTGGTGACTACATGTGGATTACCATTCCGAGGAGGCAGGGAAGGCAGTTCGCACTCGCCCCATGCGGGTGCTTTGATTCGGCTGCCGGAGTCTGTAGACTTGGTACGAGTAGTGGTGGCCCTCGAGGAGGCTGTGTCATTTGTCCCACTGGAATTGATCGATGTCACCGAGCTCCTCCTCTGTTCTTCAAGCGGGGGATTTCGCGAGGGCAGGGGCGGAGGCTGTTTTCTCGCCGGAGGTGGAGGAGCAGCTTGATTGCCTGGTCGTGAGTCGGTGACGGAGCCATTGAGCTGTTCCGGCGGGTTGTTGATGGTGTTTTGCTTGACAATTAGGGGACGCCTGGAAGGGACCGGAGGAGGAGGGTGAGACGAGGGCCGGGGCAGCTCTCCAGGTATTCGGCCAATATGGGCAGCATTCAACGCGGCAATGCGCTGCTGGAGCGTCAGAGTGACAAAAGAAGGATCCTCACTCATAGCTGACTATCAGGGACAGGAAATGTTGTAGCCTAGAGTGGAGTGGAGGGGGAGGACAAGAGAGTGTAGTCGTCATGTCAGAAGATGGCCATGACTGAAAACGAGCGGAAGTCGACGGTCACAGACTTGGGAGGATGAGAGTGAGCGACAACTGCGACACGAAACACAACGTAAGAAGCACGCGGCGTTGCGCAGGATGACGGTTGGCTTGCGGAGTTTCTGGGCTGCGGCGACGGCGTGCGAAAAGGGGGCTGAAACGGGGGCACGTGAGGTGCACGTGAGCGGCACGTGAGCATCTTGGCCGGTTGAAGGGGGACAGCGACCTTCGGACCGAGTACTCGTACCTTGAGACACCTGTTAATAGTGAGTGACACTAAGCACTTGTGTGTCTGTCACAGAGACATCGAACTGCTTCTCAACACTGGGACAAAGGAGACATTCCAGGAACACTCACACCCATGTGGCCAGTTGAAACCCGAAACGTGCCAAAACGTTGTAGCGTTATGCTTCAACCCGACGTTTCACATGGGTCAGGGACATAATATGCCTCCACAGAGGACGCGGATCCCGGACATTGCCGTGTACAAAAGTTTACAACGGCAGGGATGGAAAGACGTATCGACAATTGCTATCCCTTGAGCCTCGATGATGCGGCTACACATGTGGCTGAAGTTTAATCCGCTGTTGCCACCAAATCCGAGGTCCCCTCCTTGCAAACCATCACAATACACAACCAACTCTACCTTCATGGGATCATCCACCCGCAGGATCGTTTCCTCACCACGGCTGGCCCCTAGTGCTCTTCTAAGGCTTGTCATCCAGCCTTTTGTGTGGGCTGCACGCACAAGGCCGACCCCCTTTTCACCACCTTATGACATCTGTCGTGTTCGTAATCAGGAAGGTTGTTCAGCTCCTACGGACGGTCCAAAGAACACGTCCAGATGCCTCAACAGAGATTGGATGTTCCAGTGTGAGCTCATTTCGACGTCGGGAACACTCGCTCCATGAAAATACGAAACCGACTGACGGACACCCAGCTTGCCCTGTAGCGGAGGCAATGTAGTAAAATCACTCCGGGGAAATTTGTAGCTGCAATCCGTTTCGACTCTGACAAGGTAAGGGCTGGCTGAGACCTACTTATGTCTCTCATAACAGCACGCCCGAGCTCGATGGAGTTGACCTGCAGTCGCCCGCTCTGTTCGTATTGCCCTCCTCCGTCTCTTGTGCAACTCGAGCCTCGTGGCCCAGCACACAGCTGTACTACCATCACGGTCTCTGGGGGTGTGGAGGTGGTAAGGAGCTTTCTGTAGAAGCTTCCAGCTGAGGTCACAGTGGTCCAAGCTCTTTCGAGTCCGCTCGCTATTCATTGAGAACACCCTCTTGCTCTCTGGTCACCTGTGCTTCTGACAGTGGTCTGCATTGTGCCACCCCCAGCACACCACTCTTTGCCGCCTAGGTGGTAGTGTAATGAACCATTCGTCTTGGACCCCGCGAAAGATATGAAACATCTACGAAATAAGTGCATAAAGTAGGAAAAGCCATTGTCATTGCCTCAGGTGTGCCGGGGGTGATGGTGCCTTTCATGATATTATACTGTACACTTACAGTAGGTCCGCAAAAGTCACCGGACAGAGGCTGTTTTCCACCAAAACAGGTAGTTTTCAACAGACGATATCTCATTAACTTATTATGGCGACCCTTAGTTATTTATATAGTAGGATATTTTCTATAATTATTAATTATATATCTGAAAACGCGATAGTCGAAAAGTTATCTTCTATATAAGGAACAGTTAGTTTAGTTATCATACAAAAAATCTAATTTTCTATGGGACTTAACCTAATGCTTTCTTTTATATAGTATAACCTTTCGTACACCACGCTTTTAGATATATAATTACCATGTAGAGAAAGCCAAGATAATCCAGTATATTCTACCATACAAATAACTAGGGGTCGCCATAATAAGTTATTGAGATATCGGCTGTTGGAAACTACCTGTTTTGGTGGGAAATGGGGTTTGTCCGGTGACTTTTGCGGACCTACTGTAAGTATTGTGTTGTGGTAATGAGGACGAGGCTGATGGCCCCTTTTCCCCGCCCAAAGGTGGTCAGGTGGGGTCGGGAGTTGTCAGACAGCTGTATTTCTATGCCATCTCCATAGATTTCAGGGCTGTCAGACGAGGACATTAAACACGCCGGCTGCCCCACGCTCCACATCCAACCTCCAACCTCCAAACCCCCATTTCAATCTGCCGAAAAACGATGGTGGAGTAATAATTACTAGAGCACGACAGAGGGACTGACTTGATTATCTGAGGGTATGTCCCGGAAGAGAAGAGTACATTAATTAGCTCGACACCCGACCCCATCTCCATGACGGCCAGGAACATCGTCGTCTTGATCCAGTCGGTGACCTTACAATAGTTCCCCAATCCATCCCTCTACCGACTCTCTCTCTGTGTCTCTCTCACACACATCATGGCCTTCCAGCGGATATGCCTAATCGGCGCCTCGGGCAACCTGGGCAGCCTGATCCTCAAACACCTGCTGGCGTCTCCGCAGAAGTTCAAAGTCACAGCTCTGTCCCGCCAGTCGTCCACAGCGAGATTCGCCGACGAGGTCGCCGTGGCGCGTGTGGCCGACAACTACCCGGTGACGGAGCTGACTGAGGTCTTCAAGGACGTGGATGTGGTCGTGTCGGCCGTCTCCATGATGGGCATGCATGAACAGTACAAGTTCATCGACGCCTGCCTGGCGGCGAAAGTGAAGCGCTATTTCCCCACCGAGTTCGGCCTGGACGACCTGCCGGACTGGCTGCTCCAGCTGCGCGAGATGTTCAAGATCAAGCACGACGTGCGCGACTACCTAATCTCCAAGGAGGACACGGGGCTCGAGTGGACCAGCATCTGCTGCAACGCCTTCTTCGAGATGGGTGTGGGTTCTGGGTTTTTCCAGCTGGACTGGAAGAGTAAGAAGGCCGTGCTGATCGACGGTGGCGAGCCAAAGTTCGTCGCCACGACGTTAGACACGGTGGCGTTGGCGGTGGTCAAGGCCATCGAGAAGCCCGAGGTGTCGAAGAACCGGATCCTGCTGGTCCAGGACTTCACCACGAGCCAGAAGGAAATCCTGGACGCCGTGCAGCAGAGAGTGCCTGGGTGGCAGGTCGAGAACGTCGAATACGAATCGTGGCTAGAGAAGGGGAAGGAGCAGGTCCGGAATGGCGACAACAGCGCCCTGCCGAAGTTGACCTTTGGCACGTTCGCGCAGGGAAACCAGTACGAGGGGAGGCCCGAGTATGGAAATCAGGTGCTCGGTCTGCCGACCAAGTCGTTCTCGGAAGCCATGAACATGTTCTGGAAGGAGTACGAGACTCGTCAGAAAGCCTAGACCCCCAACGGTTCAGACCGACGTGTGGTTCAGGCCAGAGTATGAGGCGTGCGACGATTGAGGCTGAGAAGACAAGGCTGTCATTTTGCATGCCGGGTCACGGTGACCTTCTGGGCAGACCCAATGTGTCATTTAGTCGAGTGGTCCAAAAAGACCACAATCGCAGGCTGCCGTGCCTCGCCCCCAAATCTTCCCACAGCGGTAGCAGAACTGGGCGGAGCAGACGCAAGTCATATGGTTGCATCCCTCCCTCCTCTCCACGAGATGTCCGCACCACGGGCAGAATTTCCATTTCTCCTTGACGACGAGCGCCCGCAGCTTGTGGTCGCGCTTGCAGAGCCCACCGTGTTCTTTGCCCCGGCAGCCCATGCACATCCTCCTCTTGCAGAGGTGGCATCTGGCGTAGTCTTGCATGACCAAGAAGCTGGGAATGTACGCCAGGCAGTCCTCCCACGGACAGTAGACCGGGTTCGCCGTATGCAGTTCTTGGAGCCAGAGGGTCAACACTTCGAGCAATGCAGGGTCCAGCCCCCCGTGTTCGCGTATCGCTTTGAGTGGCACGCTCTGGCCACAGCACGTCAGCTCGTGTCGCGTCTTAAACATGTTCTGCAGACCATCTGCAGTCTCTCGTTAGCCCCCAAGTACTGCCTGTGAGCAACGGTGATATCTACATACCCCGGAGGCACTCGAGACAGAATGAATGGCGACACTTCAAGGTCACGACGTCGACCCTGAAAAACGGGTCCATACAAACCACACAGTCGACGACATCGAGCGGCGCATCCGTCGTGCCACTTTCCTGGCGCCCCCTCGTCTCCGCCTTCAACTTGGCTCGCACAGCCAAGTTTTTCAGGATCGCGGCCCTCCTCGCCGACTTGTGCTGGGCGTCCTCTTCCGTATCTCCAGATTGTCCGAAGTGGGCTTGCAGGGCTCTGTGCACGGTCTTGAACTCCTCGATGGCGTCGTACAGACAGACGGTCTCGGGGTAATGCACCGCCTGGACACAGGCGCCCAGGTAGACGGCGTTCTGTTGGACGTCTTGCTTCGTGCTCTCCACGAGGCTGTCGACCCCGAGGACCTGCGGGGATGACTGGGGATAATCGTTGAGAACGCGGAGCAGAAACGAATAGTCGAGGCCGGGCAGTCTGATGGACACGGTCGTGTGGTGCGTGTCGGAAAAGGTCGCGCCGATCAGACCCTCCCCGTAGATGGCGTTGAGGGCGTAGATCTCGTCGGCCAACGAGGGATTGTGGATTGATATCTCCATCATTACATCTTGAATGGGAACGAGGCTGGTTCGTCGATGACGAGGGATATGAGACACTGCTAGGGATGGCCACTGACACTTGAATATTAAATATATAGACATCTGCACAGACCTCGGAAAGCTGGCTTAGCAAATGACTCAGGATCCTCTCTCCATCACCCACAGCCACAGTTGTGGGGGACCGAGAATATACGAATACATAAGTGGATAAGTGGCTGGGGGCCAAATACAAGTACATAAGTACACGCTGGTTTGAATGAGTCACTCCCAGCACCACGGCGGCACACGAGATTCGAGTTAGCCAGACACCACGGGTCTACGCTGCGTAGTACACACGATGGGCGACCTCATGGATTGAGCCGGTAGTGTCAAACTTCAACGCAATACATCCAGGTAACTGACTCTACAGAGCATATCAAGCCGGTTGAGCTGTCCCCCGAAGATATAACGTCCTGGACCCATAGTGAGCCTTGATACTCTATTTCTAGGGTTCGTCTTGTCTCTAGGTGCTGTAAGCTCCTTGCTTTGCTCGAGAGACGGCCGTACTCGGACATCCTCGCAGCGCGCACATCTATTTCATCTCGAATGTCTCTTGAGCGACCTCCTGCTCCTCAACACCACCTTTCTCTCCGGCCTCCGGATCACCCCGAAGTCTCGCTTCCAACACGTGTTTGTACTCTGCCTTCGCAAAGAGCACATCGATCTCCTCCAAGCTCAGGCCCTTGGTCTCCTTGACGCAGAAGTACACAAAAGGGACGGCCAAGACGTTGAACACGCAGAACAGCAGGTAAAATTTCCAGCCCGAGGCTTGGATCCCCATCGGCCCAAACTTGACCACGATGAACGTGATGATCCATTGGGTGAAGACACCCATGGAGGTACCAATATGACGGCTGTAGAAGATCGTTAACTTGTTGTTTACAAGTTCTACTGCCATGGTAATGATCATGGCAGACTGGTGGGTATCAGAGAAGGAGAACGTCACTTACACATGGAGAGGTGCGATCTCGGGAACATACTGGACACCACAGTTAGCTATGTCCTCTTCATGATCCGGGAAATAACCCACGATCCATGGCGCATCGCACCAGGACGCTCCAAAGAAGAACTCAAACAGGAAGATGCTGACGACAGCAAGCTTGTTGGAAGAGTTGTTATTGACGGCGAGCCCAATGGTGAACAGGATCATGAACGTCGAGCAGAAAATGGCACCCCATAACATGACCGATCTTCGGCCAAATTTCTCCATTGTCCATATGGTCGACACGGTCCCTCCCAGAAAGAGTAGGGTCACACCGCCGCTCGTGATAGCAGCCTGGTTTTGCGACATGCCGAGAGAATGGATGAAGAGAAAGGTCGCGTAGTACGAGACAATATTGTTGCTTGCGTTGGCAAAGAGCTCGAGTCAGCAATACTTCTTGACTGGAAGAAATGGGAAGAGGCAGTACCCCCTCTCAATGTATTTGAGAAGTGGCAGCAGACACCGCAAAGACATCCTACTCACCCATCCATTTGTTGAAAGAACTGTCGAGTGTTAGCTTAATCAACCCTGTCCCGGGAGATGTTGCAGACTCCCTCACCTGAACGAGAACACCCAGCCACAGCCGCCAGGTCGTGTTTACCGGAGAATCATCGTAGAACAGGTTCTTGAAATTGAATTTGTACTCCTTCTCCGCTTCAAGCGCTGCAAACACATCGGAACGCTGTTTGGCCACTACCTGGCTGTCAAGTGGAACAGAGTAAATGCGGGCCATGATATGATCGGCGTCAGCAATCTGGCCATTGGCGTATAGGTAGCGGGGCGACTCCGGGAGGAAGAAGATCATGGCAAAGGTCAACAAGATGAAGACGACCTGGAAAGCGATCGGTAGGCGCCAGACGGCCTCTGTGTCGGGAAAACTGCGAATCATGCCGTAGTCAAACCAATAGGCGATTGTGAGGCCCAGGATGACGATCGAAAGCTGAGCCGCGATTAAGGCACCTCGAGTCTTTGCCTTAGCCGTTTCAGCAACCCAGACCGGCACCATCACGGTGATGATGCCCATTCCGAGGCCGGCAACGACACGTCCCGAGATCAGATACGAAGTACCGTGGGCTCCAGCCTGCAGTCCAGCTCCGAGACAGATGAGGAGTCCTCCGATGACAATGAACAGGCGGCGACCGAGCAGCTGTCCAACAAACCCACAGATGATACATCCAGTCAGGCAGCCGATGTCGTAGATCGCCACGACCGTGCCTTGCAGATCTGCCGCATTGGGGTCGATGTGGTTCGCTGACAGGAAAGTAGGGAGGGCGATGAGACCGCCCAGGACGCCTTGGTCATATCCTAGGACACGACACTGTCAGCAGCGAGCTCATTGTACACTTCTAGAGTAGAAGATACCAAAGAGGGTGAAGGCCCAGGCTGAGCACAAGGTGATGGCTGCTTGGAGCCAAAATCCTTTGAGCGATCCAGCATAGCCTCTATTGAAGGCCGACATACTGTGAGGAAGCGACTGTAACGGTCTTGCAGATCAGGTGTACAGAAATTCTGAGAGATCATAGCGAAGATGATGGGTATTCGCCGGATATATGCAAACAGCAGACAAGGCCTGCTGGGGGATTCATTTCCCGTGAGAGGCTGTTGCGTGGGATGGTCTGCATCTCAAGTCCACTCTGGAGCACCCCGTACTGGAGAATTTTCCTCATAGGATCCGGCTATACGCTTTGGTGACCCAACAGGTGTGTATAGCCTAGTATACCAGTAGCTCTATCAGGAGAATCGCCGTCTCTGTGCGGGGACTGTGGAGGCCGTGACGCCGGTGTCGTGTACATCCCTTGGATCCCCATATCGAAAGTTGCGGAGCTGTGGAGTTGATCGGCCTGGTACAATGCACAAGGTCCTGTGACATACAGGAGGGCCTTTCATTTGCACTCCTGACTCGAGGTTTGGGTAGTCATATTGCAGAAGGAGAAGAACGATGAATAGTGTGATAGAAATTGGTCACCGCAGCATGCCAGGGATGAGCAACATTGATCGTCAACGTAGAAATCCCTGGCATTCAATTGTCCGTCTCTCGAGATTTTCACTCATTCTATACAACCAGTTAGTTGGTGTAGACAGGGCCCGTTGCTGGACCACCTTGTTGGATGGGTGAGTAGAAAGAAAGTTGTGTGTAAGTTGAAGGAGACGAAGCGTTGGAATTAGCTTTAAAACAATACGAGATGCCCTCCCCAGAGTGGCCTTCTAGTTCGCCGTGCGGTGTAGTCTATTACAGCAGAGGTTCGAATGCACAAGTCTGGTTAGATCTATGAGCGACAGGTGTCGATAGACCTCTATTTGCACGATCTAGACGAATCTATGCTCCCTCTCACCGGATGTCGTGGAAGCCGCCATCATTCACCACCAGCGATCCGTTCATGTAGCTGCTCTCGTCACTCAACAAGAAACTCAAGACGTTTGCTTGCTCCTCAGCAAACGCCATTCTTCGCAGGGCAATCGCTTTACTGACCGGAGACTCCTCGTTCTCCTTTGACCCGATCGTCCCTTCGGCGCCCATCGACTTCACGATCATTTGGGTCAACGTCCACCCCGGACACAGAGCATTGACGCGGATCCCGTCTGGCCCATAGAACTTCGCTCCGTTCTTGGTCACGCCAATGGCAGCATACTTGGAGGGTGTGTATGCTGCCAGGCCGGCAGCTTGAAGGCCAGAGATGGAGACGACGTTGGCAATGGAACCTCGCTGTCCTGGAATGTTGTGAGGGCATGCCGGTTCGAACGAGATCGGACGAGGATCCTGGGTCTTCATCTGCAACGCCTGGTATTTCTGACACAGCCACAGACCCTTGGTGTTGATGGCGTATGTTCTATGATGGTGTCAGAAGTGCCCTCCAGCAGTGTCAAGCATCGCACCTTTCGAACAGCTCGGTGGTAATGCTTTCCTCTTCAGCCCATATGGCCTCGCAGATGCCGGCACAGTTGGCGGCGTAGTCGAGGCGCCCTGTCCATTCTGTCGACGCGGCGATGGCATCCTTGACTTGTTGCTCCTGCGTGACATCGAGCTGGAGAAACTTGGTCTTGACATTCCACTTCTTGGCCACCTCCTCCGACACCTTTGCACCTTGTTGCTGGTCCATGTCGGCCACCACGATGGAGATGCCCCGACTGGCCAGTTTGTGAGCGGTGGCTCGTCCAATCCCACCACTGCCTCCGGTAATGAAGGCCACACGCTGTGCCATGGCGGCCATATTCTCAACCTACCGAGGGGTGACAGCAGAGCAGGAAGCTGATGAGGTCGAATTTAGCAGTCACGTCGAGCACCTACCTCGCATTTAAGAAGGACTGCACGGAGGACACCGCCAGACAGCTCATCATGCACCACTGATCGTCACACTGGTACCACCGTGGAGTTGTATACCTGCATGTGACTACAACCTTTGTCGAGATGCGGGGACGATGTGCAGATGTCGATGTCGCCGGGCCGAGGATGAGAAGAGCGAAGGGCCAGCCACTCGTATGCAGTGTCGACGGCGCCTCCATGCAGCTTGTACCTCGTATTGGGACCCGAAAAACCCCCAAGCAACTTGCCCCAACAGTCCCACAACATGGTCCAGACGACATGCACACCACTGCTCTGTTGCCTTACATTCCTACTCGAAGAACGAACGCCCTCGAGTCATCAAGAGGCCAACGCACACAGACGCGGGAAGACTGAGTGCTTATGGACTCTGCCCGTTGAATATGTGGAATGGGCCATCTCGACTGGCCTTCTTCCCCCACCATCTGGGAATTTCCGAGAATCCCCATTCTCCACGGCATTCGAAACCCGACAAGCTAAAAGATAGATCAGGATGATGGAGCCTGTCGATACAGAGAGCACATCGCTAACGCATCCACTAGCGACAACCCCGCCTGATATCAGATACCCAGGCTGTTTTTTCCTTCACCCTGGTCCAGATCTCTACGTCCTTTGTCCTCTCTCTGAACATCCTTGGTTTTGGTGACAATACTCTATCAACCTGCTCTCGAGAAGTGATTCACTCGCTCATTCCATTATCAACATGGCGCACGTAGTGACGGACATGGACGCCCTGGTCGTCGGGGCAGGATTCGGCGGCATCTACCAGCTCTATCGGCTGCGGGAGATGGGCTTGTCCGTCAGGGTGATCGATATGGCCGGCGACGTGGGCGGCACGTGGTACTGGAACCGCTACCCGGGCGCCATGAGCGATACAGAAAGCTTCGTCTATCGGTTTTCGTGGGACAAAGAGGACTTGCGCACTTGGCCTTGGAGCCATCACTACGTCAAACAGCCTGATGTCCTGGCATATCTGGAACATGTGGTCGAGCGACATAACCTTCGCAAAGACATGCAGTTCAACACCGAGCTCCTCTCGGCAGTCTGGAACGATACCTCCAAATACTGGCAGATCGAGCTGAGCACGGGAGAGAATCTCAAAGTGCGATATCTCGTCACCGCGCTGGGCCTGCTGTCGAAAGCCAACTATCCAGACATCCCGGGCATCGACTCGTTCCGGGGCTTGAAGGTGCACACGGCCAAGTGGCCCCAGGGACTCGACCTGACGGGCAAGCGTGTTGGCATCATCGGCTGCGGCTCGACAGGCGTCCAGGTCATCACGGACATCGCATCACGGGTCAAGTCTCTGACCTGCTTCCAGCGCCACCCTCAGTACAGCGTGCCCAGCGGCGACCGACCGGTCGACCCCGACTACCGGCAGTGGGTGAACGCCAACTACGACGCCATCTGGGAGCAGGTCCGAGACTCGACCGTGGGCTTCGGGTTCGTCGAGTCCACGATCCCGTTCAAGTCCGTGACGTCGGCGGAGGAGCGCGACACCATCTTCGAGCGGCTGTGGGAGGCCGGCAACGGGTTCCGCTTCATGTTCGGCGGCTTCTGCGACATCGCCACGGACCGCGAGGCGAACGAGGCCGCGTGCGAGTTCATCCGCAAGAAGATCCGCCAGATCGTCAAGGACCCGGAGAAGGCGCGCAAGCTGCAGCCGCACGACTACTACGCGCGCCGCCCGCTGTGCGACGGCGGCTACTTTGAGCAGTTCAACCGCGACAACGTCGACGTCGTGCACCTGCAGGAGACGCCCATCACGCGCATCACGGACCAGGGCGTGCAGACCACCGACCGGTTGCACGAGCTCGACGTCCTCATCTTCGCCACGGGCTTCGACGCCATCGAGGGCAACTACAACCGCATCCGCATCCGCGGCCGCGACGGCCTCACGCTCAAGGAGTACTGGGATCCCACCGGCCCAACGAGCTACTTGGGCGTCGCCGTGCCCAACTTCCCCAACCTGCTGATGATCACGGGGCCCCAGGGTCCCTTCACCAACCTGCCGCCGGCGCTCGAGGCCCACGTCGACCTCAACACGCGCCTGATCGCCCGCGCCGAGGAGCTGCGCAGGGCGAGCCCGGCGGCGGGCCCGACGCCCGTCGTCGAGGTGACGCCCGAGGCCGAGAAGGAGTGGTGTCTCGAGTGCGAGCGCATCGCCGAGGGCAGCCTGTTCAAGGAGACGGCCAGCTGGATCTTTGGCCAGAACATCCCCGGGAAGAAGTACGCCCTGCGCTTCTACTTCGGGGGCTTGAAGGCCTTCTACGAGAATGTGAACAGGGTCATTAACAACGACTATATTGGGTTCAAGGGCTTGGGAGAGAAGAAAGGAGACGCACTCGGGACGGCGGCAGAATCGAACGACTTGACAGCACGCCTGTAAGATGGTAGGGTTGGCCTTAGTATATATATATATGTATATATATAAACACGAGAAGAAGAAATCAAGATCAGACTGAGATACGCAATTGCAACACAAACTGGATAATGTCTTCAATTTCTTTATGGAAAGCAGAATCCTTCCTGTCCTGTACGATCCTCGTTGATGAAACGTACAGGACGTCTCCGATGCATTCAAATAACAAGCACTGAATCAAGTACAAGCAATGTTCGTCATGAGTCGTGACCAAGTTGTTCCTCTCTGTATCAGCTCATTCCAAAAGACCCGTCCCGTTCGTTGAACCCACCACCATATGCAGCCGTCGCTGCTGCAAATCTGCTGAATGTATCATTTTAGTATCTGCTGCCACCGCCCCAGCTGCTGCCGCCACCGCTGCTGCTGTGATGCTGCTTCTTCTTGTCCTTCAAAAAGTCTTCAGCCATGCTACCAAAAATGGCACCGCCAACCGTGCCGAGGAAGCCGTGGCCGGCCTGTTTGCCCAAGAAATGACCACCGAAGCCGCCACCGATGGCGCCGAGAAGACCACGGTCGCTCTCATTCATCGGAGGAGCGTTGGGATCGTAGTTGGGCGCATTGGGGTCAGACGACTGCGGAGAAAACTGGTGGTTGGCCACTTCCGGTGGCAGGCTTGTGCCCTGTTGACCTTGTTGTTGTTGTTGACCGCCTTGCTGGGCCATTTGTTGCTGGTATGCTTGGTTCTGGGAGTAGGCATCGTTGCTACCGTATTGCTGGGGGGCATTACTGCCGTAGTAGCCTGAATGGCCTTGTGGGTTGCTGGCATCGTAGGCACCGTATTGGTAGCCCGCCTGACCGTGCTGGAAGCCACCAGCTTGTGGGGGGCCGAAGGAATCTTGTCGGCGAGGAGGGCCGAAGCCTTGGTCTTGAGGGGGATATTGTTGGTAGCCTTGTTGTGGCGGATATTGTTGACTGTATCCCTGTTGAGGAGGGTAGCCTTGACCGCCACCATATCCTTGCGGAGGGTACTGTGAGCCGCCGTAGCCCTGGCCACCGCCGTAGGAATCGTAGGGACCAGACATGGTGATGTGAGGTGAGGTGAGGATGCTAAGTGGAGGATAAGGGTTACAGTAGGGTTCAAATCCTGTAGTGAATGTGTTTTGACGGGCTGGATAGCAGGGGAGATGGATAAAATTCGATGAGAGAAAGGAGGATTTATACCAGGTGAGAAGAGAAGAGATGTGGAAGGAGCTTGCGCAGCTCGAAGGAATCCAGACCGCAGCTTGCAGTGTTGCTGATGAGTGTGAATCCGGGCCCCCCAGCCATTATTCACGCAGCTGAGCCCCGCGGCAAAAGGGCCAGAAGAACCCCTCCTTGGGAGGGGATTCGCCCATTCCCGGGTGCCTCGTGCCCTCTGAGTGGTCACCCGGCTCCCCCCAAGTCCGAAAAAGATGCCTATTACGCACAGCGCCCAGCCCCTCGTGGGTGCCTCCAGCCCCCTCGTTTACCCAGATGTCAGATGTTCCGGCCGATCACTCATCGATTTCTCCGGCTTGGCCCATCCACCAAAGGTCTGTGGCGCAGGAGGTCACGTGGTGCGGCGTCATGGCCGAAACACCAATCACCCATCAGCAATGATGTAGCGCTGTGGCGCAGTGGCGATAGGACGACAGCAATGACCAAAATCCCCCTTCTCGGACATCAACGGTTAAATGCAACACCTCGGTACTACGAGTGATCCCAATGCCGCATCTCAACCAATACTCATTTTGCGCGAGATAGACGCCATCCACTGATTGCGCTGACTCCGAGATCGCAGCCGACGCCCTAATCCGCGAACTAGATTGCTTGAAATGCTCGGTCGTATGGTTCATCCAGCTCGACCTTCCTGGTGACCTTCTCGTCCTGTCCTGCTGATCAAATAAAGGTAGAGGATGGCGACGCGTGACTACAAGGAAGCCTCAGCAATAGCTCGTAAGAGGAGGGCGGCCAACATCGCTGCCTTCTACAAGACCCCGGGATGGAATGAAGCCGACTTGCCTAAGAATCTGACCGAGTATGCACTCAAATCTGACTACTACACCGACGACGAGCGTCAGATAATCCAGTCAGAGGCCGACGTGATCCTCAACAAGATTCAAACCAAGGAATGGGCCGCACTGGAAGTCGCCAAAGCCTTCTGCAAGGCATCCGCGTTGGCCCAGGAGTTGACCAATTGCTTGACTGAGGTGCTCTATGCAGAAGCGATCGAGAGAGCAAAGTATCTCGATGACTACCTTGAGCGCACAGGGAAGACCATTGGCCCTCTCCACGGTCTGCCCATCTCGCTCAAAGACTGTTTCGTGACAGCACCACATCCTTCGAGCAACGGGATGGCCATTTTTGCCAACGAGCCTCTTGAAAAAGATTCGTTACTGGTCACCATGCTACGCGATCTGGGTGCCGTCTTCTATGTCAAGTCCAATGTCCCCGTTGCTATGATGATGGCTGAAACCAACAACAATATCTGGGGAGAAACCCGGAACCCACTACACAAATACCTGACACCCGGAGGATCTAGTGGTGGTGAAGGGGCTCTGTTAGCCTTCAAAGCCTCGCCCCTGGGGATAGGCACAGACATCGGCGGTAGCATCCGTATCCCTGCCGCGTGGTGTAATCTGTACGGCTTGAAACCCAGCTTTGGTCGCTATCCGCATTATGGGACCAAGCCGGGCATAGCTGGTCAAGAATATATCCTGTCAGTCAACGGGCCGATGGCGAGATCTTTGAAAACGCTCCAACTGTACTCTGAAGCCCTCGTGTCCGAGGCCGCGAGACCTTGGGACTATGACCACAAAGTTATTCCCATTCCGTGGAGAAAGAATGTGATCCAACCACCGGGGCGGAAACTTCGTTTCGGTCTGATTGGTGTGAACGACGGTCTTGTTCACGTCCACCCACCCGTGGAGCGCGCTCTGAAGATGACTCAGGCTGCACTTGAGAAGCAAGGCCACGAAGTGATTCCGTGGTCCACCGAAGATCATGAAGCAATTGTCAAGGTATGCGTTGGCACATCATGTTCTCTGCATGGCCGAGTTCGTTCGCTGACAATTCTAGAATCTCCAAGCGGCCTTTTTCGACCTGGGTGGCGCTGCAATCATGGACCTGATTCAGCCTTGGGGAGAACCGGTTTTCCCGAGTATGGAAGGCTATGCACTGGCGGCCGCTGCAGGAGAGGGCGAACTTGGACCAACAAAGATGCGGATGATGAATCTGCGGCGTAACGAGCTGCAGAAAGCATACCTCGACCGCTGGAACGCGACCGCCACGGACGGAAAAGCACGACTGGACGGTCTTATCTGTGCGGTGTCGCCATGGGCAGCTCCTCGACTCGGTCAGACACAAAAGCAGAGTTTATACGTTGGCTATACGGGCTTCGTTAACTTCCTGGGTAAGTAGCTCTGAACCCGTGCTGTCTCGTTGCCCCCGATATGTTCGGTGTGCTATACTGACCAGAGTCGAACTAGACTTCGGCGCCTGTACCTTTCCAGTCACCTTTGCGGACAAGGAACTCGACAAGGCCCGCGACATGAGCACCTTCAAGCCACTGAGCGACATCGACGGCCGAATCCAGCAGGACTACGATGCGGAATTCTACCATGGAGCACCCGTGGCGTTGCAGATTGTGGGGCGGCGGCTCGAGGAAGAGAAGATCCTCGAGATGTGCGAGGTTATCGACAACTGTTTGAAGACGGCCTAGACAGACAGCTAGCCTCACTCTCCTGGACTCCGAGTCTTTGGCATACTTCTACACATCCTCCATGGTCCCTTTCTTCCCACAAGCTAACCACTTCCAAGCTCCAATTTGAAGGTTGATTTCTTCTCTGCAGCTGGACAATCAGTCTTCCAAGGGTCCGAAGCTCTTTCGTTCTTTGCGTGACGTGACGAGGCTGCACGGTAGGGTAACACGCATTGAAGGCAAAGACGCCTTTAACATGCAGCATGCAGCAACTAACGGTTGATGTCGAAGACCTAATCCCGGAGGCCGGCCTGATCAGACATTCGTGGTCCTTACGGTAATTTCGGTGCCCAAGACCTGTGTGACAACCCGATAGGAACGAATGGAGAAATCTGAATTAGGTCAGGAAACATTGTACGCGGGCATAGTGCGGTGCAACGGTGACAAGAAAATGTATACGCCGCAGCCGCCGTCTACCAGACCATTCTGCTGTACATTAACCGAGCCTGCTAATTCTCCCGCCAATCTTCGGTGTCTTTTTGTACCCTCATCATGGTCTTTCGTAAGTGATAATGAACTCCCGGCCCCATCTTGATACCCCAATACCTCAAATGTGGCTTCCAGCCGAACCCAACAAAGTCATGGTTCCCGACAGTCGAAGTGGCCTTGACACGCTTTGCAATCAAACGCGGGCAAGGAAAATTACAGCGACTCCGCGCTGACCTCGACACGCCCTTCGTTGCCAGGAGTCTTTCCAAGAGTGGGAAGCTGATTCAGGTCAGCGTCGAGCGTTATGGCGGGAAAGGGGGATTAAACTTACAAGGTATGTGATATCATCCCAAGGATGTCTGTACAATCCAGTGCGGAGCTATAAGAATGTTAGTGATTTGTGTACACAAAAAGCAGCGAGGCAAAACTTACTCTCTTCTGATCCAAGTAATGGGCAATGAGACCAATGGAACGACCCAAGACAAAGAGACCGTTCAAGACGCCAATGGAGAGATATTGCTCAGCTTCTTCGGCGGAGAAAGACCCTCCGTCTCGGAGCAAGTCCACAAAGCAGACAGCAATGCAACCATCGACGTTCAGGATCAAGTTGTCCTTCTTCGAGGTGGTCACGGTCTCAACGGCAATAGCATAATCCAAAAGCTTGTGTGACGGGAAGTGCTTGAGGACAAAGTCTTTGACAAGCTCGACACGTAGATCAGGGTTGTTGCGGGACTTGATTCGGTGACCGATACCGGGGACTGTATGAAGAAGTTAGTAACTGGTCTGAGGCGGTTAGGGGCGTAACATACTGAGCTTGTTCTCTTTTCTCATCGTGTCAACGAATTCTCTGGGAGACCAGCCCTTGTCAAAGGCCTTGGTGAACTCATCGGCAGCACCATCAAGAGCACCACCGAATCGGGAGCCAATGGTCAACAGACCTGCGACCAGCGAAGAGATCAGGTCCTTGCCTGCACGAGCAGTGATGATGGTGTTCATGGCACCAGATACGGCCGGACCGTGATCCGCAGTCAACATGAGCACCATCTCCAAAAACCTGCTTGCGTAGGCAGGGAGGCGGCGACGGAACCACAGAAGAGACATGACACCACCGATGCCAATCTCCTCCTTGAAAACGTCCGAGATGGGCATACCGGCGTAGAGCAATTCCTGGCCTCTGTCGTCGGAGATGGTAGAGATGAACGAGGCAGGTTTTCGAATAAGACCAAGTTCTTGCGCCCAGGCGTAATCCATGGGGATCTTGGGCACGGCCGGTTCGGGAGCGGGCTTGATGGTGCCCTGCTTGACCAACTTCTGGTAGAGCTCACTGAGAACGCTGGGCATATCCTCGAAGGTATCAGGCACGTAAAAGCCGGCTTCTCTCATCTTCTGGTTCTTCACCACCGCAGTTTCGAGCTGAGAGTTGGCCGAAGCACCAGCGTGACCGAACTGAACTTCGGTCTTGAACATGCTAGCGCAAGTTCCAATAGCCCAAGCGACGATTGGCTTGGTGATTTGGCCCTTCTTCACGGCCTCAATGACCCGGTATTCCTCGACACCACCAACCTCACCGAGAAGCAACAAGATCTTGCATTCTGGTTCTTGTTGGTAACGGAGGAGGTGGTCAATGAAGGAAGTTCCGGGATATCTGTCACCACCAATGGCAATACCCTCGTACACACCATCGGTGTTTTGGGAGATAATGTTGTTGAGCTCGTTGGACATACCTCCAGACTTGGAGACGTAGCCAACGGAACCCTTGCGGTAGAGCTTAGACGCTACAATGTTGTCCATCATACCGCCAGTGTTGCCGATCTTGAACGCACCGGGCTTGATGCCACCCACGGTGGCGGGGCCAATGATTGTGATTCCCCTCTCCTTTGACTTGACCATGATCTCACGGGCACGTCGCTCCGGCACACCTTCTGCAATGATGGCAATGCTGCGGACCTGAGGGATTTCCATCAGCTCCATAGTGGAGCTGTAGACGGATCGTGAGGAGGCAAAGTTGACAATGGTGTCCACGTCAGGGTGCTTCTCAAAGGCCTTCTCGACCGACTGGTAGACTGGCAAGAGAGTCTCGCTGGTACCCCAGTACATCTTGCTGACGAACTGACCACCAAAAGTGTAGATGATACCGGCCACGGACGGGGTCGTTCTCTTGCAGATGAAATCGAAGTCCAGCATGCCCTGGACGGCTTTGGGTTGCATGCCACTGTGGCCGCTGTCAGATCTTCCCCTTCTTCCCGTCTGATGGAATACTTACTAGACGAAACATCTGGTCTTGTTGTGAAAGAGGGCATTCTGGGAGGGGCTCAGTCCTCTCGAGGGAGGAGCAAATCGACGAATGTTGTCGTTGGCAGAGAAAGGAGTCTCGGAGTCTGGGCCGTCGCCATTGGGGATGTCAATCTTAGGCACGCCATTGCTGGCGCCCACTGTTGCAGAAGGCATAGCGGAGGCGGTGTTCTCAGGGGAGTTTTCACGGACTGGGAGGCCCATTGTGTCAGCAGCGGTGGTATAGAACCTGATAATGAGGAGACAACAGCGCAAACGATGGGAGACAACAGAGAATGTTCGGTCTTCTGTCGTCTGGCCAGGAGAGTATAATAGGAGGGGTGTGCAAAGGGGGAAAATTGTCAAAGCAGATCTCGGGGACTCAATGGAAACTTTCAATAAGACTTACAGAAAGGGATGATTGTTGAGTTTCTAGGGCAGGAGAAAATAAATTGAAGCAAACTGCGTTTGAAAATCAGCAGAGAGATCAAAATCGCCGACGAGGAGAAGAAAAAGATGAGGCCAGTCGAATTGAACCCGGTGGTGGTGGTGGATGAGATGGTGTTCTCTTTCTCAGGGTACAACAAGGGTTGCCAGTGCGCAGTTGTGGAGAGCAAAGGTGATGCTGAGGGACCACACAGAGCCTGCGACTGGATTAGGGATCGTCTGTTGAGGCAGGTCCGGTTAGTTAGCTGCGCGACCCAACCGTAGGAAGCTCCTGGGCGGACGCCCGAAAATAGGAATGGCGGCCCCCAAAATTGTGTTGAGTGAAGCCATCAACAAGCCCACCACGTCCAGCACATCCCGCTATCGCCTAGCAATCTCTCCGGGCGGTGAGAATTTTAGTGGGGGGACTGCTGCATGGAGAGCCACAAGCCTTTCAGCCTAGGTGCACTATCAGCTGCCACCATGCCGTGTTGGGGGCCCCGGAACTGGGAGAGGCTGAGGCCCCCTTCCCATATCCGCCGAGTCTTGAAGGGAGCGGGCCCAAACGACTATTGAGTTACCTATCGATTGAGGAAAAAAGATCTTTCTCGCGTGCCCAACTATTCGGAGTCCGGCCCCCGTCTCAAGCGCACGTCGTATCTCGTAGTTCGGTGGAACACCCGTGCATTGTGCAGCCTTTACCCGCCTCCTCCAGGGCAACTATCTGTGCAGATTCACCGAAGCCACAATAAAACGCTCAATCGGTGGTCGAAGTTGAGCCAACTGGAAATTATTGTTGATAGTCATCAATTTTTCGGTGTTTGTGTAACCTTGATCCACTGCCTCAAAGAGGGAGTTGAGAATCAACCGATGAGATCATGTTGATGGGCCATTCGGCACTGGAGTTTTCATCCATAACCAGAGCAACGTCACCGGAATATTGTTTTTTTTTTTTGGCGGTGACCGACAGTCCCCAACTGTCGGTCAAACACCATGGAGTCGAGGCGGCGGTGGTGGCGGGCGGTTTGTCCCTGGCGTTGGCGCGGGTTAGCAGCCCTGGCTCCACACCTAAAACGCATGCTCGAGATGCCCCTCGATAAGTTTAGCACGCCTAGCCTAGTACGAGTAGCCCGCGCTCCTAACCCCTACCCCTGCTCCCAACAACCCACACTTCAGGGCTCTAGGGCGGGTCCACCAGAAAAAGTCAAGGGCAGTAATTGTATCCCTCCGAAGGCCAACAGTAAACTGTGTGTGAAGCAGTGAAATCTGGCCCCCAGCAGTTCATACTGTTTCTCCTTACAACTTGACATTTGCACTTTCCATTCGGCACTCAAGACTTGATTTCTTGTCAATTGTCCTTGTTGTCCGCTTCCTCTTGAGCTTTGTTTTCTATCTCAAACGCTGGGACAACTATTTCAATTGACTGTGTGCCCCTGAGCTCTTCCTACTCTTACCCCTCACCTCACCGCCGCAACAATGTCAGCAAAGTCCATTCTCGAGGCCGACGGCAAGGCCATTCTCAACTACCACCTCACCCGTGCTCCTGTCATCAAGCCTACTCCGCTGAAGCCTTCTGGTGTCCATAACCCTCCTCCCAAGTTGGCCTCCATCTTCTTCCCTGAAGATGAGGCCGTGTCGACTGTTTTGGACCAAGCTGAAGCCACCTATCCCTGGCTCCTACAGCCAGGTTCCAAATTCGTTGCAAAGCCAGACCAACTGATCAAGAGAAGAGGAAAGAGCGGCCTTTTGGCCCTGAACAAGCCCTGGTCTGAGGCAAGAAAATGGATTGAGGAGAGAGCCCGCAAGGAGGTCAAGGTCGAGCACGTCACAGGCGTTCTCTGCCAGTTCCTCGTCGAACCCTTTGTGCCCCATCCCCAAGATACCGAATACTACATTAACATCAACTCCGTGCGAGATGTGAGTTTGAGCATTTCTTTCTGCGTGATCTGCAGTAGCACATAGACTGACCGTGACCTCCAGGGCGATTGGATCCTGTTCACCCACGAGGGTGGTGTGGATGTCGGCGACGTTGATGCAAAGGCCAAGAAGATCCTGGTCCCGGTTGATCTGAAGAAGTTCCCTTCAAACCAGGAACTGGCTGCAACTCTGTTGCCCGATGTGCCCAAGGGCGTCCACAATGTGCTGATCGATTTCATTGTTCGCCTGTACTCCGTGTATGTGGACTGCCAGTTCACCTATCTCGAAATCAACCCCTTGGTCGTCATTCCCAACGCCGCCGGCACCTCCGCCGAAGTCCACTTCCTTGATCTTGCCGCCAAACTCGACCAAACGGCCGACTTCGAGTGCGGTGTCAAGTGGGCCATTGCCCGAAGTCCCGCTGCTCTTGGTCTGCCCGGAGTGAAAACCGATGGAAAGGTCACCATCGACGTTGGCCCGCCTATGGAGTTCCCTGCGCCTTTTGGTCGTGAGCTCAGCAAGGAAGAGAAGTACATCGCGGATATGGATGCGAAGACTGGTGCTTCGCTCAAGTTGACCGTTCTCAATGCCAAAGGCCGCATCTGGACTTTGGTCGCTGGTGGTGGTGCTTCGGTGGTGTACGCCGACGCTATTGCCTCCGCCGGATTTGTTAGCGAGCTGGCCAATTACGGAGAATACTCCGGCGCCCCAACTGAGACTCAGACGTACAACTACGCGAGGACTGTCCTCGACCTGATGCTCCGAGCACCCATGCACCCTGACGGCAAGGTTCTGTTTATCGGTGGCGGTATTGCCAACTTCACCAACGTTGCTTCAACATTCAAGGGTGTCATCCGCGCACTCAGGGAGGTGGCCCCTGTTCTCAATGAGCACAAGGTTCAGATCTGGGTTCGTCGCGCTGGCCCCAACTACCAGGAGGGTCTCAAGAACATCAAGTCCGTCGGCGAGGAGTTGAAGCTGGACATGCACGTCTACGGCCCGGAGATGCACGTCTCGGGTATCGTACCGCTGGCTCTTCTCGGCAAGACTTCGACGGTCCCCGAATTTGGTGCTTAGATAAAGAACATGATTTTTTGATGGTTCCGTGTCTTTTGATCTAGAGCATACCAAGATATCACTACGACCCTTTGACGATGGATTGGCATGGGGGCGGGCGATGGGAAAAGAGTGGTTGCAGGCTAGGTCTGTTTCTTTTACTGGAGTTCAACTTTGCGACTCTGTTGGAGGTGGAAGCATCATGTGCATGCATGGATGCCGTGTACGACATCGTTTTAGCGGTCGTTTCGCGTGTCATGCAGGCAGAGATCATGGCGACTCGAGGTAGAAAGGCCAAGCAAGCGACTTTGTGTGTAAATGAACAACCATTAGACCGAGACGGTAATGCGCACTCTGCTTCAGGCGACCCTCTATCCCGGTGTACGATCACATTGCTTGCCATGACAGCGAAAGACATTTCGACCTTGTTGGATTTTATGTTTTAAGTGCTTGTGTTCTGGCGCATTCCTCACGCATAAAGTGAGCGACACGCCTGTATCCCTTCTCCGTGACGCCGTTGTGTACAGAGATCGAGCATTCTCCCAAACCACGATCTAGAAGCCCACCCATATCGCACGTAAAATCACATTTGCAGTATTTTCCGGGTCATCCTCATCACTTTCAGGTCTCTTAGCCTCGACGTGATCACGGTTGCCAGCAAGCCAGCCACCGCAGTCCGCCAGATGAGCCAGAAGGTTTCGTCCCGCAGCTGCATCTGATCATAACAACGTAGTTCAACTTCGCTTTGCCATGAGGGCACGATGTTCTCGTGTTTCCGTGTTTGAAAGTGAGAGGTTCGTGCCCTTTCCCCGTCCCCTACATCATCTGCTGTTGCCGTAATCTCTAATCCACCAAAACAACCCGTCCCCCACTCAACTCATCAATGTACGCCATCTTGCCGCAGCCCTGGCTGGTGGAATGCTCTTGTTCCCTCAACAGGACGGCGAGGACTTCGACTGGCGGCTCTAGACCCAGGGTATTTGCGCGCCGCCAGCGTTGGAGACGGGAGATGCCGATGCACGGCCCGTACTGCGACGAGAGGTCAAAGTGGCGCAGGATCTTTTCGTGGAGGGAGAGGTCGGATTGGTGCACTGCGGCGGGATGCAGTCAGTATGGGAACTACCACGGGATAAGTGGATATGGAGATTTTCAGGAGAGGGGGGACAATATCACTGTGGTCCGAGGGCGATGATGCAAAATGGAGAGGGATATAAGTGGTCAACGGCAGAAAAAGAAGGGAAGATGATGTAGGTGGTGGGTACATACCTCTAGGAGCAAGTCGACTGTCCTCTTCAGCCTGCCAGTATTTCCTCAGCTGGACATCCGTGATTTTCTCAGCGGCGAGTTCACGTCCGTCCTTGCCTGCAGGCTTAGCCTTCTGCTTCTTCCTGGATCTTGCCTTCACCAAGACCTCCTCCTCCTCTTCCACCTCCTCCTGTTCTGCAGGCTCTGCCTCTTCACTGTCCTCCACTTTCAGGTCCTGTGAGTCCGGCTCGATTTCTTCAGGTGCTGATGATTCATTCTTCACTTCTGCGACCTCGGGCTCCGTCTTCAGTCCGTGTGCAACCTCGGCCAGCTTCTTCGCCGACGCACTGTTCTCGTCTCGCTGCGCATTGGCGCCCGGCTTCGTCACTCGCGCCGACTTTTTGTTGAACGAGAGAGTGGACTGGAGAGAGTGGGTTGGCCGGGCGTCGGCTTTGCGGGTTCGCGGCATGCTGGGGAGTAAACAGCGAGAACACCGGGGTGACGGCTTTCTGAATGTGATAGAGTTACTCCAAAGACGATGTCTAGAGACAGATGAGTGATACTTTCTCGAGATCTTGTTCAAACTGAAGCTGGAGTTGTGGGAACATCACACAAAGGGAGGGGGTTTGACGGGTACATGACGTTCTCCCGCTGCCTCAGCAACCAGCCATTAAGGTTCCCAGCTTCGGCCATATTCGTTGCCGCCCGGACTAGTTCCGTTCATCATGGATATTCATTGGCTACCTAGCGCGCGTTCCCGTAAAAGCAGCATCTACTTTACGCGTTCTTAACAGAGCTTGGTGTCTGCGCTACTGAAACCCTACTTGTACCTCATCGACCTGACAGATCCAGGACTGCCGTAAGGTATACACACAAAATGTTGATCAGGCGTCGCAGAGACGCATTCCCTGGAAGCATTAGAGTCCGATATACCCAAGTGCCTCGGCGGCATCTCATATCTCCGCTGTAAACTTAACATTTCGACAGTCCCGTGTGAACGAGAAGCATCCCTTTCTCATTCATATTGTAAGCTTGCCATGTGCCCATGCTAGACGTGTCGAGTACGCGGACTGCTCAACCACTAGGGCCACTTTCTGTAAGGCGTTGACTCGCAGGGAGACACCGTTTTCTAGACATCGTAAAACATAGGCGACCAGCTCCGTCTCTTCTTGTGCTACTAGAATACCATTACTGTGTGGTGGCCTTGTCACGCCTCGCTACTGTACGTATCATCAAACCTTCGAGACTAGGCTCAATATGTCGCTGGATCCTCTGGGTGCGCAGTGTCTTTCGAGCGTAGCGGGCTCTTCAAGACCGAATACTCAAACCTCCGATCGACATATTTCAACAACTCCGGGTTGATATTATTAGTGTTGAGCCCCATCTCGTCCTTTCCTGGGTCCGCAGGGGGACGCCGAAGCGGCCACCAAAAGCATCTACACGGGCGTGAGTGAGTTCTCAATCTCGTGGAAGAGGGGCATTGCTTGAACTTACACGCATCCACAATTGTTGCAGAAGTTGAAAGATATCTCTCGATCTCCCCAGATGTACTGCTTAACTATTGCGTGTTCCTTCATTTCGATCTCGACCTCGTCTGGGTGATAGTAGCCCCATGCCGCGCCGTAGCGCCTGCATAGGGTGCATTGACAGACATTGATATATTCGGGCAGTCGTAGAACCTTGACTGTGATAGCGCCGCAGTGACAGCTAGAGCGGATTGGAGTGTTTTCGGCTGCCATCTCTTACTCTGTTCGTACGAGGTCTGAGTTGAGAGGTGAGACGAGATAATGGCCGACTGGTAGCAAATATCAGGAAGATCAATGAACATGAAAGTCTCAATCTCGATCGGCAGTGGCTTCACAATTAGCCTTTCTGGAACGGAACAACGTTACACCCTCCGCCACATCCTCTGTCCTTCAACTCACACACACTCCACCATGTCCTTTGTCCTGCCACAAAGACATAAGGCTCGAAGTCAGCGAGGACATAGGCCTCAAGGAGAACGGTATGGGTGACTCACTTATCTATTACCAGTAGCTTGCTGTCACGGGCCTGCAGGGGACAGAATACCTTTCATTACAAAGTACATAGTACACGACGTACCGAGATCAACATCGTGGTCTCGCCAGAATCGCAGACCAATACCTTCAGATCATTGACGAGATTATGCTGAGAGATTCAGATTCGAACAAACTGACAGCCTGCATGTAAAATGTTCCAGAGACGTTACTTCTCAACTCCAGCCTCCTTTCGTCATATATCATAACAATGTTCATGGCATCGTCGCTTTAAAGCGTAATCTTTTGGTTGCAGGACCTTCTTCGTGCTGACTTGCATTTCTCAGAACCTCTCCACTGGAGTCGGCCCAGGATTCGAGCATGTCGGCCATTGTGGCTGCGGAGGGACGTTTGGCTGGAACAGGTTCCAACATCAGCCGCAGGTATCGCGCAAGAGAGCTGAGTGGTATTTGTCGGATCACTGCATCATTCCATGGCCCACGTTTGGTCCTGTCTTGGAGGAGTTTCGCCTTTCCTGGCGGTATTCCGCAAGTGTATTCCAACCCAACTATTCCCAAGGCCCATATGTCAACGGTCGCGGTGTATGCGCTGTATTCCAGACCGCCAATCTCTGGAGCCAGATATGAGGGGGAGCCGCAGAATGTCGTGGTGATCTCAGCAATCTTAGACAGACCGAAGTCAGATAGCTTCCATTGCGTGGGATTTTCATTGGTGAGTAAGATATTGGCAGGTTTGACGTCGCGATGTATGATCTTTTCTTTGTGTAGATATGTCAAACCGGCCAGACAGTCTTTCAGAAGCGCTACGCAGTCGTTCACACGCGTTATCTTATGTTCGGCCAGGCTTTTGACTGCCATCTCCATCACCAAGATAGGATCTGGGTCCTTGAAGAGGTCTATATACTCGATGATATTTCTCTACTCGTCGTCAAAATATAATGCAGTGCATAAGAACGGGCTAACTTACGTGCTCCAACTTCTGGAGAATTTTGATCTCGTTCAGCATAGACAACAAGTGAAGGTCGGTGTTCTCGGCCAACTTGTACGCTTTGGCTGCATATACATCCCCCGTCTCGAAATCGACGGCCTTGTACACCAGTGCCATCGCTCCACTTCCTATGACGTTTTGTAGGACAAACCTGCGCTGTCGTCCAACAACCAAGGGAGTGATTGGGCCTGGGGGCTCGATCTTTAGGCCGTTCATTGTCGGTGTTGCCTCTTCGACCTCCAATCGTAGGCGGCCTATGTTGCTGTCAAAATTGGCTTGCTCATCCTCGCCTCGAGCTGGGATCTGGAGAATCAATTCAACAGCCCCAGCAGATATGGAGTACTGTTCACCCGGAAGAATAGCTCTAGATGTCATGACCCTGTCACTGTTCCTAGCATCTGGACTTGCCCACTTAGTGCCATGACCAGACATGTTCGTAAGAATCAGAGTCATTGCTTTCCAGTTGTGGTCGATGCGGAAATGTTTTCGGCTTACACCTTGCTCTTTTGTACCGAGAAAGAAGTCACACTCCTCTTCCTCGTCCTTACGTCCGAACACCCAACCGAGTAGAGGATCATAAGGGTAACAGTCTGTACGTAGGAATGCACGGACTGATTGGCTGTTGGCCAAAGGGGTTCCTTCGCGAGCTCGACGATGTACCGGCTCTTGGTCGGAGGGCTCGACAGGTACGAGGAAAGCCTCGTTATCAGGGTGTCTGAAAGAAGTAATTGCATCACTGTTCACTGCTGTGAGTTCAAGCACGACGGTGGAAAGGTCGATCTGAGCCATGAGAAGTCGGTCGCTGTGGCATGGTGCCAGAGATGCGAGCAGGTTGGGCCACATTTCAATACCTTTCATTCCATCAACGACCCCAGCGGTTACACAGACATTCCTACCAATCATCGACTTCTTGTACCACCCTTTGAACCCCCCCTCCCCCTTGTCTCATGTCAGGAATTGGCCACTTGATTTAGAGCCAATGCGTTTTGCCAGGCAATGGAAATTTCTGGTAGCCGCACTGTCATTTAAATGGAGGAACATGATGGGTGAGACAGAATATATATACTTATATGATCATGGGAACAGCCTGACTGGTCGAAACCTGTAAAATGAACACAGGAGTAACGGGGATAGATTTGAAGGTCTCCGGAGCCAGGCGTCCTCGGGTCTTCGTGTAACAGTCATTACATCCGTATTAGCAAATCATGTGAGTCAGACAAAAGTGCCAAACTTGCCCGCCTTTGCGTCTTCCAGTTTATCCAACTTCCACCCTCAACCAAACTATGCCACAGTCTGTTAATTGCTTTGCCCACAGCTGTGATGAGGGTCATCACGTGTATCAAATCGCGTTCGGTTTCACCTGGCAAAGATCAGGTCCTCGATCTTGATAGTGTGAACAAATTGCTGTTAAAGAACAAGCCACGCAGTTGGAGTATCAACAGCCGCGAGTCGACACCAGAAGTATTCTCACAGGACTTTCCTCGCGATGCGTTACAACACTGGAAGAACCTCGCAATCCATAACCAGGCACGTCTCGACAGCCTCTCCCAGACCGAAGACCATCGAAGAACCATCAACTCGGTCCAGTACTGGGAAACAGAAGCCCGACATCTCGATCAAGTCTATTGGAAGATAATTCAAACCAGGCACGCACAAAGATCAGCCAAGGCGCGGGAGGATGCGAAGAGAGTCACCTCAGGAGTGTCGAAGCCGAATGGCGGCACAGATGGACCTGTGTCTTCGAGATTACGGAGAAAAAGCACAAGCCCGCAGGCTCCTCAAAAGTCCACAAAAAACACAGTGCAGGCGGTGCGGCGTGCAGACAAATCGCCCCGAAAGACCCCATAAGTCGTCGAAAGATGATTTCATAACGTCGCTACGACCTTATACCTCAACTACCAATTTCTGGTAACGTGGCAAGCGTGATATATGTCTGCATGATACATCTCTCTCCTGGACTATTTACCGAAGTCGATATTTCGTCAAGCACACGTCCAGGAGGCACGTAGCCCCGGTCGGCACTGCTCCTGGAATGTGGTCCATTAGGTTACCGTCAGAAATACACGCAGATAAGATGTGCCGCCGTGTCCTGGCTTGCCGAATCCAGGCTATTGGAAGGAGCATCTTCCAGAAGGGAGTTTGCGGCTCTTCAAACCCGCTCCCCTTTTTCTCGGGCTGTTTCATATTTCCAAGCAACAAAAGGAGAACGACGAGCAGTTTCCGATCATACGTCTCGTATGAGCATTGAGATGGGTCGAAGAACATGTCGTGGCAACTGCGGGGATTCGTCCCTTATCCTTTTTCGCTCGTTTGAGATTGGTCTCGGGGGTGATGGTCGACATTGTTGACCCCGGGTGTCATACACAATTACTCATTGTGAGACAGCGTCCGAGGAGTAGGCGTAAAGGTGGCTTTGCGCTGTTTCGAGAAGACTGTATCGTATCTAGGGTGACAGGAATGGCATCTGGCAGTCGGTGATTGGTCTTATATTTGGAAGAGCATAGTTCGCTGTTGACCTCGACGCTAAGCCGTCCCCCTTAGAGAAAGGAGTTTTGTCTTATCACAAGGCGGCTTCATGGAAAGCATAGAGGCTGCCGACATGTTGGACATGGTCCCCGGTGTGGTCCAGCCGCAGAACGCACATGGGAACCTCACCTCGCATAGTGCCTTTCACCTTAAATTGATAGAGGGGAAATATATGCTTCCTCGAGCAGCACGAAATTCGGGGATGCTGCAGGTGCCTTCTCGAATTGGGAAATGCCACCTCTTGACCAGACGTAGGCTGGCTGGCTGGCTCTTCATCCGGGATCTTTGGCTTGAAAAATGCACAGTAGAAATGCACAACCATACCATCGAGGTGGTGGCATCGTCTGCCAGTGTCGATGATACATAAGCGTGCTTGCCAACTAATACTGTAATTGTTTTCAGTCACAACGACACACAGTTGCAAGTAGCACGTTGTTTTGATGAAATGGGCTCGAGCTTTCATAGCTGCTGGACCGTGTCACTCCACTGAAAAAAGGAAGGACGAGGAGGAGGACGACGACGAGGAGACATATGAATCCGAGCTAGCAAGCCCGTGTGCAACCGCATGAGTCAAGAGCTGTCACTGGCGAGATGCACTCGAGCAGGTTCTTAGTGAGTTAACGGAAAGAAATGGAAAGACAACGGTGGTAACAACGAACAATATCTCGATTGTTGTTCAGTGTGCAAGTATGCTACATCATAGGTCTCTTTGTGATCTTTCATCTTGTATCCAGTTCGACACCTTCCTGGCCATGCTCAACCACATCTTCGGTCCCGTCTAATATCTCATTTTCGTGGTTGTAGTCGTCGGCGAAATCGCGCCGTCTATCGTCTCCAGCCACTCTCATCCATCCGCCGGCAGTCCGAGGACTCAATTTCAGCCTACCGCGGGAGAGATTGTTGATCTTGTCGGCGACATATTCGACAAATTTGCCAAAAGCGTCGACGACGTGATCCTGCTGTATTACCGGCTCGTCTCTCACAGCCACGGAATGTTCTTGTGCCTCGACCTTGAATTGGTACTTCAAACAGTCTTTGACAGTGACCAGACCTTCGAGACGACCATGGTGGTCGACGAGGATGACCCTTGGACCCATCTTTTTGAAAATTTCCAAGACCGTCTCAAGCGGCAAGCGAGGATGGACAGATATAGGAGTCGCATCAACGAACGGACTGAAATCCACACTGTATAGCGTTGCTGAATCAAAGGTAACAGTCGGACTCAGAGGCACAGGCGTTTCGGTGCCATCTTCCCGTTCGGTCACAAAGATGCATTTGGCATCTGGGGCGAGCGTACCCTGCCTTTTGGCCCGATCAATTGCAAATTGGAGTTCGGTCCTCCCGATATAGCCCACGAGAATCTTCGAGTCCTTGTCTTCCACAATCGGAAATCCCGAGAAGGATGTATCGTCAAGTAACTTCCGCATGGCCTTGACTTCCATTCCTGCTGCAGGAAGCATCGTAATGTTGCCGGTCATGACTTGCGACACCGACACGCCAAAGATGTGTTCCTCCTTGTTGTCGAGGAACGGGAAGCCGCTGAACGAGATCATCCGATCTGCGATGCCGGATTTACTGAATCGGTCTCCCACCGCTTTCGTGACACCGACCACAATCATGGTCGGAAGTATGTACGTCAGAGCCCCAGTCAATTCAAACATGATGACAGTGACCGAAATTGTCAGATGCATAATTCCACTGAGTGCTGCGCCAGCTCCGAGAAAGGCGTAGGTGCCAGGGGTGATGCAAGGCACGTCAGGTTGACAAGCGGAGAAGAACTTTGAATCGGGAAATGTCTCGTAAAGCCATTGTACAATCATTCCCAGCATACGGCCAAAAGAGGCCCCAATTGCCATTGACGGCACGAATATACCTGCAGGGACCTTGCATCCGTAGGAAATGATAACAAGGAATATGCGTAGGAGAGTTGCAACCAGCAACGACCCGATCAGGGGAAGTCGATTCCTTGCCTCGCAAAGTCCGTTGTAATCGTAGTCGCCCTCGCACTCTCGGAACAACATCTCCATCATCTCGGTCATGTCTATTCTGAGAAACATGTTGGGGTAGCAAAGAAGGGCCGTGGCACCCGCCAGAATGACGGCTTCCGGAATCGCGTACTTGGACAGGTATTTCTTCCGGAACGCTTGAGCTTTGAGGTTCCATTTGATGACGAAAGCCCCGTAGAGTCCACCGAAGATGCCCAGGATAAGGTAGAAGAAGATCTCGAAAAAGTGCCAGTCTCTATCGTATTTGACGGAGAACATGACAAGCTGGCCGGTGCGGAAGGGATTCATGGCACTCAGCACCGCAGTCGCAACAAGAGCGCAAAAATAGCTCCTCCACAGCGTCTTCAGTGGAAAGTAAGACGCCATCTCTTCTAGGGAGAACAGCACACCACCAATGGGACTTCCGAAAGCGACAGCCACTCCAGCTCCGGCAGTTGCTGTCAATATCTCTCGTGTCTTGGAGGCACTTCGTTTGTACTTGTCGAAGAATCGAGAAATAACGTTTCCCACGCACACAGCGTAATGGACACTCGGCCCTTCCTTGCCGACAGAGAGACCGGAGGCGATCGCGAGAGGTAAACAGATGGATTTGATGAAGAACGTCCAGAGCCCCAGAAATCCCTTCATGATGAAGCCGGCAATGATGCATTTGATCTCGGAGATGCCGGAACCGGCGGCGTAGGGCGCGTAGGACTTGACCAAGTAGGCGGAAACGAATGCCAGCAGCACGGCGAAAATGGCGTAGATGAAGTAATTGACAATGGTGATCGAAGTCCATCTCTTCCACTCGTCACAGCCTTCCTCGGAACCATAGCAGCAGAAGCCTTCATTGAGATACCAGGCAGTCGTGCAATAGCCCATCTTGATGTCGGACAACCACTCGGTGATGATGTTCAGAGCAGCCGCATTGACACCAATAACGATCCCGACCAGCGTGATGACGATCCAGGCTTGCGCCGCGTCGTAGGACTCCCACAGCTTGCGCCGCCAGCCCAAGACACCGTCCCGCTCAAAGAACTTGGACTCTTTCCGCCGGGCGAGGCGGCGCAGCTGTTCCTGGGCGGCATCTTGGACCCAGTCTATCGTGGTGAAATCTTCATATCTTTTGATCTCTGCAATCTCTTCTGTGATGGCCTGCGCCGCCGGAGCGACTCGGGGAGGAGCCTCGCCATTTTCGAGGCCGGAGAGAGACGAGAGCCTCCTGGAGAGTCGCCTGGCTGAGACAGACGGTCGACGACCAGAGGCAGAGGCGGAGGCGGACGTGGAAGAGGAGACACGCGAGGTCATAACATCGGACCAATGACCATGGTTGAAGGAGGAGGAGGAGGGATATGTTCGATTGAGAAAGTCACCATGCGAACGCAGGCTGGCAATGGGGAGAATGGACGATGAATGGACGATGAAGCCTCCAATGCCGCACATCCACCAAACGTCGTCCGCCTTTCCCTTTTAGTTTTAGGATGCGCGCCCAGAACGTGACATTCATCCATTCATTAATTAAATTATATCACATGGGAATGTCTCGACGCGACTTCTTGACTCTTGACAACTCGATACCAGCTCGTCTACGTGGCTCAACGAACGAAATCACTCTCCAGAGGTCTTGGATATATCAGGGTCTCCTACTGCTCATTCATTCGGTGTAACAGAGAGAAAGTCCATACTACTCTATTGCTCCTTGATACGCGTTCTCACGCGACTGACTCAGGAGAAAAGAATCGGGCCTGCTGAGAGAAGGGAGGGCTGCCAGCTTGGAAAGCCATTCTCTACGTCGTCTGGAGATTGACCACAGGAGAAAGGGTGACACCGTCAAGACTACCCGACCATGCCTTACAACAATGCCCCCATCGAACCACCAGAAGAGATCACTGGCTCAAGCGCTCTTCCCCGTTAGTCACCCCCGGTTTCCCCCCTTCGCCATTTCGACCACCACTGCTGACCTTTGGGAACCAGTCGCACGCGTCAAGAAGATCATTGCCCAGGATGAAGACATCGCGCAGTGCTCGAACCCGGCGGCTTTCGCCATATCGGTCGCAACCGTACGCTTCCCAGTCTTGATGGGTCGAAGTGCCTCGGGGGGTTGATAACTGACCTCTTCTCCAGGAGATATTCATCCGCTATTTGACGGAACAAGCACACAACGTGGTCAAGTCGGAACGGAAACCTCGGAGGAACATCGCCTACAAGGACATAGGTAAGCGAGGAGCCGAAACCTAGGGCTCTAGAGTCATCAACACCAGCCTCTACACACACATACACACACACACATCTCACCCTCAAAGATCTCGCGCTGACCAAGTATGACCACACAAAAAGCCACGGCCGTTTCCAGGGTCGACAACCTCGAGTTCCTGTCCGACACGGTGCCCAAGACCAAGACGTACCGACAGTTCAAGGAGGAGAAGGCGCGCGAGGCCGCCGCCAACGCCGCCGCCTCCTCCATCGGACCGACCGCCAACGGAGTCAACGGCGACGGTGGTGAAAACGGTGTCTCGATCCAGACCATCATGAAGAACGGGCACCATCAGAACGGCCTCGTCAACGGCGACGGCGCGGTAATAAACGGTGCTGCTACACCCGACAGAACCGGTGGCGCTCACCGTCCTTCGTCTAGCCACCACTCGCGCAACCACAGCCACCCCGACCCTGTTAGGGATATTGAGATGACTGGTTGATAGACAGACGGATAGACGGACAAATGGACAGCTAGCACACCGACATCTAGCCATTCGACGGTGGGAAGGTGGGTATTCTACTTCAACGCCCACACCCGGTGTGAGCGTTGAGCCTTTTTCCCTCGCCCTTTTCTTTTATTATAGGTGGACAAGCATACGAGTACGAAGGTCATGAAATGACATGAATTTGCATGGCATGGCATGCTTCTGGTCGCGGTCGCATTGGAGGCGCTCAGGGCGTTGGGTGTTCTTCAGGGAGGTCCACGAGTACGAACTCGAGAGATGAAATCAAGTTCAGGGTATATGCTGATTGCTTGTCCCTGATGCGTGCTGCAGCAATATATGGGATGTATTGGATAGCCAGGGATGGTTGGTTAGGTCACTGCGTTTCGGATGCTGTCAACGGCGGGCAGACACCCAGACACCCAGACACCCAGTACCGAGTATACTATGCATAGCCAGTTGTTCAGATACAAGGGAAGATATGCTTGAATCGCACTGTACCTTCTTTCTCTGCGTGGAAGAGTCAGCTAGCTCCCAACAATGCCCGCGCTGGCTCTCTCAACTTGTCAGGGCATTGACCTTTTACAGCTAGTTTATGTCCTCGACATGTATCGACCAATGTTTTCATACAAAGATACACAGTCCAGGGTCCCCGAAAACGTCTGATGGTCCTAACTCAAGTCATGATATACATTAAATTGCGTCCCACGGCTCTGTGCTCCGTGGTCGTGGACGATTTCGCATGGGCTTCCACCTTCCACTCCCCCCTCCCCGTGGCCAGCTGGATTCCTCCGGTCATCCAAACCCGGTAATGTATATCATATTAATATACAAACATACATGATGAAGGGGAAAGTTGACCTCGTGTACACCCAACCTTGAGACAACACCTGTATAAAACCTGAGAGTCGTCCGTTGTCATTGAAAATCTCATCCCTTTCCAGGTCCTTCCATTCAAGGTTTGTTGTCCACGTAACGTGATAGGGGGGTTTTGCCATTTTTCCATGTTCAGCAGTTTCATAAGTCATTACGCGTACCACCCTTTTTCCTTTTTCATTATGCTTTCGTAGTCTCAGTGGGCGGCGAGGCGTGTCAGTCGAGCAGACACTCTGGCTCGAGGAAAACCTATCTGTGTCCCAGATTCGGCGGAAGCGATCGCCCCGGAAGATACGTAACCCCTTAAGCTGTAGACCGCCCCATCAGTGGCTGGACAGCTTCTGGATGACATTGCTGGAGTATCAAGCCAGGCTAACTGCCCGGTTAGGACAAAGACTAGATAGTACTCTAGTCAGGAACCCTTACGCCCGGGAGAGCGTTAGGCTGGGCTATCACAGGGAAGACGATTCCTCCAGCCGTGGTGGTCTTGTCTGTGACTGTTTTGCCTGCCACGTAAGTCTAGTCGTCTTCGTGGGCGACGAAACTCCCCAGGATCATCTTTCTGACTCGCCCGGTCCAAGGGACGTGGTCAATCATGTCACTGCGGACTTTGTCAATCGACTGGAGTCGGAAGCATGAGTGAGTTTAGATGTCACTTACGGAACTTTGTAGAGCCCGGAAAAGTCATCATCCAACCTTTGGAGCCGTGCAATCGCTTCAGGATAGTCACCAAAGCGGATAAAGGAGATGCTGAACCGACGGTCCTCCATGTGATTGCCATTCAGCGGCGTCTGTCTGACGAAGTCGGCGATCTTAGTTTCGACCGCGGTCTCGCACTTAGTGCCTCTCCACAGGCCATCTGTCAGTACCAAGAGAGTCATCCGCTTGTTCTTGTTGCTTCTGATATATTCGTTGAAGATCACCCCAAGTGTCTCAGTCATGTCTGTCTTCACCTCTTCGGCGGCGTTCTGGGGAAAGGCCGGTTTTTTCTTAACCAAAAGCTTCACAAAGCGTGTTCCTGCTTGACTTCCTTTGCCCTTGTGAGTCTTTTGGGGCGCGCTGGTGAAGACAAGGTCTAGACCATCCTTATCAAGAGGTGCCAGCTTCATGGCCAGTGTTTCCAGGACAAAGGACACGCTGGGCCAGAATTGAAGCATGCTGGAACCGTTGTCGACAACAAAGATCTAGAATCCACTTTAGCCCTGTATCATATCGGGTCAGTTTGGTCCTACCATGTCGCGGTTGACGATAAAGTCCCGCAAGAACTTGTCGACCTTGACATTGCCAGTTATCCGATGGCGCGTCTGTTCGAGGTCTTCCTTGACACGACATATATCATAGTTCTGGTCGAGTGGAGGCGGCTCCCGTGCAGCTGCGAACAAGTCGGCAAACGTGATTGAAGAGCTTCGAGGCTTGGAAATCTCTGCTGATTCGAGCTTGGAATCCCGTCGTGTCGACATTCGCGATGTTGCTGATGTTCTGTCCGGCTGCTCCTCGCCAGGGTGAGAGGTGACCTTGCTGACACGCCGCTGCTGGTATCCCTGCTCGACAGCAGATGTTTCGTGCAGGGGCATTTTGCCTCGGGATTTGTCGCTCTGTAATGTACTTCCGATATCACCCCGAAGTTCTATTACTTGATTAGTTGAGCTTGGCCTGTCATGATCAAGGTCTGCCACAGCTGATCTTGGTGAGAGATGGGACGCCAGCACCAATTCAGATGGTCTCCAGGAATAGGGTTCCGTCAGAACAGTAGCTCCATTGATTTGGGACGTGGGAGATAGGGGCAGGGGAGGCACGAAACTCGCATCTTCTTGGACATCTATGTACCCGTTTGGACTCTCATGCATGTGCGATCCATGGATACCACTGGGCTCGTCCAAGATGGTACCAAACTGAATTTGCGGCGACTCCAGGAGTGGTTTGGGGATTTGCAATTCTTTCGTCAACATCTCTGCTCGGTGGGCTGTTTTCGCGGGAGGGATATTGTCCAGTCGTTGCGACTTGCCTATACGTCCCGACGCCTTGGTCGATTTGGCGGGCTTTGGATGGCTGGCCTGAGCTTGATTGGCCGGTGCTTCCTTGTCGAAGTTGAACAAATCTGTGAGGAGCGACTCGGCGATGCGTTTGCCGAGCGCATCTTTGTCAGTTTTGGCTTTCGCCAGCAGCACTATATCTTCCAACTCGACGCACAGCTCGGCAGAGGTGACCCGCTTTTCAGGGTCTTCCAGCAGCATCCTCTCCTCGACGAGCTTGAGAACTCGGCAAGAGGTGATGTCCGAAGTGCGCACTATGCTCCGCAGATAGTGATGCCATTGAATAACCGCGGGCAACACTGTTCGGCCATTATGGAAAGCATCATGCGCTGTTGGACATCCAGAGTTAGCCCTGTGTTCTGCCGGCCCTTGTTCTCGCAGACGTTTGATGGCCGCTTTCCTGACGAAGTCGTACTGAAGTATTCCCTGCTGCCCAAGGATGACCCAGGTTGCTGCCCGTGACAGCACACATCCGAAGGACCAAGTATCAATGGTCTGGCCGTGAGGCGTGCGTGTCTTGAATCGTGACTGATCCGTCTCGGGGGCACCTGTCACAGCAAAGTCAGAGCTGAGGGTCTTCCTGCGGTGTCTGGGGCGAATTGTCACACCATAAGTCTGAGTGCCACCAACCATGTATTCCCTTGGAGTTGCTTGATTCCCTTTCTTCTTGAATTTGGTAAAGCCAAAGTCTACCAGTTTAAATTCACCATGAACCCTCAAGATATTGTCCGGCTTGACATCGGCATGCCAACTGCAGAGGTCAGCATTGAAGATTTGGAGGACTGAAATCGTATTCATACCCGTGGAATTCCTGGGTTTCACCGTCCCTGCGGATCTTGAGATTGTGTATCCGTCGAAGGGCCTCTGCTATTTTGAACAACGACTTCCAGAACGAGATGATCTCGAGTGACCGCACTGGGGGGCTCGAGTATTCGTGTGCGAAGAACTCATCCAAGTCTAATTCTCCGAATTCGAGCAGGATATTATGCGTCCACAAGCCGGGTGCTTCCTCAAATGAGTAGTGACCGATATATCGAACCATTCCTTCCTGATCCTCCAGGCCGGCGAACGCATTTTTCTCCCATTCGAACATCTCTTGGTTTTGCGAGGCGTAGGATTTCAACGCCAGCTCATAGAACTATAGAAATATTAGACTTGATATCAGATGGACCGGTTTCATATGCCTGCTCACCTGTCCTTCATCCTGGTATTCAATCCTTGAACCCTGAAGAAATTCCCTCAGGTCCTGCTCTATGCACTCAGCCGGGACAAGAACCTGGAACACTTCTGCCGTTCCGCCCTTGCCATTTACTGGCTGGCGTTTGTAGTATGGAAAGACACACCGTCTGGGAAAGTCCCCGTGCATGCGTCGTTTTAGAACTACAGGGCAAAACGACCACTTCCTTTCCTTGAAACTTTCGACAACGGTGTCTGCATTGGGAACTTCTGCGCGTTCCAAGTACTGTTTCAGAATCTTGTAGTGATATTCTGCGGACGCGGTATGCACACTTGCGTCGGTTATGTTGGCCTCGACAAAGAGGTCCAGGAGATGTCCATAGTCGATAGCGAGGAGAACACTGAAGACGATGATGGCACAGTCGACGCCGCTGGAGAAATTCTCTGCAGACGGTTTGAAAGTCGAATTAGGTCTGGAGCGCCAGACTTCGTCGTGAAGCCGATTGAGGTTGGTAGCTTTGTGCTCTGCTTTCACAGAAGTCATCCATCGTAGGACTTCGTTGGTTTTGATATAGTGACGACCACAATAAGTGTTTTGTTTCCAACAGCCATCTAAGTTTGTTCGAAACTCTTGTAGCAAGTGCGATGGATCTGAGGACCGAGCTCCGGGAGTCATGTTGAGGTTGACGTCCAGAAGGACATTAGATCAGTCGCAATGGAAACTCGATAGGATTCAAGAACGGGGAACAGGCGAAAGCAGAATCCGCAACTTAAGAAGAGGTCGGCGCCAGCATGGACTGCAAAAGGCGACCGTCCGCAACGAGGCAACTCATGCTCAAGACTGCGATGAGGCTGTGGGAGGGGCTGGCCGGGTTTAATACCTCTTGGGCAACAATGTCGAAGCACCGCTAGAACCAAAGCATTCTAGTACTCTGCACCGTGCTGGGAAGAACCCATGCCTGCAGCTGCTCTCTGTACTTCGCGCCCGGTTCATCGCGCCCCTGCAGGCTGCCTGCCGAATAGTCAGGGCCTGTCCCTCCTCGCGGGTTCGGGAGGGTCAGCCGCATTGTGTCCAGCTGAGGCTCAAAGTGGAGGCATAGGACATCGCTCATTCGCCTCTAATGCCTGCCCTCGGATGGGTTCAAGGAGGTGCCTAATCAGCAGCAGCCCTTCGCATACGCAGTTCTCCTGATTCGGTTCGTGGTGAAGAGTTGGACCAAACGAGTCTGTCGGAATACACTTAGAGGAGAACAGCAGTCCAGCCAATAGTTGCCCCAAAACATCCTAGGTGACTTGCTGATTATACTGCGTAGTATCGATGTAGCTGTATCCGTGATTTGTGCCCCGCTTATGTATAGTGCTGCTATATCCTTACATCGATGCTTTAGATCCGTTTTGGCGCCTGGGCGATCGGGGCCGTTGCTTCCGGAAGATCATTTTCATGACACTGGCGTTAGAAGGTTGGCATCTGCCATTAGAGGAAGCCACACGCCTCCACAATGGTACAAGCAATGTGTCCAGATCTCAATCATCAGTCTCAAGGCCGTTCGATATCGCAACGCTCAACGACCGGACTGCCCTCGGCGGAATCGACAAACGTACGACGTCCGCCAGAGGAACGGATCGCGTCCCGACCCGTTCAGCAGTAAGAGTATGTATTACTGAATCCAATCCCCAAACTCAGACCACGCTACTGGCAATGCTGGTATGCGGAAACGGCGTGCCAAAGTTTGAAATCGCGATAGAACGATTGATATTCTTTGGCTGTTGCTCTTGACTTCGACCATCCCGTCTCCGTCTCTTGTTCTCGGTAATCCTAAGGGCCCAGATTGCCCCAACCAATGTAAAGAAAGTCAAGGGCAAGGTCACTTGTAACCATCTGTACAGCGCCACCTCGGAGAAGACGCCATTCGTAGGTGGTCCTCCCGCCTGGTCTTGATACTTGACAATGTCAGTGCCGAAGAAGGTCTGGCTTGATCAGTAAAGGAAGACTTATTGGTGTACAGTATTCATGTACTTACCGAAACAAATGTCGCGGGAAGATACACCAGGGTGACAATGGTGATGATTCGCATAACAATGGCTTCACCTTCCATGTTCAAATTCAATTCCTCCATACGCTCAGTTGCTTGGCTTTGTAACAGCTGGGTGATCTACGGCCAATGTCAGTTTCGGCTCCATCGTGGTGTTCCTCCAGGCAAGTTACTAACCAGTTCTTTCCGGTCTTTGGTGATCTTAACCAGTAGATTTGCGCGTACAATCTGCAGCTTCAAGTTCGAGATCATGTCGTTGATCTGTGCGATGAAAGTGGCTATGTCGGCGTCACATTCGTCTTTCAACGTCTGAGGGATCTCCTTCTTCGTCATCAGGGATTCGTAGAATTTGCACAGAGACTGCATGACGTCCACGTTGGCCTCCAAAACCATTATGGCCTCATTGATCTGGTCCTCTCGCCCCTGAACGTTTTGGAGATTTCCGAGGGTATAGTTGTACTGCGCACGGCGCACTCCACGAAGACCAAGGACTGCCATAGAAGTCTCCTTTTCTACCACGGATTCGAGCCAAAGAATATGCCATCGCCAGTTCACCGTCGACCAGTGGCAGAACAGCAGATGAGGAGCAAGGCTCGACCGGAAGCTCTCTTGTAGTGTGTTGAATGCCTTGTTCTCTGGCCTGCCTTCCTTGCCTGTCAATGATTTGTAGCGGTCGAGCAAGTCGTCGCTGCCCTTTGTGACGATCCAAAGCGTGGTGCCGTAGACGATGTCGAACTGATGATGTATTGCAGCAGGTTGGATTGACCACTCCCCCAGACTGATGTCTTTGGGGTCTTCAGACTTCAAAGCTATCGTCTTCAGGTTGTAGCATAGCTGGTACAGCCGACCACTTCGTCCAAGGCTCGGGATTGCCAATCCACGGGGTGGATCGGACAGAAAGCTTTGTTGGCGAAAGCCGCTGAATCTTCGATCCCTGGGCTCGTTCTGGGCGCCAAAAACAAAAATGAAGTCGAGATAAACGGGCATGACTTGATGATAGGAGAAAATCTGGCACATAAGCTGGCGAGTGATGTTCAGATGGGCTCTAGAGTGCTTGCCCTTGATGTATCTAAAATTTTCTCAATGACTTGAAATCTGACAATGATGGCGAGCTCACATGAAGCGGGACCCTGGGTCTCTTCTTTGTGCAGTCATTGTCGACATCGAGGGATTACTCGGATCAGGTCCGGTGTGTATTCCCAGGAAACTTGTTGCTTTGGCCGCATCGTGAGCATTGACCTTTTCCAGCTCTACTACAGTCAGTCACGCCAAATGGAGGATGGGTTTGAATCGGACCAATTGTCGAAGAACAGTGTAGGTCCCGAAATGATACTTCAATTTTCAGCTCATGTGCAAAGTCGATGAACAGATCCACTTCGGCATTGTCTAACAGCCGCTTGTATATCTGCAAATCACTGGTGTAGGTGTCTGTGCTACCAGATGGCAAGTTCTCGGGGTATCGATTCGAGTCCTGATACGACTGCTGGAACTGCGACGGGATCTGTAGAGCTGGCATTTCCAAAGCGACGTTGTCTGTATGACACTCATTCCAAAGTTCTAACCCAGCGGGAGCGGTCAAGATATATTGCTATATATTGCTGTCGCCTGTTCCGCCACTTCGATGGCGGAGTCGATGTGGTGTATGATCACGAAAGAGCCCGCCGCTGTCCAATGATCGCCTGTGAGTAGGGCCGGCATTTCCATGTCCCAGTGTTTCTGAGAAACGAAGTTGAGAAACGAGAAGTGGTCCTTGGCTAGAGCGCCTCACTACAGTGGCGCGGCGGAATTCGCTCTCGTACTGCGTACAAGTCGAAATAAGCGGGTGGATGGATAACTGCCCCAGTCTTGCTCTTCAGCCTCACTGGCCGACGGCGTCGCCTACAGGATCTGCACGGATGGGCACATTGGCACCTAATAATCAACAACTCAGCCTCAACCCAGTCTGCCCGCTTGTGTCACTTTCCACAGACTTGCACTCTGCCAGCCCGTTGGCCCCTTCTCCCCTAGCTACTCTTGCTCAGTGTCCGAGCCAGCTGTGCCACGTTCCAATTTCCGGAGTACATGTATTGTCCACGGAGTAGATGTCGTCTGTCCGTGTGCCACTTGTCTCCTACTCAGGAGATACAGACCGACGACCTTGTGCCTGCGACGTGGCCGGCGGCTGCAGGTGGCTATCCCTTAGCTTTAAAAGCTCTCTCTTGTCTTCCTGGTTTGTAGTTAGTACAAGCACGAGAAACTCCTCTGTCAATGGTGCCTCAGGCAGAGGATGGACTCCATCCTACGTCATTTAGCGGTTCGGGCACCGCAAAGATCCAGTGATCACGAGTCTGTGAAACCACAGATGTTAGAATGGCGGACATGGGGCATTGTTTTAACCAAAACTTACTCGGTCTTCGTGGAATTCGAGTCCAGGATAGGCGGATTGGGGGAAACGGCGCTCCAGGAATCCTTTGAGCTTTTCCCATGTCATGCCGTTATACACTCCATAGCTTTCGGGATAAAGCCTGTACTTCGGCTCCTCCCTGCTGCCTTGTTGGGAAAATGGCTGGATCAATCTGCGCCCCAGGGACAGACCATGACTGCTGTCGCCCGTGGGCCTCCGACTCATATTTCTAGACATGTTGCCTTTAGCGACAGAAGATAGTCTAAGAGATTAGGCGAGAGGGTCAAGTTCAGGTGTGAAAAGGAAGCCTTGAGATCAGAGCAATTCATTCTTTCAACCTTACCCAGCCGCACACTCTCTCCATGGCAATCGAGACCGCGAAGTGGGCGAGCGTTCCAGCTGACCGGTGTGCCACACATCCCGTGCGGCCACGTTCACTCATGGGCTCGTTTGGAAAAATCCGGTCAACGTGGCGTTAAGCAATGCCCAATTATTGGGCGCCGCAGGTGATTGCCCTGAGAAGGCATGCATGTTCTGTGCGAGTAGACCCTGGCAAGATTACCAACGTGCTGGCTCACGTCAATGCGTGAATGTGTGAGTGTGCTCCTTCCCTGTCCAGGGCTTGTGTAACCTCCTTGACGCCTCGGGCAGCATCAAGTAGGGAAACTTGGAAATAAGCCTAAGGCAAAGAAGGGCAATTCGGATGATGGTCTGGGGCTGTTTCACCCGGATTGTACACCCAACTTTTCACTATCGTCTCCGTTGAGTTGGCTCATGCGTACATAGAGAGGTGGATGATGCTATGCCCTGTGCCAAAATCATCGAATCCGGCCGTGTCGTGGCTTCCATGGCCGTCCAGATTGAGGATACACCGTAATCCCATGTTAGTCTTCTCCCTTCATGGGTCTGATAAAGCGCTTAATCCATTCTGATCCGAGCTCGACAGTGTTCTAGCCGTTGTCATTCAGAGCGATTGGCTCTATCAATACCTTTGGATCTTGTCAATCACTCTGCTATGCTAGCATTGTCAACATTACCTAACGCGCCTGGCACAAATTCGTGGCTATATAATTACACTCCCCTCCCATGGACGATAGAGGATCGTCGTAGTCATTGTCCCTGCTGCTTATGCACTGAATGTTCATGAAGCTTTACCACCACTGTCGGAATAGCAGCCACACCTGGCCTGAAACAGAAGCTCAAGGCTCCCTCATCTGGGATACAGCCCCTGAGCCTCCGTGATCAATGCCGTAGCACTAAAGGATCACATAACCTAGATGATTCTCGGTTTCGCAGAACGGAACGACCGTTGCTGGATTTGAATGGCTGGGTATTATGCCTCTTCCATGACAAAGTCCAATGAGTACCTGAGTTCACCTCAAATGCGGACATGTGTGTTTGAAGTCCACTGAGCCAGAAACACACCAGTACAGAGGGGATCGAAGGCATCGGCGTTCGCCATCAAAACGACGAAAAGTGGAGGTATATGTCATCATATGTGTGGCAAATATACAGCCCAGTCCACATTTTGAAAAACAGTTGCCGGTAATGCTCGGAGACCGATGAGATCCTCCAACAAGACATATATACGACACACAGTATAGATGGCGCAGATGGGTTGTGTGAGCAGCATTGATTTCACAGGTACATCCAGGGCGGGGTCTTTGTCCAGGGAATTATTAAAGCGTTTGTTGGCAATTCTCTCAAAGACGTTGGGGGATGGTGTCTTTTGGGTCATTTCTGTCCCGTCGCAGGCTTCCTCATCTTTCGGATTGCGAGGTGAAGGAAGTGCTATCTCGACTATCCCGACGACAAGCGTAAGTGCCATGGTTAAAGAGCTACAGATGCGCCAAATCTGTCTCTCTGCTGAGGAAGGAAATTCAAAATTCCACGCAATCATCAGTATCGCCGAGTAGGCCACAGCCATGGACAGGCAAACCACGGTCCCACCCGTAGAGAGCTTTGGAAAGTTGAAAGAGGACAAATGCTGAATAGGAAGCACTCGAGGCCGCTGGCGCACGATGTGCAGTTTCCGCAGTATGTTGACGTTGTAACTCCATAGCTTGGTGCCTATCCATTCTTCGCGGCTGAGGAAATCGAGTGGTGTCGTTTTGTAGGGCTCTGAGCAGAGATCCCCGGCATCTTCGAGGATGTCGTACATTGAGCGATCTGTCTCAAGAACTATGGCCGTGCCCACATCCATTGGCTTATGTCTCCAACAGAAATTGACACCCAGAGTGCAGACGATCGATGCAATAGTGGTGATTTCGATGGTTGTCACTGCGAGCTTTTGCGTAGGCCGAGCGATGACATTAAGAACGAACCAGATGATCTGGCATGCGGTGACAAACCTGGCAAATGTGTGTCAGTAATAGTTTAAAACTTGTGCCTGCTGTAACCTCACGCACCTTGCTAAGCTGTCCGACTTGTTTCTGTCATTGATTTGGCTTACTCTGGTCTCCGGATATCGGATGTGGCCACGCTCAATCAAGTACAACAGTTGTTTCGCATTGACTGGAAACTCCTTCCAGCCACGGGGTTTAAGGACAAAGCCGCCCATGTCGGCATAAAATCCTTGTTTAATGGTCCAATCCCTGAAGCCTTTATCATGGTACAGCTTGACGGTGGCATCCGCACGCATATACTGTCCTAGAGCCAGCATAAAGACAAATTCTGGACCAAGCATAGATAAGCAAAACATATGCCATTTGTCCCAGAATAAATCCCATCTGGAATGGTCGGATGCTGGTACGTTGACGCAGATTGAGGACCAGCCGCATAAGAAGATGGTCACAGCACAAGAGACAAGGATATCGAGGGTGCCCCGGCCATTTGGCTGCGGAACCCAGCCTCTAATCGTCGTATTCGTATGCTCGGTACCAGTGTTGCTGATGTTCATCGCGTTCCAAGTCTCGCGCACATGGTTGAACTTTTCATCACTCCATCACACTATTCATTCCACAGGTGGAGTGTCGCCATAGATATAAACTAGTCATCAGCGATAGAGAGTCTGATCGTTATGGCCCGGGTCGGCGTACCGTGGACATACTCCGTACAGGAGGTATCAGAATCCCAAACTCGGCCGGGCTAGTGGGCGAGGCAGGTGTTTCACTAACGCCGGGCTTTGGCTAAGCGCCGGCCATGCATGTTTACCACGGAAGGAATAAGACTGGGATATCAGTCCCTGTCGGATACACCGGGCTCTATGATAAAACACTGCCCAGGCCAGGGGATCATGCAGGGAGAATACCATGATATCCAAATCGAGGGGAAGCAATTTCGGCTGGTCTCGGTCAGGTCAGACTGGTTTTGGGCAGAATATATCTGCTGCCAGGCGCTGCGACGGCAGCAAATAGCCGCTGGAAAGAGGCTGCGAAGGCTATGCCGGGGATAGACATTGTAAAGAGGCACTGTGAAGATGTTAAACAAACAAGAATCAAGTATTAATTCAGATGTGAATCTTTGTGTAAGATTAATGTAGTCCGTAATCCAGGCGTGAAGCGATGCACATGTTACTTGCGCCTGCGGCGCCATGCTCCGCCCCAGTAATCATGTGATTGCACCTGCAGCAAGATCGACACCCCAGAAACTCAACTTTCTTTCTGTTCAACGACTCCTGGCTATTTGGTTTCTAGCATTCCCAATAGGATCGCCTTTTAGATTTCTAGAGAAGCCCAAAAACATGACAGGCAAGTGTGCCCTATCTGGTCAATTACAGCAAGCCATCTCCGCTGACAAATGAAAACCAGAGCCAGCGCCGCACCGCTTTAAGCGTCGGTATGTCCTCGCCTTGTTTACTGCGCTTGCCGCAGCGCTTTTCGGTACATGCGATCCCTTCCTCGTCCACCAGGGCAGCGACTGACGCTTAAAACTCACAGCTGTGATTGCAAACAATGGGACTCACAATCCATCTGTACAAGAATACTACACAAGCCTCGAGTCACGCTTGGGTTACTACCTCCTGCTGGGAAATACGCGGCACTGTGGACTCTACCCCCGCGGCCAGTTGTGGCCGTTCCCTGTCGGCAAAGCACAGCGGGCTATGGAAGATTATCTCTTCACCAGGCTGAATCTCAAGCCTGGGTCTCGCATCCTAGACGCTGGTGCAGGATCTGGATATGTGGCTATGCGCCTAGCGGAGAAAGGGCTTACAGTCGAAGCCGTCGACATCACGCCGCTGCATGTCGAGGATGCTCGTCGCAACGTGGAAGCCCGTGGGCTCCAAGATAAGATCTCCGTTCGACTAGGAGACTATCATAATCTCACGGATTTCAATGACGCATCTTTTGATGGCATCTATACGATGGAAACCTTCGTGCACGCAGACGACCCCTTGAGAGTGCTGCAAAATTTCTATCGCTTACTTCGCCCGGGTGGCGTACTCGTGCAGAATGAGGCTGACTTCAACCGGAATTCTGAGCTGTTGCAAGATGTGCTCCGGCTTTCACATTGTCAAAACACCCTTGAGGAAGGTGCCCTGAGGGAAATGCTCGAACAAGTTGGCTTCAAAGATGTTGATCTAGATGACCTCACCGATGAGGTCCTCCCGCTATGGCGCTTATTTGGCGTCATTGGGTACGTTCCTTATCAGATCTTGCGGCTCTTTGGACTACACACCCGCTTCACAAATCTTATGGCCGGTGTCGAGTCGTACCTCCATTGGGGTGAGGGAAGGTATATTTCTGTCAGAGCTATCAAGCCTTGAGATCGTTACGGGGGGGCAAACGACGTCAGCTGCCCGCAAGAGGACGATTAGGGTGTGCATACGTATCACATCCCCCGGGCGGAATACCTGGCCGGTAGACAGCAATAACGCAATTCACGGGTGAGCTGCGCATTCTCGGGCCAAAACGCGGCCTTCTGCGCATCTTGTATAATGCTTCTACAACAGCTCAGATGTGGCCTCAAGAGAAGCCAGACATACAGCCTGCGAAAGGAGCTATCAAAAAAAGCCCACAGTCACAGCAATCCACCCTCTGCACAGACATATGGTGCAATGGGGAGCACGCTCCGCAGCAGATGTGCCGGAATCAAATCATGATGCGATCATACTTCCAGTGCAAAGTTGCATACGGACCTAGAAAAATAGGTGCTGGTCGAGCCTATCCTCGGACTGGATTCAAGAGGATGTTGAGCTTGAAGCAGTTTTAACTTCACTTTTGCGTGTCGTGACAAACTGAGAGTCGATATGAGGCTCACTATACTCCTGGGTGGCATGGCAACCCGACGCTCTCGACTGCTTGGGTCAGGGAAAGACGAATGTACTGCACAGATGAACCTGAACAGGCTCTCTTGGCTATTCATTTTCAATTGTATGCAGCGGCATCTTCTGCATGTATGCTCTTCTTGCCATTAGAAGAGGCATGATCTTGCTTCATAGCACCTAAGTCCTTCTATATATTGTACGATTTCGCGACTTCAACGAGATGACAGCACGCCGCTTGCCAAGTAGTATAATATTTGATTGCTAAGGACACTGCTTCTGCTAGGAACATAGTCTCTGCATGCTTCGGAATACCATGGTGCCGACAGATGATCTCTTCCCGGCCCTGGACCGAATAGATGTTTACACGACCTCAAGATGTACCAAGATTTCGCTTCATTTGAGGGCATGCTTTCTGATCGAGGTCTCTATGGCTCCAGGTGCATGGGGTTTGGTCCTGTACACTACGTCTCTGTGGAGAGAAATCGAGACGACATATTCGGTCATTTGAAACGCGACGAGCTTCCCGGCCAATCAGCGTCGATGCAAAAGATCTTGTCTCTTGGCGGACGCTAGGGCTCCTTGTCAAATGCGCCTCAAGCAACCAGCTCCAGCATCTCCTCAAGCTTCGACTTGGACCACCACGGCCTCTGTTCTCTTCCTCATTCTCAAGATGCGTCCCGTTCCGTCGTCGGCAGGCTCTGCCCTGCGCACTTGGACCCGACACAGCCTGCCTACCAGCTCCTCCTCAGCTTCCTCACCATCCTCCCGGCTCGCCATCACAGCTTCAAACATCCCCCAGCGACGACTGGAATCCTCCGGAGCGCCAGGGAGCAGCAGCTTCCAGAGCCCTTTCACGACGCCCAAGTATGATACGCGCAAGATCCCCAGCTTCAAAACGTATGAGTCCAAAAACTCCGAGGTCACGAATCGAGTCTTCCAGTATTTCATGGCCGGATCAATGGGATTGTTGGCAGCTGCCGGAGCAAAAAATACCGTCCAAGGTAGAATTACCCGCACTTGAGCTTTACTTTACACAACTCTTGGGATCTATGGCACCGAAGCGCTGCATTCGAGTGGTACAGAGCTGATCATATTACCAAATGATACAGACTTCCTAGAAAACATGTCCGCCTCTGCCGACGTGCTGGCCCAAGCGAAAGTGGAAATTGACCTGGCCTCCATCCCCGAGGGGAAGAACGTCATCATCAAATGGAGAGGAAAGCCTGTCTTCATCCGTCATCGCACCGAAGACGAGATCAAGGAGGCCGAATCTGTTGAGTATGTCCCAATCAAAGCTCCGCTCACTTGAGGTAGATGTCCTGTTCTAATGGTCGCTCACAGTCTCTCAATTCTCCGTGACCCCGAAAAAGATTCTGACCGCGTCAAGAAGCCCGAGTGGCTGGTCATGTTGGGCGTCTGCACACACTTGGGGTGCGTCCCCATCGGCGAAGCTGGTGATTTTGGCGGTTGGTTCTGTCCCTGCCACGGCTCGCATTATGATATTTCGGGACGAGTGAGGAAGGGACCCGCGCCACTGAACTTGGAGGTTCCCGAATATGATTTCCCAGAAGAGGACAAATTGGTCATCGGTTAGAAGACGCATCGCATCGAGATGGCAGGAAGAACGACGAGCTGCCCGGGATTCTCCTTCTTGATTGGCGTGCGGCACCTGTGAAGAATGAAGAGACCAAGCTGGGGCCAGGACCCTCAGATGCGCAAGAGTTATTGTACATATTAGACAGCAAGAAGCTGGGAGATGCCGGGATACGGGAGGTTGCAGTAGCATCCGAGAGCTATTCCGTCGCTGGCTGTGAGGAAGGGAGCAAGGACCACAAAACAAAACCCAAATATATTTATTATTTCTGTTTGCCCAAAAATGCTACGTTGGTACCTGTCTCTGGATCCTTCGCCCCTTGTTCTCGCGCAGAGCCAAGTTCGATGCCAACCCGCGGCAGTACTGATAATCAACCACTCGACCCGAACCACCAAGCTAACGAAGTGTAAATGTGTGCAAAGGACAAGGATTGATCACGCCAGGCACCTCAGGTAGGTAGGTATAAAATAGAACGAACCCGAGAGCTCCCTCCGTTATGGATGTCTTTTGTTTCTCATGTCATGCCATGGCATGAGTGCATGCCACGAGCTCGCTTTTCCTATATCGTACAGTACAAGAGTATATAATCCGTACTACTTCTACCCCTCCCCACCCTTCGCTACCTCGAGGTCCTCACGTACATGGGATGTAAGGACACTGATCAGTAGTCGGGTGTGATCGATCTACCGAGCATAAGATGAGTGTTGTTTTGTGGTCCGTATCGCGGGCAGGTGGACAGTTGGATGGACGGGATGGTATGATCGATAGATATACCGAGTGGCAGGGAGGGAGGGAAATAGGTAGATAGGTAGATGGGTAAGTCCGTGGCTGGATGGATGGAAATATGTACAGACAACAACAAGCCAAGCCAGACGACTTCTGCACAGCCCGGCTCGAAATGGTCTTGGTTTGACCCATCAGAAGAGTCGTCGAGGGTAAGTACACAGGCTGCATGTGATAAGATAATACACTACCGCGGCCGGAGGAGCACAAACAGGAGGCCCATGATGGCCATGCCGCCGGCGACACCTTCCATGGCCACGGTGGTCAAGTCCCGCTGCGACACCAGGATCTTGTGGTCGTCGCTGAACAGCGCCCTCAGCGAATCTTCGTACCCAGCGAGCCAGGACTCGGGTGATGTCCAGCGGGAGAGCCCCTGACTGGCGGGCTGCTGTGACGGCGTCACGTCGGCGAGGACCGAGGATGATAGAGCGCCATCCGAAGCGCCTGCAGCAGGCGTGGTGATCGTCTCTTCGGCCTCGATTTCGCGTGCCGTGACGATTTCGGCGGCTGCCTCGATGTTCGATAATGGTGGCGGCGTTGGAGCTTTCTCGTCTGATGTAGAACCTGTCACAGCATCCACGATCTGTTCAGCAATGTTGTCTGCCACCGCCTCGACTTTTTCGCCTGCTGTCATGCTCGTTGCAGCTTCCGCCATGCTCTGATTCGGCTGTACCGCTGCCATCTGGGGCTCTCCAACCCGTTCCTTCAGTGCCAACTCCACCTTCTCTTCGAAGCCTTTCACCAAGCGTTTCCTCCGCCAAGGCTCCAAGACGACCTGGAAGATGAGGAACAGCAGCACGTTGATTCCCATCAATCCCCACGTACCCCACGTGGACATCTGCCTTATTTTATCACTCCAAATTTGTTCTTCATGGTATCGGGCCAAGATCGCCTTGGCAAGCTTTGTGGAGGCTTCCTCATACCGGGCTTCTGCGTCGCTGACTTCCTTTTGGGCGGCAGATTCGGCTTGTTCGTTAGCGTGGTCTGATCGGTAAAGAGTGGTAAATCTCTCCAAATCCGCAGGCGACCAGGTATGCTTTCGATGTAGCAAGTCATTGACCTCACGTTGCGTAGTACTACGCTGAGCGATTGCATCACTGTACCGCTCCCGGGCGTCCTTCACTGCTGCACGACATTCCTGGACCACAGCTTCTTGTCGTTCTATGTCCGTCTTTAACGCTTCGATTCCCGAGTAGCCTGTCAGGTCATTGAGGCGACGAGAGGCCGTAAAGACGTGGGTTTGGAAGTTGTCCATGAAATGGGCGAAGCGTTGTTGAAGGTCTGTGTAGCGGGAGGAGATGGCGGACGGGAGGGGCTGACGGGAAGAATTGGACGACGGCGCAGGTCTCGGTTTATCGGGGGCCTTGTGTTCTTCAGATTTGGAGGCATGTACTATTGAGGAGGACTCGGGAATAGTGTGGACAATCGTTTCATCTTGATGGTGCTTGAGCTTGTGTGGCATCTGCGCCGCTGCATCTGCTCTCGAGTCCAGGCTCTCGTCTATTCGGTCCTTTGCATCTTCTATCTCTCGACTGATATCCGACTTCTTCTCGCTATAAAACCGAGCTTGAACAGCTATCCGCGGCGGTTGGTGAGTCCATGGCTGCGTATTTGCACGCACCACTGAGGAGAATTGACGAGGGGAAGCGAGGGATCGGTGGACGGGCTTCGCGGCACGAAAAGCGGACCATAGTGTCTGGGACAGTCGGAGGGGAGCTTGCTGCATCGCGAGCAGCAATCTGAACTTCACATCCACCGAGGCCACGAGCACAGTGTCACTGTTCCGGCTGAGCAGACACCACAAGGAACAGCTCCCATTGAGCGGCGAGTTTTTTTTTTCGGGGAGGCAGGTTTGCCGGCTCCGAGAACCCGTGGCAATAACACATAGAGCAATTGAGCCGGCGACGTCATCGGCGGCATAAATGCAGTTCTTGGCCGGGATTCCTCTTTGGGCCATGCAACCTCCCCGCCAAAAAAAGATCCCAATGCTGCTGGCCAACGTACACGGAAAATCTCTAACCTCAAACTATCCTCTGTTCCCCGGCGCGGCAAACCACCCAACCATAAATCGGATTACCTTGCGCTGACTCTTCCATCGGCCTTGTTCCGGTTAGAGGACAGAAAACGGCATCTAAGACCGACTATATCGGTCTGTAAGAGGTTTTCTCCCACTGCCTCTCTATCTTTGCCCTCCTCCATTTCGCTCTGAGGAACGCCCCCTAGACCGACTATTCAAGATGCCGTTTCCACAAACCCTCGAGGCCAAGCCTCGGGTGATATTCTTTACCGATTTCGACGGCACCATCACCCTCCAAGACACCAACGACTTCATCACCGACAACTACGGGATGGGCTACGAGAAGCGGCGGAAACTGTTTCACGCCGTCATCGACAAGACGGACACCTTCCGGAACACATTCCAGCAGATGGTGGACTCCTGGAACATGCCGTTCCCGCGCGTCCTGGAGATCCTGAAGGAGAACATCACCCTGGACCCAGCGTTTCGAGATTTTGTGCTGTGGGCCCGCGACCACAAGGTCCCCGTCATCGTGCTGAGCAGCGGCATGGCCCCCGTGCTGGAAGCCCTGCTGAACCACCTGCTGGGCGAAGACCTGATGCAGGATCTGGAGATCGTGGCCAACGCGACGCAGCTACGGCCGCCCGGGAACTCGCTCGACGCGCCCGATGGCTGGACGATCCGGTACCGCGACGACTCAGGCTTCGGACACGACAAGTCTCTCACGATCCGCCCTTACGCGGATGCCATCGCCAAGATGCCCGTGCATGAGCGACCCACGCTGCTGTATGCGGGCGACGGCGTCTCCGACCTGAGTGCCGCAAGGGAGACGGATCTGCTGTTCGCCCGAGAAGGCATGGATCTCGTGACTTACTGCGAGAATGAGGGGATCCCGTTCACGGAATTCAGCGGCTGGGACAGCATCCTCGAAGAGACCAAGGACATCTACGAGGGCCGTAAGACGGTCAAGAATCTCGCCGAGGAGGGTCTTAGGAGACATCGGACCAATTCTATGGAGTCGAACGGGGCGGTCAAGCCCACGATCAGATGAATCGTTGGCATTTGCACTTGAACGCAGCATTTCATGCAGGACGCGACAGGCACGCAAGCGAGGGATCCAGACTGGACGAACACGCGTGGGAATCGGAACTGATAAAATTCCAGGATGAGACGGCACAGATCTGCCACGAACTACCATAGACAGCGATAGACTTCGAATACAAATAGAACACGTGCATTGATGATGTCCAAGGAATACATATTGCTTCCCCCCGCCATGCTATTTAGACTCGACAACAAACCCCCTCCCATGGCCCCGTGTGTGCAATGTCGGGGAACAAGAATGTACTGTGAACCAGAAAATCAAGCGTGCTTTTCATCGTACTCGTTCAAAGCCCTCCGCAAACCCTCTTCGTCCCGGGGCACCACCCGCACGGTGTACCGGCGCGGCACGCTCACCAGCTGTGTCTGATCCTGCACGCCTTTCACGGGGTGCGTCTCGACCACGCCGTCGCCGTCGGCCGGGCGTACGTCTTTGATCTCGAACGCGCTGAGCAGCCGCAGGTAGATGGTGTACATCTCGCGGTTCGCCAGCAGACTGCCCGCGCACATGCGGTAGCCCAGGCCGTACGTGAACAGCGGGGCGTCCGGGTTCTCGAGCCAGCGCTCGGGCCGGAATGTGAACGGGTCCGACCACACCTCTGGGTCCATGTTGCAGGCCCAGGCGTTCAGGAACACGACGCTCCCCGCGGGAATCGTGTGACCGTTGTACACGACGTCCTTGACTGTGCCGCGGGGCAGGCTGAGCCGGAGCACGGTGTAGTATCGGAGCAGCTCTCGGACGAGGGCCACGATGTAGGGGATGGATTGGTCGTCATACGCGTCGCAGAGGATCTGGTCCTGCGGGTAGACCTTGCGGATCTCCTCGAGAGCCTTCTGTTGGATCTCGGGCCGTTGGGCGAGGAGCGCCATCGACCACGCGACCAGGGTCGTGAGCGTGTCCAGCCCGCCGGAGAGCATGGTCAGAGAAATGGAGATGAGTTCCTCGCTGTTGAGCTTCGCTTCCTTGTCGAGGATGACGTTCGCTTGAATGCAAGGTTGATGGATCCCCTTGGCCATCCGGTCGTCGAGGTCGTCGTTCAGTTTCTTCAGATAAACGTCTCTCCGGCGCCGCATGTCGCGGGCGTGCGCACTGCCGAAGCTGAACGGATTCAGTCGAAGAAGCGGGATATAGTCCTGCAGGTTGCCGGTGGTGGAACGGAACTTGGACACTTCTTCCTCCACGTGTGTGATTTCTCCAAATAGTTCGTCGTTTTGAGACGCCATGCGAGTTCCCCAATTCAAGGTCAGTGCCAACGACAGTGAAAGGCGTTGAATCATGGGCATCGGGTCAACAGGTGTCCGTCCGCCATCGCCATAAGTGAGGAACTCGTTCAAGAAATCCCGTGTCTCGACGTCGATGTGCGGGATGTACGTTGCCACACTCGGTTTATTCAGCGCAGATGCTGCGCCCTTTCTTCGCCTCTTCAGAGACTCTGAAAAGGGAGAGGTTCCGATCGTTGTCCCGCTTGTAGAACTCACTACCTTGTGAAAAGTGTAGAACTCGGGCCTAGAGGCCAGTGCTTGAGAATTTGCCCCGAAGATCTCGCGCGCGGCTTTGCTGCCGTTCACCACGATGACAGGGATGTTGCCCAGCATAATTTGGTATACGCTGCCATACTTCTGGGACCACAGCCGATATTGCTCTGCTGCGTTGACGCGAATTTGATGGATATTACCGATCATAGGCAGCCCGGAAGGGCCATCAAATCCCGGGATGCGTGCTTGGTGTCTTTGAATCTCGGTGATCAGCAGGTATAGAAGGGCGGAGGCTGCTGCGAAGTACGCCACGAATGCTAAGGGGGAGTCCTGGGCGTGGCCCACGAGGAATTTCAGTGTTTTGTCAATCATCTTGGAATTCCCGTAGATGGCTGATGAGAGGCAAAGAAAGAGAAATGAGAGAATGGGACGAGGGAGTGGTGTACAAGACGGAAGCCGAAGACAGTAAAACCCGGTATATATCACCCTCCAAACGAAAGATCCACCCCGGAATTCTGATGTGAGGGGATGGCACCGGGACTGTGGAGAGATACGGTGACCTCCCACCACGCCGCTGTCACATTCCGTGGTGTTTTTGTGGAGGGCGGAATCAGGACCGCAGCACGGAGATGCTCGCTTGAAGAAGCCCCAGGCTATAGGAATTCGTTCATTGGATACTTCTGCATGAACCAGGTTGTTTCGGTGGAGGCCATTCCGATGGATGGCCCCATCTCCATCAAACTGAAATATGCTGCAAATAGCATTCATTCCATGCTGAACCCAAGTAGTCAGAAAAAGCGAATGCCTCAAAGAAATGCGGTGGAATCCTGGGGGTTAATCCGGCGCCTGTAGCACATGGGACCTGCCAGTTCCTGATGGCATATCCGATGGCAGATCTGCTGTCACCTTCATTCTTGCGGAAACGATTGCCAGAATCTGGTCCCCCCAACGTCGTGGTCAGTAATACCAGGAATCATGTTGTTCCAGAACAGATGACCCATGTTCGGCGTGCAGAGCTCCTTGTGAAGTCCGCCCTCCCGATCAAACTTGACACCAAGTTCGGTGCGTTGCTCGCTTCCCTCGATTTTCTTGCCAATAAGTATTTCTTCATCAAGAGTGCCGGTCATAACGACTAGCATGTCATTCATGCCGATAATTCGCCAGGTAAGGCCACTGCCGCATTGGGAACAAAAGGACCGCATAGCTGTTTTGCTCGATTGGTATTCTTTGTAGGTTGGGCACTTGGTAATGTCGTCGACAAATTGCGACGGGTGAATAAGAATATCGTGCGAGACCAATGCTCCAGTCCATTTGCGGCACATTGTACATTGACAAGTGGCTGCCTGGCGGTATAGTTAGTGCTATACACCATACCGGGAGCGAGCATCATACATTGGCTGGCCACGCCGCGGTCTCTGGAAACACCACTTTGTATCGAATGGAGCCGCAAAGACAACCACCAGAGATTGATTCAGGCCGGGAAGCCATCTTAAGTGATGTCTCGACAACACAGGGATTGCTTGAGAGGATGGATGTGGGGGAGTTATCAAGCAGTACTGTTAGCATATGCCCTATTCCTGAGGTAGTCGAGGAACTTTTTATATCCAGGGGGCCTTTCCATGCAACGCAAGGTATGATGAAGCCTGTTAGGCAACGGCGGTGATTGATAATTTTGGTTATCTAAGTTGATCTCTTCATCCTTGTCACATCGAATGAAGCCAAGAAAAGTTGTCGACGCATTTCCTGCCTTGGCCACCCGAACTAGGAGAGGCCGGGATCATTTGAGAGGGTGTCAACGCCAGAGCATTGTCTCGTATTTGCTGGCCAAACACGGTAGGAATGCAGAGCAAGGCATGTATACTCGGAAAACACCAACCGGCCGATGCTTGGAGAAGCCTTGGCCGTGGCTTGCCAACTAGGCATCCAAATTTTGTCAGTTATAGATACAGTGTGATTGGTACCTTGTTGAGGTCGTATTCGGTAAGCGACGTAACCTGGCCATGTCGGTTGGTGTTGTGTACTAAATTCCAGTGGTGCTTAGCGGGCTTTACAGCCATCTTCAGGTGGTGAACGTATACTGCATCTGGCTGAATACGATGCACAGGCTCATTTTGCTGCTTTCCGACTTCTCCTGGAACCCGGTACCGGCTCGGCTTTTTTGTCAGAGGACGAGGATGCACCGTTTGCTGCAACTGGTTTTTCGGTGTTTTTGTTCTGTTCTGTCTCCTTCTTTGCTGCAGCCCTCTTCTTAGCACCTATTTTCTCCAGGTGCTCGATCTGCTTTTCACTAAACTCCCACAGCTTCTTTGCGACTTCCTCGTTTTTGACTTCTGGTCTCAAAGGCTCGTACTGCCTGCACTCTTTGATCATCTTCCCGCCTGCACCTCGACCATACTCGGCGTCCATGGCGGCGAGAAGATAACTCTGGGCGCCCTGTATCGGGGATTTGAGAATGAGCCACCATAACGGCCAGGTGATTAGGTAAAGCAAAAGACCCCATATTAGACCTCCTGACAGCCAACGGCGGGTGCCCGGTGTGCGGCAATAACCAGGATCGATGATCAGGGCTCGAGCATTGTTTGGTTGTTTGTCTGGTCTTTTATAGGCGTCGAGGTGTTTCTGGAATGCATGTGCAAAGGTCATGACTGCTAATTTGCTTCGGCCGTACGAAGCACTTCCGGCTCTGGAGGCTTTATCCGTGGCTTCAAAGTCCAACTTTCCGCCGATATAGCTGCTGCATGTGCTGAACAAAATCCTCACGTCTCGGTCTGGAGGCTGGGCACGAATGGCGGGAGACAGAATACTGAGTAGATGAAATGTGCTGAGGAAGTTGATCATCCACTCGGCCTCCAGCCCATCTATTGTCTCTTGAGGCGTGCCGAAGTAAGGAGTCATTACATTGGCACAGAGAATGACCATGTCCAATCTTCTCGGAGGTGCGTTATCCACCCATTTCGTGGCAAAGAGCCGTATTGAATGTAACGAAGAGAGGTCGACTTGTTCGGCATATATCAATTCATTATTCGTGATAGTCCGCACATCTTCAATGTAGTCCACGAGGAAAGGGTCCGAGGGGGGATGATGGGTCAGGAGGATGATCTGGGCTCCTCTCCTCGCCAGTTCTTGCACGACGGCGGCTCCTATCCCTGATGTTCCTCCCTACAGATTCTGCATCAGAAAGCACATGGAAAGGTCATAGACGTGTCATCTTACCGTGACCATCACCACCTTCCCATGCATCAGTCGTTCTGATCGACATTTCGCTCCGCCAAAATACAGTTTCAGCAAAGCGATAATACCTGCTATTGCTGCGCCCTTTGCGACTGTCCAGATATAGGGGATCTTTAGGAAATCTCTGCCGAAGCCCTCGACCAGCAGTTCAATAGGCATCGTTCTCTTGAGTCGCTCGAAATGCGGGAAATGGAGTGAGCTAATTGAAGTCTGGCCAGAGACAAGAAATCCATACTCATAAATTCATAAGGAACTCCGCTCAGTCCGCCTATCGCAGGCCGCGGGTGCCTGAAAGGCTAGCAAGCCACCTGGCAATGACGCCACAACGCCCCGAAGTTTCTAAGCAGCATTCCCAGTACATGGACACGAACGCTTTCAAGCATCCTTTCCAGCGTTCATGGCAGACACGGATGAAGACTATTACCTCCCGCCCCAGGATCAGCGCGTCTTCGGAGCCGGCATAAGACGCAAGAAGATCAACTTCGTTCCCGCATCCTCTTCGGATACACAATTACCTAGCTCAACACCGTCGACCTCGACCAGCGCCGCGTCTCGCTATCTAGCTATTGTTCTCCCACATGCTGGTGACACTCGGAGTAAAGATGCGGAAGCAGACTTGAGCCCAGAACCTCAAGCCCTGTGCGCCGTTTGCAATCAGCCCATCTCATCCACCGAGGACGCACTCTCTACAAACCATGAGACCTCAATCGCGCATCAAGTATGCCTGAAACACTCTCATCCGCCGTCTGATCTTGACCGCGATCGCGTCGGTCTACGATACTTGTCGAGCTATGGCTGGGATCCCGATTCTCGAAGAGGACTGGGAGCAAGAGAAGAGGGTATCAGAGTGCCTATCAAGACGAAGGAGAAAAACGACACGGCGGGCCTGCGCGAAACGATCGACGAGGACGAAGTGACTGTGGCAAAGAAGAAGCATAACGCCAAAAAGAAAGAAGACAAGATCGTGAAATTGGACGCAAAACAAGTCCGGATCATGGACCATGAAGCAAAGAAACGGGCCGAGAAGTTGAGACAGCTGTTCTACGGTCCGGACTTGAAAAAATATTTGGGTCCAGACGCTTGAACGATCCAACATATGCGACTCGATAAAACCTGGCTCGAATTGTATCAGAGAGGGCAGAACTCGGCCCTCCCCCGTGCAGTGACCATGACGGGATTACATGACTATACACAGCTTCCGCCGTCCCCTCTCCCTCCACCGCCTGACGCCACGCTAAGCCACCATCACACAAGCATGCGCTTCTAGTGCTTCTTGAACAACCCTAGGTGTTTCTTCTCCTTATCTTTCTTCAGCTTGTGGTGCCCACCATCAGCAGGAGGCGGCTGGTGGGGTTGTGATGCTTTCGACGGTGCGGTGGCTGTGCCGACCCCAGGGCGTACACCATTCTGTGGTGGTCTACCACCAAGATTCATGTTTGCCATGGCTTCAGTCGGTGGTCGAGCCTTGTCGGGTGGCCTGCCGTTAGCAGGTTGCTGAGGTCTCGGTTGCTGCTGGGCCTGTTGAGCAGGCTCCGACATCCATGCTGGGAGCCGTGGGGCGGCTTGATCCACTGGCAAATCCAGTTGCCTTCGCCCAGTACTGAGTTGGCTCACTTGGCGCAGGAAACTTTTCGGTGTTATCATGTGGGTCGTCGCAAGGAAGACCTCTTTACCAGCCATGTGAGAGACTTCGTAGCAGGCCCGTGCTTCGGCGTAGGTCGCCCCGCCAGCCACGAACACAATGATGCGTTGGCGTGGCTTGTTGGATTGAGAGCGCGTTTGAGCCCATGTAGGTTTGCCTGTATTCCTCAGAGAAGTCTGGGAGACGCCGGTCTGCATGTTTGGGTCGCTCAGATGTGGCTTCACGGGAGGGAACACATTTGCATCCAATGTACCCTGGCATTGTTCTTCGAGCATGTACCTCAGAGCAGGCTCGAATCGTGACAAACTCACTTCCTCCATATTGCTGACATCTCTAACCTTCGGTGGGAACAATGGCGTTGGGGTGGGCGTCGCGTCTTTCAATTGCTTCTCAATCCTAGCACCCAAAGTTATCAGGTTATAAATGATCTCGCCATCCATCGGCGAGAGTTCGCCGTGACATCGCAATTTTTCGATGTCTCCCCTCAAGATACCATTCTTGTACAAGATGTATAAGATTAAGAGTCGGACCCGGTCCTCGTGGACAACACTGTCGTCGTCAAGCAGCCTGACGACCTGATCTGCTAGATTCTTCGGTTTCTTGTTCTCCTCATCGAGTCCGGTGGCAAGAGACTGCTCGACGGAGACCACATCCAGGAGCTTACGGTCCGCAAAGATTTTTGCGCATTTTTCAGCCATATCGATATGAAGTGAAAACGCTTCTTTGCCCTCCTGGAATTCTGGAAGTCCCGCCAACATGTCCTTGATGGTGTTGATACTCGCAGGTTGTCCATCGTTGTCGGCAAATTGTGGATTCTTGGCTTGGAATTTCCTAAACTCTTCGCTCAATTTCACGAGAAGGTCTTTCATGTGCATGTGGCGGTGAGCGACCCAGAGGTTGTCTTTCTCTGTGATCTCCACATCTTTTTCTTCTTGATCCGGTTGACCTCGCCTGATGACGTTTCTGTAGGTTATCTTGTCCTCGTCGTCTCGTATTGGTAAGAGATCCATTGCCATGGCTTGATATGTCAATTCGTGGACAAAGGGCGACATCAGGTCCATGGACCGGTCTGTGATCAGTAGAACTGCTCGTGGCCGGTTCCCAGGGTTCTGGGGAGGAAAGTCGTTCCGTGGATCACGAGCATACTCGTCCAATGCGCTCTGCACGAAACTGGCAAGATGGTAGCAAAGGACATCAGCAGCATGTCTCTGGTGGTCTCTCGGCTTGTAGAATCGAATCAGAGGGTACTCGCCCAAGGAGACACATATTGACACGATTTTCTGGGTTATGCTGTCCAAGTGGTCCTTAACCAACGAGTCACAAGCGGGGTGGAAGAGGACGTGGAAACTCCATGGTTGTCGGAATGAGACCAGGTTGCATTCTCTAGGGAAATACTCGACATTCAAGGTCCGAGATTCGACGATCAACTGTGCCCGAGACTCTGAGCGAAACAGCTCTTCTCCAAGACCTCTTGGTAGTTGTGAGGTCCAGATCAGATGAGCACGTCGGTATCTCTTTCGGCTAAGATCAGCCTTGAGGCTTTCGACGATATGCGGTAGAGGGGAGAGGAGGTAAATGGCATCGGTGTCGGAGAGAGTCTGCCTGCGATCTTCGAGGAGTTCGATGTTGGTGATGTTGGCGTTGAGGATATCGTCCTCTTTACAAACGTTGTATACAATCCGTTTGCTTTGCTCGTCCAAGATCAAGACTTTCCAATCTCGTCCACTGGTAGCCCGAATCGTGCCTAGAACGATATTGCGCTGGATTTCGAGGATGGAGGTTGCCATGGTAGGCAGAAGGAATCAGAGCCAAGGATCTTGTTCACATGCTCATGAGGTCGGAATGGCTTCGAGACTCTGTACAAACTGTTTATTAAATGTTGAACATGCCCTTCCCGTTTCATGTGTGCATGCATCGATGTGCTTTGGCTGTGGGGTGGGATACTTTGTCGCAAGCTGCGGTGACATCGGTCCGCACTTCAGCCTCGCCCTAAGGAAAGCCTAACACGTGATCAGGCTGAATATATCTCCAACTTTTTCAATGACGACCATGAAGACGGTGGCGTTCTCTCCCTTCCGATACTATACAATAGTGATTCGAGGAGGTCTGCGTTGGCGGTGTGATCAATTCTCTCAGTTTTTGGTATCTTTCTGAAGCCTTCTTACAACGCTGCCGGCAGTTGCCCTGGCATGTTGACTCCTTCAACCCGTCGAGCGCAATGCCTCTTCTGTTCATTTCGAGCCTTCTTTGCATTAACGCCGAGACGATGTTCTGAGAATCTCCGTGTCCTCTCTACCACCGCTGGTCGGCCGGACAGAAAACACCATAAAGCCCCCCTTTCTGTGAGATCCGTTGTCTCTGATCCCTCAAAGTCTCGCCGGCCAAGTCGGCGTCCGGTCCCTAAAACAATTCAGATCTCGCCCGATGCGAGTCACAACCGTGTTCGTGTCAGCTTGTCGAAATTGAAGAAGCGCTTGGAGACCACAAAAGTGACAGCAGAATCAGAAGTTACACAACTTGCAGCGCTCGATCCTCGTGGGACGTACTGGCCTGCATTCAGAGAACGGCTCGAAAATGTATTGGTCGGACAGGGCGATTCTGAAAGTGCGGATTTTGACGGACTGATATATGATATTGGCCGTGCGCAGTTGGGCGACTGGCAGACCGAACTCCCGAGAGTGCTACATTTTGGCTTCATTGATTACGTCCTCGTGAGAAAGGCACAAGATGCTCCGCAGGAGGGTTCGGTGCTTGATGACCTGCAATTCCCTACAGAATGGTATACCAATGCTCGACAAGTGCAAAGAGATGTCCATTTGCACATCGGCCCGACCAACTCAGGGAAAACCTACAATGCCCTGAAACGTCTCGAAGAGAGCGGAGACGGGTTCTACGCGGGTCCTCTGCGGTTGCTAGCACACGAAGTATATTCGAGGTTCAAAGCAAAGGGTGTTCCCTGCGACCTTATAACTGGAGACGATGTTCGGCTAGAGGATGACCCTAATACGAAGCTACGCGCCTCGACTGTGGAAATGGTCGACATCTCCGCGCGGTTTGAGGTCGCCGTGATTGACGAGGTGCAGATGATGGCTGACCAGGATCGAGGTTGGGCCTGGACTCGAGCCTTTCTTGGTGCCAATGCAAAGGAAGTTCACATTTGTGGGGAAACTCGAGTGCTTCCCCTTGTCCGCGAGCTGACAGCATCTACCGGTGATATACTTCATGTGCATGAGTATAAGAGGCTGAATCCGCTCAAGGTCATGACAAAGAGTCTGCGAGGAGACCTCAAAAACCTACGCAAGGGTGACTGCATTGTAGCCTTTTCGGTGGTGAACATACACGCGTTGAAAAAGCAGATTGAACTGGACACAGGCCGCCGTTGTGCCATTGTATACGGAAGTCTTCCTCCCGAAACCCGGGCGCAGCAGGCCGCTCTGTTCAACGACCCCAACAATGACTACGACTTTCTGGTCGCCAGCGATGCTATCGGCATGGGATTGAACCTGTAGGATGCCTTTGGTGAATTCGAAGACGGCAGAGCTAATGTCTGACTAGGAGCGTGAAACGGATCGTCTTCCACAGTGTTTCGAAGTTCAATGGGACTTCCATTGTGCAGCTGTCCACTGCTCAAATCAAGCAAATTGGTGGTCGAGCTGGACGTTTCCGAAATGCGCATCAGGCCATGCACAACACCGCAGCCACTTCGGAGTCTAATGTGGGATTGGTCACGACTCTCAATGATGAGGATCTCCCTCTGGTGCGAGCTGCCATGGATTCAGAGGCTGCACCAATTAAAAGAGCAGGCATGCTTCCACCCGCCGAGGCCATGGAAGAGCTTGAGAGTCGTCTACCAAAAGGAGTCCCTTTTGAATACATCCTGAGGCGTCTGTGTGGAAAAGCCGCCACGCACGAACGATTTCGAGTCTGCAGCATTCGAGACCAAAGTCGAATTTCTCGAGTGATCGAACCTGTCCGAGAGTTGACCATGACCCAACGCATCATGTTGACAGCTGCACCGGCCACTTCAGCCTCACAAGCAATGGACGAGGTGATGCGAGCTTTTGCGAGATGTGTGGCGGAGCGAAGACAGGTGACGATCGTCGACGTACCTGAAGTCCAACTAGAGGTTCTTGAAAGGCCCATCTCCGGGGACCGAGCATACTTGGAAAGTTTAGAAGACCTCCACAAGTCCCTAGTCCTGTACCTCTGGCTTAGTTACAGGTTCTTGGGCATCTTCAAGGACAGGGAGATGGCGGTGTACGCCAAAGAGCTGGTAGAAGAACGAATCAACACCTGTCTCCTCGAATTTTCTGCTAACCCCGATCTACGGAAGAGAGTCCTGTCATACAAAAAAAGGATGACTCTCCCGTACATCGAAACCGAAGAAAATGAAACAACCAATCAAGGACCTCAATCAGAGCTACCAAAAGAAGGCAAAGCCGTTCCTGTCAACTGGGTCCGGGGTTCTGCAGCCGTTGAGTTCGACGAATCTCTGCCTCCACAGACCTACAATGTAGCGCACGGATGATTGGCGCTCTTGTCCGGTTCTTGCAGGATATGTGAAGGCCTCGCATCCTGCCAAAAGCAGCAACGTATCTCGACAGACAGACGCAGTATATCTTGCAAACGGGGATTCACCACAACCCTGTAGCACATTCTGCAGAGCATGATGGAGATTGTCGTTCAGGAAAATATCAAGTGGTCACGATGTGCACAAAAAAGTGTACGGGAGTGAATGAATCTTCCATTGTGTTGCTATGTGGTACCGTGTATCAATGGCTTTCTTCCACCAATACCAATCTCAATGCTTCCTCAAGCGACTTGATGCTGAGTCGGTCTTAATGTCACTCAATGTGCTCATTGTTGAGTAATGTGTTTGTCGGCGCCCGCCGATGGGTTAGAAGCTGCCATTTCACGAGCGAGTTGATCTTCGGTCTTTTTGTTGCCATGCAGAATCAGTCGGTTCAAGAAGCTCCCCGGCTTGCCGGCGTCGTGTCCATCTCTCTCTGCGTCATCGGCCTCTTTGGTGACATAGTCCATGGTTTCCTCGTCGGCTGAATCATGCTCGTCGAAGTTGACTGGATACAATGTTAGCAGGGGAGCCCGCCGGCAATCCGGATGGAAAGAAGGATGAACAGTGAGGACCAGGGGATAGGGATTGGTTGGACGCAAGACCGTCCATCTCATGCTTTGTAGTTACTACTGGAGGGGTTCTCAAGAAGACAACGAGGAAATGATGTACTGACCTTCTTTGTCTTTGTGGCTGAGACGGCGCTTGATCTTTGCTCGAATGTTCTCCATTTTCAGTGACGGTGATGTCAATACGTCAGGCTTGGATGAACTCTGTACAAAGCCAGATGACTGCAGGAGGGTGTTCTTTGTAGGAGGGTAATGGATAGCTGGAAGAGAAATGAAGGACGGTTGTAGACAGTTGAGGGCGGGGTGAAGGGTGCCTTTTTCTACCTTGCTCGAGATGAATCTGAGGGTTCAAGGAGGGGTGATCTACCGACAATTGACGCGATGCAGGCACCGTCGTCACCATCCCACCCACCGTGTAATGCCATTTCAGGGCCTCGACTCAAGAAAGACCCGGCCATTCACCTGGCAAGAGATCGAGCCCATTCGCCAGGTGCCACCCAGGGATCCAACAGAGCTTGCGCCACCGAGTCGCCGTTGGTGCCGCCACCCAGATCGAGCCAACCCAAGCGAGGCGAGGCTCTTTGATCCGCAGGCTGCATCCCGCTTCGGCTTCGCAAAATTTCCATGTCCATCTCCGACACCGAGAATACCACACACTAAGGGCCGACAACTGGCTGGACCAGTCCTGCCCTCGAACAGTAATTGCACAACGCCTAGACAGAAGCTCGTCCCTGCGCGGCCATGGACGACTTCACATCCCTCGAACTGCTGTCGCTCGTTTCCAGAGTCACCTCCGAATTGCAAAACCACTTGGGAATCAACGACAAGACTCTCGCCGAGTTTGTCATCGACCAGCACGAAAAATGCGGAGGCAACTTGGAAAAGTTCAAGGAGATCCTGGCGGGCATGGGTGCAGAGTTTCCCAACAGCTTGGTCGAGAGCATCGACCGGTTGATTAAGACGATGCATCCCAACTACAAAAAGAGTCAGAAACAAGCTGCGCAGGGGAATGGCACATCGGATATGGACGAGTTGGATGCGATCGGCCGCAAAGCAAAACTTTTCAAGGGTCTCGCAGTCCCAGATCGCCAACCGTCCTGGACTGACTCCGAGGACGACATTGCTGCGCAGAAAGCAAATCGGGCGAATCACTCTGCGGAGGACGACACTTTTGCCCTTCTCGAAGGCCTTGCGGGAAACTCAAAGAACGGTACAAATGGCGCAGCGGGAAGAAACAGGAAGAGAAGTCGCAGTCCTGATCGTGACGACTATGCAAGAGACCGAGAACCAAGACGCAAATACTGGTCGCGAAGTCCTAGCCCCCGCGAGGAGAAGAGGTCGCGGAAATACCAGGATCAAAGTTACGAAGACAGGCCGACGGGTTACAGAGACCGCTACGACGAGAGACGAAATGGCCACCAGAAGAACAGGCGGCGCGACTATGATGAAGACGATGATTTTCAAAGGCCACCTCCTCGTGAGGTCGATGAGTACCCTGTGCTCTACAAAGTCTACGATGCAGTGATCAATGGAATCAAAGACTTTGGCGCGTTTGCTAGTCTTCAAGGTGTCAAAGGCAATGTCAGTGGACTGATTCATGTCTCAGCTATCCAAGAAGGCGCTAGGGTCAACCACCCGTCGGATCTTCTATCTCGTGGACAGCACGTGAAGGTCAAAGTCGTCAAGATGGAGAATAACAAGTTCAGCTTGTCGATGAAAGAGGTTGATCAGGTTACTGGGCAAGATCTCGTTCCATCTAGAAGGATAGCTTCTGGTGCCAATATGGAACGGCTCAACGGGCTGCCGTCTGATGACCGTTACGGAGGTCTGAGCAGCACAGTTCCCGTTATTGAAGATGGCTTGTCTTCGAAGCCTGGAAAGACGCGAAAGAGATTAACGTCCCCAGAACGATGGGAGATCAAGCAACTCATCGCTTCAGGTGCTATATCCGCACAAGATTATCCCGATATTGACGAGGAATATAACGCCACCTTGAACGGAGAAGAACAGTTTGAGGAGGAGGAAGACATCGACATTGAGGTCCGAGAAGAGGAGCCACCGTTCCTTGCGGGTCAAACCAAGCTGTCCCTGGAATTGTCACCTATTCGAGTTGTGAAGGCTCCCGAAGGGTCTTTGAATAGGGCCGCCCAAGCGGGCACAAACCTAGCAAAGGAGAGAAAAGACCTCAAACAACAGGAAGCAGCCGAGCGAGCCGCAGACGAGGCATCTAAAGTTGATCTCAACGCGCAATGGCAGGATCCGATGATCAACCCTGAACAGAGAAAATTCGCGTCGGACCTGCGACAGGCCCAGCAACAATCATCTCGAGCTATAGAGGCTGTGCCTGAGTGGAAACGAGCAACCCAAGGCAAGAACCAGTCCTACGGCCGCCGGACGGATATGACCATTAAGCAGCAAAGGGAGTCCCTTCCCGTTTTCCACTTCCGCAAACAGCTTCTCGAGGCTGTTGCCGCGAACCAGTTACTTATCGTGGTTGGAGATACCGGTTCTGGTAAGACGACCCAGCTCACCCAGTATCTTGCCGAAGCAGGGTATGCCAACCACGGCATGATTGGCTGTACGCAGCCCCGCCGTGTGGCAGCCATGTCTGTCGCGAAGCGTGTCTCCGAGGAAGTCGGCTGCGAATTGGGCAAGGAGGTCGGCTATACAATTCGTTTCGAGGATCGAACCTCACCAGACACGAAGATCAAATACATGACTGACGGAATGCTTCAGCGAGAGATCTTGCTGGACCCTGATCTCAAGCGCTACAGCGTCATCATGCTGGATGAAGCACACGAGAGAACCATTGCCACAGATGTCTTGTTTGGACTGCTCAAGAAAACCCTAAAGAGGAGGCCTGATCTGAAGCTGATTGTCACCTCAGCCACTCTCGACGCCGACAAATTCTCTGAGTACTTTAACCAGTGTCCGATCTTTTCCATTCCTGGCCGAACGTTCCCCGTCGAAATCATGTATTCAAGAGAACCCGAGGAAGACTATTTAGATGCGGCCTTGACTACCGTCATGCAAATTCACCTGACCGAACCACCGGGTGATATTCTGTTGTTCTTGACTGGACAGGAAGAGATCGACACCAGCTGCGAGGTTCTCTACGAAAGGATGAAGGCGTTAGGACCTAGCGTTCCTGAACTGGTCATTCTCCCCGTCTACTCCGCCCTGCCCAGCGAAATGCAGAGCCGAATTTTTGAGCCTGCGCCGCCAGGTGGTCGAAAAGTGGTCATTGCCACGAACATTGCCGAAACATCTATCACCATTGACGGGATTTACTACGTGATTGACCCAGGCTTTGTCAAGCAGAACGCCTATGATCCCAAGCTTGGGATGGATTCGCTTGTTGTGACACCGATTTCCCAGGCACAAGCCAAACAAAGAGCCGGTCGAGCAGGGAGAACCGGTCCAGGCAAATGCTTCCGGCTATATACCGAAGCAGCATACCAATCCGAAATGCTCCCCACTTCCATACCAGAAATCCAGCGCCAGAATCTTTCCAACACCATCCTCATGCTCAAAGCAATGGGTATCAACGATCTCCTACATTTCGACTTCATGGACCCACCACCAACGAATACTATGTTAACCGCCCTCGAAGAACTCTACGCTCTTTCTGCCCTCGATGATGAAGGTCTTCTCACACGACTGGGCCGCAAAATGGCCGATTTCCCAATGGAGCCCTCTTTATCAAAGGCCCTGATCGCATCTGTTGATTTGGGCTGTTCGGAAGAGATGCTTACTATCGTGGCGATGCTTTCCGTTCAGACGGTGTTTTACCGTCCCAAGGAGAAGCAACAGCAGGCGGACCAGAAAAAGGCGAAGTTTCACGATCCCCACGGCGACCATCTTACGCTGCTCAACGTCTACAATGCGTGGAAGCAATCTCGGTACAGTGATCCCTGGTGTTTCGAGAACTTTATCCAGAAGCGTTCAATAGCGCGAGCTCGAGATGTGCGCCAGCAGCTCGTCACGATCATGGAACGGTACAAACATCAAATTGTCTCTTGCGGCCGCAATACGATCAAGGTTCGACAAGCACTCTGCGCCGGATTTTTCAGGAACTCGGCACGAAAGGATCCGCAGGAGGGATACAAAACTCTTATTGAGGGCACGCCCGTGTACATGCATCCTAGTTCCGCACTGTTCGGAAAACCGGCCGAACATGTCATCTTCCACACCTTGGTGCTGACGACCAAGGAGTATATGCACTGCGCGACTGTGATTGAACCTAAGGTACGTATCATATTGCCATCTATGACATTCTTCATTCCATTGCACCTGTTTCCATCGTCTCCCTCTGATTTCCAATTGATACTGGTTACTAACTCTTGGTTACAGTGGCTCGTTGAAGCTGCCCCGACGTTCTTCAAGGTCGCTCCCACAGATCGTTTGAGCAAGCGCAAGAAGGCAGAAAGGATTCAACCCTTGCACAATAAATTCGCCAGTGGAGATGATGACTGGCGGTTAAGTGCGCAGAGAAGGCAAGGTAAGGGAGGTGGAGGAGGCACCTGGGGTTGAAACCGGTATGTTGGAAAGGGCCTCGTGCTTATTGGGTTTGTTGACGTTGAAGCTGCTCGCGGGATATTGTGCACGAGAAGGAAAGGAGGGAGTCCCCTGGCTCGAGGAGGCGTGGATATGGATTTGGAACAGGGATACACCCTCCGCAACGTAATTGACCAGCTTCAAATGTTGATGCAAATGGAAGTCATATCAGAGTAGGTGTGACCCATGGAAACATATTTCTCAAATTGCTCTCTTTTTGCGCGGTTCATCTCGTCAAGTTGGAAGGCCTTTTTTATACTACCGAGATCGCCCCAGTCGTCGTTCTTTGCGGCTTCTCCTTGAAGATATTCTTCACGGGCTTCAAGATCGGCGGCGCGGCCACCACGTCCTGTAAATTGACCTGCCTACCCAACTGGCCCTCCTCACGGCGCTTCTTCTCCAATATCTTCCAGGGGTCGGCGTCGTCGTCGACGTCCACCACCCTCCCACCAGCGCCACCAGCACCGCCTTTACGCCTCTTCTTGGCCTTCTTCCCACCGCCCTTGCTCAACGTGACGACCTGCTTCGCGGGATCGATCCCCGCCCCGAGCCAGAGGATCTCGTCCTCCTCGCGCCGCTCGGCGCGCTCCTCGTCCTCTTCCTCCTGTTTCTCCCTCAATCGCTGCTCCGTGGCCCGCCACTCCTGCTGCATGCGCGCCAGGCGCTTGTTGTGCTTCGTGAGCGGCGTCTTGATCTTCTCCAGCCCCGGGATCGTGTTGAGGCGTGTGCGGTGCTTCGGAATCGAGGTCAGCGGGAGAGACTGGTCTACCCGCTGGGAGTACGCGGCGAGAGATTCGCCCGGGAGGATGTGGGGGATGATGGTGTTGTTTTTGGCCGCCTTCGTGGTGGTGTCCGGTGCTGGTGGGTTGGACGGTTCCGTCGAAGCGGTGGTTGTGGCGTTTCTCCCTTCAGGTTTCGACGACGCCGAGGTTGAGCGTGGTGTCACTTTGTCCTCCCTTTTCTGCTTCTGCCTCTGCTTCTTCTTCGAGGTATTCCCATCGTCTAGGCCCGAGGGTATCCTCTTCCCACCGGGCTGGAACGACATCAGTCGTCTAAAGGCCTTGGGTGTGTCGTCCTCGAAGTGGCCCTCATCATTACTATTGCCCTTCTTATTCTTCTTCCTCTGCTGCTTCCTGACTTCCTGCGCACGCTTCTTGTCCGCGTCGGAGGTGAAAATGGGTTCTGACTTCTGGTGGACCGACAGCGTTCGGGCCCGCGACGTGGGCGGAAGGTCGAAACTGGAGCAGGCCCGTGGGCTCTTGTTAGTTGTGATTCTTCCTGCGATTTTCGCGGGGTGGTTCCGGAAAGGGGACACACGTACTTTGACTCATCTTCCTCACGCTTACGTTTATGTTTATGGGGCATCTTGAGGTGGTTTTGCAGTGCTTGGGACTTTGCAGTGAGGACGGACTGGATTGCACGGCGGAAAAAAAATATCGGGCGACGCTGCGTGCGGAGATGTTCATAAAATATTTAACCCCGCACCAAGTCTTGTCGTTTGCTAGACGAGGTATTGAGGTATATAATCTTCTTGATTGCGTCTACTGTGTAAAGCATCTTGCATTCAATGTGGCTTGTTCTATTGCTTCTATAGTCTTTCTCCTCCTATCAATTGGAGAAGAGATTGATTCCCCACTCGTCACTGTAGTCAATCGTCCTCCCCTTGCCGCCCGGAATCTCGAGCCTATCGAGGGCGTTCATATCTTCTGACAAAAGCTCCTTTATTGCGAGGTTAGATTTGATTCGCGCTGGAAGATTGTCAGTCAACGTGATCCACCAGGACTCGGAGGTCAAGAAAGGAGAGAATGCACACAAACCTTCTGTCTGGCTCTTGCCCAGGGGTACAGTGCCTCTCTGAACAGCCCAACTCTGCAGTAACTGCCCGACGTCCATCCCATTCTTCTCGGCGATCTTCTTGACCGTAAGATCTTTGAGGAGCGTCTCTCCGTCCGCCTTTTGACCTGCAAATGGAGAGTAGCAAGTGACAACGATGCCATGCTCCTTCATGAACGAGATGAGCTCGTTATTCGGTAGCCAGGGATGAACCTCGACCTGATTGCAAGATACCGGCACGTCTCGAGCGTAAGGTAAGAGCTCCTGGACTTCGGATATGGAAAAGTTGGAAACCCCAACAGCTCGTGTCTTGCCGGCCGATACTAGTCTCTGCATCGCCTGCCACGTAGGAACGTAGCTGCCTGTGTGGCCTGAAGAAATGCTCAGCAGCCTCCACCACCTGTGGACCACTACAACTCACCGGCTTGGGTCGCGATATTGTGGGTGGTATGTTCCCAATCAATGACTGCTTTGTCTGTGCCGGGCTCCACCAAGATTCCCTTCTCGGACTTGGAGACAAAGGCACGGTTATTTGCATTCTCAAGGGCGTCCCTCGATATCGGTTGGAATGCGACGGGCCAGTGCGCCAGGAGCAAGTCGACATAGTCAAGGCCCATCTTCTTCAAGGACTGGTCCAGGCATAGCTTCAGGTTCTCGGGGGCGGAGAAGTGCGGCCAGAACTTGGTCGTGATGAACAGCTCGGATCGGGGGATTCCTGATTCTCGGATCGCGGCTCCAACTTCTTCATCCACCTGATCTCGAGTCAGTGGCAAGTGGCCTCGACTCTCGGTGGGCATGCATCATACACCATATATCCAAGCACAATCTAGATGTCTGTACCCCAGTCTCAGAGCCGTCAATGTGGCCTCTTTGCACCACCCTGGATTGCCTTTGAGGAGAGTCAGACAGGCGCATCAAGAGTTCATCAGAGCCAGAGACAAACCTCCACCCCAGGTCCCAAATCCGACAGATGGGATCTGGACAGTCTTTCCACCGGCAACTTTCAAGGGAAAATGCGCTGGGAGGGCCATGTCTGGTTGAGGTGACAGATGGTATACTCGAGGCTTGTGGCAGCACGTCGAATGGTGAGTCGACAGGCGTGCTCAATCCCAAGACAGTCTCTATCTCGAAAATTACAAAGCGAGGGCTCCATCTCGCAAGTGATCGACCAGTAAGATGGATAATAGATCGACCCAATCACAAGCCAATCAGAAGCGATAACGAGAGGATAGTTCAACTTCACCCACAGGATGCAATTACAAGAGCTACAGTGGCATTACCCTCATAGTCGAAAGGATCAAACCTCTGTAAGTGCCCATGTCAAGAGCAAAGCTAGCGTCGAGGGTCGCTAAGGTTTATCAGTGGCTCGCATGAAGGAGAAGTCCAGAGCAATTCTAGACCGACAAGGGAAGAATCAAGCCTCGTCGCCGCCTTATATCTGTCTACCCTCCCACTGAGGGAGAGGAAGCGGCAGGTATATGATATGGGACACTGGCAGAATATGACTTGAGAATGACAGTCCACAATCCCGTGTGGCCGAACTTCAGGCGGAAAAATGGACCGACTGACGTAGCGACTTATTTGCTGCGACTAAAAGCAGCGAACGAGATTCCGGAACAAACTCGGACAAAAGATTTTCCTCTTCCTCTTCTCCGCGGCGGTCGGCGACCTCTTATTGTTTCTTTACACACACGTTGCTTCAATGCTGCCTCTTGCAGGACAGTTGCCGGATCTGGCTCAAGTGCATGGCTCCATGACAGAGAAAGCATCTGCGGGTCCTCGCCAACGATGACGTCGACATGCACTACTGTCAGCTCGCAGGGGGGTAACAAATCACCCAGGTTCAACTTACGGATTAGCGCGCAACATTTTCCCAAGGCTGGCTAATCTTTGTTACGATCTCATTGCCTGAATTTTTGTCCACGACCAGTCAGAGAGGCACATTTTGGAACATGGAGCCTTGAATGATAGGGTCTAATGCGGCGACGGGTGATGAGAGTGTGCGTTATGGGAGCAATGGAAATGAGGATGGCTGCTGGAAACAACATGGTTAGGCGTTGCTCAATCCAGACGTCTTGCAGTACGATACAAAAGGGCGAGTATCCTCCTGCTTTCTCCCTGAATACCTCCCAAGCACAGTTGACCTTCCAATCCAAGTACACTATTCAATTGGTCATCATCCTTCAATCTTATATATTCTCTGCCAAACATGATTGTCGGTGGTCCTCATAACCTCTATACACTTGCCGAGGGTGCTCCTCTCCCCCGCAATGACACAAGTGTCCAAGTCCGCAACAAGCAGGGCGGCGGCCTCGTCCTTCTCCAAGATACCCAGTTGATCGAGACCCTTGCCCACTTCTCGCGTGAGAGAATCCCGGAAAGAGTCGTCCATGCCAAAGCCGCCGGCGCTCGAGGCTATTTCCAAGTCACCCACGACATCTCCGACATCACCGACGCTGACTTCCTCACTGGCATTGGCAAGAGGACGGAGGTCTTGACCCGAATCTCCACCGTCGGCCCGGAAGCTGGCTCCGCTGACACCATTCGTGACTTCCACGGCTGGGCGATCAAGTTCAAGACCGCCGAAGGGAACAATGACTGGGTCTTCAACAACCAGCCCGTCTTCTTCGTCCGAGACCCCATCAAATTCCCCTCGCTGAACCGTTCCCACAAGAGACATCCTGCCACACACACTTCCGATGCCGACATGTTCTGGGACTTCCACGTCGGTTCGCCCGAATCGATTCACGCGTTGATGTTCCTCTTCAGCGAGCGGGGCACGCCCGCGTCCTTGCGCCACATCAACGGATACAGTGGCCACACCTACAAGTTCACGAAGAAGGATGGCTCGTTCCACTACGTCAAAATCCACATTCACGCCGACGGCGGCATCAAGAATCTGACCAGCCAAGAGGCCACCAGACTTGCGGGTGAGAGCCCTGACTTCTTGACGAACGACCTGTTCAACGAGATCGAGAAGGGCAACTATCCCTCGTACACCGTGTCCATTCAGACCATCCACCCGGCTGACGTGGCCTTGTGCCCGGTCAACATCTTCGACATGACCAAGGTGTGGCCTCATGAGCAGTACCCTCTCCGACCCGTCGGCAAACTAGTCTTTGACACCAACCCTACCAACTACTTTGCCGAGATCGAGCAGGCCGCCTTTTCCCCGTCGACCCTGGTGCCCGGCATCGAGCCCAGTGCCGATCCGATGCTGCAGGCCCGCATGTTCGCCTACCCCGACGCGGCCCGCTACCGCCTGGGCGTCAACTACCAGATGCTGCCTACCAACGCGGCCAAGGTGCCCATCTACATCCCCACGGAGCGGGATGGCTTCATGAACTTCAGCGCCAACTATGGCCTGGACCCAAACTACCTGAACAGTACCATCCATCCCACAGGCTTCCACACCGTCGGCGTCGAGTCGCAATACAAGCCGACCGAGGAGTTTCTGGAAGGGCCCGTCGTGTTCAGTTCCGAGGTGACTGACGAGGACTTCAAGCAGCCCCGCGCCCTGTGGACCAAGGTCATGGCCAAGGAGCCGGGCGCGCAGGAAGCCTTTATCGCCAACGTCGCCGGCAACATCGCCGGCGTCAAGAGGGACTGGCTGCGTGAGAAGGTCTTTGGTAAGTTCATCATCATCCATCATCTGCATGCGATCCAAGCGTGCGTCCTGTGTGTGTCTGAGTATATAATTTGCTAACGGGCCCTTCTTTGTAGATCTCTTCCGCCGTGTCGACGAGTCTCTGGGCGACCGCATCGAGGAGGCCGTCAACAAGCTGGTCAAGGCGTGATTATCCAATCAAGTCAGGTCTAGTCATGCATGTAACTTATGAATGAACCCTGGCTGGGGGGCTGCTTCGGCGTTGTAAAAGTGGGCACACCGGAATATTCTGGGGGAAAGGGGAAGGGGCGTATCATCACCTGTTTGTCTGTCTCTCTGGGAATAATGTTGTACGTACATAGTAGTATAGTAGCCCACGTGTCTCTCATGTAGGAACAACAATTGGAAAATTTCGAATTTATACTCCTCAATACAATACCCCTTCCCTCCCTCCCGCCCCCCAATATGAAAAGGCTTCGTCTCGCATTCCATTGTGGGAGGGCCTCCCTCTCTGGCTCAGGTGGTTTGATTGTCCGTGCTCCATATACTCGGCGAGTCGGTACAGGTACATACAGTAAGTCAGGGAGGCTCCACAAATAATAGTGATAGGCCCACCCGGGATTGATCGGCCTAACTGGATCTGGGGTTCTTGGCGTGGCCCTGATCGGAAAACTCATTCTCGACTTCACTCCAGCGGTTATCCTGCCAGGTGATGGATGCGTGCCCCCATCATGGGACGTCCTCCTTTCTCGACTCTCCTCGCCCTCGGTCCGGTGTGCTGATTATCGGCGTCACCCGTCGTGATAATCGCAGAGCACACAGGACCTCTGTGTGTGTGAGAGAGAGAAAGAGAGAGATGTGTGTGTGTGGGTGGCTGGGTGTGTGTGAATGCCTTGAGCTGGAAAAAAGGGAAAAAGGAAGGAAGAAAGAAGGGAAGATCAAGGAAGGAAGAAAGGAGGAAGAAAGGAAGGAAGCAAAGAGGCCTTTTGGATACGAGAGAGGAAGAAAAAAAGATGTATCCTGTCATCCAAGTCCTGCATCCAGCGCCCCAACGGCATCAAGCCTGAAGCAATCGCGAGAACGTATATCCTTCTTGAGACCGGGCCGCACGATCTGGGGCCATCTGACGAGGAATTGTCGACCGAGATGAATCAACTATTCGAATAATCGTCGCGCGGTGTATCTTATCTTGCTGGAAGGCCGCCAAGCACTGCCGGGAGCGCATGGGAGATGGCAGTGATGGAAAAGGCACCCTCCCCAAACCTATCCTCAGCTGGACATCACATACTGCATCACATGAGGAGGCCGGTATCTTCACCACCACGGCCAGGTGGGTCCACATGAAAAAGAGGGAGAAAATCGAACATATTAATTAAAGCCACACAATTCTTCTCAACAATTGAAGAAGTGCCCTTGAGGGTGTCAGAATTCGTGGGAATCTTTACTTATCAACACATGGTAGAGAAGTATACCCCCAGAATTTATGGCTCCCCTTCTGCCTGCTGACAGAATAGTGCGAGACAGTCTACTAATAACAACAGCCTGTCCCACGAATTCTGACACCCTCTTCGGCCTGTCTTCCATACAATCCTGCTCTGAGTCCCTATAGGTTATGGGTAAATGTTGGTAACAGTAGTGCCTCTGGCCGTTACTCCAGCTCATACGCACTCAATAGCCTTGTGGATTGTTACAAACCTTTTTTTTTTTGGCTGACTTCTGATCCTCTCTTTCTTTTCGCGAAGGGACCAGTGCTGTAAGTGGGATATCTTATTAGGGCGGGCATCTCAGCTGTCCAACTAACACATCACTCATTGTCCAATATAAATAAATCTCCAGGCCTGTTATCATCCTATCGGACTGTTCGGACACACCGTCTCTTCGGGTATCTGAAAGGAGAGGGGTTCGAGGCTGGGACGGTGCACAATGATTTTTGATCTCGAGACTTGTGTGTGCGGACCAGGTGCGGCAGTTCTATCTGCAAATTCACTGTTGTTCGCAACAACTTGGCGCTGTTTTCAATAACAACAACTTGGCGATCACACGAATTTTGAAAAGAAAAACCACTTCACCACGCCATCACATCTTCCCATCCTCACATCCTCACATTCTCACATCCAGACCGACCACTTTCTTCCGGATACACTTGGATCAGCGGATTCGATCAACTGAAGAATCGCAACTGTCCCTTGACCTCTTTACTCTTTACCTTTACCACATCCGCCGATCCTTGCAGCCCCGTTAAGATGTCAGCAAGTACCTTCAACCTACCTATTATAGGACCACGCAATCAAAAATCAACGATCACACAGAACGCCGAGCCCTCTAATACTCCAGCCGCTGAGCTGACGAGGCTAGAGGTTCGGCTTGTTCAGAACCATGATATTGTCACTGATCCGATCTTCCTTCCGGCGGCCAAATGCAGATCCATACAGAGTCTCCTCCAGACCTTTGACAACAAACTGATGAGGGTGAACAACCGCGCTTGGCACGAGATGCACGGATTATACGCAGAAGACGCTCAGCCATGGGTCCTCTGGGTCCAAAAGACGGCTGGAAAAGGCTCAGACCCATTCGTCACAATCAATCCTATCAACACTGGGTCATACCTCGCGTGGTTCAATCGTAACATCACATCAGGACAAAATGTGAACTCAAGCGTAAAGATTGAGATTCACGGCACGCAGGATCGCGTTGCCGCCGGCATGACAGAATACCTCGGGCGGATTGAGGACCCGACCGAGGAGGAACTTGAGCAGGAGCGCTTCGAAGAGGAGGAAGAGGCGAAGATACCAATTCCTCGCCGGCCGCTTAGGCGGCTGGAGTTTATCTTCGAGGAGAGCGACCTCCTGGCGAAGAAGATCGACGAGCAAGGCATGCGGTTACCACCGATGACCGCTCGGGCCCGAAGAGACCGGTACAAGCCGAAGGGGATGGAGTTCGCTCCAGCATCAATTCCCTGGTTCAAGGGAGAGACGGACACCGAGGCTAACCACGGGGCGGTGGTGGAGGAGGACGATGAGGACGACGAAGACGATGACTACGACGAGGAGGATGTGGGAGCGTGGTATGAGGGGTACTTCAACGAGAACGCGGTGGAGGAGGAGGAAGAAGAGGAAGAGGACGAGAACGAGGACGAGGAGGAGAGGGACGTGAAGGAGAAGGACGAGGAGGATAAGGACGTGGACATGGAGGAGGTGGTCGAGAATGAGGATGTGGAGGAAGACGGTGACGCGATGGACATCGATGGCTGAAGTTGGAATAAGCCTGCATGGGCTCTTGATATCCAAAGGGGGAAGAAAGCAGTCAAACAAACAAACGACCCCTTTGAGAGCCAACGGCTCTACAATCAAACAGTGCTTTACTTTATGTACTACGAGGAACCTGTATACTTCCTCCTCCTCCTCCTCCTCCTCCTCCTCCTTGCCTTCTATCAAGTCCACACCGTCGCGTTCCACTGCGCGTACCCCACGCCCGGCTCCAGGAACAGGCTCGGGTTATACACGGGGGTGGCGGGGGTGTCGGCGGTGGTGCCGTTCCAGCAGTGCGCGGAGAAGCAGGCCTGGCACGTCGCGGGTAGGGGCTCGCCCACGCGCAGCAGGGACTTGTAGATGAGGCCGCAGGCGATGCAGGCCGGGAAGGGCGGTGGAGGGGTGGAACCCTGGCCGCGCACGCCGTCGAGCTGGCCGAGACCGAACGTCACCGTGTTTAGCGAGTTGTTGAAGACCAGGTCCAGCTGGTTGTCGGTGAACGAGGGGACCGTGTACGAGTAGTTCGAGTACGCGGACCACGGCGCGTTGGGAATGTACAGGACCAGCGGCGTCGATGCCGAGGCGTTGCAGCCGAAGAACGTCTAGTTGTCGACACATGAGTTTGTTGGAAGATCACGAGTTGGAGCCGGAGGGAGTAGGGAATATGGAAACTTACGGGATATCGATTCAAGCCCAGATTGACAAAGGACGCCGGGTCGGGCACTTCGGGGAACGGAATGTCATGGAGCTTTGCCGCGGCGGCGCTCATGCCAAAGGTCGTCCCGTTCACCCAGTTGTTGTCGGGTTCCTCGCCGCTGGAGTCGAAGGCGAGGATGAAGTCGACTTTCCGCTGCGGCACGATCAGAGATCTTAGCGGGATAGTCTCGCCTGTTTCGCTGCCGTCGACCTAGATAGAAACACGTCAGATAGAGAGACCCAGCGGGCGGATGATGATGATTATGGGGAAAAACAAACGTACGATCAGAAGCTCGGTCTCGCCTTGCATTTTCTTGTTGTAGTTGTGAAAGGGATTGGGGTACGTGCCCCACAGGGACTGGTTGAAGGTCTGGTTGAACAGGGTAGCGGTCTCGTTGACGAGGATGACGTCGGGATTCTGGCTCTGGCTCGGTGGGATCGGGATCGAGGGCGTGGGGCCCTCCGCAGCGAGGAGGGACCGCTTCTTGTAGAAGAGCGCGATGTTGTAGAAGGCGTCGATGAGCCAGAAGTTCCAGGCGCCACCCGTGCTGCCCTGGGCGAAGGTGACCTTGTCAAAGCCGTTCACGCACGAATTCGTACTCGCCCTCGCCGGCGTGCCGTTGTTCATGGCTGTGCCCAGAAACTGCGTGGGCATAAAGGCCTGCACGCGCCCGCCAACCCAGCTGCCGAACTCGAACGGCGTCTCCTCATACATGGTCAGGTTGGTCGAGTTGACCCCGGGATACATGATGCCGCCGACGGACGGTGACGAGCCGGGCACCACTTCGGACAGGAGCACAATCGGCATGGGCGCCAGGCCCTGGGAGAAGGTCGTGTTGGGACTGGCAATGTCCGACACAGTCTTATAGCCCCACGACTTGGGTAGGTATTGGCGATAGAGCTGGCCGAAGATGTCCGTGACCGAGACCGGGAAGCCGGCCAGGTGTTTGGAGTAGGCGTTCTGGAAAGCGGCCTGGTAGTGCGCCGTCTCGTTCCCGGCGGGCCCAACCAGGTAGCTGGCCGTGAGATTGGCGTTGTCTCGAAGACTCTCGACACTGCCGAAGTTATTGCTGGCCCTGTCCATCCATTGTCAACCACTGCTCACTCACTCATTCACTAACTCACTATCGGGAAGGAAGAAGAGTGCCACACTTACAGGGGCAGCACGGTGGTAAACCCTCCACCACTCAGTCCGGTGAGGTATGAAAGGCACTGCACCAGGCCACCTGTACCTGCCTTGACGGCGGGAGGATACCGGTTGTCGAAGGCCTGGAACAGACCCAGTCCTCCCATGCCAGACTGGCTACCTCCACCAGAGATGGCCATACCGACGACCGGCGCCGTCGACGCGTTGATCTTGCTCAGGTACTGTTTGACCTGGAAATTCGAGATGTTCGCATTGGTGAGGTAGGAAGACAGAGCCTTGACCACGTTGCCCAGACGTTGTTGTCTCCATTGCTGCTCCCGTGGGCTGAGACCGTTCTGTGCGGGCCGGATGCGAAGATTGCTCGGGCATTGCACGAAGGTGGGAGCGTAAGGGGGGGAGGAAGCATTCTGGGTCACCGCCGCGGTCGAGAACCAGACCAGCAGGAACAAAAAGGAAATGAACATCTCGTATAGATCGCCTCTGCAGTGCGTTGGGAGAGGCAAGGACAGTTTGAGGAGAAGATCAATCAGTCTTACCTGGGGAAACAAGGGCTCATTATATCGACACGAACACGGCGATGTCTAGAGCCCTCTGACGTTTTCACAGCCCAAGCTTTGCCGTAAGCCATGGCCTGATTTTCGGGAGCATAGTTGAAGTCAAAGCTGAAGCGACCTGTGACATTGGATAGACTTCGGGTGACAGCTCTGAAAGCGGGAGAAAACACATGGTATCACCCCGCCATACAATGCCAATTTCCCCCGGAGAAGAACGATGCGAGCGAGAGCCTATTCCGTTAGCTACAACGACGTGAAGCTCAGCCGCACAGATTGCTGCTAAAATGCCGAATCTGGAAGGTTTTGCATCAACACGAGGTGGCGAGAATTCCGCGAGTCACCGCGATGTTTCATTCCCTTCTCAGGCCTTTTCTGGGGATGTTGACGAGTGGACAGGAGACCTGCAGATGGGTTGCATGTCCTGAGAGATAGACAAATGTGTTCGTGTGCTGCATAGATGAGTCCTGCTGTCACAGGCCTGAAGCCGCGCGCAATACGAGGTACACACCGAGAGACGTCAGTCAAGGGCAACATGATCTCGGACCCAATTATTTGGCCCCTTTTGCTGTCAGACGCATCAAGGTTCGTTCGGCACCGAAGCAGTAATTGAAGAGCAGCAATTGGTCGAACCTGATCGAGTTCATCAACCTTACACTACTGTACAGACCACAGAAGTTCCCGCGTCGTCATCAAAGTATTGGTACATTGGGGTGGCGCTCAGCCAAGTATCAAAATGTACAAAAGAGCTAGCTCAGGCGAGCACAGCTGGAAATGGTTCCCGACAACACAGGCCAGAAGAGCTCAAGGGCGCGAGGTGGCTGGTTGTGTGTCTGTCTCCCTGGCTGCTGCACAGAGAGAAGAAGGCATACACTGAGTCCTCCGCGTATCGTTTTGACATCGGCTTGCGCCCGTAACATCCCTCTCTATAGCACAAATCGCAACTGCTCCCGTGGCTTTGCCGGTCCCCTGCCGGCAGTGTCGATGTTGAGTGGGCGGACGAAGACCTTGCAGGGATCGATGCTATTCAGAGTGTCTCCCAAGCAAACTTCGTGTCCTGGTTCATCTCGACTGAGGCGGAGGGTTGAAGGTCATAGTCGTGGGCGCCACATAGCCTTCTCTCTTTGCGCCAGACCCAGCAGGTTTCCTGGCCTGCTCTTCTCGAAATCTGACCTCCTTCTCATCCTGTGCGACGACACAGCAACAACAACAAATGCCCTTGAGACAGTCCCCCGCGACGTTCCCGGAGTCCTTGTTCATGTTGTACGTCTTCCGCACCCGCGTATGCTGAATCGCGGCCAAGATGCCGTTCACTCCACATAAAAGGCCAAATGCAACGCAAGACCCGTTGACTGCCGTGTATCCCAGCATGTTCGTCGGATCTTTTCTTTCATCCCTCAGCCCTAACCGATATTGCGTCTTCCCATACACAATGCATGGGCAGACCAGTCCGGTGATGCAGGTCGAAGGCTCGGCGCAAGAACAAAAGCTATGCTGCCACGAGCCGCCCTTGATGGACTGTGGACTCGGCGTAAATACGTGGGCAGAAAATTGAGAGGGATCGGCTGGAGGCGGCACAATGGCCATGTTGGTGCTAGCTCGGTTCGGTGGTTTGGGCGTCGTTGGTGTCAAAGGGTTCGTGTCTGGCACAATAGGCCTCGTGGGTTCGTTTTCGGGTATGGGCGGTTGCTTTGCAGGCTCTGAAGGAGGTGGTGAAGGAGGCATTTGAGGTTGTTGTTGTAGTATAGGTACCTGGGTGGGATATGGCGGCGAGACGTAAGCGCCAGGTTGTTGCGCCGCTTGCATGTACTGCTGCTGCTGTTGTACAACCGCCGGGTTGTGCATCTGATAGGGAACCACACCGCAAGCGTAAACCTGTCGTTCCATGGCTGGCACCGGGGCCTGTGTCTGCGGAGGGACTTGTTGTGCAACACCTTGCGGCAGTGCTGGCATTGGAGGAGGAGGGGTTGTCTCTCTTCTTGCTCCCACGCGATCTTCCTCGTCTGCGGACGTGGTCATCCACGAAAACCGATTGTCGACTGGCTGCTGAGGGGGGAGCAGAGAGGTGGGAGGACGGACTCGAGGGTATTCGTAGTTTTTCATCTCGACAGGAAAGTCGGGGAGTCGGCTGGCCGTGTTGGTAGCACACCTACTTGTCGTGTCGGGACTCGGTTCACAGCGTACGGCGGTCAGCAATGACGTGGGCGGGGGCGGCCTTACTGTATATTTAAGCAATAAAAAACCGCTTTCTTGTAAACATGGAAACGCAGAAAGCTAGAGGCGACGAGGATGAAGAGAGTGAGAGATAAAGAGAAACGACGATTACCTTGGGGCCTCGAGCATCGCCTCTCTCTCAGCGCCGGCGAGGGCGTGCCTGATCGACCCAAGAGCCGTGTGCCTTAGCTGCCAGTCATTATCACTCGTGCTTGGGTCGATTGCCGTCGACGATTGGACTGCGAGGAGCAGGGCTTGACACTCGGCTAAGTCGGGGCGCTTACAGGAAACAAACAAAAATAGGAGGTGGACAATCCTTGGGGGGTACAGCCCCGGCGCGACTCGCGGTAAAGTATGGGGAAGCTTTGGATGAAACAAGCGACACGAAGCTTGTTGTCGCCAGCCAGAAGATGTGTCGAAGCGCTGAGAGGCAGCGTGGACTGGACGATGGAAACAATTGTGGGCGCTGTCTGTTGCCGTGTCACACACAGTGTCACTATCTCGACATGCCAAGGAGCCCTATAAGCCGAATTGAAACAGAGTCAGTTGTCTGACCACGATTTACTTCCAGTACTACTCCCCCACTGCAACTAAATTAAGGAACAGACCAAAGCGTTGCTGGTCTGACTGTAACTCATTTCTTTCCTACACCCTCCATACTGGTATTTGTAACTTTTACCTGTATGTTATCCTTGACAATATGGCGAAACCATAATCCTAGAACAAAAATACAACTTTTATTCTGGATATTTAGTTCGTTGTGAACGCTGCGTCCTTTGCAACCCATAACCTCTTAGAGTAGAACTCCAGCAAAGCCTCTCCCTAGCTCCCGACAGAACTCGGACTAGAAGGCTGAACTCGATCCATATGGACTCGGCGCGTTTATTGCGTTAGGCTCTCAATCAAGGCAGATTCATGGGTGGTAAAGCCATCATTGATCAAAGAACGGATTTACCACAGGCTCACGAGCGGGTTTGAGGGTCGAACACGCCCTTGATCCAGGACAGACTGATATATCTGTCGGTATATCCTTTGGGTGAACCACGGGGGATGGGTGGTCCAGAGACTACGGTGGGTCGATGCAGGCCAGATAATACGGGGGGCGCGAGGGTAGTTCGTGTTCCAGTAACGAGAATCCATTTCACTCCGGCGGCGCGTGTCCTGGCTGTGCACTGACACAGTACCTCGTACCCCCGTCTCATCTATCTTACCAACATTCTCGGAACGGAACAATTTTACACCGGTGACTGCGCCCTCTCGTGTGCGTGACGTGGACGAGCGCAGTCAAACTGTTGAACCTGTAAGGCTGGCAGTAAAGATGCTGAGTTCAACATTTCCCCAGTCTCACGCATTGTAACTTACCAGGCCTTGTTGATTTCTTGCAACAACATCTCACCTCGCAGCCAGCAACCAGACTTCAAGGATAACGTCATGGGCGATCCACTATCCGTTGCCGCTAGCGTGGCTGGCCTACTGTCTCTCGGCTTGCAGAGTACGGAGTATCTTTACAAGTACTACACCGCGTGCCGAGATCAACATCGGGATCTCGCCAAAATCGCAGACCAACTCGGTGGCCTTTATCAATCCGTCAAAACTATCGACAAGGTTGTGCACACCCGCACCTGGCGGCCCAACGAGCAGTCAATCATACAAGATATTGAAAAGTCTGTCACCCGCAGTGAAACGGCTATAAGAGGGTTAGAGGGTGAAGTCGGCAAATTTAAAAATGAGCCCAATAGTGACTGGGGGAAGAAGGCAGTGGTGGTTGGGCGACGGGCGGCGTATCCATTCAAGAGAAGCACTTTAGAAGACCTTGGCGACGACGTCAACGATTTTCGCGACAACTTGTCGATCGCGTTACAGGCGCTTCAGCTAAAAGAGCATCAGAATACACAAGACGACATCGAGGAGGTCAACACTCTCGTCAGGGCAATACAAGCACGAAGTGTCAGTGCTGATCTGCGGCAGTGGCTGAGGGCACCTGATGCAACAGTCAACTTTAATGTCGCCGTTGCCAAACGACATGCGAGCACTGGGAAGTGGTTAGTCCAGGGTACAGCCTATACCACATGGCTACAGCAGGGCAATTCGTTTCTGTGGCTGTATAGCTTCGCTGGCTGCGGAAAGTCCGTGCTGTGCTCGACGGCGATCCAGCACGCCTTTCGCCGCCGACAAGTGTCCGCCGACAGTGCGGTCGCCTTTTTCTTCTTCGACTTTCGAGACGAGTCAAAACAAGATGCGTCCGCGATGATACGAGCATTACTACTCCAACTCTGTGGGCAGGTTCCCGGTCTGGAATCAGAGTTGACCCGGCTAAAAGATTTTTATAATCATGGTACTCCACCAGTTCATGTCTTACTTGAATATCTGCAACAAGCCGTTGCTCGGTGCCGTCATATCTACATTTTGCTCGATGCGTTGGACGAAAGCCCTGAGGAGATCTCGCGAACTGAAGTTCTATCGGTAATCAATAACCTACGACAATGGCAGCTGCCAGGCTTGCACTTGTTGGTCACCAGTCGAGATGTTCCTGACATTCGCAACCGTCTGAAAGTTCCGACACTCCAGCAGGACGTCGAGCATATCTCATTAAAGACTGACGGCATTCAGCAAGATATCTCGCAGTATGTGGCATTTCAAATCGAACATGACCCTCAGCTTCAGCGCTGGGGGGACCATCGAGAGAAGATTAAGAGCTATCTTACCAAGCATGCGGGTGGAGTGTCAGTGGTTCACTATTTAAGGGCTTTATTACTATGAATGTTAGCTAACTGATATCTAGATTTCGTTGGGTCGAATGCCAGCTTCGGCCGCTACGGCAGTGTCCTCAAAGTGAGAAACATCTCGAAAGGTGTCTACGCAAACTGCCACAATCCCTTGACGAGACATACGAACAAATACTATGCAGCATCGAGTCACGAGAAGAGGCGCAGCAGATCCTGTCGTTGCTATGTTTTGCATCACGACCGTTATCAGTCGAAGAGGTCGTCGAAGCTCTTGCAGTTGACATTGACGACCTTGAGTGTTATGACCCCAGGAGTAAATTCAGTGGCGGTGCAGAAGACGTCCTTCGAATTTGTCCTGGTCTCATTGACATCACTCCCCGTGGAGATGGTGTTCAGATGCTCCGAATTGAGCATTTCTCAGTTCAGGAGTATCTCCTGTCTGATCGCATCCGTGACGGTCGAGCGGCCAGCTTCGCTTTGTCAGGCCCATCGCAGCATGGGCGGATCAGCAAAGCCTGTCTACTATATCTCCGACATGATGAATTCCTGCAACAGGTTTTGGGCCCCGATCTCGTGAGACAATATGCCTTTGCAAAATATGCTGCGGAGCATTGGCACCACCATTATCGCCAAGCTGACAGCCAATATGCCCAACAGTTGTCAAAGATGGTTTGTAATCTGTTAATGACGCGCTGTACGAAAGAACGTTGGCTTCGGCTACACAACCCAGATGATATATTATCAACCGACGTGGATTACAAGACAGTCGCTGAAGATTATCCTTCGGCAACATACTTTGCTTCTCTTCTTGGCCAAGACGAAGTGTTGCTGTTTATTCTATCTATATCAGCGGCAGGTGTTAACGCACAAGGGGGCTACTATGGTAACGCACTACAGGTGGCATCAATGCGTGGCCACGAGAAGATAATGCAGATCCTACTCGACGCGGGTGCCGATATCAACGCACAAGGGGGCTACTATGGTAACG